GATACGAATCACATGATCCAAGCGCACCTTCGAGGAAGCGATCACACCTCACGAAAAGCTGCCAGCCAAGGGGTGATCCTGCAGCGGTTGAAGGGTTGCTCGGTTCCACTTCTGTTCCGCGGTCCACGGCCGTGCTGAAAACCAGGCAGGCGACCCGGAGCGTACGTACCGTGCAAGGTCTCCTAAGTTGCAACGGGCGGCGGCTCGTCGTCCCGCAGAACAAGGAAAAAGAGCGGAGCTTGCCGAAATATCGCTGGCACCCACGGGTCTGATTAGCTAGTAAACCCGCGTCTTAGCACCCGGGCGCTGTCTCTGGCTGTCTCTCATTGATCTCCTCCGGCGAATTATCGGTTCGGCCCGAGGCTTGCTTTTTCCCCTCTTGACCCTCCCACCCGTCACGCCCTCCCTTCTTCGTACTTCCCTCCTTCCCTCCGCTGTCTCCTCTCAGACTAGCTCGAAGCCGGTGTGTATCCGACCTCCTTCCGATACGTTAGACTCGTCCGGAGAATTTCGCCGACCCTCGACCACTCACATCACCACGCGGGACTTTCGCCCAACTCGGCTAAAGAGCATCAAGCACCATGTCGGACACACCCGGGAATGACCCGAATGCCGGTCCCATCGCCCTTCAGAGCATCGCGACAGCAAGTCTAGGACCTGTGTTCGTCGGTAGGTCCAACCTCCTCTTGCTCCTGGAGCGAGGCGGCAATTCGGGCCTTTCTTCGCGGCTAATTTCAAGCAACCGACTCGGAGCGGACGTTCGTGACGCTATTGGTAGTCCCACGCCCAAGAGTACTGATCGCCGATGAGAGATGTTCTCGACAGGGTGGATGGTACAGCTCATCTTCTATGGATTCGGGCTATCGTTGTTCGTGCGATACGTCACAGGCCCGCAGTATAAGGCCGACTCGCGAAGGATCAAGTTGTGGCTGTGGGCCGTCGTGTTCGCCGCCACGGGCCAAGCTGCGTTCGTCGCGATTAGCAGTCCTTTTCGGTCCGAACGGGGAAATAATCCAATCTGACCTCGACCCCTATACCTCTACTTGCTGGTGCATATTTCCGATAGTATCACGTTTGATTCGATATTCCATTATGGCACTTCCCAACGTCGTGACGTCGATACCCTGTATGCTCAGGTGAGTATGCACACCAAATCGCCCAGAACCTAGGAGGCGGGCCGGGAAGTCACACGAGGGTGCCACTTGCCGAAGTTACCTAAGGCTTGGATCTCGAAGCTAAATTGTGTTCTACGTTTTTCAGACGCTCGCAGATTGCTTCGCTACTGTGCCCACCGGTATCGTTGGGGCGCTCGTTCAGAGCTTTCTCGGTCTTCGGGCGGTCTCGGTAAGCACTGACTTGTTACAGTACCGAACACATATCTAACACCAGACACTTCATCGTTATCAACCAGCTCTTCGACAATAACCTCTATCGAAGCTTGTTCATTACAATGGCATCTTTGCTGATCATGGGTGGCCTTATCGGAAGTTGGCTCTTCGTCGCCGCGTCGTTCATGCTGCGCAACAACGTGACGCCACCGCCAGGGTTGTCCTTCACTTTAGCAAACGGGTGGGTCTGCCGAACGGGAAACACGTATCTAATAGTAGCACATCTGCTAAATCTCGATCTGTGGCCGACCCCTAGACTATGGCTGTGGTGCTGCTGTATCATGGACGTTCTCCTCACCGTCACTCTCTCGCTTCTGCTGTACAAACGAATCGTCGGCTTCAACTCGGGCACCGACTCGATGCTCCGCAGCGTCATCATCCTATCGATCGAGACGGCTTCCTACACCGCCACCTTTGCGTTGATCGCGGCGATCCTTTCGGACTCGTTCTCGGATGATTCGCTCCTCACCAACTCGACCGGTGCGTTTTACCAACCTCTGTCCTCGTTCTACCTCATCTCCTTCATCGTCACCCTCGCCTCCCGTCAAGGTTTGCGTGAGAAAACAGACGGATACAACAATAACGATGTCTCGTCCCCCGGAGTCTACGCCACACGCTACCCAAACAATAGCGCCGGCATTTCGCCGAAGCCGCCCCCCTCAGTCACGTCCGCCAGCCGGGTTCGCGCCCCAACGCCTCAGCTCGTGCGAATGCAAACGCTCGGCGATCCTCGTTCCGACGAAGACGAAGAGATGGATTTGAAGCATTCTTGCTCTCGAAAAGAGGTCCGCATCGAGATGTGAGAGACCGTCATCCATGTGTCAATGGTTCGGCATCGTCTTATCGAGCCTTTCGTCGTGGCTCGGTCGATCCCCCTATTTGTTCGTGGTGCCAACACGTTGATCCAGATGTACTTTGAACCTGGCACTTGATATGAGGTTGAGTAGTCGGCCCTCTTGATGGGTCAGTACCACTCTTGTCAATTTTCGGAATATTTCTTCCCTCTCCAAGCGTGCAATGGAGCAACGATGTGTTTTCGATCATACTACAGACGCTAGGTCCGGAGGATCCTTCGAATGATGGTCCTTTCACACGAGTCTCCAGTCCTTTTGGACATATTCAGATCTAGCACCATAGGCAACCCTCGACGCGTTTGCCCGGGGAGCAGGCGCTAACTCTGCGGACGCTCTAGATTGCAAAGTCAAAAAGTCTAGGGCGCTGGCGGTGTCCAGGGAGTGCTAACTTCGCTAACTTCAGGCGCGCGCGTGCGCTTGAGGCCCGCTTAGGCAATGAAGTTGGCGAAGTTAGCAGAGGCGTGGGGGAAGTTGGCATTGGCCCACGGAAAGTTAGCAGAAGTCACGTGTCGCCCGCGGCGCGACAATCGCATCGAGCTCTTTCTCAGCCCCCTACCTGTCCTGATCTATGCCCAACGTCCGCACTTCTTCGGCCTTCGAGCCAACACAACCTATTCTGCCACGTCACCGCAAGACTCGCTCTCAATTGTTGATCCCATCCGATGCCGTTCAGCAAAGCCGATCGAAACGATTTGTCGCGAACAGCACGCCTGGGCGAGACACTGAACTAGCACATCTTACACTTTAGGTCGACGAAGACACGGAGTCGGGTTGCTATTTAATGCTCATCTACCTACATGAGCCATCGATCGAGCAAGACCGCCATCAATCTAGCATCACGAGCGCACCGACGTCAGGCTCCCGAGGTCCGCTGTCCACCGCCTTCCATCGCCGTCAACCGCCTACAACGCTCCAAAGCATTCTTGAAGACGGTCAGACCGATGAAATAGCAATTAGCGAAACTTGGAATACAGGCTGAGCGATACCTTCAGATAAGGCAAGTTCAGGAGTCGCCGATAAGGATCATGTCGGAGCCAACTTTGGTCGACCACGATCATTGAACTGCACAACGAGTGCAGATCAATGGTAATAGCTCGATTACTAAGGATCGCCTCTGTGATCTCCGTTGCTATGCTGACATCAATCGTCACAACATCTGCCATGAAATAGGGCCGTTCGAGAAAAGGGACCGTGAGTCGTCGCCCGTCGCCCGACCGTTAGCGCGTTTGCCGTGCCGCTCCATCTCGTGTACTGAAATCGGCGTTTCTTTGTTCCCCGTTCCCAGAGGAGTGACCAGAGAAATACATTCATGTTCCGATACCCAGCCCGACTCGTTCAACGCATCTATCGGTCACTTCGAGCTACCCTTCGCTTCGACTATTATAGTTCTACCGAGCCCACCTGGTCCGTATGGTCGAAGATCCCAATGGACGCCGTCTTTCAAGTAAGCAGAGCAACCAACAAAGTCGATTCTTTTCAAGAAATACCGAACACACGTTACAAGCATCAAACGGCAAGAGTGGCAGGTCTTGTGCTCCCTCGGCGATTGAGGACGAGATGTGCTTTGGAACTGCGGCGGGACGAAATCGTGACCGATGCGACCACTAAGATCGGAACACAAGGAGGACGCAGATTGGCTCCAGGACCTGCCATTTAGCGTGACTTGACTTCACGCTACCAACGAACTTTGTATCGAAGCTCGCAAGAAGAAGGATGGGCATGAGTCATGCTCGGCGGACCATATGACAACATCTTATGACCTCGGCTTGATCAGTATCGGCATCGGTATCGATCGCCATCCTTCCCTGCACTTCTTCCATGGGCATCCTCGGTATCTTGATATTCCATCGATCTTCAACTTACGACTTATTCCACCATTCAGGATGTGCTCTGACGGATACGAGCGCAACACAACGGTCCTCAAGAAGGGTGGCTCGAGACTCGTTGGCAGCTCCGATTGGCCTCGCCGAATCCGCGATCTCAGTTGACCGGTCGGTCCCTGACTCTAGCCATTGGAACTCCAAACACGGTGAGATGTTCACACAGTTTCTGTGGAAGGCATTTCTGGTAAAACAAAGGATAGTTCTTGTAATCCACGTGTTCAAAGCCTGCTTTTTTCATTGCTCTTTACACTGCTGTCCGAGCCTTGAAAAGGCTTTAATTTGAAGTGAGGCGGCTGCGAACGGGACTGTAAGCGTGTTTCTCAAGCTTAGGCATACCATCTTTACGTGTACCTGGTGTTGGTGTAAAGATACCAAATTTGGGCAAGTTATGCTACAAGAGAGTACTATGACCATGTACATCATGTGTTCGTCTTTCCTTCTTCCCCCTTCTTCCCTTATCTTTTCCTTATTTCCTTCCTTTTTCTTTCTCTTTTCTTCTATTTTTTCCTTCCTTTCCTTCTTTTTTTTCTTTTTTCTTTTTTTCTTTTTCCGCTTCGCCGGCAACTCCCTGGACATGGGTGGCGGCCCAAAAGTCTCGGCCGGGCTCCCAATGGCTCGAGACCGCGAGTTGAAAGCCGGATTCGATGCAACTTGGCTCCTCCAGCTGGCGGCGACTCGTGGTACGACTGTACACTCGGCGGACTTTCGCGTGTACTTGTGTCTTCATGTCTACCATTCGTGTGACCTTTGGAACCGGTCCTGCCCTGGACTCGCACACCTCAAGCCTGATTGATAACTCGCTGCCTCCAGTTGCCGGTCATTGCAAGGACGACTGACGGTCCTTGTGGCTCGCCACTGCCGCCGGGAATTTCGCCATGGAGCACTCGATGAATCGGACAGTGGGGCCCTCCGGAACGGACGTGCCACGGTATGTGGCCGAACAATTCATAGCAAGGGGGATTTGGGGACCCTTCGCTCTGGGTATGCTACTGGACATCTACCTCGGAGGCTTCGCGATGAGCTTGTTCCTTCGATACGCCCATTCGGCAGCTTGGAAAGCGGACGGATGGCGTCTCCAATTACTGCTCGTGGCCTCAGTGGTACTTAGCGCGGTGGATGTCGGATTTTGCTTCTGGAGCCCGTGGTTCTACACGATACGACAAAACCGAACAACCGCGGATGTGGGAGGACAGGTACGGACCTCTCTCTCGAGGTACCAGACCACTGCGAGTTCGGCAGTAGATGCTTGCGCTGATGACACAATTTGCCACATCGGCACCTCTTTACTTAATAGACCGTAGTCGATGCTTTGTCGCTCGTCCCCGTTGGACTGTTCATGGGACCTATGATACAGATTTATTTGGCGCGCCGCGCAAGCTCCGTAAGTTTAGGCTCTTCAGAAATTACTAGACCGCCGATATGGCATGGAGGCTCCGAGCTGACTCACGCTTCCCCCCCCCCACCACCACCATCCCGCGATCCACCGATGCTACCAAAAAGCTTTTCACGAACCGGTTCAACAAGATGGCCTACTTCGTCTTCCTGGGCCTCTCTATCGGGTTCAGCATGGCAGCAGGCGTACTCTACACTGTGCTTTCGTTTCAGTGCCGTGCAACGGGGAGGGATACTATTGGAACGTTTGACTTCAACAAGAGCTTAGGGTTGTACTGTGGCGCAACTTGCGTCACTGACGTGACCATCACCATCGCACTCGTGGTCCAATATCGAGCAAGGATGGTCGGTGACCCGCGATCGAGGACGGACTCTGCGATGCGCAGTCTCATCAAATTGGCGATCCACAGCGCCATGTACACGAGCACATTTGCGCTGCTCGGCGCCGTCTGCGTATTTTCATTCTCGGTCAGCGACGTTCGCAAGTCCATCTTGTACGCGTTTCAATGTACCCTTGGCTCGATGTATTTGATCTCCCTGCTCGTCAACCTCGATTCGCGGTCCCACCTCCGAGATCTTTTCGCGAGCACACCGACTCTTCCTGACGATGCGGTCAACGGACTGAGTGGGCGCGGGACGACCCAGGCGGGGTTGCCTTCGTTTGTTTCATCGCGTTCCAACCCGCTGCCTCGAGCCATGCAAGCCTACGGAAGCGAGGAGCGCGGCAAGATCGGTTCAGGGTCAAGTTGGGGTCGTTTCCGTTCGTCTGCATAACATTTTACATGACACCCACGACTCCCTGGTATGATCCATCGCCTGAAGCCAGCGCGTATACTTCTTCATATTGTAACACTATTATAGATGAGTGTCGTGCAAGCAATGTGATAGTTGACAGAACTTGTGAGCCGGTCATATTGTTCTTCATGTCAGGCTCCGCATGATTATGCACACAAGTGCTGACCCGTGTCTAGTTCGGACCTCCCAAACGATGCGTAAGCTAGGCGTGACACTTGAGTATGGTGAAATTGATCAAAGATGTCCACTGTTCTTGCCGATGCGAGTATTCGACGCTTATAGCAACTCCTGCCAAGCTTTCCGGCGCGCTACTCGAGCCCCTGCGCTGGGCCTGCGAAACGTTCACCGTCATCGTCGATCCCATGGCGCCGATCTCGGCGGCATCACTGTCTACAGGGTCATATAATGGATAACATCAAATGAACCGACTCCCGTATGTCGATTAAAAGCAACCACGCGAACACATCAAAATAACGGGATGGTGAAACTCAAATAATACAGGATTGAAGAGTATGCATGATTTCCAGCAGTGGCCCACCCCGGCGACCTTGAGGTCGGGGCATAGATGCCGAGGGTTTTCCCTTGAATGAGTGTCACCAAAATTTGATGAGAGCGGGAGGGAAGAGAAAAGAGTTAGAGCGCGGGATTGTTTACATTCTCCGACCCTCATGTTGTTGTTGAGCTCCTAAGGCCGGTGTCGCCGTGTCAACAATACGTCACGTGATTGATGCCGCCTCTCACGCAGCGTAAGCCACGCCCGTGCCCGCGCTTCAACGAAAGGGGGACCACGCCTGAGCTCTGTAGAAGAGTTGTCATGAAAAACCTACACGCTTGTTAGTAAGTACTACACACCGCTCAACAGTTCTGCATCACGGAACAACTTGACAAATTCGTACTCCGGCTGAGCTCGAATTATGTGGTTCAGAAAAATGCAGGAATGGTCGTACATGGCTTCTGATCGGGACGCCGATCATAGATTGGCCCCTGGTTGTCTCTTGCCTCAAACGGCGATCCTACTAGAAAGATGGTCGAGCCGCTACAGTAGGTACCTAGTAAAGGCTCTCTCCGATTATCATTCCCATCACGCACGGGCGGTGTTGGCACAGGCGGACGATGAGGATTTCCAGATTAAGATCACTGGGCCGCAGGCGGCAGCAGGCGGTCGTCTCGACTCGCCGGCTCGGGCTCCAGCGGGCCATTCAAGCCCCAGCCTGCGCAGGCCCCAGGCGCGTGAGTGAATTCAGGCACGCGTCTCGAAACGCCAGGGACTCGCCAGGGAGTCGCCAGGGCCGCTCGATCACTACTCGATCACTCTCATTTCGAGTCTGGCTCTTCGGTCACCTCTCCTCCTGGTGACCTCGGTCCTCTCCTCCTTTGCTCGCCCGTCGCCCGTCGCCTGACGCCTGTCATTGCCCCTCTCCCTCACTCTCTCATACTACACTGAACTTTCTACTTTTCCAATTCGCACGTGCCTTTACCTTCCCAAGCTTCGACCTAAGCTCTAGCTGCGATCGACGCAATCATAGCGCCAAGCGCACCTACAGCAGCAGTGGCGCGCATCATGTCGTCGCCGTCGACATTCAGCACTAGCTCGAATTCGGCGTCGAGCGCGACCGCGGCAGGGGATGCAGGACCGTCCGACACGGACGTGTTGCGGTATGTCGCCACCCAGGCCGTTGCCACCGGATCGTTGGGCCCGTTCGTGCTCGGCATGCTGCTCGACATCTACCTCGGCGGCTTCGCGTTGAGCCTCTTCCTCCGATATGTCCGGTCGTCCGCTTGGACGGCCGACGGGTGGCGCCTGCGCTTGTTGCTCCTGAGCGCGATGGCGCTCAGCTTGATCGACATTGGGTCCAACTACTGGAGCACATGGCATTACATGACCAGTCAAGAACGGTCCACGGACGTTTTGTACAGTCAGGTGAGCTCGCGCTTAGCTCCGTGGGCGATTGTTTTTCCGCTTTCGACGCCGATTTCGTCACTTTACCCGAGCGGCCCGCTCGAGTTCGGCGAGCACCAATGGAATTTGCCGCTTGCTCCTAACTACTTCCTTGAGCCGAGGAGAGCAGTCGGCTGACGGTATCCTCTCCCTTCAAACTTGTGGCTTTGTCTCGGAAATACAGACGATTGTCGACGCATTCTCCCTCGTTCCGGTCGGCTTGGTGGGGTCCATGATCCAACTCTACCTCGCTCGGCGCGCTAGCTCGGTCAGTCGCAGATTTCAACTCGAGCGCGGCGTTTGTGCTCACCCACGCTCACTAAACAAGCTCCTCCCCAACCCAACTTTGAATTCACAGCTCTTCACGAACCGATTCGCGCGAATCGCCTACATGACCTTTATCGGCCTCTGCGTCGCGATGAACTTCGTCGCCGTTCTACTCTACACGATCCTGTCGTTCCTTTCTCGTAGCAAAGGAACGGAGGCGATCGGACCATTCGACTTCAACAAGAGCATGGGAACGTACTGTTGGGCCACGTGTGCCGTCGATCTCACCATCACGGTCGCGCTCATCAATCAGTACCGAGCGCGCATGGTCGGTGACAAGAAATCGAGGACCGATTCGGTCATGCGCCGCCTCATCAAGCTCGCGATCCACAGCGCGATGTACACCAGTACCTTTGCTCTGATCGGCGCCATTCTCGATTTCTCCTTCGCTTTCTCCGATACGCGTAGGAACAGCACACTCGCGTTCCAAATTCCACTCTGTTCGATGTACCTCATCTCGCTGCTCGTCAACCTCGACTCGCGGGCGCACCTTCGAGAACTCTTCGCCGCAACGCCGACGCTCGGACTCCCCATCCACAACGGAATCGATAGTCGCGATACGAAGGAAGGAGGACTGCCTTCGTTCGTGTCGGGTCAACCGAGCCCGATCATGCGTCGACCTCCGACCTCTTCGCATACGAGTCACGATAGCGGCAAGATCGATATGGAGCCGGACGCGACCCCGCCGATAGGGCTCCACGTGATCCGTTCGACCTCGCCCCATCTCAACACCCACGGTCTCGTATGATTGACGCAAAGCTCTACCTCCACCATAGCATGTTTATATCATATTTCACTCTCGCCTTGGAGTTCAACACGCACGCATCGACACGCTCATTCCCCGCTCCTGGAAACCGCGCGTTCCCGTTGTCTTCCTTGGATCGACCAAGTTTCTGTTGTACATAGTTCCCCACCTCTTCCCATCTCGGTCTGTATAGTCTAAGTAGCATTAACGTATTTTCATGTACCTTCTTCTTCTTTCCTCCCCCTCGTATCACCCTTCCCCCGCATAGTAGTGACGGCTTTTTTTCAGTAGTGAAGTGCATCTTCTTTCATATTCTGTTTTTTTTGAGACAAGTACATCTGCAAGAACCCACGTCTATTTTCCTTCGTGCGAAGCCCTAGGTTTTTTTTGCTTCAAACCTTCTCCAAAACGATAGCAATACCTTGCCCACCACCAATGCAAGCACCCCCCACGGCGTACTTCTTATCCAAGCGATGCAAGTTGTGCACGAGGTTATTGACGATCCTCGCACCCGAAGCAGCAAGAGGATGACCCAACGCAATCGCTCCACCAAAGACGTTGGACTTGTCATTGGGTAAACCGAGTTCACGTTGAACGGAAAGCCACTGCGCGGCGAACGCTTCGTTGATGTCGAAGAGATCGATATCCTCGATCTTGAGGCCCGCTTTGGCCAAAGCGCCTCGAACAGCTTCGACGGGTCCGATACCCATGATGGTGGGTTCGACGGCGACGACATGGGTCGCCAAGACACGTGCTAGAGGTTTGATGCCGTATTTTCCCAACGCGGCTTCGGAAACGACAACGTTCGCTGCTGCACCATCACAAATCCCCGAAGCGTTACCCGCCGTGACGGTACCGCCTTTCTTGAAGACCGAAGGCAATTTCGCGAGTGACTCGAGCGTCGATTGAGGACGAGCGTGTTCGTCCTGCGCGAACTCTTCCGAAGGTCCTCCCTTCTTTCTCGAAGGTAATGAGATGGGCGTGATCTCATTCTTGAAAGCTCCGGCATCGAGAGCGGCCTTCCATCGTTGTTGGGATTGGAGCGCGTAGGCATCGCATTCTTCGCGCGTGATGCCGTACTTGTCCGACAAATTCTCCGCCGTGATACCCATAGGGGTAGGGTTCGGAACTCGATCGGTCAAAGCGGCGGCGAGGGAATCCTCGAGTTTGAGGTCGACGCCGTACCGCGTTCCCCAGCGGGATGCACCGGAGAGGGTGTAAGGCGCGAGCGACATGGACTCGGCACCACCGGTCAAGACGACGTCCGCTTCTCCGAGCTTGATCTCTTGTGCGGCGTTGATGATGACTTGGAAACCCGAACCGCAGAGACTGTATGGGAGGGTGCAATCATACTAGTCGATCAGGATCAAACGCTTTTTCGCATCTTTTCATCTTGCATCCCATCGGACCTTTCCCGAGCGTGTGGGGGTCGAACAGCCTCGAAAGGCGGGACCGTACGGAGATGGAGACTCACCGGTTGACGGTGCAAGCGGAGACATCGACGGGCAGACCGGAAAGGTGACCGACATGTCGTGCGAGGTAAGGTCCTGAAGGGTCGGATTGAAGCACGGCACTGTACCAGAAAAAGATGAAAGAAAGTAGGTCCGCCAACATGAATGTGGCGGGTGGGTCTACGTCAGCGCTGCACGGTCCATTCCGCTGGAGGGTTTTCAGGGTGCAGTGACCGTCTTTCTCAAAGAGAGCGCACTTGACCCTCTAGAGCGAACAAAGTAGGCCGTACTGACCCGAAATGAACGGAATCGACCTTTGTCCCCTCGGGCAGATCGGCCAAAGCGGCCTTACCGGCGATCCCACCCAGTTGAGCGGCCGTGTACGACTTGAGCTTGCCTCCGAACGCACCGAACGCGGTACGACGACCGGCGGCGATGTAGACCGCTGGCGAGGACATGGTTTCTTGTAGAGGTGCAAGCAAGGGGGAGAGGTGCTAGAGCTGCGACGGCGTCGGTTTTGAGGAGGAACGAGTCGGGTACGATCGAGGGCCGTGGTAGCCGGTCGAATGGGGTGGAGTTCCGACTTGGCTAGCTAAGAGTCGAGGAGCAAGGAAAGCGACGAGGGTGGCGTCGACGGTTTTTTGAACTGAGCGTCTGTTACTCGAGTTGAGAACCAAAAGGGGCGTGACTAAGCGGAAGAAGGAGTGATAGCAGCAGGCAATTCGAATGGCGCGGCCCGCGGACACCCCGCGAGACCCCGCGCCTCCCCGCGCTTGCCGAGGCTTGCCGTCCGGTGGGACCGCTTTCATGCTCAACCCGTCTTCAGCCGAGCAGACCGCCCGCCGAGGTCAATGCCGATCACTTCAAGTGTGGGCAGGATTTGTTCTCACAGCAGCCGCGGCAGCAGGCACGCCATTCACAGGTACAAGTATCCTAAAAAATAAATGCAGTACTAACTTCTCTACAAACCACCTCGAACACATACCTCATTCTGCACGAGCTTGCTGCGGCTTCTCATCGATCTCATTCCTCACCTTCAAGAGCCCCACATTCTCGGCCAGACCCGGATCGTAGCTTCCTGTAGACGTCGACGACCCCAACGCGACGAGCCGCTTGTCCAACACGTTCGACTCTCTCTCTTCGACAACATCATTTTACCCATCCCTCTTCTCCCACTTCAAGACGTGCGTCTCAATCTCCTTTCGACACCGTTCCAGTTCGAAATCCTTCTCCCTGACAAGGTCTTTGAGCTGACGTAAACTTTGTTCGAGATCGGCCTCCCTTCGCGCCCCTGCATCGACCACAACGGTCAAGGCCTCCAATTCAAGCGTGTGTTGCCCCTCCTTGTTAGCTGCGATCCCTGGACCACGAGCCAATTCAAGATCTTTGGCCTGCAAGGAAGCCTTGAGCTCTTCGACCTCACGTTCGAGTTGGGCGTTCCGTTCCTCGGCTTGTTCGGCTCGTCGGACCATCTCGGCCAACTGCACCTCATCGGAATAATCCTTGGCCGAATTCGGTGAATTCCTGGACGTCCTACCCGATCGTCGATGATCATTCGAAATGAAGGCGAAGGAATCAGGGTCAAACGTGGAAGCCGGGGGATGCCGACCTCGACTTGCTGGGGGTCTCGAAGGCTCGGATCCTGCATCGGCCGCATTGTCGTTACTGGCGCTTCTTGAAGAAGAACTTGTGGAAAAAGGTTTTCGTCGGCCCAGGATCGGTGAGGTCGAACTTTGGGTGGGCACTGATCGCGCTTGGACGACAACCTCGAAGGGCGAGGCGGACAATTTTGGCTTCTTTGAGGCCGTGGAGTCAACGTAAAGATCGTCGGCGTCGGCGTCGTCCTTGTCCGAGTCGTCGTCGGGTAGACGCTTGGCCACGGCTTTCCCTTCGCGTTTACTACTGTACTTGCGCTTGTTGATCTTGCGCTTGGGCAAGACCAACACGTCAGGCCGAACCGGCGGCGCTCGTTGCTTTCTCGGTGACGGCGCACTCCGGACCACAGCGGCTTGCTCCACATTTTCCTTTTTCTTCAGAAACATCTGCCACTCGTCCGAATCGAGAGGAGGGAACGAACAGGTCCATGTGCGCATGTCGTCCGGGTCGTACCATGGCGGGGGGGTGATCGAGTAAAGCGACGTCCCGGGTGGTGGGATGGCCCAAGCTCCACGTGGGCTGCAGACGTCAAAATATTCCGGGCATCAAATTTCTCCACTTGCCAAGTGTTGAGGACCAAGAAGCTTTCGATCACGAGAGAGAAAGGTGACGAACCTAATCGTGGCCGGGAACGGAACGTTGTCTGACCACCTCTTGAGCCGTCGCTTGATGCGGGTCTCAAAGTAATGCCACTCGTGACGCATCGTTGTCCTCGTGTCGACTTGGCAATGGATCCAGATGGTTTCGCCTGCGCAGACCGACTCGAGCGGGCGGTAAGCATGGGCTTGATCTAAAGTTGAGGGAGAGTCAGTGCTCGGTGCTCACCGTCTTGGAAGTGTAGCTTGAACGAAATGACGACTTCGGATCCTTCCACGGGGTGACCATCTTTGTCGATCGAATGGTCGATGTCAAGCTGTGGAGGAGTAAAGACCACCCAGCTCGTTAGCCTCGGAGGAAAGCTCAGGAGGGATGTCGCCACGAAGGAAAGTTCCCCCCACATTGAGTTCCTGGATCCAGCTGGTGTCGAACCAGACCCGAGTCGGTACCGCATGCCGCGTCCTCTCTTCCTCTGTATCGTAGTGCAAGTCCACGAGCGCGATCTCACACCGGTGGGGATGCAGAGTCATCCTCAACACTTGAGCCGAAGTCGATCCAGCAGCAGGGAGCGAGTGTCCGTGCGGCAGTCGGACTTGTCTGAGGTAGGTGTAGAGAGGCGGTGCTTGTGTGAGAGGTCGATCCTCGCCGATAGTTGGTAAGATCGTGCGGGGGACAGAGCTCGGCCCTGGATGGGAGGTCATGGAAGGAGTCGACAAAGGGGCTAGTTGCAGTGCTGAGGTCGACGCGATCAGTGTGACCGGGGCAGCCGAAGCCAGAGGGGTAGAGGACGCCATGTCGTCGGAGAGCGTCGTGGGTACGATCCGGACATGCGAGTCTGATTCAGTGGCAAGGAATACGGACGGATCGTCGTGGCGAAGGCGCGAGGCTCAAGCGGGAACACAAGAGGGACCCGACTGGGCAGCCGGCATTTTGAAAAGGAGACCCTTCCGCTGGGCGATATCGATATTGTCGATTAGCGGAGGCGCAGTTTGTATTGGGCAATTGCTCAAAACGGACTACTGCAATCGAACCTCGCTCATTCGCTTCTGCCCTCCTCGAGCGACCAACTCATCTCAAGAGACGATCGTTGGCGGTCAACGTTCGCCACGGCAATGAACGTCTAATCAGATGAATTGTCGCTCTCGTCACCTTCTACATTAACAGCGGACACCCACGTCGACTCTCGTCCTCCACGGATCAGTTTGTGCATCCCCCAACCTCGCCCATGATGATGCAACGAGAAATGGCAACGACGAGCTCATCCTCCTTTACCAGCCTCCACTTCTACTCCTTACCTAATCGCGATACCGTTCATTGCCCGTCAGTGGTGAGGACGAGCTCGAGCCAAGGTCGTTGATAGCGTGTCGGTTCTTCACAAACCCCGCTTCATCGTCTGCCGTCTGATATCTCTTCGCTTTTTGGGTGTCGATCAATTACATGAACCCGCTGGAACCAACCTCGTTGGGAGAAGGCTGTGGTCCTGTTCTCGATTCTGGCGCACGAACTTTGGAGCGAGACTCGCACGGCACGTGACTTTGCTCACCTCGGCTCGGCGCCTGGTTCCACGGAACGAGCTTCGTCATCTCTGACAAGGCAAGGGAGGGGGTCGTTGGGGTTTCGAGTACGAGTAAGGTGGAGTGTTTCGTAGCTTGCATGATCGCCACCCACTAAATGAAGTTTGCAATCTGAGGCGCGGTCCCATTTGACGATTCGGAGGAAATATATATGTTAGCTCGGCGAGATCAGAGAATTCTTGAGGAGGGCTGATATCATCTTGAGTTGATACCGCGCTGTCCAAACGAATCAAAGTTTTGTCAAGTTCAATGACCTATCTTCAGTTTGACCCGTCTCTATGCCTGCGATGACGATCCATCCTCCCCGACGCCGTGCGCACGGACCGCCCACCACGCCACGTCCCCACTCACGCATGTCCTTGCTCGAAGCGCGCCTCAACCGACCTCTAACCTCCCCCTATCCCGTCCCGTCCTCGACGCCCCCCAAAATGGTGAGCCCCTCCCCCTCCCCCACTCCCAACACTCAACCGCAACCCACCTCTAATGACCCTCCCTTTCTTCCCTCAGGTCCGAGCCGCCTCTCACACCGAACTACGCCAACGATCGCAAGCGTTCGCCAACAAGGCGGGCAAGTCGAACCCGCTCAAGAAGGCGACCAAGCCGAGCGAGACGCAAAAGACCACCATCCCGCGGTGGTTGTTCATCGTGTTCTTCTTGTTGTTAGCGGGTGGATGTGAGTTCCTACTTGGTGTGGTTCGAGTGCGCTTTTTCGGGGGGTAGGGAGGGAGGGAGGTAGCTCGGTGGGCTTGTGGAGGTGTGCTCGTCTTGGGAAGAAGTACGAGGTTGGCTCATCGCACAATGTTCCTACCGCAGTATTCTTTGAAATCGGGCAATTGGTCCTCGACCAAATCTGGCCACCCGTCACCAAATACAAGCAACCCCGTCGACCGTAATTCGCCGTCGCTTAGTCTCGCAGGCGGGTATAATGCGCCGGGTCTCTCGAATCCCGTCAAAATAGGGCGTGTGACGTGGCTTCTTGATCGGGAGAACGGGCCAAGATCGATCGCCGGAGTGGTGGAGTGTGAAGGGGAGATGGTCTGTGGGGATTTTGATAGGGGACTCTGTTGAGAAAGGCTACTTAAAAAAGGGGATCAAAGTGTGAGAAAAGCTTTCGTTCCGAGGAGGAGTCTGGGTCTTTGAATGTATGTCGTTGGTTTCCTTCTGAATGTAATACGCCGGTTTTCTCACCTATTCACCGAAACGTTCGCTGGGCCTTCGTTTCGTTCAAACTCATTGGATGGGAAACGCCATATATTACAAGCAGATCGAACCCACAACGCACATCAAGGCTCAGGAGGAAGAATAATCGAAAGGTATCAAAAAGAAGGGATGAATCAGAAAGTCGAAAGAGAGACTGAAAATAGAGAATGAACAATGACCCCAGGTGACGATACATATCAATAAATACAAGGCGCTCAGGCTGTTGCGGGGACCATTTGGATCTGGGCGAGCTCTTTGTTATCTGCACAAGTACAAGATCGAAGTTCAGCGTCTAGACGAGGCGGGAGATCAGACGTGTAGATGAGCTTACCGATCGCGACGCTACGAGTCTGATTGGCCACCTTATAGATACCGATGAGTCGAGACGAGAGCTCGAACATGTTCTGATCGACGTTGGCGGTAGAATATGTGATCAGTACAGTAGAGAGATCAGAGAAAAGTCACCTCTCGGAACGCATCTTACATTACGGAGGGAGATGATGATGAATTGGGCGTTCCTAATCGACGAAAGGTAGTCTAGTTTAGCGACGAGGTCTGTTGATGGAGAAAGTGAGAGGCGTGGCACTCACTTTGTCCGATCCTTGATATAGTTGGCAACGATGGAGACGTTCCGGAAATCGAGAGCGGCATCAATCTCATCCATGAAGTAGAGAGGTGTAGGCTGCGAACGGCGGTTGTCAACAGGAGGGTCAGAGATAGCTCAACACTGTTTCATAAAGCTGGCGAGCTGACCTTGAAGACGTGCAGCGCAAACACGAGGGCAAGCGAACTGAGCGTCTTCTCACCACCCGACAAATTGGAGATGTTCTTCCAACTCTTCTTGGGCGGCATGACGGAGAAGATGATGCCTTCGGAGAAGGGATCGAGCGAGTCCACTAACTCGAGCTCCGCGTTACCACCAAGCGTGATCATCTGCAACAATAGTTTGACGTCAGCCAGGCGACAGACTCCCATTGTGCTGTCTGACATACCTGATACATCTCTTTGAGCTTCATCGAGATGATACCGAAACCACCCATGAACTCGCGGAGGCGCTGACTGCGCAGGTCGTCGGCCAACTGTTTCGCCGCGTCACGGTCCTTCGTAACCGCGTCCAAATCCGCCGCTCGCTGCATGAATTCCTTCTCACGTCGCGCGTACTCCTTGAGGACCGAGAGGTCGAGCGTCGATCGCGCGATTCGCTCTATGGGTCCAGAGCGAGTCAGTGACTAACCAGACTTATCACGATTGCGACTTTACGCACCTTCGAGCGCCGAAATCTTGGCCTTGAGGACCTTGACATCAAGCTCTGCGATCTCTTCGTCCGAGTATTGATGAAGCTCGGTTTCGGGCCGAGGTGGCTTTTCGCGCACCGCTCCCTCGCCAGCTTCTCCTTCTTCGTCATCATCATCGTCCTCGTTGATCTCGTTGAGCACGAGGTTCGCGACCTTCTCGGACCAATACTCGATCGCGTTGTTCGCCTCCTTGAGTAGCTTGGTGTGCTGGTCGACCTGCTGCTTCAGCTCCATCTGTTGGATTGTGCTTGCATACTGTTAGTTGATCGCTAGCGTCAGGATGCGAAGAGAAATGGGTTGGAACTCACCTCGCGCTTGCGGAACTGGGTCATGATTTCGATTTGGGCATCGAGCGTGCGCTTCATCTCGGCCAGTTCGTCCGTCTTGCTCTCCAGAACGGCCTGAGCCTTGGCGACCGCATCACGAACGGCCGAGACTTCCTCGTCGCCGCCTTGCATCTGCTGCATCAGTTCCTCGAGCTCTTGCTGCGCCGCCTCTAACGCCTTCTGGTTCGCGCCAATCGACTTTGTCAGCTTGGCGGCGTCCTTCTCTGACTTGGCCTTGCCTACTTCGGCCTTGGTCAAGCGCTCGTTCGCGAGGTCGATTTGCGACTTGAGATCTTGCACCTTGGTCTGCTGACCGCGCAGTCGCACACCACCGACTTCGAGGATTTTGTTTTGCAGAGCGTTGATTTGCCCTTCAATGCCCTTGGTCTCGGACTTGAGGTTATCGAGGTCCTTCGAAAGGGAAGTGATTTCCTTGTCGAGTTGCTCAATCTTCTTGAGGTCCCCCGCTTCGGGCTTGCTCTGTGTCTTGAGCTCCTTGAGCCGAGCCGTCGCTTCCGCGATTCGCTTGTCACTCGCCTTGACGTCCATCTTGATCTTGTCGATGGCCATGTCGACCTCGGGCAAGCGTTTGCGCAGCGTTGCCAGTTCGCGCTCGGCCTTGGATCTGTCCTCCGTGAAGATGCGCAGCGCTTCCGACGAAGCTTCGCGCTCCTTCTCACACCGAGCCACGACCTCGGGCGTGAACTCGTCCGCAACGATCTTGGAGCTCATCTTGCCTCGTGCGGGTCGACCTCCACCACCGGACATGGTACCGGTCGTCTCAAAGAGCTGGCCATCAAGGGTCACAACGCGCCAGCGCTGCTTCCCGTACGCGATGCGCTTACCCTGCTCGAGATCGTTGGCGACGAGCGTGTTTTGCAAGAGCTGGAAGAAGCACGGGGCGAAGTGTGCCTCTTTGGGCGTGATGAGGTCGAACAAGCGAGGTACGTTCTCGGGTGTGGCGATCTTGTCCATCTGGCGCGCCTTGATCTTCTCCAGCGCCATGACGTTCACCCGTCCGAGCTGGTTCTTGCGAACGACGTCGATGCATTGCTGCGCAACCACGACTGTGTCGGTGATGATGTTGTCCAAACCTCCGCAGGCGGTGGAAACGGCGACGTCGAATTTGTCATCGATTCGGCCCAGGTTACCCAATCGACCCTGATTCGAAAGATGTGTCAGCTTCTTTGTTTGGTCAGCATTCTCGACAGAAATACTCACGTGGAAGCCGGGGAGTCGGCCTTGATCCTTGAGCTTGGTCAACGTGGCGAGGGTGTCCCCTTGGGATCGACTCGCCGACTGCGAGGCCTTGGCCTCGTCCGACCTTTGCCTGGCCGCGGTCGCTCGCTCTCGCAGCTTGGCGTCTCGAGATTGCATCGCCTGCGCGGTCAGAGAATGTCTGGCTTGTCAAATAATGCGCACTCATTCGACATCTCATCGAACCGGACTTACGTTGATGTCGCTCTGGGCTTTGGCAATCTGCGCCTCGACCTCGGCCTTCTCAGCCGTCAGTTCGGCCAGTCGTCCGCTCTTGGTCTCGTCGTCGCTTCGCAACTTGTGGATCGACGCCTCGGCTTCCTCGATGGCGATTCGCACTGTATCGCCCTTCTCGACGAGCATGTCGCGTTCGTTCTGAGCGAGGTTGATAGCGGCTTGCTTCGCACCGATCTGCTCGGCCCATGGCTGCAGTTCCGTTTGCAGAGTCTCGATCTGCGCCGAGAACACCTCCGTCTTGCCCTTGAGCGAGTCGCGAACCTTTTCAAGTTCGAGCTCCTCCTTCTCAAGCAAGCTCTCCATCTTCTCCATCTCGCCGCCGACGCGAGTGATCGTATCGGAGTGGTTCTTCACCCAGGTTTCGGCTTCGGAGCGCGAGTGCCCTTCCTCTTCAAGTACTTTCTTCAACTTCTTGACTTTGGTCACCATCGACTTCTTCTTCTCCTGACGCTGCACATCCGCACGATCGAGCACGGCTAAATGCTTGACGATCTCGGCTGTGGCTTTCTCGGTGTCCTGTGACAAGAGCAGGAGCGAGCCCGACGTCAGACCAGGGAATCGGGCCACCACAGAGCCATGAACTGACCTTGCAATCCTTGACCATCTCATTGTACTCGTGCTGCAGCGCCTCAACCTCCTCCTTCGTCCCCGTCTGATCCTCAAGCTCAGCATCCAAGCCCGACTGCGCCTCCTGAAGCTCCGCGGCGTGGATCTCGGCATTGTAACTGGCTTGATGGATGTTGACCTGGAACAAGGCCGAGTTGTTGTGCACGAGCTCATTCTGATCGCACAAGTAGGAGTCGCATTCTTTCTTCCTGCTTTCGAGCGCACCTTTCTCTCGTTCGACGAGCTTGACGCGGTTCAGTTGGGTGCCTCGAGCATCGTTCAATCGCTCGACCTCGACGTTTGCGGCCTCAATCTCGAGCTTGTACTTTGACGTGCCGATGATGTCTTCGAGGTACTCCAACAAGCCTTCGTCGTGCTCGGTTGCTCCCTTGGGCTTCATCTGGGCGATCGATTCGACCTCACCCTTCATTGTTACGATTCATCGTTAGGTCAGCGTAAGGTCGGATCGCGGGTATTGTGATATCTTCTGCACTCGCCTGGAGGATCAAGAAACGCTTGTGGTCGAGATCAATCCCGCGAGCTTTCAAGAGTGTCTGCACTTCTGTGAAGCTCGAGACTTTGCCGTTGATGCTGCGAAGATAAACGAGCACTGTGAGTCGATGAAGCATTTAGGGATACCCCGCCTGTAGCGGTGTTTTCACTCACGTGTAGCGACTCGAGTTGTTGCGATAGGCCGTGCGGGCGACAATGAGTTGTGAGTTGGGTACGACCGTAAAATCATCACGACCGGGCTAACGACAAAAAAGTCATCAGCATGTACCGCGTTGGAGTTTGCCGCGGTGCTGAAGGCGGGCTTACCAGATCAATGATTTCTCGAAACCAGACCTCGACGGTGCAGCTCCCGATTAGGCCCTCTTGTGCAGTACCATAGTTCGCATCCTTCTTCTTACCCTTGCCCTTTTTGCCACCCTTCTTCTTGCCAAAACTACCATCATCATCGCTCTCGTCATCTTCGTACTCGACTCCGTCGGCCTCGTCTTGCGTGGGTGCCAGCGGGTTCGTAGAGGATTCTTCCGGCACGACCACGCCCGAGTTGTGGATAAGCTCGGACAGCTTTCCCTGACGCATCTTGGTCGCACGATAACCAAAGACGAAGAGCAGAGCATCGATGGTGTTTGATTTTCCTGAGCCGTTGGGTCCCACGATCGATGAGAAGGACTGAAGAATTTACAGAGCCGGTGTTAGTAGTGAAGACCAGCCTACGAGCCTGGACAGACGTTAAGCTACCTTGTGGAAGGGCCCAATGACGCCTCGACCTCGGTACGACTTGAAGTCCTCGAGCACAAGTTGATGGATGACCAATCTAGGCTTGCCCTCGCGTTCCTTCTCGCGTTGTTTCTCGAGCGCGGCGTGGTTGAGAGCAGCTGCACGCGCTTGAGCCGCAAGGTCATAAGCGGTCGGTGCTGGTGTAGCGGATGATCGAGATGCTTGAGAAGGAGGTGGGCGCTGCGTCGCTTCTTCTCCATCTTCGTCAGCATCTTTAACCGCCTCCTCGACGACGGGCTCGTCAAGAGCTTGAGCCTGAGCAGCGGCAGAAAGAGTGGCCTCGTCCGCTTCGACCTCATTCTCCGACCCTACTTCCTCTGCCTCCGCTTCTTCCTCCTCCACGGATTCTACTTGCTCCTGCTCCGCTTCACTCGCCTCGTCCGAGTCGATAGAGGGCGCGACCTTCTTACCCCGGCCTTGAGCTGGGGCCGCCGCGGCGCGCTTCTTGGCCGGGATTGTGGGCTTGACGTCCTCCTCCTCTACATCAAAGCGGTCATCAGCGGTCTCTTCTTCGTCCGGAATCTTTTTGACCTTGGCAGATTGTCTCGAAGTGCGAGTCTTGCTCCCGGTGGTGGCCTTGGAGCTGCCTGAGGTGGAAGTGGTCGAGTTGGTTGATCGACGCGTCTCAGCGCGACGCCCCCCCGTCGCCGCCTTCTTCGCAACAGGTTGAACGTGTTGCGCCTCCTCCTCCCGATCTTGCTTATCCCCTTCTACCTCCTCCTCTTCAGACTCGACGACATTCTTCTTGCCACGAGTGGATCGAGCCGGACGAGCTCTGGACGACGTCGACGCGGCTTGTTTATTCCCCGTTGCTGACGATGTTGAAGCGGCTGTGCGACTCGCTCGGCCCCCACGAGATGTGGGTGGCTGTGGTACCGAATCATCAGACGATTCTTCTTCTTGCTTGACGACGGCCGCGGCCTTGCGACGAGGTGGCATCGTCGACGCGACTTGGTGTAAAGACGGGAGCAGCAGAGCTGAGGTCCAGGGCGCGGCTCGACACGCGCGCCGGTGCGGATTACAATCTATTACAATTGTCGACCAGTCCCATGCTAATCTTCAAGGGGTCAATTCTAATCCGCTCTCTTCGACAGCCGTTCGCTCAGAATTATCGTCTGAATGATGAATACATTGCCTGGGGGTCTAAATTAGATACACGGGACATTATAGACCGATAGCGAACGTGATTATATACATGCAAAAGTAATGAAAACAGACAATCTAGTGGTGCCTCTGATGTTAACCAAAGGGGTTGCGGAAGCCGGTCGTGCCGATCTGAGGAGCGGTCCTCCACTGCGGCGGACCAGCCATCTGGGCGGGGGTGTTGTAAAAGGTCTCGTTGGTGAAGGGGGCTTTGACGCTTACTTCTGACGGCCCTCGAGCATCAAATGGAGGTCGGGAAGTGCCGTGGTCCATCGCTTGTGCTGGCGAATCGGTTCGCTTGGCGAATTTGAGCGGATGGATGGGCATGATCGGGACCGCGGGGATCTCGGACGCCGGGGTCTGGTCGTAGTACGATCCATAGCTGTAGCCGCTGTACGCACTGGCTCGGTTGTTGGCGTCGGTTCCGTTCGCGTCTCCGTCGGTCGAATAGATCGAGCCTTCCGAATTGCGGTGCGCCATTCGTTCCGAGACATTCCACGTCGAAGCAGGGGCAAGGACCGACTCGAAGCTTGCGATCGAGGCTTGAGGCGTCGAAAAGTATTGATTGCCCGAGGGCGACGAGAAGGTGCGTTGGTGCGACGCTGCCGTTCCCGCTCCCCAAGGGTTTGCGAAAGTTTTATCGTCGGCTCGGCCGTTCAGGATGGGGGTCGCCGTCTGCGAGGTGTCCACAACAGGATGCAAGGTGTTGTTGAAGGCGATGCTTGTATTGGTGTTGGCTGACACCTCTTCGTGCGTGTTGCGGCGCAGTCCATCAAAGTATGCGCGACGAGCTCGTTCTGCCTCGTCCATCGACGACGACTTTGAGGGCGTGTAGGACAACTCGGAGTTGCGCGAGAGCCGATGGAACGCGTCCGAAAGCTCGGCACTCACGTCGGATTGACGCATAGCCCCGATGCTTGGCCGTCCATTGACGACATTGATGAGCGCCGCGGGCACCGGGTCAACCTGGAGACCGGCTGGGGAAACCAGTGTCGGCGAGACGGGCGGACAGGATATCGGCATTCGAGTGACCGTGTCCTCGGTCGAAACCCTTTCAAAGGACGAGGACTGCAGGATTGGTGACCCGACACGGACGGGACCGCGTGTTGGCCCGGGGACCTTGCGAGGTTGTGGGGCGGGGCCCTTGTTCGCCTTCGATCCCGGCAGAGGTACAAAGGAAGCGAGCAGTGGCTTTCCCGGGCTCGAGGATTTGTTTCCCGCGCCGATCCCGACATCGTTCCCTCGGTGGTCAGAAGCAGCACACCCAGGGGTCAACTCGAACGTCTCCATGCCGAGCGATTCGACAAAGCCGTCGGGGAGGATGGGGTTGGAGATGACCGGGGCCTTCTTGGATCGGATGCCCCATCGGAACGACGATTTGCCGCCCTTGGCCGTACCATTCGACTTGATATCGGTGTCTAGAGGTCGCGAGATTCTGTGCGGTATGAGAATCTCCGGGATCTTGGCGATCGGGGCCTTGCGCTTCTCCTCGGAGACGGGACGGACGAGCTTGACGGACGTGGCCTCGAGCACGTCGACCTTCTTGAGTGAGGTTGCATCCGAGCTGGGCGATTTGGGCCGTACGACAAGATTAGACAGTGGTGATGGTTGTCGGATCGCTTCGGCCGCGGGGGTCAACTTGTCTTGCTGGGACATTTGTCGGCGACGGGCGGCGCTGATGGACTCGCTGATGGAGCCGGACTGATGGTAGTCGAGGTAGCCACCGGACTCGATCGGGACCTCGCTCGCTTGTCTGACCGACCTGCTCGACTTGTTGGACGCCCTTCGGTTCGAGCTGACCGATGCCTGTCGCAGCGAGTTCTTGCCGATCGAGGAAAGCGAAGCGTGACGGCCGTTCGGGGTGGGGAGCGATGAACGCGGACCATCTCGCGGCGTCGCTGAACTGGTGTGATTGATGTAATGGTCATAGTCCTCCTCCTCCTCGTCGTCATCGTCGTAATGCGTGTGATCGCTGTAGTCCTCCTCGTCGTCTTCTTCGTCGTCGTAGCGAAGATCCTCTTCGATGGCGCCGTGAGGAGCCACGACTCCGGCCCCGGCAACAGGAGCGCCGACCCATCCTGTCTCATGGTTGTCGGCGCCTCTGCCTCCCCCTCCGTAGAGACCTGTCTTGCCGCGCTCATCCCACGGTCGCGTCTGCGCGTTGTCGAGAGGCTGATAGTCTTCGAGCGATATGAGGGTGGTGGTGACGGGTGGCCGCACCGAGGAAACGGGCGAGGAGATGACTTGGCTCGTGCGCTGTATGGGCCGATCCCGTGCGATCTCGGGGGTGCGCATCGCAGTCTCGGCGTCGAGGTCAATCGTCGGTGTGCGCGCCGTGTAGTGCTCGTAGATGTCCACATGGTGCGACAGGTCGTCCTCTTCGCCTTCTTCGTCGTCGAACTCGCCGTACATATCGGCGTAGACGTCGAGCACGCTGTCGATGCGACTCGAGAGGCTCATGGCGCTGTCGAAGGCGGGCACAAAGTCTTCGGGCGTCTTGCGCCGTCGGAAGGGCAATGCCTCGTCCTGCATCCGGAAAATGACGGGGAAAGGGGGAAACAGCAAAATAGCCAAAAGCGGTTTATACGATCAGTTCCTACTCCAATAAGTCGAGGCCAGAGCGCGATCACACCGGGCCCATGCGGTTCGGATTTAGCCGGTGTGCCAGGAATGACGCAGCCTGGGCAGCCGACGCCTCCCCCGCCATCTCAATTCGCACGGACCCCGCGCCCACTCAAAGGGAGACTCACCTTGTCCCAGCTGACACCCGGGACCAAGTCCTGACTGATGTCCCCGGTCATAGGTCGATACGAAGCACCGGCATGGTCGATGTTGCACGAGATCGCGAGGCCGCCTTCGCTCGATAGGGTCGGTCCGCGGCGCTTTGTCGGACTCTTGAGCGACGTCGGGCTCCGCGGGGTCCACTGGCTGCTCGCGAATATGGGGGAGTGATGCGAGGAGATGCTTAAGCCGGCTGCCGGCATCGTACGGACAGACAATTCGCACCAGCCGACGAAACAAGGTAGTGGTGTGAGCGAAGTAGAACTGCTGCTGCGACTTGATAGTGAGAGGGGAAAGGGAACAGACGAGGGCAGGCCGGCGGAATGAGGCAGCCGAGCGCGACGGAGGGGGGTGTGATGTGACGGAGGACAGTCAGACTCAGAAGAAGGTGCTCCCGACGCTGGCTGGGATCGTCATGGCTAACCTTGAAAGTTCGCCCACTCTACCTTGAATGTAGCCTAATGCTAGAAGGCCAGATCATTACGGCCAGCCATCAGACGCGCGGGAGACTGGGCCAAATGAGCAAGAGACACGCCGTTTCAGGCAGGTTCGACCTCGACCTGGCGCGCACGCCCGGGGCGCCGCCGATTGCCGATCAGCTCGACTCTTTCGGCCTGCGATCGGGGTATCTCCGCGGGAGGGGGTGACAAGCTGTTGACGTGGAGGGCATCATCAATTTTGCACCATCAATTTTCTTGACCAGTCCGAGTTTCGTAATTGTCCCATCGCGGTTGTTGGACCACTTTGCCGTAGATCTCAGCATGTTGTTTAATGTTCCGTCGCTTGCTCGATGCCCACGAGGCCCCGCTTGCCGGGATGTCCGATCGCGGATCGCCCCGAGCTGATGATCCTCTGGCAATAGAGTGTCGTGTTCTTTGGGGGATGCTTCAAGTGATTACATTTCCTGGCGTTGATAGGTACGCCGGACTACCCAACACTCATATTATTATAAAAGACTCGTCGAAAAAGGGGCCTGCGAACGCGATCGTCATCGCGCACCGCGGCCCACGGTCACCGGTGTCTTGAGGCTGCACCCGAATCTCGACGGAACAGGTATCAGGGGCCTGAAGAACAGTTGCGAAGAAGAGAGTGTTACAAAAATAAATGCCTACGTCACACAAGGAGTGCACCCCAGAAGAGAGAAACATTTAAGCCACGACGATAAGAGAGCGATCTGCAAACACAGTAAAGGAGCGACGGGTCAGTGATGGTGCTCATTCGGTTTCCAGAGGCAGAGGCTGGCCAGAACTGACAGGTGCAAAATAAAAATCCGTATCGTGTTCGTTAAGTGCTAATACTGCGTAGAGTGTCCAGTTGGCATAGATGCGCTTAAATGACGAAGATGGCTAAACCACCGAGGCCGAGGAGGGCCGCGATAGGGGCGGCGTGGCGTCGCGCAGGCGAGGCTGCGCGAGTCGTCGTCGCAGCGGCGGCATTGGCACCCGTGGCGGTAGAGGTGGGGCGGCTGGTGACCATGGCTGTACCAGACATCGCGGTCGCGGTACCGGTCACGGAGACGGAGACGGAAGCGTCTGCCGCCGAGCCCGAGGCAGAGACCGAGGTGTTGGCCGCGGCGCTGGCGGTTGCGGTCGCGGAGCCACCAAACAAGGCCGAGGACTGGAAGGTCGAGCACGACGAGGTAGCGGGGGTAAAGACGGAGTAGGGGAGGTTTCCGAGCTCGGTTCCCTCGCCGGGTTGGTACCAGGTGCTCCTGCCGCCGTTGCTGCCGATGTAGACACCGGGGGGAAGTTGGTCGTCACCGAGGCACGAGAGGAACGTGCCGTTCATTCGAGTCACGGGGGCGTTGACGTCACAGCCGGCTCGGTCGTAGACGTGCTCGCACATGCGCGCTCCCCCTTCCCAGCTAGGGTCGCAAGCCTTCAAGCAGAAGTAGTTGGCGCCCATAAAGTTGTGCCATTGGATGACTTGGCGGAACGAAGCTCCGCTTGGGGTCGACGAGTTCGTGGTCGAGTTGCCATTGAACGCTTGACTGAACAACAAGCCACCGAGAGGGTTACCTCGCTGTTGGAGGGGAAAGGTATATAGCTTTAATAATCATATCCATGTCGTACAGAGAATAGATGGGTCCAAGATGCTTACCTGATCGGCACCGTGGGGATCCATCTCTCCACCCTCTGAAAAAGATTCGATATGAGCTGGTCTGATGCTCTAATGCTCTCACACTGACACTGTGCTGGGTGACTCACGATCATTGGCGTCGATGTTGATCATGGCTTGGTTGATGTAACCCGTTACTTGAACCTGTGCGTGATTTGGTGGGGGTAGCACGTCAGTACGTTCAGTACGTTCGGTACGTTGTCTTTCGAAAGCAGGGTTCGATCATAAACATGATTTGCCAAGACGGACATAATGAGGGGTCTGTCGGGAGGGAACAGAGGATCAGCCTGACGGAAACCCTGGCCACCATGTGTATAAGACCATGATCTCACTTTGATGAACTGGACCGACTGCAGAGCACCGGGAGGGATGACGCGAGTACCCCGACCGCCCTTGGTGCACCACGCCACCATGCCGCCCTCCACGTCACCGACGATGCTGTCGGGCAAAGGTGGGGCCCTTTTGGAAAGAAGCGTTCGAAATAGAGCGGAATTGATAAGCGGGAGAACATGAGTGAAGTTGATGCAAGTGAATGTCTCGAATATCGCCACTCTGGAAAGATCGTGGGGGGCGATGATCGCTCACCGAGCCTCGATCTGCCAAGAAACTCACCACAGGCAGAAGTCGTCGAGACTATTGATGTAGGATGTTTGACACATGGACGATTGACCTTCGGTTGTCGAGTTGCATCGGTTGTAACTATGTTGATACACGTGGTTAAACAGGAGGAGTGATTGATTAGCACCCTGGCAGACAACAGGCAGCTTGAAGCGGTGGCGAACGCGGATCCGAACGAAAAGCTTGGCGCGCGCCGGCTGAGCAAACCATGCCTCAACATCGCCTCACGGATGACGAGCTCGGCCGTCCGCGCCTCAATAAGAACCGGACGTCGCTTCGGACAGCGCTGCCAACTCACCCCAGCTGCCTTCCTCGAGGTCCATCGTTGGAATCAGCTTGGTAGGGCTGTTAAAATGTATTAAAATGTCAAAAAGGGATGCGATCTGTCAGCTGTTGCTCGAGAATGGGCGATGCGATGAGCGAGCGCGCGCGCGATGGGAAAGGACTAACAAGGTTTGTGTAGTTGAAGCGCTGCTCCGCGAGCGGAGTTTGGGCGACGGCCCCAGCAGCGAGAGCGACGACAGCGACGGCAACGGCTTTGTGCATGTCGTACAGAGAAGGTAGGATGAAGAAAGGGTTAAAAAGCGGCTAAGTGGCAGTGAGGAAAGAAGGAGGAGGAAGAGCGGACGTGACGAACGAGCTACGAACCGGATGTGCTCGCAGACTCTCGCCGACGGATCGCATCGACCCAGCCAAGAGCGTTTTCCGAAAGGCTCGGCTTGGCATTTGTGAAGCCCGCTATGGCCCGTGGGCGTTTCATGAGCCGCGCCAGCCTCGATCGTCGAGACTTTTCAAAGCGCACAGCAAAAAGGCCACAAGTTCAAGGTCAACGGCCATCAATTAAAGCCAATCAGCAGCCGAGACTGCTCCGAGCCTCAACTCGGGCGCACTCTTGAACATGTCGGGGCACTTGCATTTGGCCCCTTCGGCGTTCAGGGGCCGCGATCCTCCAGGGCCTGGCCGGAGCGAAATGCGAATAGCTCTCGTGCTGCTCCCCGTCGTGACGCTCCACTAGTCCGAATGATTGGTCCCACATAGAACAATGTACCCCTGGACAGAAGTGCGGGTTTTCGTTCAATATCCCCACAAATGAATTTACCTACCCCACGGCTCATTGTTTCAAACGGAGGCCGAAGGCCAAAAATCACCCCTTATAAATTGATGATGTACACTCATTCTTGAGGATATACAGGACTCGACTAATGGTCCCCATCTGAAGGGTATTGATTTTGAAGAAAGTGGAACATCATGAATCAGAAAGTTCGTGCGGAGCGCTTGGATTGGAGCACTCACACAGACTCCCGCGCCCTCGCGCCGGGCTTCCGATCGTCCACCGAGCGCTCCCGGACGCATGCCGTCGTCAAACAACAGATTTGTCGGCCAAAAGGAACGGGTGCTGCGCACGAGCAAAGTTCTCGTCCAGAGGCTCGTTTCCGAGCCTTCTCGTGAAGTCGAGAAAGCGACTGTCCGCGGGAACAGCAATCATCGAGTGAATGTTTTAGTCGTCTGCATTTGATGCCCAATCCTATCGAAACTTGACCTTCCCTCGACTCCGCTTTTTTCGAGCAAGGGGTCAATATCGGGAACACAAGATCTGCGCTCAACGTTAGACAGGAAGTATGAATTTACATCTACAAGTACATCCTACTCAGATCGTTCATACTGTTAAGCACATTCTTTCCAACATCCTTTTTAACAAGTAGGTGCAAGAGAAAGACAAACGCCCGAGCTCCTCTCCACTCCCGGGCAATCTGCCTCTCATCCATGCGCTTCCTTGGCCCACCTACTTCCCAAACGACCACCGCGACGCCAGCGACTCGAATGACGCGAAGCTAGATCCCGACACAAGGGTTCGAACCTAATTCAGTACGGTCTCGTTGAACCAGCACAGGCTCGAGAGACGATGATGTAAGGTGCTCACACAGCGGGATCCGTACAATCGGGCATGGCGGCGCTACTGGTGATCTTCTTGGCCAGCTGAACGGTTCGTCTTTCGCGACCGCTTTCGAAGACGGCTAGTAACGAGGCATGGACATAGTCAGAGTAAATACACGAAGCATTCTTGTCAGTCCTGTTATTACGAGTGCCGTCGCTGTGGCATCCTTAGGTGAACGTTACTCACGCAGCTTTCCAAATCCAGAATCATAGGTCACGATTTGATAATCCGTCTCTGCAACAATGAGAGCACGAATCAGAACAAGGGTCTACTGGTCTTATGTGAACAGAAGGCTGATTGAGCTCACTGCTAATCAACCAACTGCTAACCATCACCTGCGTCGTCCCATCGAGCAAATGCTTCTGTCGGTGCCACTGGCTTTGATCGGCACCCTTGATCTCGGGATGCGTCGCGGTGAAGCCCGTGGTGACGATGCGGTCGGGGTACTTGGCCATCGCGTCCTGCTTGAGGTGCTCGGAATCCGACACGAGGTAGTAGACAATCTTTTGGCCTGGTTTCGCGTATTTAGCCGCGAGTTGTTCCGCGCAGACGAAGAACCGTCGGTGCGACTCGACCGAGATGTGCGAGTCTGCATCGGCGGATTCCTGGAGTGGCGAAAGACAAATACCGATCCCAACCCCCTTGGTCAGCCATCGACCATGTCGGCCGCTCATTGAGCAACGGAGAGGCTTTTAACTCACCATATTGGCATCCCCTGTCCGGATCTGCATCGCGACCGAAAACACGGAAGGGAGCACAAACAGCGACGAGTATTGCACCATGTAGCGCTGCGCGCTCGCCTTGGGCGTGAAGAGGTAGTCGGTCATGCAAGCGTAGACCGAGGCATACTCGAACCCCTTGTCCTTGAGAAGGGGTGCAATCTCGGTGTAGTTGAACGAGCGAAACGCGCCTCCTCGGTTCGTGTTGATCTGTGCAGAGTTCTAGCGGCCGTTTCAGGACAAACTGCCTCGACCGACGAGCAAGCGCAGCAAGACGACGCTTGGACTACTGACCTCGACCCAGCTGGGCTCGTCGCGATGTTTGCCCCAAACGGTGTCGAGGAGGAACTCGTCAAGCGCCTCCATCGGGCGTTGAAAGTTCCTCAAGCTGATCTGCGAAGTCGGCGTGCCTAGCTTGGGGTGTGTTGCCTCGTTGGTGGTGAGGGTCAACGGCCGGCTCCAATCGATATTTACAGCGTCGGCAAAGACCTCGAACGGCCAGTCGGTCCAGTCGACGAAGAAGGCCCGGTCCGTCAGAATGGCGTAGAGGAAGCTTGTGAAAAGGCCAAAGAATCTGAGCAGCGCCGAGTGCAACAGAGATCCGTCACGCCGATTAGTCTCGGCCGAAAGCTCGGTGTGATGCGATGAGCACCTGGAGCTGGGACTAACCGATCTGCTGTGCCGCCGCAGATTTGTCCCTTCTTGCAAGAGGCAATCATGACCTTGGGTGGAATTACCCCATTGATGACATCGCGATGCATGGCTCCGTAGGCCTCTCCCCAAGGCGTGCCTTTGCATTCACGTGAAGGCCGGCCCGTTTCCCACTCCTGTACAAGAGCTTGATGCCTGTAAAATAGAACGCGAAGAAAACCTGGGTCGGAGCCTGTTGCGGGGGGGGGGGGTGGGGGGGGTGACCTTCACAGCAGCTTACTTTGCCTTGGACCCGGTCCTGTACTCCCCCGGCCCACTGCCGACCTTGATCATCGCCGGACCCCTCATGATGGTCGGTTCAGTTCTGCTCGATTTCGAACTGACGCCGATCGGTGTGCCGGCTTGGGACCGTGGCCTGGTTTCGATGATCCAATTTCGTATCCGTTGTTCATCCTGTAGGACATCAAAGACGTCGGCAACGAAAATTGCGTCGCATCATACATGCAGAGCCCAGTTGCCGACCCACCTTGTCGAGTGTCCGCACCACGTTGAGCAGACTCTTGTGCGGAGGGTGCTCTTTCCACAGATATTGCGCGTAGAACTCTTCTTCGGATGCAAAATCGCCGACCACGTCCAAATCTTCCTCCTGTAGCACGGGCCCGAGTTCCTCCGCAACCAATTCCATCTCCGAGGTCCAAGCTGAGCGCTCGAGCAATGACCGCGCCGCGATGACCAACGTGGCCACCACGAGCAAGCCGACCGCGACGAGGGTGACGATCTGGCAACTGTTGCACCGGCGTGGCATTGATCGGTAGTGGTTTATGGGTTGGCACTCCATCTTCTTCGAGCTTGACATCATGAAACTTTCGCCATCAGAGTACTGCGGTTTATCGTCGACGCGTTCATAGTCGCTACCACTGCCGCTGCCGCTGCCAACATCGCTCCCACTGTCGCTGTCGGCATCCGAATCAACGAGCGATCGCCTTTGTTCGTTGACGTCGCCTTCCTCGTCTGTCGGGAGGAGTTGCGCTCGATGACATTCATCGGTGGTTGGATCAAACGACATCGTTCCTACGCGATGGGTATAGTTCGTGCAAGGATGGGATCAGACATGATGCAGAGAGGTGTTGAAGCAGTTCGCGTGGTTGGCATCCGTTGCGGGCGAGGCGCGTGCTGTCGACGCGTTCTGATTAGGCTATATTAGGCTCGACGCGCCCAGGCTCTAGCCTCTCGTGGCAGTTACTTTATTAATTAGCGCTCGGAGCCCACCTATGCGGGTCAAATTAAGCCTAGCAAATGATCTAGGTCGCGCGTGACGCGTTAGGTGACCCAGGAAAACGTTGGTACAAGCATGGTATACCATCCCTCCCCAACCGCCGGCGCCCGGAGGCAAAAATAGCGGCTAAGTAGTGCACTTGCTATTCACCTACGCTAATTGGCCCTTTGCCTCAGGAGTCAGCACACATTGGCACCCCCCCTCTTCAAGCTTCAACCCTCCCCCCACCGCCTTGCACCCATCGGCATCGCTTCAAGCATGGGCTCCCTGCGACACACACCGCCACTACCACAAGCAAATCCAAAAACAGACCAAGACCAGGCGTAAGAAATTCACGAGGAGGAGGAGGAAGAAGGCGGCTGACACGATCGAGAACGGGGCGACCACGGAACCGAAGGAGGGGGTGAAGGCGAAGAAGAAAAAGAAAAAGAGGAGGTCATGTGCCGTCCGAGAACGAAAAAGGAGCCAGTCTTGTCCCCGAACAGCGAGGCGTTTGTAAAATCCTTCGGCTACGCTGCTGGCATTATGGTATGGCCATCAAAGATGTTATCGATCAAAGATGTTATGATACTATGAGGGATAAGGTGTGACTAAGAGCGACACCCAAGGCGAGAGAGACGAGAGAGCGACCAAACGGTCGAGACTGGGGTAGAACCCAGAAGCGAGACCGAGTACGAGAACGAAACGCTGAAATTGGAGACTGAAGACGGTGCCGAACGAGACTTGAAACACGCAGAAAGTGAGAGCTCGGTAAGATTCTGTATTGGATCCTAGAAGTGGTCTACCTGAAAAGAAGAAGCAAACTCCCCACAAACGTCCCGGCCGTTCAAACCGCTGCTCTCCCTTCATTCCTCTTCACCGCTTCATCCACACATCGGGCCCGATCTTCCTTCAAAAAGCGGCTTTACTGATCCCACCATTTCTCGTCATTTTTCGTGTCTTTGCGGCGCAAAAAGGAAGGCCCGTTCAAAATCGCAGCCTCTTCCTCCCGTGAGCCTGTAGCCTCCCTCCCTCGTTGCCCCCGGAAATGACTCGTCGTCGAGGTGCCCAAGTCTGGAATTTGCTGCCGCTGCGACTTCTATTAACCTCTAAAATTAAAATGGAGGATGCGACCGGATCCCGAGTACCACAGTATCCACGGCAACCGGACGAGGCGGCGTCCGAAACGTCGACCGAGCCCTCCTCCATCGCCATCGATCCCGAGCCTTGATTACCTGTGGCAGTGCACCCAGGACACGGGTGAACTACAGATGGAGGGAGCTTCGGGCTTGGTGCACCGACAACGTGATCTTTTCAGCGAACGACAGCGGATGACTTGCCGGATTTGACTTCGTTTGCCGGCAGCCCTCTGGCAGGGTTACGGTGCGCCATCACACCGCAGGGCCCCTACAAACACTAGATGCAACCTACTGACACTAGGTGCATAACACTGGTGGACTATCCGAGCGGACCCTTCGGGCAGCGCCAGCGACCTTTTGGCTTGTTCCTCGCTCGCGAGTTCGATTCTCGCGCCCCGAATTCTACCGCTCGGGCCACCCCCTGTCTAGCTCGGCCGCTCGTCCAGACTGTCGATCCGCTCCGCCACAGTGCTCTCCACCGAAATTTTGGGCTGAGTAGTTTACGCTCGATTTTGGATTGTTTTATCCCGAACAATATTCAGACCGTGCTACGAGCGAGAGAACGAGCCGAGCGCATCGAGTGCACAGCGAAGCACGCTTAGCAACGCTTTGGGATCAGCAGGACCTCTGAGCGACGTCATCATAAGATAAAGCCATATGTTCGACATAATTTCCTAGATCCTCAATCAACATGGCGGAGAAAAGCGTTCCCTTGGCCCATCGTCGCTCCTGAGCTCCGCTACCTCTTCGCCTGTATTGCAGAATATCCCAAAGTTCACAGTCCAAGCCTACAGTAGGAGCGTAGAATTCTGACCAAATCGACAAAGCCGGTTCGCTCATGTAGAAAGTGTCGAACAAAATATATTGGTGTCCCCGACCCACAGAAGGCAGCGTCTTTGTCGTCCACCACCGAACGGGCGGCGGCGGCGTGATTGGTAGCGGTGTATTCCGCCATGTTCAGGAGCTCGTGATCGTCAGTTCTTACTCGTACTCAGGTGACGGTGAGCTACTGATTGACGTAGGTTAGGCTTTCAATGTCGTGCCAGCGGCGACAGCGCTCGACCTCAAAGCTTCGACGAGGAGCATCCTTCTGGGAATGAATGCGGGAGATCAGGGAGATCAGGGACGACCAGAGAGATCGGGGTCTTTGCACGACCTCGGGTGAGCGAATACAGACTTATCTGGGGGTCCATATTCGGGCAGGCTTGCTCAAACCCTGAAAGTCGCTGCGCTCGTCAGGCATCACTGTTGCAGAAATGTTCTCGAGTGGTAACTGATGATGACCACGACTCAGTCCAATGAACAGGGACGAGAACAGAGTGAGTTAAGATTCCAAAGAGCTGACCTGATGATGACCACGACTCAGTCCAATGAACTATGAAGGAACAATATACCACTGCACCAAAAGGCGAGGCACCTCTGCTTCAGTGAGCACATATTGTCCTAGAAGTGAGATGGAGCGAAGTTCAACATGAACAGGGACGAGAACAGAGTGGCCAGAGACTAAGGGACAGACTCGCGGAAGGCTAGAAAGTGAAGCGTAATGCTAATAGGGAAGAGGGATTAGAGACTAGTAAAGCAGGGAGAATGAGTGACTAGGGAGTTCATGAAGCGTCGCTAGGCTCAATCCCAAGTACCATGATAGGAGCAAGAATCAGATGAAGGACGATACAACCATATACTTCTAACAATCGCCAACGTCATGCCTATCGGTAACTGGACGGCGGTTCGTGAGCAAAACTGAGTTCACGATCGAGGACGACGCCTCGACCTTCCTCATCGAGGGAGAAGTCCACGTTCCTCTTGTTGGCATAAAGATGAAGCCCTGCTCGAAGCGCGTTTGTAGAGTTCGAGGAATAAGATGCATTCAGCGACTCGCCCCACGGCTCAGTTCAACGCCCAACGCACCTATCAGAGGGGCACTTGCCCCTGACAGCTGGTATGGTCTCTGCAAATGAAGCGATCGACTTGACTGTGGTGAGACGGCGGTGTTCGTCAATTGATGCAGCGCTTCGCTCCCGTACTGTGCCTCTGTCACGGAGTGGGTGTTGTCTATGTTGTCCAGGTGGTAGGCCATCGGTAACGACTCGGAGGCGCGGCGCGGGTCCAGGGGCTCGATTGGTTTTAAGGCAATGGATTAAACTTAGTGTCTAAGGCAATGGATTAAACTTAGTGTCTAAGTGGATTATATTCTTGCGCGTGGGCCTATGCCTTCGCAATGCGGACTCCCTTGTTTAGCTTTTTCTTTAATCACTTGTTCCTCAACTATCGGTTTTGAGTCTTGACACTGCTGCGTATCATCCTACCGCTGCCACCTCTATAGGTTAGTTGCAATACTTAATCACTTGTTCCTCAACTATCGGTTCTGACACTGCTGCGTATCATCCTACCGCTGCCACCTCTATAGGTGGTGCACTTTTACTTCAGTGGGCACAAGGAGAGTACGTCGGTCAGCCGTTTCCTTGCAAGCGATGCACCTGCACTCGTCAAACGGCGGACGGGTAGGTGTTTAAGACGGGTCGATCATTTCAGGAGCGATGTAAGGCGAGTGACAGACTAGTACAAGGAAAAGATGAAGGATCGTGTTGTGAGCTAAGATCGGATGACCCGGACTCGAGCGGAGCAAAGCAAAGCCCCCACGCCGTCACAGGATATCGGAACTTAGGAGCCGCTCCGCAGCGCTCTCCGAGGCAGCGCGGGGCAACCGGACCCCGTGACACGTAGGAAAAAAGTACATTATCGTCATGACGATACGATAAAAACTGCTTCGAAGGAATTGCCCTGGCATGTCATCACTCTGGTCACTGCGAACCGCCATGTAGCACTACGAATGTATTTCAACTGAACCATGGGCATGAACAAGTACCGAAATTGCCGCGGTCACGAAGCACTATATCACGTCTCGCGCTCATCAGAAGGTGGTGCACTGCCGACGTCTCACACCGAGATTCTGGAACCATAGTTCTTCGCATAGCTGTCGATGAAGAATTCGAGATCCTCGATCAACGTGGCGTAGGAGAGCAACCCATCGGCCCATCTACGCTCGAGCTCCAGTTCCTCCTTCCCCAACATCGATGTTTCGTAATCCATGCCGAGCCCACAGTAATCGCGTAAGATCCAAATAAACTCGACGAAGCCCGGCCACTTCTTCTCAAAGGGCCGGATAAAGGTCTTCAGCGAACGTTCCGGCCGACGCAACGCATGATCTTTGCTCATTAAAGCGTAGTCAAGGCAGCGCCATTCCCGCCAGTTCGAAAGTCCCAGCGCATTGAGCTCGGGATCTTCGGTCTGTTCCCGTGCCCAGACAAAAGTCACCCAGCAGGCGACGTAAGTCAAAGCTTCAATGTCGTGCCAGGGGCAGACAGGGAACGGCCCCAACTCGTCGACAACGAGCTGTTTTTGCGTCAAGAAAGCGTCGCCAGCCTGTTGGGAACGGGCGCCGATCAAAGAGAGAATCGCCCCAGCTCGGGCGAGAGACAGCATACTGACGTAGTTTGAAACGTCCTCCTCTTCCTCGTCCTCGTCCTCATTCTTATCTTCATTCTCGTCCTCATCATGCACTTTGTCTTCATCTTCGTTACGATCTTCATCCTTGTCCCAGTCGTCGTGCAGCCTCTCGCGATCCAGCTTGTACAACGGATCGTCCCAAATCGAGAGCACAACGGGGTTGCGCTCGAGGAGGACGCCTCGGCCGTTCTCATCGACGACGACATTCACATCCCTAATATTGCCATGGGTACGTTTCCCTTTGTAGTGGTCCTCTAGAGCTGCAAACGAGGAGATCACGGATCTCGGTCATGAGCCTGGCGCAACTCGATCAGATCAGATCACGGCTAGGACATACATTTGACCACGCCAAGTATCACAATTGCAAGGGATCTGATCGAGTCGACTACCGTCACCGGTCGGTACTCATCCACGTGGATCGATCCGACCAACCGCGTGCACTCTGTCGTGTCAGCACTCGTTGTGGTGGGCTGTGGCAAAGAGGTGGCCTGTAGCCTACTCGAGCGTGCTGCAGACGCGCGGTCACGTCGAGTGGGCCGCCCCCCTCCGCGTCACGTGTCAATTGAGGATGGCTGTCCGCTTGTGTTCTTTTCGGCCTTTGCTGCAAGGATTTGAGGCGCCGATTCAGGCTAGCACGCACGGACCCTTTCTCCCCCTTGGACGCTATATATAGCAGTCTAATCCCCTTCAAGAAACGTTGATATTGATTTGGCGTAGATAAGAACAAAAACAATATGTGAAATCTAATCAGGCTTGATACAAAAAAGTATAGCAGCTCGTGGCGTCAATTGCTGACAATTTGTCAGAAACTTAGAATCAGTTCGCCCTCGGGCTTCCTCCAGGCTGAGGTGCTATCAGTCCAACCCCCTGAGCGCGAGGTTCTTGACGTCCGGACCCCCACACTGCACGTGCGATCCCCAACGCAGCCTCCCTCTGCGCGATGGCTTTGACCATGACCGGAGACGAGTCACCGCCTTTGGCACCTTCGATGAACCGACTCGACTCGCTTGGTATGCCCGCCGGTGACGTTACACCTACAGCATCAGCGCCGGCCTCACCCAAATCGGAGGCGATCCACCCTTACTTTGACTACCGCGCCGAGCGAGCTCATCTCAATGTGCGCCCTCGCATTGGATGCAGATTACTTTGATGAACCGACACTGACAAGCTGCCACACCTCTCACAGGACCAAGGTGCCTTTACGGCCGAACTACACACGGCCGGAGCGCCGCCCGTGCTCACTTCGCAGGCCTCGCTCGAGGCGCTCGAGGCGCTCAACCCCTCCGCCGCCTCCGCTACGGTCCTGTCGTCGTCCTCGGCCTCGTCGTCGCATTCCCGTACACGTTCTCGCTCGATCCCCTACGACGACCTCACCTCACCCCGTATTGCCAGCCTTGGACTCGGGTTGACCTCGGTCACGCCTTCGAGTCCGACCGCTTCGTCCTCGGGGGCGAGCCAGACGGGTTCCGCCTCTACGAGCCTCAACCGAGGCAGGAAGAACAGGGACAGTTTCATCACCGACCAGCGACCACCTTTGCTCAATCAAGAGTTGGAGAATGCCGAGGAGATTGACGAAGGTTTCACGGCGGGTGCGTAATCCCTGTCCATCCCTGCTCTTTCCCGTTGCCGCTCGTGGGCCCCCACTCCTCGATTGGTTCAGGGAAGCTGACGGCATACACGCTTCACCCCCCAGCCGACCCAACGGAACACATCACCGCCGAGCTACAATCCCTTTACAAAGGCTTCCAGCGAGCCATCGACCTACGACAAAAGTACATGACCCTGTCCCGCCAGCGCCTTTCGGACAACCCAGCCAACTACGACGGCGTGTACCAACCCGACGACGAGGCCCCATCCAACGCGACACCCAAATTCAAGCCTTGGAAGATCCATCCTCCTCCACCGACTCCGCATTGGAAGGAACGGGACCCGTATTCGGAATCGACTGAGACGACCGAGGAGATTGCCGAGCGCGAAGCCGAGAGGCGCAAGTTCCGTTGGGACGAGATTGAGATCCCGTCGTTGGAGATGGAGCGTCAGCTAAAGAAATACAAGATGGATGCGACGGGAGTGTATCAAGTCTACAACGAGACTAGTGGTGCGTGCGGCGCAACAATTATAGAGTCTGGCGGGCCCTCTGATGAGAGTTGTGGTCATATTTGTACAGTCTCGGAAACGACCACGGAGGATGAATCGGAGACGGGGAAGGAAACGCCGCTCTATGTCGTGCCAACGATCAAAGAGTACTTCCAAGACCTTGACGAGATCCTGGCCATCATCTCAGATGGGCCGGCCAAATCTTTCGCCTGGCGTCGCTTGCGCTACCTTCATTCCAAGTGGAATCTCTACGTGCTCATCAATGAGTACCGGGAATTGGCCGAGCTCAAGGTTGGTAACATGGATGCAGCGTTATGCAACACGCCCAGTTCTCAGACTGACCTCCTATTCCGTTGGATTCGTGCAGCGAGTATCGCATCGTGACTTTTACAACGTGCGCAAGGTCGATACCCACGTACACCACTCGGCGTCGATGAATCAGAAGCACATGCTCCGGTTCATCAAAAGCAAAATGAAGCGCTGCCCGAATGTGAGAGCGATTTATTAGTCGTTGCCTCCGTTTGGCCACTCACATTGTTGTCACTCGAACAGGAGGTCGTCATCTACCGAGACGACAAGTATCTCACGCTCCGACAGGTATTCGAATCGCTCAACCTCACCGCGTACGACCTTTCAATCGACACCCTCGACATGCACGCTCATCAAGATTCATTCCACCGCTTCGACAAGTTCAACCTCAAGTACAATCCGCTTGGAGAGTCTCGCTTGCGTGAAATCTTCCTCAAGACGGACAAGTGAGTGGGCTCTTCTCGTGATGGAACATACGGGACGCCATGCTGACCTCGAAACCGGCTCTCAGCTTCGTAGAGGGTCGTTATCTTGCCGAAATCACACAAGGTTCCTAGCTCTTCTGGTCTTCTGAACACCTTCGATTAAGCATTGACCCAACCGGTTGTTGACCGTACCTTCGCAGAAATCATCAACGACTTGCAACACAGCAAGTACCAGATGGCCGAGTATCGCATCAGTATCTATGGTCGGTGAGTAGTGTCGCGCATAAGAGTTCTCCGTGCTCATTCGTGCTTACGATCGGTCCAACTCGCCATTGTAGAAACGTCAACGAGTGGGACAAGCTTGCGAAATGGGTCGTCAAAAACGAGCTCTTTTCGGACAACGTACGCTGGTTGATCCAGATTCCTCGCCTTTACGATGTGTTCAAGAAGTCCGGAGGTGTGACCTCGTTCGAGGAGGTTGTCCGGAGTGAGTCAAAGTTGTCCCATTTGGGAGCTGAGCACGAGCTCACGAGAATCCTACACCGGACCCACTGTTGTAGATATTTTCGAGCCCTTGTTCGAAGTGACTCAAGACCCGACGTCTCATCCCGAATTGCACGTCTTCTTGCAACGCGTCATTGGCTTCGATAGCGTCGACGACGAGTCCAAGGTCGAGCGCAGGCTGTACCGAAAGTTCCCCTTGCCCAAGGACTGGAACACTGCTCAGAATCGTAAGCTGAGCTCTTTGGCGTCAAGCCTGGAGCTATGCTAACATTCTGGTAACACGTTTTTCTTTCGGCAGCACCCTATGCGTACTGGCTCTACTACCTCTACGCCAACATCACCTCCCTCAACAATTGGCGCCACGACCGGGGCTTCAGTAAGCTCTGTTCACCGCTGCCCCCACCTGAAATCCCGGAGTTGACCTGACCTTCTGTCCGTAGACACCTTTTGGCTTCGACCTCACGCCGGAGAAGCCGGTGATACCGATCACCTTACTTCGGCATTCCTCACCTCTCACTCCATCTCGCACGGGATCCTCCTGCGCAAGGTCCCCGCCTTGCAATATCTGTTCTACTTGCAGCAGATCGGGGTAGGTCCTTCGAGTTCGATCGGATTCTTACGAGCTGGTGAAGTTGACATCGAAAAGTTGAGACTTTCAATAGATCGCCATGTCGCCTCTGTCCAACAATGCCTTGTTCTTGACCTACGAGCGTAACCCGTTCCCTGACTTTTTCCGCACCGGTCTCAACGTATCGCTCTCGACCGATGATCCGCTACAATTCCATTTTACCAAGGTGCGACAAAGCATCTCCTCCCATTACCACTCCGTCGTAGCTGACCTCCACCAACCCCTTTCCCCACTCCCAGGAACCCCTCCTCGAAGAATACTCCGTCGCCGCGCAAATCTACAAGCTCTCCCCCGCCGACATGTGCGAACTCGCACGCAACTCGGTCCTTCAATCCGGTTTCGAGATGCAAGTCAAACGACATTGGTTAGGAGATGATTGGTACCGCCCTGGACCGGAGGGGAATTATATCCACAAGACGAATGTGCCGAGTTTGAGGGTCGAGTATCGCTATGCGACGCTGTTGGAGGAAAGGGGGATGGTGAGCCGGCTGAGCGTTACTATGTTTACGAGCGAGAATTAGACGACTGACATTCTTTTGGAATGCACTTTCTAGATCGCCCAATCAAGAACCTTCGATGCCGAGCCTAAACCGTCTGGATCACAACGCCCCGAACAGAATCCCTTGCCGACGCACGAGGCCTTGGGTGCCGCAGCGATGATTGGAGGACCCAAAAGCATGTGAGTGGATGGCGGACATCGGTTCAACCTCAAAGTAGTCGTCGATCGGTCGGTCGGGCTGATGCGCGTGCACGGGTCTCCTTACAGCAACATGCCGGGACTCAAAAATGGTGTTGCAGCGGGCGTGGGAGGTACTTAGATGAGCGTTCGGAGCTGGAGAGAGCATAGATAGAAATGCTGTGCAACAACACCACCACCAGTTGAACTGGGTCACGTCCATACGTCCAGCAAAGGACGACGATCGTTCCAATAAGAAAGATAGGATTACGAAACAGATGCGACAGTCGAGTTACAAATCAAACTCGACCTGAGCCATCCCATTGCTCGTCGTTCCCCTATCCTTCTTCTTCGCCTCCCTCTGCGCCATCTTCTTCCTCGCCAATTCTTCCTTCCAATCCCCTTCACCTTCCTCTAAATCCCCTTCGTCATTCGTAGGTCGACCGGCTTCTTGTTTAGCATGTAAAGCCTTCAATTTGCGGAGCTTCTTCTCCCTTCGGAGTTTGGCACGCGCTTCAGCATCCTCCTTGTTGGACCAGGCTTTGGTGGCGATGGGTTTTCCTGGCTTTTTCTTTTTCGTCGAGGGTTCTCCGTCGACATCTTCGGAGGGCTGAGCATCGATTTCGGCGTCTTGGTCGTCGATGGGTCTCTTGGTCCGTTTGCGACCTTCGTTCTGAGCGGCGAGTTGCGAACGGCGTTGCTTCTCTCGGACCTTGTCGAGATACCCATACGCGTCCCACTGTTCCAGAATAAGGTTCAAATCAGCCTTCCCAGTCCCACTTAGTTCCACCGAACCCAGAACCCCCCCTAAAAGCAAACTCACATCCACCTCAACCTTCTCCCACTCCATCTCCTTCCCCTTGATCTCCGGCATCTTGGGTAATTGCAAAAGCCCATACATCCTCGCGATCCTTACCAAATCCAAATCCTTAATCCTAAAGATGAACGAAGCCTCATGCTTCGAATAACTCTTGACGAAACTGACGAATGCCTTCGTTCCCCTTTCATGAAGATCTCGATCCGTCAAAACGATGCGACGGAATCGTTCGACGAGGGCGATTTCGTCCGCGAGCTCTTTTTTGGAAGTAGGTTCCGAGTAGTTGAGGCGCGTTAAAGGGACCTTACGAACGCGGAGGAATTCGACATATTCCTCTTCCCTTCCTTGTGTGATTAAGACGATCGCTTTCCCTTCCCTTCCCGCTCGAGCGGTCCTACCTGCTCGATGACTGAATACTTTGGGGTCCTGCGGAGGGTCGAATTGAACGACGACGTCGACATCGGGTAGATCCAAACCGCGTGCGGCGACGTCCGTGCAGAGAAGGATACCCGTCGTTTCGGAAGGTAAGGAGGAGAAAGCTTCAAAGGTCGCTGAGCGTCGGGTAGGGGACATTTGGCCGTGAAGGGAGTGGATCGAGTAGGGGAACGCTTCGGGGAGAGCGGCGAGGAGCTTGTAGAAATAGTCGACGCAGGCGCAGGTGGAGAAGTAGATGATGAACTTGCGTGCGGTCGAGGTGGCCGTCGTTTCGGAAGAGAGGATGCGGGATAGGGTGACGAATTTGGACGAAGGGGTGCAGACAACGTAGCCGTTCGATAGCCTGGGCAGGGGAGTGCATGTCAGGAAATGGGCACGAGGCGGTCAGAGACCCTTCGAAAGGCCAAACTCACGATGCAGGTGTCTTGCGGTCGGCACCCTTGACCTCGGCACCTTTGTCGTCGTATTGTTTCTTCGCCTCGACTTTGACGACTACTTTGACGGGATTGCGTAGTCCGACGCGAACGAGTTGCGACAGCCCGTCGGACATCGTCGCCGAGAACAGACCTGTGCGACGTTGTTTCGGCAAATGTGAGAGCAGTCGGTTCAAGGTTGGGGTGAACCCGAGATCGAGTAGACTGCATGGTCAAGATATTTCAAGAAGATTGAGCTTGATTCACCGCATGACACCCACCCGCACTTGGGACTCACCGATCGGCTTCATCCATAACGAGCACCTCGAGCTCTTTCGTACTGCCAACGCCCAACGAGTTCCCACTCGAAGTCTTGCGTTTCCCGCGTTGAGGGCCATTCGAGACACTCGAATTGCCCAAGAGGAATTCTTCGAGCCTGCCCGGTGTGCCGACGATGATGTCGGCGCCGGACTCGTAGAAGGATTTGACGTCGCTCGCGAGGGGGATGCCGCCAATGAGGAGCAAGGGAGGAGGGAGAGGGGTTGAGGACGTTGAGGGTTGAGCCGAGATGAAGGAGGAGAAGACGGAGTGGATTTGGGTTGCCAGTTCACTGTGCGTTAGGGCCAACGGATGGGGTCAGCAATGGGACGATCCTGACGAGATCAGACGATTGCGTACCGAGTTGGTGAGATGATGATGGCGCCAATCTCCCTCTTGCCGAGCGGTTTCTCCCGACGGATGATCTTCTCCAACACGGGGATGACGAACGCCAAGGTCTTGCCCGATCCGGTAACGGCCTCGACGACGGTGTCCTTGTGCTGCATGAAGAGCGGGATCGTCGCCGCTTGTACGGGCGTCATGTTGCTGAAACCCATGTCACGCAAGACATCCGCGCTGTAGAGGGATAACATATCAATCAGTCCATCTTGTTGTAGTTCGGGTCTTGTACGCTTATCCGCTGGCCCACTGGCCCACAAAGCCTTCGGCTGCGCAATGTGACCAGTCTGTGCTGTCCGCGTTCGTGCGAAGCTCCACCCCGCTCGGACCTTTCGCAGCCAACTCCGCAAGCTTAAGACCGGCCAAACTCACATCCACGGCGTCAGACTCGGCTGCAGACTCGACCATGATCCAGCGAACGAAGGCGCAGAGGCCAGTCGATCGATCATCGACATTTTGTACGCCGCGATTGAGTGCTATGGGGTGGATGCCGACTTGCAAGTCACGAGGCAATTGCCGCGCGAAATGACATGCGCCGTCCGAGCTGAAACGCTCTGACCTCCGCAGTCGACGATCGCGGATGCCGTCTCCGAGCGCGAGCTGGCCGCCGGGTGGTGTATTTCCCTGTCGATGTAGTGCAGTCGTTCCCGACTTTTGATGTTCAATTACACTCCTTCTCGGTCCAACCTTACCCAACATTTCCTCCGGTGTATTAAAGCTCGCGTCGAGGCAACCGAACACTCCTCTCTTCCCACTCACGTGACTCGACCGAACCTAGCTCGGATAATTTGCTTCGCGGCCAAGGGGCACGTGAGGCTCTGCAGCTGGCTCCGAGTCCCCGGTCGACCAAAACACCCTTCGGAGCAGGCTGAAACGAAGTCGGATCTAGTCCATACTCGTGCAGAACCCTGATAAACTCTCTGGAAAAGCCGAAGCACACGTGTGCACAGCGATGTACCTGTATGCCCCGCCGTGCTAATGATCCCCCGAGCTGAGCGCCGAACGATTGCGATCCCAGTCGATCCGTCTGTGGAGGAAATAGATGGCAGGCGGCACCCACTCGACAAACAGCATAGGTTCAAACGTGATTTGGCAAATCTCGACTTGAATAATACTATCCGGCTGTGGCAGGTCAAAAAAGGAACTCGGCCGAGGTCGGCCGATACGAGCCAAAATCGGCTGTCTCCGGCCTTCCGGGTGTGGTGTCTTCCACAACCCTCACCCCGCTCTACGCTCCGCACCGCACGACCCCACCCCTTCCAATCCACGATGACGCCTACTCTTTCGCGCCAAGTCTGGTACGGCGATGCGGTCCATTCCAAATCCTTGACCGAGATCGAATACCTCACTTCGAGCCTGATTGGCGTGGACGAAACCGGGGCTATCGCCTTTGTTGAACGTGCTTCTTCGGCGGACGAGATTGAGCGAGTATTGCACGTCAAGGGGTGGACAGGCGTTGAGGTGACGAGGATGGGTAAAGGAGAATTCTTGTGTCCCGGGTAGGTCATATCTGCACCGTATTGCATTACTCGTGGGCTGATCGTAGACGAATTTTGCCCTCGGATCTTGCGCTGACCGGACATGTGTTATCTGGTTAGATGTAAGATCTCTCGTCCCAATGTATGCTTCAGCCGCTTAATTTCCACCTAATCCTCCCTGATCTTGCTTCACAGTTATCGACACGCACACCCACGCCCCCCAATACGTCAACCTCGCCTTTGGCCAACAATTCGAGCTACTCGACTGGCTTTCGAACGTCACCTTTCCCGCGGAGGCACAGTTCAAGGACGCGGCCTATGCTCGAAGAGCGTACGAAGAGGTCGTACAGAGGAACCTCAGCGTCGGGACTACGAGTGCGCGCGCAAATGTTCTGTCCCGTATCTGCGATCTGAGCTCCCTAACCGAAGATTCTTTCCCCTTCGACACCTACCAGCCGTCTGCTACTACGGCACTCTCCACCTCACAACCCAAATCCTCGCCGCGATCTGCCACCGTAAAGGCCAACGAGCCTTTGTTGGCAAATGTAACATGGATCGTAACAGTTCAGACGAATACGTCGAAGCTTCGCCTTCTCAATCACTGCTCGATACGAAGAAATACGTCGATTTCGTACGGAGCAAGTGTTGTTCGCCGATCCGATCGACTTCAGAGAGTTCGGGATCGAATTTGAACATAAATGGTTTGAGATCGGATCTGGTGCAACCTATTATCACGCCTCGATTCGCCATCTCGTGTTCGGATGAGTTGTTGAAAGGGTTGGGGGATATGGTCGTTAAAGATCCGAGTTTGCCGATTCAAACCCATCTGTCGGAGAACCCGACGGAGGTTGAATTTACCAAATGTAAGTCCCGTCGTCTTCGGCCTTCTACTTCGTCACCTTGATCTCATCCGCAAGACTGACTCATCACCCCGGACTCCGAACAGCTCTCTTCCCTTTCGTCTCGTCCTACACCGAGGTGTACGACCACTTCAATCTACTTCGAGAGAACACCGTCTTGGCTCATTGCGTGCACTTGGAAGACTCTGAAATCAGTCTCATCAAACAACGTCGTGCGGGAATCTCGCATTGCCCAGAGTGAGTCCGGACGAAGCTTCAATACGGGCTCTTGAAGTCGAGTGCTGCTTCGAGAGTGCTAATCTCTTTGTACCCTCCGCTTCGTCTTCATCCCCCTCAGCTCCAACTTCAACCTCCGCTCAGGCATCACACCCATTACGACCCTCTTGGACAGAGGAATCAAAGTATCCCTCGGCACGGACATCTCAGGAGGGACCTCCCTCGGTATCCTAAGCGCGATTCGTACCGCCTCATTCGCTTCGAAAACGCTCATCTTCAATTCAAGAGATGCCAAGATCGACGACCCCAACTTGAACGAATCGATCCCCGAACCCAAGCGTCAAAAGACGAACGGTTCGGAGACCTCTTTTGCGAATCGTCATTTAAGCATCGAAACCTTGTTCTACCTCGCAACGATGGGAGGAGCCCAAGTCTGTTGTCTCGAAGACCGAATCGGTAACTTCGTCGTCGGGAAAGAATTCGACGCTTTATTGATTCGAACCGGACAAAAGCCTCTTCGCGAGTCAGCACAATACGTCGAAGGATCAGAAGATGCTGATGCTCAAGCGATGGAAGCTTTGAGCGAAGGGATCGAGTCCGATTTCCCTGATGCGTCGACGTTCGGTCCGCATTTGTTCGTCGAACCGGAGGATGGTTTGCAGAAAGTGTTTGAGAAGTTCTTGTTCTCCGGCGATGATCGGAATATCGCAAAAGTGTTTGTGAGGGGGAGGAAGGTTGGGGGACGGGATACGCTTTATAGACTTTCAAGGGAGGGGTAGGGTTGTTGTCGAACTGTACAGTTCCAGGGACTTGCCTAGACGCCAAAGTGTTTTAGCGATCATGTATAATGCTTTTGCAATTTATCACATAGAACTAGAGTAACACAAAGAGACGCTCTACAAACCCAGACTCTAATTGAGACAACCTTTTTCCACACCGATCAATCCGACTCGGAACCCCCACCTTCCTCTTCGTCATCATCCTCTGCGATATCTGCATCATCGATCAACGTCGCATCGACGATACTTTCGTCGATCATGGCGATGATTTGTCGATCTTCTTCGCTTTCGTCGGGGTGGAGATAGTCGGCGGGGAGGGAGCCGTGTTTGTCCTTGATTCTATTCAGCCAATGCGAAGGGGAAGGTCGGGGATCAGTTGAGTCATTCCAAAAGGTAAGTGGTCTAAAGAAAGGGCCAATACTTACTTTGGATCCGCGCCCGCATCCAACAACATCTCCATCACGCCTTGTCGTGCTGCGGGGTGTTCGAGTTGGGCGGCCAGGTGGAGCGGTGTGGCTTTGTCGAGACGGTTTTGTAGATCGACGTCGGTGCCTAATCCGTGGCAAGAGGTCGGTCGAGGAATTTAAGGTGTTGACGATTCGATTTGATTGAAGATAAAGAGGTCTCATCAGCAGAGGATCACGCGATCCGCTCCCAATTACACCCTCCGACGAACCTTCAGTTTCGAGCAAAATTTCCAGCACCTCGGGGGAAGGTGTCGAGGCGCTAAGAAGCGATCAGAAGGAGCGGAATGACCAGAATCAGTTTGACCGTTGCAGGATCTCATGAAAAGAGGGATCTTTTGACCGTACGCGTAATGTAATGCTGTGGCCGCGAATCCCGCGCGAAGATTCGCAGATTCGACGAGCGATGACGACACGTTCGTGTGTTGACCGAGCGGAGGGAAAACAGGGAGGGGACATGTTCGTGGACGAGTCAGTACTCGAGGCATTGGTGTCCTTCCCCCATTCCGATCTCGAACTCTGCCATCTCATCTCACTCCTCCTGCATCGCCGCGCCTTTAGCACCGCCGACCCCCACTCTCTCCACGTTTCCCCCATCCACCCACGATCTCAAGAGCCAATACGCACCCGTATTCCCCAGCCCATCCTGGTAATTCACATCAAACTCATCCTCGCCTTCCAGGACGGCTTGTAACAAGTCGACGGCATCCTGCTTGCCCGCGTAGAGTATTCGTTCGTCTGGGTTCGGTGGGTCAGGGTGGATGGGGAGGTAGGGAGGGGGTAGGTAGAGTCAGTGTGTGCGTGGGTCCTGGGTCGTAGAACAACGAAGTGGACTTGCTTGGTGTAGCCATGGTTGGGAAGGATGAGGTGTTGGTACACGGAGGCGGCGTCAGGGCAGAACAATGAAAGTAATCCAAGAGGCTCGAGCACCACCGCGACTCGACGCGCGCCTCGGCCTCGGTGATTCATTCATGATTTATCGACCAAAGGGGCAACTAATTCAAGACGACGTGCGATTTGCAAAAAGAAATATACCGCAAACAAGGGACTATACACATTTACAGAAGACACTACCGCAAGGGAACAGGATCCACGCGCACCGACGATATACTCGTATCAACACATCGCGCCCCACTCCCAAAGTCACCGACCAAACGCGCTCGAGCCAAGTTCAATCTCCGGGCAACGCCTAGTCTTGCTGCAAGTCGACGGTAGAAATCATCGCGACGGCTTGTTCGAACGGCCTCCTACGTTCGGCCGAGCTCGACTCTTGCGCCCGAGCCAATTCGGCCCATCCTTGTCCCAACCCTCTTTGTTCCTGCTCCTGTTCCTGTGTTTCAGGCTCACTCGACCACGCCCTGCTCGTGTCGGCCCTGGGTCGAGCTCGCATCGCCGGAACCCGTTGCACGACCCTTTCAAAGATGGTCCACCCGCCTTCTTCTCGAGGTCTCGTGTCCTGCTCGTCGACGAGTTCCATCTCGTTCGTCGCCAATGTCGTCGCAGGTTGATTCGGTTCTCGTTCTTCTTCCTCATCCTCATCGTCGTCCACTACCACTACTTCCTCTTCCTCTTCGTCCTCGATCGAATAGTTGAACTGTACCTCATCCTCGTCATCGTCCATCTCGCTATCCTCATCCTCTACATCCTCCTCGAGCCCTTCGTCATCCCCCTCCTCATAATCCCTAATATCGACCACGGCCGAATGCAACATCTTGTCCTTGTGACCAAAGACCTCCAACATGTGATAAGGTCCATCAACGACGCTCTCCTTGGTCCGCGTAATTTCCCGCTTGATCGAGCTCGATAGGCAGTAAACGATCACGCGCAGGGAGGGGGAAAGGTTCGCGGTCAAGCCTCGAAGGGTGACGGCGCGTGCCTCGACCGAGCTGGGGTCGAGGAAGACTTCTTGTATGATGGGAGGTGAATTCGTTGAAGGATCATCTTCGTGGTCGTCGTGTGAATCGAATCGAGTTGGGTCGAACAAGGGCATGGGTAAGTCTTGTTCACGATCGAGTACGCGCTTGCTCGTAGCCTACCGTACGTGCACTCGGGTCAGTGATGAACATACGCCCAACCTACTCATACATTGAAAGCACAAAAAGAGTCCACGTACCTCCCAATCCGTTTCAAAGAGTTGGGCGGGGAGGTTTTGTGTTTCGAGAGCGGATTGCGCCGCGAGGAACGTGTCCGAGAACAACGGGCGTGGCATACTGGGTGTGTGGTTCGCCAAGGTTTACTACACTAGGAGAGATTGCGCAGAGTCAAAGAGTTGGCTCAGCCTTGCTTAACTGGGCGAGAGGGCACGGTCGCTGTGCGAGCCTCGAACGAGCGGGCACGACACGAATCACAGGAGCGTGTATGCGGTGCGAGCAGCGGTAAAGCGGGGGGTGGATGCGACGTAGCACTGAGCACTGAGCAGCACACGTCACCACACATGATGCAGCACCCTTCTGGACTGGCCCGCACGTGTCTCATCGTTCGAAAACAACCCAGGCGCGAGGTGTCTGCAGGTACTCACACAACAAGACCTGTGTCGAAGCGGTGTTGAGGCACGTGATTGAACACTGCACACGCGAGAAGCGAGGATCGAGGTGTGGCGAAAGGGCAATATAAACCTGTACGGCAGTTTGCCCGGGGGCCAACGGCCACGCGTACAAAATTATGGACACAACAAAGAACAGGCGCGCCAGTAAATATAAGTTGTTCCGCCAGGTCTGGCCAAAATAAAACCAGAATGTTCCCCTGGCAGGCGCGCGCGCGCGCGAGTCCGTGAGTTGATAGACTATAGTGATCCAAAGAATACCTGCAGATCCACCCAGTTTTAAAAGAAGGTGAAAAGTCAGCCTGCTGTACAACAGCAAATTATGCAACACCACAATGCAGAATGACATCGATGATCCATGACGATGATGATGTTGATGATGATGATGGACTCGGAGGCGCAATTGTCGCTCGTTGACTCGAGCGTCTCGTGTCGGCCGAGTCATAGGCCGAGCAGCCTCGGTCTGAACGACGTTTGTGCCAATCTCTGTTGATGAAGTTGAATAGTGATATATAATCAATGACCTCTTGTCGTGGCATCTCCACCTGACGATCCAGAGCGCATCATCCCCTCTTCCAAATCTTGACACCAGTCCGAGCCTAGCGCGAAGTGGGTCAGCCGAGGGTTGGAAGCTAGTAGCCCCTGTGCTCATCGCGCCTTGCCCCAGGCGTCAAGTCGGGTGCTCGGACTGGGCGATCTCATTACGCGACTGCCTGTCCAAGCTGTAGTGACTGGAACGCACCACCTCCTTCGACGACATACCTAGCTTCTTAGCTCTTCCGACATGTAGTTCGAGCACCTGCATGTATGCAATCACGTGACTCTTGCCCAGACGTCACTCCGGTGGTCGCGACCTCGGATCATGCGGGCAAAGGACGATTAGGATTGGCATAGCTCGTTCTGATGTGATCAAATTCAAGCCAAGGGTGCAACATCGTAGTACACTTTTTTCGCTCTCTGTTGCGATCCACGCCCTGCATCTCTGCTGAGGCGCAGGACTATGGCACCTGAAACTGCATAAACATTGTGAATTAAAAATGATGGTCTACGGTATTAGCTGCTATGGATACAAAGGTACTTGTATAATCTAACGACTTGCGCCTATCTACCATCCCCTGCTAACAAAGTCTTTGGTGCGTTCCAAGCCGACATGAGCCGATGAATGAAAGCCTCCAGTCCAGTCCACTCCATGACTCTGTTATGGGTTTAAGCCTGTTCTTGCTTCATCATCGCGTATCCCTCCGGGCGCTTCCTCTTGTGGTATCTTAACCGCGTTACGAGCACGTAGACCAGGGCCAGAATTGCGACCACCGCGAGCAGCAGTGCCCCGGTCGATGGAGCAAAGGGTTCCGAGCGCAACGCCTGCAGCGACGGTAGAGCAGGCCCTGGAACCTGCTTCGTCGTGACGACAGCGTCCGGAGTCGGTCGCTGATTTGAAGGTACTGTGCCTTCGGTCCGGTCCTCGAATACCCGCTCCAGCGATCGTTCCATGACTTGCACCACCGTCCAGTCCTCGGCGAACGATTTGCATATGCCGCTACTGCGATTCGAGCGCACCTTCTGTGATTCCGGCGAGCTCAGCAACATTGGCGAGAAGTCCGTGAGCTGCTTGGTCACTTGAAGCGTGCCCCTTACGACGGGCATGGCGACCCTGAAATGACGCAACGAACCACTCGAACCCGTGATATTGGACCATGGCCCCGCAAAGCCGGGTCGATACGTGACCACGGCTTTAGTGACGGGTACGGGCATCGGCTGGCCACCGAACGCACGGAGGACGATTTCAACGCAGTCGCGTCGGGACATTTCCTTGTTGACGATGACGGAACTCGTTTTGGAGCAGACACCATCTCGAACCGCATAAGTGGCGTATCCGGTCTCGACGTGGTGTGTCGAATCCAGAAAGTAGGCCCTATGGATTGCATCGAGTTTCTGCGTTAGCTGGTGTGGCCGCGCCACCGAGCGTTGCATAGGGGCACTCAACCAAGGGTCCACAACTTTCTTGGAGCGGTCGCCCCAAAACGTATACTGGTTCCTCACTGGTGTCGAAAAAGCAGCAGGCACTGTTGCACCTGGCTCAAGCCAATCCCAAGTCCCAAAGCGATCCATGATCTCCTCGAGCACCGGCGTCTGCGGTGGTGAGGACTGTGCTTTACAAGTGCTCTTCCCAAGCGATTGGGAAAAGATCATACAGCTCGGCAGCATCCCCTTGGTGATCGATTCGACATCCACCTTGATTCTGTTCTCATCATAAGGATGGAGCATGTATCCCGCTGCCTCCTTGATATCGAAAGGTCGACGCAGATCGCGTGTCCATTCGAGAAAGGGGGCCATCGCTTCGATGGGGTCGGCGGAACGAGGCGGAACATCCCAGGTCAATTTGCCCGCTGGCTGCAGGACAAAGTACTCGTCCCAATCGACTGAGGCTGAAGGAACGATGAAGATATGGTGTGGTCAGGAGTGGTGCGCTGGGTATGTCTATTAGCTTCGTCGGCATGACGCACCAACCCATCGTACACCATCGGCCATGGACCGAAAGTAGCAGTCTTGCGCCGCCAGATTCTGGCCCCAATACCACAAGCTGCAGCAGCATACACAGGTGGATGTTCACACACTACTTAGTTAGTCAACTCTCACTGAGTTCTGAGGGGAAGCCGACTGACGCGACACTTTGTGATGTTCGAGCCGTTCCAAGCAACGCTTCTCTTGCGGGCTCGAGGGGCTCGATGCCCGGGAGGTTCCACTGGCTTGGGTCGACCGCAAAAGTGCGACGCAGAGGCTCCGGCGTGATGAACCAATCTTTGAGAATACCCCATCGTACGAGGACAATGTCCGGATCGGCCGAAGCGAGCTTTCGCAGGACCGACAACGTGATCGGGCCCGGATCCAACAGGTAAATGTAGATCCGTGTGAAGCCGAGCGATTTTTGGTACTGGCGGCGGCGATGGGGGGTCGTAAGTCGGCAAGATCAGCGACCAACTCCAACCAAGATCTACATTGTGACCACTTACGCTGATGTGGTCTTTAATAGACGACGAGTACAGCTCACCCCGTAGAGGGGCCAGGCACACGGCTCCCTGACCACGACCGGTGCGATGCTCGTCCACATCCAAAGCAGCAACGGAGCGAGCGAGGATGAAGGCATCGGGTGGGGGCGACACATCGATCGGATTGACGGTTACGTATCTGATATTGGTAGTCAGCTCGATTCACCTATGTCCGATCAAATATCAGAGCTTACATTTCGGCCCTCTCCCAGGCGATTGCGTCGTATGACATCTGGGGTATTCTCGCTAATGAACAGACGATCTGGTCCTGCGAGAGCGTCATGTGCCTGCCAAAGCCCCGGGGAAAAAACGCACAAATAGTTTAAGACCTCACGAAGCTACGGCAGCCGCGAAAACAAGGGTGGTGTCACTAGCTTACCCTCGCCTGTAATGATAGGCGGGCGAGCTCTTCGCCCTGCCCGTCGTGGCTATGACGGTCCCGTCGGGCTGCCGAATCAGAACTGAGCATTCGATGACATCGTCCGGATACCGGCCCTCGTTAGACCAACTGATACCATTCAACACCGCATGCATGAGAATCTCGCGGCGCGCGTTGGGCACGACCAGTGGTCGCGGGTCCACGAACGCCGAAACGATGTACACTTGGTCGTATGGCGCTTCGAGATGGGCCACGTCAAAGTGGTGCATGATGACGGGTACGATGGTGTTGGAGAGGGGAAATGTAGAGGAAGAGATGGCATCGTAGTCGGCCCAACCCGGAAGGTCGTTGATGACATTGTCGTCGCCGAAATCCTGCCGTGAGCTTGAATCGGGCGAGAGAACACCGGCGACGATCGTCTGCGTCAGGGGCGGTCGTGGCCCACTAGCACTAGAGGTCGATTGCCGCAGCCATGACAGCATGTGAGCCTTTGCTTGAAAGTGATATGAAGCTAATGCACATATCGAACAGACGAGAAGGGTCGCGAACAAGAGACGGTAGTCGTGGTACCACCTGTGTCGCCGGTGACGATGATCGCGTGCACCGCTGTTCGCACCAAGGGCAGAGTCGACTGCCAGTCCGTGGGATCGCCTTGTGGGAAGTTGGAAAAGCAGTGTTTGACAAGTGGGAAGATGGAGCCACCGGTCCATGTGGAAGCGTGTGCACCAGTCGCGGCGTTGGGAAGCGCGTTAGGAGTCGAGTTCGTCCTCGTCGAATGCCAAAGTCGGAATGGTCAGGCTCGGTGAAGTAAAGCCGACCACAAGTAGGGCATCAGCAATGGGAGGGTGATGAGCATTTATGACAAGGAGTGTGAGGTCAGCGAGAGATTGACAGCGTCTCGATCACAAGCGAAGTGCAGATGAAGGGGCTCAGGGGTATCAAGCTGTTCAGGGGTTGAGTTGAAGCTGGTGGAACGCGCGCAGACGCGCGCTACAGCGAGACGAACCACTAGATCGACCTAGATCGACGCGACGACGGATCGATCGCGCTCGGCCCGTTTTTCCCGGCAGCTGCTAAGTATTGCTACAGTCGTTGTCACCGTACTAGGTGACTCAATAACGCGGCCCTGGGGTCTTGTGCAAGCCACTAGAAAGTTCCCAATGCCCACCTTCACTTCCTTCTGATCAGACCCGCAAAACCAAGTTGAAGGCACCGCCGTGCGCCCGCGCCCACCGCTTCAACGCGCCACCCTGTTAGTCTCACCTTGGTTTCGGTTTCACATTTCGGCCCTGCGAAGGATGGCTCGTTCGGACGACGCGGCGACGACCAGCAGCAGCGGGGGCAGTGGGAGTGGAAGTGCTACAAGTGGTACCACCGGGACGTTGACCAAATCAGCCAGCTCGACTGCTTCTGTGGCGAGTCGAAGCCTCTTGTCCATACGGCGCTCGTCCTTGTTCAACAACAAGACCAGCAGCAAGACCACGGTCCAGAACGCCGCGGCCGCCTCGGACTTAAGCTTGACCGGGCGCGCTGCAGCGGCTGCTGGCTCGCCCGCCTCGCCCGTCTCACCTAATACCGAGGCCGAGGCCGCGCGCTCGGGCACATTGACGACGAGCGCGAGCGGCGCCGGTTTCGCATTCGGGCTCAGCCTCCGTCGACGCTCGTCCACTACGTCCTCGCCCATCAATGCACCCCACAGAGTTGAGCTACCGCATCGTCCAAAGACGAGCTCGCCGAGCCCGGTAGCCACGCCGCTCAACAGCTGGAACACGATCTTCACCCACGGACCTCATCCAGTAGGAGCTACCGCTGCCGACGCGCCCAGGCAGAGCACCCCCACCGCGAGAACCAGGAGCATGAGTCCCAACGAGCCCACTGGGCCAGCGATGACAAACCACCGTATGCAGCAAGACCTCACGACGACGTTCGCACCTTCCTTCGCGGCCTCGTCGTCGTTGCTGTCGTCGAACGCCCATGCCCATGCCCTCGTAAACCAACCATCTTTCATTCACCCCCACACCGCCTCCGCGCTCGTCCATGATCCCCACTCCTCGACGGCCACCCTGCCCAAAGCTGCGAACAAGCAGCAACACCCACCCTCTTCCGTGAGTAGAGATCCTCACCTCAGGCTGCGAGGCACTGACCCCGACCTGATCGATTGCAGAACTGGGCCACTTCACCCAGGGCCGCTACCTCGGCGACCCCCGAGCCCTCAACTCCAACAGGAGCAATGTCTTCTTCTGCCTTCAACGGCATGTCGACGAACAACAACACGAGCAACAAGCCATTGGTCGCTCAGATCAACACGGCCTCGCGGTCGCCTCTGCCCTCCGCGAGTGGGCCCTCTCCACTTTCGGCGACCAAGTCTTCGGCACTGGCCCCGATGACCACGACGGCGACCCGTCCGGTCCCCAACTCCAGCTCTAGCTCTCGTCGAGGGGAGCCAACCCTACCTCGCGGCAAAGTTGCTAGAGCACCTGCAACCTCCATGTAGTCAGTGAGACGTGTGGCACCTGGTACTTCACGTCCAAATCTGACCCCACTTCTGGTCCTTCCACCAGCTGGTCACGGACCCCCGTCTCGGGTCGACTTCCTCGTCCGATGCGAGCCCACACCGCCGTCGTCGTCGACACCTCCATTTATTGCTTTGGAGGATGCGACCTCAAAGGTGTCTGCTTCCGTGATGTGTGGAAGCTGGACGGCGATTCATTCCTCTGGTCCAAAGTCAAGGTCCTCGGCGATATCCCACCCGTCACTCGAGCGCATACATCGACCGTCGTTGGGAGTCGAATATGGGTCATTGCGGGTGGTGATGGGCCCAACTATTCTAATTCGGTCTATTTCTTTGAGACGAGTACGTCTGACAGTGGGTGCCCTACTTTGAAGGCGGAAGGAAGCAAACTGACATGATCCTGCCGTGTCATCGACAGCTTCTCACGAGTGGTTCAGGCCAAAGGTCTACGGGCCAGCACCTACGAAACGACGAGCACACGCTGCGGTGCTGTACGGGAGTCTTATCATCATTTTCGGAGGAGGGAATGGTTCCGTGAGTGTGCACTACGGCTAGCCCCTGATCTTGCCCGTCGCTGACTCTGAAGAGCCTTTCCTTCGACGAGTGCAGAACGCCCTGCAAGACGTGCACAGCTTGGACGTGTCGAATCATTACCGACCGACCTGGTCGGAACTACAAGTCAGGGGTCCAAAACCTGTTCGAAGAGGATACCACTCGATGACGCTCGTCGGATCAAAGGCCATCGTCTTTGGTGGTTCGGATGGAACGGAGTGCTTCTCGGACATGTTTGTGCTCGATCTGGGTGCGTGGAAACTTGATGATGCGCTTCCAGAAAAACGATGGCCTCTGACCGATTCGATCGTTGAATCTTTTTGCAGAGGGTCTGACATGGACCGAGATCATCCCTGAATTTCCTGCACCGGTTGCACCGGCCAAGGCGACCTCGAATGTTGGACCACCACCACGAACAGAGGCTTTCCCTCGTCTTTCGCACTCGGCGACCTTGCTGGGATCGTACCTCGTCATCTTTGGTGGGCATGATGGGATCGATTTCTCGAACGAGTTGCTCTTCTTTAATCTGGGTACGTGGTGGATGTCTCAGCTCACAGAGAGACGCTGGGTTGGTACTGATTGTACAACACACCGAACGTCTCACCCGCAGTGTCGTTGCAGTGGGAACCCCGGAGTGCGCACGGCCATGCCCCAAGTCCAAGGGGATACCACACTTGCGTTCTACATGACTCGAGATTGCTTTGTATCGGAGGTCAGCATCGATCTATGTACTCGTTCACATACATATGATGTGCGTGCTGACATGCCCAATGGCTCTCCCTCTCCTCCTTCCAGGCTTTGACGGCAAGCAAGTCTTTGACGAATGCTACTCGCTCGACCTGGGCGCCTTGGCGTTCTTACCCCAAGTGACGCAGTTCAAATTGGATGTTTATAGCGATCAAGAGGAGTAGGAAGGGGAACGAAGAGAGGAAACTGGTTGATAGCAGGCTTGCATATTTCAGAGTGTCTCGTTGAGTTTGCGAGAGGATAAAGCCGATTCAAGTTGATGAGTAGTAATGTTAGTCATACATCGAATCGTGACCCTTGCAGTCCTTTTTTATTGCATTCGAATTGTACTCCGTTTTATCATCGTACAGAGAGCAATTGTTTCCTTCCTCCGTTGGTGTATTTTTGTGCCCCAAAAGTGTCAAACCTTCAGAACAAAGTCAAAGGCCGAATACGCTTACCCCTCCTCCAGCACAAAGGGGCACGTTGAGCGACGGAGGGATTTGTCCTATGCTGCTGGAAATCGCGAGGGATCGGGATTGTTTCGCGGAGGAAACGTTCGTAGGCTGAGGCGAGAGAGGAGCGACGAAGCGGCGTCGGCGCGTGAAGAGGAGGTGCGCGGGTCCAGTGTTGTCTTTGTGTGTGGGCGGAGGGGTCAGGGAAGCGGAAGGTGAGGTGAGAGGGGCTTGAAATGGGCATGGGGGTGGAGTTCTAAAGCCAAAGAGAGGGGGGCAGGGTGAGCTCGTGTTACATGAAAGGGTGCGCAGCCTGAGCAGCGCGCCTGTGCAGGGTCCCCAACCTCACCTTTGCATCCCTCTCGACCCCTGTCCTGTCCTTCATCTCGCACTCCCCCTCGACCTTGACCTCAGTCTTTATCGCACCTTCCCCTGTGCCCGTCATCCCGTCACCCTTTTCCTGCCTCCTCGGCACCAAATAAGGTTTCAACACCTCCCACTCTCTCGTCCCAACAGGAGGTACACTCACGACCCTCCTCACGGTCGAGATGGTCACCTTGGTCGCTCGTTCGACGATATACACTTGTCGCCCGACATGAACTACCCCTTCGACGGTCCGATTCGACTTTGATTGAGTGCGGACCGGACCTAGAGAAGAGGGAGTCGATGGAGCATGTTCAAGAACGGATGGTTTCAATTCGGCGGGTGCTTGAAGAGGTTTTCGATCGTATGGCGCGGATGTACACGTCGTTCGAATAGGTCCGATCGATTCCCTTCGCTTCGGAGGCAGCTCGAATTGGGATTGAGGATCATTCGGACGAATTATCGCACGTTCTCTGGCTAATAGGCGTCGTTTATTGCTTGCCAATGTCGAGGCGAGCTCACAGGAACAAGCGAACTTTAAGGTGCGGAGCGTTCGGGCGGCCTGGAGTGCTTCGGCTGAGAGGGAAATTAGTAGGTGGGCGTCAGCTGTGTAAGGACAAGGGTGTGTGTTCGCGTAGCTGCGATGTACCTTTTCTATCGGTGTAGGAGGAAGTCGCCATTTTGTTTGGAAGGTCGGTAATGAACAAACGGGATAGGTAATCGAACCGGTCGGTGAAACGGAAGTTATGAACACCCCACGTTCACCGGGAACGGGACACGGATGGACGCGAAGAAAATACACAACAGAAGAAGCTTGGAGGGAAAATAAATGAAGTGGTCGATGAAGATGAGAGGTGAAACCCAAGTCGTTCCGCTTTGAGTGCGTTGCGTTGATGATGCGGCCGCGCGCTTTCGACGGGGAACCTTGTTCTCGAGAACGGTTTCAGGTTTGAGCTCGGACGGCGAGAATGGCCCTTGTTCGAAGCCGAATGCGTAAGGAGATGAAGGACCCTTCTCCTAAGTGACAAGGTCCGTGGTGAACACACCTTGAGCACAGTGCCGCGTCAGCTTTGCCTTCCGTGGAGGAAGGGGTCTCCGAACACACAAACAATTCGCGCCGAATTCGCACAGGGGGGGTGAAAGTACAAAGGGAGCCAGGGAAGCGGGCCTCGGCCTTCCGGCGATCGGCGGTCGCTCCGCAGCGAGACTTTTCAGACATCCCTTTGTTGGTTTCAATCCCCTCATCATAGCAGGACGGTGCCCATAATTCCGCCCTGTTGAAGGACGATTGAAGTTGTTGGAGGAGGATGGGTCGAAAAGTGGGGCCGCGCCGGTGCCGCCTCGACGGGCTTGTCACGTGATCCACCCCCTTGAAACACCGCGTCGCATGCGCTAGTTCATCTATCCCCGCTCACTTCAGATCGATTCACACGTTCAGTCCAACTCTGCGCAATTGAAGGCTGTCCGATCGATATAAAATCCCCGTGGAATATGTGTACGTCAAGGATGAAGTCTTGCAGTGGGCTGCACGATGCGAGGAAGCTGAGACCTCCTCAAAGCTCGAGACGCTGACCCCATGCGTCCATCTCCAAAGACGCGACGGCGAAGCCGCCGATCCTATTGCACCGCTTTACGTCGATCTCATGTGCTCACCGAGGTGCTCGACCACATCGCATCCCATTTGCCCCACCTCGGCGACAACAACCCTCGTTCCACACGGTCGAATGGGCGCTCCGGCCGTTGCCCACCGTGGTCCCGAAGGCTGGTACGAACGCGTCCTCAAGCTCATGCATCTCTGGATGGTCAACCGTCGTTGGTCCAAGATCATCAAACCTTCCTTGTTCCGTAGCGTCGTCGTCGGTCGTTCAAATCGGGGTACCGACCGGGACGTCGGCGCGCTGGTCTAGGCAAACCGCTTTGCTCCCTCTGATTGGACATCGTCGGATCAACCTCTTCAACTCCAAGCAACCTCGGGCCGCCAAATCAGGTCCTCATTGCTCGTCTTCCCAGGCTGAGGATACTCAAGCTGCTCGAAACTTCTCTCGACCAGAGCCGGGAACCAGCTTGTTCTCCACGGACAGGTTGAAATCTCCGTACCCGTCTCCGGTCGCCGAAATTCATGATACCCGAGTTGAGCGAGCTACTCGAGACGAATGCATGGTACGACTAAGACTTCTGAAACTCTTCTGATGGGTCGATTGGATCGCAGGGTCAGCGTCCCTTCCCTTATCGACGTCAGCAAATTATCGTTCAGGCCGGGTGTTACGATTGCCTGCTGAACCCTCGAATTGGTACGGACCGAGCACGCGAGGTCCACGCTCTTCTTCCCTCAAGAGCCAAGCATGATCACTTTCCTCAAATACGTCTCCAGTCTTCCCACTGTCGTCGTTGGGGATAAAATCGACGGCCTAACAATCACGAACAACGAGGGTGACTGTAAGTTTCGCTCCATTTACTTGGCCCGGAACCGAACTCGGATCCTCACCTGTGCCCGGACCTTTACTCGTGCTCGCGTCCACCTTCAGATGCCTCGCCCGATTACGTCTCCGACTCTGAGGACTGACACAGCGAGCCTGACCAGCTTGCACCTATCGACGACGATGATCCGACGGTCGTTACCAAATTGGGGCGAGAAGGTCGGCAAGCCGGGCGATCGAGGTCTCCGAGAAACCCGCTATGTTGTTCGAGCTGGTCAGGCTCGCTGTGTCAGATTCTTCGGCATCGATGAACATTTGGCGAGTGGATGACGACACCGTGCAGAGAGACCCGGAGGAGGGGGAACAAGAGAGAGGCGTGAGCCCGAGCGCCGATCGAGACGTCCGAGTCGTAATCCTCAGATTCGGAGACGTAATCGGTCGAGGCATCTGAAGGTGGACGCGAGCACGAGTAAAGGTCCGGGCACAGGTGAGGATCCGAGTTCGGTTCCGGGCCAAGTAAATGGAGCGAAACTTACAGTCACCCTCGTTGTTCGTGATTGTTAGGCCGTCGATTTTATCCCCAACGACGACACCACCTGCGCCGTCTGTACTTGTCCGGTTCTTTGGGGGCGAGGCAGAGTGTGTTCAACGCAGAGGAGATGAGCATTAAGTCAAGCTTTTTCAAGTCGCCTCGGTACCTCACGATGGTTTTGGTTCAGTGGTGTGGAGAGGTATTGGTATTATGAGGAATGGTCGACGGCAACGGGATGGTTCCCGAGTGTGTGATCGGAGGGCTGTTCTTGGAAGGTGGGGTGAGGGGAGGAACTTGATACGAACTTGTTGGATGTGGTGTTGAAGAGGAGGAGCAGAGCTGAGGAAGATTTGAGTGTCGAGCAAATCAAATTCAGTATGAGACGGGATAGAGTAGGATTTTACAATTTTGGTGAAAGTGGACACATATACTTTGGTAAGAAATGATGGTGTCGGCCCCGGCCACTGCCAGTGCATGCAGGTTTGACCCACGAGAAAGGCGGTCCGTGCGCGCAACTTATACGCGTCGGTCGGATTTCGCAACTCCAAAGCCGCTCTCAGCGGTCATTCCATCCCAACGATGTCCGACTCCGCAGCAGCAGCAGCTCCGATCGCGATGGAGGAAGATGGGCCCGTGAGATCGGACAAGATTTACGCTGTACGTTTCCATACAACCTTTCAAAGTCCCAAGCGGATCAAGTTGCGAAACACATGAGCTTGGAGTTGTGATCAACTAACGACCACCCTCTCATCTCAGCTCCCTGGCTTTACGGAGGGTTACACTGCGGCCACGTATTGCATCAATGATGAGGATCATACGTTGGGCAATTTGTTGAGGTGGATGTTGATGAAGAAGTGAGTCGGGACCGGTAAGATCGGTGCATTCAATGAGGGACGAAGAGCTGACGCCTGGGGTTTTTGGTGTGTTGTGTGCCTTTTCTGGTGTCACAGCCCGGACGTCGAGTTTTGTGGATACAGGTCAGCTTTGATTTAGATGATGAACGTTCAGTTACAGAGGCTTCGTATGGCTGAACTTTCCTAACGCTCTTCCTCTACCAGCGCACCTCATCCGTCCGAGGCTAAAATTCATCTGCGTATCCAGATGTACGGTACGTCAGAGGACATGTGACATCACCTCTCTAGCAAGCAAAAACTAAATGAACGAACCTCAAAACCCCGCCCAGATCAAAAATCGTCGCTCACGGCGCTACACACAGCCTTGGACAACCTCGAACAAATGACCGAATCGATCTTATCCGCCTACGCCGCATCGTTGGCTTCGGGGGACTTTGAACGTTCGGTTGAACCTTCTTACGATTTCGAGAGTGTGAATGATCGATTATGGGCGGAGAAGGAGGCGAGGGGGATTTCGAGGGAGGAGTTTGAGAGGAAGAAGAGGGAGGAAGTGGAGGAGAAGGAGAGGTTGGAGGGGAAGGGCAAGGTCAAGAAGGAGAAGGGGAAGGGGAAGGGTCTCAAGTAAGGAGAAGATTGGGCATGTGCTGTTTAGTAGTTGTACTATGGGTTGTAACTTTTGCATTGTCTGGCTGCACGGTTTGGAGCGACCCGAGGCAGATTTGGTCACGTGCTCAGCTTTTACTCGTCGACGGAGAGATCTGAACTTGGGAAGGGAGGGAAATACCTAGGGTCCACATCAGAAAGTTTATCCAGGTGCAGTGAGATAATTTTTTTCAGGATCGGCTGATCTCCGATTCGGGTTCACCGGTAATTCTCCCTCCTGCTAGGCCCGCTGAGCCCAGTCTTCGCACTCTGACCACTTCCCTCCTTACCTTTCCCTCCCTCCCACTCCACCCGGCCACACCATCCCTCAGCCTCACTTCATGGCTCCCCCTAAATCCCGTTACAGAGGTTCCACCTCCAAGGGAAGTACCACGCACCGGCGTTCTACCCGTGGAGGCGGTAGCAATTCAACCGGTTCACGAAGTGATCGAAATGTATACGGTGGGGTCAGTGGGATCGAAGTACCTGCTTCGGCTGTTGATCAAGAGGGGAGTAGTGGGGAGGATGAAGGGAGTGAGTGTTTTTTTCCTCGGTATAGGGGAATTGGGGTTCGTCGGGTTCGCTGATGCTGTGGAGGGATTTTGAGATGCGGTGAGCAGATGACGTCGATGGGTTGACGATGGGGGAAAAGAGGTTGCCGGTGGCGATGTGGGTTAGTTGTGATGCATCAGCTCCATTCAAGCGCAAGTGATTCAGAAAGAAGCTGATCTTTGGTTACGTTATCAGGATTTCGACCACTGCGACCCTCGCAAATGTTCGGGTAAGAAACTCGCTCGCTTAGGGCTGATGAAGGAATTGAGGGTCGGGCAAAAATTTCAAGGGGTCGTCATGAGGTGAGTGAGATGAGGTGAATGTAATTCGGGATGTTCGCGGATCGGAGAATTTCCTTGGTGAACGCTGTTTCAACATCATCATCATCAACAGTCCAAAAGGAACTCAAGTCGTATCCCCCTCGGATCGAGATATCGTCGCTTCTTCCGGTGTCGCCGTGGTGGAATGTTCATGGGCTAGGTTGGAGGAGATTCCGTTCCATAAGATCAAGTCGCCTCATGAGAGATTATGTGGGTGTCGCAGGGCGATGCGCGAGGGGAGGAGTAGGATGAAGAACTGATTCTTCCGTTCACTCGACGGGGTGGAGCAGTACCGTACATGATCGCGGCGAATCCGGTCAATTATGGCAAACGTACGTTCCCTCTCACCAAGCAACACACAGAGAACATTTGCAGGGTAAACTCACATGATGACCTACGTTGCGGCCCAGCCTATAAATTGACCTGCCTCGAAGCCGTCGCCGCGGCCCTGTACATCTGCTCGTTCCCCACCCAAGCCGAAGAACTCCTCTCCAAATTCAGTTGGGGTCATTCCTTTTGGGAGATCAACGGACCGATCATAAGTCGCTACCAAACATGCTCGACACCTGAATCGGTGTTGGAGATGCAGGAGATTATTATTGAGGAGATGAAGGAGGAGGAGGAGGAGAGGAGGAGGGAGAAGGAACGCGTGGAGGAAGAGGGGGATTTGTTGGTTCTGAACCCGAATCATATGAGGGGGGCTTGGAGACCGCATCATTCTGAGGAGGAGGAGGAGAGCAGCGGGGAAGAGGACGATGGGGGAGGGAGTGAGGATGGGGAGGATAAAGTCGATACGGTCACGACGGGTGTAGGGAGGACAAGATTGGAGTGAACCGAGGGAACTGATAGTGATTGCATATAATGTACATGGCACAAGGCGTGCAGAGTGAAAGTGCGGGAGGATGCTTGGGAGACCGTGGACAAGGAAGGCGCCGACGATGGACCGGCTAGGCGAGTAGGCCGGCGATCGCTCGTTCCATCTCTTCGTCCTTTTGTATCTCTTCCGGTGTTGGACCCGTCTTTTGCTGTGGAAAATCATGGGGTCAGTGTTCTTTTCGGTACGCTGCACGCTAGGAGGAAGTGGGAACGGACAGGTAATGTGCCGAGTTTGCCATTCGCCTGGCCCAATTTTCCATCGGTGATCTGCCACAGCATCTTGTCGACCTCTTCCTGCGCCTCCTCCTCCAGCTCTTCCTCGTCGTCGTCGATGGCGTCGAGGGTGTCGTCCATCATCTCTTGCATGATGCCGGCCTTCATCATCTCTTGCGACATGGCGCGCATCGTCGCCGAGAGTTGGGGTTGCGAGATGAGTTGGTTCGACAGCTTCATGATCTCGGTCGACTTTTGTAGGGTGCCGGTGATCTTGACCGTCGCTGCGGGATGAATAAGCGGGTCAGTGATCCAAGTGAATGGTCGGCCAGGCTGGACGAGGCTGGCTGACCGACCGAGCTGATGGGTCAACTGCATATTGATCGAGTTCAACCTCGCTTGACTGGTATGCAAGCGATCCTTTTGCTTGTTGCTCCTGACGACCTCCCTCGCCAACAGCTTTGCATTCTTGAAATCGCCCTGGGTGGCCAACTTGCGTACTTGCTGTTTGACCTTGTTGGACGCGGTGTCGAGTTGTCGGATCTCGCGGTCCAACGAGCGCGATTGTTGTTTCAGTTGCTGTTGCCATTTGCGGACCTTTTCTTCCGGGGAGGGGCCAAAGATGAGACGATTGACGGCTTGCATCGTAGGCGAGGGGTTTAGGTTTAGTGGGGGAGGGCGACAGAGGAGGAGGAGGCGGTCACGCGTAGGGGAGGAAAGACAGAGGAAGGTGCGCGTCGGGCTGCGTCGTGATCGGGCAAACGACGTTCGGTGTTCTCGGACCGGCCCGAGTCAATGCGCACGGACCTCCCCGAGTCGACGCGCACGGACCTCCCCCACTTGACTTGGGCGGCGGCGGCGGGCGGCGGCGGGCGGCGGCGGGCACGCGCGACGCGACGCCGGGGTCATTGCCACTTTGGCAATCTTCTCATCTCCATGTCGACATGGCACGACCAACCACGCGATCAAACACATCGACCCCATCCAGGGACAAGCTCCACGGCGAACCAACTCGTCCAGCCGCTCCCGCACCCATCCCCGTACCCGATCCCATCGCACCGCCTCCTCGCCCTTCAACTCGACCTTTTCACCAACCCACACCCCGACCGACCACGCAATCCATCAGTCCGCTCCCTTCCCGACTGGTCATCATCGCTTCCTTCTGGGCCGTGATCGTACTCGCGCTCCCGTTCTGGTGGAGAACGACGACGATCGAACGCAGGCCGTTACCGTTGGCCCAGATCGAGCAATGGGTCAACAAGGACGTCAGTCTCACCGATGCAGCCGCTCCTTGCAATCGAATCTGACGCGTTAGTGTCGATCTCACAGCCATGCTACCTCACCCCCAAGGTGTCGTTCGCTTTCGAGTCCCCGGCGGCGAACAAGGACCCCAAAGTCGAGCAAGCGATTCATGCGACCATGAATCGATTGGCCAAGACTGAGCTCGCGCAGTGCCTGGATGTGCAGTGGGCTCAGAGTCAGTCGAGCATGTCCCAATGGGAGGAAAACGGGTACTGATCGATCATGAACTGCCCCTGCAGACGGCGAGAACGCGACGTATCGGATCCTCCTCACCGATGACGACGAGTTGCTCAAGCGACGCTTCCCACCGAAGACCGTACCCGTCTCCACCAAACCCGGCAAGTTTCAACCCCACCCCCACCCACACCCCTCCCTCCCTCCACCAAAACCCCCCTACTTATCCCCCTTACCTTCCCACAGGTCTCCCCGACCGTCTCTTTGGAAATGCGTCAACCCTCCTCGGCGGGAAACCGACCGATGGCAGTCTAATCGCTCCCTCACCGAGCATGGCCAAGTTCTCCCCGACGTACAAGCTCGTCTTTTCGCTTTTGAACGAGGACTCGTTTTCCGGGGACGCACTGCTCGAATGGCAGATTCATAGCTTGTTGAAGCGTAAGTTGATCATCGCACTGGGGGAAAAAATAAAAAGAGGAGAACGGTCCTGAATGTTTCCTTTCCGCCAACACAGGCCACGTCGAACCCCTCCTTTCCGCTCTTGAACCTCTGCACAACTTTACGATCGACACGAGCATTCAATACTTTGCTCCGTTGACGCTCCCTGTCCAGACCATAGAAGGGGAGGGATCATGGATCGTCGAGGATGATTTGAGGGCGTTCGTAAATAACGCGGATTGGAAATTACGTGAGTTCGCATCTGGACTGAAGGTGAAGGTGAAGGTACTGATGTCGATGGTGGGCTTTTGAGAACAGCGACGAGTTTGACGTTGGATCCAATCTTGCACTTTATCTTGTTCGTGCCCAAGAAGCAACATCGACCTCTCAGGATTAAGACACTAGGTACGCGTCTTGACACCCCCGTCCAGCTCCCGCACCACGCTAAACCCTTGATCCCCCCACTCCACGCGAATACTAGACGGTCGTTCCTCCCCAACAGGCTTCATCACCCCCCAACGCGGCGGAGTCGTCATCTACAACCCCCCCAACATCGACCCTTCCACCCCTTCTGAAAACCCCGTCAAACCCCCTAACCTCAGCACCGCTTTCCGTCTGTTTGAAGCCCAACTCCGAAAATTGCTCGGAGTGAGCCCTACGCTCCCCGGACCTGATTTCGTCACGTCTTGGCAAATCGATGCCTTGGTGAGGCAGAGATTGAACGGCGTCGTTAAAGAAGCGGTCGAGAGTTTGAGTAGTTTGAGAAGGTTGGTCGAGGAGGTGGAGAATATGAGGGTTGGGAAAGGGGTGCAGAAGGGGGTGAGGAGGGCTTTGGAGGAGTTGAAATTGGTGAGTCATCTTTGGGGGGGTTCTTGCCCTACTTTTCTCTATCCGAAGGGAAAGCCAAAAAGAAAGCGAACCCTACTAACCGCTCCCCTCACTTTTTTGCTCTTCCAACTCAAACAGGCCGAAACCCACCTACCTTACTCTCCCCCCCTCTCTCTACACCATGCCTTTGAAGCGCTCTCCCTCGCCTCGAAAGCCTACTTCGATCCCTCGATGTTGGCCCTATTGTACTTCCCGGATAATCACAAGTATGCGATTTATACGCCACTTTTTGGACCGGTCGCCGTGCCGTTGCTGATGGCTTTGGGGAAGGAGTGGAAGAAACGGAGGGGGAGGGGGAGGGGAGAGGAGGGAGAGATGGAAGAGAAGGAGAAGGAGAAAAAGGAGGAGGAGAAAGAGAAAGAGAAGGAGGATGAGAAAGGGAAGGAGGAGTCCAGTTCATAGACTTGTAGGATGAGGCGTGAAATGCGTCCAACGTAGATCCAGCCGTGGTCGAGGGTTGAGCCGGAGATAGTATGAACCTCTCGAGTCGGGAGATCTGCTTCAGCTACCAACGAGTCGCTCAATATGCCACGAATCGAGATCAAAAGGTTGCAAGTGCAGGTATGCGAACGTGAACGTGGAAAGAGCGCCCGAGCTTTGATACGACAAACGAAATGCAAGGAAAACGACACCCCATCCCCAGTCCGAAAACACCACCCATTCTCTCCCTCTACCCCTCTACCCCCTTGCGCCTCTTCACGAACCCTACCACCTCCTTCATAAGTTGCCCAAACCCTTCCACATTCCTCACGTCCTGACCTAACCAACGTGGAAGTTGAGTCTGTTTACTCACTTGTTGGTACCGCGCATCGAGGAGGATGATGGCGGCCCAGTCGGTCGAATTTCGAATCGCTCGTCCTATAGATTGGTTCACGGCGCGAAAGGCGAGGTTTTGGTCTGAGAGGGAATGAAAATCCGGAGTCAGCGAACGCGTTCTTCCTTCTTGAACGGAGTGAAGAAGTAGGGAAGGTGGGATACTTACATAACGTCTGCCCTGGATCGATTTTGGAATCCTTGGGAGCCGTCGTTTTGAGGAAGTTCATCCGTTCTTTCAATTCTGTCGATTGCGCATTCGGATAAGGTATACCTATACGCAAAATGTAGTTTCACTCATCAGGCCCCACAACTCAACTCATCATCCCAACTCCTAACGTACCACAAATGATTACCGCCCTCGCCATCTCGTTGGCGAAATTGATCCCTTCGGATAACTTGGCCCCGACGACGGCGAACAAGATCGCCCCTTTCGAAGGAGGGGTCGTGATCGCTGCCGAGTAATCTCGTAAGATGAGGTCCACTTCGGAAGAGGATTTGGGTTCCCAAAAGACCTGTGTAGGATTTGAGAGGGTGAGATAAGAGGGTGGGGGGGAAGAGAATTGGGAGGTAGGAAAGAGCTGACTTTTTTGCGGGAGCCCAATCGAGTGATGAGGTTCGTCTTTTCCCACCTTGCTTGGATTTGGAAGAGGAAATCGTACGAAGGGACAAAGACGACGATCCCGTGCGGGATCACGTTCGTCAGATTCACGATCGAGTGACCTAATTCGTCCAGCTGAGGAATCGAACAAGGATCAGTATGTGCGCTGCGCTGCGAGGCCTACGGACGGAGACTTTACTAATTTCTCGTCCTTTCTTCGATCGAATTTGAACTCGAGCGATCCACCTGTCGGTCCTTTACTAACGGCGAAACAAGCGATATGATCGGGCGGCACGACATGACCGCACGAAAAAGTTGAAAACCTTTCGCTGGGGAGGTAAGGGAAGAGTTGATCGCGAAAATCGCTCATCTGAGGAACGCAACAAGCTCAGGTCTTGCTCTCGAACTCTGAGAGGCAGTAACCAGTCATCGTGAACATCCTCAACTCACAGGCTCCATCGTCCCACCTGCCAAAACGACGGATCTCGCTTCCTCCGTGACGTCCTTGAACGACTCGCTAGGCGCCAACAACATGTACTTGAGCGTCACCTCCACCTTCTCCGGGCCAACCTGTCCCGCTTGAACAGGTTTGGGTTCAGTACTGAGCAAGATCCTTCCGTCCTTTTCCGAGCTAGCGAGCGAAAGTATGAACTTTTGTATGCGTTGCAAGTTGCGCGTCGCATTCGTCCGTACAGCCTGTCGTCCCGCCGCGGTCGTTTCTTCCGCCAACGAATCGACATACCCACCAATCTGTTCAAAATAAAAGGCTTCCTCAACTCAAGTAAGCCGCTTTTTCGAAAAGATACAAAGCGCGAGCAAAGTACGAACCTTTCGAGCGATTTTCGAGGTCTTGAGGTATTGATCCAACTTGAACAAGTTCACCTGATCGATCGCACCCTTCCCTCCCCCGACGGCCCCTCCACGACTTTGGAACAAGGCGTTGACACCGACCATCTCCTCCTTCTTCTTACCCTTCACCCTCTCATTCGCCCAACTCATCGCATATTCCGCCAAACCCCTGAGAAGAAGAGCTAGTTGACGCAAGTAAGCTGCATTGGCACCGTTGAGGCGGGTTTTGAATTTGGTGAGGTAGGTCAAGAGGGCTGCGCGAATGGAGGTGATTTGAGAGGTGGTGATGGATACGCTGTGGAGCTGGAGTATCGAGTCGATGAGGTTGTGCGCCTCGTCGACGATGATGATGTGACTAGGGGGAAGTGGGGTGGAAGAAAGGTCAGCTCTCCCCATTTGAGATGGAGAAAGTCATCGATTTGTTCGGAACTGACTCTTTGACCGAGACGCCGAGCGCTTCTCGAGCCGCTTTGGACATGAGCATGTTGTACGGCAGCTGTGAAGTAAACGGTCGGATTAGGAGGGATTGGAATCAGATCTCGTCTAATCGGTCGCCATCATGTGCTCACAGTCACGAGTTGAGCCGATCTCACGGCCTTGCGTGACCCGTAGTATGGACAAGTCTTGGTTCTGCGCCCGAGGTCTTCGATATCTTCGATATCCCCCACCTGGGTCTGAACGCACGGTCAAACGTGAGCATTGTGATAGACATCATCAATCCCATGAAGCAACGTACCAATGCTCGATCCCTAAAATCGTTCAACTTGGTCGGTTCGCTCATCGGCGGCAAATAGGGGCATCGCTTCTCCTCCGTCGAACCCTTTTGCAGTTCCAAACACAGATCGCCCAGGACCTCATTACTGCCATGACTCTTATTCCTCATCTCGTCATTGATGCACAAGTTCTGTCTCGATCCGAGAGGGATGACGCGGATCGGGGGAATGGAAGTGGGACTCCCTTCGGGGGCGTCGGGGATGGGCGTGGAGTGGGAGAAGGGCGTCTTTCGAAGTTCGGCGATGAACTGCGAGAGTTGCGAATGGGTTCGAGAGGCAAAGTAGATTTTTTGGACGTCAGGTTCTTCCTGTTCGGGTCCCGTCGAACCTCGTCCGTTGATCCTGTAAAGTTCGGCGGGGGTTAGAGGTTAGTCGAGGGAGGACTATTCTACTGATCGACCGTGGACGAGAAACTGACTTGGCCAACATGGCCCGCACGGCGGGGGAAAAGTTGTCGGGTCCGTTATCGTCGACTTTGTGGGTGTCTTGTTCGGTCTCGTAGTAAGGTTCAGGCGCAAATTCGTCCTCGCTCGGCTTCGAGTCTGGTCCTCTTTCTCCGTCGATGCGCTGGAACAGGCGAACGTCAATCATCAAGCAGACAGACTTTACTGTGAAAGCACTCTTCTCACATACATTCCTCTTTCTCCTCCCCATCTGAGCAGCTCCCGACGGCATCAACTTCCTAAGTTCCTCCTCCTTCTTCCTAATCTCCTCCAAGCGTTGCTCCAATTCGCTCTCCTCCCTCTCCCAAGCCTTGAGTCGACTCTGAATCTCATGCTCCAAAACCCAATCAGGTTCATCCTTGGAGCCCGAATCTGCGCGTACTTGAGCTTGGATGGTTTCAATGAGGCTCGTGCGGGCGTGGTGTTTGGCGTCGCGGAGGAAGGTGAGGCTCGCTGAGATGAGGGAGAGAGATTTACCCTGCGTCCGGCCGGAGGGAGGAGTACATCAGCTGGGGGGGCATCGCGATGGGTTGACTGAGCGAGCCCACGTCTCTCCGACACCGCTCACAGTACCAGTAGGCGATTCGATAACGGTCACTTGCGACCGAGCGAGCGCTTGGTAGAGGTGTTGCATCAACTCTTGCTGGATCGAATACGCCGTGTACGGGAAGGAGAACGAAGGGTCCGAGGGGGCATAGTCGATTGTTGTTGTGGTGGGTGGTGGGGCAGCTCCATCGGGGGGAGTGGCTGCATGCGATGGTGTCATCTTTGGGTGATCATGAGGGGTCGGGGAGGTGCAATGCAGTTGGTGCGAAAGGAGCGGCCAGGTCACGAGCGAGACGAGCGCGTGCGAGTTCAATTTACGCCGCACGGCGTGTCGACGCGCCGCGACGCGTTCAGTCAACCCTCTAAAGGTCCGCATGACTTGCTCGTGATGACCCATGATTCCGCGATCCTCTTTCCGGATTCCAGATGAAACCCAATTTGCTTGCACTTTACTACATTCGGAGCCGAGCCGCTACGGCTGCAGTGGCAGGCGATGACAAGTTGCAGTGGTCCGAGCGTGGCGCCGATCATTTCCGCGACCAGTCCGAACCTGGAGCGCCCGCTGCGCCCGGCACGCGGCACGGCATGACTCGGCCGAGGTCGGCGGCGACGACTCTTGTGCTCTGCCAGCTGCTGGTCGAACACCTCCGAGTCGGTTAAACACCCCTCGAGACGACGACAGTGGACGACGACGAGCAACGACTGGCGCTGGACGTCAACCTTCGTCGATCGCGATGTCGAGTCTGACCAACTCGATCCTACCCACGACTGATCATGGTCTGCACCAGTGTCACCTCAGTGCGAGCCCTCCGAGTGCCGGTCCCGCGGCGCCGACGGGCCTCTTGACCGAGTCGTCCTTGGCCGAGTCGTCGTCCGGCACTGCCACTCACGGGAACATCATCGTCGCACCCTCGTCATGTTCCTCCTCCACCAGGGCAACTTCGCCCACTTCCACTACCACAGCTCTGACTACGGCCCGACAACTCAAGAAGAAATCACAACGCCCGAGTTGGAGCTGCACCGAATGCACGCGCCGCAAGATCAAGTGCGACCGCAACGTGCCCGGATGTTCCGCCTGTCGTCGTCGCAACGCCGTAGACCAGTGTCGGCTTGACGAGTCACTGTTGCTCGAGTCGGCAGGAATGGCGACTACACTCGGGCTTAAGCGTCGTAGGAGTAGTAGCAGTACCTCGCAGCTTCCGCCTCCGTCGAGGAACCCGCTCCACAAGCCCGAGCCTGAGCAGTCGAAGAGGCGCTCCCCCATCTCCTCCCCGGCGGCCGCTTCCCTTTCTTCCTTCACGGACCTCACTCCGGGTCTGCATGTACAATTTCAACCTCCCCCCGTGCTCGTCAAGCAAGACTCGAAAGGGATGGAGGTCACTTCCATATCGAACGCGGCCGCGATGGATCACCACGCTTTGAACAACGTCGTCAAAGGTCTCCGAGCTCAACTGTCCCAACTCGAGCAGGTCGTCAGCCGAATATCAAACGTACCAGGACAGTCAAAACACTCCAATGGCACAACCATAGCTAGTACCGCTGCCAACGCCGGAAGCCGGCCCGAAGGTGCCATTGCCTCGAACGAATCTTCAGCGCGCAGCGCATCATCTCCCGAACCGGACGGCGAGCTGGAAGCCGCCGAGACACTCGAGTTTCTCGCCATGGGACGAGATCGAAAGGCGCAACACCTTTCTCGATCCGAGCTGCGTCGACCTGCGGACGAGGAGGACGCTGAAGATGCGATTGTCGTCGATTCGACTCCGAGTACGTCTGCCGGTGGCGCACTGAGCTGGCTCGGCGCTTCGCCGACCTCACTCGTCAAGTCTCCCATTGCGACTTTGCTCCCACACCCTCCCGGTCCATCAGCCGACACTTCACCTGCCCTGCTCGATGATAGACGAAGTCGACTCGTCGCGTGTTGGGCCATGTCGCACATGCTCGCCCATAACGGCCTCCTCCACCCTCCGACGTTCCTCGCCGAGTGCATCGAGTTCGAGAACTGGCCTCCTAGCGATCGCTATCGACTCGTGAACGCCGCATGGTTGGGACTTTACTACGCCGTCCTCTGTGGTGCGCTACAACAAATGTCGAGGCACGACGCTACGCAGATGGGCCTCAGCATCGACGAATACCATCGTTTGCCCAAACTCTACTTTGACGCCTGTGTGCAGGCCCTCCATCGAGCCGATTTCTTGTCCAAGCATTCGAGGTTCAGCGTGCAAGCGATCTGCATCATCACGACGGCGGGGTACGAAGCGGGACAATCAGATCTCATTAATACGTTGCTTGGGTGCGCGATCCGAATCGCACAACACCTCCAGTTCCATCGCTTGGGATCGGATCTCGAATGGCAAACTCGACAAGCCCGTAAAGGGGTCGTCTTGACGAATGAGATGGGGATCAAATCGGCCATCAATCGGGAAATTTGCAAACGCCTATGGTGCACGCTCGGAGCGGACGATTGGTTCACGTGCACTGTGCGACATAGTTATGCCATTCATTCGACCCATACCAATACGCCTTTGCCATTGAACATCACCGATGAGGATCTCTCGATTGGAGCCTTGTCCAAGGCGTTGCCGTACGACGTTCCTACCCCCGCATCGAAGTTGATCCTTTTGCATTCGCTGGCCGATCGAGTCCGTACCTTGTTCGACCTCATCAACGGGACCGACAAGCCGAGTCAGGAATTGACGAACGAAATCGATTCGGGGATCGACGACGTCATGCAACGTGCACCGGCGTGGTTGAAGGCGGGGTGGATCCCACCCGTGGGGATGACGGTGCCGAGTTGGGTTGCTGAGTTGAGGCAGCATTGGTTCATCAGTGTGAGTGACACTTCTCCAGATTTGTCATCGATTCCTCCGATTACTTAGCCTCAAGAATGGGCTTACAGTGCGAACATAAGCGACTGGTCCTACATCGCCTCTGTCCCAGTCGTGGCTTGTTCCGCGATACCGCTCACCCCTATGTTCGTCAAGCCGCGGTCAAGGCTGCACGAAAGGTGTTGCATCATTTTACGGAAACGGACAAGTGGCCTAGAAATTGGACTATAAGGTGAGAGTGTGATGTGCGGGAGGGAAACTCGTCAACCTTGCCTGGCAGGACTGATGCCCGTTGCTTCCGTGAATTTCACAGCTATCACGCCATCGTAGCTTGTACGACACTTCTACTCGACCTGTCCCATCGGAACACTTCATCATCCTCTACGTCCAACTCACCCTCCACCTTGACGTTGACACCCATCCCCGTCCCTCAGTCGACCACCTACCTCGCCAAACGTAGCGATGTTCTCTCGGCTTTGGAATGCCTTCGTCTTATCAGCGACGATTCGATCATCGCTTCGAGGGGGATCAGGTTGATCGAAGCGATGTTGAAAGAGGAGGGGAAATCCAAGGCTCTCGGTGAAGTTTTGCAGCACAAAAAGAAAGATCAAGATGGGGATGATTTCCGAGGAAAGGGTTTCAACGGTTCGCAAACCCGTCCGAATCGAGTCGACCTCCCTTCGGTCCTGCAGACGGGTCCTCTCGGCCCGACGTCCGTACCGCCTCCTCCTTCTCAAGGGAACGTGCTGACCTCCCCCTCACTAGGAGCCACTCTCTTCGACCCTTCCCTACACAGCCCACCCACCGCACCCCTCACCCTCGTCGAAACTTTCGACCTCTCCACCAATACCCTCGGCCCACTCCTCCAAAACCTCCCCGCCTCTTCTTCCACTTCTTCAATCCCATTACTCGATCCCACCCCCACTCAAACCGACGATCTCGGCGCTGATTTTAGGTTGGGGTTTTCCACTTCTTCCCCTTTGGGAGGAGGGGATGATTTCGCGGCGTTGGAATCGATGCTTTTGGATGGGTTTGGTAGGGATTGGGAGGCTTTTGATCATGGTGGTGCTGGTGGTGTGGGAGGAGGCGGAGGAGGAGGGGGGGTTTTGGAAGGTGGGTGGGGGCTTTGATGGAGTGGGGTAGTATTACATGAAGTTGGTTTTGCTGTGAAAATGCGAAGTTGAAGATTTTATGCGAAGTTGAAGATTTTATGCGAAGTTGAAGTACTGAGACACAGAACACGAAACGGGATCTACTCGCCCCCCACCTTCCCACCACTACCTCCAATCCCACTCGGGTTCTCACTAACGACCGTCCCCGGCGGGAAGATCTTCAACTTGTGATACTTTACCAACGTCTCTCTGAGGTAGATCAAATGTTTAGCCTGGAAAGCTTTGATTTGACCGATGCCTTGCTTTGAACCGAGACGTTGACGAGAGTCGGAGCCGAATATTTCGGTTTCGTCGGGTAGGTGGTGAAGTGGTCTGGTGGTGGTGGTCGGGCGTGGGAGTTCAGCTTCTTCTTCCAGTGTTGTTGTACCTGGTGGTGGTGGTGTTGGTTCGGAAGTTGAGTTTGGTGGAGGGATGAAAGTTGGAAATGGTGAAGCGAGGACGACACATCCTGCTCCGATGTGGGAATCGGACCCGATGGTCACGGAGTGGACGACCCGACACCGCGGTGAGAATATGTTGTTGGATCCGATGGAGGGGGATTCGATACCTTTTTTAAAAAAAATTACAGGGTCTCGTGAGTCTGGGAGGAAGAGAATGTCACATGCCCCTAAGGAGGTTCGTCGGACCTACGGCAGGCGACTTGGAAGTGATTATCATTCCCTATGATCATCGGCGTCTTGGATCGATTGATGATCACGACCATCTCCTCGACGATGTTGTTGTCGCCCAGGTGAATCGGACCCGAAAGTGCAAAGATGGTGGCTCGGGGATGAATCACGCAGCCTTCAGGGACACCAACGACGACGAAATAAGTAGGACGTCTTGAGGTAGTGTATCTTGGGAGGGGGTTAAAACATACCTGCTCCTATTGTGACGTGTCCACGGAGATCACAGTCTTGCACGATGACGCATCGCGAGCCGATCTTGAGCGAGTCCTTGTCCTTGTCTTTGGTGTTGGTGGTGTTACTGAAAGGGTGGCTCTGGGATTAGTAACTCGACATTTCCATGACGATCCGTGATAGTACTTGCACGTCGACCATCGCATCCGATTCCGGCGCCGCCGTACAGAGCTAATCGGCCAGAGGTCGTCGAGTGGTGAACGTACACCCCCCATCCACCTCGACGCGCCGCGACGTAATTGGCCCCAAGTCTAATACGAGGTCGCGGTCGATCACCGCGCTCGGCCCGGAGGGTGGGCTGAATATATGCGCATTTTAGCGGATGATATTGGAGAGTGAAGGGGTGAAGTGAACGAGCAACAATACGCTTAGCGAACGCTGTTTTTACCACGTCACATTGCACTTGGATCATGTCCGTGCTTTTGATGGGGTTGCGCAGTCGCGGTTCAATCATCACTTGAGGGCAGTGCTTGGCTTCCTGAACCGGTGCCATGCACGCCGCGTTCTCTCAGCTGCCGAGGCGCCGATCGCTGCTGGCTGGCAGTCACCGCCGACCGGTCTCCGAGTCGGACTGCCTCTTGACTTTGGCTCCTACACTCTACAAAGCTTATAACCGATTCGAGGCCTCGCAAGACCCCAGAAACCTCGTCCAATCGGTCCAGCACGGCCCTCTTCAAGCAGCCTCAAAAAAAAAAACGACTCCAAAGTCAAGCGGCGCTCCCGGAGTCGTCTCGTCGTCGTCGACGCGTTCATTTCTCCAACCGCCAAAAGAGGAACCAGCAGCACCGCAATTCACCCCGATCAAGCTTGGCCAGCCACGTCAGATTCGCTCCCCTCGAACCCAACTACCTCCTCTCTAATCCTTCACCACCATGTCACAAGAGCGTTCCTTCAATGTCGGCGCGGATTATCAAATGTAAGCCTTTCTCGGGCCTACTCTCCTGATCGGCCTCCGCCCCACACGAGACAGCGTGTGTCGACGCGGCATCATGCTGGTGCTTTCTTAGAGGGCACGCGTGAAATGGATTGCGAACCTAGGCTAATGGGGTCGTGTTCTTATCAACCACTCCTTCAGCGTCGATGTCGTAGGAGAAGGAGCGTACGGCGTGGTCTGTTCCGTCAGTACCTTCCCAAAGTAATGGAACGACCCTTGGAGGGAAGGGCATCATCGCGAATTGGAGAATCAAGGGGCTGACTGGATATATCGCGTCTCTTTTTTATCAGGCCATTCACGTCGGGACACATAGTAAAGTCGCTATAAAGGTCGGTTCAGAAATATGGAACTTGGGGCGAACATGTACTGATGCTTGGCGTTTTCGCTCGAGGTTCCATCTCAGAAAATCACACCCTTTGATCATTCAAGTACGTTGGCGTCGCCTCAAGGTGACTCCCAAGACGTCGGTAGAAGCTGGATTTATTCTCCCCGCGTTCTGCCGCCACACAGTGTTCTGCCTCCGGACCTTGCGCGAGATCAAGCTGCTGCGCTGGTTCAACCACGAAAACATCATCTCGATCCTTGACATTGTGCGCCCGCCGACGCTCGAGGCCTTTTCCGAGGTTTATCTCATTCAGGTTTGTCTATATTTCAAATATAGCTTTCACGAGCCTTGAAGCTGATGTGCTTGCGGTCGACTACCTAGGAATTGATGGAAACGGATTTACATCGAGTCATCCGGAGTCAGGAACTGTCGGATGACCAGTGCGCCACCGAAGCTTTTTCTGTGACAGTCGTATTAGGAACTGACAAGCCCAACCTCTTTCTGTCGTCGCAGTTGCCAATACTTTTTGTACCAGTAAGAGTCCTACCAAGCCAATACAGACCACGGGAGACGTCGCTGAACCGCCTTTCGTGCGTAGAACTCTTCGAGGCTTGAAGGCGCTTCATTCCGCCGCGGTCTTGCACCGAGATCTCAAACCTTCCAACTTGCTCCTCAACGCCAATTGCGATCTCAAAATTTGCGATTTCGGTCTGGCGCGGTCGGCGTTGTCGGCTGAGACGGAGGCGGTGGGGTTCATGACTGAGTGAGTGGGGACTCTTGAGGGTGATCGCGGAGAGAGGCAATGGCTGATGTGAGCTTGTTTTTGGGGAGACAGATACGTCGCTACGAGGTGGTATCGAGCGCCCGAGATCATGTTGACGTTCAAGGAATACAACCGAGCCATCGATGTGTGGTCCGTGGGATGCAGTCAGTCCATTTCTAGGCTCTCCCCTCTCAAAGTTTAAACAACCCCCAACTCACCCCTCATCCCGTGCAGTCCTCGGCGAAATGCTCTCCTCGAAACCCCTCTTCCCCGGCCGCGATTACCATCACCAACTCACCTTGATCCTCGACGTACTCGGTACCCCCTCCCTAGACGACTTTTACGCCATCTCCTCCCACCGCTCACGGGACTACCTCCGAGCTCTCCCCTTCCGAAAGAAGCGCCCCTTCAACACGCTCTACCCGAACGCGAATCCATTGGCGTTGGATTTATTGGAGATGTGTTTGACGTTCAACCCCAAGAAGAGGATCACGGTCGAAGAGGCTCTCGCTCATCCTTATTTGGAACCGTATCATGATCCGGAAGATGAACCGACGGCGGAGATATTACGTGAGTTGATCTATGGACTTTTTTCGAAACGACTGAGGAGGTGGGGTGGGCGCTTGGGTACACGAAACTGATTCGATTATTCGTGATTACTTGTCTGGTGGTGGTGGTGATTTCAGCTCCTGAATTTTTTTCCTTCGATAAGGAGCAACTCAGTCGAGAACAACTCAAGGTGCTCATTTACGAAGAGATCACCTCCCCTCCTCGAATTGGGAACGTTTGATTCCTCGGTTAACGATCAAGGTCTCGATTCGAGGGAACGGAAGAAGTGTTATGGTAAACACTTTGTTCGACTCTTGTTCTCTATAGGGTGTTTGTGTATCGAAACGCTTGAAATGCTTGCATTTGAAATGTATCGTTTACGGGAGTGTATGAACCACCTTGGAAGGCATCGCTTCACTTTGCTCGCAATCGGCGTTGCTGTTGAAGATAGTCCTTGACCTTGACCGAACAATTCCACCCTGGTACCAAAGGTGCAAGACCCAAATCCTTTCTGGAACTCGGATCTGAACCTAGGGATAAAGCAGCCAAAGAGAGGTAGGTATGATACACATCTATTTCCGCGACGAGATTGGCGCGAAAGGTCGACGAGGGAAGAAGCCCAAGGGGGGGGGGGGGGGGGGGGAAGAAAAGCCAGATCAGTGCGCTCTCCCTAACTTTTGTAGGAAAAGGCCCCTTCGCACATTCACTTACCAGGCATCGCTCCAGATTTCCTCGCGATACCACCATATACCGCATGCTGACACGATAACAACCATTCCCGATCCATCGAAGGGTTGTACCATTTTCTTGCCGACGGGATTGGTTCCGATCCTCTGCTTTGTTCGGGTGTTTCGAATAAGGGAGATATCAAGGAGAGGGAGGCGACGGTCCAGAAGGAATAGCATGCGTCGGGGGGTTTGGAGAGACGGCCCTGAAAGCCTGCGAGTGGGCGGGGGTCGGGGTCGGGGTCCTCTGCCGAGGTGGAGGTGGTGGAGGGGGAGGAGGTCGTCGAGGGCGGGGTTGCGACAGGAGCGACTTGTTTCCCTACCAGAGATCGAAGGAGATCTTGAGGGGCCGGTAAGGAGTGGAGTCGGGAAGCGAGGGAGAAACAGGCTATGGAACAGTAGGTCGTTCCTCCTGTCAAGTCGTGGGAGAAGAGAGACCGTTGAGGATGGGGGACTCGGAAGGGGTTGAGAAGAGCTCGCGGATGATTATTTCTTACCTTGTGCTTCGGATCTGGGCCCGGTCGCGAACCCTCCGTCGGGTCTCTGAATGATTAAGAACATCAGCTACATGTCATCCATCCGAGGAAGCCCTACAAAGAGCCCACCTGGCAAGTGATCAAGAACGCTAAAGCCGCTTCGAGGTCGATCGAAGACCAATCGTCGAGCATTGACGCCAAGACGAAAGCGGCATAGGTCGACCTTGGGTCCCCAGCTTCAGGACACGATGGAAACTGTAGAAACCTATCCAATGAATATCCGGCATGGCAATGAAAAGGTCAGCTTGGCCCGTGGAGAGCTCATAGACTCTTGACTCACGATCCATCCCCGTTTTGACACCTCGCTATGAACCTCAACAAAGCCTTGCGGTCCAATCGACGGAAATCATCCTTGAGGATACCGAGGATGAGGATCGCGGTGTAGGTCTGGATCAAGTTGGCTGGAGCCAGTGGGTGTTCGAGTTGAGAGGGCGGTGCAGGAGACGGAGTTTCCGAGGCGTTTTCTTCCCCCGAGTGTGAATCGGAATCCGAGTCGGGATAGCCCATGAGTCGATCGAAATCGTCTTGATCACGTTGGGAAGCGAGAGGGACCAGATTGATTGAACTGTCTCTGATGAGAGTGCATATCAGCTCGTCAGCTTTGCCTTGCGCAAGAGCGCTCCCGGGACTGGGGCCCCACACTCGAAACTTAACTGATGAACTGCACTCTCTCCCACCCCGACAGCCGCCATCGAATCCCCTCCTCGGAACCCTCCACCTGGTGACTGTTGTTCGTAGACCCAGTCGATGTAGCCTTGTCGTTGTTCGGGTTTGAACAGGACGTCCAAGGCTGAGAGGGAAGGGTCGTTCGTGGGCGATAGACAGGTCGAAGGGAGTAGCGAGAGCGACGAGAGACAGAAGTAGGCTAGGGGCATCCTGTCGTGGAAGCGCAAGAGCAGAGCGGTCAGCGTGATGATCAGCGGAGCAATCCGTTTAATAGCGTACCGTGCCTGATCCTCGGCTTGGTACGGGGACGGGAGGAACTTGAGCGAGCGGAAGCAGAAGAGCGCATGCTTGGACGCGTGGAAAGGGGCTCCGTTCCCTTCCGAGCGTTCCCTAGTTTGCTCCGTCATAATCTTCTGAACGCCTTTCGAGCGGCTGCAATGAGCCCAAGGTAGACGCGGTCGCAGGAGGAAGGAACCGTAGCTGAGCAGCTGGTGCAAGACGACCAATTATCGATCGTTCGCGCGCGCGCACGGACTCTGTTTTGGGTGCAAGAGCGCCATCTCCGCGCTTTGTAGTGCACTGAGCGATCCCCGTCCGTCTCCCTGTCTCACCTCAGCTATACCCTTTCTTAGCATGGCCAGTCTCTTGCGCTCTTACAACGCCGCATTGTAAGTTGCAATGATCATCCTCCCCCGCAACGGCTGTCTCCGCACTCGACCTTCGCAATCCGAGCGGAGCTACGAGCTGCAGACCTTATTACTGATAGCCCGTTTTTTTCCCTTAGAGTGGCGAGACCCTACCTGGCCGGATCAGCTACTGCAGGTACATAACGCCTCACCAAATCCTATCCGGGACCTTCTACAGCTCCGCACAGGCCGAAAGACACACTCGGCGACCGAGCAATCTGACCAGAGAGAGAGCTGATCCCGAGCTGTCCATCACTACAGCTACCCTGTTCGGAGCAGGCGATGTCTTGGCTCAACAGGCCGTGGATAAACAAGGCATGAATCATGATGTGAGTATTCCATGTGCACGTCGGGGTCTTGCTCGTCCACCTTTCGCGATTTCGTGCGAGCTCCAGGTCCAACCTACGTCATCGACCCGTGTCGTCGCACCATAGGCCTCGTGGATCAAACTGACACCGAGACCTCCTCAACTGCGCTGAGTTCAGGTCGTACGAACAGCTCGTCTTGCTTTGTATGGAGGTGAGCAATCCCACAACGCCATCACCTCGTCAACGAACCAGTCCCCTCGTCCAATTTTGTCGCTCTCGGCTAATCTCGTCGGTCTCCGCTTCATTCTCCAATCAGGTGTCATCTTTGCCCCTGTCGTGACGAGGTGGTACCAAATGCTCGAGGGGATCAAACTCAAGTCCAAACCAGCTCGTACGTCTCGGATCGTCCACCTACGTTGTCCGTCTATCTTACGTACTCTCGTCGCTACTCCACCCCCTAAACCCTTACAGTCGTCGCCACCCGCGTCGGCTTGGACCAATTCGTCCTCACCCCCGTCCTCGTCAGCGTCTTCTACACCTCCATGGCCCTCTCCGAAGGCCAAGGGATCCAAGGCGCGAAAGAACGCGTCCGTTCCGCTTGGTGGCCGACGTTGCAGAAAAATTGGGGCTTGTTCATTCCCGTACAGATTGCCAATTTCGCGATCGTGCCCGCGCATTTGAGGTTGGTGTTGGTCAATGTGGTGTCATTGTTCTGGAAGTGAGTACATGCTTCCGATTATCATGTTACGGTTCGCTTCTTTGACTGACGCGAAGCTCTTCTGCTGTCCCCTCCTGTAGCGCCTACTTGAGTTATGCCAACTCGAAATCTTCGACGACGGTCGGCAAGATTGAGGAAAAGAGAAAAGCCTTGCTCGAGTGACCTATTGTGCTCGAAAAGTAGGATTCGAGAGTGAGGAAATATAGAGCATCATTTTTTTCCAATTGCGCAGAGCTGGGGCGATTGTTGAGATGTAAATGCAGCACTCAAAAACTCGGCGACGAGGGTGACGGCGCAGATATGCAGGGGGGCAGTTGGATTGCAAGAGCATCATGGAGACACGATGAATACGATCGAGACATGCTACAAATCGCCCCGGATTAGATCCCCTTGATCAGGCTCTCCCTCTCCTCCTCCCTTTCCTTCTCCTGCTTCTCCTCCTCCAATCTCGCCACCTCCCTCTCCTTCCCCACCGTCTCTGCCAACTTTTTGACCAGACTTTTCATGTTCTCCCTCTTCTTCGCCGAAACAGGGGTGACCCAGATCGACCCCTCGTCCACTCCCATTTCGTGCTCGAGTTGCCGAACCCATTGGATGACCTCGGATAACTTCCTCTGTCCTTCTTCCACCGACGCTCCCGCAAGGCCTTGATCCTCATCCACTTCCCCCTCGGTCGTTCCTTCCTCCCCACCAAACAAATCCGCCTTATTGACCACGACCCCTCTGACGCTCCCTCCCAACCCCGTCCCTTTCAACCGATCATATTCCTCCAACTCGACCTTCAAAGCCTTCAAAGCACTCAGCGGCTCCACCTCCCCCGCAAGATCGACGACGTAAACCAAAGCCCTACAACGTTCCAAGTGCCGAAGGAAGGCGTGACCTAATCCAACGTTTTGCGCGGAACGTTCGACCAAGCCTGGATTGTCGGTGATGGTGAAGCGCATCACTTCGATACGTTCGGGTCGGGGTGGGTCGTCTTCGGATCGCGTCGAACGACGCGGTTTGATGATTCGTGGTGAATCGGCGGAGAATTCCTCGGGTAACGAACTCGTATCGGAGATCGTTCCTCGGGGTCCGGAAAAGGTTTGGTCAGAGTAGAGAACGCAGGTGCCGTGGTGCGGGTTGAGGGTTGTGAAGGCGTACGAGGCGACGCGCGGTGTGGACGAGGTTAGAGCTCGGAGCAGGGTTCTGGTCGTGATGTAGGGGTGGTGGTGAGGATCAGTTGTATGCGCTTACATGCCGAGTGGAATGAGCAGAATGTACTCACGACTTGCCCGCATTCGGCATTCCGACCAGTCCGACCTCCCCCCCAGCCTTGACCTCCAATTCCAACCTCATCATTTCGCCGTCCCCACCCCTCGTCGCATACTTGGGCGATCGATCATCCGCGGCCTGAAAGCTCGGATTACCCAACCCAGGTTCCCCACCCGCCAAAAGTAGAATAGGTTCCGATAACGGTGTTGCCGTCTTGAGGTCGAGGTACAAAGGGGGTGCTGCCTCCTCGACGGGACTACCCCTCTTCCTCCTTCGTCTCACTTTACGGCCCGGGACCCCCCCTTTTCTCGCAAGCAACTTGCTCAAGAGTTGATTCTCGGCCAACAGGAACGAAGGATGACTCGCCAAATCTGCCATGGGGTAAAGCACGAACAAGTCCTTCCTGACCCTCTCATGAGCGGCCATAACGAAAGGATCGAACTCGACCTCTTCTTCCTCCGGGAAGACGTGCCAATCCTCCCCCAACTTATCCGCCCGGTCTTTGCCCCTTTTCCACTCGTCCCATCTCAACGTCCTCTTTTGCGCTTCTTGTAAGCGCACCTCGTTGACTTGAAAAGCCATTTCCAAATCGTCGCGTTCCTCTTTCAACGAATCCAATTCGTTCTCCCTGGGTCGAACTTCCCGCACGACGGTGCCGAGCGGTACGCGAAGAAAGACGTCTTGGCCGTTCTTACCGGCTAACCATTTGCTACCACCTGAACCACCTCGTCCTGCTCGGAGGGTCATGGGGAGATGGGAGAGGGACGTGACCGTCGGTGTGGACACGAGGTAGACGGATCCACCTTGACCTCCTGGACCTCCGGAGGGGGGACCTCGCGCCTTTTATCAGGGGGGTGGGGGGGGGGGATGTCAGTTTCGGAAGGAGAAAGTGGAGTATATAATTTGCATTGCTTGTCCTCACCATGAACTTTTCCCGATGGAAAGAAACGCCTCCTGCGCCTCCCTTTCCAGAGAACAAAGCGATCGAGAGCGTGTCGATGAAATTCGAGCCTTCCTAAGAAGTGTGCCATAGGAAATGGATCAGCCACTCATTCGCTACGCTCAAGAATAGGACCTTCTTGGGTTCTCACCTGTCTTCTCTTCCAATCACTCTTGGCCGTCGACGATTGTGACGTGCTCGGACCAGGAATTGCTTCTGATGATGGTGGTTGCGAATGAGCATCCTCGTCGATCGCGCTATTACTGGCGGTCGAATAGGAGCGGTAGAGGTCGTATCGTTGCGAACATGTGCAGGGTAGCTTGGTGTAGACGCGACCTAGGAGGTAACGCGTCGTGGTGGGGGCGACCATTCCCTCAGAGTTGAAGCGAGATCGAGAGAGACGACACGGCGAGAAGCTGAGGGGGTGCGCCGATCGGGTTGGCCGCGTCGGAAGTCTTCTGAATAAAAGCTCTACGGTTAATGATGGCGTTTGAATCGTTGTGAACTCGGTAATGCCCCACAAGCGGCCCAAAGTGACGTACTCTTCTGGGCCGACCACGCTTTGCTCAGCTCCGCAGCCTCTGCTCCCGCTTCGCCATTCACCCACACTATCCCAAGGGACCCCATCTCCGAGATGCCTCCCATCAGCAACCCCATCATCGGTGACAACGGAGCGCGAGTCGCCAAACTCGCGACGGACTTTATCCTCGCGCGCTTGGCTCAACATCGTTCGTCGTGGACGGCGAAGAACGGCCCGGCCCAGCCGACGCCGCCGTTGTTTGTGGGTGTTCAAGGGCCGCAGGGATCAGGTAGGTGCTTGTCACTGGGTGATATGGCGGTGGGAAGGGCACGGCTGTCCAAAATGAGCGACAATTCGAACTGACGGCGCAAAGTTTACCCTATTTACTCCCCGAACCCCCACACCCCGGGCCTGGTCCCCCCCCCCCCCCCCCCCCCACCTCAGGCAAATCGCACCTCGTCTCCCAACTGCCGACCCAATTAGCCCCCTTGCGAACGGCCTCCCTATCCCTCGACGAGCTCTATCTCCCGCATGCGAAACTCCAATCCCTCGCTGCTTCCCATCCGAAGAACAAGTTGATCCAAGGTCGTGGTCAACCCGGGACGCATGATTTAGCCTTGGGGGTATCGGTCCTCTCCTCCCTTGCTGGGATCAATGAGCCTTCAAACGAATCCAACGTGGTCGAGTTACCAACTTACGACAAGTCACTACACGACGGACAGGGCGACCGAGCAAAAGAAACGATCCCCGTTCAGGGTCCGATCGACATCGTCCTCTTTGAAGGATGGTGCGTAGGATTTCAACCCCTTGATTCCTCAACCCTCACCCAATTGTACACCACCACCTCCCAAGACCCCAAGACCTACGCGGCCCAACACCTCGATTACGAAACGCCCTTCTTCATCGAACACTCGTTGGATCACTTGCTTTGGGTCAACGAGAGGTTGGCGAATTATGCGAAGGATTTGTGGAGTTTTTTGGATTGTTTCGTGCAGATTGAACCGAGGCGGATGAGTTATGTTTGGCAGTGGAGATTGGAGGTACGTCCCGTGTTCAAGTGTTGGCTCGGCAGAAGTGGAGACGTGCCTCGTCTCCATATCGACTCGAATGGGCGGCTTGGGAAGGAACAGGAGTTACGAATTTGCCCTCCCCGCTCGCGATCAGGGAACTGACTTTTTTCCCATCTCCCAAACAATTTTCATTCGGCGTATGCACGAATAGCAAGAACATAATATGAAGTCCAAAAATGGTGGGGTTGGGATGACCGACGAACAAGTTCGGCAATTCATTGGCAGGCGAGTTTTGACTGTTCCCTTTTCGTTTTTCCAAGTCTAAAATTCTTTCGCCGGGAAATTGACCCATTCACTCGGAACTGGGTTCCACGTTTCAGGTACATGCCTTCTTACGAACTCTTCCAATCGGGAATACAATCAAAGGACGCGAGGTGGTTTGGGAAGGTTTTGAAGCTGGTCGCGGGGAGGGAGAGGGAGGTGGTCGCGATGGAGGATCAGACACAATCCGACTCGGCGACTGCGGCAGACTGAGGCTCGGTTTGGGTAGGCAAGGGGTCGTCTTACAAAAGTAGATCGATGTATAGCCAGTATCCGGTAAATCATCAGAGAATACTCGGATTGACTCTGTTTAGTGTGTTCGAGGGGGCGCACGCCAGATTCTTTCAGTGTCGTCCCAGCTGTCGCTTCGTCTCAAAAATTCGACGATATGCAAGTGGGATTGTAGCACCTCACGGCTTTCCAAACGGCTGCCACAAGCCGTGACAAGCCGAGTAACCTGGAGCTTGGGTTGACAACTGATGTTACAACAATGCGCAAAAAGTTCTACATGCTGAAAGGAGAGCCGACAGTAATCATCCGTCTGCTTTACTTGGATCCCGAAGAGAACTTGGTGACGGCTGGGAGAAAGCAACAGATCACGTCAGAATCAACAGAAAGAGGATCACCGAAAGCAATGTTGTTCCCGGCCGACTCACCCTTGGTGCCTTCCGAGATGGCGTGCTTGGACAATTCTCCGGGGAGGATCAAGCGAACCGAGGTTTGGATCTCTCGCGACGAGATGGTCGACTTGCGGTTGTAGCCCGCGAGTTTGGATGCCTCGGTGGCGATACGCTCGAAGATGTCGTTGACGAACGAGTTGAGGATGAGCATCGCCTTGTTCGAGATACCGGTGTCGGGGTGGACCTGCTTCAACACTTTGCTGTAGAGGCGAGGCCAGGAGGGAGGTAAGTGCCTCGTTCGCAGACGGTCGCTGCGAGTGGAAGGGGGAAAGAGCGACTAACTAGATGTACGACGAGTAGGTCTCCTTTCGGACCTTGCGCTTCTTCTTCTTGTCGCCATCGGCGGCGGGGGCCTTCTTGACGGCCTTCTTGGCAGGGGCTTTGCCAGCGGGGGCCTTGGAGGCAGGGGCCTTGCCGGCGGTCGAGGCGGGCTTCTTTTCGGCGGCTTTGGAAGGAGGGGCCATTGTGGATGAGGTGGTTGGGTGGTGTGGTGTGGTGGTGGGTTGGGAGCGGCAAAGTTTGAGACTTGTGATGAGGAGGAAGGAGAGAGTTGTTGGAGCGCGTGAGGTGATGGGATTCGATTTTCGTAAGCGCGCGGAAACAGAGCGGTGACTTTGGGTGCTTGTTTTCGTGACGTGTGCCACGCTGGCGCCACGCTGGCAAAATGGGTCACCGTCAGCCCACGTCAGCGCATCTGCGGACGCGCTGGTCGGCGCTGGCCACGGTGTCCGCGCCAGTCTAGCCGAATCACCTAACTCGAGTCATGCTCGACCGCCTGGCGCAAGAGTGCACAACTCGGCTCAACTCGGCGCTCGCCAACTGAGTAGAGTTCGGGAGTTGGGTTCGCTTCTCTCTTTGCTTCTTCCTTCACACAACTGCTCTCTTCGCCCAACACACTCTCATCTCCAAACCTCACCCCCGACCACCCACACCCTTCTAAACAACATGTCTTCCGGTGGCAAATCAGGTATGTTGCTGAATTCACTTCTTCCCTCCCTTCATCGTCGTCGTCGTCAACTTGGGGCGCCGATTACTGATCCGTCCTCCCGTCTTCTCTGCTACTCAGGTGGAAAAGCCAAGGCTGGAGCCGACTCCAAGACCCAATCGCGATCGTCCAAGGCCGGTCTCCAGTTCCCCGTCGGTCGTATCCATCGATTGTTGCGACGAGGCAACTACGCCCAACGCGTCGGTGCCGGTGCGCCCGTCTACCTCGCCGCCGTGCTCGAGTACCTGGCCGCCGAGATTCTCGAATTGGCCGGTAACGCCGCTCGTGATAACAAGAAGTCGCGTATCATCCCCCGTCACTTGCAACTCGCGATCCGCAATGACGAGGAGTTGAACCGTCTTCTCGGCGCCGTCGTCATCTCGCAAGGTGGTGTGCTGCCCAACATTCACTCCGAACTCTTGCCGACGTGAGTACTTCCGCATGACCTCTCTGTATGAATTTGGTTGCTGATTATGCTTTCTTTACGGGCTTGACAGTAAGAGCAAGAAGGGAGAGAAGATTGGCGCCGATGCTTGAGAGCCCCGCTTCGAAGTCATGCTTTTTGTCTTTTGTACCCGTGCAAATCACTTGTTGTAAATCAATCTCACCTTGCCTTGAGGCACCCTACTCGTTGCTATCAGCGAGCTTCCTTTCGGGCTGTAGAAGAGATAGTTTCAGGAGTGGCTGCTGTGACCGCTCGGACCTCTTTTCGATGTTGTGTTTCCGTCCCGACCGACCAGGTAGATACCACCCAGAACATAGATAATGTTGCTCTATGGCTTTGACCGTCTGTTTTATTTGCACCAGTGCAACAATACACCTTTGGTCGTTGCCCCATTTCAGCCTGCCAGGCAACTTACTGGCTGGGAGGCGGCTTTGAAATCGTTTCGAGCGGTGACGCGGCCACTGTGGGCCAAATGGCGCGCGTTGCTCGTCAAGCGATCCGGCTTGCGCTCCCGTCCACCACCCCACTTTTTGCTCGTCATCGCTTGATCCGACATGGTAAGCCACCAGGACGTACACTCTACTCTCCAGCAGTCTGACCTCAACTGGTCCATGATCGACGCAGGGAAACGCAGGCTCGACACCAGGAGGTGCGCCCGGCGGCGGAGCGGGCCAGAATGACAAGGACAAGGTCAGTACGATCGACTTGAGACGCGCAGTCGCGTTCGACTCGGTATGCTGATCCGATCTGCTATTGGTGTCCTGAACAGAAGCCAGAAAAGGTTCGTCCGCTTCGCGAGGGAAGAGATGACTGAACGCTCGTCGACAGACCAGACGGGGAAGCGCTGACGCAAGCCCTCCTTGATCTGTTCTTTTCATGTGCTCGCCCTTGAACCTCTACTCTCGCCTTGTCAAATGACACCTCTGGATGGTCATTCGGATCGAATAGAAGAAGTGGGAACCGCCATTGCCGACACGCGTGGGCAAGAAGAAGAAGCGTGGGCCCGACCCGACTCAGAAGCGTACGTCGCCCGCGGATCCATCGTCACACAGCCTCCTTCTGTTTCCATGTCGGATACGTCCCACCACCCTGTTGGACTGTACTCACATGTCTTCGGCCCTCGTTCCACACGTGCAGTCCCCGCCGTGTTCCCCAATACGAGGTGTCGACTCAAGCTGCTCAAGATGGAACGCATCAAGGACTACCTCCTGATGGAAGAAGAGTTCGTCATGAACCAAGAGCGACTCAAGCCTTCCCTTTCAGAGGACAAGAACCAAGAGGAACGGACGCGCGTCGACGACTTGCGAGGTTCGCCCATGTCCGTCGGTAACCTCGAAGAGATCATCGACGACGACCACGCCATCGTCTCGTCCTCTTCCGGTCCCGAATACTACGTCTCGATCATGAGTTTTGTCGACAAGGATTTGCTCGAACCGGGGTGTAGCGTGCTGTTGCACCACAAGGCGATGGCGATCGTCGGTGTTCTGCAGGACGACACGGACCCCATGGTCAGCATGATGAAGGTCGACAAGGCCCCGACAGAGAGCTATGCCGATATCGGTGGATTGGAGCAACAGATCCAGGAGATCAAGGAATCGGTCGAGTTGCCGTTGACCCACCCCGAATTGTACGAAGAGATGGGCATCAAACCCCCCAAAGGTGAGCCGCGGGCAGAACCAGCAAGGGTTGGCTCAAGTCCACTGACCCACCGTTCAATCTCTCTTCCGATCGCCCCCACAGGTGTCATTCTTTACGGTGTTCCAGGGACAGGAAAGACCTTGCTCGCCAAAGCCGTTGCGAACCAAACTTCGGCCACCTTCTTGCGCATCGTTGGGTCCGAACTGATTCAGAAATACCTGGGTGATGGGCCCAAACTCGTGCGCGAGTTGTTCCGCGTCGCTGAAGAGTTGGCGCCCAGTATCGTCTTCATCGATGAGATCGATGCCGTCGGAACAAAACGGTGCGTTTTTTGCTCTTCCTTGGGAGACGTCGATCTCGTCCTTAAAGATGACAAGAGAAGCTGATGACGGCCACGAGCCCCCTTTCAGATACGACTCGAACTCGGGTGGAGAACGAGAGATCCAGCGTACGATGTTGGAGTTGCTGAATCAGTTGGATGGGTTCGACACCCGCGGCGACGTCAAGGTCATCATGGCGACGAACAAGATCGAGTCCTTGGACCCGGCTTTGATCCGACCGGGGCGAATCGATCGAAAGATTGAATTCCCGTGCGTTCTAGAGTGTTGTGGGCTCGTTCTTTCTATATTGTCGCTGACGCATTCTTATTGCGCCCACCCGCAGTCTTCCGGATATCAAAACCAAGCGCTACATTTTCAAGATCCACACTTCGCGCATGAACCTCGGCGACGACGTCGACCTCGAAGAATTTGTTCACACCAAGGACGAACTCTCCGGTGCGGACATCAAAGCCGTCTGTACCGAAGCTGGGTTGTTGGCGTTGAGGGAGAGGAGGATGAGGGTCACGATGACCGATTTGAGGAGCGCGAGGGAGAAGGTGCTCTATCGCAAGAAGGACGATGGGCCGGCGGGATTGTACTTGTAAAAACTGCGTTTCATCTTCTTCTGCCCTCCTTCACGACCTTTTCGTTTTCCGCCTGCAATCCACTTCGTTTGCTACTATAGCTGACCTAGGACTCCGTGCAAGCAAAGCAAAGCGACCTCACGCATGCTTCAACGGGAGGTGGAGGTGATGTAGTAAAAGCCATATCACACGAGACTCGGTTTCAGAGGCGCGCCCAGTACGAAGCGCCACTTTTTTTCCCTTCCCTCGATCGGCCGACCGTCCAAAGACCACGCCCACCTCGATCGCATCACAGCCCAACTTTGTTGATCTGTAGATGGCAGGAGAAGAATGATCAGGAGTTGTTGTTCGGAGGGGTCTTGCTGGAACGAAGGGTCGAGAGACTTACAGCAGTTGAGTTCGAATTCCGAGTCAAGAAGAATGAAATGGTCTGGAAGGGGATGGTGATGGAGTTGGAGTTGGAGGTGTAAGATGGTGACGATGATGTCCTGACGGCAGGGATGAGTGCGGAGTTGGCTGTGTGGGGTCAGGTCGGAGAGAGCCAAGCGATCAGACGTATCTAGACGAAAGAAGGGCTACTCACTGTGATCTGCAAACGTCTTTGCTCATAAACCCGAAGCAAAGGTTTCAAATCCGTCTCGCGGGTGCTGTACTCGGTCCGATATATTTGGTAGTCCGAGGTCAATCTCTCTGTCGTACGTGGCACGAATCCGGATCGCCTTCACTTGAGGACAGCTGCACGACGCTCACCCATCAAGATCCAACGAGACTTGCACAATATCCAGTCCCAATAAGATCAACCTGGTCTCATTCAGTTCAAAAGCCCTAAGTTCTTCCTGTTCTTGCTCAGGCTCGTCATCGTGGCTGCGGGTCAAGCTGAGATCGAGGAGCTTCGGATCGGTCTCTCCTGTCTCCTCCTCTTCGGACTTGATCGATATCGAGAGCAGCGTCGATGATCGGGAGCTAGGGTTGTCCGAGAGGGTGAATACAGACGACGTCTGTGCTGTCATAGGGCAAAATTTCCGTGGTTGCTCGTCGATCGTTGACCCGATGGGATGGTTCGAGAGGAAGAATGAGCGAGAGGGGTAACCTGCACGGCGCTGCTTTGGCGTGAGATGAACCGGCCTGTGTGCATCACGTCGGCTCGCGAGCGCGTCGGACCGTGACGGTGCGAACCTGTCGATTTGCTTTCATGGGGTGGTCCTCACCTCCTCGTATAACAATGCCAGGACGCGAATCCATGAGCGACTACTGGTGGGACATTTGTCAGATGTGGAGATGTGTCAACCCACCACATGCGTTCGGAGTGCCGGTCGTTCCAAAATTTCGCGCGGAGGGTCAAGGACTCAACGCGCGACCACACTCCGCGAGCAAAGATTGTCCCATCAAGGTTGCAAATTCATCTACAAGATGCCGGAAAACGACCGAGTACCGTTCGATAATCATCGCGGACTCGGTTATAGGAAGGTGTTAGTGATCCGCCCGGATCCCTTTGGCTTTCAGGAGCTCGCTACTTGGACTTCTTGGCGCGCCACCACGGGAATGCTCCTCCGTGGCCACATCCGTGATCCCCAGAAGCTGGTTGGGGGCGAACTCGGGTGACACGCAGAAATTATTGAGATGACTTCCTGCAGTTACCGAGCCGCGGGAAGGGATAATGGTCGGTTGTGCTGGTTCAGCACCTGGAAAGCAGGCAAGTGCAAATTGTCGATGCTTCCTACCTAGCTATGTACTTTGCTCCAAGGGCTCCAAATGACACCGATCTTCATCAGAAGAACAACAAAAGACTTCTACAAGGACATCTCTCAGACCCTACAAGGAATAACCGACACGGGCTGCAGCTGTTTGACGATGACGTGCACTCAGCCGAAGCACTGGTTCCCCGTCTTGCGATCGGATCGTACGATTACTGTAGTTTTGATCGACCCCGGGGCCCCGCACTCGACCCCGCGCGCTAGCAAGGCACATCGAGTCGGCCGCCCGCAACAGATCTTAAAATAAGCGGGCTCCGGACTCCGAAACCTAGGCTTTTCTTAATTTTTTCTTTGCTTGTTAGGTAGGTACCGCCGAAGATAGCCGGCGTAATTTCGTGGCTTTCTACGCGACCATTGAATCTACAGCTAGCCCCGGGGTTATTCCGCGCCTCGCTGCTCACGAGGCGGCACAATGATCTCGGCAAGGGTCTCTGTGAAAAATGTAAAGAGTTTTCCACATCAGGATCTCATGGGAACCACCGTTCATCATTGAGCCCGAGCTCGTAATCGCCGCCACTGCCCCGACGGAAATTCTGAACTTGACGTTTAGCGGCACCGAGCGGTGTGGCTGACTCAGGTGTGATGGGTGATCGCGCGGCCCATTATTTTGGAACCACTATGTAGAAGGCGCGTAAAAAACCGTGTAGACGCCTGTCTGCAACGGTGCATCCGCCGGGCGTAAGCGTCCCAAAGACGTTCGCAGCTGGTGGCCCACAACGCCGACGCGGAAGGCCGGCGTTGACGTCGTTGACGTCGCGACTTGCAAGGACGTGCCCCGTTGCCCGCGCGCGCGGCGATGCAAAAAACATCGGCGCTAGTTCAATTAAAACTCGATCTTCATGAAAAAAGTGATCGGCGGGTCTGGGGAGCGCGGCCGAAGGAAGCGCAATTGGGAGATGTGCCATTGGCGGGGCATGATGGCATGAAGCGAGGTGCCACCAACCTTGCCTTAAGCTAAAAACAAGCTAGGCACCCGAGCGAAGTGTCTCCATCCGCGCAACGGCCCGACCGACACAGATCAGCCGACGACGGGGTAGGGGAGTGGCGGAGTTCGCCGCACCCTCTCGCCCTCCATCACGGGGCACGCTAGCCCTTAATGCACATCCCCTCACTGAGCGATGTCTTTGAATCCGTAGTGTTGATGGTCCAACAATTTCGGAACGGCTAGCCCGTAAGCCCCTCCTTTTTGTTTTCCTTGGACCGAGGCGACCTCCACATGGGGCGCCCGCCAACCCCCAACCGAAAAACCCAAACCAGGGACTTGATCGACAAATACCCCGGAGCATTCGGGCGTCCCGCTCTTCTTCCTTCTTCACACTGCCCTTCTTGTCACTGTCTTTCGTCGAATTTCCTTCTTCACTCCTCTCCTTTCTGAGACCCAGTAACAAACTCCCTCCATCCTTACTCTCCGTCGCCATGAAGATTACCTTCGCCGTAGCGACACTGTCGGCGGTTACCACTCTCGCCGACGCATACCCGCACATCGCAGAGTACCTCGCTGAGCGGAACTCGCGTCGTCAAGAAATCCCGACTGTTCCCTTCCCCAAGGTGAGTGCTTATGACGAAGGCGAGGTGCCACATTCGCACGGTTTGGGCGGCGCGTCTTGTGCCTACGCGGCGCTTAGGGGCCATGCGCGCGCCACTGCGCCACTACGTTGGCACGCGCGTCGTCACGGCCTGGACATCGTGCGAAGAACCATAGCACGCTCGACCTCTTTTACCATGACCCGAGGCTTCCATTTGCGACTGACACATCTCGCTGCTTGTATTGATGCGTCCTCAGATTGGCGGTATCCCTCGAGTTCTCCCCATCGGCTTCAACGCCGACGCACAACGCGTCAGCACCACCGGCGACCATGCCTTCATCGCACCTGGACCCAATGATCGTCGAGGCCCCTGCGCCGGTTTGAACGCCGCCGCCAACCACGGGTATCTTCCTCGCGACGGTATTGCCACCTACGCCGCCGTCCAGACAGGTCTTTGGGAAGCATTCGGTCTCGACCAAACCGCCACCCAGGTGCTTCAGCAGACGACGACCTTCTTCGACGGTGACCCAATCACCCAAAAATGGAGTATCGGAGGTTTCAGTCCTAAGACGGCCGCCCTTGCACCTGTGGGCGACCTCCTCGGTCTGCCCCTCGGCACCGCTCTCGGCAAGGAGTCCGGGATCTGCGGTTATGGTCATCTCAAGTCCGAAGGTGACGCTTCGATCACCCGCGGTGACTTCCTCGCCCCCACTATGAACTCCAACTGCGCCAGTTACCCCGAATTCTTCCAAGAGCTCCTCGATACCTCGTGCGAGGTCAACAAGGACTGCTCGATTACGATGGACTCGCTCGCGTTGCACCAACATCGCCGCAAGCTCTACTCGATCAACACCAACCCCAACTACTTCTCCCCCGCATTCGCCGGTGTTGCTTTCACCCCCGCGGCGCACCATTTCGTCTTTGCTCTGATGGCCAACCGATCGTCGGAACACCCCGAGGGCTTGCTCACCCCCGAGGCGCTCATGCAATGGTTCTCGTACTCGCGCGATGCGTCGGGCAAATTGGTCTACAAATACGGTAACGAGCGAATCCCCGACAACTTCTACAAGCGTGAGTGGTCATTCGATGGGTCCATGATTACCTTTGCAGGCTTGTCAGTGACTGACATTACCTCCTTCCTCGGCGCGTCTCAGGTGGCCTCCAAGACCCCTGGACCCTGCCCGACATCTTGACCGGTGTCGCGCAGCAGTGCCTCGCCTACCCCACCACTTGTGCCATCGGCGGTAACACGGGCAAGGTCAATTCGTTCGCTGGCGTCGAAGTCGGCGACCTCTCCCACGGCTTGTACGACTCGAGTGCCTACACCGATCCCGCCAAGCTCGGTTTCTTCCTGTCGATGAACATCCAAGCCGAGGCCCCGTCATTCTTGTCCAACGTTTTCCAAGGCCCGGTCGCTCAGACCGTCTTGAGCTTGCTCACGTCGACCTTGATCCCGACGCTCGCCAAGGGTTTCGGGGAGTGCAACGGCATCAACGTCAAGGGTGGCAATGGTGCCGGTGTTCCCTTCGGCCAGTACTCGGGTGCTTCCCGGTTCCCTGGTGCCGCGGTGCAGAACGATGGTCCTCGTGGCATGTCGCCCAGCCCGTAAAGGGGTTCTGCTCCCGTTCTGGGACCTCTTGAGGACATCTCTCGTGTGTATCGCTTTTTTCATACCTTGTATTGAATCAAAATGTGAACTTTCCCTTCTCTCCATTTCGACTATCCCAGCGAATGCGTTCTTGAGAATGCGATGATCTCTAGTGTTGTCCGCACTTGCATTGCAAACCACTACGGTGACTCTACTTTAGCTCGTTCTCTCGCCTCTCCTTCAACTCCCGGTACCCCTGGATCGCCTTCTCCCTCTCGGCCTCCATCAATGCCTTCAACGCACCGCTGACGGGCATCCTGCTCGCCGGCAAGGGTTCGTTCATCCGTGTCACGTTCTTCTGTCCTCGCTTGCCTTTTTTCAATGTAGGTGGTGCATCGACGACGTCGCCGACCCTTCGGATCTGCGAAGCGACTTTGAACTCGGTTGCTCGTGCCGGTGCTTGTCGTTTGGCGAACGGATCGAACACCTCTTGGGTATCCTTCTTGGCTTTTTTGGCCGGAGTCGCCGAAGACGCTCCCCCAGTAGTCGTTTCAGGGTCTTCCCCTCTTGCCTCTCTATTCCGTTTCTGATTCTCCTCCTCCATTTCTTGGATCTCGGCCTTTTCGTCGTCGATCGCTCTTCCTTTGCCTTTGGTCTTGGACCGTTCCTTCTTCTTTTGAGTCGTCGACTTGGCTCCTCGAATCGCGGTGTCGATGGAGGAACGCATCGACATTTCGACTCGATGGCTAAAGTCGCGGAGTGATTCGTACGGCATCGCGGTCAACTTTTCCTTCTGTTGATGTCGATGCAGGTGAGGAGAAACGAGGAGGTCAGCGTCTATTCGTTGACCTCGGAGACGAGAGCTCAGAATTTTTTGGGGGGCGTACCTTTTGGTTCGGGTTCAGTTTATCCTGTTCTTCTTGGCGTTGACGCTTCTTGTTGGTGTTGTACTCTTCTCTGAGAGCCACAGCATTCAAGACGCTGTTCGATACGAATACGGCATGAGTGACCCAAGCCATCTTGCTCATGAATCAAGCGGATTCGGAGAACGAACCGATAAGCATTCTTGGACATGCCGCCCATATCCTTTCGACCCCCGAACGAATCCCTCTTGTTCTCGATCAACGTCTTGCGCTTCTTGTTCTTGTTCATCGAAGACGACGAAGTTGAAGCGCTGGGAGCCAATACACCGATCCCTTGACCCGGCGTCGCGACTCGTGGGAGCGAGTTTTGGACATGATTAGGGTGAGGGATCGAATCGCCGATTTTGGGGGGGTTGTCATATCCTCTTTTGAATCAAAAGTTTGAGCAGGTTCAGTACGGTGTGGGTGAGTGAGGTTTACTTTGCTTTTGGAGGTCGAACTGACGCTGCGACGGTGTTCTGGTCCCGGATCGCGCGCTTCGCTCGTTTGTGGGGCATCTTGGGCCAAGGGGATTGAGATGCGGTGTGGCGGGATGAAGCTTGAGGTGAGATTGTCGACCGAGGAAAGTAGGAGAAGGACAAGGTGTTGTGAAGACGGTGTCCAGGGAGCGCGTTGGAATTTGTGAGATCACGTGAGGGGCTGTGAGGGGAGCGCGAAAGAGAGAGGCCACAGAGCAGCGCGCTTCACAGAGCTGGTTGCGAAGCTTCCAACTCGATCGACCTCAATCGAGCTCTATTCGACGTGCTAATCGACGGAGCTCTACGCCCGTACAGATCCTACCTCGCACCTCCACACTAGCGCGGAAAGATGCCAAGTGGCAATCTCAGCCACTCGATGCGCACCAACTACGATACGCAAGTCGACACGTGCTTCTACCAGACCTTGCCCTTTAAGCTGACCCGAGTCTCCTATCTCACGGTCTTCCCCATCAGCCATGGAGTCGAAGGGTACTACAACAAGGTCTCGGAGTCATGTAAGCTCTCCGGAAAACTTTTTTGTAGCTGCACAAGCTGATATACCAGCCTACATACAGATCGCAATCCCCATTTCCTCGGACTCAAAAAGGTCCGTTCGAGTTTACGGCGGCCCCAGAGCTCAGCCGTTTCCGCAACTGAACTCCCAAGATCACTAAATTAGGTCCTGAACGAGTTCATGGATCGTTACATGGAGCACGAACGGCCTTCAAGCTTGGACATCGTCGATCTCGCCGCGGGGAGTGGGGAAGCGACCGAGGTGAGTTGAGTGTATGCACTCTTGTTCTCGTAGGTCAATCGTCTGCTGACTATTCTCATGACAGGCTTTGCTGGCTTGGAGATCATTTCGATGGCCAACATCCTCAACATCAGCGACGGAATCATCGACCACATCATCTACGCCCACGCCCACCACTTCAATACCAGCCTCCATAGTAACTCGACCCCCTTTCATCCCCCCAACTCGTCGACCCATCATCGCTCGACCGACCAAACCCTCCCCCATCTCTTCCCTCCCCATGCCAACGCTCAACATCATCGCTTCGGATCCTTTCACCGCCCCGGGATATCGGATACGAACCGGTTTGCCTTGTTTGGAATTGTCGTTCGCCGATGTCGCAGAGGGGAAGTTACCTAGTACGTTGACTTTGACTCCAGCGGGAAACCTTCCATTGGACGATCGAACTTCCCGAACGGATATGAGTCTACTAGAGGAAGGAGGGGAAGAAGAAGGAAGGTATGAGGAAGAAGAAGGAAGGTATGATCTGGTTATCATCTCATTCGCGTTACATCTGGTCGAATCGACGAGCGAACTTTGGGCCTTGTTGACCGAGTTATCAAAGAGGTGCAAATGGCTCGTCGTTATGGCGCCGCATAAGAAACCAGAGGTAAGTACCGGGCAACTCGAGTTGGTCCATCAACCGAACAGAGATTGAATAAATGTATACGTTGTTCATTAATCGATAGATCAAAGCAAGTTGGGGCTGGACGCGATGGGATCCTCGGACATGGAGAGAGGCGGAGGGGAAACCGAATGCGGCTGGCACGGACGAAGGGGATGGGTGGGAGATCGTTTTGGATCGGACGAGGTTGAGGGTGTGGAAGAGTGATTATCAAGTCGAATAGAACGACTGATGTGAGTTTTCGATCTTATTGGATGTGGTTGGGGAGAGGCTCGCAGCGCATCGCCACGATCGTCTCGCACTTTGTGTGATACGTACTCTCTTCTCTCGGAGTCTCTCGCACGGGGACAGTGAAGGCCAGAGGTATGAGCAGGAACAAGAAATGGGCAGAAACAAGAGCAGCACAGTGTCCAGGGGCAATTAAAAGAACTATGCGAGAAACACGACGACGACGACGACGGCGGCGGCGGCGGCGAGCTCCTACAAAACTCCAAGAAGTTGTCTAGGAAACAGGACGAAGGGAAAGACGTGTAGTGAAACATCAGATGCGCCGCGAGGGTTTGAGAAAACGACCAAGTCGTACAGGAGCGAAAAATGAGAGAGGGAAGAACTGAAAGATGAAGGCAAATGAGTGAAGAAGAAGAAGCAAGGAACCAACACAATCAAGGCATCGACATATTTCCTCTGGTGGGTAAGGCTCAAAAACGTGGCTCCCCAAGATCGATTAAGTGCGTTCCGGAGAGTCGTTATCAGTCCTGATTGAGTGAAAGGCGTTTTCTGACGAAGTCTTTTGATGGGAGGAGAGGGTTGATACTGCGACGAATGCGACGACCGGGCTCGATGTTGGCTTGCGGGTTTTGGTTGTTGGCGTCATTCAGGCTGCTGCCGCGTGTGCAGAGCTGTAAGGGATGTACACAGCGAGGGGTCAGGGATCGGATGGATCTATTCGATTGGTCAGGCATACTTACGTCTCGGGCGTGTTGGGGGATCTCCATCTTGCGAATCAAGTCGGGACGGATCACGACCACACCCATCAGACCCAGGAGTTGATGCTGTTCGGAAAAAGACGACACTGTCAGCTCGGTTCATGAAGAGAACCCCGACGTGCACAAAGACTCACGTATAAAATGTGACAATGGAAAGCCCAGACTCCGGGATTATCAGGGATAACACGAACGATTACATATGTGTTGCCAGTGACCGAGATCGTGTCCCTTCGAATCGGGTTGTTGAGATTGACCGCGACGGACGAGATGCTGTCCGCATCGACCGTGCCATTTCCCCTCGCGATGAGATGCATCTGCACGCCATGCAAATGGAAAGGATGATCGACGGGGTTGACATTGTTGATGATGATGTCGTGAGCGAGAGACTTGTCGTCGAGAACAATTGAGGCCGAAAGTCCGGCGGGGATGTCGTCGCCTCGGTTGACGCGGAACAAAAAGGGGTCGTCGACGAAGGACTCGAAACTGACGTTGTTGGCGGCGAAACCGGTGGCGCCGGATGGGGTGGTCAGGATCGTCGCTCTGAACTCATGGCTGATGTTGGCCCCAGGTGGGTTGAAAGGTACCCGAGGAACGAGGGTGCCTGATCATCACAGTGGAAGGAATCTGATTAGTCAAAAGGGTTCATTGCCGAAAAGGGATGCACGGGGCCTGGTGGCACTCACTCTCGGCAAGGTCATGGCAGCTTCCGTTGACGGCGTCGGACCAATCGGTAGACGTGGGAAGGTTTTGATTCGTGTCAGTGTTGGATTCAGAGTTGTTGTTGTTGTCGTTCCTTTTGCTCAGGCGCGCGGCCTTCTTAAATGGAGAATCTCCCTGTGATCCCTGCTGATCACCCGAGTCGTCCGAACCGGCCGAATTGTCCTGATCGTCGGAGCCATTCCCACCATCACCGGAAGCGTCGCTGTCGTCAGAGTTGTCGGACCGATCAGAGCCGTCAGGTACATCTCCTGAGTTACCTGTATCATGGCCGCCGAATCCGTTGGGTCCGTCACCGGTCGAGTTCCGAGATTTGTCAGTTGATCCATCACCACCACCATTCGGGGTGTCATCATCGCCCGTACCATTGTTGTTCGAAGACCGTTGAGAACCGGACGGGTTATCACCACCAGACTGGTCACCTGAGAAATCACTCGAGTCGCCGGGAGATCCTTGCGATGGAGGGTTCGACCCGTTTTCAGATGACGGTGACGATGATGATGACGCTGACCCGATCCGAATGATCGCCTTGACTTCGGGGTTCAGGTCGGTGAAGTTGGCGCCGAAGCATGCCCTGTGAGAACCGTTCCGACTCATGATTCATCAGTTTCGAAGCAACGAATGTCACCCGACGGATCACAGGCGATACTCACGTGTTGATGTCGGCTCGCATCCAGAACGAATCACCGTCATTGTTATCGGCAGTATTAATAATGCTCGAATAGCGTTGACCTATGTTGATGGGAGCACGATGGACCGTCGTCTGCCACACGGGCGTATCGTCAGCTTCAACGACGTTGAGAGGATGCTCATCGACCGAGACCAAGAACTGGGCATGGGCCGCAGAGTTGATGAGGCGCAAACGAACGCGAGAACCTTTAGGGAACTTAAACTCGGTGAGGGTGGCATTGTCGGTGCAGACCGAGCCTTCGGGGGCGAAAGAACAGTCGTAGCGACCACGACCGTTGATGAGACCCGAATTTGGAGAAGGTGTCAAGGCGGATCCTTGGAAACTACCGTTGACGAGGAGGGAGTTGACGATTCGCGTCGACAAGGGGTGGTAGTGGTCTCGGATGACGACGACTTGGTCGATGTCATACAGGTCGCCTCGCTTGAGAGGGTCACCGGGGCAGTGGATGATCAAAGGAGCAACGAGTCCATCACCGTAGTGAGCCAATCGATGGGCATGATACCCTATACGTTACGATGTACCCCTGAATGAGTCCCACATCACGAAGGACACGCCGGACTGTTACAACGTACAATATGTTCCGCACTGGTCAGGTCGGCTGAGCGTGTACTTGTAGACGAATGTCGTTCCGGGTGGGATGGGGCACTGAGTGACACCTGTGGTGAGGCGGAAGGGAATGCATTAGAAAACGTAGAGTCTTGAACGGGGGAAAGAGGTATGGTCGAAGGGACTTACCGAGCGGACCGTCGGCCCAACCGGTGCCGTTCTGCGCGAGGCCATGCCAGTGCACCGTCGTGCCGACGTCGAGGTAGTTGTGGACGTAAACGACGATGGTGTCACCTGGGAGACAATAAGGTTGTGAGGAAGAGTCAACAATCTGTACGGCTAATGACAGCAGATCCCTAAAGCGACGAAAGCGAACCTTGGTTCGCCTCGATCAGGGGTCCATTGATCCGGCCATTGAACAAGAACATCTCCCTCTCGAGCCCATCCGGTGCCGCACGCGTCTCGTGAATGTCCAAGTAGTAGTACCGTGTTGTTTGACAATTGTTGATGCTGAAGTCGGGGTTGAGCAGGTACTCCGAGTCGTCGATCGAGCCGGGCTGTTTGAGTTGATCAAGGTTCTCGCCGCGCTCGTGCGCTTCAAACGTCGACCGGTAGGGAGAGAACCATTCGTTTGAACCGGTGCAGCTGGGATCGGAGGGGGTCGTCGGTGGGAGAGAAACCCTTGAAAGATAAAAAGCGTGTGAGGAGTAGGAGTGAGCAACCATGACGCGTTCGGGGCTCGGGGCTCGATCTCAAGAGACGCGCTTAGGAGCTCCATGGTCCGAGCCGAGCGAGAGAACTCACCCGATGCTACCACCGCCGGCGCCGACGTCCTGAGTCCGTGCGAGGTCGGCCCATCCGGAAGCGAGAAGGGCGCAAGCAAAGATCGAGTACGAGAACTTCATCGCAAGTCGAGTACGTTCGGATCGACGAGTCGCTTACCTCCTTGGATGGAGAGGTCCGGAGAGAGTACGCGGTGAAGGAAAGGAAAGGAAAAGGGTAAAAGGGAGGAAGGGGGAGAGCGAAGGATGGATCGCCGCCGAGGGGGGCGACTGCCGGGCGCGGGCAAGACACGTCGATGAGGATCACCGGCATCGCTGCGTGACTTGAGCGACCAAGAGATTGATGTCAATCTTCTCGGCCATCATCTAGAAGAAGGGTGCACGTCCTTCTTTTTCATTTGAACGAACCCATAGCCCCGTGCACGGCACTAGAAGCGGCGCGGCGCGAACCTCCCCACAGGATGTTTCTGACTGCTGCGCGCGGGCGCGGACGACTGTTTCGAACCCAGACCCCCTCGGCCGGCGGCTCGGAAGTGAAGACTGAGTTTTAAAGATTGAGATTCCAGCTAGTATTGTTCAGATCCCTTGGACCACCCTACCAGATACCAGATATCATATATCATACACCGTACACCGAATATCACATATCATACATCATATCTTAGGCGAATCTTTGCATCGCTAGGCTCTGCGTGCGAACTGACCGTCATCATCTTCAACTCGTCAGCGTAGATTTGTCTTCTCGAGCCTTGTCGCAATGCACCAGAACCGAATCTTCATTCACATTCACACCGAAGGGTGAAAAATGTCTTAGAAGGGGTAGAGTAGCGTACGCGAAGGCAGCGTCAAGAAAGTCTGGTACCAACCATACGGACAGGGGTTATAGTCTTGGGGGAACCGCCTTCCGAAAGGAGGTGAGTTGATCCGTCTCGCCGGTGCCGCACGGGGGTTAGTTCTTGGCGAGATTTTGATGATGTGAAACGTGTCGTGTGTTTCATACCGAAAAGAGCGATCCCTTAACGGTCCGTTCTTACACCGCCCTACTGAAATGACCGACTTGTCGTCGCCCGTCGCCACCTCCACCTAAGATCACCGTCCTACCGATTCTTCTGCATCTGCTCCGACAATACTTCCCGCTCCTTTGCAAAAAACTCATCAATCAACTCCTTCGTGACCGTCGCACCGGACTCGGAGTAAGGCCTTAGGTAATTCTTGAGCCGCTCCGAAAGACCCCGGAATGCAATTGCCCCTTCGATCGCTTGCTCGCGGGGCATGCGTGAGAGCGCGGCCAACCCGAGTTCATGCGTCGATTTGTCTGCGAGTGAACGATTTGTAAGACATCAGCGTGGTGCTTGTGTAGTCTTTCGAATGGTAATGACTCACGAGCATCAGGATCGTCCGGTGGTTCATACGATTCTTCTTCTTCCAGAAAGTATGGAAAGTCGGCAAAGAGAGGTGAACACTGCTTAAATTTAGCGAATAGACGTCAGCTGAGTGTTAGATGAATGCGATCTTCGGACACACTGGTATTCATCTCCGACGAGGAGAAGAGGCGTACCTCTTGGCATTGACACCACCTCATCCTCCATCCTTCCTCGAAAAAGACGTTCAGCTTGCCACCGCCGAGTTCGAGTCGCTTGAGAGGGGACACATCTGATGGGCTGGGTCGTAAGGGTGCTTTGCAAGCTTTTGTAGGCAGGTCTATGACAGTATCTCCCTTTATGATATCATGTTGCGCCGAAGAAGATGATGATGAGGTTTCCGGTTTGATCGTTGATTCATCAAGTCGAGCTCGCTTGGCTGGTCGGTCTTGATCTGTGGCATCGCCGCTCGAAGCGTGGAGTTTGGTTTCGGACACGTCTCCTTCTTCGTTCGCTTTGAGTTTGTTGTCGCCTTGCCCTTCGTTCTCGTTCTCGTCCTCATCATCGAATGCCGTTCTCCCAATGATCGCGTTGGTCTTCAGATCGAGCAGCATGACCCCGCTCCCTTCGATTCCAGCATAGCGATCCAGCAGCTTGGTCCTGACGCCCTTGTGATCGTGACGGACGCATGCATCGCAGACGACGTGGTCGAAATCGTCGGTCGCGAGTAGCGAGTCGGCCGAATCGACGTGGGATCCGATGAGACAGGCGTGGTGAAGCCAGTCTTCGCAGAGGAGGCATTGGTACATTGAGTCACTGTATCGTGAGCAAGCATGTTCATGTCAGTTTCAAGACACAAGAACGCTGTGCAATGTCCGGACCACTCACGTCTCGGTGTGGGGGTCATAGTCCTTTCCACAAACGCAGAATTTGCCCAGAAAATTCTTGTCGTAACGATTTTCGTCATTCCTCGGTGCATCCTTGCGATTCGTCACCTCGCACACGCTCCCCGCCCCCATCGCCTCCGTGCCACAATCGCAGCGAAAATGCCTCCGGTTGAAGAGTTCGACGAGGTGATGTTCACCGTGGCAGGAGACGGAGCACGCGGTGCAGACGGCGCGGTGGTTGAGGCAGGTCAGACACGCGTACAAGGGTTGCTTGATGTAGCCCATCTCGTAGGTGCATTCGGTGAAGGCGAACGGGATCGTGTCGCGTGCTTCGGCTTCGAGCGCATCTTGAGCTGTTTTGGGGGACGACGAGAGATGGGTACATGGCCTTTGTCAGTAAGTTCGGCTGAGCGAACCTCTGCGCGGGGAGGAGGGATCGACTGACCCGCAACGAGATCCTGAGCACTGAACGCGTCGTCCGAGGAAGGGATACCCTCACGTGTAGGTGAGAAGAGCAGCACTTCTCGGGAGAGCATCGTGGGTATGCCGTGGTAGGGATGAGGCACGGTCGTCGATCGGGAGCTTGGACGAGCCGCGACGCGGGCGCGGGCTCGGGAGTGGCTCGGGCTCTGGCTCTGCGTTTCAAAGGTGTGTGGCTAAGGCTAAGTGGGGGTCGCGCGTGGCGCATGGTCGTCAGTAACCGCTGAACAGTGCCAGTGATCGCAAGCCTGTGAGATCTTTTTGTTTTCTTTTTGATTTTAAATCGTATACTGTTGCTCAACAAAGACCCCATGGAGTGTTGGATCTCAACCTCAGAAATTCGCCTCGGTTTGAAAAATGGCGACCCCCGGCCACTCCGTCCCTCGGCTCGGCCTGGCTCGGCGCGGCGCGTTTCGGCGACTCGGCCGGCCGTGACCGCGCTGGCTCCCTTGTCAGCCTGTCCCGACCTGGTACAGACCTTCGCAGCAGCATCCCTCGCCATGGAGGACCGGTTCATACCCCAACCCGGCACTTCAATGGTCCCCAGTCGCCCATCTGTTCAATCCACGTCATCGTCGCATCAAGTCTTCTCGTCCGCGGCGACGGTCTCTGCGATCGACCTCACCCCATGGGCGCAGCAGACCCAACTTGAGTCGGCCTACACATCTAGCTTACCACCCAAGCCACCTTTACTCCCGGGAAATCTAGTCGACTACGATGTAGCAGCCTCGCGTGGCGCGCAAAGCTCGACCTCGACCATATCCGACCGGGCTCCTCCCTCCGCGACGACCGACTCGGGCAGCGACGAATCGGACGAGGACATGCATGATGACGAGCAGGGTGACCTACATATTCAGCGAGATACGAGTGGTTCTGCGGTCGCGTCTTCGAGTACAACGACCACGACGACGGCGACCACTTCGAATCCGCCGATGCGAAAGAGGAAACCCAAGCCGATACTGCCTCCGGGTACCATCATCTGCGACAAGAGTTGTATTCGGTGTCGAGAGCGCAAAGGTGAGTAACGTGGAAGTGTTCAAAAGTCGAGCGTATGCCTGGCTTGAGGCTGACCTTGGGCACGGATAAAAAATCTCAGTCAAATGTGACCGTCGCTTTCCGACTTGTCACCATTGCGCTCAGCGCAAGGAGGAGTGTGATCTCATTAGGTGGACACCCAAGGTCAAGAGATCGTGCGTCTCGTCTTGTTTATGGACCATAATTCCACCCAGGTGCTGAGCATTAGCCGTTTTCCCTCCCTCCCGTAGAGCCCAAAATGATCCAAGCCGGATTGCTCATTTGGAGAAACGGCTGGGTAAATTTCGCTTGAGAGCTACGGTCAAAAGCTCGCTGGAACTGATACGCCATTTAAATCCTGGCAGCCGAACTCGAGGGTCAACTCGCGGCAAAGTCCGAGAGCTCCCTCAATCCCGTTGACACATCTTTCGCTGTCGACGGCACCGCCTTCGATTCGTCGCTCGAGGCTCTCTTTGGCTTGCCTGCGTCGTCGACGTCCGCTGTGGCTACACTCCCGACAGACGATCCGTCGGGTATGTTGACAACATCACCGCTCGCTACGACTACGAGTAGCATTGGTGCATTCTCTCTCGACTGGAGGCTAGCGACGCCCCAGATGGCAGCGGCGTTGTCGAGACACTTGTGTGATGGTGAGTGCGCGATGAGTTTTGAATCCTACATGGGTGCCATCTGACCCACATACCGAATGCTCCAGCTTTCTTCGAGTCGTGCTGCTTCGTGCTACCCACGTATACCTACTATCGATCGCGCAAGGCCGAGCTCCAAATGGACGAGTGGCTCCTAAGCCCTTCTGCCAAAGTGAGCTTACTTGTCCCTCGAAAAGGCTCACTTCGATCATAATTGACCCCCGAGAAACCTTCTAGGTTGCAGTCGCGGCCTTCCGAGCCGTAGGTGCCCGTACTTCACCACATTCCGGACTCCTCGGCATCTCCATCGAAGCCAAAGACTCTCGGGACCACCCTGACGCTCCCCTTCTCAGTGCGGGCACGCGTCGTGAATCGGCGTGCACGAACTTTCTCAAGCAGGCGCATCAGTTGTGTTTCGATGAAGGGTTGGCGGAGGAAACGTCGATTGAGAATTTGGGGTCATTGATGACGCTTATGCAGATGGCGATGTTTGTCGAGCTGTGAGTTCCGTTCGGTCAGAGCATACTAGGTCAACCATGCCAGGACTAAGCCGATGTTTACAATGTTATCCCCACAGTAAGCCAAAAAAGTCACGTAGCTCGTTACGCAGCGCGTTGGACCAGTACAAGCAATTGATCGACGCCGCTCCGGCCGAAGTCGACCAAATCGAACTCAAGAAAACCTTCGGATTCGGTCTCTATTCCGCCGACGCCCAAATAGCCGCTTTTGGGCGACGACTTCCTTGTATCGATGATCATGACTTGCGGGCCTACTTCAGCCATGTTGGGATTGTGATCCCAGCTTTGCCGGAGGATGATAATCTCTTGCCGGTGATCGAGAAGCTGTTGGCGAAAGCGAAGGAAAGACCCGAGGCGCTCCAGACGATCAGGCATTTGCTACATTGTTGGATATGTGAGTTGTGCAACTCCCTGGATTGTTCGGCCGCGTTGAACTAAACCTTGTGGTTCGAACATGTTTCAAAGGTACCTGTCAACGCGATTTCGCTCGCCTTACCTCACCACCTTCCAAGCCTTCGGCTCAAATCGAAGTGGCTGTGCGAAAGTTGTGGCTCAGCATCGACAAAACCCGTTCGACGATCCAACACGTCTTGTCAGCGTTGACGACGCGGGACCTCGCTCCTCCAGCTCATGCGCATTCCACAACGACGGAGCACGATCACCATCACCACGAAAACGATTACGGTCCTCTCATCATCCGTCTCGATCGAGACCTCCTCGACCTAAACAACATGCTCCGATCGACCTTAATGGACTGGTCCGACGTCATTTCCGCCCCTCTCCTCACCGAAGCAACAAGTCGGGTTCGTAAAGGGCTCAAGGTCCTCGCTTATTACGCCAAAGCGTACATGACGGGCGCGGATCTGCATATGATTTATCATCAGTTTTATAATTTGGAATTGGTGCAGGATTGGACGACGTTGGCGCAGGAGAGGTTGGGGGAGGTACCGGGTCCGACGACGAGTGAGGAGGTCGTTACGGAACAAGAGAAACAGTGGTATGTCTGGCACTGTGCTTGATGGTATTGGGCTGCAGGGTGGGCTGACCCGACTCCTCATACTCTGTAGGTTGATCGAAGGTTTGAAGATGACGTGCTACTACCACCCCTTTGCCGAACGAAGGCTCGCCGAGTTCATGACGTCTCGTTTGGTCCCGGTCGAAGAAGATCCCTCATTGTTACTCGCCCAAATCCCGATGGCTTCACCTACAGGGCTACCAGGTGAGTCATAGCGAGAGCGTAAACCGCAAAAGAAGGACTCAGTGGGTCGTGATAGCCCGATGACTAATGACTCTGTTACATCGTGTCCCGTGATGCAGCCTCGTCGAATCAATCCGATTTTGCCTTCTCGATCGATGCTCTCCTAAATGGAGACCCATTCGCAACCGGGTCGTCCCTGTTCGCTTCTGACAACACGTTCAATACTAGCGCGATGTTCGATTTCGGTCCATTATGACCGTCCTTCTTCGTCGATCTCGACGCTCAAGCCCATGTTCCGATGTCGAATAGGTTTCCGAGGAGTCAGCGATTCGGATTGGCCCAAGTTTTGTACTTGTCATTGCGGTGCCTGTTGATGTATTTATCTGGAACTGTATCATGTCCCTCCAGCTGTCGACCGAATGCAAACTAAGTGGAGGGGATGATCAAAAGACTGCGTGGACTGAAGATCACGTTGGCGGCGTCGGAAATCCCAGGTCGAAAGGAACCGGAGGGGTTGATATTGGTGGGGGCGGCACCTTAGTTGAGATCGAGGTGATCGAAGACTTTCAGTCTTCCTGGGGGTTCTAGCCCCCATGCGAGCCACTTCCCGCCCTCGGCTCACCTTGTATCGAGTCGTTCTAGTCTGAGAGAATGTCAAGCCGAAGGATTAGGTAGCTGCATTTTTGGCTCGTTCTTCAAAGGGTGTTTGGGTCTGACTAAAACGATTCAAGTGCTCAGACGGACTTGGGAAAACGTCTCGACGAGACTCTTTGCGAAGTCTTTGAAGCACCTGCTCGGCGTAACGTCACCGGCCTGCGACTGCCACCGTCCCGATCACAATGACTCGAATGATTTTTGTGACGGGGCATGGCTCATGAACGACGGCTACAAGATGCCAGCTAGACGGAGGCTAGGGGGTCAGGCGCCTAGACCCGGATGTCAAAGGGTCCTCAGGGATCACGAAAATGGTGAGGCATTGTTGACTTTGTCAATGAGAACGATTGCGGTACTACATCAGAAAGGATTACTAACTAAAACTTCAAGAATAACAATTCATTCAGCCCTCGGCGACGGTGGGGGTCAGCGGAGCCGCTGGCTCTACGACCGCAAGAGGCGAGAGCACTCGGAAGCAGCTAGCGCAGAAGCGACCCCCGACCTCGACACTCGTCGTCGTGCACATCGTGCAAAAAATTCCCGCACATGATGAGCACCTGCGTCGGGTTTCGAGTAATCCAAAGGCTTGCTTGCAACCCATGCAAGACCCTCCGCCAATCGAGTCGGGAAGGAACAGCTCGACGCCTGGAGGCGACCAGAGGTAGCACCGGCCGCTCGAATCGCCAGAGTACAACTGCCGGCGCGTGAAGGTGAGGCACGTAATGTCGGGTACGGGTCTCGCGTCGAGGCGATCCTTGTGCCGCAGCGTGTGGACAAGCTTGAGTGCCCAGCCGGTCGGCTCCGTGTCGGACTTCACACGCTCCCACAGCATGATCCTCCCGCCTCGGTGGCCCGTGGCGACAAGAGGAGCAGTCTCGTGCTGTGAGAATGCGACGGCGGTGATGGGGTCGACGAAGTTGGACGTCGATTGCGTCGCCATGAGTACCCCGTTGACCGTCCAAAGCCGGAGAGCGGATCCGCTGCAGGTAGCAATGTCTCCCGTCGTATCGCTCTGTGGGTAAATGGAGCTTGGATCGGCATGCGCTCGATGAAAGAACTGACTACCGAGGCTCTACATTGATTGAGCTCTTTATTGACTCACGATGGTGACCAACTGTACGCGCCCCTCGTGCCCTTCCAGAACACGGACGAACTATAGGTGGACAGGCAAAGTTAGACAGGTGCTGCACCAACCGCAGAGACACGAAACCGCGTTCACTCACGCGCTGCCGATTGAGATCCCAGATGATGGCCGTCGTGTCGTCCGATCCAGAGACCACGATCGAGTACGGTCGGGAGGCAGCGAGACAGACCACCTGATCTGAATGGCCTCGAAGGCACTCGACCTGCTGGAATTGAACCTCGCCGCGTTGGTGGTGCTTCCACCGCCACCGCCACAAGGATACGTTCGTATCAGTCGAGGCCGTGACAAAGGTGCGAACATCCGCAAAGCAAGCGGCGGACACGACTGCGGAAAAGGTAGGTGCATTTGGGTCAGCTGCTGCTGTGTAGCTAGACATTGTAGTGGAAGGCGATCTCACATTCGGAATGCATGCCTTCGAACAGCGATGTAGGGTTATTGTTGCCCTTGGCGTGCACACGCACGGCTTGATCCGCGTACCCCCACGAGACCGAGTGCGAGGCATCCCCAGGGAAAGCGAGCGTGTGTGATCCCGTCGCAGTCGTTTTTTCGGGCGTCGTCGAAGGGTGGATAGCCGAGATGTGCTGGCCAACGTCGCAGACCGGCACGATGGATTGGATGAGCGTCGTGTACTGCTGCTCGATAGAGTTATCGTGGCTGAAGATGGGCCTCGTGGCCTTTGCGACCAACGGAGGAATGCGGGTCGGGTGTGGCTTTGAGAACAATTGTTTGGGGGTCCTGGCGCATGGGGACGAGAGGAGATCAGCGCGTGATCCTGATTGAGAGCTTTCGAATGAGTTTCTGACGACTCACATTCCAAAGTTGTGAATGGTCGAAGTCGCTGCACGCCGTTCGTCCACGTCGGCGATCGAATCCAAGTCTAAAAGGGGATGCATTACCTGCTCAGTACGGCGATCGCAAGGACGAACACTCGGGGTGAGCTTACCAATTGCCCCCTCGTAAGAAAGATGGTGGAAAACGTTGACGGCCTTGATCGCATCGTCTCCGGTGCCAGACTTGTAGCCCCAAATGAGGTCAATCCAGAGGTGCAGATGCGCCGAAACGTAGTCCGACTCGAGGGCCTTCCGGTGCAGCTCGATGAAGAGTCGGGGGTCGTTCTTGGCCCACGGTGGCAGGGCAACGTCGTCGATCGGCGCATCGCTCTCTTGCCGCAGACCCAGCTTGAGACCGTTGGCGTTGCGCAAAAAATCGGGCAAGAAGAAGAACTCGGGGATGAGCTCGCGGACGTCCGAGTGGCTCAGGCGCGAACACGAGTCCCACGCTTTGGCAAGGTTGTGGAACATGCGATCGGCGTGGTCAAAGCCGCCTTGCAAGTCGAGGTACGATTCGGTGAATGGCCTCAATCTGATCAAATACCCGACCGTGATCATGGCCGAGCTGTAGTGTGTGCCGTAGTGGAACGGCTTGGTCCCGTCCTCGAGCTCTTGCAACTGCTGGTAGCGTTCTGCAAACTCGGCCTCTCGTTGCGGGTTTTGGGCCCCCATCGGCTTAGAAAGGTCGCGGAACGTCGCCGGATCCGTCAGGTCCAGCGAGTCGCTGCGGTAATCGGCCAGGACCCATGGGAAGACGGGGTAGTTCGTCAAGTCGGCGTAGGTGCGACCGCTGATGGTGTTGAGATGCATGAGGTATTCAAAGTTGCTCATCTCGCGCCGCTCCCAGCGCTTCGTGATGTGCTCGAGCTTGGTCTTTTGGCCCAGCACGGCGTCGGAGAACTTGGCGCCGAGCGTGGCGCCGACAATGTGGAGCGAACCCGTAGCAACCGAGCCCGGGTTGCGAGCCGCGATCCCACTCTGTGCGGCCTGTCGCTTTTCTTTCGAAAAGGTGAGGAGGAAACTGCGACCGTCGGCGAAGAAGAGCTCGAGCGCGACGTTGCGGAACAGGTACTTTCGCTCGTGCACCTCGAGCAGGTCCGTCCACGCCCATCGGCGACTTCGGTGAGCGATGTCGACTTCGTGGGCCGAAGCCGTCGATTGACCGGCCAACTCGGCCAGCGTCTGGAGGTGACGATCCCGTTCCTATAACGACAGAGAGCCAAGCTTAGCATGTAGTGAGGGTCGCTGAGGCCATCGCTCGAATACTCACCTCCTCTGGCGCCTCCCACGCATCGACGAGATCCCCCGACGAGGTCTGGAAGAAGCCATCGATAATGTAGACATTCTTCTTGGCAAGCAGCAACAGCCCAGCGACAGCGTCAAGACCGACGATGCGGTTGATGTTGAACACGGATTCGATCACGTCTCCAGATTCGAGCGATCTTCTGACCTTGCGGTTCTTATCCTCGTCCGTGACCGGCTCGGGCGACTCGCTATCGATCATCGTGGTCTCCATGCTGGCGCCTTCAACCCACATCGACTCTTCGGCCGGCAAGTCACTCTGCCCCGGCGATGAGGGAGGTACTGGTGTCGCAGCTTGCACTTTGACTGTGGACAGCGGAGTGGGTCAGTCTAGGTTTTCTCTAGACTTGGATCCTCAGTCTAGGTTTTCTCTAGACTTGGATCCGGGACTTACGTAGAGTGGTCTCGGGTGATTGCGACATCGATTCGTGACGACTCGTCGAACCGTTCCCCATCCGCCTGTACCGGTTCGAAGTTAAAGTATCCGCCGGCGGCAGCGCAATCTTCTTCGGCAACTCGGCCTGCAGCTTCTTGCGGATTCGATATGGTCCTTGGGTGAAATCGAGTTGCCATCGATCTGTCGGTAATGGCATGCCCCAAATGCCTCGTTCCCTGTACAACGCCTGCGATCGATCGATCCACTCGGCGTGGATGTAGGCCGCATGATCGGTAAAGTCTTGGCGGGTGTGCGCGACGCGGGTCGCTTCGACTTCGTGAATGCCTTCGCTCCAGTCGTAGATCGCCGTGCGTTGTGTTCGCATGCGCTTGCGTTGCGCATCGCGTTTTTGCTTTAGCGACATGGCCAGCTCCTCCAACCGCACGATCTCCTTCTCCAAGGTCGGTCGCAGCCGAGACACCTCGCCCGCGATGAAGGCGTCCCAAAAGTCGCTCAGTTCTTCGATCTGCGGCTCACTCGACATGAGCAAGGTCACAAAGCCTTCAACGTCGGTATCGATGGCCTTGCTCGAGAACGGCGGCTCAAAGTCGTGTTTCCGCTGCTGTCCCAGCGCATCTTCGACGTCACCCGACCGCTGCAGCACGAGCAACTTGAAAAAGTCGACCAAGGGCGCTGGTTCACGCGAGGCGATCGTCAGAACGCTGAGACGGTACACGAGCAGGCGGAAGAACTCGGGCTCCGCGTTTTGACCCGCGAAGAGCGTGAGCTGGTGATGAACCAGGACGTTGAGCACCGTCTCGGGTACTTCGAGGTCGTCGGCAAGGGCGAGCAAGACCAATCGATTCGCCGATTTGTACAACTGCACGAACGGCTTGGCCGCATCCAGCGGGACCGACAGGGCCGACTCGTCGAGCAGTTTCTCGATGTACGAGAGGACGAACTTGATGAGGTGAACAATATCGACGTACCATCCTTGGAAGGCTTGCTCGGTCGCAAACTCGACAAAGTTGGCGACGCGGTTCGCCACGATCGTCGCCGTGCTAGCACGCGTCAGCCTGTCCGTGATGGCGCGGAGCAGCGACGTGCGAAACGTGGCTTGCGAGCGGAGGTCCGACGAAGCCGAGGCGTCGATCATGTCGCGCAAGATTTGCAAAGGTGGTTCCGCCGATGTCATCGGAAGATCGAAGCCACTGATTGACATTCGCTTGACATGGCGCGTGGTGATGGCGTCCGTGACTTGAGACGACAGAAAGTCTAGCAGCGAGGTCGCGGCGGGCCCCATCGTTTTGGGATCGTCAAGGATCGGTGGCCACTGGCCATCGGGCATGACCGACGTCCAGAGTGGCGACGCAAGTGAGGCCTCGAGGCTGGAAGAGTTCGAGGTGGAAAGGGGCACCCCAAGTACTCCGAGCCCGGCACTTTCCTCTGCTGGCCCCGAGGAGAACGAATCGAGGGAGACGCGGGATCCTCGGCGGACGGTGGCGACAAAGTGGTAGCCGTTCCGCGGTGTGATGATCGGCAACGAGGGGACGTGTTCAGCCGGTGCGTACTCGAGCTCGCCAACGACTCGCAAGGCAGGTTTGAGCGCCGCTACGAGATCGGGGAGCGCCACGGCCGACGTTGCGAGATGGTCGTGGGAGCCCGTGGTCGCGCGATTGGCTTGGTTCAATAGCGCCAGAACGACATCAAATCCACGAGCCAGCGAAAGGCGTGTCCGTAACCTCGGCTTAGGATCCTCGCCGCCGTTCAGAGCCGGCGACTTGTCGCTCCCTATCTGCGGAGTGAGAAATTCCCTCGTCACCGCCTCGGCAGGTTTACGCTCGAGGACCATGACGCCTCGTGCGACGCAGGCGACGAGGACCCGGACGACCTCGGACGCGAGGGGTGACAGGTCGACCGAGCAGGTCGCAAATACCGAGGGAGAGAAGTCGGCATCGAGCGAGACTTTGGAGATGTCGCGACCGTGCAGCAGCGCAAAGAGCGCGAGGTGGATCTGGCCAAAGTTCCACAGGTGCGGGGTCGCACTCCGAAGCATCTGATAACCATCCGTCGAATTTGCAAACTTGGCCGCGAACGCCGAACCCTGCGTCTGCAGAAGCCGGACAAGGATGCGCAAGCTCAGCACCGCAGCAAGCGGCGGCGCCGTCCGATCAAGAATGAACAGTAGCGTCCATTTCGTCGTGATAACTTTGGCAAACTTGGCGAGCGCTTGCGTCGATTCGGTACCTAGCACGAGGTCATGCAGCGCCGACAATACACGGAGTGAAGCCGCATATGATCCAGCGTCGAGTCGCCGAACGTCCAGTACAAACGCTTCGGCCGGGTTCTCGGCTTCGGGATCGGGGCTATCGATATTCTCTGCCGGCTCTATGGGGTGGGCCGAGACGTGGACAACTGCACAGGTCCGAATTGAGTATGTCAACTCAGCGTAGCGCCCAAAGCTACGCTCTGGTCACGACTCACCTTGGCAAAGCGTAGCCGTCAAGAAGGTCGCAACATGGCGCACCGTCTCGGTTGAGAAGTGGGCTGTCACGACGAGCATCAAAAAGTCCACGATCTCATCGTTCATCGAAGGATAGAACAAACCAGCTCGGAGCGCAAAGAGTAGCTTGCGAACAAGGTGCATCTTGACGACGCGTCGCATGTTGAAAGGGGCGTGTTCGCTGCGCTGGACAAAGTCGCGCAGGCGCTGAAGGTGGCGCTGCTGCATTGGCAGGTCGGTGGCGCCCCATAGTACCAGGTCGAGGATGATGAAGCGGAAGGCGAGGACGTTGGAAACGATGGAGCGTGTCGGTTCGTCCACATCGAGACCGCAAAAGCTCAGTATAATATCATGGGTGCGGGCATCGATGAGGCTCGCTTTGTGCCGGAGCAAATAGGCCAGCGTTTCGTAGGCTTGTGTTCGTTCTGTCGAGCAAAACTCGAGTTCAGTTCAAGGCTTTATTAGCTTCACTCGACCTAGATGCTAGACTTGCCCGCATCCTCACTGTTCCTCCAACTATCTTGAATGCATTCGACAAACAGCTGCACCGTCGTAGCGAGCTGTGCCGACGTCTTGGACAGCTCAATGAGCTTCGTCACTACCGAGACGCCCCCAATCTTCCACACCGCAGCATCGAGTCCTCTCGGGTTGCACGCGTGCGCTTGTGTCAAGTGACCCAACCCATTCGGCATCAGGAGGACATCGTCGATCTTGCGCGGAATGGCCGAGTTGACGATCGCTTTGCCTCTCGGCGAGGCTGCCGTCGAAGCGAGGGCCTGTCGAGCCCGGTCCGAAAGTCCCGTCCCTAGGATCCCTCTGGACGAGCCAGCGGCGAGCACGTTGAGCGCCGAGAAGGCGAAATATATTTTGTGGTCGGGGACGACCGCACTCCCCCGTTCGCGGATCGCTTGTATCAGCGCCTGCGTCGCCGGTTGAGCGTTCCCATTCGAGGCCGCGATCTCGAGCCGCACGTTGAGGTCCGTCGACGAGGCGTTCGTTTGAAACTGGCCCAGTTGGTCCTGGAATAGGCCCGCGTAGCGAGGGCCGAGCGTCCAGCACACGTATATCATCTGCTCCGGCAGCTCCGCGTGCAAGAGCCATGTCGGCCCAAGGTTCCACTTGACTCGATTCATCCCCTTCCCAAGCCCACCCTCGGCGACGCGCTCCGTCGGCGTTCCGAGCCATGCTTGCACGTCAGAGTCCTTGGGCGGCGCCGTCGGGTACGCGATTTTGCTCGTATCGACGAGTTGTCCGTCGACGTAGAGAGATATCGGGGACGAAAGCACGTACTTGGGTCGCTGGTGGACGAGAGCGACGTGCTGGAACTTGCCCAACTGCAGCCAGTGGTTCGTGAAGACGACGGGGGGCTTGGAAGGGGAGGTCGAGACCGCGAACTGGAGATCCGACGTGATGCTGAGTTGGAGATGGCATTTTCCCGCCGAGTCGCCGTATCCCAGCACGCTGAAGCTGTCCCCTGCTCGCGGAGGCACGTCGATCGAGATCCACCCCATGAAGGTGTAGCCGACGGTCGCCGGAGGAAAGACGCGGCCCAGCGAAGGAAGCACGAGAGCCGAATAGCCTGTCGGAGACAGGTCAAAGTGGATGAAGCTCGGGAAACGCGACCGCCGCACCCCGATGAGGATCAGTTCAAGCACCTCTTCGTCGAGGGTTTCCTCCTCGTCCGTCCCCTGCCACCCCTTGACGGCGAGTTGGAACAGCCGCCGCGAGTTGTGCGTATCGGAGCCCATTTCGAGGGTTCGCTGCATCAACTTGATCCAAAGGTCTCTCTCGACCGGCGACAGGTCGTCTTGCTTCTGCTCCTGAGACGGGATCAGCCTCGACAAGGCGATCCCGACGAGCCCAACCTCGTTAAGCGCGACCTGGGACCGTGTCGAGCTCCAGATGAGCTGCAACAGAGAGGACAGCACGGACAAGCGCAGCATGATCTCATTCTCGCCGAGTTGAGACGCCAAGTTGAGCATCAGCGGCACGACCTCGGGGTGTTCGGCCGCCTCGCCTCCTGATTCCCGGACTGCATCGGCGCGTTCGGCCAGCAAGACGACGATACGTTCCGCGTCGGCGGCAAGATCAATCACCGCCTCTACCGGCTTGGCATCGGCGTCAAACACCACGGGAGCAGATTCCGTTTCGGCCGGAGAGGGCGAGTTGAGGTGCCGCCGAAGGTAAGAGTAGATTGGCAGGGAGGAGAAGTCGGTGGTGAGGAACGCGTAGAGGATCGAGAAGAGCTTTTCGGCGGGAGTGGGGGAAGCGGGCGATCCTTCGACCGTCGTCGACGAGCCAGATGCTACGTCCTTATCGTCTATTTGTGCTTCCATGAGCCCACTCAACTTGATCGCCTCGCCGACAGCCTCGTACCCGACCGTGTCGTTGAACGTCGACCGGTTGACGTCATGCCCTTCGAAGGCAAGAGCCAGGACGGCGAAGACGAGCTTGACGAGTTCGTACCGCAGTTCGTGCCGTTGCTCGGACGTATCGATGCCGACCCCGCCATGATTTTCGGCCGCTGCTCGCTCCTCGAGAGATGCGAGGACGGAGACGGCATTGAGGAATCCACCGTGCTCGCGGAAAGCATTTCGAGTTTCGGGCTGCTCGGGATCGACGTATGAGCGTGTCAGCTCGAGCAAGTTCGAGGCGATGGCGAAGTAACACCTCGGCAGGAGAAATGAAAACGAACCTGATCAATCATGATGTGCTGGATCTTGGCGATCAATCGCAATCGCTCGGAATACCCTGCGCGCTGGGTGATCTGCAACGCTTCGAGAGCGGCAATGATTTCGCTGTTCGCGATGCTGACCTCGTCAATGATCGGCGACGACGGCCCTTCTCCGTCATAGAGGTGGAGACCGGTGTGGATGTCGTTGTCGAGCGCATCGGCAAGGCTCGACGACGCGATCGAAAAGGATCGACTTCTCGCTTCGGACGACGGCGAGGTCGGTGTCGTGTCGGACGAAGGGGGAGGTCCACCGAACATGGATGAGAAGGAGGCCGCGCTCGGCAAGCGGCGGAGGTGGTGCATGGTTTCGATGAAGTCTGGTGGGGTTGGTTACTCAAGTGGGTCAGCCCAATATGCATGCAGGGGCTGATCGTGCCTGCGATCGTGCCTGCGAATGTGTAGCTGCGGGCACTGGGTTGGGCTGCAGCTGGGCGAGGAGCATCGAATTACGCCGAGTTGCGAGGCTAGCTGAGAGGCCGACCGTGGAGCTCCGTGAAGTTTCCCTTTGCTCGCGGGGTGTATCGAAGTAGCGTGACAAACGAGTCCACAGGGGTGTCAAGCGATGCAACCTCAGCCACCATGTTGATTTGGGCTCGTCGTCCTCCACCTCTGCATCTGTGCCCGGCTCGCTGAGGGTCGACTTGGAAGCCACCTGGTCGCGGCGTCGTCGAGCCCCGCGTCCCACCAAGTACTTGCACTCACCTGACTTGGGAGGTCAAATCAAAGCCTTGCGCCGTCACTCAGCATGTGGGTTAACTCGGACGCCACCGGAGCTCCCCACTGGTGTGCACGGACGCCGCCGATTTCACTTGGCGACGCCGCCGCCGATGAGACTGGACGTGCCACGGAAGGGAGTTATCGCGTGGACTTGCGCTGAGGCGCTGAGGTGGGGAGGCCGGCGGCTGATCGAGCAAGAGCGTCGAGTCCAGCAGCACGAGACGCGATGGCGAATCCAGCAGGCGAAGTCGAGTCCCGGGGTCGTGATAGTCGGCGGTAGGTCTACAGATGCCACCCAAAACCACGTCAAGATGAGCCGAACACGCGATCCAAGTCGGTTGTATGAGAGCGGAAGGGTGCGAGGAGAAGCCTCTCGTACTTGCAACGTCGGAGCCGCTAATTCGTGCCGCCGCGCGTGTTAACAGTGGAGCCCAGTGAGTTTCATTAGCAGCTTTCTTGAAGCAGTCGGGTGACTGTGCGCGTAGTCATTGCTCTTTCAAAACGAGGAGTTGTCTGTCAAGCAGCAGCTCTTATCGTCCTAGGTCAAAGGAACATTGGCGCGGCCATTGCAATGAACCTTGCATAAGTGGGTGGGGCAGCGCCCGGATGTGGGGTAGCTTATAGGGCAGGAAAGGGGTCTCCGGAACTCGACCGGTGTCGAGTCAAAGACGAATCCAGCAACCCACGACTACTCACTGATAAATATAACATTACAACGGCCAAGATGTTCCCAAACTGTCGATATGATATATATCCTAGCCAAACAGATAAATCACCCTAAGTTACAGATGCGACCCCAATTACCGCCGGGGCCGATGCGTTGCGAGTGCGATGCGCGGTGATGCCCTTCAACCGCTCCTTCTCCTCCCTTTCGAAACGAGCGAATAGCCCTTCAAGCTGCGTCACTTGTTCGGAGGCCTTATAAAGGTTCAAACTGGATGAAGAGGCTCCATTCCCATGTTCCAACAGCGGCAAGCGAGGCATGAGCCGTTGCGTCGAGCTTGCCTGGGGGTCACCTTCGCCGTTGAGCACCTCGGGCCCGTCGTCTTGGAACAGGCCAGCCGCGCGGATCGCCTCGGAACTGATGCCGACCATGTTCAACTGCCCATTCTTAGCGCCGAACGACTTGGTCCGCGGGGACGAAGAGGCCGAAGACGTGCCGCTGAAGAAGTTCCCGAACCGCTTCGTGATCGAACGCGTCGACCGCGTTGAGGTGGCGACCGAACCTGCGTAGCTACGCGTCGATACCGAGCTTTCGTTCGAGAGCGAGTACATTGAACGGCCTGGGCTCTGTACGGTCCGATTCGGCGTCGAAGGCATCGATCGAATCGAGTTGGCCGACGCCGAGTGCGCCAGGTCTCGATTGCTCAACATGTTCGACGAGGGTGAAGACAAGGGCGGGCCCGGGGACAGGGCCAGAGACGGCGGCGGACGTGGAGGTGGTGTTCTGGCGATCATGGCCTGCGCATCCCGCGGTGATTCGGGTGAGCGCACGCTCTCGACGATAGGCGGAGGCAGGATGGAGAGGTTCTTGGAGTTGCGAGGCGACGACCGCCGCCGCAGCGTCGAGATCGAGTTGCGGCGATCGCCCTCCTCGGCTTCCTCCTCGGCCTCCTCGCCAATCGCCGACATCCTGCGCAGTTGATCGCTTGCGGACGTCGGATGCCCGGTCCGGGGTATACCATTCTGGTGCTTGCCATCACCATCACTCGATTCCAACGACCGAAGCGGAGACATTGATCCCTCGTTGGCGTCAAAGTAATCAGCAGACGAGTCGGAAGCGACCGTATCCCCCGAGATCGTGCGTTGACGTGTATGCGGTGCGGCGAGCGCCTCGTCGAAAGCCGCACTCAGAGATTCCGATCGGGATACTGCGTGTGTTGGCGCAGCCGAGCGTGAAGCGGCAGGCACAGTGCGACCAAGATTGACCGCGGCGACCTTGAGCTCGACCTTATCGACCTCGCCGAGCAGCTCGTCGTACACATTCGTCTCCTTGGGGGAGCGGGACGTTGACGCGAAGCGAGGTGCTTGAACCGGGGACGCCCCCCGACGCTGCGCGCGGATCATCTGGTCAAGCTCATCCTCGGGGCCTGAATCAGGATCGGACTGGAGAGACGGCGCCAAGACGAGCGGAAAAGGCGAGCTGGGTTTTGTGGGGCTCGTCTTCCCAAAGGACAAGGCTAGACCTAAGAAGGGGAGGGCGCTGGTGCGGATCGATCGCTCGCTGGACACGGGCGACGAGGCACTCGGGACCACCGGTGATCTTGCCTTGGGCGAGGCTCGAGGTCGTCCGGGGAAGGGACCGCCATCTTGGGTCGCATCCAGCGAGCGTGGAGCCGGCCGTGGCGCAGAGGGAAAGACGAGCGAAGCGTTCGAAGCCGGATTGGGGGACTGCTTTGGCGGGGGTGGAGGAAAGTAGAGCCTGCGCGACTCGGACTCTGTCGCCGTATTGCTGCTATGAACGGATCTGATCGACGCGGGTCGGCCAGAGTACTCCAGTAAGCCGCTGTCGTAGTTGCTCGTCGTGCTCGACCTGGCGAATGCGTTCGCGGGTAAGAGGCCCGAGCGACGAGGCGGGATGGAAGCAGGTGAGCGCGAGCGCCGAGTCTGCGAGGGTGCCGGAGCGAAGTCGGGAAAAACGATGTGGTCGGGCTGAAGCTCGACGCTCCGAAAAGAGGAGCCAGAGCCGTTAGGGTGTCGGGGTTCCAAAGCGCTGCCCGCATTGCCGTTCCGACCCCGTTCATGCTTGTGGACCTGGTCCGGCAGGAAGCGGGTCGACCGTGCTTGGCGCACGGGAGGCGGACGAGCCAACTTGGTACGGGGCGGGCCACTTCCCAGTGCAGGAGACCCTCCTCCAGGTGACGTTGTTGAAAACCGCCCTTCGCCGGGCGAAGTGGGTGAAGACTGGGGAAAGACCGGGGACCGAGAGCTGTAAAATTCGTTCGCCGATGAGAACGCCGTTTCGCCGCTAGCAGGAACGTATGAGTTCCGTCCATCGTAGCCTTCTCCAGTGCCCCCTGTATGAGCATGACCGCGTACGAGATCTTGCATCGCGTCAGTCCCAGGAGGCGGCAAGCAATCGGTCTGATGTGGGCTCGCAAGCAACTCACGTCTTGATGGGCCCTCGGCGCCGTATTCGATATTCTGCAGACCTAACCCTTCCGGAGAAATATCATTTTGGGCGTTGGTTCCGTTGAGTTGTGCAAGGGCCGATGTTCTGGATGCGTCTGATTGCTGAGAGAGTCTTCTTGCAGGTACAGAAGGCCACGTGCCGGCTCTACCGTACCCGCGAGCCGGTTCCAAGCTCCCGTACTGCGGTGCCCCGTTCGCCGATGTCGATGTCGACGGCGGTCCGGGGAGCACCTCATACGACCCTCGTCGGAAGGGTCCCTCGAAAGCTGTCTGGACCGTCGAAGATGGACCCGCCGACGCACGAGCTCCCCGGTTCCGTGACCTCCGGGTTGCGCGAGACTGATCGTGCTGCTCATCGTCCGAGGTGGACGCCGTCGAGTCGTAATACGATACCGGGTTGCTTGTGACTACCTGGGTCGGCGGTCGCATCGTCGATTCAACGCTCGCTGGAGGAAGCGACAACAGGGCCGCCGTGTCCACTCCGAGACTCCTGGGCGCTGGCGCGCCCGGACCCAAGGGTAACCCGAAGTCGGCGGCGGGGGCGGTCGGAGGCGACTTACAAGGCGAAGACAGCGCCGTCGACCCGCTGTAGGTGCGTGGAGTCGATGCCGATGATGTCGACGAAGAAAGTGCTGGGGATGCGAATGTGGAGGGGAGGAAGGGGCGCGAGGGGCGGAGAGGCGAGCGAGCGGGACGACTCGCCGCTACTGCCGCTGCGGCAACCAAAGTCGGTGACGATGACGACGGCGCCGACCCGCGCGGGCTAGCACTGGCCGCCGGTGTCTCCGAGCCTGTCGCGACGGGCGCCTCCCACGTCGTCAAGAAACGAGACATGAATTGCGGCCGCAGTCACAATGCTGGACCGCCCGCCACTGCCCTTACAGAGCCACCCTTCAAGCGTCGACGAGGAATTAGTTGCGAGAGTACCTGGGGTGCGTGTGTCTCGCCAACGTTGATGCCTCTGATGCAGCTCTCGTGTGTGCCGAGAAAAGTGGTGCGCGGACTCCGCGATCTGCGATCTGGCCAGTGTCAAACGGCCGTTGCACGCCTGCTGTACGATAGCCGAGGCCCAGGGTCGGATATCAGTGCCAAGATGATTTCACGGCTTGGGAGCTGAAGTAGCATGCAGCTCATAGCATCTACTACTGACCTGCTCACCTTATGTGGCCCCTCTGCAGGACTGAAGGCCAATGTCAACGTGTACAGGAAAGAAAAGGAGAAAAAGTGCGATCTAACGATGGTGCTACTTAATTAGCTCAGAGCACCGTGATTCGCAGATCGGCAGGTCAGTTAACCCAGCCAAATGAGCTCCCCCGCGCGGGCGAGTTAAGGCAGCTTTTCTGTTTTTTGGCCCGGTTGGAGGTTGGTACAGGTCGGGTGTACCAATGCCCTCCCCACCCCGTCCCACCCCGGCTCAGTGCACCCCAAATGGTCATAAGTAAGGGGCTACTAGTTCGTGTAAGACTCACCATCATCACCCGAAGACTCGTAAGTTCGAATGATGTCATAAATGTCATACAGCTTGTCGTACTCAGTCCATTCAATTCGTGTAGTTCCATATACCATCAACTGACATGTGTACGACAGATTCTGTGTAGACCTTTTCGTCCTGTTTTCTTGTATTTGTTAGTTTGGATACGACCGAGGGAGTACACACCGTGTCTATGATTGGGCCCGAGGGAGGGATCGGTCCTGGTCCCTGGAATCCTGGATCGGTCCTCGAGCAGACAAACGCTTATTCTGAACGGTGTGCACTGTGTATAGAAAATGGATATCTAGTGAAGCCCCTTCGGACGGTCGACTTGGATCCAGCGGCAATCAGTCCTGCATCAATTCCCAGAGAGTAATTGAACGGGCAAAATTGAGGCGGGGCTGTGCCTGGCTGTGCGGCCGCACGCGGAGCTCAGATTGGCGAGCGCTCTGCGTGAACACGTTGACCTCTGCACACTCACGTCAACGCGACAACGCGCACCCTTGACCCACGCCACGCCCCGCATCTCAATACGTTGAAACCTCCCTGCGCCTGTTGAACGAACATCGATGCTATTGCCGAATGGAGGTATGTGGACGCGTTTCCCCGCCTCACATCCCCCTTCATGGGCCTAATTGTGTTGCTCCACCATGACGCGACCGTCAGACATACGCGTGGGATCTAGGCGAGGTTCTCCAGCAGAGTCCATTTCCTTTGGCGCTCATCCGAGTGAGTGCTCTTGTCTGGTGTGCCAACTAAGATCCCTTGTAGCAGGGCTGAGAGCAGAGTGCCGGTCATCGACCTCATCCTTCTATCTACTCAATCCTGCCGGACAGCTGAAGAATTCTCTGTTCTCTCACACCTCTTGCAGGTCGGAGGGACGATCAAAGCGGTCGAGCATCCTCACAAGCCAGCACAACTCTGGATGAACCGTCTCCACGCCCGACTCGGAAGAGAAAGCGGCGCATGCCCGTGCCCCAAACCCCTTCGTCCGACTCCGACTCTGACGAGCCCAATTGGGGCGATTCCAGTCACTCCTCGGCTGACGACAGCGACAGTTACAGTGAGAGTGAGAGCGAGTTTGAAGATGTCGCGATCGACCATCGAAGAGCTATCAGGCTCTGGACGGCCATACATGGCTCGCATCGGAACGCGACCGGTCGTATGAGTCAAAGAAAGTGGACCTCGCTGAAGCACTGGGCCGCTCGAAGATATTACTCGGAGCTCAAGATGGCCGCGAAACTCGGCATATCCCATGCAAGGCTCGTTCAGGCCGTCAAAAAGTTCAACAGCCTCGCTTCGAAGGGCAATGCGTGGTCTAGATTTCTCTCGGACCCTGTAGTCAAGGTTTTACACCAGCGAGCAAGCAAGGGTGAGTCGGTCCTCCGGGCGCTTCCGGTCATGCCCACTCCACTCTCCTACGCTCTCGCTTATGCTTACCGCTGCGTCCGCAATATCTGTTCTTACATACCCTGGGTGTGTCAAACGTGTTCAGAATCGGATCATTCGAAATCGCAATCCATCACCGAACTTGCCGCTCAACTCTGGAACTTCCTGAGAGACCAGGGGGACCTCGGATCTGCCCAACTTGGCGAGGACGATGAAGAGCTTGTTCGCGCGGCTTTTGCAGCGGCAGAGGCAGGAAATAATACGACTTTCACTTCGATAGTACCACCCACCATCATCACACGGTCGCCATCCGACATTCCTTCCCCAACTCGGATGGAGCAATGCAAAAAGTACATTGCAGTTGCGAGACCTGGCGCCACGCATGTCCAAGCTGTACGGAGTGGAAACCCTGGCCTTCATTGTCCCTCGTTATCAAGACGACGTATCGCCAGCGACGAAGGCAACCGTGCATTCGATAGGTGGGCTCAGATTTGCAGCTCACTGCAACGACTTCAAGGATCCATCCGGCAATTCCTTGTTGTCTAATTTTGCTTCCAAGATGAGCTGGGATGAGACACTCAAGGCCAATGAAGCGACAGATCTGAAAGAGGGTGAGCTTTTCATCGCAGATTATGCGCGCATGAGACCACGTTACCGTTACCAATTATGTGACATATGTTTTCGTCTCATCTATCAGCAAACACTCGCTCGATGGACAGTGCTACTCGCGGCGTTCTTGGCAAATGGCACGGCATTCTGTTCCGCGCCCAACTCAGTAAGTAGTCTGCATCTGATCGGGCTCGACTCCGTGCTAATCATTTCCGCCTTTACAGACTCTGCTCTCGAGACTATACATCGCCGTTCCGACACGGGATCATCGACAGGCGATTTCACACCTCAGAAGAAGATGATATGGTCTACCCAGGGCTTGAAGGCACTGGGTGTCAAATTGCGGATCAAGCCCGGAACGAAGAGTAGATACGAAATGGCTCTGCATCATAGTGCAGAGACATCGCCCAAGCAAACCGTTGCTCAACTCAAGGCTATCATTGACGACCTCCGTCACGGCCACCTCGCTATCGTACCCTCGGTGGACCCGAACGACAATACGGAGGCAGAGGCAAGCGACGATGACTCGAATGGCGGAGAAGGACCCCTGAGCCCAAGATTTGGTGGAGCCGGGGACGAAGGCGGAGAGGTACGCGGCGGAGAAAAAAGCGGAGAAGAAGATAGAGAAAGAAATACCGAGGGGGTGGCGGAGGAGACCGGAGGATGAATGAAGCAAAACATCGTCGATGGATTGAGACTGTTCTTATGTCTTTCTTTGGGCATATTATGCTCTGAGTCGGTCTGCAAGATGACCGATATTTGTTATGTCTCTGTGGTTTGTGGCGCGTCTTTCAGTGTAGATCCTTCAGTTTAGTTTCAGATGATTGTCATACACGCATACAGCGTCTCAGCTGCCATCTTGACTGCCATCTTGATTGTGGCGATTAATCTTAACAGGATTGTAAATTAACATGATCAAAATGCTCATTCTGTCAGGCTCTGCCAAGATCACTGGGCATACTCGACCCCCCCCCCCCACGGCCCCCCGGGACTGTTTCTTACGTCACGGCCCGGGGGCCCCTGTGTGCTCCGGGCGACGGAACCTGACCAAGTCAGCGGCCGGCATCCCGTTCATCTACGGCCCCCCTTCCAGAGATTAGGCTGGAGTCTTCCTTCGCAACCAATGGTCCCGCACCTTTGTCCTACAAGGACTCGGGGCGCACCGCATGGGCCGCAGCACAACGGTGTGGCGCTCGCATCCAGGTAAGGCGACATCTCTGCGCATCTATTTACCCTTGGGTCAACGAAATTAGAATGGCTCTCGGGCCGACGCATCTCCTCTTTCTTCTTCTTCTTCTTCTGAACTTGTGATATACAACCAAATGGCCATACACCTTTTCCAACTTCGACCTCATCGCCGTTTCTTGCGCCTCCCGTTTCAAACACACTTGGGATCCAATCCCTCCTAATCATTCCTCATATCCATGCTTCGTCCGAAGGCGCCGTACTATTGACCGTGTCTCGTTGCATAAGTCTGTTTGACCTTTTGGCCTACCATTGTCTTGTTCCCTTAGATACAATCTGACTTCACCTTCTGGTCGGACCGGTTGCCACTGCATAACTCTCAACTGCCTGCGCGCCGCAAAACCGGACGGTGGATAACTGTGAGGTCATTCGTTGGGACTGCAATACAGGGGTCAGACGACAGCTCGACCTCTCCTTTCATGTCCCATCCTGAATTCACCCATCGTCGCAACTATAAGACCCAACTGAAGACCAAGAAGACGACCGTCACAGTGATGACAAGACGGTATCTCCCGTCGAAAAGAACTTTGAAAACACCCTCCCGGTATGGGTACTTTCAGTCTGACTCCAACACGACGTGTTGTCCACCTTGAGTTTGAACCCTGATTGGTGTCACAAAAGACTATATGACCTGCCATCACCGAAAACCACGGCGGGGCAGTCGGTCGGTCGATATTAGAAGGAGGCCCAGGCCACAACAGCGTGCAGAACTCTCAAGCCGCCTAATGCGATGAGAAAACGTAGAGCAACGACAGAGCAAGGGGTGTATAAAGGTGAATCTGACTCACTCGTGGCTTCGTTCAGTCATATACAGCGCATTACTTTGGGCATGGGTGACTATAACTTGCTGCAGTTCGACTGTTGAAACGCAAGCGCCGTGACGACGTACTTCGCGTCGAGATTACAGTGAGCGTGTGAACTGCGCAGGAAGGAATTGCGACAAAGCAGTGCGCTGGCTCTTAGCAACTTAGCAAGGAGTTCATTAACGTGCCACCAATGTACAATTCATTATATCATACAGAAAAAGACTGTTAGGGGTGATCAACTTCTGTATCTTGCGTCTGAAAAGTCATCAACCAAGTTCCGAGGCAAATACTCAATGGACCTGGTCGAGTGTGAGGCTCGGAGTGGCCGTGACAACACTACAGAAGACCTTTGTACGACGTTGGAACTGTGAGCCGGATCCGGACTTCGTTCAAGTATACATCAAAATGTAGTCGGCAGTGTTGGAATATGATACGTACTTTTGCAATCCCTGCTGACTGTTCGGGAAGTGTCACCCAAGGCACGACACGGACTACGCATGTGACTGACTGGCAGGGAGAGCGGTAAGTTCTACCTGTAGGAGATCTCAGCCCAGTCAGCGCAGCAAAGATGCAATGGACGCTTGTGTTCACTCCCTCAGCGTAGCGCGCTCTTCCTCTAAACCTTACCGGTCGTGTTGGGCTTCCGGTTGCCAGCTTTACTCGAGCGACATTAAACTTTTCAAGCGAGCCACCGCAAGATCGAGCGATTTAGCGATGCCGGGTCTTGGATGTCTGATCGCTCTTGTTGTACTTCCTAGCAAAGCGTCGTATAACGTGTAGAACTACTAGCAAAATGAACGCATCATTGATCTCTTTACTATTGCAAGTAGCAACTGGGCAAAAGACTGCAACTATATATGATCAATATCAAATTCCCCAAAAACATCGCCATCGTCTTCATCAAAGTTCTCGTTGATCTCGTCACTGAAGGCGCCGTAATCGGTAGTGTCGACGGAATGATGACTCAGATCATCGCTCGAATGATCACTGATGTCAAGAAGGGCGTCATGATCCGTGGTGATGTCGTCCGACTCTCCGACCATCCCATCAATGATGCAGTCTGGCCATGTGTGATCCGGCAAGCCACCCGCTGTGGTTCGTTGAAAAACCTCAACGTCGTCGGTGCACCACATTCGGAGCTCGACCCACTCCTCCGTTTGCGGTTCGCCGCTTTGCCGGGTGCATTCCCACAGGTGATCTAGGCCGCCTTTCGAGAACCATCGTCGCGCAATAGTTCTAAGACGCTCTTCTTCTCGCTCGAGCAGCATCATCGCAGAGTCATCCTGCTCATCTAGTTGTAGTAATTGCTGGCGAACTTGCTGAAACCTCTTGCGACGGCTTATCAGCCACCGTCCAATGCGACGTACTTCCCATCCAAGTCGCTTGATTTCTTGCTGGCATCTTGCGCGAGACAATACTGCTGGAATGCCGACACGAACATCATCATCGTAGGCCCACGGCTCAGTGGGATGACTATATAATCCGTTGTTCCAGAGCGGCGTCAAGATGTCGAGTTTGAGCAGTTCGTTGAGATCCTCTGGGGCTGATGGCGGTACCCTTCGGGTTCTCAAGATCGAATGGGAATTCTGAGAATTGGCGAGGATGGCAGCATACTTTTTCACCTCGTCGTTATACATCGCCACTGCCTTCATGAGCCTTGGACGCAAAGAATTAAGATTCTTGACCAGGAGACCAGCCGCTTTCGTACCTATGAGCAGGCATTGCTACACATCAGCGTTCCTTCTGCCGGCGCAGAAGACTCGTACCATGAATTTCCTACCGAGGGCTTTACCGCCTAGGCGTGGGAGCCGCAGCCTCTCAGCTCCCTGTCGATATTGTACGACCAAGTCCCACAGTGAGCGAGATGCGACCATCAATGTGCAGGCAAATTCATAGTCTGTGCCAATCAAAGGTGTTGACATATTTAAGCGAGGACAAAGGGGATCACACCGGAGGGTCAGAATGCAAGAAGGGAGTGACGTACCAGGGTCCAGGACACTGATGTTCATTTCCGATGTGCGTAAGGAGTTTAGTCGATCATCAAGAACCTGCCGTTGTTTGACCAGCTGTTGAAGTTTAGTCGACTGTTCTATAAGCTTGTTCGTATTTATGGTGTTCACGCAGGCTAGTTCTTCTCTGTAGCAATCGAAAAAGGAATACCGAAGTTAGGTCACCGGTTCGTGTCTCACTCCCAAACGACGACGATAGCTCAGACCCACCGGCATGCTGCGATATCTCTGTTAACCAGCTCAAGCTTGAACATGACGTTGGGCATCTCGGCTACCTCTTTGCGCTGTTCTTTCAGAGGGATCTGCTTGGACGCTGCACGTTGCGCGTGCCATTGTTCAAGGAGGGTAGCGACCGTCCATTCGGAGCGATTAACGACCTCAGTAATGACTCTGTCGGCTTCGGCCTTGAGCTTGATTGCGTTTTTGAGTCGAGAATTAAGTTTGGTCACTGGGCATGATCGATACGCCAAATATCAGCGACATGGTAAGGTAGTGCATGAAAGACTGGAAGCTTAGGCGAACCAAGATCGGCCAGATGCTGCTTGTTATAAGCAGACGCTCGACGATTGATGTTCTCCAGCCGATGGGAGGCACTCGATGATCGATTCATGGGTATCATGCCTCGAAGCTGCGACCACAAGCGCTCAGTTCCCTCGCCATCAGTCAAACCAAAATTGGGTAGAAAGCGCGGATCAAAGTCAACCTGGCAGGACCACTTGTGCGCATAGGCATGCATCGACGAGAGAGCAAATTCTAGACGCGGTAAGTGGTCTGCCAGAAGATTGCGCTGCGACACCGGGGAGAGATGAGCTGCTCAGCTACGGACTAAGCCAATGCTCAGGCTGAATGTCACGAACAAACTCACTCGGCGTAAGTGCGACGATAAGTTGCAGGCGATATCATACGCGACTCCGACGCGACTTCGATCCTGACTCGAACTTTGGTGGGAGTCCGATCCCGAGCTGGATCCGACGTTTGTAGCGTCACTGGTACGCGCAGGCCCCGTAGTACAATCCGTTTCTCCGACCTCAACTTCTTCGAGAATCCATTTCAACAGCGACACCGGATATACTAACCTGCGGTAGACCAAACTAGCTTATTAGTGTCCTTGCCTGGAGTCACAGATGGCCAGTCCACACATACTTTTCACCTGATTGATGAAGGTTGCAAAGTCGCAGGCAATGATCATGACGGCACACTGCAGCAACGAGGCCTGTGTCGGCCACTACATTTGACGAAGCGGAGGTCACACCACCATCTGCGGCCTTCCAGTTGGCTGTGCATTCATCCTGTATAGGAGAATAGCTCGTTTAGCAATCACAGACAGTCGGGTCAACTCATTATTGGGTTCGGGTGACCCGACACCAGCAGCACCAAGGTACCTTCTCGCCCGCTTCAGTCGATCCATCGATCAAAGCTTGCTCGTTTCGAATCTTGTCTGGTGGCAGGAATAACGCTGGACGTGACTTGAGAGGATCAGCATTTGCCCGCGCGAATCGTCGATGCTGAAAATTGCCGTCGACAGCAATGATGACATCGAGGTCATTCTCGCTCTTGCCGGCTTCATCGATCCGAGGCCCAAAACATGCCGGACAAACGTCGGCCAGACGCTCGCGCGGGGAGAGGCCGAGAATTTCGGCGGTCAAAGTTGCCTGCAGCTGTTGCATAAATCGATATTCATCCATTGCGGCTTGAAGATGCTGACGCACGGTTGGACCCTGGGAAGCTTCCAATATATTCTGTAAGAAACAATGAATGTTTCCGGCCTGTCCCTGTCCAGAGCCCACCTTGTTAAAAGGATCCTCCGAGGATAATTCAGAGGACCAAAAGAGAATGAGCGCTTCGGACATGCCATAGATACCAAAAGGATCTACCCCCCAGTAGGTGTCGAGATATTCGATCGTGCGAAAGGTGAATGCGGTGATGCCTTCTCTTTTTCGGTTTGAAGATGACGACGTCGGGAGAAAACCGTGAGCTGCCAGGGTTTGGATCTCGGAATAGCATGGGCAGTATCGTAGTTCTCGCATGCCTGCTCATGGTTGGGGGATATCAAATCAGTCCAAGACGATAGCGTAGGGGTGGTTGACAAAAGATGTGCAACAGAAGCACCTACCTGCAAAGAACAGGTCGACAACCCGGACCTTTCTGGTGACTCGGCGTTCATGACATGCGTCGCACCACTCCTCGTCGTCCGGGGAAGGGACAAACCCGCTCTGTCGAAGCACTTCTTTGGCCTTTTTCTTCATCAATAGGTACGCCTGGAAAAGTTCAGGTCGTTTTGACGCCCTAGTCTTAGCTTCGGCCCTCGCAGTCCGGCGACGATTGCGCTGCTTCTTGGCGTTCCTCTCGATCCGCGATCGCTTAAGTGAAGAGGGCGCTTGGTCTTGAGAAGCACCGTCTGGGTGGAATGGCGAATGCTCCGGTCCAGATGAGTATCCACCACCGAAATCGCGACCGAAGTCGTAGTCGGGCTCAAAGTCGGGCTCAAAGCCGGGCGCGCTGTTAGGCTCGAAGTCGTGCTCGAAACCGCCGGTCTCGGTGTCTAGAGGCCACGCCGTTGCGCCATCGGCAATGTCAGTCCAAGGCTCGGACGATGATTTGTGGAGGCCGGCAATGGATTTCTTCGAATGCTCCTTCTCCTTCCGACGACGCGTTGACCTCTGGACCGATGGTGATGGGGGAGGGCTCGGCTGCCGTTTCGGACGCCTCTTCGTTGGAGAGCGGAAAATACCGAAATTGAAGCCGAACGTCTTGTCGAACAGCTCGTTATCGGGCGACAACGATGGCTCCCTTTTCCGTACTCGCTTGGTCCATAATCTCCTCTTCTTCTTCTTCGTCTTCGCCTCCTCCTCCGTTCCCACCGACGTCGTGGCCCCATTCTCGATCGTGTCCTTGTTGCTGCAGGTCACCTTCTTCCTCCTCCTCCTCACGGTCGTGCTCTTCTTGCGCTTGGTCTTGTCAGTGCGTTTTGATGCTGAGCTAGGTTGTAGAGGTGGTGGTGTGTGTGGTAAGATGTCCATGCTTGAAGCGATGGGTGCAAGCTTGCAAGGCCTTGGGTGGAGGGAAGCGGGGGGAACTCGTGGTGCTGAGGCAGATGGACCATTAGCGGGGATAAGTAGCAAGTGCCCGAATTAGTGACCAGTTTTGCCTCCGGGGGCTGGGGGTTGGCAGGGGAATGGTGCACCTACCCTGTACCAACGTTTTCCTGGGCCAAATCTCGAAAAAGCTCCCTAAACTCGCCGCGCGCGGGGTAGTATATTTGTTAGGCTTATTTAGACCCGCATAGGTGAATGAAAGCCCAACCGGCGACCCATACTCTTGGGCATCTTCGTCCCGTCTCTTCACGTTGCGACGCGTCCCAGCTCCACACCGCCTCCCGCAAGCTCTCTCCGCTTATACGCTTGCCTGCGTGCTGCGTTAGACATCTAGAAAGGTAAGTCCTTTGGATCCGGCTATCTTGCTGCTGCTGTATCGAGCTGACGACTCTGCCTTTCGCCCGCGGAATAGCGTCGAACGCGTCGAGGATAATGAACCCCACTTCCGCAACCGCATCCGCTGCTGCGTCCACCGGACCTGCTATCGCGACTACCAACGCAACAACCCCTACCACTACCTCAAAAGTACCCCCAAGTCTACTCGACCACCTCACCACCTCGCTCCTCTCCTCCTCCTTCCCCGGCGCGCACTCGTACACGATCCACGTCGTCCGTTCCCAACCCCGTCGTTCGCATGCGCTCTTTCCCTGGGCTTCGAACGTCCATTCGTGCAAGGTCTTTCAACAAGAACTCCTTATCGTCCTTTCGGAGAAGAGAGGGGTAGAGGTCGGCGATCAAGGGGAGAAGGATTTTCTCCCCGTTATGGGTTTGGAAGCGTTCATCTATACGATCCCTTCGACCTCAACTTTATTGGTTTACATCTCCAAGATCGATACTTCCGGTTTAGCACCCACGGGTTACACACCTATGAAGATAATCGTCTCTTCGTTCGTCGAATATGTGCTCAAATTCCCGTTTCAGGCGATGAGGAGGTGTAGGGTTTTCACGTTCGCCAAGAGTCATGGACAGTATTTGTTCCCCGGTAGTAAGGAGAATGAGAAGAAGAAGGTGTTGGATGACAAAGGTTTGGTTAGGTGGTGGAAAGCGACTTTAGGGAAGGCGGTGAAGGAGGTGGGCAAAACGGAGCAAGGGACAAAGAGAGGAAAGGTCGGGATGTGGTACCTCGTACCCGGAATGTCGAGGCTCGAATCGCTACCTTATGTTCCCGATCCGGCCGACGCGGAAGGAGGATCGAATTGGATTTATGGACATCCCTACCGCACCTTGTCGTCGCCTTTACATCCTCTTTCGAGATCAACGACTCAAGTCACCGATGCAGGGGAGATGGCCTTTTGGGACCATATCCCCTGCTTCCCCGACGACCCCAAAGCGCGCTTCTTCCACTCGCTCACTTCATCGACGATCGCACCGAGCGGGAACGAGAACGATTACGACGACGTCATGAATTCCCTGGGTTCAGCGACGTTCGCTTCCGTCGCTTTGGCGAAAAGTCAGGCCGAGGGGATTGAAAGGGAACGGGAGAGGGAGAGGGCGAGGTTGAGGGAAGGGGTCATGGGGGGTATGGAGGAGTGGTGGGAAAGGATGGGCTGGAGACAAGAGTGTTGTAGTGGGGTTTTGACGGGGTTCTTTTGTTTGGCGAATGGGGAGGACGGTCCGGAGGTGGAGACAGAGTCGGAGACAGAGTCGGAGGGGGATCAGGCACCGCAAGAGGAGGTTGAGACGGAAGAGGTTGACGGCAAAATTGACGGAAAGGACCTTACCGCGACCACGACGGCATCAGCCTTGAATCCAACTGCGTCTACTACTATGACTTTGTCAACGACGCGCCGCCTCAAGAAGGAAGACATGACCCTACCGCACGTGACCTTCATCAAGCTGTGGAGCCAATTCCACAATGTCGATTATGCCGAAGAGATTGGCCTCGCGCCCGAGACGGGCAAGATGGTAGCGAGCGTAAGAAAATGGGAGGAGGATGTCGAGAGATTGGTTGGTGCGACCGTGGCGGGAGGGGCTGTCTCGAAGGGAGAGGATGCGGAGGACGAAGATTCTGCTCAGAGGGAGAGGGAGCGGACACAGAAGAAGTACGAAAAATACGTCAAGCGGGTGGTGGAGGTGAAGAATCCGGAGATGGCGGTCGGTCAGAAGCGGGCTCTGGAGGAACAGGCTCAAGCGCCGGCGGTGATCAACATGTTGGCGCCGAGGAAGAAGAAGAAGGTCGTCGTTGGAAATCCGACGGCGCCGACGACGGTTGAATAAGGGAGAGGTGTGTCAGTAGTCTAGTGTAGCTTTGTTCGAAGGGGTTCATGCAGTACAGATAAATTCTGTCGCACCGACATGTCGTCTTGCAGCGACTTGGGTCGAGCATAACCTCTCGGGCGCCGACTGGCGCCGATAAGAGGATGGCTGAATAGGTTAGCCCGGCTATCCTCTTTGCGCCTGTTTGTTTAGCCGGTACCCGTCTCTTACCCGTTTCGTCAGTCTGAGGCGCTCTTCCTTGCTTCCGCCTCACCCACTGCCTCAGCCGCAGGGCACCCACACCCACACCCACACCCACACCCACACCCACTTCACCATGGTCAATCCATCAACGGCCTACGTCACTCCACCCGAGCCCAAGTCTACCGTCGACTACAGCCTCCCCTGGCCCGCGACGACGAAGGCCGGCTCGGGCTCGAACGCTCTGGATCCGACCACGAGGTTCTTCCCCGCAGCTGGAGGTGCGGCCCCACTCCGTCATCAATTGCCCCATACCACCTCCTCCACCGCTTCCTCGCAGCGTAGGACATGGGCTCGGAGATTGGCACTCTTGGTCCTCGTCGTCGTGCTCGCGACGCATCCCATTGGTCCTGATCTCAGAACATGGTTCCTCCCCGCTTCGACGGTCCCGCGCGAAGGCGGTCACGCCATCGGCAGCGATGGGTTCAATTGGATCATCAGGCGCCCTGGAGCTCGCAACGAGCAGGTGCTGGCGGGCACCACGAAAAGTTTGGAAGAGGTTTTTTTGAGTATTCCGGACGCCGAGTCGGCGAGAACGACTTCGCATTCGTGAGTCGATCGCCGATGTTCCCGATCACGTGCCTCGTCAGAGGCCGTTTCCCCGCACGAGAGCCCCCCATATTCCGTCTCGGAGAAGGAGGGAACGCGCGCGCGCTTGGCTGCAGACGATATCGTATTGCCACGTACGTACTGACTCTAACCACCACTTTTGAAACAGATACACCTTTGAAACCCACATCGCCGGTACACCCGCCGATCGTCGCTCCGCCCTACGCGTCAAGGCCCAATTCGAGCAGGGACTTGCCCTACCCCTCTCTGATCCCGAAGCCAACGTCTTTGAATCCGGTAGTTCGGAGAGTCGAAACGCCCTGTACGGAACGCCGAAGTCTGAGAACGAACAGAGGTCGAAGAAGAAGAGTTGGTTTCAGACCTTGTTGGGTCGGTATGGGATCGACTTGGCGATCAACAGGGACGAAATGCGTGCCGTTCGCCCGCGGGTCTGGGTCGATACCTATCACCCGTTGCTCAACTACCCTGTTCGACAAGCCCTGACAATGACTCGACCCAACGAGGTCAAACCCTGCTTCGTCGCTTCGCTCAAGGAGGATATACTCCCCGAGGATCCGACCTCCGGTCAAGGACCTCCACCCTTCCATGGTTTTTCCAAGAACGGTACGGCCAAAGGCCAACTCGTCTACGTCGGTCGAGGAACGCACGCCGAGTTCAAAGCCATGCACGCGCGCGGAATCGATTTCAAAGGCAAGATCGTGATCGCACAATACTCGGGTTCGTTTCGAGGGCTCAAGGCGCAAGCCGCGGCCGAGTACGGAGCGGTCGGCTTGTTGATCTATTCAGATCCGGTGACCGACTTTGATCAAACCGTCGAAAAGGGGGTCAAGGCTTTCCCGCACGGACCGGCCAGACAACCTTCGTCGGTCCAAAGAGGCTCGGTTCAATTCTTGTCAATCTATCCGGGCGATCCGTTGACCCCTGGCCTTCCAGCGTACGAGAACGCGACCCGCTTGGATCAGGACGGTTACGCGAGTTTGAACATCCCTTCGATCCCTTCGTTGCCGATCAGTTATGAGGATGCGATCCCGCTGTTGAAGAGCTTGAACGGCAAGGGATGGAAGAATGAGGATCGGGAGGAGGGAAAGGGGTGGAAGGAAGGTGGGCTGAGGTACCGCGGCGTCGAGTATTGGTCCGGACCTGGCGAGAACGAGGTCGAGTTGATCAACATCATGGAAGGCGGCATCAACAAGATTTGGAACACGTACGCGCTCATTCCCGGCTGCCAAGTCGAGGAGGAAGTCGTCGTGATTGGAAACCATAGGGATGCGTGGACGTTCGGAGCCGGTGATCCCAACTCCGGAACAGCGAGCGTCATCGAAGTCGTCAAGGGCTTTGGGGACTTGTTGAAGAAGGGGTGGAAGCCGCGTCGTAGTATTCTGATCGCCAGTTGGGACGCGGAGGAATACGGCCTCGTTGGATCGACCGAGTTTGGCGAGGATTACCCGCAGTTCATCCAGGAGCGGGTTGTGGCTTATCTTAATGTCGATATTAGTACGACCGGGACGGGGTACGGGATCAGAGCGTCGCCTAGTTTGGGCAAGGTCATACAAGAGATGTCGAGGAAGGTGTTGGATCCGACGGCGCAGAGGGAGGGAACGACGTTGATGCAGGGGTTGGAGGAGAGGAAGAAGGCGGGCGTCATGAAGGGACAGGGGATCGAGGTGGTGGATGCGCTCGGTTCGGGCTCGGGTGAGTCGTCTGCATTGTGCTCAGTTGACCACCGTTCTGTGAAAGGGCGTATCTGATCGGCACCAAACGAGATCCCACAGACTTCACCGTATTCCTCCAACACCTTGGCATCGCATCCTGGGATACAGGGTACTCGGCCCTGCCTTCCGACCCGGTGTATCACTACCACTCATCGTACGATTCGGCCTATTGGATGGACCATTTCGGAGACCCTTCTTTCGAACGCCATGTTGCTATCGCGAAGGTTTTGGGACTGGTCGCGTTGCGGTTGAGTGAGGAGAAGGTCTTGAATGGGATTGATGTGTTGAGTTATGCGAGGGAGTTGGAGAGGTATTTGAAAAAGGTTCCGAGCGTTCCGGAAGGGGTGCAAGGGGACAGGGAGGCGTTGAAGGATGCGATAAAGGAGGTGGGGGATGCGATTGAAGAGGTTCAACGTGCGGCTGAGGAGTTGGAAGAGGAAACGAGGGTGGTCGAGGACGATCTACACGTGGTGGAGGGGATGTTCGTCATGGAAAGCTCGGTGCTGCGCGATCTGGAGCGAAGGGTCAAGAGCATCAATACCCGACGCCGGACGTTCGAGCAAGGGTTCTTGGATGATCAGGGTTTGAAGGGTAGGGAATGGTATAAGAACCTTGTGGTCGCTCCGGGGAGGCATCTGGGTTATGGGGCGACGACCTTGCCCGGGCTGACGGAGGCGATTACGTTGGACGAGGACTTGCAAGGCGCAGTCGAGGAGGCGAGGAGGTTGAAGGTGGTGTTTGGCAAGCTTGCGAGGAGGTTGAGGGAGACGTCGCTTCTGTAGGACCGTGGATTGTAGCAAGTTTGTTCGCTTCCAAGGGTGTGATGCAAGAGATACCAGAAGCACGGAAATGGAAGCGGGGGTTTTCAGGTGATTGACCTCCTCGGCGCAAGTTCTTCTTTTTACATTTCGCCTTGTGCTGTTCAGGGTTTGTTCGATGAATTCTACATGTTCTCCCCGCACGGCGTCTCGGGCCCGAGATCGCCCTTTTGCTTCCAACCGAGATTGATCGTTATCGACAGCTCAGCGAGGGACGGAGCTTCGCGCCTCGTGCGCATCTTTCTCCGCCTCCTCCCGCCCTCTCCTCCATCCGAGCCCAGCACGATGGCCAACTCGACCAACTCCAACTCCAACACGCCGTCCACTCTGGCCTGTACTTTAACCGATCACGACCGTTCGACTCTCCCCTCCCATCTCCCACCTTGCGAACCCCCACATCCCCACCCGCTACCCACGTACTGGTCCGATAAGTTTACTTCCCCTTTCCAACACCACAACGCCGAAGTGACGACCCTACCGTCTAAAGCGGAGGTAGTGATCGTAGGTTCGGGAATGACTGGTCTTTGGGCCTTACTGGGTGTCGTGGAAGGTGTTTTGGAACGACTTCGACGTCCCACTGGTGCCAGGTCGCGGATAAGACGAAGCGAGGTCGAGGTCGGTAGTAGTAGTAGTACTACTAATAGAAGCACGTACAAAGTGATCGTACTAGAAGCGAGAGATTTCGCTTCCGGTGCGACGACGAGGAATGGGGGTCATTTGACTGGATTGCCTTTGTTGCATTTCTCGGATTGGAGAAAGTTGGTTGGGGTTCAAGATGCGAAGAGGATGGTTCGACTTGAAGCGAGTTCGATCGAGTTGATTAAAGGGTTGTGTAAGAGGGAAGGGTGGGGAGAGGAAGTGGATTTGGTGGAGGGGGGAAACGTGCATTTGTTCGATACGGTCGAGGAGATGGAGAGTGTGAGGAACAGTTTGGACGAGGCGAGGAGGTGTGGGCTCGAGGTCGGCTCGGAGTACAAGTGGTTGACCGCGGAGGAGGTGCATGAGGTGGGTTGGAGTCGGATCATCTCTGTTTTAAAAGTTGTAAAGACGAGCTGATATTAGTGTACGCTCTCCTTTTGTCTTTCTGCGAATTATAGCTCTACGGTGCCTCTCCGACCCATCTCGTCGGCGCCGTTCGTATCCCAGGCAACACCCTCTACCCTCTCAAATTCCTTACCAAACTCTACCAACATTGCCTCGATCGGATAAAGGAAGAAGGTGCGGAGGAAGAGGTAGAGGTAGAGCTGTTTACTGGGTGCTGCGTGGAGAGGGTGGAAGAGGGGAGGGGTGAGGGGGATGTGGGGGTGGGGGTGGGGAAGGCGGGAGGCGGGAGGTGGAGGGTTTTGACCAAAGGGAAGGGAGTGGTGCAGTAGTGTGTACCATTCCTTGCTCTTATATCGCGGGATCGAAAGTCATCTCAGAACAGCTTGGCTGAATAAACACTGGCCTTTTCATTACAGTGACTACGTCCTTCACTGCACGAACGCCTACGCCTCGTACGTCGTACCCTCACTCGCTCAAGGACCACTCCGCATCGTTCCGACAAGGGGCCAAGTCGTCTCCGTACTCCCCACCGACCAAGAGCACGGAGCAAGTACATCAATTTGGCCCCGATGGTCCAACTCCTTCTCTTCCCCACAAGGTGGCGAGGAATACTACTTTCAGCGCCCTTACCCCGACTCCGATCAACGCGGGACACAGCAGCCGAGGTCGATCATTCTGGGGGGCAGTCGTTCCGCTGCGAGCGAGACCGGGTTCGAGTATGGCTTGAGCGACGATTCGAGGGTGAATGAAAAAGTGGGGATCAGGTTGAGGGCATATTTGGGGGAACAATTTCCTGAACTGTTTGGGGAGGTGGAGGTGCGGAGCGCGTCGATGTCGACGTCGAAGCGGACAACGACTGCGCAAGGGGCGAAATTGCGCTTCCCTCACGAATGGACGGGCATCATGGGGTTCACGCAGACGAATCAACCCATCGTCGGACCGCTCTATGCGCGATCTGTCGTGGATGGGGAGGTACGACTTTTGAAAGGGCAATATATCAGTGCGGGGTATTCGGGGCATGGGATGCCGAGGGCGCCGGGGTGCGGGAAGTGGATCGCGGAGAGGGTGATGAGGGAGATGGACGAGGAGGACACGGTTCATGGAATGGGAGAGGTGGAGGAGGGGTGGGAGCTTGTTGGTGCGGACGCTGAGAAGGAAGAGAGCGGTGGCAGTGGGGGGCACGAGGGGACTTGGGCCGCGATCGTGCCCAACTCGTGGAAGTTGACGGAGCAGAGGTGGAGGGACCATTTCAAGGAGATGGATGATGCGATGCAGCGCTGTGGTTTAGAGGGAAGAGGGCTGAGAGGTGGTCAAAGTAGATGGTGTTGTGTGCAATAGTCCAGTGACCTCGTCAGAATTCACGTTCACAAGATTGAGCTGCTTGGCAAAAAAGTAGGCTTTGCCTCCGCAAAGGCAAGGGTCTCTTTCTTCGGTTCTTGCGATCGAATGTCGACGTCGCGGGAGAGGTCAACTCGATCCATAGTCTTCGCGCTCAATGGGAGTCCATTGACATTCGTTCATTATGAAAGTCGCAAACCCAAGTCAACGCTCTCCAAGAAATGCTGAGGGAGTGCGACGATTTATATTCTCCATCAGCTCATTCCCTCTTAATCCCCAATAGTTCCACTTCGAACACCAAAGTCGAATTCGCAGGGATCGAACCCCCACCGACGGATTGCGAGCCGTAGGCATAATCCGGGGTGCAGGTCAGTTTCTGAGAGGGGGGACGGATGAGGGTTGGGTTTAGGGGATTGGTATTCGGGTAGGTTCTGAAGAGAGAGCTTGAGAGGACTTACGGCCTGTGTGATCCGATGCCGAGTCGGATCCGATGAAGGAGAGAAAGCACCTCATCAGCACCCGATGCAGGTTTCTCCGTCGGGCCAAAGGTTACCTTTTCGCCCAAACTCAATTGCTTCACCCCTTCATCCCACCCTTTGATCACCTGCCCTACACCGATCTGGCATTCAAAAGGTGTGCCGCGTTGGACGGAGGAATCAAACGTTTTGCCCGTGCTGAGGAGCGTGCCGGTGTAGTGGATCTTGACTGTGGGGTCAGAAGTAGTACGCGATGAGCGCGCAAGGATTGTCCGGAGTCCGGGAGGGGGAAAGGGGTGGGTACGGGTACGCACCGTGATCGCCCGTGCGAGGGAAGGTCTTGCCGTCTCCTGGGGAGAGCGTAGCGACTGTGACGCCGAGCGAACGCGTGGTCGATGAGAAGGTGCGGACAGTGGAAGGTGTGAGACGGAGGGTGCGTAGGAGGGGCAGGGACATGGCTGTTTCGTTTTGAGCGGTCGAGAGATGCGGTGGTGGGGTGGAGGGTGGAGATTGGCAGGGGAGAGGGGGGCCAAAGTGGGGGGATGGAAGTCCCTTATTACAGGTTCAGGCGCAGTTGTAAGGCGCGTCGTGATCCACCAATCGCCAGGTTGTAATGCCGATTCTCGGACGGACTTCGCAGCGACTTTCGGCTTCGCTCGCACTCTCTCGCGCGCGCAATCTGGGACGTGTCCACACCCTACACGTGCCTTCCAAGCAAGACGACCTCCAACGGTCTACTATTCCAGTCTGAGTGTTGGACTCGACACCTTACTCAGCCATGACGCCTTCCCCCAAGCCCCAGCCCAAGCCTAAAGCACCGACCTCTTCCATCGCTTCCACCTCGTCGTGCTCGTCGTCGACCTCCAACGCTTCAACCTCAATCCCGCACATCATCCAAGCGACCTTGAACCAATGTCAAACCATTTCAACCCTAGTGACCGCTCAACTCGAACCGAGCGAAAGCACGTACTCGAACGCGAAGGGAACCTCAACCCCTACTCATACAACCCCTTCGTTCACTCTGTTGAAAGCGATTCGTTCCGACCACCTCGTCCTCGCTCAACAAATCCATTCAGCAGTGACGAGTATAGCGTTGGGGTTCAAACCACCTATCTCGACGGGTAATGGGTTCGAGAGCGTGTTTGAGCAATTGAGAGGCGTCGTTGCGAAAGTCGAATTTGGCGTCGGGGAGTTGGGCAAGTTCGGTCGGGACGCTGGGAGGCGGAGGAGGGGTGGGGGATGTTTGGAGAGGGAATTGAGGTGGGTTATTTTCCTATGGAAGGGTGCGGTCGGGGGAGATGGGAGGTGGCGGAGGCAGGAGTGCGACGGCGGAGGAGCGAAAATGTTGATCAACCCCACCCGTTTCTTTTATCCGTAACTCGCGCGCAGACTTAGCACCCAAGACCTGATCGAGGTCACTCAAGCATTCCTCAATACCTCTTTACAAGTATACAACACCCCCACTGCAACGCCGTCCAAAGCCCAGACGCCGTCTACGCAAGAGTCCAAACTGCGCGACCAACTCTTACTGCATACGTCCCTCGTTTGGGCCGCGGTGGAGAGGAGCAAGTTGATTTCCGAGAACGAATTGCGCGCTTTGAATACGAGATGGAAGGGGGTGGTGGAGGTGTTGGAGGATTGTTTGGAGGAGGTCAAGGGGTTGGAGAGTGCGCAAGTGGGGCAGGACGGGGAGGCGGAGGACGGTGAGCAGGACGAGGATGATTATCGCACGAGTCACCCTTTGGACGAGCAGGAGAAGAAGACGGCCAAAGCGTGTTTGATGTTGTTGAGGATCGGGAACTTGGTCGTCAAACGGGTTATTGGGGTGACGGGTTTGGCTGCTGGGAAGGAGGCAGAAGAAGAAAAAGAAGAAGGAAAGGGGTTTCATTCCGATGCGTTTCAAGACAAGGCGGACGAACAGATCGAAGCCATCTCTGAAGCGGCGGACGAAGTGGCCAGTTGTTTGGAACCGCCACATGATAAGGAAGAATTAGGGGAAGCGGTGGGTGGGTTTGTAGGGCACGTCGAGGCGTTGATCGAAAGCGTTTTGGAGGCGTGTTGGGAAGGCGAAGGGGACGCCGAGGACAAGGAGTTGTTGTGGTTCAATATGGGCAAGGTGCAGCTTAGGGGGGCGGAAAAGAAGGTCAGGGAGATGTTGGTGATGTGATGTGTTGCAGTGCGGGTTCAAGTTGCGAGAAAAGTGCCGAGTAGATTCGCCGATTGGATTTAAAGAGGGTTAATACCCGCTTTCTCGCTGCTGCGCGAGAGCGACGCGCGTCCCCCTCGTAATGATTACGTCGTCGGCCTACGCTCTTGCTTCCCCTTGACATACCCTCTTGCTGCTCCCACCTCATCCCCCCCCCCCGCACCTCAGCGCAGCGCACCACCGCCTCCCACACACCACCTTGCTCACCACCCACCCGCTCTCGTCTGACCGACCGCGTGGCAGCCATGGACCGCCAATTGCAACAGCTGATGGGCCAACTCGGCGGCGGAGGAGGTGCGGGTGCTGCTGGTGGTCCAGCGTCGGATATGCCGACGAACGATAACTCGGAGACGATCTACATCTCTTCGTTGGCTCTGCTCAAGGTGCGCTACTTACTGGACGGGGAGAGGGAGGGGGGAGAAAGCGAGTCGTGCTGACGTATGCTCGCGGGCTCGCGTGCTCGCGTGGACAGATGCTCAAACATGGTCGAGCAGGGGTGCCCCTTGAAGTGATGGGCTTGATGCTCGGCGACTTTGTGGACGAGTTTACGGTCAGGGTCATTGGTACGTTCTTTGATGATGGTTGTAGGGTGGTGCAAGTTGGGGATGGTGACGAGCTCAGCTCCGGCGGGACCGCGTCGGGGACTGGTCGCGTGGCGGTCGCGAGAGCGGTCAACGCAGCCACTACGAGGATTAGGTACTCACCTCGATTCACACCCCTCTCATCTACTCACAGACGTCTTTGCGATGCCCCAAAGCGGAACCGGCGTCTCGGTCGAAGCCGTCGATCCCGTCTTCCAAACCAAGATGTTGGACATGCTCAAGCAGACTGGCAGGTGAGGCCTTTCACATCTCGCAGCAAGGAGCAAGAGTCTGATACGAAATCGTGCCCCCAGACCCGAGATGGTCGTCGGGTGGTATCATTCCCATCCCGGCTTCGGCTGTTGGTTGTCTTCGGTGGATGTCAATACCCAGCACGTGCGTACCCCAGCAAGCAAAACCCATTCCACCTTTTTTCTCCAAAGAGAAAATCTCAAAGCTCATCCTTACCTTTGCGTTCGCTCACCTAGTCGTTTGAGCAACTCAACCCGCGCGCCGTCGCCGTCGTCGTCGACCCCATTCAGTCCGTCAAGGGCAAAGTCGTCATCGACGCTTTCAGGTCCATCAACCCTCAATCGGTGATGATGGGCCTCGAACCGAGACAATCGACGAGCAATGTCGGCCATTTGGGAAAACCTTCGATTCAAGTACGTTCTCTTCGTCGGGCGCAAGCGAAGCGAGTTGGGGGGCGAGGGGTCTCCTTTTCTTGTTCTCGGACGCTGACTCCGTTGGGATTCCCGAAATGCACACAGGCTCTCATTCATGGTTTGAATCGACATTATTACTCGATCGCGATCGCGTACCGCAAGACCGATTTGGAGCAGAGCATGTTGCTGAACCTGCACAAGAAGAATTGGACCGAGGGCTTACGGTTGAACGATTGGGGCGCGATGAAGGCGCAGAATGAGGAGAGCATCAAGGTAAGTTGCAAGTGGACCCCGACTCGACCTCGTGGGCTCGGCGAGGGGTACTCGAAAGTGTGGGGGACCGGTGCTAATCCCGTTTGGATTTGGGTCGGCTCGCAGCGCATGCTTCAGCTCTCGCAAACTTACACCGCGTCCGTGAAGGAAGAAGCGACTCTGACACCGCACCAACTCAAAACGAGGCATGTGGGCAAACAGGACCCCAAGAGGCATTTGGAAGAGGCCGTCGAAAAGGCCATGGGGGATTCGATCCTGCAGAGTTTGGGGACCATGTTGACGGTTTTGTCGAGTGGGAAGTAGAGGGGTTTGGAATGAGAACCCGGGTGGATTCGTGTAACCGAAGGGAGTTTGCGGAAAAAGAAGAGACAGAGAGAGAGAGAGAGTACAAGAAAAGGTTTTGATTCCCCAGTTCGACATCCAACATCTATGAATTCTCGTCCTTCCCTCCACCTCCTCAAAGCCTGAATCTGAAACCCGGATGCTTCTGCCCCAACCGCGCGACATCCTTATCCGACATACCCTCGAGCAACGCATCATCATGTGCGGCGTCTCGGCGCGCGTTCTCCAGTAGGTGATATTTCCATAGACCGAGGGTCAGGATGAGGACCATCAGGGAGGATACGAGGCAGAGGATGTTGCCCGGGAGGTTCCGCGGCGCGAATCTGCTCCGTGTTCGGTCGAGCAGGGGCTCAAGTCAGAAGAATTCTTGTTTTCGTGGGGGCGCAGCACAAAACTTTTGACCCAAGAAAGAAGGAAACTTACTGGGGTAAATAGCTCCACGTAGCGACGAGTCCACCCGTGTTCGCGCCAAAGACGAATAGAGCGATAGCGCCCGCTCGCGCCGTGTCCGAGGTCGTGTTGATCGTCGTCCAGGTGGTCGCGAGGGAGAGGAAAGGCGTCGCTCCGGCCGTGATGAGGAAACAGGCCGCGTAGCGCACGTGCGGGGAGGACGAGAGGGTGAACATCAGGTAGCCTGGAGTGAGAGATGGAGTCGGCGAATGATTAGAAACATGGGGACGGAAAGAGAAAGCGCGCTTCGGATCGCGAAGAGGAGACGAGTCTTCCCGCCAGATCGAGGGACTCGAGACTCACCGATTACCGTCAACGGCGAAGCGATGACGATATACACCGCACGTCGTTTCGTCTTCCACGACAAGTAGGGCAGGATCAATGCCATCACCGCTCCTAGGATCCAGGGGGGCACCGTACGGAGTTGAAGAGCGATGACGCCCTTGTTCGGGAAGATCGTTTTCACGATGGTGGGGAGGAAAAATCCAAGACAGAGGATCGGGATGGTGACGAAGAAGGCGGTCAGGGTGATGATCACGGAAGCTGAGAAAAGGGTCGAACGTGATGTTAAAAAAATCAGCTCAATTGTTTTCAAAGTATGAACCGAATTATGAGAGACTTACTCGTATTGAACATGCCCGCGAAGAAGACCTCCTTTTTCAACGAGTCGACGACCTCGATCGCGCCGACGTTCTCACTCTTGCTTCGAGCAGCACAGAGCGCTTTCTCATCGGTGTTGAGCCACTGCATGAGGCCGCGAAAGGTGTTCAGGAATTTTTGTCGTTTTTTTTTTTTCAATACGTGAATGTGGAGAATTTCTCTTGACTTACCTTGGCTGTCTCGGGTCGGTCGGGCAAGAGGAAGAAGCTGAGGAGGCCCAAACCCATCGTGATGAGACCCTCCTGAAAATAATGAAAGGGGTTGAAGACCCAAAGGCATGAGTATGGCAATCCTTTTCGATGCGAACTTTTTTTGAACGAGATGACACTCACGACGAAGAAGACTGTCGAGTCAAAGCGTATTCGAAGATGCAGAAATTGTGTCAACTTCCATCCTAATCGGCGACTCGTGATAATCACCGATCGGACATCCCGGGTCGTCCGCATAACTGTTCCAAAGACTCACTCATACGCCAAGAATGAATCGCCCCAAATGGCTTGACCTCTAACAAACCCGATGCAAACAAACCGCCGAACGCACCCGAAAGAGGGGCGAAGACGATGAAGAGCGCGAGGCGGAAGCAGAGCTCATCCTTGCGGTACCAGCGCGAGAGGTAGTAGACGATGCCTTTTCACACGACGGGTGGGAAAAGGGTTAGTGTAGGGGTTTGTGGTAGACGCGTGGAAAGCTGTACGTACTGGGGTAGACACCCGCTTCAGCGAGACCGAGGAGGAAACGCAGCGCCATCGCGCTCGAAAAGCTTTGCACGAACGCCATCGCAAGGCACAAAGCGCCGAAGCTGACGGAAAGGCAAGGGATGAAAATACCGGGACCGATGACTTTGCAGAGGAAACTGGCGGGAATCTCGAAGACTACGAAGGCGACGTAAGCGGAGGTGAGGAGCATGTTGAAGTCGTATTTGTTGGTCATGTGAAGGTCAGCTTCGAGGCCGGCGAGACGGGCGCTATTTGGTTGAAGCGGGAGAGGAGCGACTGGTCAGATTCAAGCACACGCGATTGGAATGGTTGTCGAGGTAGAGAAGACTTACTTTCCAATGTTGGCTCGATCGATGAGGCTACGAGTGGCGTTCGAGCGAAGGTCAGTTTATTGCTCGAAAAGTATACGTTTTTACTCAAACACGCACCAGAAAAGGTACAGCATGCTGACGATGGGCAGTGTGCGCAGATCAATCTTCCAGCGCAGCGCCACCTCGGCCTTTTTGTCGAGCTGCACGCGTGCAGGAACGTCAGGTCGGGCGCGAGTCGCCGAGGTCAGGCGCGAGTCCGGGCTGGGGTCGGGCGCAAGTCGGGATTTCGCGAGTCGTCAGCCGGTCGGGCGCAGGTCGGGGGTAAGTCGAATCGCGAGTCGGGCGCAAGTCGGTCGGGGGCACAGTCAGGCGACATTCGTCCATCGACGGCCCGACCCGGCGGAGCTGCCGCACGCGGTCTTTTGGAGTCGACTTTATGATGGATTTGGGACGCTATGTATCTCGCACTGAACAACACTTTGCGAGAGCGAACGGAAAAGACTTAAGAATTGTAGTATCACTCAGGCACACTCAGCGTACTAAAAGCTAATCACTTGTGAGGCCAGGGCAAGATTTGTAAAGGAAGTATGTTATGCTTTTAGCATGTCGGAATTATAATCAAAACTTAATTAGAATAGTAAATCTTCAGACTCTTTACTGCTGACTGCAACAGACGCACCCTCGCCGAGCTACTACTCTCCCTGCCTTGCTGCCCTTCGCTCTCTCGTATGTAACATATGATACTCGACCCATTGCCGCCCGTGATGCTCAAGCAGTCGCCTCCGATCATCCAACTTCAGGACTATGGCTCGAAGAGCTTCACAAAGGTCGATCCATCGTTGTCGAAGACCTCCTCAAACACGTACATCCTTGGCTCTCGTGGCGAGTAGTACGCTCCCAGCAGCTTCTCCACGGCCTCGAACGGAAGCACGGCAGGGGTCGTCGACTCGATGCGCACGTATGGCATCGCATCGTGCAAACGTTGGACCGGCGGATACAGCTCGGCGACGACGACGAGGCGCGATTCACCGAGCTCGCTGACGTCGACGTCGTCGGGCACGCGAACGATGGCCATGGCTCGGCCGACGGTGTAGACCGGCTTCATCATCGACGCTCGAGCTCCCGTGGAAGTGAACGAGGTCGTCAAGAAACGCGACCTCGGTGTTGGATTCAACGACGTGGGAGATGCTAGGATTAATGTGAGACGCTCGGCCACCGAAGCCGAGCTGTTACACAATCCCCTGCACGCAGCCACGCTCAATGAGCTCTGCGTGCTCCAAAAAAAGTACACGGAGCTCCTCACGAGGACGAGCGGGGCGTCGTCAACGTCGGCTGTGGACCAGGCCAGTCGAATCACGTCCTCGAGCGCCCAACAAGGCTCAAACTCTTCATTGTTCACGCTTCGCCGACGACCTCCCCACGTTAAGGCTGTCGTTCTTTGGACGCGGGAAGAGGCCAACGCCGAGAAGTCGGCGAACATTGACGACACTGGCATCGCCCCCAAGGCGAGGCCCAAATTGCGTCTCGACTTCATCCTCCGCAACGAAGACGGAGAAATGATTCTGAAAGTGCTCTCCCCCAAAAGGGCTCTCTACGAAAGTGATCTGCGCCAGGGAAGGAGGGTGGTTACGAGGTTCATCCAGTCGAAGTGGGAAGACGACACGATCGACGTTCGCTCTCTCTACCTCAAGCATCTACAATCAGGTTATTTCACTTCGATCTTCGCGCCAGCAATCTCAATTCTTGAGTCTCTTGAACATGTTGGCCCATTCCTGGGTCTGTGCTCATGCTCGTACAAGGCCGTCATCTGGCTCGGCGAGATCCTCGAGGGCATTCGGAACGTGCATCAGAACGAGATTGTCCAATACCTCGCCAACAACCCAAAGTTTCAACATCCTGGACGCAAGCCATCATTCAAGAAGTTCAACAAGCAAGGAGCAGGTAACGCCAATAAATCGATTCGCGCCAGCAGCAATCAACAGGAGACGAAGGTATGCCCGAACCAACACGATCTGACTCAACATGCCCACTTTCGATGCGAGCTGATTCATCTTGCGTGCGCCACGAATGCAGGACGACGGATGGGCAGACACCTCGGATGGCGAAGACGAGGATCAAGGAGGAGACAAGGAGGACTCGGGAGATGATGATCAGGAAACCGACGACGAGTGCTACAACGAAGCCGTAAGTCGGTTAGAGCCCTGACTCGATCGTGAGATGCCGCGCGTTGGCACGGGCGAGCGGCATCTCTGACTTGGTGATCTCGAAACCCCTTTTGACAGAGGCGCTTGGCCGACGAAGCGTACCCAACGGTGACGAGAGGTGAGCTTTCGATCGTCTGCGGCCCGAGCGACACCGGAGTGCGACGCTCAATCTTCGTTCCCTCTAACCTATCCAGCTACGGCCGTCCCCAGTACGTTCACCTGCCCGACAAAGGTTTAAAGGCTGTCAGCATTCAGGAAGCGTGGACGACTGACCGAGGCCTTACGCAACTACAGAGCGACTGAACAAGGTCGGCGATTCTAGCGCGGGCGCTCTGGGCGACGACATGGTTAAGCTGTTCGCACTTGCCAATCAATTGGCTACACACGACCGCAGGTTCGCAGCGGGCAAGGCCCACACCGAGCCAGAAATCGTGGCCTTCCTCGATAGGCTCGCCCAATTCCAGAAAGACGTTGAGCTCCACGGTATCGACCGCGACGACGAGGACAACGGCGGCATACGATTGGGACACAACAGGCTCGGGTTTGGTGCGTTGGCGGAATTGAAACGAAACATCGAAAAGTGGACGCAGTGGACGATTGAGGATGTGCTTGTCAAGGTGTGGAACTGCGCCGCCACAATCGCTCGCAACAATTTCGTCTACGAGACCTCGAGAAAGGGCAAAGGTTCGCTTGAGGGAAAAGGCGCGAATGCTTCCCCTCAAGTCGTCGTCGGTTACGTCATCGATACGGTTATGTGGGACATCGTCCTGACCCTAACACTCACCATTGAGGCGTCCCTCAAGCGATACGAAGGTAAAGGGAAAGGTAGGCACGCAGGTTCGGAGGAGGAAGCCGGGGTCGAGGAGGTGGCCATAGGTGCAACGGGTCACGGTGAAGTGAGTCGGCTCGCGGCATGAACCCGATCGGCAATTCGTTTACTAAACCTTGCTTACTATCCTATGCCATACACCGCTCAGGCCGTTGTAGGAAGCAAACGTGTGTCGAGCGCACTGGAGGCGGCCCCTCGGGCTCCGCCCGCGAAGAAGTCCAAGCGTGAGTCACTTCTTGCCGAAACTGCATATACATCGATTGACGCTGACACCGACCGTCCCGGAACAAAAATTACAACCTCCCGGCCGGTGGTACTAGTTACGCTCGATGCAACACTGCAAGAACTCGGCTCGGCCATGGTCGGGCAACTCTCCAGGAAAATGGCGGTGGACCTCGCCAAAAAACTCGGCGTCGTCTACACGGTGCCGCGAGGGGCGAATGCGGAAACGACCTGCAGTGCCATCGTGAGTGCTTGGTGCGGCGCAGAGCCGGGAGCTGGTACTGACTTGGTCATCGGCCCAACAGATCAAGGCTGCTGCCGAGCAAGTTCAAAGTTCGAAGTAGGCGGGAGGCCGGAGAAACAAATGAATGGAGCATCGAATGATCTCTCAGCAAGGTACCTTTTCGTTGTGAAGGTGATATAGGAGTGGCATCGCGGGAAATGAATACGATCTTTATGTGACGTGATTGGTACGAAAACCGCGACTGCTCGAGAAGTCAAGAGACTATCCATATCCGCAAAGAACTTCGGCCGTTCCGCTCCTTGCTTAGTTTGTGCGACCCGAGCAGAGACGTAGAAGGAATGTTCAGGACGTCAATGATGCACCATGGTAGATGAGTTTGAAGTGAGCAAGCAAATGTAGGTCGCGCACAGCATTTGAAGCGAGCAAAGACGTACACTTGGCGTGCGTGAAACGGGCGGGGAAGCTGAGGGCGCCGCCAAGAGGATGGTGGGCGGTACCCGGCGCCTTAGCGAACGCGGCGGCGAAACGGACGAATCCCAGCGGCCGAGTATGGGTCAAGATGCGAGGCTTCACCAGAGTCAGAATCGAAACGCTTTGGCCTACAGGTATAGACTAGCACGTGATCGCAATCCGGAGCAAGTGCATGTGTGTGGCCGATGGGAAGTTCAAGACAACGCGCCCCGCGCCGCGCCAGGCGCAAGAAAAGTCACCACAAGCGCGCGGGATAGACGTACAACCCTGCCCGTACACCTATAATGCCGCTGTTTTGCTAATGTAATCATTCCGTAATAATCTACCCCTTGCGTTGCAAAAGGTGATTCTAATGGACATTCTTTTCAAGAAACACACATTTGTAAGATTTCTATCTTGCAATTGAAAGTCCGCCGTTTCCAACAGCCTTGCAAATAGCAAATAATCCTCCTAATGTGAACTTAATGAATCTCTCTCGCCACGAGAGGTGCCCCGCCGACACTCACCTGAGCCTTTGAGTTATCAAATACCTTACCCTCCTTACCCTAAGCTAATTCTAGCGCCCATTAGAAATTTACTCTAGCCTGCAAACTCTAGCCTGCAAAGCAAGTCTAAGTGAAACTTGCCCGTCGTCGTCGCCTCACCTGAGTGAGGGGGCGGCGAAGGGTGCCGAGCGGGAGCGCCTGCCCCGTAGGTAGGTAGGAGGTGGTGGTACCAACATTTTTTTTTACTTTTTTATTCTGTCTTGCTGTTGTGATAAAGCTGTTGGCTGGCGCCCTAGGGCTAAGTGCAGTGTATAGAGACTTGACTTAAACCCGACTCCGTACCGACCTGCAGGTCGGGCTATCCGAACTAACCCGACCCACCGCCGACTTGCGCCCGACCCCAGAACCCGACTTGCGCCCGACCCCAGCCCGGACTCGCGCCTGACCTCGGCGACTCGCGCCCGACCTGACGTTCCTTAGAGCTGCACGAGCGAGTGACCGTGAATGTCGGTCGCTGCGTGGCCATCGAGTGCGACGGATTCGACTACGGGAGCGAGCGCGAGGGCGAATTAGAAAATCAGAAGATGAGGCAGAAAGGGCGTCAGCTCGAAGATCTCGACCAGTACGAACGTCGATTGATCCCGTTGAGGATCCTTCCGACCAAGACTCACCCTTGTGCAGTTTGATCGACTCGACGCTCGACTCGCGATCATCATCGCTTGCGTACGGAAGTGCCATGACAGTTTTGAGTGTACGTGTCCTCTTGAGAGAAATTTGAAGAAGGAAGGAGGAAGGGGGAGGAAAGAAAGGGATATGCAAGAGATATACAAGAGGGATGCAAGAGGGATGCAAGAGGGCTCGCCGGTTTTATTGGGGTCTCTCGAAGACATTGGAAGGCCTTAATCGGCACCGCCGCCGCTTTGCGCGCGCAAGCAATTCTGTATGCCGACTTTCTCCTTTCCGAGTCGAGACATCATGAGATACAGCTTTACCCGGATTCTCCAAATCGCGCTTACCTACTAAACGAGGGGCGGTGCGGGGTTGTATTCGACGGCTTACTTTTGAAAACGATACGACGCCGTCAAAACGGATCGAGCGCGCGGGCTCGGATGATCGCCGTTTCAGGCAAATTCGACACCACCCCGCTCGATCAAGGTACCGGCGCGCGTGAAGCGCGTGAAGGCCGAATCGGCGGAAAGGGTGTCTGTCCTATCCCGGTCGGCGATCGGCGATCGCGCTGAGGCTGTTCCACCACAAATCTGTTGACAGAGTCGGTGTTCAGGCGTATGTTCAAGTTGTGAATGCAGTAGGATGTGCGGTATGCTACAGCTAAAATCATGTCTATCACGATTATCTGAGAAAGTCGGGTCCAAACTCATCGATTACTACTGGGCCGTGGGCCGGAAGAAAAAGAAATTGAGCCGAGTAGAGTCGCATTCGAATCATTTGATTATCCCATAAGGAAGGGATACGCAACTTATCACCAGAAAACTGAGACCGAGTTCGAGCCCATCCAGTGGAAATTCAAGCTTGAGCCGATCGAGTCTCTACATTTTCGCACCCATCTCATCCCGCATCCCGAGTGGAGACGTCGAGGAGGCACCGTGCATGACGCCTATGTCCAACTGGCCGTCAGCCGCTTTGCCTCGCCAGTCAACGCCTACGAGAGGAACTCAACTAATAACCTTACGCCGGTTGTTCCAATAAACATCGGGCGATTCAGCCGCTCCGCTCGATGTTCCTGAGCGTCAGAATGCCCGATGCTTGTCATTGGCGACGGATTACCGGTTGCCCGATCTCATCTCCTATCTCCGATTAACTGCCCCCGCCAGTCCAAGGCCCTACACTTTGCACGCATTTCTATCTTTTGTCGTTCTCTTCAAAAATGCAGCTGTGGTCGTGTTTTTTTTCAATGAAGGCGCCTTTGCGGAGAGCCAGTCCAGGTCGTCGAAATCCGCGAGTCCGACAATGCATCCCTCACTGGCCGTGTCGGTACTGCGCAACAACTCTCCTGCTTCCCTCTCGCAAGCTTGTATCACTCGAAATGGTACATACATTACAATCATCATGAGCGCCTTCGCCTCCTATTCCTCATCACTACTCTCAACGGTCTCCCACTGCGTCGCGGCCCTCCCTCTCTGCGTGCCAGCCCCATTTCCGCCATTGCCCATCGAGGCGCCCCCATTCTGCCTCTCCTGCTCGACGCGCCGCTTGTGCGCCTCGACGCGTCGCTTAAGTCCGAGATCTTCGTGTACATGCTCCATCGTCATGTCTTTGACGGGGCAGCCATGGACGGGGCAGTTCTGCTTGCCCTTTGCGACGAATTCGACGAACGCGGCGCGCGAGTACGAGTGCGGGCATTTGTTACTGAAGTCGCGAAAGGAAAAACGAGGGCCGAGTTTGAGAAGCATCAGAACTGGACTCGAGAATCGGGATGACGTGCATCGAGTACTCACGACGTGACCGGATCGGTCAACAAGGTCAAAGTGAGCGGGCACTTGAAGTCGGATGATTGGGCGCCAATTTCGATCTCGTCGTCCGAGTCGTCTTCGTCCCCTGCCTCTGTGGTGTTGAAGAGTCGGGATAGAACCGAGGCATGCGCAAATACAAGTTTTGATTTTGAAGCATGAGAGCTGTGTCAGCTCATTTCGTGATGGGCGACCACTCAGAGTCAGCGATCAGAGCCAGCACTCACGCGAAGGAATGAATCTCTTGAGATTCGGTACCGGCTTTCCATCGTACAGTTGTTCCTGAGAGCGAGTATCAAACGTCGAGACCATCAGATTCTCGCTCGAAGGTGCCTAAACAGCCTCGCCCTGTTGATGTTGTGCTCTTGTTCGCTCACCCAAAGCAGTGCGCGGAACGATTTCCACAGCTGGTTGTCGAGGTACTTTTGCCTCGGTGTCTGCAGTCCGTACGCCTCGAGTAACATCTGAACTTCCTGCTCGTATTGGTCGTAGAGGTTTGTCTGCGATAAAACGTCGTACGATGCGCCGCGAGTTGAGTACGACGATCAACCGCTTCATCACCGACTTCCCCACCGCGCGCAACTCACAAAGACATGTCGTTGGGCCAGCTTCTGCCTCATTTCCGAGAGCGTCTTGGTTCGGATATCGATTTCAGCAAGTTTGTCGAGCAAGTGACGGTACTGCTTCTCGATGCCCCTGATCTCTTCCTATCGACGGGGTCGGTGACGCGTTGCGACGCGTAAGCCAGCGAATAATGGCGAATGGTCAGCGCTATGGCTTCCTCGCACCTCATTCCATGATCCCCTACTCACCGGATCTTCTGGTACTTCATCATCGCCCAGATCGGCCTCCCTCTCGTGCCCCTTCTCGGAAGCGACGTTGGCGCCGACCTCCTCGAGCAACTCGACCGTGGTGATCAACTGGTTCCTCAACCCTTTCAAGTCCTGAACCAACAGCTTGAGCCGAGCCTCGGACTGCTGCGCATGCAGAGGCTGGTTCAAGTACTGCGGCAACACATCGCCGAGGTCGACTTTGGACGGATCGATCTCGCCTTCCGAGTCGTCGTCGTCATGGCCTGCGCCGCCTGTACCTTGCTGCTGCCCACGGCGCGAGGTAGAAGCGCGACGAGGTGGAGCGTCTTGTTCGTCGTCCGAGTCGTCACGGATCATGTTCGACCGTCGCGACTTGCTGGCGGGTGGCATATTGGGTTTAGCGACAGCAAGTGGTTTCAAAAGAGAGTGAAGGGATCGCGGGGGTGAGAACGAGAGCGAGAGCGAGGGTCAGCTTTAATTGGACGCGCCGACGCGCTCCGACGCGACAAATGAGGCGTCGTTCGGCCGTAGTATTACGACTGGAGTCTTGGTTTCACCCCGCCCAAGTGGAGGACGATCGATTATATAACACTTGTGCCAAGTACATCCAGACGAGCCCTCCTTATATAGCCTTACACCTCCTTACACCTGAGATCGGCCTTTGACCGCCCATAAAATGACAAGACTCCGGGAGATAGGCAGGACAAGGGAAGAAGCAAAGTATTCACTCGGGATTTGAACGCTCAGACTTCCATATGTTTTGGAAGCATACTTGTGTTGCTGATGTAGTGCACGTGTTCCTCACGTCCACAGCTTCACATTGTAACATCGTCACGAAAGCCAACCTGCATTGCACGGGTAGATCAAGACCTGGCAATTTGCTTTCGTCGCTGAAGTTGAGCAAGCTCTAGTTTTGTCCTCAAGAGGGCGACCTCCTGCTGGGCGAGCTGTTCCGCTCGAACAAGGTTCTCAACCTGGGTTGAATGAGCCAGGAAAGGGCTTCTTGGATGCTCAGGTTCCACAGTGGGATTTGATCGCACACGACCACCGAATGTGGGTCGCGCAGTCTCTTCACTCTCACCCTCGCTGTCCGAAAGGTCAATCACCAGGGCCGCTGGTGCAGCGGTGACAAACAAATCTTGGGCAGGGGTGCGCCGACCGGATGGTGTAGAGCTGCCAAGAGTCACGGCCAAAGTTGGGGACGTAGTCAAGTTGTCGTGTGGCCGTTCATGAGAAAACGTGAGAGGATCTTCTTCTTGAGGAAGGACCACGCCTCTTGTAGCATTCTTTTGGGCCGAATTGCTTGAGGGAGCTGCCTCCTCAGCTGCTGAGGGGTCGACAGGCGCGAATAAGAGGCTGTCAAGCTCGTGTTCGAACGATCGAGCTCGAGCCTGGTTGCGAAGGGCAAGAGCAGCTTTCTGCGAAAGAAGCTTGTCCTTGTGGATGGACTCGGCGTGAGACGGTTCCAGGTCGAGCGCGGGGGCTGATGGGGTCGAGAGTCCGTGCGGCGAGATCGGCGGTGACAAGGGCCGAAGCACACTCGAACGAGAATCAGGCGGCGTACCCAGCCGAGAACCGCTGAGCGCGGCAGCAATGTCGACAACCAGTTGGCTGCATCCGAGTGTCGACAAGTAGTGTGGTTCGACGCCCGAGCGAACGAGATCTTGGATCAAAGCAGTCCATTCACTGTCTGCGAATTGCGAGGTTGCGTGCGTGGTTGCGGTCAGATGTGCACAATAACAAAATTGGTGGCTAAACGCTCGTCAGCAAAAATGGTTCTGCTGCACGCCCCTCAGCGGCCTGTCTTCATCGAGAACGCACCGTCGTCTGTCAGAGGATGCACAGGTATGAAAGGAGCCGGCGCTGAACGGCTAGAGATTGGCGTCACCTCGCCTGCGATATCGGGCCTGCGGCGCTGTGAGGACATTCGGGCTGCATTACGCAGATTGTCCACTTCCATAGAGAGGCATCAGACTGTTGAAATTGCCGTCGAATCTAATGACGCCTATGCAACGCCGGGCGGGTTTCAGAGACCGAAGCGAGGGCGTCCACGACGGCGACGACTAACGGGCAGCAGCAGGTGAAGACGAAGCGATGAGTCGCGCTGGGTAGAACACCGAGAGCCACGCGCTTCTGCCTTCTGAGTCGACTAGGGGGGCGGTGTCGTCAGTGTCTTGACTAGAACGTTTGAGCTGGGGAGCACTGGCGCAACGCGAGACACGTGAGTGACCCGAGATCAAGCGCACGTCAGTGTCTAGCCAAGCCTCGCTAGAATTCGCTCGATTTACGGCCGGGACTAACTACGAGTAATTTTAGACAAGAACAGAGTCTTCACTCACTTTGATTCCTCAGACTCCGCTCGAGGGTCGAAGGCTTCGGCTAATGCTGAAATTACCTGCAATTACCGTGGCAATCCTACGGCGGTCGCACACGGGCTGTTGTAGGCACGAGTTTTCAAAGCAATCTTTCGTTGCTACTCGATATTATGTTTTCCACTGGACTATAATTATATATGCTTTGTAATTGATGACCATGCTCAAAGGAAGCCATGAATCGACCTTGCGATGAATGATTCAGTGTGACCCAGTGCGCTTCCACTGCCAGCCTTACGCACTCCGCGGCCGATTCTGTTTCGAGACTCGACCCCAAGCAACTCTGCAGGTACGCATGTGGTCTAGCTCGTTTTCTTTGCTGCATGCCTGAATCAGGTCCACTCCCTTCACTGTCGTCCCAATCTCTAAAGCCCGCTTTCGTTCACTGCAGTCGTCGCCAAATTGACTCTGTGTGACATCACCGGCATCACCAGCGGCAGGTGCAGTGCGCCCTCACGCGCTGACGATAACTCGTATGCTGATCTACAGGTAGACTTTTGGGTGCAGATCTATCGACTTTCAGAAACGGAGACGACTTACCTTTGGTGGGCACACAATGTCGACCAAAACGGACCCAAGTGGGGCGAGTGTGTATCGCTGCTCGCTTGAACTTGAACGTGAGTTCGAATCGGCGATGTTTGTACCATAGGCAGTACAATCCCGGGGCCTTTCCTGCCGGGCTGAGATACTCCGCCTGTTGCCCTTCTCATGACTCCGTGTCCGACTGTTGAGCCCTAACGTTGCTTTGGCTTGATTAACCGCTTGAGCACCACAGCCAGTTATCGCGTAGAAATTCAAAAGATCGGTTCCACGATCTCCACCTCGATCCTTTTGCATGACCAGATCCCAAAGCTACAAGCTCAGGCAAGTACGAAGTGCCAACCGCGTGGGCATGGGGCTATTTTGTTCAAGCTAACGACTCGGAATTTCACCCTGGTCAGATCGAGGCTTCGTCGGGCATAATGTCGGTCGTCATGCTTCCCGCACCCGGCAACTCAGTCCAACAATCTCACGAATTCAACCTCGTCAAGGCACTGGTCCTGGTTCTTTGGCCTCACTTTGCCTGTCGCTGCCCCATCCCCGAAGAACTCGAAGTAATTCCGACGCCTCCGAATCCGACCCTCCTGGCGGAATTCGATCAAATAGGTAAGGCGGCGGGCAACCTGCGAGCGGAGTCACTGTAGATAGGTTCTGATGCTGAAGCAGAGTCTCGTACTTTTCAAGGCGGCGTCCGGAAAAGCTCGGGGAACGGGACCTTCATTTCGCGTGGAGCGGTCTTCCAACTGTTCAAATATGCCTGCACATCCAATCAAGGGGCCCCATTGTTCCCCTATGTCGTCGCCGAGACAGCAGGGACCGTTCACCCTCTTCGGCCTACAAAGCCCGTGCCTTCCTCAACGATATACTCCCGACATATTCCACATCTGGAACAGTTTTTCTCGCTCCATGTGGCCGGACCTTCCGATTTGGACACCCTGCATGGTATGTCAACTTTGTGCTATCATCGGATACACGCCCCGCCCCGCCATGATGCTGACCAGATTGAGTCAATTTTGAAGCGTGGCTCAACGACGAGCGAGTGGATGTATTCTGGCAAGAAAAGGGGAGCTTTGAGCAGCACAGAAAATTTCTTGCCGATCGAACCTCGGACGCACACGTACTGCCAGTGATCGGAAGCTATCTCCCTGACACCACCCCAGAAGGACACGTCAATACATCAAAGGAGCCGGCAACATACTCAGAGATATACTGGGTCAAGGAGGATCGGCTGGGCTCACTGATGGAAGGAGTACAGGGCTACGATCGTGGTCAGCATGCTTTCGATCTTTCGGAGCACACCCTGCACTGTCCTGACCGCCCACCTTCTTGCTCGCCAGGCTTGCACATGCTCGTGGGCTCGAATGCCCATCGAGGCCCGCGTCGAATTCGCGCATGGATGCCGTCCTTGGTTCACTATTGTTTCCTTGACGAGCCACGGACTCAGCGAGTCGTCTGCGAGCCGAACGAGAAGAACGTCAAAATACTCCAGGTAGGTTTGGTTCGGCATATTGCACACACCATCGTGATCCCGCTTCTGATGTACACCTGGTCACCTTTAAACCCGGTACCGGCGTTCTTGAAATCGCAGTACCTAGAATCAGTCGGCTTTGAGCGACACGGTAGTGTCGCGTTCCCTCACAAGACCGCAGCTTTGATGATCGTTGATCGGGTCCGATTTTATGAGCTTTTCCCATTCTAACGTCTTATGAATTTTATTGTGTGGAAAAATGTTTGAAATGAACATTCCGTGCTGAGCTATGTACTGCTACAAAATAAAAGGTTGTAGGCTTGACCACGGCTCGTGCATCCAGCCTCAGTGTGGAGGACAACGAATTGATCAAACATCAAATGCGATGCGTGCACCACACACCACGTAGGGATACCTGCACCAATTCCGGTGTCAAATCAGTGCTCTAGGACTTGTACCACCAAGATCACGGCGGATGAGGGGGCTCACTTCGCTTGGTAAAAGTTGGTGAACGATGGCCGCGCAAGGCGAGCAGGCGTAACATATGAAGCCCCGGTGATGATTAGGTGCTGCCCATCAAAAAAGTCGGTCGAGTAGCCCGGATCTTTATAGCCACAAGTGCATTCAAGGGGGCATGAGCCGAACGGGTTCATTCGGATACCGTCACGCTTTGGCACGACCACTTACAGAGCTTCCCGGCCACAAAACCTTCATGCGCATCCAATTTGGTCGATGTCCACAACCACACCCCACCGTCACTTGCACCAGGGAGGCGGCTTCCGGGGCGTGCAGGCGATGGGGGCAGAGGGTGCAGATTCACCAGTCCGATATTGCTTGTTGGGGCGTCGACCGGGTTCGCGGCGTGGAAAACAGCGAGTTCCTCGCGCGTCGGGAGTCGAGCACCATTTGCCTGCACTCCATGTCAAGGAAGACTTAGTCATACCATCCCATACAGATATGGAGTTGAAGAACGCCTGACCTGTGCATAGGCTGCAAGTTGCACAGCGGAGCCAGTGACGGGCCATTCCAAAGCGTGGGTCATTGCGACCTCTCCATACAGAGTCTTGACCACAATGTCATCCACCGAGGAGGTTGCTGAGCCAGTCAAGGACCTCCACGATGAAGGGAAGAGCGCGTCGGGGCTCTCCAATGTCGACAGAAAGCCGAGGTATTCCTTATTACGCACAGGAAGCGCAGAGAGTTTGAACGCCGCGACTTGCACTTCGCGTTTGGGAGCCTCAACATCCCACCCAAAAGCATGCGAGGACTCGAATTTGTGAGTTTCGTCCTCGTCCTCGTCTTCGCTGTCGTCAAGTCCTATCAGTACAGTACAGGATCCAAACTCAAGGGGCTTGGTCAAGGATTCATCTGCTGCTGCTTCTCGAGCCCATGCTCGACCCAAGCTGACAAAATCGGGGACCTGTGCGCCAATCGGCGCCCGAAGTTGCTGCGCAGCTTGGAGAGCACTGTCGCGAAATTGAGAATTGGAGCCTCTCAGCACAAGGCGACAGCGCCACCGCACGGGGGGCACTTTAGACAGAGGCACTGCTCACATGTAAACGAGAGTCTCGAAATGCATCGCCTCATGCTCGAACACCATCATGAGAATGCGAGCCAAACGACGGGTCACGCGACCGTCTCTTAACTCTTCCTCGTAGATCCTAAGGACGCGAGCACGGACCCGATCCTGGTACTCGGTGATGGCATCCAATGAAGGCCATTGATCGTTCTGCGGTGCTGCACTATGCCAATGCGAGATCTCCTTGGTCTCCACATCGGGATCAATGCCTCGCTCGAACATGTCGGCCTGCAACGTGGGGAGGAACAAGGCAGGTAAGATCGTGGCACCGAGCCGCAAGGGGCAGGGATTCGTGACTCACAAATGCAGCAGGCTCTACAAGTGGCTCCTTGAAGTAGCGAGATAAATGGATCGCGGTGAAGCATGGGAGATGCCCGAGGTAAAAGAGCGGAATGTGTCGGAGAGGAATCGGTTTTGTCATGAGCAAGTCCTGGGGCATGATGTCACGCTAAGTGGGAGAGAGCAAATAAATGAGAGTCCGGTGGTCGAGCGATAGAGAGATTTGCTCTCACCACGAGCATGTCCCACGACGCCCATTGCGTTTTCCACTCATCCACTGATGGGAGCCCGTACGCATTCGGAGATGGCGTCACGCCAAACTGCTGGAGAGACGGGTGGTTCGAAAGGGAGAATGCGATAGTAGGGCGCTCAACGAGGTAGAGTGTGTGCTTTTGGGTGGAATCAGACCATCGCTGGACAAGGCGCATTCTGGCTGCATGGAAAAGAGCCAGCGCTTCGTTTCGGTTGTACTGTAGAGTGAACAGGTTTTCTAGTGTTCAGCACTATTCTGAAGTACCAATGGCTGCTATAACGGCCCGGCGCACCTTGTAAGAAACCTCAATTTGCATCAGTCTGAGCAAGAAGAAGTTAGCACGAGCTAGGGACTGCGTCGGCTTCCACAGCGCGCACTCACTCGTCCTTCTCAAGTACCACGTCTTCGCGGCCGGGTATCGGTACACGAAGCTGGTCCACCTTGCATCGGATGTAAGCCTGCAAGAAAGGAAGTCGGTCAAAAGGAGCGTGGCCATCTTCCACCCAATGGGTTCGGCGCAGCACTCACCTCGTGGCGCCCCTCTTTTTGGTTGTACCAGTTCTCGTACTCAAAGTTAGTGCTACAAAGGGGCGACCCGTCGGGATGGTCGCCTTTTGCGGTATTGGCAGCGAGAGCCCGGCCTGCCTGATCTACACCCTCCAAGATGAAGCGGCGAGTGACACCTTCTGGGTCGTTGTACGCACTTTCAATCGTCGCCGCGTCGTCGCAACCGTCGATACCGATGAGCATAGTTTCTCCGGGACGCAACTTGACATTTTTCAAGAACAAGCAGGCCTCGCGTCTGGAGAAGTTTCCGATCGATGACCTGGGGGAACCCCGAACAATTGTTCGCGGATCAGCTTTGTTTGCCGGCACTGAGCAAGAGGCTGATCACATACCCAAGCCACATGATGCTGCTTGTGCGAGCATGATCCTGGCTAGATGAGTAGCTTGCGAGATGATCTAGTCCATCGTCGTAGAGGCCGTGCAGTCCGCCGATCTTAACTCGAGGAGTCTCGTCGACTTCGGTCTTGACCGCAGCGGGTTCCTGCTCGGCAAGGCTGTTAAGAGAGAGCTCAAGAGAGCTTTTCTCCAAGTCCAATGCTTCGTAATCGATGGAGCGAAATCCCGACAGTTTCCCGGCTTTCAGAACTTTTGAAAATGCCGACAGCAGGTGGCGCGTCTTGTCGAGCGAGCTGCATAGGCGCCAAAGGATGCACCGGCATGAGTCGCCGAACAAACACGCAACAAGCTACACGGCGGTGCAACTCACCCGGATCCTAGTTCAATGATCACAGCTTCGGCACTAGGCGTTCCGTTGACCTCGCTGATACGGCCGTTCACCCCATGATTGTGCTTCCCGACGCCAAAATCGCCCCACTTCTCTCGGATAGGAGAACCTTTATGCTTGCCGTTCGTCTGCAAGGGCGGCGCCTGCTCAGCCTCGGCATGGTCCATGTCGTGACTGTGAGTGTTGAGCTCGGAACTCTTCTTGGACTGATTTTTCGCCAAGGCGAAATCGCTAGGCAGTCCGAGCATGCGCGCCGCCTCCAGTAAGAATGATCTGTCAGCCTGGTCCAGACGGGAGCCCGATCGGAGCATGCATGTGCGTGTGCGGGTTAGGTGGGGCCGCGGGCACGGCCGCGGTGGGGGCGAGACGAGCGAAGCGGTCGGAGTGACGGGTCTAGCATTATTCCACCTGAGACTCACTATTTCGTCTCCGTAGTTTTGTAAAATTTCGAGCTCGCAGGCGAATGGATAGTAACTCTGAGGTGGCATGTCCGAGGAGTCAGCTTACTCAGCGTTGGCTCGGGGCCGTAGAAGCGAGTTGATGCCCCAGCAGAGACTCACCTTGCACCGGGTAATGATCTCAGAGTATATGCCAAGCCCTGCATCGCTGTAGAGGTACTGCGTCGGGATGCTACGCGTCCAGACCCGGTCGTCCGGACCTTGCCCTCTCGGTTCCGAAGCAGTTAGCCCGTCAATCAGCTGTTCACGCAAATGACTCGGCTGTTGTGCACTCTTGAGAGGCAATATACGGGCAGCAGCAGGCGGCGACAGTGCAGACGCCATTGTTTCTCAAAGCTGGATCGAAAGGCTGCTCTCTGGGGATGGACCTGTCCTCAGTCGACCACGGTGGGCGTGGCAGGTTGGATTGGAGGAACATCGCGAACCACCTGACGCGCTACCTCGCGGCCGGCGAGCCGATCCTAGCCGATCGGGATAGATCGGGATCGGGATCGATGGCTTTCAGACCGGTTGCCAAAGGCGACCAACCGGCACGCCGAGCGAGTCGACAGGAGAGTGCGGTGTGAACCACACTCCCTTTGCCAGAACTACAGTCAGACCTGAGAAAATTTATATCGCCCAATCTTATACCTGTCAAAATTTATGGACTTTTCAATCTCCCGACTTTTTTGGCTGACAGAACCTGTCCAATCTTATACCTTATAACTAGGGCTCGGGGGGCGCTCCGCGCCCACCTCCCTGCGTAAATGAAGGTCGTTGCGAGCTCCGCCCGCACCTCCCGGACCGTGGGGGGGGGGGGAAAGATCGCCGCGCGCGCGCGCGCGGCTGAGAACCTTATTTAAGTCGTGCATTCTTTTATGTAGATGTAGATTTATGGGTTTACAGGTCAAATTATAAGATAAGAGAGAGCCGGAAATGAGCGATTGATCAGGAATTGGCCTCTCCTTCGGCGTTCTTGTTGACGAGTCGCCTGCTGGAAGAGTCCGAAATGCCCCGAAACAGCCAAGAAGCGAGCACAGGAGAGCAAAGGCGGCGGTTGACACGTTTAAAGTTGACTGGCTAGTCGCGACGTGCTTCTCTCTCCTCTTCCGCCGACAACGACGCCGAAATGAACATCTTCACAATCCAAGAAGCCCTCATCAAAAAATCCTCTTCATATCATATCATCATGGTCGCAATTCCCTTCCCGGAATTTGAGGATCGTCATGGTCAACTCACCGCCGATCCTCAATTCGCCCCCTATCGCGCCGAATGGGACGCGTATCGCAAGCACCTGGTCGAACTCCCGAGGTTTGAGACTGTTTTCCAACCTATCTGACCAATTATGATGCACTCTGCTTGATAGGTTCATCCGTAATGCTATTGCAAGGTTCGACGATGGTCAAACCGGCGACGATATCTACGCAATCGATCAGCTTCGAGCGATGAATCTTGCGAGACAGGCGTGGAACGACATCCGCCCCGAGACGATTGCCAACTGCTGGCGCCACGCTCAAATCTTGTCTGATCGCAAGAACAAAGGATCGACCGACCATACACCTCTTCCCAACGGTCGCGGGCCTCTGATCGCGGCATCATCAACGCGATGAACGCTCTGAAGACGGCGAACGATGAGCTGGTCGAAAAGGGGATAGTTACGAGCAACGAGAAGATGAGTATCCACTTTCTCGTCGATGTGGAAGAGGAGAACCTTGCTGGTGGGGCTGAAATGACCGATCAGGAGATTGTGGACCTGGTCATTGCCGAAGAGTTGGAGGAGAATTGCGAGGGAGAAGGAGGAGAGGAGGAAGCGGAGATAGAGCTCCGACCGGCGGAGCGAACGACGCTGAAGGAGGCAATCTCAGCGCTTGATGTTTTCCTTAGGTTTGCCATGAATGGGTACTCAGGTCCAACAGATTTGATTTCTTTTGAGGACGAGGCTAGGATGATTCGCAGGACTCTTGTTGCCGAGCAGGATGCCGCGAGGATTCAGACGACAATGACTTCGTATTTCCAGCGTCAGTAGGTCAAGATATTTTTTCTTGGAGCTTTCAAAACTTGTTAGATGTCATCATGCCTCAGTAGAGGCCGTACATTGGCTGCAATTCAGTAATTCGGGCCTTCTGAATTTCCTCCCCCTCAAAAGTCAATGTATCGACTCAAATGATGCACGAAAATTCTTGATTTGATGTAGGAAGCTCAAAAACGGAGTTTCAGGTCATAATGTAGTGATCTGAAGTCGAACTCTCCACGCTTATACCTGTCTTAATTTATGGGAAAATCCGTCCACCGAAAATACAAATTCTCTCAGGTCTGACTGTAACTACTTTCGCTCGCAACATTCGCAACATCCCCTGTTGCTCGCTCGAAACCCGAATTATTTGCTTTCCCGCCCGCCTGCCACCCGGTTTGCCTCCCCTTGCCACTTGCGCTGCCCCGCCCGGCCGGGCAGCGCGGATAGTGCCCGCGCGACCCTGATCCTATCCCGGATAGTATGCTGGGGCAGGCGAGCGGGCAGCGCCACTCGAGGCCCAGGCAGCGGATAGTCAGACCGGTCGCGCCACGCCCACCGTTCCTCTGCGCCCCCGGGCTCCTTCCTTTCCTGCCTATCCTTATCACTCCCTATACCTATACCTTTGTTTTATTTTTATTCGTCTTCCTTTCCTATCACTTCCTATTTCCTATTACTTTTTTATATTATGCTGAAATAAAATAATATCTTTCCCCCCACCGTCCCCCCTCCCAGCCGGCCCAGCCGCCCAGCTTGACGGTCTTCCTTTACTATCACTATCACTTCCTATACCTTGGCTTTTTTATTCAAATAAAATATCTCATCGTTTTAGATTTATCTGGTGTGTACCTGGCAGACGGACTACACGTGCTTTTCTTTTCCTTTTTAGAGAGCTCGTCCGAGTCTTTTCAACCCCTCCGCCCCGCGGCGCGGCCTCGTCGACGGGGACCGTGCGCGCGCAAGGACAGGGCCTGAGCTTGTTTCCTGAGCGAACCTGGCTGTTTTATCCTTCGGCTACGGGATTTCGGCGCATCTGAGACACGGTGATTCAGATTTGATTCAGTTTTGAAATAAGACTAGGTGGATAACGGATAATCTCAAATGTAAAAGTCCTTCAAAAAGTTGTAGGATTTCTAGGCCACGGAGGCCCGGAAAACACGGAGTCAGCGGCTCCTGGGGCTGGTAGGAAAAGGGAACAAGGGAGCGCGGCCGAGGGATCGCCGTTCTCACGTGCCGTCCTCGAAACGCAACTTCAACTCCGCTCTCCGCTCTCATCGTCTCAATGTTTGTCAATCCTATCATTTCCTCTTACCGTAAGGTAAGTGTACACCTGTCCTATGCTATGCTTGCTACGTGAGGTCCCCGACAGTCTCAGGAGCCTTAGGACGTCGTGCAATCGATCAGGTCCGATCGCGAGACTCGACTCGACTCGTTCGACCCCACAAAATCCGTTCCCATACTACTGTGGAGAGCGAAAAGCAGCCCGAGATCGCGATCGCATCGAATGAACGCATGAAATAGCAGGTACGTTGAGGATTTTCGACGTTTGGATACATTTGATCACGTCGAGCCAGGTAGCCTGCTAGTGTGATTTTATTCAGACTCGGTCTGCCGTGATCAAAGCGCCGGAGCGAGAATTCCTCTCGAGATATGCGATGGGAAATGCAGATGGAGTAGTCTATGGAATGGAGTAGAATACGGGTTTTTGTTCGTAACGAGGGCTAGTATCTAGGGTACTCCTCAGGAATCAGTGTATTATATGCACCTCCTCAATTTGATACTCGCTCAATTTCGTTCCGGCCAAAATAAAATGAGGTGCCGAATCAGCTCGCGGAGATCGCGAGGTTTTGTAAGGCCGGCTTGATTTTGACTTACTTGAGCAAGCAAAGATTTTTACGAAATGAAAGTGACTGAAAATGCATTCGCAAGGAAGGCTAAAGAAGATAAATTAAAGGGCCGAAGTGGTCGCCTCTGGCAGTGGAACCGGAAGCCACCAAGTGAAGCTGCGGGGAACGAAGCGAACGGGGGGAGGACAGAACCGATCACGAGTCGGCCACAGACAAAAGGGTTCGCACATGTAATAAACAAAAGCGATGGACGGAATGCGACAGAGTGCAGCCAGCTGTAGAGGGTACAGATGAAGAGAGACAGAGAGGGTTCAGAAAAACAGAAACAACGGAGGCCGGAGCGAGATGAGGTCGAACAGATGAACAGATCGGCGAGGGGCCGATGCCCCCCGACGGAAGCGAACCAAGTGCCAGCCTCGATGCATGTTGTGGGGTAAATATGCCCAACTCGACCATACACTATTGGTACTGGACTCGGACCGCCAATTTGAGAGCATCGTAGTTGTTGAGTTGCGCTCCATTGACTTCGCGCGTGTCCTTCTTCTGCATGTGCTCGTAGAACTTTCGGTACCTTGCGAAGTCCGCGGGGGCAAGCGCCGTCTTGATGCTTGCCGAGCTCACTTCGTTGCTGTAAGGTACCATGTCGAGATGGAACTCCTTCCACGGCCTCGTTGATGAACTTCAGGACCCTGTTTATGCGAGTCCATTCGACACCGGGTGCGGTTTGACCTGGCGCACCGCGCCAGCGAGTTCCGAAGCGGCGCTCCATTTCGCGCCAAGGCATCGACGGGTTTCGCCGATCCCCATCCTTTGCCACACCCGTTTCGTAAAGGAGATACACATCCTCCACATTTGTAGCAGGATTGAACTTAACGACGGGAAGCCATCCGGGGGGTGTGATGGTGGTGCTCCATTCTACGAGCGTGCCAGGGAACCGGGCAAGATCATCGAGGCCCAGCGCTTCGAGTCGCGGATCGACATACATAGGGTTTCTCTCCTTGACACGTCGGTATTCGGCGAGCAGGTGGCCAACATCCTCCAACTGGTCGCCTGCTGGAGGTCGCAAGAGTGCGTCCATGGTCGCATGATGAGACGGTAATCGGTACGCCAGCGATTGGCCCACGCGCATGCGATCCGATCGATTGCCCGCGGCGGCTGGTGGGACAGCTGCGCGCATGGCCGTATGAGAGATCGCTGGTTGGGTTGGCGAGGTTCGGAAACTCGTCGATCGGGAAGGCGGGGTTCGGAAACTGACAGATCGGGACGGCGAGGCGGGGGAATGGGCCCCGGGTGCCGGTACTCCTCGAGACGATGAGGGCGAAGCTAAGGCTGGGCTTGACGAAGGCGATTGCGGTGGGTGCGGCCTCCGACTAGCATCTCGATATCATAATACAAGGGTAATACAAAGGAGAGGCAAGTAAGCATTGGGTAGGAACACCAGTTGATGCACGCAGAAGGTAGCAGATACGTACTTGTAGGCGCGGACATGTGCGCATCCGACAAATCACGACGATCGTCGTCGGAATTGTCATCGTCGTCATCGAAGTCGCGGACAAATTCGTGTCGTCGTCGCTTCCTTACATGACCGTGAAAGTGACCGCCTCGATTATGCTGTTCGATGAGAAGTTCCAAGATTCGACGATTATCGCTGCGAAGGTGAGCAGTTGCAGACTGGCGCTCTGAGGATTGCTGGGCGCCAAGCCTGTCGACGATGGAATCAAGGAGGCCGCCGTACACCACTTTGAGGGCGGCTTCTTCACGGCCATTCCCCTCCACACTGGCCACAAAATGCGGAGCCCACGTTCGAAATCGGTCCGACTGAAACAGGCTCGCTTGGAAAATCGGTGCATCTGGAAAGGCTTGAATCAAAAACGCCGCATCTTGAAGGATGACGAGTCTGAACCATTGGAGCAGCTTCAAGTGACCAACCAACGCCTTGTCTTGACAGAGCTCATCGGCCTCAAAGCGCTCCTCGAATTCGGCCAAAGCGGCTTCGACCCATGGGAAGATAAGTCGTTGAAGATCGTCAGGCACATCTGGGAAAGCGACGGGACGGAGAGGTCAATATTGCCAGACCAAAAAGCTCGATGAAGGAGTAGACATACCAGCCTCGATATCACGAGCCACGTAGTACCTCTCGGAAAACTTTCCATTAAAACCGGCGAGGGCAATGAAGGAGGTGGTTGGATCGCCACGTTGGTAGACGCTGCGGAAGGTGCCATCGCTCCAGCCTCCAAGAGCCTTCGTGCCGGCTTCATTCGCGCCTCTCTCCGCCGACATTTGGGCACCAGCAATGCGACTGAGATGAGTCGTGTGACTAGAATGCACATCACACTCCTTGAGGAACGTCGAAACGGCAACGTTGTGACCTAGACGAAGAAGATGGCGAAGTTGAAGATCCCATCCCCATCGCAGGCATAAGCGAAGACGAGCAAAGGTTTCAGTCAGCGACCGACCGATCTCAGCAAGTCGAGCTAAGCGCCCTCCGATCAGGCACCAAGAGTGCCGACTCACCCGAGTAGGAGATCGGATGCAGCTGTGCGTCGCCGCTAAATGCGCTCGGGAAAAGGGGGACGTTGTACCATTCTCGATACCCGTATTTCGAACTGCCTTTAGAGAAATCTGGCTCGAACGAACCATATGGGAGTCCTCCAGTGTACTCATCGCGGAACCACATGTAGAAGGCGACCGCGCCGACATTGCAAATACGAGGGTCGAAATGACGGGCAACGGGCTTGTAGTCGAGACGACCTTCCTTGTTCGTCTTGCCCGAATCGGCCACGATATAGAGCGTCTTGATCGGCGGGTGATCCGGTCGTTCGAGCGCTCGCATTGACAAATCCGAGAAGGCGAGAGCACGAGTGTTGTCGCCGCGGAATAGCGTGGCGAGCGAGACTGCCCACATGGCGCGGTTGCGAAGCGACCGGGTCACCGAGTGTACGGCAGTCAGCTTACCGGTCGGCCCCTGGCAAAGAAGGTGTTCACTAATTTGTAGTTGTTCTTCTTTGGTGACATTGTCGGATGCCGTTCCTTCGATTTTGTTGGTCTGGGCGGACTTCTTTCGACCGGCCTCGCGTTTCTTCCAGCCGGCCTCGAGATTACCGATCGGGGGAAAATCTCGCAGCTTGCCCCGGGCCGCAACGCTTGTGCGATCAATTGAATCGATTACACGGTACTGGAGGCACGTCAAAAGCAAGCAACATGTGTTATTCAAGGGAGTAGATTCATTGCGGGTACGAAGGGAAAGGCATGCGAGCTTACATGTTCGAGGGCGTTGAGATGCTATGAACGGTGGGGAAGCCGGCATGGCGCGATCAATAGACGCCCAATTCGCTAGGTGCAGAGGCCAGTCAAAAGCCATAGTTGAGATATAATACTCACATTTTTCAGCACCGAAACACCAATGGTCGTGCCTTCAATGTCCTCGCCTTGATCGACACCCGTACCTGATCTGCGCGCGGGTCGCTTGGACTCGGAGCTCAAAAAATTCAAGACCATATCTGGGTCGATCGGTCGAACGCAAGCGCCGGGCCACGTTTCAGCCATGAATTTGGTGTAAGATTTGAGCGATTTTTCGTATGCGCTGACTGTCTTGGGCGCCAAGTTGGATGTGCTGGTGCAACTGGCGATGATCGCGTTATTCGACGCTTGAACTAGAATCTCGGCCAGAGCCAGACGGCGGGTGGCGAGCAGCAACCGTCAGTAAAAAATCGCGCCAAAGTCCCGGGTCTGCCCCGAGTCCGAGGACGGATAGGACAAGAGACTCACGTCGTGCAGCAAGGCTTACCATGCCCTGCTCATTGCCCTCACCCTCGCTTGCTTCATGCTCACTCTCGGCGTGCTCGCCGTCGTCCTCTCGACATTCGAATTCGTCGCGGCAATCGGCGTTCGAATTGGTGACAGGGACTGAGTGCGCGGTGCTAGCCGAGCCACGAATGGGGGAGGAATTGGGAGTCATCCCTTTCGTCGCGTTGGTCTGAAAATACTGTGAGTCGATTGCGGAATTGGTGGCGTTGGTGCCGAGATCGGTCGAGACGAGAGCTCGTCGGTTCAACCGAGAGCTCGGAATGACGGTCACGTGAGGAAGTTCCAAGCGCACTCAGTGTTGATCAAGAGAGATCGTACAACGGTCGTGCGAATCGACAGCAAGTAGATAGGCAGTCGAAGTAGGTCAAGGGAGACGTGGCGCCCTCTTCGTTCAGTCGAATACGGGCGAGGAGAGTGGAGATGCGAAACGCAGTGAAGTCAATCAGAGTTCGTTCGCGACCTCATCACGGACAGACGCGTGCACGGTGCCGGCCAAACTCGACAATCAATCCACTCACCAGCGGCAAGGCACTCGGGTTGCGATGGATACACGACTCGAGCAGCTCGAACTGCTGCTTGCAAAGGAGGATGCGAAATCGCCACAAAGGAGTATGCCACCGCCAGCCCAGCCAACGACTCTGAGTGGAATGTGGCCAAAACATTTGAGTAAGGGGCCCGGCCTCGCGCGCTGGGCCTCGCGCGCTGACCCACGCTGACCCACACCGCCCGCATCCGCCTCAGGCACGCCTCAAACAAGGCGGCCCGAGCTCAATATTGGTTTCGAATATTCAGGCTGGCGCTCGCGCGCGTCCCGGGCAGGCCTGCCCAGTGCCTTGCCTCACTGTGTGGGCAGTATATACTGCCCTCTAGAATGTTCGCCACTGTCCGACTCGACTCCGAAGTCTGCTAGTCACTAGTGCGCCTGGTGCGTTGCATCAGTGAAGTGGAGACAAGTCCTATAGACAGGTCAAAGAAATAGAGTCGTGTGAGATGTGAACGCGATTCATATGTGGAGAGCTCTTCCCAGGCGGATAGTCTCGGTCCTTTCGGAGGCGCATTGGATCGTGTAAAGGAGACCTCACTGCAAATGCCTTGGACCACAGGGCGTGAGGTCTGCAACTCACAAACGCAGAACGCGCAATACTACGCATTGTATCACTACTCGTTAAGGCAGTACGGTCAGATCCTCCCTCGCTGGTGACTCGGTCAACGCACCTGGATCACTGCTCACAAGACCGTGTTCCACCCCCCTAAACGGGGAAACGGCCTTGCGCGGCTGGCGAAGGCCCAATGCTTTATCCGAGTCGCGAAGGATTGTCCGAAGTTGTGGTTCGCACCTACAAGTAGTGAAGTACATCCACGGAGCATCGTGAGAAAGAGTCATGAGGCTGGCATGATAAGTATGATGGGGGGAAGCGAGCGAGACACGCCGTTTTGTGCGCCTGAAAGCGCCGGAGCGCCGGAGCCGTCAAGCGGCCGAACGGCGCCCAACTTGGGGTGCATCTTGTGCGCCCCTGTTTCGAAGGGTTCGGGGGCGGTCGATCAGAATATCAGAACCCCGCCCGCTGTCTGTGAGGTTGTGCAAAGAATTACCGCCTGATGCATCACTTCTGGTTTCTAGAAGGCTGAGAGTACCTGTCCGCTTATTGCTACTCTTTATTACGACTTACCCTAACTAGGCAAACAAAAGCGTCGATCCGCGACCCAGGTACCTAAAATCGCTGTTTTTGACTGTGTTGAGGCCCTCAGGGTCGCAAGTGGTGAATGTATCAGTATACTGTTGAGTCTGGCGCACCTGCCTGTGGTATCGGCGTCCCGACCAGAAGTCATGTACGACCCTTTTTGCATTTTCTGGACCATAAAAGTCGAGCTGCAGCCCGAGTCGAATTTTTGTCGAATTTTTGACGTGGTGCGGAACTATTGAGCAGTTCATGTAGGATTTAATGTGTAGCAAGCGCGAAGGTTTGCTGGGAACTTCTTCTACAGAGCTCAGGCGTGGTCCCGCTGTCATTGACGCGCGCGCGTTGGCGCGGCTTACGCTGCGCGATGCGCCGTCAATCACATGATGTATCGCTGACAGTGCGACACCGGTTTCAGGGGCTCCACCGGTTTCAGGGGCTCCACCGGTTTCAGGGGCTCACCGGTTTCAGGGGCTCAACATCAACAAGAGGTTCGAGCGTCAGTAAGTAATCCCGCGCTCCTCTTTCTAATTCTTTCCCTTTGTCTCCCACTCTCATCGAATCTTATAGTGACACCCATTCAAGGCGAAACCCTCGGCACTACTATGCCCCGGTCCCAACGTGGCCAGCTGACTGAGCAGGGAGGTCCAACGCAACCTCGCCGAGTCTTGGGCGCGAGGGTAGCGCCCTGTAACGGCGTACCATGGGACTACCGTGGAAGACCATGGACCTGCTCGTGCGCCTGCTGCTGGGCGACGCGCTGCTCGACCCTCCTCTTCCGCCCGCTCTGATCAACAGAATCAGTCCCCGGTGCGTATTGACAACAACCCAACCGACCTTGGTATTGCGACACGTATACGAACGAGCCCGCCGTGCCGCTGTCCAGAACGGTGAGCGTGGTCAGCGTGATGGACGAGCCGACGCTGAACGCGCCCCCTAACGCGTCACCACCACGTGCACCTCGACCTGCTCTCCGCTGGCCTTGACCTGCCTTGACCCGCAGCAGGAGAAGGCCAGCGGAGACCCCGCAGGACTAGAACCGCCCTTAAACCACTCAAGCCCCAGGTTTCAATCCGCGACTACCTCGGCCCCCAGACGGCCGTGTGCACCCACCAGTGCAAGGCTCGACACTGAGAGTGCGAGAGGTCGAAGTCGAGCGGACACGTCAGCACATGCGGCTCGCAGGGTAAGGTGCGACTGCCTCCCCTCCCCAGCCCGATCCCGAGTATCGAAATCTACTTGAAGGCTCGGATAGCGGTCAGTTGCTCCGTCCAAGAACATCCGTCTGCAGCAGACCCACATACTGAATTGTGCGACCCACCTACACAGAAGCTAAAGCATTCCGCGAGAATGCCCGGTCGTACAATAACGCACTGTCCTTCACTTCGCTCGCTGCTCACATCGACCAGACACGACTGGGCACTCTAGGACCCCCTGTGTTTCGCGTGTTTGGTCGCCTCTATTATCGACTAGGCCCTGCCGTGAATCAACGCCCGGCCACTGCTCAGACACGGCTCATCGAGCCGGCCGAGGCCACCGACACTCGACTTGGACCTGACGGCGCAGACACTCGCAGACAAAGATCTACTTTGATCAAGCTCGAGTCCATGTTGCATACCGTGGGTGCGTCGGTCTCGGCCAGGTGGTAGACAGAGGCGGAAGGCCCACTCTTTGCCCGTATCCCAACGGTACGCAACATGGACTCGAGCTTGGTCAACGTAGATCTTTGTATGCGACTGTCTGCACTTTCAGGTCCAAGTCAAGTGTCGGTGCCTCGGCCGGGTCGATGAGCCATGTCTGAGCAAAGGCTGGGCGTTGATTCACGGCAGGGATCAGGGCGCCGAGTCGATGGTAAAGACGACCAAATACGCGAAACACGGGGGGTCCTAGAGTGCCCAGTCGTGTCCGGTCGAAGTGAGCAGCGAGCGAAGTGAAGGACAGTGCGTTATTGTACGACCGGGCATTCTCGCGGAATGCTTTAGCTTCTGTGTAGGTGGGTCGCACAGTTCAGTATGTGGGTCTGCTGCAGACGGATGTTCTTGGACGGAGCAACTGACCGCTATCCGAGCCTTCCAGTAGATTTCGATACTCGGGATTGGGCTGGGGAGGGGAGGCAGCCGCACCTTGCCCTGCGAGCAGCATGTGCTGAAGTGTCCGGTCGACTTCGACCTCTCGCACTCCTAGTGTCGAGCCGCTTTGTGAGGGAGTTCGCATTGGCCAAAACCCGCGCAGGTTGGGATTCAGCCAAAGAGTGGGACCTGCGCCTCTGCCTACCACCTGGCCGAGACCGTCGCACCAACAAGCTTCCTACGTCGAGCACGGTAATGGCGATGCCTTGTCTGCGATTTCGACACCAACACGGGAGACCGTGGACCGCAAGATCTTATTCTCCAGTTGCACGGTGATCGATGTTGAGACGGTCGGCTCAAGTACCAAGTCGTCAGCTCGCTCCATCCGTCCGCGATGCCTCTCCGTTACCTACTCCTATTCTCCGCAGGAGAAGATGACTTTCACGGCAACATTCCTCTTTGCGGGTTCAACCAAGCTGGGCCACCCTTCGCCCCGAGACCGAGAGCAGATCGACAATGGTGTCCAATTGCGCGAGGTACTTGCCGGTCTTGGTCTTGATGACGAAGACGAAGAGGAGGGCGAAGACCGCGGCGAGGAGGATGAAGATGACGAGGAGGACGAAGAGAATGGTGGTGGTGAAGGTAAGCGTCTTCGGCTCTCTCTCACGTGTTCCATTCTGTTTGAGACGCAAACACAGACTGACATAGAATGTTTGAATATCTATGACGAAGGTCATGCAAAAGCGGTCGAGGTGGATCGACCCGTCTGGTTCCCAATTCTTTGCGTACTACTTACTCGCATGATCGCGACAAAGATATCTCAGGAAACCCCTCGGGGCTTATCTATCTATCTAAGATATTTGGCCCCTAAATAGGATGTCATCTACATCTAAGGAAGATATGCTAAGATAGATGTCTAGACATCTAATGAGGAACCCTGTGTGTGGAATGCCGAACCGGGGATCGCTGGCAAGGAGCTTGATCTCACCGGTACAACCTACTACCTCCGGTGACTGAAATAGTACCGGAGGCTTTGACGGTGGTGTTTGGCTTCGCTTGCGAGTACCTGCCGAGATTTTGCTGGTTCGCTATCTTTCATCTGCCTCAGCGTTCAGTTCGCTGTGACTCGTGTTCTCGCTTGCACGTCTGTAGAACGTCTATCCGTGCCTGTCTCTGTCGATCGCACCCGACGCCTGCAACTTTGACATCTGACCTTCGTTTGTTCTTATAGGGTATGTCATAGAGGGATGCTTACACTCGGATAACAATTGCAAAGCGAAAACTGCCAGAAGAAAAGTCTTTATGTAAGAACACTATTGACGAACACCTCCCCTCGCGATCGGTTCAGTCCTTTTTGAAGATGATCTCGAGACCCAGACTGAACGGCAATCCCTGATCCGTGACCGTGACCAGACCCCCTTCGACACTTTCGAACAATTCGCCCAACGTCTTGTCTAAATTCGGCCGCGTCATCTCCTCCAACTGCGGTGGTGCCTGGAAGTACAGCTTCTTGCTCCGCGTCGGCCCCGGGGTTCCGTCGTCGGCGCGCGAGGCGATCTCGAGCGAGAGCGAAGGTTTCTTGATCTGCAACTCGCCCCTCTCGATCAGGACGTCGACCAACTCTTGCAGCGTGTCGTCGCGGCCGACGACGCCATCGAGGCGCATCGAAGTGTCGCCGCAGACGGGGCAGTCGTCCTTCTTGTGGTGTTCGAACGTGTACGTGTACACTTCGTCGTTGCCGGTGTAGAGCATGTAGTTGTTAAGGTACGGATTCGACGATGACGCGATCTTGAAGACCTCGTTGCAGCACGCCGCGGCGACGATCGCGTTCGTCGACGCGATCGCGGGAATGATGCGCTTGACGACGCCCTGCGTCAGGGACCAGGTCACGCCTTCGATCGAGTGGTGCTGCGCTCGCTGGAGCGCGGTCGTGTAGAGCCACTCGATGTGTTCGGGGTTATCCGTGTCCATCTTTTTGTCTGTGTCGATGCGAAGCAAGCTCGTCGGTCAGAAAAAGAGGGAGGCAAGGGGACCACCCCCCCATCGAATTTCGGAGAGCGAACGAACCTTTGAAAACTTTGGGCCATTCCAACAAGGACGCCCATTCGATGCAGTGTTCGGGTAGCCTCGGCGTGTTGGCAATGGTGCAGATCGGGAACGCCGTCGGCGGGGTCAACATGTCCAACGAGCACTCGTAACAGCTCGTCACGGTCGGGAGGATGACCCTCGCCTGACCCTTGAACCCCTCGGTGCCGCCGTCGACGAGTGGTTTCAACGATTCGGGCACCTCGGGGTCGACGAGGTTCACGAGCGTCGCGGAGATCCACCTGCGCGCCTGGACCGAGTCGAGCCCGCAGACGACGATGTTGAAGCTCATGTAGTAGGCGTCGTCCTTGTCCTGGATCTTGCCGTGGTAAGGGGTGACGATAACGCCGGGCACGCGCTGCATGATGAAGCGCGCGGCGCACTCGGCCTTGGACTGGCCGACGTCCGAGGGTCGGAACAGGAACTGGCGGTTGAGGTTGGAGACGTCGATCGTGTCCATGTCGATGACGTGCAGGTCCGTGAAGCCGAGCAGGGCGAGGTTGGCGAGGATCTCGCAGCCGAGACCACCGGCGCCTTTGGAGGGAGACGAGAGAGCGTGTGATTGTAATGGTCAACCTTCAATCCCCATCGTACGCCTAAAACGAGCGGAGCGCTTACCAATGACGAGAATCTTGGCCTCGGTGTGCAGGAAGCTCTTGTCCAAGGTGGTCGGCCGGAACGAGTCCTCGTCGACGAACGGGCCTCGACGCGTCAGAATCCGGTCGAGGTGTTGCCAGCGGTTCGGGATCGAAGCGGCCGACGAGGTCGAAGTGGAGGGCGTAGCTTGGACCATCTTCGGAGGAGTGTGGGCAAGCGAGAGGTGAGAGCTGGGAGGTGCGAGCGAGCAGGGACGGAGGGAAGCCGACGAGTGGGGGTCGAATTCGAGGTGGAGCCAAAGGGGGCAGAATGAGGCATTACAAAAAGATTACAAGACCACCTTACCGATCGTCGTGACTGGGGGCGCGCACCCCCCACACGCCTTCGTTTCCCACCTCGCACGCTCGCCCCTCGCCGCTCGCCCCTCGCTTGGCACACCCAAACACTCACTCGGGTACACCGACATTCACCCGTTCGGTCAACACCACACCTAGCGCGATGACCTACACGGCGACGCTCGACAGCTACCTGCCCCGTTCCCAGGACCTGCTCGCGGCTCTGCAACAGCTCTCGTCCCAACTCGTCGCCGCCCGACTCGACTCGTCCTCCTCCTCCAACACGACCGCGACCGACGAGGTCTCGACGCTCAACATCGAACTGGCGACACAAGAGGCCGGGCCGCTCTTTGCGGCGCTGCATGCATGGAACAGGAAAGGGCTCGGCGAGATCGCCGCGCTGAGGGACGAGACGATGGATGCGAGGATCAAGATGGAGGAGGCCTACTTGAGGTTGCAGGTAGGCTGTCACCCGTCAAGGGTGCGCAAGCAGTCGAAATCGACGACTGATCACACCTTTGGTCATCACAGAACCTCATGTTTGAAAAGGATCATTTGCAGAGAGAGATCCTGGCGTGCCAACTCTACGAGTACGTTTCCAGCTCGGATGCCTGGCTGTTTGTTCCTCCCGTCACTCATTGACTCGGATACGGTCCCCAGATCCGAGTACCAACACCTTCCCTTGATCCCCGAGGACGAATTCCTTGCAATCGCGCAATCGCCGCATCAGCAACCGGAAGAAGTGGTCCAACTGCTCGAAGAATGGACTCAAAAGAACCCGTCCGACCCCGACCCGAGCACGGCCCTCAAGGCAGCACTGATCGATGATCCCCATCAACTCATGCTCACTCGACTCCAAAACGAACACAACGAACGCAAGAGGTGAGTTGCCGCTCGCCGGCTCTTAACGAGGTCCCTCGCGCGGTAAGAAGGGCAGGCTGACGTCCGCGCCGCTCTCTGCCAGATTGGACCGGGACAAGAAGGAACTCTCGGCAGTGAAGGCGGCTTTGGTCAAGGAGAACGAGAGGAAAAAAGCGAGATTGGACCAGTTGGAGCAACGGTTAGAGTTGTTTGTCAAGGTGTGTTCAGAGCGAGGAAACGGACTCTTCCCTTCCCTTAAAAGGCGAAGCTGACCGTCCCGCCCCGGGAACTCTTTCACAGTCGGCCAAGACGATCCAAACGACGATGCACGGCGACGAATCCATGGCCGTCGTATCATCCAACAAGCTTGGTCAGGACGAGACGTCCGCTTCCACGGGGACAAGAGAAGACGGAGAGCCGACGTTGAAAGGTGCCGAACAGGATGACCCGACGATGGTGGTCGAGGAAGGGATGGTCGTCGACGAGCCCTGATGGTGGGTATGATCGGAGAAGGGATTGCGATGCTGTGTGCATGATTGGAATTTTGGAATGTTGTAATCGTACGTATAAGAGATGCACACCGCTCACTAGGGTGGGGGGGGGGACCAGTTGGTTTTCCGGGGATCTCGGGTTTTCCCGAGCGCCTCGGTTATTATCGAAGACACGGTCGCTGGCGCCGACAGAGCCGACACGGAGTCGATGCGCCGACAAATAGCCGAGACATGACGTGAGCCCTCTGACGTAGATAACTTAGACGAAGCTCTCCTAAGTGCACCCCTTTTTGCCTTCGAAGGCCGCGTTGGAGCGTTCCAATTCACCGCCGCTTTGAGCCTAATGTTCTGGAACTCGACACAGCCTGCCGAAACAAGGCACGGCAGCTTTCAGGCCGACCGCGTCCGCGCGAGCGGTGCTCGTTCAAGTGCTTGAACTGCAGGGCTGGTTCGGATTTCGGCATCAACCTCGATCCGACTCGAGCACTCTCTTCTCCTTCCTCGTCTCGTCCTTCTCCAACATCTCTGCCTGCTTCGCGTCTCGGATCCCGGTATGGCTTCTTCAGCAGCGGACATCAAACTGAACCCTTTCGGTCAGTCCCTGCCGCGACACCACACACATTCCCCGTTTCAGCGAGCGGATTCATTTCGGTCTCACCTTTTGTTCTTGCCTGTTCGGTCATAACGGACGTTGATCATTCCCCTCGCGATTCCACCTTGGCCTTACCTACACAGAGGGTGAGCACAATTTGATGCAGTGGATCGAGGCTGGGAGCAGCTAACGAGTTCGACTGTTTGCTACAGGCTTCATCTCGGGTGCCTTGGCAGCATGTACCGCCGTGACCGGTGAGTATTTTGTGGGGTAGGGAAGGAGGCGCGAGACGAGCATCTTCACAGATGGCCCCTACATACCTCGTCATCTCGGGGCATTCGGGACTTTACTAACTCAACACTCTACTTCTCACAGTCACCAACCCGGCCGAAGTGATGAAGACGCGGCTGCAACTCGACGGCGAGTTGGGCGGCAAGGCCTCCGCACTCGGCGCCGTTTCGGCACGCTCGACCCAAGCAGGGTCCACCACAAAAGCGGGCATACCCGACCTCAAAGCATTACCGCAGGACGTTCTCAAGCCTTCGGGACCCGGGGCGGCCAAGGCGGTCAAGGTGTACTCGGGTCCGATCGACGCGTTCCAAAAGACGTGGAAGTACGAAGGCATTCGGGGCGTGCAGAGGGGGTTAGGAGCCGCGGTGAGTAGGGGGTTGTGTGGTTGCAGGTTTGGAGAGAGGTACTCATTTTCTGCATCACTCTACCAGTATACCTATCAAATCGCGCTGAACGGGTCGAGGCTCGGTTTCTACGAGCCGTTACGGACGAGCATCAACTCGGTCGTCGGGTACCGGCCCGACCAGGTTGTGACATGGACAAGTTTGATGGCCGGTGCGAGTTCGGGTGTCATTGGGGGTGAGTCGAATCCAAGTCGGTGGGCCGAATGAGTCTACGAAGTCTGTACTGATCTTCGAGCTGGTTTGGCTCCATTATCCCACAGCCATCTTTGGTAACCCCCTCTTTCTCGTCAAGGCGCGCATGCAAGCCTATTCTGCTTTCAACCCCGTCGGAGCCCAGCACCACTATCCCTCGGTAGCGCACGCGTTCCGCAAGATCATTCGCGACGAAGGACCGAAAGGACTCGTGCGAGGCATGGACGCGGCGATGCTGCGAACGGCGATGGGCTCGAGCGTGCAGTTGCCGGCCTATAATTTCGCCAAGGTCAACTTGGCCGAACATGGCGTCAAGGACGGGTGGATGATGTATCTCCTTGCAAGCACGTTCAGTGGGAGTTGTGTCTGTGCGGTCATGCAACCCGCTGGTCAGTTTAAGGAGCGGGCGGTGCCTTTTCAGGTGCTCGAATAAAGTCACTGACCTTCAATCGCTCCGTTGTCTAGACACGGCCCTGACACGGATGTACAACCAATCGCCCAACTCGCTGGGACCGGACGGAAAGCCACGAGGACTACTATGTGCGTCTGCCAGGTACATTTAGCTCTCCACACATTCAAGACTCGTCTGACTCGTTCTCTTGGCACTTTGTACCTTCCACAGACAAGAACCCGATCGACTGCCTGTACAAGACCTGGAAAGCGGAGGGCATTCGCGGGTTATACAAGGGGACCACAGCACATCTGATGAGGGTCGCACCTCACACGTATGTCCTCCACCTCCACTGTTCCCCGTTATGTTACCCACGAAATGCCTTTACTGATTCGTGTTCTCCTCACTCCTCATTAGTATTGTCACCTTGGTCGCGAACGAACAATTCTCGAGGCGGTGGATCGCGTACAAAAAATTGAGCATCATCGCTAGGGATTAAAATATGATCAAGGGGATTAACCTTCCTTGAAATCGCGATATCCTCTCGTGTTTCAAACGTAATTGCATCGTTTTTACATTCATTCGCTTAATCCTTAAATCCTAGACTGCAGTAAAGTGCCATCTCACAAAGCCGGCGTGATACTGCTCCGCTCGTGCGGGTTGATACTAGAAGCCCGCCGTGATAAAGCGTGATACGGCCAACCCCCTGGCGCCCTGGCGGCGCCGCACCTTTGGGTTATCAATTCGCCGGCGTGTGCAAGTTAACTTTGCGTCGTGTTGGCCTAACTAGCTCCTAAAGGCTCCTTAGAACCGAAGATTTCTCTTGAAGAATCGGGGGGGTCCCAGCCTGGGAAATGACGCCCGTCTGAGGATTTATTGGACGAAGTGGCCGAACTACCCCGCACGCACATGACTGTTGGCAAATTGGCAATAGGAGACCCCGGTCTCGATCCCCCGATTCGGCCAGTGACACCGGACCAGTCCACATCGGCGCTTCAGCTTCGAGATGGATGTGGCTGGACTTCGACGTCTAGCGCGACTTCGTCATGAGCGTCGCCAGAACGATCTCTGAAGAAATGAAGTTAACCCCAGTACAGGAGACCTGGAAAATTGGAATACGGAGATGCGTCTTAGGGAGTTGTGCGCAGAGCAAGTGCGATGCCGACTCTTCTCGTTTCCGCCGAAATCGCTCTCGACAGGGGTGAAAGTTTTATCCGTGCGAGATGCGAGATGCGAGATGCGGCGCCGCGTTCTGCAGCGATTCAACTTCGAGAAAACGAAGACTGGAAAACTGGTCAAAACTTTCGCGCCCGTCATTATGCAACAGTTGACGCTTCCGTTCGCGACCCTGCCCAGCGTACGGTGCTCATTCGGGTTCAACTGCGGGTTGAGAATCCGGGACTGCCCCTGAGACGGCGACATGAACGATTTGTACAAGTGTACAAGTGTACAAGTGTACAGCGCCCTCCTGTTCGGGTACTGTTCCCTATTTTACAATATATGACTGCGTTGAGCCTATAGCCCCTTGCAGAGTATGTGTAGCGAGAGGTGGTGAGTTACGCCATGGGCATCGAATACTCGCGCTTGGTCCCAAAGAAGGGTTCTCCGTCAGAGGTTCAGACCATCGGGTCCTATGCGACGTCTGGTTACTTGCCGCAAGAAAAATATGTGCTTCCCGTCAGAGCACCCTTCGAGGACGGTTTTTCCAATACCTGCCGCGAATGATTAGGTGCCTCCCGTTAGAGACCGCGCCGCGGCAAATGCTCCAACAGAGCGACACTCGGAGAACGTGATGAATGAGAATGTGAATGTGAATTCCAGCTAGTCTACAAGGAGAGACGACCCTTATCGGGTGCTGGACCACATTAAAAAAGTAGGCTATCGGGTGTGAAACGATCGTGTCACTTGGGCCTTCCCGAATTGCCCGCCGGCCCGCGCCAGGCGCCGCCCGGCCTGAGGAGACACGATTACAAAGCTCGCCAGGCTCGCGCCAACAATTTCCGAGGCCGAGTGCGCGTCCTTTTCCCGTGGGGCGTCAGGCTACGACGATCCCTTCACCCTCCACTCCACACCCTCCCAGCAGCCACATCACCACATCACATTCAAACAACGACGACGACGACGTCCGTCTCGGGTTCATCATGAGCAACTCGTGGGCCTTCTCCCAGGTACGTTCCTTAACGTCGGCTGGCGGATGTTTGTGGCGCCGGTCTGTGTGCAGCTGGAACTGACCCGTCCCCGCCCGCCCGCTCGATTTCACGCTCGCAGTTGAACCAGGTGCGTCGTCGTCAGGCGCTCACCGCGGTCATCCTTGAAGGTGCCTCCGTACTGATCCACAGCACCCCTGTGATCGCAACAGCTCACTCCGTCCCCAGGAGTCAGTCCCCAGAATGGACCGGACGCCGTCGCCCAACGCGATGACTTGTCATGTACGTGCACTGCTCCTACCCGAAACTCAACGGCCCGGTTGGGCGTAGGCCCGCGGCTTGCGGCCGTCAGGCAAGCGAGCGAAGGTCTGGCGCTCGCGCTCGCTTGGTTTTGCCTGTGCGCTGGCTGTGGGCCGGCGGCCGGCCCCGGCGCCGCGATTGGCTTTGGTGGGCCGAGCGAGCGGACGAGGCGGCCTTCGACGATCAGCGCGCCGCGCCACATGCCTCCCAGGGCATAGCATGCTGACCTGTGTGTTTGTTCTACCTCCCCGCAGTGTCGTTCCCTTGCGATGGTACGGTGCTGCAGGCCCAATTAGAGGCCTGGACCTCGGTCGCATTCGACTTTGACTCGGCGGCCGATGACTCGTCGCCCGCCAACTCGAGCTCGCTCTTCACCGACGCTGCCAAGGCCTTGGACGAGGACCACGCCGTGCGGGACCGGTACCGCGTCAACCTCGCCTCAGCCCCCGGAACGTATGCTTTCGACTCGGGCGTCGTCGAGCCGCCCAGCGATCGTGACCTCGATGCGTTGCTGTCGACCGGTTTGGGACCGAGGGTCGCCGCGCTGGACCCGTACGCCTCGCTCGTGGACCCAACTTTGCACCTCCCGACGTGCAGCAACGCGATCGCTTCGACCTCTTCGGCCAGTGCGATCGTCAATGCGTTCGCCGGGTTGCCCAACTCGCTCTTCCCTTCGCCCTCCGCGCCCGACGGCAGCAGCAGCAGCAGCAGCAGCAAGGCTGCAGCACCCGTCGTGACGTCGACGAGCTCGAACGCCATGCCAAAAAAGGCCGCGGCCGCCCCTCGAGCGCTCAAGAAGGCCGCCGCCGCGACGGTCGAAACCCCCGTTGCGCAGGAAGTCGACCTCGTTGACGGTGACGACGAGGCGAACCGCGTCGCCATCGAGGAGGACAAGCGACGAAGGAATACGGCCGCTTCCGGTGAGTAGTAACAGGAGTCGACGTCAAACGCTATGGCCCGATTCCTGATCGGGTGTGCCCCTATCCCCTGTTGCAGCCCGATTCCGCATCAAAAAGAAGCAGCGCGAGCAAGCGCTCGAATCGACGGCCAAGGAGTTGCGCGACCGCGTCGCCGCGCTCGAGGCCGAGGTTGCGGGCCTGCGCACGGAGAACGGGTGGCTGCGAGGCCTCATCACGGACAAGCCCAAGAACCCGGTTGAGGACGCTGATTTAAAACTGTTGCTGTCGGGTTCGAAGAAGCGCGGGCGAGAGGAGGACCAGGAGCACGTTGATGGGGCGAACAAGTCGGTCGTCGCGATCGAGGCCTGATGATCGGGCCTTGCGTTCGTCATGGCTTCGCCCCATCTCTCTGTCGATTCTTCCTTCTTGTTTCGTCGTTTTCTTGGTTCTGTTCATCGCAGTCGCAGTTCTTCCGTACGAAAACCCCATCCTCTTCGCCCCGAGCCGATTCCAGAGATTTTTGCTCGCCTTCCGCCGTCTCTTTTGTCTCGCACCTGTCTGGGTATCCAACTACCAATTGTCGTTCTCACTAGTCTGTTCCTTCTTGCGTTTATATCCGTACACACACCTTTCGGATTCATTTTGCTCTTCATTCCCGACACTGATGGGGTTGAGGCTTGCTTCCCTTTCGCGCTCTGTCCTTTTCGGGCTCTCGTTTGCAATTGTTTCGAACCTCCAACATGGTTCACAAAAAGCAGCTACAAAATCGATAGGCGACGTGATGTTTGAGTGGACCATACAAAGCAAAGTTCTCGCGGTCGAAGTGGATTGGTCGGTCGAACCCCTCCCTACGCGATCAAGAAAGCGAAAGCTGCCGAGAGCCCCCGCCCGCCGAGTCAACCGCCGAGTCAAGGCACCGACGCTCTTGCTCTCCGGCCCGCCTATCGCACGCAAGTCCCCTCACCCTTTTGACGCCCACCCAGCAGGATCACGTGCCCCGGATGTTGTCTCCTACGATCGTCCCTCGCTCTACAGGATCGTGCCTCCGAGCGGTCGCGTCGCGATCGACAAGCGGTTGCCCTTCGTCGTCGTGGTGGGGTGGTGATGCTGGCCGTCGTCGTTTGCTCGCAACGGCGGCAAGTTCCTTCTTCCCCGACGAGCCCAAGGCAACTACGGTCAGCACTGCAGTTCCAGGTGCGTTCTTGCATCTCGCCACTACGTCTGGTGAAAAGCTTGGAGGCCGTACTCACGCTGCTTGGGATCTTCCCTTCCGGATTGTTCCCATTAGGTCCGAACTCGAAGCAGGCGAGCGAGGCGATCGCTCAGTTTCAGGACCCAAGAACCCATGTCTTTGTTACTGGTGAGCTTAGAATGGCTCGACGGTCCAGCTCAAAAGAAGGGAATGCTGATCGTCTGGGGAAATCTCCGATAGACTACGCCAAATCCCAAGGTGGCCCCTCGCGTGGAGCTCCCCACTTGACCCCGGCCTTCAAACTGATCGCATGCACCATTTTGCCCGCCCATTGCAGGAAATTACATCGCCGACGTGGACGGAAACGTCATGCTCGATGTCTTTGCGCAAATCGCTTCGATCCCGATCGGCTACAATAATCCGCGCTTGCTCGAACTCGCCAAATCGGACGAATTTGCCATCGCTGCGTCAGTCCTCACCACTCCGTGGATTTAGTCGACGGTTCAGGATCCGAAGACTGACCCGGTCTTGTAAACCTTCCGACAGGATGAATCGACCCGCCCTCGGCTCCTTCCCTTCGAAAGAATGGGCGGAGACAATCAATTCGGGGCTCTTGTCGGTTGCGCCGAGCGGGACCCCCCACCTCTTTACGCAAATGTGTGGCTCGTGCGCCAACGAGGGCGCGTTGAAGGCCGCGTTCATGGCCTATCGTGCGAGGCAGAGGGGAGAAGAGCAAGCCTTTTCCGCCGAAGAGGTGCGTCGACCCCGGCCTTCGCCATCGTACGAAAGTTCGGGAGTGAATGCTGATCCCTGCATCCTGCACCCCTTCCCATAGATGAGCTCGTGCATGAAGAACGAGGCTCCAGGGGCACCGCAGCTGACGGCCATGTCGTTCACAACCGCATTTCACGGGAGGCTATTTGGGTCTCTGTCGTTGACGAGGTCCAAGGCGATCCACAAGGTGAGCGTGTGGCCCCGTCTCTCGTGTCGGAAACTTGCGTTCGAGGTGGCGCTGACGTTTCTCTTCGTGGCTACCGACCAGCTCGACATCCCTGCCTTCGATTGGCCCGCCGTCCCCTTCCCTCTACTCAAATACCCCCTATCGGAATACGCTTCTGAAAACGCCGAGACCGAAGCGCGCGCCTTGGCCCAGGTCGAAGCGACGATCGTCGAGCAAAAGAAGATCGGGAGGGACGTCGCGGCGTTGATCGTCGAACCGATCCAGGCCGAAGGCGGTGACAACCACGCCAGCCCCGGCTTTTTCAATGCCCTGAGGACGTTGACCAAGGTGAGCGCAGAGACACGAGCTGTGCCGTCGATTTGATCAATGACTGACAACGGCTTGGTTTACCTATTCCACCAGGAGCATGGGGTGTACATGATTGTCGACGAAGTGCAAACGGGCGTCGGCGCGACGGGATCGTTCTGGGCCCATGAGAAATGGAATCTCGACACGCCCCCCGATTTCGTCACGTTCTCGAAAAAGATGCAGGCCGCCGGGTTTTACCACCGCGCCGAGTTGAGGGCCAGTCTGCCGTATCGCAAGTGAGTGTTTTCGGAATATGGCTCGACGAGGATCGAGGCCAGGTGAGCTGATCCCGTCGCTTGCGTCGTGGTCGTCGATGGCAGCTACAACACCTGGATGGGCGACCCGATTCGAGCCCTGCAGGCGCGCGAGATGATCTCGTACATCAAGGAATACGACCTCGTCGCTCACACCGAAGCGATCGGTAATGCGCTCTACGCTTCGCTGCTCTCGCGCGCCAAGTCGAACCACTCGCAGCACATTCAGAACCTCCGTGGCGAGCACGCCGGCACGTTCATCGCATGGGACCTCGAAACGGCGGCCAAGCGGGACAAGTTGGTCGTAGAGATGAGGCAACGTGGGGTCAATATGGGGGCGTGTGGGGATCGTGCGGTGCGACTGCGGCCGATGTTGGTCTTTGGGCAGCCCCAAATGGAGGTCCTGTTGGGGACGTTGGACGAGGTGCTCAAGGAGATCTGAGGGGTCGAGGGGTTCAGTTGGTTTCCTTTCGCTGGTGACTTTTGCAACTTTTATATAATGGGTTTCAGGAAGGGTACCATGAATTTGCAAGCTTTATTTTGGTAAAGAGGATTGACTCTCGAAAGATGATCTGATCGAGGCGACCGAGGGAAGAGAGGGATTGGCTCAAGTGGTTCATCGGTCTCATCGACGCACGCGGTGCGAGCAGCATGGTGTTCAAGACATACCCAGCGCCACTTATGATGACAAGCTCGGACCTCTTCGTTGTCTTCGGCGGATTAGAGGGCAGCGACCGGATCTTGGTCATGTAGGGCTTGTCACTACACTATAAACTCCACGCCCCGATTTGCGAATGGGCGCGGGACTCGGACTCAGATAACTTTTCCTAGCAAGATCCCCCCCCCCCCCAGAGTCACGAAATCCCATCGCAGACCGATGAAGAATAGGTTTCTGCGCAGGTCCGTTCAGGTGAGCATGTCCACAATGGTGAAGGCTTTTCTTTCCCAAGCTTAGTCATTGTAGGGGCACCATTCCGCGACCTCTAACTTAATGACCGCAGGCGTGGCGGCGTTGCCGACCTCGGAGCAGATGCTTCCCTGACTCGCGGAACTCTCCAGATTGAGCTACCGCTGGTGTTGTGTCAGAGACAGGGACAGTACTTGGAGTACGTGCAGGCACACCTACAGACGCGTGGGGATCAAGAAAGAATTCCGCCCCGACCCGACCCGTACGAGCGCGCGGACACCCGCGCCCGGTTGCCTTGGTGAGCGCTCCGAACACGTTGGAACCCATGTACCACCCCACTCCACCCAATTGCCACAAAAAATGAGCAAGAAGGGGGAGATGAACACGTGGTTACACGTGGGTTAGTCGCCGGGTGCGTTCGTCGTTGCGACAGTGCAGCCCGAAGAGGGACTGCAAACTGTTCAAAAAGAAAAGGCTCTGGGAAGCTTCAGTGATCTACCCAGGAGTCGAACCTGGAATCTCTTGATGTATACGTTAATCGTAGTCAAGCGCCTTAACCATTGGGCCAGCAGACCGACGACTGGATACAGCCAACACCGGCGCGTGTCAATACGATCTCAACCTAAAATTTGGAAGGGGGGCGGGCTACAAAAACAAAAAACAAAGCGAGCTGCTGAGGTGGAGGTTTTGAGGGGCCTCCACCGCATCTTGTTGTGGCCGAGCACAGACTTGGGACCTTTATCAGCTTTAATCACTCAATAAAGGCCTGGGTAGCTAAGCCTTGGTACAGAGAGCCAGGGGCTTATCCGGGTGTCGTAGTCAAGATCCCCGAGCGACTACCTTTAGCGCAGGCCTCCTCTCGGATCCCGGCCTCCGTGCTCAGGCCTCAGGCCTCGCAATTCAGCCCCCCATTGCTGGGCACATTCGGAAATGGCATTCGGACTTTGTACCCCGACACTGCACCGCCGGACTCCTTGCCCGGACTCGGCACTTTTCCACCTCATCCGCCCCTTTCAGGTGAAAGGCACGAGATCGCTCTCGAGCCTCACTGATTCCGAGTCCAAACTGAAAGGATCAAACGGTGTAATTCGCAGGCGAAGAAAGACTACTAAAAGGACTAAGGTCAAGAGACGCGGCGGCGCCGCGCGCGAGGGCAAGCGTGAGGCCGCAGAGGTTGGCTCGAGGTCGTCGTGAGGCGTAAGCGGAGCGGCGCCTTACATCAGGCTCGGCGTTTTTTGTTTGTTTACTGGGGCTCATAAATTGCGATCCTTCGGGTTGGCTGGAGCCCCCCCTTTTTTGTTTTTTTGTTTGTTTGAACTTGTTCATCATATTGCCCCCAATTCCTGTTCCCCCCTGATTGGAAAAACTAGAAGGAGGTCGACGATGATAACACAAACCGCCCGCAAGATGGGAGAAACGGGCCGGTGTCCACCAATCCGATACTTCGGATTCAAGTGCTCCAGCCAAGCGGTTGCTCCCCCCCAGGAGACGAATGAGAGAGAGAAGGAGAGAGAGAGAGAGAAAGAAAGACAACTAGCGTACTAACGACAAGAGGCCCACCCCGCCCCCACTTCCCAACTCGTTCAAGACAAAGACAGGAGAGCGACTGCGCAGCTACCCTGACCCGCGAGGTCCCAAGTCTGTGCTCGGCCACAACAAGATGCGGTGGAGGCCCCTCAAAACCTCCACCTCAGCAGCTCGCTTTGTTTTTTGTTTTTGTAGCCCGCCCCCCTTCCAAATTTTAGGTTGAGATCGTATTGACACGCGCCGGTGTTGGCTGTATCCAGTCGTCGGTCTGCTGGCCCAATGGTTAAGGCGCTTGACTACGATTAACGTATACATCAAGAGATTCCAGGTTCGACTCCTGGGTAGATCACTGAAGCTTCCCAGAGCCTTTTCTTTTTGAACAGTTTGCAGTCCCTCTTCGGGCTGCACTGTCGCAACGACGAACGCACCCGGCGACTAACCCACGTGTAACCACGTGTTCATCTCCCCCTTCTTGCTCATTTTTTGTGGCAATTGGGTGGAGTGGGGTGGTACATGGGTTCCAACGTGTTCGGAGCGCTCACCAAGGCAACCGGGCGCGGGTGTCCGCGCGCTCGTACGGGTCGGGTCGGGGCGGAATTCTTTCTTGATCCCCACGCGTCTGTAGGTGTGCCTGCACGTACTCCAAGTACTGTCCCTGTCTCTGACACAACACCAGCGGTAGCTCAATCTGGAGAGTTCCGCGAGTCAGGGAAGCATCTGCTCCGAGGTCGGCAACGCCGCCACGCCTGCGGTCATTAAGTTAGAGGTCGCGGAATGGTGCCCCTACAATGACTAAGCTTGGGAAAGAAAAGCCTTCACCATTGTGGACATGCTCACCTGAACGGACCTGCGCAGAAACCTATTCTTCATCGGTCTGCGATGGGATTTCGTGACTCTGGGGGGGGGGGGGGATGCGATAAGCGCCCCTGACAGTCCTAAAACGCATAGGGACCGAGGAACTTTGCAAAGAATGTTTTTTGAGTGATCTACCCACGATTCGAACCTGGAATTTGTGTCAACTCGTTAGCAAAAGAGTGCGAATGAAAACCCGGGGAGTGGACCTGTACGCGGAAAAGTGGGGAGGCTCCCCGGCCGAGACTGCAAAAGTACTCTGAGTGACCCCTGCAAGCGCGTGAGCGCGTGTGCGGCGGGGATCGGGCAACTGAACCTCGCCGTGGGCAAAAGTTGACCGAGAGCAATTCCTCGGCTCGCGCCGCTCTGAGATCTGAGTCGCGCTCCGCTCTCTCGCTCGTTCCACCTCATCACCACCCCAAACCCTCACACGATGCCATCCAAACACCTCTCGAACCGCTACAAACCTAGCGTGCACTCGTCGTCGGTTCCCGAGACGACGCCGCGTACACCGCTGTCGGTCGGCCTGCACCTTGTCGGGCTCGCCATCCTGTCGAACGCCTTCAGGTTGTTGTGGACTCCGTCGCCCGTCAAGGAGTACATGGACGGCCAGTTTGGTGGGCAGTGGAACTTTCTGACCGTGCTCTCGTAAGTTTACAGAGTCGAGACGGACAGCGGCTCGGGCACGGCCACGGCCATTTATGTGGGAACAGCGATGACGTCGTCGTCTTCGGTTCGACCCCGTCGTTAATCCTGCCTCGATTGTTCCTGTTCCCTACCACAGCCTCGCGGTCAGTTGGTTGACCTTTGCCGTGGCCGTACTCAAGGATGCCCTTCCGAGTGTTCGATGTGAGTCAGAGCCCCCAACTCCGTGTATCGCATTCCATGGCGGGGCAACAGGTCGGCAAGAGCTGACTCCCCGACGCCCCTTTTAATACCACACTACAGTGTTTGATCGACTCAAGACGACCCTTATGATCGTCGCCGTTCCCGTCGAAGGTCTCGTCTCGTTGTTGTATTGGGGCATGCAGGTCGGTTGCCCCCCCCCCACCTCGATTTTGCCCCGAGCCCGAGTGCTGACCCTCACTTTGATTCGGGCAAACAAACAGTTTTACGACCCGTCCCTGCTGACGCCTCAGGGAACCATCTTCAAAATACCTTTGTTCCTCGATATCTCAATTCACGCCTTCCCTGCGCTATTGCTCTGGACCGATTTCCTCGTCTTTTCCCCGCCGATGAGCAAAAAAGCGAACCCGTTGTTGATCTCGACCGTGGCAACAATGGGTTACACCACCTGGATGGAGTACACCAGTCACCACAACCAATGGTTCCCTTACCCATTCCTGAGTGAGTCGAGCGAGGAGAACGCGGTTGCAGGGGAAGATCAACTCATGAAATCCTTTCTCCCGTGAAATTCTACAGGCGAGTTGACCCGCATTCAACGCGCGAGCTTCTACATCGCCATGATCCCCGTCCTGTTGGGTCTCTTTTACCTCGCCAACGGGATCCACCGCAGCGTGCGTGGTCGACCTGCCGGTGTCGAGTCCAAAACGGCGAAGCGATTGGATCGCAAGGTCCAAAAGGCGCTCTAACCACAGATGCGCGAAAAGTCTTCACCAAGAAAGTCATTATTTCTAGAATGACCTGAAATTATTACAACATATTTTGCTCGACTACATGACCCGGTCCTGGCGAGACCAAACTCAGGACGACAAGGGACCGGGCTGGAGACTTTTGAGCAGTTGGGTCCCCTGAATCATCTCGGTCGTCACTATGAGGAGGTTGCGACCTGAGAATGATGCGAAATATCGTTCAGTCGCGTGAATCACAGACCCAAGACGTAAGGCGACTGACCTCGCATCCCCCGTTGAGCAAACCTCAGCGCCGCGACCTCGGCGTACGTGATCCCGCCCAAATACACGACGACCGTCGTCTTGGTCCTCATCATCGTCGCCGCCTCCGCCTCCCCTTCGTTCTCCCCATAAGCTTTACCCTTCGCTTCGCCCATGACCCGATCAAAGATCTCACCCCCTCTCAAAGTCTTGACGACCTCTTCAACCCCTTTCCACCCATTCACACCACCATTCCCCGCATTCGCAGTCGCAGTCGCACTCCCACCCCCAACGCCGGACATCCTCCCCAACGACGAGGCCCCATTCGTCAAGCCCGCCAAAGCGGACGAGCCCGTCGAAAGCTTGGCCGCTCCCCCGGCCCCGATCGCACATTGCACCAACCTCACACTCAAAGGTGCGTAGCCCGAAAAGACGTAGGAAATGTCCGAGGGGGAAGATTCGTCGACGTCGTCGACGATCAGTTTGAGTGGTTTGCGGGAGAGTGCAAAGGGTGATTTGGAGGGGTTGCTCAAGGAGGCAGGGGGTCGGGAGAGGATGGAGAGGCTCGTGAGGTGGGTCAAGAGGGTAAGGTGTTGGTAGCCGTAGGTCTGTAGGTACGTGAAATCTCAGTTTCAGGCCACTAAGCTCCGGTACCGAATCGTGCACGCACCTGCAGTATCTCCTTCTTGAACTCCTCGAGCACTTTTTGCTTCAGCCCGCCCGAGACGAGCGAGTAGAGGCACAAGAGCCGCAGTACGGTGTAGAGCGGTACTTCTTGGTTGATCAGTTCGCGAATCGTCGCTTCCTGCGTCGCCAGATCGGCCCCGGCGATGGTGTCTGATCGGAAAAGAGCGGGGTCAGCATCATCCCTGATCCGCACCTAAAATGACTCGAGACTGACTCTGCTGCACCTCGAGACAGGTATTAAACTCGTCCCCTCCCGTGACGGTCATAATCTTCTCCGTCAACGCCGTGTGCAACCTCAGACTTTGGTGCTCATTCTGTAGACCCCCCAGTTGGCCGACGAATAGCCGTAATTCGGCCGGCGTGCGCGCCTGATGGCGCTTGTCGTAATCGTCGTTGAGGCGCCGGGCGATGCGGTTGAGGTGCGAACCAATTATGGCGAAATTTGCGTCGCGCAGGGTCGGGAACAAAGGGTCCGAGGTCGACGAGAGGAGGTGCTTCTTGGGTTTCGGGGGCGCGGCTTGCGAGATGGAAGGTTGCGAGGGCGAAGTCGAAGGTCCCGAAGCCGGGGCCGGGTTCAACAACGAAGGGTCGACATCGACGTGGGCTGTGCGAGCGCCGGTCACGTGCATTAGCACCGGACGGAACATTACGCATAATCGGGTACGCACAGTTCTTGATGCCAATAACCTCGTCAATCAGGCCCTCGTAGGTCAGTTGCGTGCACATGGGCGTGATGAGGTCGACGGATCGATCGAGGATGACCATCGAGTCGATCGAGGCGTTCGTCGCGGCTAAAGGTGGCGCACCCGCGGTCGACGAAGACGCTTCTCTCCGTAATCGTTGCAACAAGTCGACGAGTTTCTGGTTCCAAAGAGTCAAAACGTCGTCAGGTTGATGAAACCTCGACCAGGCTCGATGTACAATACGACTCACATTCGCCGCTTCCCCCTTGCCGATTATCCGCGGCACCTCGCCCAGAGCGCGTTGCAGGACCATCAACCCTTTGGCCATGTCCCAAATGACGGCGCCATCCTGATCGAGCTCCAAGCGTTTGTACGAGTCTTCCATCTCCAACGAGAGCAGGTCCGACTCGAGCGTGATGAGCCCGAGCTGGAACTCGTGGATATCGAGCGAGCCGAGCACGCCGAGGTCCGAGAGCAGGGCCTGACAGGGGGCGGTCAAGCGAGGTACGACGAGGAGATGGTACGAGTACGACGACGAGTTCGACGACGAGGTCGCCTTGATTTGGTCTTTGGTGGACGTATGGTGAGGAGCAGCATGGCAAGCAAAGAGAGAATCAGTTGGCCGGTTAATAATTTTGTTGAGCCCCACACGTGGGGTCGATGGTGTTTCCGGATGATGATGGAGTCCCTCTGCGTGTCAAGAGTGACGGAGGGTACTTGCGCCATCCTCACCGACAAAGGGTGGCCCAACATCGAGCATGATCATGGAAAATCGATGTATGGAAATCTTACTGACCGAGCTTGCAACGAGGAAACGTCCCCTCCCCCGAGGAGAAGGAGGGGACAGGTGCAAAGCCCGGCTAATTTGTTCCGAGGGAGAGGACAAGATCCAAAGAAGAAGCAAAAGTGCTCACCTGCAATGATCTTGATCCACCTCAACTGGGGTCGACACAGATACACGATGTTGCGCTCGATGCCCCCACCTCCGCCTCCGCCCCCGCTCGCCCCTGACGCGGCCCCACCCAGCGCGCCCGGTTCCAACCAGAACATGCGACTGACGCCATGGCCGTTCTTGAGCGACGACACCTGCGTGATCAACCCCAGTGGACCGGCGAGAGAAGGCTCGAGGATGAGTGTTTTCGAGCCGACGATCTTGTCGAGCAGGCCACGTAGAGCCGATGACGACACGAGCTGGAACAGGTGCGCGTCCACGTCGGTGCTCGGACGACCGTAGGCGTGAGGCTGCTGCTCCTCGGCATGGTGGTGTTGGTGGTTGTAGTTGGCCATGCCAGGCGGCGGTGTCGACGGGGCGTCACGAGAAAGCGAGAGGAGCGATCGCGCTGGTTCGAGGTGTCAAAAATGAGTCATTAATCCAGGAAGCGGCGGTGATTAGCGACGATTAGCGCGGATTAGCCCCATTAGTGCCCCATTAGTGCCCCATTAGTGCCCCATTGCGACGACGGGCGTTTGACTCGGCGTGATTCGGGGCCGACGCGTCTTTTTGCTCGTCGTCACTCAGCTCGCAGCCGCAGACAACCACCAACAAGCGCATGCGATTGCGGTTGCTGCATTCCTTGACCCGATCCAGACCCCTACTTCGAACAATACCCAGTGCCCTCCCCCGTGCGAAGCTCACCATGTCCGCGGCGCCCTCATCGTCATCGACCCCGACGACCCACTCGAACGAGCTCAACGACCGCATCAAGGCCCAGGGCGATGTCGTACGCCAGCTGAAAAGGGACAAGGCCGACGTGGCCCAGATCGAACAGGAACTGGCCAAGCTCAAGTTGCTCAAGGACGAGCTCGTCAAGATCAACCCCAACTCGCCCGCCGCGGTCGAGGCAGCGGCCAAAGCGGCCAAAGGTGCTGCAGGCAAGGCCAAGAAATTCACCCTCAAGACACCCAAGGTGAGGGTGGGGAGGCATTTAGTCGTGGGTTCAAAGTTCCTGACTCATCTCGTTGGAATATCTCACTTCGCAGGGCACCAAAGACTGGCAGCCGGCCGACATGATCCTGCGCCAACAAATCTTCAAGAAGATCACCGACGTCTTTGAGCTCCACGGTGGAGTCACGATCGACACCCCCGTCTTTGAACTCAAAGAGATCCTGTCGGGCAAGTACGGCGAGGACAGCAAGTTGATCTACGACCTGCAAGACCAGGGCGGCGAGTTGTGCTCGCTCCGATACGATTTGACCGTGGGTTGTCATCCTTCTCGTCCCCGACTTCCGTACATACAGGGTACTCATCTGCACTACCTACGATGCCATACAGGTCCCCTTTGCCCGCTTCCTGGCCATGAACGGCGCAAAGTTCCCGCAGATCAAGCGCTACCACATCGCCAAGGTCTACCGTCGAGACCAACCGGCCATGTCCAAGGGTCGCATGAGGGAATTCTACCAATGCGTACGTGTCATGCCTCTTGGGTGACCTGATGGAATTTACCGCAAATATTTTGCTAAGCTACGGGTGTCTCTATAACAGGACTTTGATATCGCCGGCGCCAACTATGACAAGATGTTGCCTGATGCCGAGATCTTGACCATCGCCTGCCAGGTCCTGGACGCTCTCGAAATCGGCGAATACACCATCAAGGTAGGGAAGCTCTTCAGGGTGGGGTCTCAGGCGGTTTTTTGACTTGGGCCACCTTTATTTATGGCAGCTTAATCACCGCAAAATTTTGGACGGTCTGTTCGCCGTCTGCGGTGTCCCGCTGGACAAAACGCGCACCATCTCGTCGGCCGTCGACAAGCTCGACAAATCCCCTTGGAGCGAGGTCAAGCGGGAAATGACCGAGGAAAAGGGTCTGGACCCGCAGGTCGCGGACAAGATTGGGGAATACGTTAAACTCAAGGGCGGGAAAGAGTTGGTCGACCGCTTGCTCGCGGATGCGCACTTGCCGACGAACAAGAGCGCCAAAGAGGGTATCGAGGAGATGGGTTTGCTGTTCAAGTACCTGGACATTTTCGGTGTGACCGACAGGGTGAGCCTCCACGAAACGGAATTCTCTTCAAATAGTAGCCAGCTGACGCATACCCTCGCTGGTGATAGATGTCGTTCGATCTGTCTCTCGCTCGCGGTCTCGACTACTACACGGGCATCATCTACGAGGCCGTCACCGAGGGCTCCGCACCACCACCCCCTTCCTCGACCGCTGCTCTCCCTTCAATCGACCCTTCCTCCGCGGCAAGTGCTGGACCAACACCCAAGCCCAAGGCCGCTGCTACGATCGGCGCCGACGGCGAGCCCGAACTCGACGAGTCGACGGTCGGTGTAGGCTCGATCGCGGCCGGTGGTCGCTACGACGAACTCGTCGGCATGTTCTCCGGGGGTGGAGCCTCGGGTGCGATCCCTTGCGTCGGCATCTCGTTTGGTGTCGAACGATTGTTCTCCCTCCTGCTCGCCAAAGGACAAGAGTCCAAGCGGGGCAAAAACACCGAGGTCTACGTCATGTCGCTCGGCGATGGTCTCTTGGAGGAACGGATGAAGGTCTGCAAGGACCTGTGGGAAGCCGGGATCAAGGCCGAGTTCATGTACAAGAAGAAGCCGAAGCGACCGGCGCAGTTCGACTATGTCGACAAGGAGCGGATCCCGTTCGCCGTCATCGTCGCACCGGACGAGATGGAGAGGGGCGAGATCAGGATCAAGCCCCAATTGGGCAAGGAGGAGGCGCAGGGGCTCGGCGTCTTGGTCAAGCGCGACGAGTTGGTGTCTTGGTTGCTGAAAGAATTGCGGGCGGGCCAGTAGCACCTACCTATCTAGATGATACCACCGGAACATGACTGAAAGCCGTACGCAAACAAAAACAAGGGCCCTGAAGGGAACACGGAACGTTTCGAGCCATCGTTACACCATTTTTACAGAAATGAAGCTTCGCAATGACTCCTCCCCTCGACAAGCGAGCAAGCGCATCGCCAAGGAGAGCGATGGTCTTGGCTGGCGTACGCCCGCGCGCACTCTGGCGCTTGGGTGACCCATTGGTGCATTGGCGCCGATGAAGTCGCTCGATGCAAGGGCGAAAATTGCAATGCGGTAAAGGAAGAAAACCCAAGCTTGTCTCACATTTTCAAGGGCCAGGGTCCACTCTTGGCAAAAAACATTGCCTCACCCCTTACCAGATGCACGTCAATGTTGTCATGTGTAAATTCAGTGTTGAACTGGCACGTCGGTTCCGGGAGCTCCGGAGTGCGATGCCCACGGCGGGCTCCGGCAGCACAACAACACCGACGGCTTTTACGTTTCGGACCACACATTGCGAGCACACCTTGCTTCTCTGCGTTCTACCTGTTCTTCGCAAACGCGTCGTTTGTTGATTTCTTACTCTTCCACCTATTGCTGCATCACTCGAACGAAGTACACTGCGACTGTGCTTATCGTACACTGCAACGGTTCGTATCGCCGACGACCGTCGACCGAAGCGCTTGGTCGGCCAATCCGAATTGCCAAGCGCACCCGTTGCTTTGGCAGGCTTTGGCTTGCTCTGTGTTGGGCGTCAATTGAACCGCCGCAGTGGCTTTCTCTTCCGTCACATCTCCAAGGCAAGAAGGACATCCGAGACGTACAACATTGTGAGTAGGCGCTACTCGCACCGAAGCGCCTCCTCTACACGCCCTCGTCGATCGTCGTGACTTGCCTGTATGCGAGAGTCGAGCTTGTGCTTGGCTCACTCACCTCCACGCAAGACTCCATGCCTCGACTGGGGCCGAATAAGCTTTGGAGGCGACGGCGGTTGCGGAGTCTGGTGCGGTGGTGTCCTGCACCAACGAGAGGGGTGGACCCACAGGCCGATCGATGCCTCCTGCACTATACACCACCATTGGTTGATAAGATTGACGATTTTCTGCGCCCGCCGGGATCGGCGAATTGGATTGAACACGGCGGTGGCCCCGAGGCCTTCCGAGATTGCCAGGCCCAACCGCCGCGCGCGCAAATGCTGACTCTTCGTCTTGCCTCCTCTCGGGCCCCTCCTTTTTCGGCGTTCAGCTGCTCTTTGAGTAATGCCCTCCTACCCACCTCGAGGACAAGGTACCGAAGATGAGATGGCCGGTGGTGGACACTCGATGATGGATGGTCCGCAGCCGACCTCAGCGGACCGGTACGCCGCGGTGCCGACGAACCACGACTCGAACCTCGCCTACGCGGCGTACTCGACCCCTTACGACTCGACTATGACGGAGGAAATGGACCCCGCGCTCGGCTCACCGTCGCTCGTCCACGACGAAGTGCCCACTAGGCCTCCTACGCGCAGCCACAGCGTCGCGTCGTATAGTGATCACCACGGCGGCTCGTACGTGCGCTACGACGGCGCCGCGGCGTCGACGTATTCTCTCGGCGTCGACGGTCAGTCGCAGCTGGGCCTGAATCCGCGCTCGGGAAGCGGACTCGGGGTATACGACAAGTACGAAGATCACGAGATGAGCGACAAGACGAGTGCAGGGCAGCGAGGGACTGCGAACGTCGCCCGCGGTCGCACGCTCGTCAAGAAGGGCACGACTGGATTTTGGGCCACTCTGTCAAGTCGCGGGCGCAAGTTCTTGCTCCTCGCCGTGCTCGTCGTCTTGCTCCTCATCGCCGTCGCGGTCGCGATCCCGACGGCCATCGTGACGCGCAACAATGAACGCAAGGCCAACAACGCCTTGGCCGCCGACGGCTCGTCGTCAGCAGCACCGACGGCGCCAGGTTCGGCCGCGCCTTCATCGGCCGCTGTACCTCTCACGACCTCGGCGACGCCGACGACGACGGCATTCCAGGGAATCCCAACGGGTGCGAACGGGTCCGCGGACTGGCGTACAGCACCGTTCAGAGGTGATGGGTCGATCGTCTACACTGAGAGCGGGTCGTCGTTCGTGTACAACAACAGCTTTGGCGGCTTTTGGGTGTCGATCCCGTTCAACGACTCGGCGCGCGCGCAGGACGATGTCCCGCCGCTGAACGAGCCGTGGGACTATTCGACGACGCTCATCAACGGCGTCAATCTCGGCGGTTGGCTCGTGACCGAACCTTTCATCGTTCCTGCGCTGTACGAACCATTCAATTCCGCGAGCGACTCGCGCACGGCGACGAACCGCGCGATCGACGAGTGGACCTTGTCCGAGGCGCTTGGCACGAGCCTGACTTCGGTCATGACGAACCACTACGAGACTTTCATCACCGAACAGGACTTTGCCGAGATCGCGAGTGCGGGCCTGAACTGGGTGCGCATCCCGATCGCGTGGTGGCTCGTCGAGGCGTGGGAGGGCGAACCGTTCCTCGCAAATGTCGGGTGGACGTACTTTCTCAAGGCTATCGGCTGGGCGCGCAAGTACGGTCTGCGCCTCAACCTCGATCTCCACGCCGTCCCCGGCTCGCAGAACGGCTACAACCACTCGGGCCGCCAGGGGACCGTGAATTTCTTGAACGGCGTGATGGGGATTGCGAATGCGCAGCGCACGCTCGATTGCATCCGCACCCTGACCGAGTTCATCAGCCAGCCCCAGTACAGCAACGTCGTACCGATGTTTAGTGTGCTCAACGAGCCACTTGGCCTGTTGGCGATCGACGTCGAGTCGCTGCGTCACTTGTATGTTGCCGTCGGACTCTTGCGCCGGCACGTGGTGGCGCACTCGAGCTAACTTTTCCCTGCTTCCATTATCTTCGACTCGCACAGTTATTGGGAAACGTATTCAATGATGCGCCAAATCACGGGCTATGGCACGGGCTATGGCACGGGCTATGGCACGGGCAAAGGTCCCTTCATTTCGTTCCACGACGGCTTCATGAACCTCAATTCGACCCGCGACGGTGGGTGGATGGGGTGGATGCCCGGATCGGACCGCGTCTCGCTCGACACGCACCCGTACCTGTGCTTCTCGGAACCCAACAACGACGGCATGACGTACCAAGCCGCGAAGCCGTGCATGTACTGGGCCGACAAGATGAACGTGACGACGCAGCAGTTTGGGCTTGCGATCGCGGGTGAGTGGAGTCTCGCGATCAACGACTGCGGCAAGTGGCTCAACAACGTCGGCAACGGCAACCGGTACAACGGCACGTACTATCTCCCCAGCACGGGAGCGACGACGCCCCGCTTCGCCGGCGTCGGGAGCTGCGATGTGTGGAACGTGAGTCGTCTCTTTCCTCTTCGGTGGGGAGAGGTAAACTTGACTGCGCACGGATGGCAGACTAACATCCCGGCTCCCGCTTTGCTACCACCGGCAGGACTACACGAGGTGGAATCAAACGATCAAGGACGGGTTCCGACTCGTCGCAACGGGCCATATGGACGCTTTCCGCCATTGGTTCTTCTGGACGTGGAAGACGGGCTACTCCAACACGCTCGGCCGGATCGCCAACCCGATGTGGAACTACCAACTCGGATTCGAGAACGGGTGGATTCCGCCCAACCCGCGCGAGGTCGTTGGCGCTTGCCAGTCGCTCGTCCGCAACAACGGCTTCACCGTCGCGTTGGGTTCGAACCCGGCGCCGACGCTCGCCCCGTGGATGACGGGCGGGAGTGGAGCCGGGACGCAGCAAAACGCGGCGATGAGTCGCAGTTACACGCGGTGGCCGCCGGTCTCGCTCGGTACATTGAACGCAGCCAACTTGCCGCAGTACACCCCGACGGCACCGGTCGTGACCATGCCCGTCGCGACGCCGACGAGCTACCCGAATGGATACTCGGCCGTCACGAACCCCGGCAACGGGTGGCACAACACAGGCGATGCCAAGGGCTTCATGACTGAAATTGCCGGGTGCACCTATCCCGATCCGTGGCAGGGTGTATCAGCGACAGTACCTTCGAGACCCTGCACGGGCGGTGCACGAATGGTCAAGAAGAATGTCGTCGTCGAGCGCGGGCCGGCCCCGACGCCTCCTCCTCGACCGGTCGGCTAGAAAGAAGAAGGAGAAGCCTGGATTGGTTTACGTTCACACTAGACACTATTTTTCGGATTTCTGGCCGGGCCTAGCGCCCAAGCCTTTGTTGTTACCATTATAACGGTCCCCTCTTGTGTTACCGATGAAGGTATCAAACCCTACATCGCATTACGTGCAATCTACTTTGCTAGCGCGCGCCGCGGCAGTTCACTGAACTCCGAAAGCTCCAACGGTATTAAAATTGGGTGTATGTCATCGAAGGGCGGTCAAAATGTGGCCTCAGTCGCGATCGTCCACGACGGTCAGCTCCAGCCCGAGGCCCCGTGAGGCAAATTGCTCCTTGACGCCAGGCTATTTCCCGTGATTATTAAAATATTCGAGCTCGTCCTTGCACACAGCGCCTCGATAAGTGTTCGAGGGGAACACGAGCGCCACGAGGTGTAGCGTGCGGAAGGGGGACGGCGACGCGGATTTGCCGTTCCAGACGGGGTGGGCGACATGTTCACGACCGGTTCCAAGCTACATCTCGCCTGAAAGAAAAGTGAAAGCGAGTGGCAGGTGGTGAATACGATGGGCCCGGTGTGTTCGGATTCATTGAAGCTCCTGGGGCCATTGATCCCTCTTCATCCAGATGCCTTCCTTCGAGAACCTCGGGTTCGGGACATAGCTCAGACCGTCGTCCATTTTGGGTGTAGCTGGAATGGGCACTGTCCACGCCGACGCGATCAGCGTGCTTAGTACTGTGTCCTCCAAGCCTCGTCAAGAATACCAAAGTTCCTCCCAACACTCACAAAACCAACCCCACCTCCCCTTCCCCATGACCATCCTCCAATTATCCCGCCTACTGCCCAACCACCACAAATTACCCTCTTTCCCTAACCTCCCCCACTCCCGATCCCATTCCCTCCGCACCTTCCTCATCCCCTTGAACCCAAAAGTCCCAAACTCCCTAGTCAACCTCCTATTCTCCATCGATTTGATCCTCTCCAATCCCATTTGTTCGATCGTCGTTAGGTTCAACAAGATCAATTGGGTGTGCATGATCAGAAGGGAGCTGACGAAGAAGGCAAAGAGGCCGGAGAGGCAGAGGATGACGATTTGTTGCGCGTCGATCGAGGGGTTCGAAGGGATGGCGATCCCGATGAGGAGGGTGAGGAAGACGTAAAAAGTGTACAGGGTCGACCATTGGAGAAAGTTGTAGACTGAGAGAGTGTATCAAGAAGGTTCAGTTCGGGAACTCTTCCGGATGGAAAGGATATTGCGGACATACAGTATTTGTAATTACGCGCACCGACACAGGTCCCAACCCAAGGGCAATGGTGGTCCTATGGCATGAGGATGGGTCAGCACGGCATTCCGAACACGTTTCAAGCCGTCGCAAAGTCACACGTCATGTCTCACCATTTCTGGAGAAAGATGGACGGCGAGCTCGTCGTTAGTCGCAAAATTCGTTGATGTCCAGAACCCCTCTTCCCGTCTGTCGTGACAACTCACTTAGTACGACCGCGGCGCAATGCTTGCACCTATGCGACCTAAAAGGCCTCAAATACCCCTCCCTCGAATCATACCGATACTGTTCCGTCAAAACAGGCACCGTCGGTGGCGTTCGTTCCAAGATGACTTTGGGTGGGGCGGGTTTGTAATCCTTTGCGGGTTCGGGAAAGTCGAGGTAAGATCGCGAAGTAGATTCGTGCGATGTTCGTGTGGGAGCAAAGGGCTGGGTGTGCGGTTGAGGTGGGTAGGGGGAAGTGGTAATCGGCTGTGTGGTGGAGAAAGTGGTTGATGACGGGTTCGAGTCGGGTTGGGTCCCGATCGCGGTCATACTGTCGCCAATGGTCGAGGTGGAGGTTTTGGGTTGAGAGGGGTTTGGTTCGGGGTCTTCCAAGGTGACGGCCGCAGCGAGTGATGCAGCAGCTGGACCGAGTGCTCCCAGTGTAGGGTCCTCATTCGCGTCATCATCACGCTCAACAGATGCAGGCGCCGCCTCAGGCGGTGAAGCGAGTCCTTGCTTCAAGTCGATGGTGTCGGCTCGGGGTCCACTCGCATCGGCACTTGTTCTCGGTGGTGGTTCATTTACGCTTCGGCGCAAGTTCTCGAACCTGTACCCTTCCACTTGGACCAGTTCTTCCTCCTCCTGCGGTGGTTCCGTTTGAGGCACGTACTGTGGGAGATTCAACGTGTAAGTCTTCGCCCCTTTTATTCGAATCGGGGACCCATGCCACTGACGTCTCTTGCGAATCCCGGTCCGGTGTTGATGATGCGCATATAACACCATACGAACATGAGGAATAAGAAGTGGTACAGCACCAAATAGATGACTGCGCATCGAATCAACGTTGTCGAGATCAGCCCTCGGTGACGGGGTAGCGGATCAGGAAGATCGATCGACACGCACCCCCCTGCGCTCGACCGCCTTGTCGATCCCGATCGAGTCGGACCATCTTGATGCACAGCCTGACGACGTAGACGTAGTAAGAATACCCAAACATGCCGACGACGAGACCGACGGCGAACTAGACCCGAGTCGAGTTGAGAACCGGGGGGAGGGGGTCACGTGAATGAAAGCTCGTCGTGAATTCCTAGCTCTCTCGGAAGTTTTTGGAAGCGCGATGCTCACCTTCCTCGTCAACCAACTATCCGGACCGGTCTGCTGCAATCTCTTCTCCTCGAGGTTGCGCATGTGCTCCCTGATTCCGATGATGCGATGACGTTTCTTCTTCTCGACGACTGGGCCCTGGCCAGGGGAGGAGGATGACTTCGGATCCCATGCTGTGGTGGATGATGGACCGCCGTGGGCTTGTTGAGAGGGTGGGTTGCATTTTGACATCGTTGTGAACGGGTTTCTTTCACGCCGAGGTGGTTTGGAGATCGAGTGCCCCTCTCCCTGCGCCTCAGGCCGGGGGAAGAAACAGTCCGAGACGATGACGAACGATAAAAGAGTGGGTTGAACGAAGCGAGCGCGGACGTTCAAGTGGCAGTAACAGAGGATGCACACCCGAGGAGGTCGAAAATGAATGCTACGGAGCTGGGTGATGGAGGAGGGATGGCTGAAGTGCGCCTCGGATTGCCAAGGAGCGAGAGGGAAAGAGGGAGCAAAAGGACGTGAATTAGGAATTGGCGGCACCGGCTTGAATGACGCGCACGGACCACCTCGCCTCGGATCTCGGCGCCGGATACTGACAAATCCCGACCGGTCAGGTCGCCACCACCTGCGACTTGGGCTGTGAACACTCGATACTACTGCACGAACCTGGATAGGTGATCCTCTTCTCAGCAGCCAGGTCGCAGCAGTTCTCATCACATTGGCTAGGTCGCACCACTGTAGTACGCCTGATGTGCAGCTTCATCCCCTCAATTTCAACCCCCCAAAGCCCATCTCCTTTCGCTTTCATAGACCAAACTAAAACCATCTCAACCTTGTCATACATTGCACAAACCCAAACTCGAGACCCCTCAACGACGGCTACTACTAATCTAATGATGATGCGATCCGCCTTGACCGGCCAACGAGCTCTCGTCCCTGACACCCATCTCGGCGGCTTGCTTTGCCCACTGTCGGCATATCGGGAAAGGCAATCGATCAGTATCGAGGTGGGTGCGGTGGTGGGTCGTCCGATGGGATAGGAGACGTCAATGATTTTCAGGGCCCGACTGACCAGCATCGAAGGGATCTCTCGTGTCGGCGCGTTGTGTCGTACCTGTCCAAGACGACGCAAAGTGAGCCATGAACACCAAATAATGCCTTGCATCACTGCCGTGCCACCCTCCACGCCAGCCTGTCCTCCCACCGCGAGCTCTGCGTGCGACGCCAATTCCCTCCCTTGTCGTTCGGCATACCACCCCCATTCGATTCGATTCCCCCTTTCTTAAGTCAATGCACTCACCTCTCGCCCAGCCGAATAATGCCAAATACCGTACGTCGTAAGGGACACAGCCAATCCGACGACCGCGGTCGACGACTTCCAGTTCGCGGGGCGGGTCCACCAACCACCTGAGAAAAGAGAAGCGAGATGCAGGTAAGATAAGTGTCGAGATCAAGGGGTAGAGATGATGTCGCTCTTACCTGCGGGGGACCAGACCTCCTTGGGGTAGGCGTAGCGTGCTCCGCCGCCCTGCAGGACGGACCGGGGTGTGAGTGTGGGTGTTTGGGTGTTAGTAGGGAGGACAGGCGGACACTCAAGTTGGAAGGCCGAGACTTACGAGTCGTGCTGCGGTAGGGATCATCTTGTGTGGGTGGTAGATGGTGTAAGAGCAAGCCAGAGCCGGAACGACTCACCGGCGAATGGCGCGCGACGTTGGCCTGAGCGAGCCAGAGCGGGTAAAGCGCTTCTTTCCCGACTACCCACCACAACCTACCTCGCTACCACTGCGCATCGCCTCCAACGTTATCACAGCACCCAACTTGCATCTTTCTTCTCATCAAGGCACCTACCCCGATTACTACCAGTACACCGCGACTCGAAGTGTGCGCTCTTCGCATCGCACACCCCTGCCCCCCCCCCCCGGAGCTTCACCTCGCACAACCATGTTCCCCACACTCCCCCTCCTCCGCGGTACATCCCGCTCCTCGTGGCTTCCTAAACGTTTCCAAACCGGTCTCTACGACGGCCGCTCGCTACAATCCGGTTCCTCGATCGGCGAAACGTTCTCGTCCAAAACCCGACGAAGGTGGTTACCGAACGTCCAAACCAAACGCATCTATTCGGAATCGTTGAAAGCGTTCCTCAAGTTGAAGGTCACCACGGGCGCGTTGAGGACTATGGACAAGTGTGGCGGTTTGGATCAGTACCTTTTTAGGATGAAACAAGAGAGATTGGGCAAGAAGGGGCTCGAGTTGAGGCAAATGGTGAGTAGTGCGCTTTGGGGGAGTTTCGTGTGGGCAGGAGATACTGATACTATGAGCGAGTAACTTCAGGTCATGCAAGCGCACAAGACATTACGAGCCGATCGAAGGGCCTTGGCCGAGCGATCACTCGAGCCGACGACAACCAAGTCGGAAAAAGCCGCAGTTCGGATACCCGTGGAAACGGGGCCAGTATAGAGGGATGGGAGATGCAATGCGATCCGAACAAGGTCTGAAGAATGTGTTGGTGAAAGGGACACGCTGTGCCCAGAGTATAGCAGAGTAGTCTCGGCGAGAATCTTGCTTCGGGATGCTGGAGTTTTGCTCGGCTCGGCGAGGTCGTAACACTCGTGCGAGCTGAGGCAGACAGGCTGAATGCAGCCCAATGAAGGCTGGGGACACGAGTGGTAGCCACAATCAGTGAAAATATCTCGTCCCTTGGGCTTTGAATAACCCGACGTACGCCATTCGCCGGTCTGAAATGAGCGATCAGCCGCCGGCGCGCTGAACCGAGTCACGCGTCTGGTGGCGCTCCTCTTGGCTTTACCCCACGAACGACCACGGCACGTTCGGGCATTCAGTCGCACGGCGGTGCACCCGACCAGCGTTCACTCGCAGCAGAACCGCACGGACTGTTGCCTAGGGTGTACTCGGTACCTCTGCCACAGCACCCCTCCGTATTGCTCGCCGACCACGCGGGCTGTCGTGTGCCACAGCGTCGCAAGTGGTGCCCATCCTTCAGGGCGTGCTCGGTGCTCGAGGAGCCGTGCGCCACGACTCGGGAAGCGATGGTGCTCGTCGTCGTACGCGCCTCGGACGGAGCGGCATTCCCATTGTACAAACATGACCTGCACAGCATCACCACGTCAGTCGTAGACCTTCTGCCCCCCCGGACTAGACTACCCTACCTACCTCAGCTGACTCTGGCATGTCCTCCACATGGCACCCAGCCTCGATGAGTTACGGTACAACGTCCTTTCGAACCTCCTCTCGATCCAACCGGACCACTTGATCTGCATGAACGAAGAAGGCGCCCAACTGCGCGACGAGACCGTACCCCACCTCGCACTCCTAGCCGGATCCCCCTCCACTTCAGCCGTTCTCGAGTCATCGTCCTCGCGTTGGAGAGAAACCAATCCGGCATCCGCGTCGGCCTCGCGGTCGAGTCATCTTCGAGGTTCGACTACGAGGTCGAGATCGAGGGGTGCGGAGGAGAAGAGAATCTATGTGTTCGACAGGGAACATTTGGATGCCGATCCAGAGGTGGTCGCGAATGGTTTGGCCATCACCGAACAACAGGTGCTCACGGAGGCACCTTTGGAACGTGAGTTCCCTCGTAGAACTTGCTTCTAGAAGTAAAGCTCCAATCGACGCGAGCCGAAACATTCTACATCGTTCCTTTTACAGCCCAGGACCCATTGCATTCCCACATCGGGCTCTCACTACACCATCTCGATTCGGTGCATTCACTCATTCACTCGATCGCACTACAACACGCGTCCCTCCACCTCGCCCTCTCCAACCTCCATCGCGTCAACACCGGTACGCACGCCTCCCTCCAAGTCTACCTCGATTCGACCCAACCCAACTTGCAGACCTGGCAAGGTCTCTTGGAGAGCTGGGAGGACTCGATGATTGCGATTGGCAAGGTGGGGGTCGTTTCGGCTTTATTGGGCAAGAGGGGAACGGGCTTGGGGAGTAGTTCGGTCAATTCGACTGCTCAAGAGAGATATTTGGGCGATTACGTTAGTCGGGATAAGATGGGTGCCGTAAAGGAAGGGTGTAAGAGGGTGCTCGGTAAGAGTTTGCAAAGCAGAGTGGCCCCACGCGCAGGTCTGGTTACGATGCTGACGGAGGAGGTTTGCGTCCATCCAGATGATCTAGTTTCAAGAACTCAATCTATGCAGGCGACCGTTGATGATGTATTGGCCGAAACAGCGGTCGTGCAGACCGAGTTTGATGCGACAAGGTCAGTGGGCTTGTCCGTAGACACTTCTCTCGCCATCTTCACTGACCTTTTTCTTGCTGCTTCAGTCGAGACATGGAAGATTTGGATGCCTGTGCTCATGATGCTGAAATGGGGCATCAGCGGATAGAAGAGCTCGTGCGAGCCAGTGAAGAAAGTGAGCTCAATTCCGATCCGCATGTACCCACCCCACGTCGGCCTACTCACGCGATCATCAATTCCTCCGCAGTGCAAGACCCGACCTTGACCGACCAATGTTTCGAAGAATTGACCGTCCTCGACTCGGAGCACCGCAATCGCATCCGCTTCCTCGTCCAACACAAGAACGCCATGACTCACTACCTCCTCACCATGATGCAACGCATCTCGGGCCTCCAATCCGATATCGCGATCATGCCTTCGACGTTGGGCGAATTGGACCATGATGCGAGGACCAAGACGGACAACTTCAAGCATCTCGCGAGGTTGGAGGGGTTGATCCCTGCTTATGTCGCGACGATCGTGGAGATTGTTAGGAGGAGGGAATACGATGGGTTGTTGAGGACCCATGCGAAAGGGTTCGGCGAAGCGTTGGAGGTCATTATCGGAGTTGAGAGGGAGCAAAGAGGGACGTATCGCCAACGGTATGCGGGAAAGTTGCCGTGGGAGGTCAAGGGGCTTAGCAGTGGTGGAACGACGGAGGAAGTCACCCCTTTCGTTGACCTCGGCGTTCGGCTCGGTTCGGATGAGCATTTACCCGAATTGACGAGGTCCCACGTTGAGGCGTTGTTGACGACCTTGAGGCAAGTCGAAGGCGGGATGACGGTCTCGGGCATGAGACATCCTATTCGGGAAGCGAGGATCCTCCTCGAAAGTCTCGTACAACAACTTGACGAGATCAAGATCGAATTTGAGCGACTCGCGAAGGACCGTTCCCCTATCGCGGCGAGTTCTTCAGCCGTCTTGGCTCGGACGCAAGAGGTCGAAGAGTTGAAGGGCAAGATTCGGAGTTTGGAGGAAGCCAAGTTCGAGGCCGAGAGGGAGTTGCAGCGCGAGCGTTCGAGCCATGAGGAAGAGGTCGTGCAGCTCAATTTGTTGGTCGGGCAAGCGACGGCGGGGAAAGAGGCGGATCGGGCACAGTTGGAGGTTCTGAGAGGGGAAATGAGGAAGGAGAGGGAAGAGAGGAGGAAGGAGGTTGCGAAGTGGGAAAAGGCGGAACGGGAGGCGAGGAGGGACAAGGAAGAGGAAGCCAGGAGGGCGACGGACGAAGCGAGGAGCTTCAGAGCTAGGGAAGACGAGTTGGACCTTCTTCTGAAAGCGGCGAGGAAAGGAGAAGACGACCTCAAAGATCGTGTTGCGGATCTTGATCGGAGACATCTTAACCTTTCGTCGGATCATGAAGGCGTGCGGGGCGAATTGGATCGAGCCAAGTCGACGATCGAGGAACTCGAAAATGCCATCAAGGTTTCGGAAACGACCTGCCGCGACTTGACCGTCGTCGTCGCGGAGAAGGAGAGGAAGTTGCGGGACCAGAGCAACGAGGCCGAGTTGGATCGCGCCGTGTTGGAGAAGGAGATGCAGGACTTGCGAGCGACGATCGAGAGGCACCAAGTCGAGCGAGAACGTGCGGCCGCGAGGGAGTCGACGCTCGAAGAGATCGCGAGTGGGTTGAGAGAACAGGTCGAGAGATGGACTTCGCTGGCTGCGACGAGGGAGACCGAATTGGTTCAGGCCAAGGGAGACGTCGATTCCCAACGCGGGGAGCGGGAAAGGGCTTTGATCGAGGCAAACAGGGAATTGGCTAAAGCGACGACGGCGGCGAGAATGGCGATCAAGCTGGCGGCGAGGATGAAACAAGAGACGGAGCAGGTGACTTCACTCCTCAGATCGACATCGGCGTCGCAAAAGGTCGATTCGTCGCAGGAGAACGTCGACGTTGCGAAAACCGACCTCGTGGGCTCAGTAGCAGCGCCGGATCGTGGTGTAGCGGGCACTATGTCTGAGTCTGTCGATTACGAGCAGGGCAAGATCGAGGATCTGATCGTCGAGCTCAGCAAGATTGACAAGATCGACGACAACAGGGACTCCCTGACAGATGCGGTGCGCAGCAAGATCGATGCGCTGTCGTCGGCGACCAAGAAATGGATCAAGGAGGCCAAGGCGTACCGCGAGCGAGCGCTCAAGGCTCAGACCGTCGCGGCGGACAAGATTGCTTTCCGCAAGTGAGTGAGGCCCTCAGAGAATTGTCGGGATGAACAAGTGCTGACCACGGTATGATACTCTGACAGCTTCGCGATCGGTGATTTGGCGCTGTTTTTGCCCACTCGCGACTCGGCGATCCCCGTCTGGGCCGCCTTCAACGTCAGCTGCCCTCACCATTTCCTCTCGGCCAAGGGAACCGTCCAGGAGCAAACGCAGACGCGGACTTGGATCGTTGCTCGCATCACGTCCCTCACCGAACAAGTCGCCGACCTCAAGGACCCCGCCTCGAACCCTTACCTTCTCGCGCCGGGGACCAAGTTCTTCCACCTCGAAGTTGAACCGTGGAGCTCCAAGGACCTCTCGCGCTCACGTGGCAAGAGACTATCGTCGGGCGACAAGACGTCTCGTGACAAGCGCGGAGGCTCACCTTCGACGTCCAACAACAAGCACCAGCCGAGCGGCCTCAGCTTTACGGGCCCCGATTCGCCTTCCCAGGGCGGATCCGTGGCTTCAACTTCGGCTGTCGTGGTGGAAGCTTCGACGCCTTCGAAACGACCTACGGCAGGTCGACGCAGTGTCTCTGAAGGTGGGCAGAGTGCGCAGTTACCTTCGAACGCGACGTCATTGGCTCGTTCAGAGTACGCCGTGATTGAAGAGGAGGAGGCGATCGGTTCAACGAGTCCGACCCCGCCCTCGGGGTTGGAGCACGACGCTGCGCCATCGACCCCAGCAGCGATCACCGCACCTTCAGGCCTGGCCGTATCGCTCTTTCGCTCTCGACCGCCCTCTCCAGCAATCGTTCGGTCCGATCCTTTCAACTCCAATCCTTTCGCCGTCTCGTCTTCGCCACCTGTCGATGACTCATTCGAAGAAGGCTCGATCGCGATTGTTAGCCCCCGTGGCACCGATTTCGAACCCGCCGCGACATCGGCCGGTGCGGTGCCGGCGTTCCTCCCTTCAACGGGAAGAAAGACCCCTTCGGCAAGTGGGAGCCAGAAGAGCTCGACGACGGCCTCGACCGCATTGACCTCGACCAAGCTCAGTCCTCGTTACGTGCGCTCCTCACCGGCTGACGGAAGGGGATCGTCGAAACCACGACCAATTATCGGCGGGGTGGTTGCTGGTGGGTCTTCGAACGCCGACTCGTCCGCAACCTCACCTTCTTCGGTTCATGGTCACCTGCCTCGCTCGGCCAGCTCGGCGAGTAGCATCCTCTCGGCGTCGTTGCAGAGGGCCAGACCGCTAGCATTTCCGAGCACGAGCCCTCTCGACGGGAGCAAGGCCGCCCCGACCGTCGAGAACGCCTCTTCGCAACGATGGACAGCCATGACCGATAGCCTCATTGACGCAACCTCTACTTTGCTACCCACTTCGAGTCAAGGAGAAAGTGGGTCCTCGGGGCCGTTGGGCAGCACGACGACCCCTCGAGCTCGTCGACCCTCGGAATCTTCGTTGGCGGCTGTCGCAGCAGCCGGACGTCGGACAACCGCTACAGCACCGGCGGACTCGACGAGAAGTTCCAGGATCGTGGGTGAGGTGCGCAAGGTACTGTCGCCAAAGTAGGTGGACCCTTACACTTACACTTACACTTAGGGCTGGGATGGGGTCCGACTCGTCACGTGAGACTGAAAAGTCGGACCGAAATCTGAGACTTGGCACGCGACCGGCTGGCTGAGTGTATGCGCACTTTTTTTCTTCGCGTCATTATTTGGTTTTGTGTTTGCAGTGCAATTAAGCAATTTCGTTTACGTCCGAAGAGATCCATACGATTTGAGAATTATCTGAGATGGTAACACCTAAGTAAGACCCCCCGGCTGCCATGCTCGGAGCCGAAGCGTATTTGTCCCGAGAAGTCGCGGTACACTTCATCAAGCACCAATCGGGAGGGGGAGCGTCAGCGCTCGTCAGAGCTCGTCAGCGTGGGTTTTTGGAGCTCCGTGCAAGTCCGCGCACTCCAAGTGCTACACGCACGCGTCTCGAAATAAAAGTTGGGTGCGATCTCCCACACTTTCCGCTCTCATCCGGACCAACTCACTACTGGTCCAAGCTTCGTTCAGCTCCCATCACATTCCTTTTTCACCACGAACTTGCTCAGCTCGGACACTCAGCAGCAGTATCGACTGCTTGCTTCTGTTCGTGTCGGCCGGTCTTTGCAAAGTTGGGATCTCTTCCCCGGATTTACTTTGGCGTCAGTCTAAGTAGCACCGACCCGGCTGGTCGCGTCAGGTTGTGGCAAGTGCCTTCTGTCGCGAATGCACGTGCACTGACCTGTCATACCTGCGTCCGTCTTGCTCTCCCCGACAGCGATCGACAAAATCTGTCTTCTGTACTAGTCACTGAACTTGGGACCGAGGTCGCTAAAAAGTCTGGGACGACACATCTCGATCGTCGTCGAGTCAGATCAACGCGATCGGCGCGCCCCGGAACGCGTCGTTTCGAAGAGCAGCCCCAGTGGTCGCGACGCGAGAGAAATACACAGCCGCCTGCCCCCACAGCCCCCCACCCACCCCTCGCGGACCAAACTCGCCGGATCACAAATCCGACATCTATATCCGCTGGACGATACCTGAGTCATGGCCAAACTGACCCTACAGGCTAGGCGGGAAATGCCTCAGACGTTGACCCTGCGCCCACCCGCCGCGACCTCCCCCGCGCTGAGTGCCAAAGACCCGGGCGCTCAGTCAACCTCTTCGTCGCCTTCGCTAGCGGTCCCCACCAGCGCCGGCTCATCGAGCGGCGGCATCCATCGCTCCATCAAGGACACATGGAGTTCGCGTAATCGGTCCTCGACGTCGACGAACATCACGCCTCCCATTCTATCCCCGGCTTACTCCGAGTCGGGCGCCTCGACGTACGAAGTACCCCTGACCCCGTTCAGCGCGGTCCCGACCAACTTTTCGCGCCATCATCCCCAATTCCAGTTCCTCGACTCGCCCGACGAGGTGGACGGTGACCACTCGGATGACCTGAGTGGTACCTACCGTGGCCTTCCTATCTCCGCCAGCAGTACTTTCGTCATTGACGGGGCGAGCACCGACTCGCTGCCCCGACCTTGTTCATTTGGCGACCTCGTCATGTCCGGCCACAGGTCGACGTCCTGGTTCGACTCGTCTCCGACTGGGGACACAACTTCGGCGACCCTGTCGAAGCCGTTCTTGCTCCTTGGTGAGACGGACGATACAGATGTCCTCGCTGCGCCTCACCTCCCTTATTCGACCGACTTGTCGCGTCAGCGTGTGCCCTCGTCGAACGACAGCTTGGGCGACACAGAAACCTCGTCCGAGTTCTCGCCGAGCACCAGCCTCGTGAGTGTGCGAATCGCGCGACTGATCCAGCGCGAAACGTTTGCGACGCCGGGCCTCGACCTGTCTTCGGATCAGTTGGAGGGCGGTGGGGCAACCCAGGCAACCTCGACCGGTCTGGTCGGCAACCCGACCTCCCCACTTACACCGGTGCTGATGGAGACCGAGTGGATCAGCGGGTCCATCCCTCGCGTCGCCGGAGATGAGCCCTCACCACGACCTAGCGCCAGTCCCCGGACGATGGCTATGCGGCGAAAAGACGTCTCGGCGCTCGAGCCCTCTCGACCACTGTCGGAAGTGTTCCTCTCGGACCTGTCCGAAGCGGACGCGACCGTGCGCATGCGCACCATTCTCGGTGCGTCCCTCTTTCCCAATTGGCGTTACAGCGCAGAGGGTCGAGCTCACAAATTATGCGTTTTGATGACTGGCCAGGACCCAAGACGAGGATCATTTCCCCCGCTCCTTGGGATGACCCGGATGGCGTCGCCCCCGGCGTTCAGGACGAGCCGGCGCCCTCGACCAAGTTTCGCAAATCGGCCAACACTCGCCGGACCGAGCCGAACAAACCGACGTCACCGAATGGTCCGCCCTCGCCCGCCAAGGAGAACCTCGGCTTCAAAGCACGCCTGGGGAATCGCTCCAAGAGCTTCAGCTTGCTCACAGGCAAGAAATCGCCGGCGCACGAGGACACGTTCGAGAGCGACGCAGCGCTCAACGCGCTCATGCCCACATCGTCGCCAAAGGCATTCGGCACTAAGGCCACCCCTAGGATCAATACTGGGAATGCGATCAATGGCACTGGTCTCTCCAGTCCGCTCTCGCCCGCCCTCAGCGTCTCGTCGTACGGCTCGAACCGGACCCCCATCCCTTCGTCGCCCGATAGTGCTGCTTTATCCTCGATCGACTCTGAGCGCTCAAGCATCTTGACGCTTGCGGTACCGGTTGCGTCCGCCTGTGTGCCCCAATCCGCCCACGCCGATGTGTCCTCCTTTGCTCCGACCAGCAGCAGCTCAGACCTACGCGATGAGCAGAGTGCAGGGTGTGTTTCGACATCGGCCCTCGATGAGCGAGATCCATATTACGTCGCCGCGGATCCGGATGGTTACACCTCTCTGTCGCCCCGGTGTCCCATGGGAAATGATGCGCCAATGTTACCGACTGGACCAGGCAAGAACTACAAGCTCATCTCTCTCGACGAGGCGCGCAAGCGGGAAGAGGATCGAAAAGCTGCCGTTGCTCAGCGAGGTCAAGCCGCTGCGTCGTCGAGTTCTGGCCCGAGACCCGACGAGCCCGCAGCAAAGCAGGATGCGTACGACTACAGCGCGGAACGCCTATCGGCCTCGATCAATGGAATCACTATCTCTTCGCCGCGAACCAATGTGCCGCCACCGGCAACCCCCGGCACAGCGGCCAAAACGCTCAAGAACCGCAGGAGTGGTTTCCTCAAGCGCATGATGGGCGTCAGTGAGAAGACCGAGCCGATTCCGCGGATCCCTTCCTTGCCGCAAGCTAGTCCGACCTCGGCGTCGTTCCCTCAGCAAGTCGAATCCTCCCCTTCGGTGCACTCGAACCTGAACGAGTCGCCTAGCGTGATCGGTCCTGCCTCGCCGACATCAATGCTCCAATCGAGCTTTTTACCCAGGGCCTCTTCTGGTGCGCCGCCTTCTCGTGTCGCCTTCTCTTCGATGCCCGTGCCGGATCCCGAGCATCGGCTGCGCAACGTTCGAGGTGCGGACGGAGCTGCATCGGCGCCGTCGTTGTCGCTTCGACCGGTTTCGATGGCCTTTTCCGCGGGACTTCCTTCAGAATTGATGGCCGAGATCGAGGCGGCCGAGATGAAAGAGGCAAAGCTCTCAGCGCTTTCAGCGGACACCGTTATGCGCAACACCGCCGCCCTTCGATCACCGCATGCCCCCTCCTTCGTCTCCGACACGACTTATGCTTCCTCGTTCGAGACCGCACCAACTTCGCCTGACGTTCACACACCTCTGACCTCCGTATTCCCCGTACCGCCAAGCCAAGCACCCACGTCCCTCAAAATTGTCAGCCCGTCCCGTGGACGGCCGTGGGAAGTTGAAAGGGCCGAGTTGGAGGAGACGATCCGACTGTTACGCGCGCAATTGTACGACCAGGAGTGCGAGTGCCCCGAATGCGGCCACGAGTTCAAGCCCGTTCTGACTACGCCGTCGACGCCGATGAGCCCGTCGGTCGTCGATCGGCCTCGATTCCCTGGCCATGCAGCGTTTGGGAGTGTACGTCCTCCTCTGCCTTCCTGCGCAAAGCTCTCCTCGTGTCGCTTCAATCTAGCCTGACGCTGCCTGTCTAACTCGTTCTCACAGGCCCGTGTGTTGTTCTAGTAACCGTCGTTCTCGGACTGGTCGTCTTGGATGCGATGTGTCAGTGAAGCGGCGTTGTAATATACCACACATCCTTGATTGGATCACAATACACGATATTCTACCCTGAGCTATATGAAGCACTAAGATCTTAATCCCTTTCACTGGCAAGCTAAGGCAGGGTACTATGTGATGTATATTGAGAACTGATACATTGATCGAGCACCTCCCACCTGGCGCAATTCTGGCCCACTACGAATACGACGACACCGACAATCACTGCGACGGTCCAGCCATCTCTTCCGAGCACTGGGCCAATTCCGCTTCGAACAAGTAAGGGAACGAAAAGTTGGTCAGGTCGTTGGGCGAGGGGAATGCAAACTCGGGCGGCACCGCGTTTGGAGATGCGGCATTCGCGAGAGGTGGGAACTCCAGTGGCGTCGAGCTCGAGCTGTCCAGAGGATTCAACGAGTGGGGATCGAATCCTCCGAACGACGAGAGGGGCGACACAGTCTCTTCTTGAAGCGGATTCGTGTACTGTTGGGTGAGATCCCAGTCGTACGTCTCGAACCCCGTTGATGGATAAGAAGGAGGTGGCAAGGAAAGGCCGGACGACGCGGGTTTGAGCGGTGGAAGCAAGTCTGCGCCTAGGGTTGAGCTGCTCTCCTACGGTATGGAAAAGAGGTTAAGGGGGCCACCGTGTCCGTCGGGTGATTATATCAGTATCGATGTGTTCGGGAACGTGTTTTGAGACGTACGAATGGATTCGGGTAACCGCCATTTCCGTAGCCTTCCACCAAGTGCGCATGCCACCTTGCTGCAACAGCCCAAGTGGTGGCCGCTTCCAGAAGGATATCCAAGCCCGTCGTAAATGTAGCTTCGGCTCTTGCAGCGTAAAAATCGTCGAAGCATTGACATTTGAGGACATACAGCGCGATCTCGGCGGCGACAAAGACGTTGTAGAACAGAAAGGGGGGACACCCACTTCGGGGTCCGCGTGTCGAAAAGAAGAGCTTTGCGTACGCGATGGCTTCAAAGGCTTCGTTGGTCATCATTTCGGTTATTCTCGCCCACGAAAGAGGAGTGTGAACGTCGCGGTCGACAAGTGAGGTTTGGTATTGCGAATCATAGACGCCCGCCGTTGAGGCAAGAAGACTGCGCGCGTTTTAGTGCCCCGTCAGTTCGAACTGATCGTCGCACGACAAACACGAGACGGTGAACTCACGATACTTCAAGTCTGTGCAAGGACATATAAGCTAGCTTCAAGGTACTATTGGTCGCAAAGAATGCCTGCCGGACGCAAGAAGGGAACTCGGCTCAAACTCAATGGAATCGTGAAGGCGTGCTCGAGACCGGAAACTCACGAGATCTTGCTTCTGCTCTCGCCAGTGTTTCAGATTGTTCCGACTCCAACGGTGGGCCGGAGGAAGATGGGCCTCCCATTGATCTAGTTCCAAGCGCAATTCAGAAAACTCCGTTTCACTCTTCCAAGACCCATGTAGCGCCGGATCGATCGAGCTCGCTTTCCTCGAGACTTCGGCCCAGAGCTCAGTGACTTGGACCCATGAAGCGAACAGGGATTGGTCGGGTCGGAAAACAGACTCAGGTGAACGGAGCGCTGCAACGGTGCCCATCAAAGACGAGCACGTTCTGGGTGAACAACCTTGAACGTAAGCTTCGTCATCGCATGGGAGACGCGCGGTGACGTCCAGCAGGTTGAAACCCGAGCTCGATCGATCGATCGTGGGGTAGAAATTGGCGTGAGACAGGATGATCCAGAGGGTCCGTCGAGTCATCTCGGTGTCGATGTTTTCTGATCTCGTGGCATCAGGGCCGAGCTGGTGGGTCGTTTCGTCATGGAGTCTGAGATCCCATGACACTGTGTAGTGTGGATGTGGCGAAGAGTCAGCACCAACCAATGTCAGCTTTGAGCGAACTGGGGTCAAACTCACTCTTCATCGCAATATCCATCATTTCCTAGTGCGATGAGGATGAAATTTGTATGAGTTGCGTACAAGCTGAGTCTACGCAGCGCGGAAGCTGCGCACCGAAGATTTCTGCCCATGCCCCTGTCCCCAGTGGAACGTCGCGAGGAGAAAGAACGCTTGACAGGCCTCGAGCGATGGGGCGAGCGACTCAACGGCGACCATCTCCATTGCTTGGTTCATAAATCCTTCGCTCGCGTCAGATGGAGATTGGTTTAGCTGAGTAAGGGATTGTTGGTGCGTAAATGCCATACTCAGCTGGTTGCTACAGTTTCTGGTTTGATCACAAGACGAGGCAAGAACTCACGGGGCTAGAATGTGCCGATATAGCGAGGATAGACGTGAGAAGGAAGGTAGAGACCGAGCCGGAGTCGTGTCCGAGACGAGCGATGAAAAGCGTCGCGTAGTCGAGCCCCTATGGACAAGCACATAGTCGTAAGCAGCTCGTTCAGCAATTCGAGCTCCGGTGGCTCGAAGAACTAACCAGTTGGAAGTAGCAGGAGAACACAAGGCGAACGGCCTCGACGATTTCTTCCAGCGGAGGTAGGAGCCCGGCAGCATGGATTGTTGAGGCGTTGAGGGGGCACTGCAGCTCTCGAGGCGAGGAATCATGAGGCGCTCGGGGTGGGGACGAGTCGGGGAGTAATGGTGGTAGGGACAAGTCCCGGGTTGGCTCGGTTTGAGGTCTATCCCGGGATCTTGAGGTCAACACTCCGGTCGACTCCCTTTGCCCGATTGCAGCGGAAAGCTTGACCACAGCTTTGGACTCGGGACGATCGTCTAGAGGGGTCACGCGATGTTCTTGCGGCGAGCGCCTACGGACTCGTGTCTTTGGGGGGGCCGATGCAGAAAAGGCCTTGGGGCATCTGCGTCTAAGCTATCGAGATCCAAGACAAAGCGAAAGAAAAACCAACAATCTGTCAAGTTCATGACCCCCGGAAATACAACACCCAAAGTCTGCTCACATCCCGATGCTCAGAGGCGTGTCCTCGAGGCATGAAAACGCAGCGCAGTCCAAGCTCGTCACACTTGGCGCAGTTTCCGACAGGAACTCTGCGTAAACGAGACTTTTTGGAATCGGATATGGGAAGGACATTGAACCGAGCGACGCATTTCTGCCTCGGGGCATCAAAATCAGACGATCGAGGTTGCGGCGAGGAATAAAGGGGTTTGCGGGATCAGCTCCTCTTGCCCACGAGGTGGGAAGACCTTTTACTAATGCAGAGTCCTACCTGCCGAAGATTCAGATGCTCACCTGTCGGAACTCTCTACAGTGGGTGCAAGCCATGCTGCTGCGTGTCACCTTGGGCTTACTGCCCACCTGTGTAGACGGGTTCAGCTCGTCGGAGATTACCGACGCGGACGCGGACGAGAGTGCGTCAACGCCGATACCGGCCGTGGAAGACAGCTGTGGAAACTCGCCCATGCCAAAAACTTGTCGAGCTTGCATGACCGCGGATTGGAAGGACATCGTGGCCACCAAAAAGACGCCAGGTGAGGGTGTGTCAAAAGACGTAAAAGTAAAAGGTGCAACAAGGGGGGTGAGGGGTGGGCACCTCTTGCAGGCCTCCTGTTGCCTCAGTTCAGGTCGTCGGAGAGCAGTGTGTGAATCGAATCTGATGCCATTCCGCTCCTAGGAAAACCGGCCCTCCCCTGTCCCCAGAGAGGGGAAAAGCAGCTTCGACGCTTCCGCAACGAGAAAGCGCTTCAGCCGCCGTTATCCATCGGCCCCTGATGCGAACATGCGGCGACCGAGGCGCAGCAGGGTCAGCAGGCTCGCCGCTGAATGTCTTGCAACCGGTACACATAAGGCCACGATGTCGAAGTCGGCAAGGGCTTGGGTTCGTGCGGAATTATTCGGGTAATTCGGGGAAACTTGTAGACCGTGCACGGTGGTTTCATCGAGCTTTGTGGCGTTCGGGGATTTGTAAATTTGTAAAGTCTGGACGTGCGAAGAATGATCGCATGCATCGGAGTGGTGCTTCGGCATGAGGGCGACCCCTTTTCGCGCCGGAAATTCCGGAACCTTGTTATTGGTGAACGTCATGGCGGGTTTGTCCGCGGGCGCGGAAATACGCGAGACTTCCCCAGCTACGAGATAGTCGATAAATTGTCCCATGGGAAACCCCGGCAAAATGTGGAGTCAATGGCACGGCCTTGTCGGCGAAGGAGGTCCTTGCCAACCGGCAATCCGCTCCGTCCGACGGTGGGCATGCCAAGAAAAGTTATCGTCCCATGAAGTTTCGAGTTCTTTCTTCATGGACTCCTCATCCCCCCGCACTAGCGCGGGAAAGTGGAGAGGCGTACGTCAACAAAATCTCGTCCAGAACCCAAGTTGGTCCCTGCCACCTCCCTGACCTCTTTGCGATGACGTGCTAAGGGGTTGGCAGGAGTCGTCACACTCTGTCACGCTCCGGCAATGATGATGACTCTGCAGCGAGAATGTCATCTCGCTTCGTTCCCGGATAGGAGGTCGAGGGAGGCCTTTTGCGTCAACTTGGCTGGAAAAGCCGCATTATGCATTGACTGAAACTCATCTTTCAGATGCAGATCCGCGTTCCCGGCCGATCCTGGCTTTCCCAAGCTTCCCAGAGGTTCAGTTAGCGGAGGTCTGCGGAGGTTAGCAGAGGAGAGCAGAGGAGGACCCCCGAAAGCCCAGCCAGAGGCGCATGTGGAAAAACGCCCTTTTCTGGCCTTTTTGTCAAAGTTTTTTGCCCTATTTTTGCCCCAAAATGTCAAAATTCCACATGCGCCTCGGAAATATTATCAAAATGTGTCCTACATGCTCCAAAAATCGCTCAAAAGTCCTCGAAAACGCGTTCCGAGCGTTTGCGGGCGCGCGGCGGCCGATCGAAAGTGGCTTGCGGCGCGCTGCGGTGCGCGTCGCTTCGGCTGGTGTCGCGCGTGGCTCCAGGCATCAAGAGGGCCTTCCTTGCTTTACTGGCGGGCTCGCTACTTCGTTGTCAGACTTCCGTTTTCCTGAACTTGAGCTCTTTGTATCCGCGGTGGCAGTTATGCGGCTTGTAGAGGTTCTACCGGCGGTGTCTCGCGGCCCGGGCACGCTCCGAAGGGCGGCAATCTTTGCTCGGCATGTGCGCACGTGCTGATTATGCGCTCGTCGGGGTAACATGAGGTAAGGTCCTTGTGGGACAATATGTAGTCGTTGGCGGGCCTAATGACTCGATGACCTGTCGACCATCAATCATGCGAAACGGCATAGTGCCATCAATGAGGTAAGTGGAATAGCATGCTTGCTCGATGAGGCGAAGCTCCTATGGACAGCGGTTCTTCTCCGTAAGCAGTTTGATCGCAGCTGCATGCCACGCCCTCGGCCAAAGCAGATCAGGGATCTGATCTCCAAAGGCGTGGCAGTGGTTACAACTCCGTCAAGCGATCCGAAATGACGATAGCGTCGTGCTAGCGCTCCGTACTGCTTGTCGACGCGACGGCCAAAGGTCGATATCCATTCTTGCGTGCGTTGATCAGAGCATCGGTGGCGAGAAACGCGTCTCTGGTCTGAAGAGTCGCGTAGGGTAAGGTCGAATACTGGGTGGGCTCGTCTTTGGACAACTCGATGTGAAGAGACGCGTCAGGGGGAGCGACATCGAAGGCGGGACTAGGAGCTCGGCGATCGTCATGTTGGTGAGCGGCGATAACCGATCGAAGTCATCGTCCGTTCAAATAGTAGCCCTGGTCTTCGTCGAGAAACAAGCATGAAATCTTGTTGTCGTGCTATGCTTCAATGTCAGAACGAAGTGAAGCGGAACGGAACCGGCGCCGCTTCAACCGTGGGAACTATTGGTACCTAATCCCTAACAGCCATTGCACTAAGGAAGGTGATTACAAAAAATGACTAGTGACCTGTACAAGCGCGAGCATCGCGACGCGCGTCTCGAAGCGAAGGCGAACGGGCCCAAAGTCATGCTGAAGGCTGCTCAAGGTAGGCCAAAACTGCGTCGACCCACGGGAAAAATGTCAAAATCTGCAAAGGCGCCTTGGGGGCAAAACCTGTGTTTCGTCCCAAAATGTCAATTTTTTGCAATGCGCCTCGACGATTTTCAGGATTTTGGGTCCTCAAAATGTCACAAAAAAAAAAATGCGCCTCCGGCGGGGCTTTCGGGGGTCCGGTTAGCGCTGGTTAGCGGTCCAGCGGCGCGAGCTGTGGCTACGCGCTTGCGCTTCGACGCTCCTTTCCATACCGCCATCTGACACGTCGTCACAATCTCTCAAAAGGTAATCGTCTGCGATATAAACGCTACTCCATCACCTGTACCCTCGCTGCTCGCCCATCAGCCTCGTGTGGCCTCCCCGGCGTCGACCTCCACCTCCTCGTTGTTCACTCCCACTCCAACCCCGCGCTCGCTTCCGTCATCATGGGTGACGCCGGCTTCTTCAAAGTCAGTTGCATAGCCTTTATATGATTGCCTGCGTTTCAGCTGCTGATGCACATCGACTGCGCGCGGGTAGGGCACCTCTGCGGACCAAGATCCCCGTTTCAAGAACAAGGCGCAGATGGCAATCGCAAAGATGAAGTTTCCTCCTTCCTTTGACCAGAAGGTATGCTCAACCATGCATGGGTGCAATGCTCATCCGTTGACAGTACTTCCTCTCCCCCTCCTTTGCCTTCCGCGGTCAACGTGGTCCTCCCTCGACGTGTGACGCCTCTGATGCGCTCCCGGTGGTGCCCACATGGTACTATGTATGATACTACTCTGACCTGGCTACCAGGTGGATATGCGCAAGGTCGAACTGGCCGTCATGAAACCGTGGATTGCTAAGAAAACGGTCGAATTGCTAGGCTTCGAAGACGAGGTCCTGATCGAATACATCACCTCCTTGCTCGAAGACCCTGATCAACCGGTCAGTATACTAGACTGATGTTTTGTTACTGGACGAGAGCTGAATTCTACGTTGGTATGACTCAGATCATCGACGCCAAGAACTTGCAACACCTTTTGACGGGCTTTCTCAACAAGTCGACGCCGACGTTCATGCAGCAATTGTGGACCCTGCTGCTCTCGGCCCAGTCGAACCCGCTCAAGGTACCGACCGAACTTTTGGAGGAAAAGAAGAAGGAGATGCGTGAGAGGGAGCAAGCGGCTGCTCTCAAGAAGAGGGAAGAGGAGGAGAAGCAGCGACAATTGGAGGACATCAGGAGGAGGGAACGAGGTGATCGTGGTGGGCAAGGCGGGAGGGGTGGTGGTGGCGGCGGTAGTGGTGGTCGAGGAGGAGGGTACGGGGGCGATGGACGAGGAGGCTACGGCGGTGGATACGGCGGTGGAGACCGAGACCGAAGAGACGGACCGGGAGGCTACCGAGGTGGGGCTGGGTACGACGATAGGCGAGGTGGTGGGGGATACGATAGCCGACGTGACGGTGGACCGCCGAGGGGACGTGACTATGACGATCGACGACGTGATGGTCGCGTTGGTCGTGATGGTCGTGATGGTCGTGATGGTCGTGACGATCCTCGAGGTGGTGAACCAAAGAGGGTACGCTTTGGCATTGTTTCAGACCGGCTCGTGGACTACTCAGCTGATCAGCAATGTCGGCGATGTACAGCGTCGCGATCACTCTCGATCGCGCTCACCCTCACGCTCACCTCCTCGCCGTCGCGTAAGTGATCAGCCTTTAGGGAATAACTTCAATGATCCATCCGTATGCTTATTCTTGTGTTCACCACTGCCTGGGTCCCCTAGCACCGCTCCCCTTCCTACTCTCGCTCTCGGTCCCCTCCCCGCCGCCGACGCCGTGATCGCTCCCCCTCTCGCTCCCGCTCCCGGTCTCCCGCACCGGCCCGACAACGCCGTCGTTCCCCTTCACCCCGACGCGCCCGTGGAAGGAGCTACAGCCGATCTCCTTCACCTCCACCCAAGAAGTCCTCTTCGAGGAGAAGGAGCCCATCAAGGTCGGTTTCCCCTCCTCCCAAGGCTGAAGGGTCGAGGCGAGATCTGGACGTTGAGGCAGATGATGACGTGAGTCAATAAATTGGCTTTGCTCAACCCGAGAGATCCATGATCCCAGGCACCGACCGTTGTTTATCGATTCTACAGGGACAGGGCTTGGAACATCGTGAGAGCGAGTTGAAGGACAGGATCAGGAGGCAAAAAAACCACGGATCGGCCATATCGATCAAGGGGAGGGCTTCAGGACCTGGGCAGAGTCCTTAGTGCTTCCGAGCCAAGAAGCCGAACTGCAGTCAGTTAACGTGTGTAATCTAATGAAAAACGTCCGTGATGCGTTCTCAGGATCTGAGCTCTCCTGGAGCCGAGCGTTTGGGTTTACTTTATGTTCTTGCGTGCAAATTGAATGGAACGGGACAGAGTGGCTATAGAACATTTTACACCAGACACACGCCTTTAACGAAGGCAAATTCGAAAGGGGAGCCCAAGTCGAACCGGAAAGAACAAGGGTGGGATGCAGGAACACAAAACGACCGTGATACCAACCCACGGCACTGGATCGATTGAGGCGAGTTTGATGCGGTTTAGGCCTTGATCATGTCGGCTTGCTCGGGGACGACATTGATGACCTTGCCCTTCTCAATACCGGCCACCAAGTTGTTCAAGACCGTGTTCTCCATCTGTCGTCGCGATTCGCGCGTCTCGGTACCTAAGAGAGGAGGGAGGGGCGGAGAGCACGTCAGTCAGGCGCTTTCTACCTTTTCACGTGTACAGGGTTCAGTTGAGGAACTGACCCATGTGGGGCAACAACGTTAGCCTATCGTTGGCGATCAACTTGGGGTTGACCTGGGGTTCGTTCGGGAAGACGTCCAACCCGGCCGAAGAGAGGTGCCCGCTCTCGAGCGCCTCGAGCAAGGCCTCCTCATCGATGACACCACCTCGCGCGGTGTTGACGATCGCCGAACCCTTCTTCATCTTGGCGAATTGGGCCTTGCCAAAAAGTCTGGGAGAGTAGGAAAGAGCGCAAACTTGAGCTTTTTTGGACCGTGGGATCACGGCGTTTCAGCAAGGAGAAGACAACTGACTTCTCGGTGTGGGGATTGAGGGGGACGTGGAGTGAGACGACATCGGCCTGGGCGAGGAGCTCATCTAATGTCGAGCAGTAAACAACGGCTCCAGCAGGCTAAGGGAGTAGTAAAGAGGCAATATGATTCGGTCAGATGGAAGATTGGGTGTGCGTATAAGCTCCCGAGGGCGCTTACGAAGTCGGCGAGCAAAGCCGGGTCGGCTTCCTTTCGATTGTGGTAGATGACCTTCATGTCGAAGCCAAGAGCGCGCTTTACGAGAGCCTAAGATGAGACCGGCGTATGAGTACCCAAAAGAACTCGTTCTGACTAAAGGTCGGAGAGACAACTCACTCGGCCGATACCGCCCATGCCAACGATACCAAGCACCTTCTGCTCGACGTCGTTCTGGAAGGCGGGAGAACACCCGTTCTTGAACTGGCCGGCGTGGAGCGACAACTGGGCCTTCCAGAAGTTGCGCAGGGCCGAGATGATGAGGAACATGGCGACGGTCGCCGTTCCGTGGTCGACGGCACCGGGGGTGTTGGACAGTTGGATGCCCCGCTTGGTGCAGGCCTAGTATGGGGTAGAAGGGCAAGGACGATTCAGTTTTGCCATCCCATTTGATTTTACAAGTCGTTCCTCGTTTGGGGAATGCGTCGGTCTCGCGTTGGACCAAGAGGAAGGGGCCACTTGACCCCGCGATCGCGAGGTGAAGTTGGCACGTGCGGAAAGGGGGGAGCGAGCTGACCAACTCACGTGGACATCGATGGGCTGTGATCCCACGTCTATGATAGTCAGTACACATGTAACTAAACCTTTTCTGTATAGACACGAGGAACTCACGTCGTATCCGGCACCATGGTGGCTCAAGATCTTGACCGAGGCCGGAAGCGCGTTGATGAGCTCGGCGTTGAGGGGCCCGATCGCAGGGCACGAGTTGTTGTACAAGGCGACCGCCTCGGAGAAGCGACCTTTGCAGTCGGCGAAGAACTCTTCCCTGTTCTTGGAGTCGATGGGCTGAAAATATTTGTTTGCATCGTTCACAAGGTGGAGTGCATTGGAGTCAGTTTTGGGCTTGTTTGGGGTGGGGGGCGTCGTCGGATTTCTCTTTCCCGACGTGGGGGAGCGAAGCGGGGGGAGAGACTAGCGAGCTCGTGAAAAGGGGGGGAGCTTGACCCTAGCAGCGGAAGGAGCGGACCAACAGGAACTTACCTGGAAGGTGTACTTCTTCTCGAGTTCCTTTTGCTCTTCAATGGCGTAGAGCACTTTACCGGCAACGAGGATCATGGGCTTGGTGGTGGCAGGCATGGTGGGCAACGACGAGAATGAGAATGAGAATTCGCGGAGATGGGTTGAGGAAGAAGGAGGAAGGCCAAGGGAGGAAGCAGCAGCAGCTAAAAAGAATTGTCGCTGAGACGGAGGTCAAGCACCCCACAGACATCCGACGACGGCAACGGCGCGACTGACGAGACACAGGTTTGGTTTTGAAATCGTCGTCGTCAAGCGAGGCGCGCCTGCCTGTAGCGAACGTCGGCCAACCCGCGGTCGGCGCCAGTGGCGGCTTAGCGGCGCCTCGCCGCCGCCCACAACCACCTCGTGGTACTACCACTCTCCTCACCACGTTGCTCTGCTTCGGTGTATCTTTCCTCGCTTGAGACATTTTCCTAGATCTGGTGCATCACTCTTCAAACCTTCGCAATCTCCCACGAAGGACTCTCACCAAGCGAACGTCAGTCCTCAGTTTGGTGATCTCCGAGGTCGAACAAGCCCGCGCTCGGAACCGGCCCGGCCCGGCCGCGCGTCCACCCTTCGGGTGGGGGTCTGCGACCACCGCGCCCGCGGGCGGGCGATAGACGATCAAGTGGGGGGAGGAGTGGGTCGGGGAGCTCCGCAATCAATCCGCGTACTTCAATGAGGATGGTCAGGCCGGGCCAATTCGCGAAATCACAATCGCCCGTACACCCTCGTGTACTCCACTGTCCAGCTTGGCTCAATCCTGCATCGTCCAACAAACATGGCCAAATCTCAAGGCGATCTCCCCGAGTACCACACGCCCCCCAAGTCACCGAGAGCACAGGGGCGGAGCCGCCGCCGGAAAAGGCGAGCTGCCGTATTGCCCATGTGTTCATCAACTTCCACCTCAATTATCGTCATGGTATAGATATAGCAAACTCGATATCTAGCAGCTTCATTCTTCCCTTCTCTACACCAGGCGCACAGGTCGCGGTCGAGACCCACGAAGCGGAGCCCCACCTCTCGCAACTTGAGCTGGACCAGCCAGCCCTCCTCACTCACAGCTCACATGATCGTACACTCATCCTTCTTCGCCTTGGTTGTCGCGATACCCATCTCCGCAAACGTTGTCGGCTTGTTCAACGCCATATGCGTCGCGATCTCTTGACGTTGAGGGGCCCCTCCCGTACTCGAATTGCTAGGAGGTAAGGTCGAGCTCGGTCTCCGTAGACCATTCGCACCTCCACTACCGGCGTTCGGATTTGCCGACCCATCCTGGAGCAACCTCCCCATTGCTGGTGAAGTTTGGAGGGAAGAAGAGGCTTCGGTGTTGTTTCGATTCGGCATCGGTCGAGGTCCCCATCCTGCCGCTTGAGCGGCTGCAGCTTCGACTTGCTTCAACGTGTCGCTTCTTGTTCTGCCGCGGATCGATCCCGTTCCCGGAGATGAAGGCATTTGTGGCGTTGTGTTAACGGATGTATCCGACGACCCATTAGATTGACTCAGCCGCGGTGATTGATAGGCTGCCTGCTGACTCGGTGGAGCGGAAGCCGTTCCACCATACCCACGGCCGCCCTGGACTGATCCCGCCGAAGCCCTCGCATAGGTCTGCGCCAACCTCGATTTCTGTTCATCGGACCTTGCCTGAGCCTGGGTCCGTTTCCTTACCAACTTCTGATCCAACTGCGACTCGTGATCGACGCGCGAGAGGACGTTTTCCTCCGATCCCTGCAGCGCCTCGAGGCGTTGTTGCGCGTCCTCATTCCCTCGCCCTGCAGCTCGTTGGTACCACCTCTTGGCCAATTCGAGATTGATGGGTCCCGAAATGCCGACTTCGCTGAAATACCCCAGGGCGAACTCGGCGCTGGGTAGACCTCGATGGGCGGCCTTCTCCGCGAAGGTGACGGCGAGTGCCTCGTTCTTTTCAAAGCTGCCTTCGAAACCACAGAGGTACCACTTGCTCAAGGCCATGTCGGCTTCGACTTCCCCGTTTTGCGAGGCCAGGGCGTAGTATTGGACTGAAAGGAAGGGGTCGAAGAGGCATCCAAGAGTCGCGTATTCGTATGCGTAGCCCTGCACATTAGATCAGATCATTAGCCTCCTAACGTTTACTAGTACTCTTGCATCCTTTATCGCAGCTCACCATCTTGTATTGCGCTGGTCCAAAGGCGAGATACGCTGCCCTCTCGATCCTCCATTTCGCTTCCTCCACATTCAGCGGCACCACCCCTTGTGGTAGCTTTGCCCCCGCGGTCTCGAACTCGCCATTGAGCAGCAAACCCAGGATATAAGGAGCTGTCAACAGCAACCCACCAAGTCAGCAAATGAAGCGAGGTGATTTAAAAACATCCGTGCTCGACTCACGTTGCGGTGTATCAACATCGGCCGCATCCGCAGCCCTCCTCAACAACGCCAATGCTTTCCCCGCGTCGGCCATCACACCAATCTGACCCAACAAATAAGCCATCGCGAGGCGATACGTGCTCCCACAGTCCCCCTTCTCGACCCCCCTCTCATAAGCATTGACGGCGCGTCGCACGTCGCCGAAATCTTCGTATGCTCGCCCTATTCGGAACCAGGCTTTGACGAGCCCGCCGTTCGAGGCGGCTTCGAAGTCCCGGAAAGCGGCGCTAGAGTCCTTGGATCGATAAGATGGGAAAGAGCCCGTCGATGAGAGGTCGCCACGGAAATAAAGAGCCAACGGCACGGGTGTGCTGGAGGCGGCAGAGGACAAAATGAGGTTGAGTGCTTCGTCGGTCCAGCGCACGAGCGTCTGATCGGTGATGCGAGACGAGTTGCGCGAGATCGATTGCTGTCGCTCGACGAACTTGAGCACTTGCTTGGCCCATGCGATCTTTTTGTACATATCGTTCGGACCCGAGTATGCTGCCTCCCTCAGATTCGCCAAAGTTCGTTGCTGTCACAACCCGAGACCCCGCGACCGTGAGTGCCTGCGCGATGTCTCAAAGATGGGAGTGGGCTTACATCGGGATGCATGACGCTGAGCTTGTTAGGCGGTCCATCCTGATCACTGAGGTAATAGTCGGGTCGAACCGAAGGTGCGCGAGGTGGAGGGCCGGGATTCGAGAGCCCGAGTTGCTCGATCCGCGGAATGGACTGGTCAATCGCCGAGTTAGGAGGGACCATGCTCGTCGTCCGAACCTGGCGTTGAACGAAGCCGCTGCCACTGTTCCGAGAGTAAGAAGGGGCAGAAGCAGATGCCGATGGATGGGGAGGTGGTGGGATGGTGCCGTTGAGTTGATGGTAAGCGGGCATTTGCATCGATTGTTGAATGGGCATGTGAGGTGGGGGTGGTGGTGCTGTGAGGGGGTGCTGCGGAACGAGATTCGGTTGTTGTGCGTCGTACCCGGTAGAAGCTGGGGGCGCGTATTGTTGGGACATGTGTACGTCCTTGGGTAAAGCAAAGTAAGGAGTGGGCGTGACCTCTTGCGCGAAAGGGGGCGGGGGTGGGATCGCCATGGGAGGAAGAGGGGGTTGGTGGGCGTGGTAAGGACCGGAAGCCGGAGCTGGGGTGTAGTAATAAGGTTGAGCCTGCTGTTGAGGCATGCCGCCACCCTGCCGAGCATGTATCGGCGGTGGGCCGTAGCCGTGCATGGAAGCTGGATGCTGAGGTGGCATTTGTTGCTGTGGTGGTGGTGGTGGTGGTGGAGGAGGCTGCTGGGGTTGTTGCTGAGCCGCGACGTGCGAGGCCTGGTTGATCAATGTCTGGGTCGCCAACGTCGTAAGCGAAGACGAAGCCGGCTTGGGTTGCAGTGTGTACCCGTTCGGCGGAGGGAGAGCAGGTGATACACCTCTCCCGTCGGCCCAGTGGTCGGCCTGGGTCGCCAACCGGTCGGTCGGAATCGTCGAAGGCGGCGGTTGTGCCTTGGGAGCGGCCAACGAGGGAGGTAATCGGAACGGAGAGGTGATGGCCCGAGCAGCCGCGTAGCCTGGTGAGTGGGCAGAGGGTCAGTAAGATTCATACGACGTCTTGGGCTAAGTTCGGACTCACCCTCTGCCATCTGTCGAACCTATAAGCGAGGCCGGCGAAATGGGCACAAGTGGACTCCATTGGGACCCGGTCCGACCTGCGACGCGCGCAGCGCAAAGTGTCGATGACGTGCACAATTATTTGGCTTAAGAAGCCGTCGAAGCGGTCGTCGGCAGCCGCGGATCAGTGATCGAGCTTCGACTGTTTCGAACAGTATCCGGGCTTGTGAATCGTGATATAGGGATCTGCAAGCTTGTGGGCATACTAAAGACAGGTTCGGAGACTTCCTGCCAGCTATTTGACCGTATGTAACACACCGTGGCCTGCCGTTTGCTGCCAACGAGAGCGAAAAAGAAGTTATTTCGTACGGGATTAACTCAGTCATGGCAGTTATGATGTCTAACGAACGAAGAGAAGACACACGTCTCAAAGAATCCCACCACCAAGCGAAAAGCCAAATGCCCCATCATGGATCCGTATCCATCGCATACTCATCCTCCTGCATTCGTTTGGACCTCGCCCCCGCCCCTCTCCTCCTCGCCGTCGTGAGCGACCCTCCACTCTTCTCCCGCATCATCGTCTCCCCACCTTCTGACTCGGGTCCAATCCCCATCACCGCATCATCTCCACTCTTGACTTCACTCGTTCCCGTCTCAACGCTGGCCGAAGGTTCTTCCGCCACCGTGCTCCCACTCGTCGCTGTTGCCGAGGACCTCCTCACATCCGAATCGGAATCGTGTCTCCTCGTATGTGTGACGTGAACACTCTTGACCCTCCTACGATGTCCCAACGATCCCTTCCCTTCCGCATCATCCCCTTCTCCGCCCTCCTTCTTGCGCCTAGGGTTGAAGAACCCACACCTCGGACACCGGTACTGGATCGTGTCCCATTCCTCTTTGACGACCAAACCGTTGTGCGAATAGCAATTCGCGCAGATGAGCGCGTACTTGCTGTGTGGGGAGACATCTTCTTGGTTCGCACCAATCAGGGCGTCGGCGAGCTTATCGAGTAGCGTGCGGGGTGCAGGGGAGGAGAGGGCAGGTGGGAGAAGGGGTAGTTGGGGAGCTGAGCCGGCAGGTCCGGGCATAGTCGGTGGCATCGGCGGGTTCATGGAGCGGTTCGGGGTCGCTGTGTTCGACCCAGGCGTATGAACCGGTCCCAAAGGTGGGAAATTACCTCGGGCAGGAGTCGAAGGTTGTGATCCGGCAGGTGTCCTGTTGGGCTGCGAGGTCAAGTCGTCCGAGAAGGGTGATGAGCCCGACCGAGTTGAGACAGAGAGAATGAACCAGCAACTCACCCCGACGGTCTTCTTGGTCCCTTCATCGTACTTTTCCAACAGCGATCGGGTCGAATAATATCCCGTTTTGCGCTTGAGCTCCTCGACCTTGTCCTGTTGCTCCTTCTTGAGCACCTTGAGCGCTTGGACTGAGATTCGCGTGAACCGCCGAAGTCAGTTGAGTGGATGAACATGACAACTTTTGGAGTGAGGCACGCTTGACTCACTCTCTTTCTCTTGTTGTCGCCCAAAGAACCATCTCATGAACTTCTTGGTGAAGACGATCCTGCAACCCAAGCACACGCCACGCCACGTCATCAGCGCTCAACACTCGGACATTCGCAGCCGAACCTCTTGGTCGATCGCTCACCCGACAGGCGCCGCAACCACCGGCAGTACCCTCAAAAGCTTGTCGATCCCGTCCGCGCGATACCTCAGGATAGTATACCACACGACCGAGTAGATGAGCCACGCACCGATGCCGTAGGTGATGAAGAGCGCGTTGGCCCGCCTTTCACGCAGTCGGATCGACAAGAGGTGGTCTTCGCGCGTCTTGATGCGTGCTTCCAGGGCACTCAGTACGGTCTCGTAATCTGGTTCGGGTTTCTTAATTGGGAGAAGAGAAGTGAGCTGTCAGTGGGCGCGTGGGAGAGGTGTAGGGTGGGGCGTAGATGACAGTTGAACAGCCCGGAGCTGGGTGCGAGGTGCGACAGGTGGGGGGACGGCGGAGTCACGAGACACGGGCCAAGGCTGCGACGACTCACACGGCGGAACAGGTTCAGGAAACCCATCGTGGTGGGATTGAGGAAGTGTCAAACGAATGTGGGTCGGTGGAGTCTGCTCTGGTGCCTGTGGCTTGGAGGAGAACAGAGCGGAGCAAACCGAGAGGGGCCACAGCGCAAAGAGCCAGCCAGCGGCGGCCGCGTCATCGATCGTCAGCTTGGAGCGCACGCGCCCCGGCAAATCCCGCGGGGCGCCCACCAAGCGAGCTGAGGGTGATCTTCGTGAACTCCAGCACGTCAGCAAGAAACCCAGTCTGGAAATTTGAGTCTTGTACGAACAGATCCCCCCCAAAAAAAACCAAAAAAAAAAAAAAAAAAAAAAAAAAAAGGAATGAACGCAGGTTATTCAGGGGCAGCTCATCGTCCCTCTTTTGATCAGGCACTGCACTGCGACTCCGAGGTCGGGCACGGGTCAGCGATTTGGGTCACCGAGAAGAGGAGGGAGAGGGCACCCTATTAGGGCCCCGATGGGAACCCAAGCCGGCATTATTAGCAGGCACTTAGCAGGCACCTTTTGAGTTGGCACTACTGCAACCCCCGCGTAAGGCCGACTCGCAGTCTTCCTTTCGCACTCAACCACTTCGCAACACCTCTCGTTCCTACGGAAATGGTCGAATCAACAGCAACTCCTCCGGCGACGGTCATCCTTTGGGTACATCCGTGAGTTCAGTTCAACTGGACTTGGCTGTCCGCCTTCCTGCGAGCTCTCGCAGTTTCTCGAAGGCGCGGCCACGTCAACTTTTCTGAGCAGGCTTCTCACGCGACCGGCGATACTGCGATTGCGCAATTACCTAGCGGGTTTCATCGCCGATGATGCATGTCCATGAAGCCATGCTGCCATGGACAACACGCCTCGGAGCATCAACACATCAACACAGTCCGAACAGATATTCGAGTGGAAGCAGGAGCTGATTCGGTGCACGTTCATCCGTCCCACAGCCGGTCATGTAGCACCATGTTTGAATGCGCGATCTTACAACGTCCCGACGACTTCGAGGTCCTCCACGAGCCGATGGGTAAGTCTTGATCGATGCGCGCAGCTGTAGGGGCGACATCCTCTCATCGCAAGACTAATGTGGTGCAAACGATCATCAAAATCGAATCAAAAGGGATCTGACCACCGGACAACCCACAATCTATCAAACAGGGGATGCTTTCTACTTCGGGCCTGAAAGGATCTCGAAGCGGTATTCACCTGAGCAATGCGCGAAAGAATTTCCGCATTACGCCGAAGCAACGTTCAAGAAGGTAAATTCCCGGATAATTGAATTCGTTTGAGTTGCTCCCTTGTCCGATTAAAGCCCACATCAATTTGATCATTTCTGGAACAGACATGGGAAAATGTGATCAAGCCGAACGAGACGAAGCGAACTTTCTCCAAAGGTGGGGCTCGGAGATATCATCCATCGGCCTTAGAGAGAAATGCTGACGTCTTGGGGACCCTTTCAGACATGGCACAATACATCTGTAACCAAGCCTCCTCAACGGACATCAAATCCGTCCCTTCCCTCGGACCCGTCGATCCTTCGAACCCAACCTTGATCCCCAAAGACTCGCTTCTGTCCCCCTCCGTTATCCACACTTTCCTCATCCGCACCCCGTCGAAGGCCGTCCCGTCCTACCACCGTCTCTGTTACCCCGGTTCTCCCACCGGGTTCGAATACTGGGACCCCGAAGAAACGGGTTTGAGGGAATTGAGGTTGTTGTTTGATTATATCAGGAAGCAGACGGGCAGGACGCCGTTGGTGTTGGATTCGGAGGATTTGTTGGCCGATCCGGAGGGTATTATGAAAGTTTGGTGTGATGAGGTGCAGGTCAGGTTCGATCCTTCCATGTTGGAATGGAATGAGGGGACGAGGGAGCATTTCGTGAGCTTGCTCCTTTCCGCCGTGGGGTCGAATTGTCTCCTGATCGAGTCTTCGAATCTAATCCCCACCCACACAACCTCAACCTCGCAGAAAAAGTGGCCCGGCTTCCACACTTCTGCCGAAGCATCCAAAGGTGTCGGGAAAGGTCTCTCCAAGGACCACATCACGCCTTCGAATCATGGCACCCCGAATGGCGAGACACCCAAGTTCCCCGACGATGTCGTGGAATGCATCGTTGCCAATACGGAGGATTATGAATATTTGAGGGGCTTCGTCAAGAAGGCTTGATGGGTCGAGTTTCGGGGGTTTCAAAAGAATTTCTGTAGCTCGACTTGCTCGTTCCTGTGTCTGCCTCATTCGTGCTCGCTGGTCCATCACACTGGTGTTTTGTCATCTGTGCCCGAATTCGCCCCCCATGTGCTTCCCACGTAGTCCCAATACGCACATCCCTCACTTCTCGAAGTTTTTTTTGGTGATAATCATCATGTTCCGATTCTATGATATGCCGAATGCTTTATGAGAGACTACAAATTCTTTTCGTTCTACAATACCGACCCCTACCATCCCAGTCGTCCTTCTATGTGCCATCCACCTAAACCCTCTTGAGCGTGAAAGCATACACCAACGCGACCAGCGTCGCGATCACCAACGTGACCTTTAGCCTCGCCTTCCTCAACGCCGGCGCCAGCCAAACCCTCCACAAACCCGTACCAAAAGACATCCTATAATCCGGTGTATCCCCATCCGCAATTTGTTGCAGCAACATCGTATGGAACAAGGTCGACATCCCTGGACCGATCAGTTGGAAAGGGATCCAACCGAATCCGGTGTGTTTGATCCCGTACGATGGGGCACGGGCTTGTTGAGGGCTCAGAGAGGCATCGAGGAGTTTGAGAGGGAGTGAAGGGTCCGCACAGGCGGGTCGTCCGAGACCTACGAGATCGGTTGAGTTTGAGAGCAAGGCTTCGGCCATGCCTTCTCGTGTTCGAAGACCGCCGGTGAGTAAGACGACAGGTGCGGGCGTGGGGAGGGATTCCTGGGGCAGCGACAAGAGGAGTTCTCGAGCCTTTTCCGCAAACGAAAGGAAGAACGCTTCCCGATTCGATGTCAATCTCTTCGGCTTGGCCTGTCCCTTCCCAACTATCTCATCGGGTGCTTTGTCGCCCAACATTGCAGGGTTCTCGTACGTGCCCCCTGAAATCTCAATAAAGTCGACCCCACCATGTTCAGCGATCCATCGTACGTGGTCGAGCGCGTCTTCTTCGGTGAGACCACCTTTGACATAGTCGGAGGAATTGAGCTTGATGCCCAAGGCGAACCCGGTCGAGAAGGGAATTTCGGAACGAATTGCGTCGATGATGCGGAAGAGGAGCTTGGTCCGTTTGAGGTTCGAGCCGCCGTAGGCGTCGGTTCGTACGTTAGTCTGGCGGGTGGAGGGAACGTTAGTCTTACGGTAGGAAAAAAAGGTTTTTGATATAGGCACAGGCTTACCTTGGGACTCATGAACTGTGCCAAGAGGTATCTGAAGAGCAGCGAGTGGACTTGAGCATCCGTTCCAAATTCAAGAGGCAAAGTTTTTCACTCACCCATGACTGCAATGAAGCTGAACGCCATCAAACCCTGACTTTTTGGCCAACAAAGCCCCTTGTAAGAATTGATCGACAACCTCGTCCAACTCCTTCTCATCCATCGCCTTGGGTTGACCAAACATGACCGACCCCACCGCCCAGCCCAAAACGGAATCGGCCGGTTTGAGCAAGATGGCCGAAGGAGCGAGCGAAGGTTCGAGCACGCCTCGGCCTGATCCTCGCATCGATTGACGACCGGTATGACACAATTGCATGATGGTAGGCACGGGTTTGGGTCCATGGCCATGACATGTCTCGGCCCATTCCGTGAATGCCTCCAAGGCCTTGTCATACGCTTGAGGCCGATGCCGATCGGGAACGACGATATCGAGTGGGGTACCCAAGTGCCGAGACGAGACTTGGACGTTACCCGTGAGCACAAGACCCCAGCCCCCTCGGGCCCATTCTTCGTAAAGCTTGTAGTCGGCCGGTGTAGGGATGCCTTGCCGACCGAGCATCTCTTCCATCGCGGCTTTGGTCAGACGATTCGGCAATTCGAGGCCGCCGGGAAGCGTCAGAGGGGCAGATAGCGCTTGGACCTGGTCCTGGGCGTAGTGGGCCATGGTGTGATGCCTAGAGATTTTTTTTTTGAAGAGGGGACGGAAGAAAAGAAGGATGGCCAAAAGAGGGAAGAAGGAGAATGACGAGCCCCGGTCCGGGAAATGAAGCTCGTGAAAGCCGGGCCGCGCGAACGGTCCATCTCCGTGGCCTGCGACACGGCGATCGGGCGACGGGGACGCCGGCGTGCAAACCTTTGCCGCTCCGAGTCGGAAATTTGTTGCCTATTGATCTCCAAGATGGAGTCGGACTCTGTCCACACGAGACCGATGGGGAGGAGATACAGTTAAGCGAGACCTCTCTCGCTCTCAGCTTCTGGCAGCCTCTCTTTAGGTTGGGACCAGCTCACCGAGCTCGATGTTACGACCGAAGAGAGTCTGATCACGTGATCCGATTTGCGCCGCGAGCGTCGCGTTTCGACGTCTGCTGCCCGCTCCAGGCTCGAGCCCCCTCTGTCGCCACCACCTGTGTCGTACATCTTACCCAATTGGTCTTGTACCATCGCATCCTCACCTCATCCCTCTCGAACCCTGCATGGCCTCAACATCGACCCTTCCCCCATCTCGCACCGCACCTTCCACCTCCCGCCCTGCTACAACAACTTCCATCACCTCCCCTACCGAACTAGTCGCAGCATGGAAGAAGGAAGGTCTCTTCGACGCGCTGAGGAAACAACTCATCCATGACTTTTCCCAGTCGGTGCGTTGGAGGCGATGCTTGAACGCGGTCACGCGACTTGGCCTCTCCACGGAATCGGGATGGCTGGAAAGTTCCACGCTGATGAACAATTGGGGCTGATGACGACAGGATGATAAGGATAGCTTTCTCATACAATTGGACGACAAGTTGGCGCAACTCGTCGCGGATCCGTCGTTCGCTCGACTGAACAAGAAGGATCGCTCCTTGCACCTCTACAACTCGACAGAGGGACAATCCCAACTACTACAACAAGTGCGTCGTTCAGCTCAAGATGTACGAGGAATAATTCATTATAGTTGTGCTCACTCGCACGAGTTGAATGTGCACAGACATCCGCAGCGACGGATCGACGACTTCGAGCGAAGCAAGCCGGCCAGTCCGAGTCGAGTTTGGAGCAAATTGAAAAAGGGCTGCGGGCGACGTTGAACAGCTTGAGAGGGAAAACACAGGTCGTCGAGGACGTGTCCAAAAAACCACCAAATGACAAGATGGATGTAGAAGAAGGGCCCAATGGAGCGCCGGTGGTCGAAGAAGTCAGAAAGGGTGAGCAGTTTCTCTCCTTGGGAAAGAGCAACCCAGAGCTGACGCGGGAAGGGTAAATATGCTTGAACTTTGTAAAGCTTCGACGAATGGCTTGATGTCCACTCCGATAGACACAATAGCCGACACCAAGATATCTGAACCCTCCGACGGGTCGCCGAGGACAGCGGATCCATGACCCGTCTTCAGCGGAGATGGACCTCCGAACAGCCAAGTTCGTCATATTTTCTGAATCTATGCATCTATGTTTGTTGTAGCAATAAACAGTCGACGAACAGCGGATTACCAGAACATTAGGGGGCCGATCTCGTACACTTCTTCCGTTCCCGAATTCCGCTGACAGAGAGCGCTTACAACGAGTACATTGTCAAAGTAAGGCAAAGTAAAGACAAGACATGCAAAATAAAATGTAACAAGATAGTTCAAAAGGGATAAGAAAAACGAAACATAAAAAGTAGTCATGCCATAAATTGTGGGGTATACAAGTCCACCCAAGGGGGGATCCATCCTCCTGTCTTCCCACTCCACTCGTCCTCCACCCTACTTACTGCCTCGCAGCCTGAGCCGAAACGGACTGTCTCGTATACCCCATCCTCGCCTCATACCTCCTCAGATCATCCGCCGTCAACGCGTCCGTCCCCTCCCAACACGCCGAACTCGTCCTCCTCGTCAACCGCGTCAGGTTTGCATTCCTGAAGATCTCATGCATCTGCAAAGGCGGGATCGGACCAAAGATATCCCTCGGGTTGATCTGTTGTTGCGCGTACAATGCCGCGGCTAGCGCAGGCGACTGGGCCCAACCTGGCATCGCGGCGATTTTGACCGCACGGGCTTCTTCGTCGCCAGAATCGGAGTATTCGGAATCGATCTCGGGAAGTTCTTGGTATGGCTCGGCTTGGGGTGGGGGAGCAACGATGCGAGGGGGTTGAGGTGGGGCGAAGGCCTTCGTAGCGAATTGGGGTGGGGCGATCGCTCGAGGTGGGGCACTGCTCGAGGCACCGAGATTCGAAGGGTTCGGTACCATGTACTTGACGCCGATCATCGAGGATGATGCTGTTGCAGAGGTTGACGATGAGGCCCCGGGCATCTGTCGATGGTTTGAAGGCTGCGAAGCACTCAATCCTCCATTGGGTGGTCGAGGTTGACTCGAATTGAGGTTCGAAGACGTTGTCGATGGATAAGGACGCAGAGGTGCACTCGAACCGGGGTACTGCGACGGCTGCGATTGCGTCGTCGTCGTCGTCGTCTTCTTCGTCTCCGGTCGTTGCTGCTTGAGCTTACGTTCCCTCTCCTCTCTCTCCTTCCTCCTCCGTTCCAACTCGTCCCTCCTGACCCTATCCTCCTCCGCCTTCTTCTTCTGCGCCATCTCGGCGCGCTTGTTCTGCACCTCGAGCTTTTGCGCGTTCTTGCGATCGGCTTCCTCTTGCTGCTTTTGGCGCGCGCGTTCGGCGGCTTGCACGGATTTAATGTGCGATGAGACCGAGGCGTTGTTGGTGCCTTTGACGGAACCGTACATCGCTGAACCGGGTCGGGAAGGCGCTTGGGAGGATTGGGACGAAGCGAGCGACGAGTGCGAGCTCTTCTTTTGCAATGTGGGTTGACGGATCGACGAAGTGCCCGCGTAGTGCGTAGGCTGTGAAGATGTACACCTTGTCAGCAAAGGTGAACTAGACAATACCTCGCAAGTGATTGGGCCTACCTTAAACTTGGTCGGCTCAGAGTACTCCATCGAGCGATCCCCTTCTTCCTCCTCCTCATCCTCCGCTCCAAACGTCCCCGGCATGACCGTCTTACTCTGACTCTTCTTCAACGCCCCACCCTCCGCATCCATCGCCACAGCCAACTTGCCCTGTCCTTGACTCACTACGGTCCTTCCGCGACCGTACCCCTCTCCGTCACTCTCATCATCCGCATCATCATGCTCCAATCTAGGGGGGAGTTGCCCCAACAATTCATCATCGTCTTCATCATCACGCACCATTTCCTCGTCCTCTTCATCCTCGTACCTCGTTTGGGTCGACTTGCCCAGCCCACTCTTTGACGTTTTAACGACAGGCGAGTTCAACCTCGACGAAGCGACGTCGTCCATGTCCTTCATCAATGCGGACATGTTCGTCATCTTCGTAGTCGTGGTAGTAGTAGTGGCAGGCTTGTTAGGTGGGGATTCCTTGGGCGTCGTACTGATTCGCATCTTGTGCATTGCCATGTCCGCCACACGAGCAGGACTCTTGGGTTGCACGGCAGGGGAAGAACGAGTCGTCGTCGTCGTCGTCGTCGTCGTCGTTTTGACGGGTGAGGAAGGAGAGGGAGAGACGATCTTGGCTGCAGCAGCGGCGATCCGAGGCGAGCGAACAAGTGCCGTAGGAACGGTAGTAGGGGGCGAAGCGATCTTCGACATGGATTGACCGAACGTCGACGAAGCCATCCCCATTCGAGGTGATTGAGGTGGGGAGATCGTGTTCGCCATGGCGGTCGCAGAGCGAGTGACGGGACTCATTGCACGTCCGAGACGCGAGGGAGAGAGAGGTAGCCTCGAAGCGGTCGAGGTCGAAGTTGGTGAGGCCGTGCGCTCGAAAGACTTGACTCGATCCATCACCGAGGGTCGTGGGGCCGGCGCAGAAATAGCGGGTACAGAAGCGGGAGCTTGAGTCTGAGCCACGGAAGTAGCTGGAGCAGAAGGTGCGGTCCCATTGGTGGTCGTCGTCGACATCGCGGCGACACTGAGCGAGAGGTTATTCGAAAGCGGCTTGTGAACGAACGAGCTCGAGCCACTGATCCCACTCAGCCTCGACGACACTCCCGAAACCGTGCTCTGGCGCGACTGCATCTCCCTCATGCGGTTCATCAGACTGTTGACGCCACTCGCCGCAGGAGGACTGGTTGCGCTCTCCGCATCCATTCGCTTGCTGGGTGGAGCCGTGCTATCGTCGTTCATCGACTTGCGCTTCGTAGCACCTGTCGCGGTCGTGGTCGTCGCTGCAGAAGACAAGACTTGACCAATCGACGAGGCTTGCGAGTTCAAAGACTGTTGCGAGTCTGTCGTCGCCGAGGACGTCGCCCAGTTGCGCACGAGTCCAAGGCCAAGGCTCTTCTTGGGAATCGAGACGAACTTGAGCGGCTTAGGCGGTCCGTTATTGCCAATCGACTTGCGCGACGCGTTTGACGCCTGGGGCGAGTTACCGAGACCGAGCGAACCGACTTTGGCGGCCGAGTAGGAGCCGACGCTGTACGAGAAGGTTGAGGCGGCGCCTCCGCCCGGTGTCTGCGTCGTGCCAGTCGAGGGAGGAGGATGGGACGACGAGGTGGACGAGGCCAAAGGAGTAGCCGTGGCGTTGCGCAAGGACGAAGGCGCATCGTTGAGGGGCACGGCCGTGTCGGCATCGGCTTCCTCGGCGATCGATGATGCCGAAGACGAGACGACCCTCTGTGAGCCTTGTGATCTGCCAGTGGACAGACGAGGCGCAGACGCCTGCGACGAAGTTGCGGTGGAGATGATCGACCCTGGATATTGGGACACGGCGGTCCGGTACGATTCGGCGATAGATCGATGATCATCCTCGAGTTCCTCCTCTTCCTCGCCAATCATCGAAAGTTCCGCATTCGCCGCTGCGTCCAGAACCGCGGTGGCGTCCTCTTGGTCATCGAGGTCGGCTTCAGACTCCAAGGGAACGTCATCCTGTTCCATGGCAGCGGCGGCAGCGATGGCATCGAATACGACGTCATCTTCATCTTGCATCGCATACGACTTGCTCGATGAAAGCACCGGGGTGGCCGGCTCGGCTGTAGCCTTGGATGCAGATTTTGACTTTGATGAAGCTGAGGAAGTCTTGCTTGGCCGGGCGGGCGAGTCAATGTCCATGGCGAAGTCGATGGCCATCTTGCCCGCTGAAGTAGGTGGCGACATGGCCGAAATGGCGGACAAGGTCCTGACGGCCTGGGTCGACTTGAGTAAAGCCGGGCGAGGGGAAGCGGTGCGCAGCGGGCTCTTGGCTTGGGCGATTCTCGACGGTGGTGCGGCGGAACCGCCGGGTGAGCCTCGGGGCGATCCAAGTGGGGATCGTGGTGCGGGCGACAGACGGAGCGAATTCTCCTTGCCTCCTTGGTGCAGGAAACGGGGCTGGGCGGCGTTGGGGAAGAGCAAGGTCGCGACGGGGTCCTTCGTTGAGTGACGGGCCGCGGATCCTAGCGAATGTTGGTTGTTCTGCTGCAGCGCCGAGCCATGGTTCGCGGCGGTGCGTTTCCTTCCCGGCGTCTTCATCAACTCAGACATGGCAGGCCTGTGTGAGACTCCGAGTTAGTTATACATGCCTCGCTCGACGATCATGACGCGCCAGGCAGTGGACTGGACTGACTTTATGCCCTGATGCGCGGCCTGGGTGTGCGCCAACTGCACCGATTCGAGAAAGCCTTCGAGCCACCTGTGACTGTCGATGACATCCTGTTGGTGGTCTTGCCAAGTTGAAAGAGCGAGTTTGCGGAGTGTATGTCGTACGTCGTGGACTTGGTCGTGATCGTGGTGGTCGTGGTCGTGGTCGTGGTCGGGGTCGTGGTGCGGCTCGTTGACGTGACTCGGGGGCGCGGCGGCGGCGACTGTTGAATGATCCACCGCCATCGACGACGTCGCCAGCCTCGACGAGGGAGCCATGGCGTAGGGGCGACAGGGACCAGGGGAAGGAAGAACCCGAAAGGAACCAGACACGACCTTGATGTCGGGTTGTCGGTGTGGGCGAGTGGGTGAATGCGCCGAATGACACGGGCCGGGGTCGATGAGGGGGAGTCAGGAGAGCCCAGCCTAGCCCAGCCCGGCACCGCGACACGCGCGCGATACCGCCGGTTTTGAGCTCGGACCCACGGCAGTCGGACTCCTGCCTCACGACTCGCGATGAATTACTGACAGCGAAATGTCTAAGACTTCAAGCTAATAGCTAAGTCTCGGTAAAGCGCATAACTCGGGGAAACTTCCAGACCGTCTCTACAACCATTCTCCAGTCCCAGGGTGTCGGCGCCGGCCGGCCACCGAATCGCCCGTGAAAGCCGGCGCGAGTGAGCCGTGTCGGTTCCTGACTCGCAATGTCGTCTGCCTCTCGCTTCTCCCGCCCCACTTCTGTCGTCGCCGACTCGCCGGCCGCATACCAACCGGCTCTACACCCTCATATCATGGCCACCCGTGCAATCCCAGCCTCCTTCTGGCGGGGCGGTACGTCCCGTGGGCTCATCTTCCGCGCCTCGACCCTCGCCGCATTCCCACCTGCGATCCGCGAACAAATCATCTACACCGCCATGGGTTCCCCCGATCCCGGAGGACGTCAAATCTCCGGCCTCGGTGGAGGGGCCTCATCCTTGTCCAAGGCGTGCATTTTGGGATTACCTGGAGAAGGCCTTGAGGACCAGAATGCACAGGGCAGGTTGCCGGGCCCGACTTGGGCTGATGATGGGCATCGGAAAGGAAAGGGGCAGTGGGATGTAGTCTATCGATTTGCTCAAGTTGGGGTTCGAGAAGCTGTGCTGGATTGGTGAGTGCAGTCGCTTGGTTCTTACGTTCGACCCCCGCGCTTGGACAGGTCACGTGCTCCTACCCCACAAGCTGAGCAAAATCTTCTCCCCACATTCCCCTAGGACGGCAACGTGCGGCAATATGCTCTCGGCCGTAGCCGTATCAGCCGTATCATCCTCCATCATACCTTACTCGACCCTATTCGCCCGAGCAAGATCCCTACCCCGGCCCGAGCCAGACGAGCCTCTGCTCTTTCCCATCTCGATTCTCTCCGTTGCGAACGGCCTCGTCATGCGAGTCCGAGTCCCTCTCGATCCGTATACGCTACAAATCTGGAATCCAGAACCAGGAAAGGGGGTCAAGATTGCTGGAGTCCCCGAGGAGGCTGCGGCGATCGAGTGCGAGATGCCGATTGAACCGAGTCAAGATGGCGCCGATGGGTCCGGGTTGGTCACGGGTCGAGTGACGGATACCATCTGCATTGACGGCAAAGAGGTACGAAAGGAAAACCCCGCCTTCTGAAACCATCCCTTATGTGCTGAAAGCAGGCCGTTCTTTGCCCCTGGTACAGATCACAGCCTCACTCGTCTCGTCAGGGCTGCCCAACATTTTCCTCCCCATATCCCAACTCCCCCAACTCGACCCTACACTTTCGCCCTCCCTCTTATTAGCCTCTGCAACCGAACTAACATCCCACCCAACCCTCCCAACTCACCTCGAACGGATCCGGACCACCTTCGCCGAGACGTACTCGATCCCTCTCTCCCTCGCCTCTCCCAAAATAACGCTCATCGGTCCCATCCCAACCTCGAACTACCAAACCTCCTCCAACATGACCATCACGCCCTCCGATGCGGACCTCCTAGTACGAGCAATCTCATCAGGTGATTTCCACGCTACCATCCCAGGCACGACATTAGGGGCTTTGAACATCGCTCTAGGACACAAAGGGACGATGGTCAATTCGCTTGTTGGGGAGGAGAGAGCTCTGAAGGATGGCGTCGTCGAAGTCAAGGCTGCGCATGCCGCCGGGGTCGCGGAGGCCAAGGTTAGGTTCGAGGAGGGGAGACCGAGTAGTGTAGTTATGGTCAGGACGGCGAGGGAGATCATGAGAGGGGAGGTGTTGGTGCCTGAACGGGTCTTTGCGGCGCTGGAACGATGATCTACAAGTTCTTCGCATCTGATTCTTGGGCGATTGCAACTGCAAGTCATCGAGTGGTGTTCGAACATGAAAGCGGGGATGAGATCTTCTACGCAGGAGATGTGCATCCAAACGTAACCCGAGAACGAGTACGATAAACGGGCGCAATCACCCAGTGCACATATGAGCCCACTTGGCCTCCGGTCGAGATGATTAGCATCCATCAATGACCAAACCACTGCCTGCGGGGCCGGTCCGCCCAGGCCTCTGAGAGATCTTTGAAAATCCCGAGCATTTCCTCATGCACAGCATCATCCATTTCAAGGTTCTGAGGCTTCGAGGCATCCTCCGTCGGCACGTCAGAGAAAAGCCATGATAGACCGAACACACCGTGCCTGTAGGAGACAGCACCCCTTCGAGCAAGTAAAGACGCCAGTGATGTGTCGTGCATCATGCTGAGACGCAGCTGAAGCCCGTGCGTTTGGAGCAGGGTTCGAGTAAAAGGCGGGAGCTGGACCCCGTTGTCAATCGGGCTCCTGACCGGCTGCGAGAGGCCAGATCCCGAAATGGGTGGGTGTGGGTGATGAAGTCTAGATCCACCTCCAGTGATCGCCACTCACGCTCTCGCGTATCTCTCTACGGATCTCCGGACACGGACTGGTTGCCGTGATCGGGTTCAAGGTTCTGGACGCTTCAGGTAGAAGGATAAAGCCTGGTCGGATTTGATCGAGCTGTTATCCCAGCGCCCGGGTTTCAACGCCCTTCATCGATTGCGCGTGCAGCAGACAAACGGAGCCTCTTGTTGTTCGTCTCCCTCATTTCCGCCGTCCCCGCCAGCCTCGGGATTCGGAACACATTGCAAAAACTCCGGTACAGACGCCTAAACTGCCTAACCCAAAGCCTACAGGCAGTGCTCCTGTGGCTGAAATCAAGCCCAACCTTGCCAAGTAGGTAGGCACGCCGAGGTAACGACGTGTCCCAACCCCGGGCCCCAGTAAGCTTTAGGAGTCAGGGCGGTTGGATCCACGCGCTTGTAAGGCGCCGCTCCGCTTACGCCTCACGACGACCTCGAGCCAACCTCTGCGGCCTCACGCTTGCCCTCGCGCGCGGCGCCGCCGCGTCTCTTGACCTTAGTCCTTTTAGTAGTCTTTCTTCGCCTGCGAATTACACCGTTTGATCCTTTCTGTTTGGACTCGGAATCAGTGAGGCTCGAGAGCGATCTCGTGCCTTTCAGCGCTTTCCGTGGCGGCGGGTCCATGCGCATCACCACCATTTTTTCCGACCATACCCCGCCAGTCGTGGCTCAGTCTTCTTCAAGCATGCAGTTCATGTTATAGAGATTGTCGCCTCCCACACACCTTCTACGTTGCAATGTCGGTCACATTAGTGCACCTTCATGTGGAATGCCACTCGGCCGCCCCCGGTCGACCTCCGACCGGAACGCACTCGCCCCGACTCGCCGAGCCCGAAATCGAGCATAAGCGGGGAGCTCGTCTCGCGTAACGCGCAGTTGACGCTTTCATGTGCAGGGCGAGAGGAGAGAGCGCGGGACCGGAAGTACAGAGGTGATGAGACGGAGAACGAGAGACAAGAAACCAGAAACCAGAAACGAGACGCTGAGACTGAAGACTGGGGAACGCTGCCGAAACAAGAATGAGAACTAAAGACACGCGAAAAGGAAGAGCCGGGTGAAATGCTGTATTGGATTCTGGAAGTGGTCTCCTCGATAACAAGAAGCAAACTCCTTCCAGATGTCCTCGTCATTCGAGCCACTCCGCTCCCTTGCTAGGACCCGGGAAAGCTCAGCCTACTAATGTGCGTCTCGACAATGTACAAATCGGACCCTCCGAACCCCGATCTGTGACTCAAAAGAGGTACAAATCGAAAAATTTGGAGTTCCAGATCATCTATGTACGTCCAGGATGTGGTACAAATCGATGTACCTAGACCTCGCACCTCCCTCGGCCGGGGCCGGCCCTCCCCTGCCCGGCCGATGGCCGAGCGCGTATGAGCTGCGCGTACGCCATTTAATGGTCCATTAGTTCGCGCGAGCCGATTGTAATGCAAGGAAAATGCGCTTCAAGCGCACCCAAGACGCCATCCACAAAGGATACAGAAAGGCGCTGGAAGTGGGCGAAATGCCATTAGACGCCCCTGATAGCCCCTGACCATCCTCACCTTGTGCCAGGTCGCGATCATCCTACGTTCTGCGCACTTTCGTGTGTGCTCTAGATTACTCGGGGAACAGTCCTCGTTTTTTTCTTCCTCTAAATCCCTGCGTCGGAGCTCTCGAGTCACGGTGAGCGCCGCGCCGCAACCCAGTTCCGTGTGGGAGTTCGCGGTAAATCAAAGTGGAAGCGAGGTCATTCCAGCTCGAACAAAGCTGCTGAGGCAACAAACACTGTATCGATTCACCTTGTTGAGGGACAAGAGGACAACATGTCATCTATAACAGTCCATCCAGAGTCACGAATTCACCTGTCCCTAGACGACGTGCTCAAGATCCCGCGTTATTCGACAAAAGTTACGATTTCCGAGAATTGGTAGTATGCCGCCGGCTATTGAACCTTCTTGAACAGGGGTTTAGACTGGTGCAAAGTCAGAGCCACTGGATCTATGCAGCACTAAATTCACAGAGCCACAAATTGGGACTCTAATCGGCCTAAAATCGCTGTTTTCTCGAGACGCACATTGGGCTGTGACGAAAACTGAAGCCTGGCGCGTTCATAAGCGCCTCCTCTTCCTCCCGTGAGCCGCCTCTTCCCCCCCTCCCCCCCCACCCCGGGCCCCAGGGTCGGTCCTCCGTGTGCACTTCTGTCGCATGGGTTGCCTTTGATGGTTGATCCTTGAGACACTGAATGTATCCGGAAGCGCTTTATCGATGAGATATCTGCCGAAACCGCTGTCATTAACCTGATCGATCGCCGGAGGTGACTTGTCGAGGCCCCTGAATCCGATTTTGGCCGCCGCTGCCGCGTAGTACCTCATCAACCGCCGGAAGCGCTCGTCGTCGAGGCGCCTAAGTCCAAAGATCGCTGCCGCTTTAATCGCTGTTGGCCTTGACATTTTGACATTTTCAAACGACGATTCCTACGGAACCGCGAGTACCACGGCAGCCTGGCAAGACTCACGCAACTCTTCGCAACCCTTCCCCTTTCACACTCCGTCGTTCAGCCAGTCACCCCACGACATGTTTGTCCCTCACAGCACCTACGCTTGGAGAGTTTCCCGTCTCCCTTCCCTCCGCGCAGACGCACAGACAGAACGTTTCGACGTTTTGCCCGACGGAGAGCCCCACAATGGCTACATCCTGCACCTTGACGGAACTGGCCTTTTCGATTTGGAGATACCAGGTCGAGAGGGCTTGAACAGTAAGAAACGCAAATCTTTTGATCATGCTCTGAAAACGCGTTGGCTCAAGCACGCTACCTGCGCAATTTGGTCCCCCGATCGCTCCATCCGTTACCACCAACGTGACTTTGTCACTCTGGACACGTTACACTTGTTCTGGAGGGTGCCGAATTTGGACCAGAGATATCATAGTCAAGATGGTTCCGACCTATGGCCTCGCCTCCCATTCGAGGTCGTGATCTATCTCGACCAACAACACGTGGAAGCCGAAGAGAAGCAGCTGGTGTGCATGCGCCGGATCGTCGAACTTGAGGCAGTAATTGCAGACCTTCGCATGGAGGCCGACCGCAACGAACGCCAGGCAAGCCATCAAAATGCGATACAATCGATGCGAGCGAGAACTCTCAGGCGCAACCAAGGTGAGGCATAAGCGTGTTGGAGTTTCTCACTTGATTTTTCCCATACTTACTGCAAAAGCGGGGCACGATCTCCCTGGGCAGAGCTCTTTCTGACCGCCCATCCCTTCGACGTTCGCTTCGAGTTTGGATCCGTCGAAGACCTGTGGGAGAACTCGGAGTTCCTGGCCTCGCAATCGCCCTACTTTTCCGACCTCTTTGCCGCCGGATTCTTGGAAAGTGCGACTAAGTCCCTCGATCCCGAGCGCTGCAGCATCCCAACGCGTACGGTCCACGTGACCAAGGGATCCCTCGAGGAATACCGTGCGGTGTTCGTCTGGCTACGTATCGGCCTCGTCCAATTCGATGATTCACCCGAAGGCTCGCACCACCAAGCCGCTGTGCAAGACCCGAAACCCAGTCATGCGTCATCCATCTACTCGCTCGCTCACTTCCTCCAGATCCCAGAGCTCTCGGCCCTTGCCTTGAAATTTTGTCTGGAACACCTGACTCCTGCCAAGGTCGCCGAGGAGCTGCTTCGAGAGTGGTGCTACCTCTACAAAGAGGTTCGGCAAGAACTGATCGAGTACGCCGTTCGCAATTGGTCCAAGGTCAAGACGTCTCCTGGTATGAAGGATCTATGCAAGACGCTTGGAAGTGACGATTTGCCGTTCGAGACGCAGAGCGTCCTTCTCGAGTTGATGGCTAAAGTTGCAACCATATGATTTCAACTCCGAGTCGGGTATCTCCCGTAAGGTGACTGCGCAGGCTCTCTTTGTCGTTGGAGTCATGGAATCGGAAGAAACTTTCACGCACAGAAGAAGACTCAAATGTCATTGCAAACCATCTCGAAAGTTCGTGTTAATTTGGTGCATCTTCGTGCGCGGCCATTCCTTCGCAAGTTCTTTCTGAACTTCCTGAGTCGATCAAACATCCATGCATAATGCCGCGAGTGAATGGTGCAATTACAAATTACACGTGCGCGTTTGCCCCAAAGCTTGGCGCATTCACCCCCGATAGTAAGGTGCAAACATCACTTACAAATGGTGCATCCTTCGCACAAGTTTGGTCCATTTGCTCTCGAAAAGTGATGCGTGTTCCAGTTATCAACTCGCTGGCTGCGCCAGGGATTTAGCTCACGCCCGCCGCCGAATGGAAATTCGGCTCTCATGATGTCTCGAGAATCTCGTCTGAAAGAAGGAAAACAGGTTAATGCGGAGATGGTGCAATCAGTCAACTCTCCTTCCCGCGCCGGTTAGCGGGGTACCCAAAGATAGGTCGAGGCACGCGCGAAGAAAAAGTGTATTTACATCAGAGACGTTCAGGCGCCTCGGCGCGGCCTCCCTCGCCCCAGCTGGCCCCAGCAGTCCACCAGCAGATATCTGCCCCGTACCGAATGACCCCTTTTGAGCGACCATCTTAGGAGCACGATTATTCCCAGTCGAGTGGCGTGGAAGAGTCATTCGGCCCTGCTGGTCAATACAGTGCTTTTGGGGTCCCCCCAGACACTCTGTGTGGACTACATCGGGGGTATGAATACGCAATGGAATAGTGGAATAAGAGGACTGTGACTGACGGTGGAGAGCGCTCGGTTTAACCACAGCTACGCAAGCCCTTTGCCCTTTCCATTTGCCCGACCGGCGACTCAGACTCCATAGCGCAACTGCCCGTTGGAACAGGGACCGCGATTACGCGCCGCCAACAGATTCCGCAACATACACTTGTCCTGGCGAATCTCTCCTTTAGACTCGTCTCGAACATCTTGTTTCCCACGCCACGACCCTGTCCAAGTGATACCGAGAGCCATTCACTGCGTCCGCCCATTCTGTTCGTACTGCGCGTCGTTTCGACATGTTCATGGATCATGGAACCCACTACTGGACTCTGGATCTGGACAAACTGGCGTCTTTGGGCTGCGACGGCGAGTGGGAGACCCCCCCTTTCTACCCCCTGGAGTCTGATCGCATGGCCTTGTGCTTCAACAACGCGGGTGTTTTCCGTTTGGCACTTTTGCACAGACAGCAGTTGACTTCTACTGCGCGTCCATCGTATGATCACAATCTGAAGCACTGCGGACTCAGGCATGCCATCTGCGAGGTCTGGTCCACCGATCGGACGGAATGCTACCATTCGCACCGCTTCGTCGTCTTCGGTAGCTATCCAGAACTGCGTGTGGACTGGGAGGTGCCGCGACTGCTTAAGATGGCACAATCCTGCAACAAGGATGAACGCATCTGTATCGTCGCCTTTCAAGTGGATTCGCGGAACCTGGAGAACCAACTAATGTATCGGAGGGGAATAACGGCTCGACTCGCCGAGGCTGGAGTCAAGGTTGCGCGTCTCGTGCGACAGGAGTGTCAGGAGAAGCATCTGGTCACGCTCAATGAAATGTTCAGCAAGACTCAACAGAGTCTTCAGGGTGAGTCTTACTCTTCTCCGCGGTTTAAGCTTAGTCTGCCATCTAATCTCGTCCGGTGGGAATCCTTGCAGTGATTTATTCGACCGCCCACCCCTTTGATGTTCGCTTCGAGTTCGGATCCGCCACAGACCTGTGGGAGAATTCGGCGTTTCTGGCCTCGCAATCGCCCTACTTCGCTGACCTCTTTGCCGCCGGATTCTTGGAAAGTGTGACGAAGCCCCTCGATCCCGAGCGCTGCAGCGTTCCAGCGCGTACTGTCCACGTGACCACGGGACGCCTCGAGGAATACCGCGCGGTGTTTGTCTGGCTCCGTACCGGCTTCATTCGATTCGACGATTCACCCGAAGGCTCGCACGACCAAGCCGCTGTGCAAGACACCAACCTCATTCAAGCGTCTTCCATTTACTCGCTTGCCCAGTTCCTCCAAATCCCAGAGCTCTCGGCCCTTGCCTTGAAGTTTTGTCTGGAACATCTGACTCCTGCCAAGGTCGCCGAGGAGCTGTTTCGAGAGTGGAGCTATCTTCACAAAGAGGTTCGTCAAGAACTGATCCAGTACGCCGTTCGCAATTGGTCCGAGGTCAAAACCTCTAAGTCCATCACGGAGGCGTGCAAGACGATCGGAAGTGACGACTTGCCGTTCGAGACGCAGAGCGTTCTTCTGGAGCTGACGGCTAAAGTTGCAACTGGCATGTGATTTACAACGCATTCAACCAGGGTATCCTTTGTAACGTGACAGGCTCGTTCTGTCGTTGGATTCGTGTAATGGAAACAAATCTTTACGTACAGAGGAAGGATCGAAGCTCATTGCAAACGACCTCGGAACGTCGGTTTTCAAGGCGCATCTTCGTGCGCCGCGATCAACTTGCCTGGCTACGCCAGGGATTTCGCTCACGCGCGCCGCGGCTGACGCCGCATGGAAATTCGGATTTCATGATATCTCGAGAAGGTCGTCTGAGAGAAGGAAAACATGCAATTGCGGAGATGGTGCAATCAGTCAACTCTCTCCGCACCGGATAGCGGGGTCCCCAAAAATAAGTCGATGCACTAGTAAGGCGCGAAGTATGAGAAGTATGGAGGACTGGATCCCGACTCAAGGGGTTGAGTACGAGCGCAAGATCGAGGATGGAAGATGGATGAAGAAGGAAGAGAGACGAGTGCCCGCGAGGCGCGCGACTTCAACCCAAGCCAACGTGTCAACCGAGTCTCGATCAGGCGCTGGGATCCGGCGTAGAGGGTAATAGGCTAAAGAAGGAGTGCAAAGTAGGAGTGAAATAGTGGCATGAGAAGTAAATAGAATTAGAAGAGAATCAGTATGATTGGGTTCTGACACGAAGAACATGTTTTGACTTTAGAGACGTAGGCGCCTCGGCGCGGCCTCCCTTGCCCCAGCCGTCCACCGGTCCACCGGCAGAGGATTGCGGACCGGCGGCTACCGGCAGTTGGTCGCAGGACTCACGGAGCGATTTTCACTCCTTTAATCGCTGGTCCCCTTTCGACCACACCGACCGCCAGTTCCCTCAGCCACCATGAGCAAAATCATGGCTCGCCTCCCCTTCCGCCGTCAAGACTCGACCAGTGTCGTTGCCCCGGCGGTGTCCCAGACGTCGAAGGAACAGGCCTACGAAGACAACGAAAAGTCGGCCCAGGGCTACTGTGGCGACGACAAGGTCGACCATGATGGGGCTGAACAGCATGTCGCCGCACCCGGGCCCGACGCTGCTGTGGCCGACCTCGACCCCCGAAACTTACTCGCAAACGGCAAAGAGGTGAGTTACCAACCTGCATCCATTGACTTTGTGCGGCACAAGTGGAGCATTGTCCGCCCGTATGCTACAGGTCCCTCGAGAGTCCGCCGCCGGCGGGCAACTCGACTCCCGACAGGGGCAACCCAACTCGGCAGTGCACGGGCCCAGCCTTGCAGCCGCCTCTCACCAGTGTAACAGCAATGGCACTGACCTCTCACTTCCAATCACTGCTCACCCCGTTTGTAGCGACCTATCGAAACCGCAGAAGACATTTCCACTCGGTGAGTACCCTAGAATGAGCCACCCGTCACCCGCCTTCGCTCGCAATTCAACTTGCCGGGGCTGACGAGCGACTTTTACCCACAGCTGCATCTCCCTCGAGGATGACCCGACTTTGATCGTACATACAATTCGTATGTGGGTCATTGGCCTCGGCTTGACCTGCTTCGCCGCCGTCCTTGGCCAGATCTTCTACTTCAGGCCCCAGGTGAGCTTTCGGCGTCTCCCGCGCGTGACGTGTCTAGTCGCTCGCGACTGGAAATCCCAATGGCTGACGTCGTCCCTGGATTGGCACATTGCAGACCGTATTCGTCTCGCAACTCTTCCTTCAGGTCATCGCCTTCATCATGGGTAAAGCCTGGGCCAAGGCCCTCCCCAACGCCGACAAAGGCAGGTTCTGGGCCATCCTCAACCCATGCGACTTCAACATCAAGGAGCATGTCGCAATCCTCGTCATGAGTTCGACCGCGACCGGATCGGCTTTGGCCATTTCCGTCTTTGCGGCAGAGGAACTGTACTACGACGTCACCCCCGGCTACGCCGTCGCTATCTTCACTCTGCTGGGCTCGCAATTGTTCGGCTACGGTATCGCCGGTCTGATGCGCTCCTTCACCGTCTTCCCGACCTACATCGTCTTCCCCAACTTGATCCCGACTGTCGCGCTGTTCGATGCGTTGCACCGCGATCCCCACGGACCTTCGCAGAAGAAGCGCCTAAAGTTCTTCTGGATGGTCTTTGCCATTATCTTCTGCTGGGAGTGGATCCCCGAGTTCGTTGCGCCGACTTTGACGGGTATCTCCATCTTTTGGTTAGTTTTTCCCGAGCGTCTTGTCCATGCCTGCGCTCCAAATGCTGACACGATTTCTACTCTATCCGGATGCGTATCGCGCAGCCTTGCCCGACGCAACTCCCCCTGGTTCACCCGCATCTTTGGCGGCTCCAACGGTAACGAGGGACTTGGCCTGTTCTCGATGTGTACCGACTGGAATTATCTCGGCTCTGGTGGTGGATCCTTGGGAGCCCTGTTCACCCCGTTCAGCACCCGTGAGTCAACGATGCGGAACCGTTCTTGGCTCGAGTCTGGACGACCTGGTGAATTGATGTTGAGTCGGCCCCACGCGTGCAGAAATTTCGCTCTACTGCGGTGTCGCGCTCTGCATCATTCTCTTCTGTGCTTGCTGGGTCAATGATGTCTGGCACGCCTAGAACTTTCCGTTCTTGTCGCAACAGCTCTTCTACCTGAACGGAACCGAGTACGACCAGCTGGCGATCCTCAACCCAGACTTCTCGCTCAATGAGGCCAAGCTTGCGGAGCAGGGCCTCCCTTGGTACTCGACCTCGAACGCCATCTACTACATCGGCTCTAACCTCGCCATCGGTGCCACGTTGACGCACGTCATCTTATGGTTCATGCCCTCAATCGTCAAGGCCTTCAAGGAGTACCGCGATCGCTCGCAGCCCGACCCTCACTACAAGAAGATGCTTATGTACCGCGAAGTCCCCATGTGGTGGTACTGTGTAACGCTCGTCGTCTCTTTCGCGATGGCGATGGCCACGTGCTACACCGGTCACAGCCAACTGCCCTGGTGGGCTTTGATCGTCGCTTTCCTCCTCGCGGCCATCATTTCCCCCCCCGTCATCGTCGTCTACGCCGTCACGGGCTTCAACACCGACGTGACGCAACTTGCTCAGATGTTGGGCGCCGCGATCGTTCCCGGAAACTCGCGGGCCAATCTCTACTTTACGCTCTACGGCGCCAATTCGACCAGTCAGGCGCTCGGTCTCACGCGCGATCTCAAGATGGGTCAATACACCAAGCTGCCCCCTATCTCGACCTTCGTATGCCAGGTCGTCGGCACGATTGTCGGTGCCATCTTGCAGCTCATCATCATGAAGTCCATCATCAGCGCCCAACGTGAGATCCTCTTGTCGGTCCAAGGTACCAACATTTGGTCGGGTCAGCAGGTGCAGTCCTACTACAACTCGCAAGCCGTCGCATGGGGTGCCCTCGCCAGGCCCATGTACGGCCCGGATCGGTCCTACTTTATCATCCCCCTTTCGATCGTCATTGGGCTGTTCGTCCCCGTTCCCTTTTGGCTTGGTCACAAGCTCTTCCCCAAGCTCAAGTTGAACCAAGTTGGTGAGTCCTACAGTAGTCAAGGTGACTTGTTCTCCCTCGTGAGCGTGCAGACTGACCCGCCTATGTTCCTTCGTCAGTGACCCCGATTATGTGCTGGTGCCTTGGCTACCTCTCGGTAGGTATTAACTCGTCCATCTTTGGCACCATGTGTATCGCTCTCTTCTCGCAATACTACCTGCGCCGCCGACGTGCGACTTGGTTCCGAAAGTACAACTACTTGCTCTCGGCCGCTCTCGAGGGTGGAACGCAGTTCATGGTCTTCATCGCGACCTTTGCGCTCTTTGGTGGCTCGGGCGAGCCGGTGGTCATGCCTACCTGGGCTTTGAACCCCGACAGCACTACGCATAACTTTGGTGAGTTTGATGGGCCGCTCCGTCGTTATCGACATATGAGCTCCTCAGAAATTGACCAATCTTCGGCGTCGTTCACAGATTATTGCATGAAGCTCACCTAGTTGGTTGGAGTTTGCTTTGGAGTCCCAATTTTTGGTTTTGTTTGAAATTACTCGTAGATCGTACTTTGGGTTCCGTGCGAAACTTGTTCGGTAGTCTTCCTGCTCCAAGAAACGACGAGGAGTCGGGCGCGAGTCGGCACCCAGTCGGATTCTTAGACCGATCCGACGGCAGTCGGCGCATGTCGGCTCTAGGCAGCAGGGACTTGCCTCAAAGTCGGTCACGAATGGACTGGGAGTCGAGATTTCTAACCTTGAATTGCGGTTTCTTGGAGCTTCTTGGGTATCGCTCGAGAAGTATCCCGCTAGCTCCAAAGTCGAAGAGAAATTTCACCAGGCACCATAATGGCGAATATGCGCCTCCATTCGACGCTCGCAAAGCCGACCAGGATGTGCTCTCTCATATGAACAGAGAACGATCGACAAATTGCATACAACTGGTAACCGGCTTCTGATAGAATGGCTTTGTGTCCCAGATCAGGCGTGAGCTCGCCTTTTGGCCTTTTATGAGAGGAGTCGAGTATTGAAGGCGCTATTGTCTTGGAGCAGCGCGCCTTAGCCGAACCAATTGCCGGATCAGGCACCGGCAATCGCGCACAAGGCCAATCTATGACAAGTCGCGATAGGCAATCAGTTAGCTTCGTTTCGGTCACAACTTCTAGGGTTGAGATCGCAGGGAGTGGCGTGGGCGTGCACGTTACGAGGTAGGGAATGACCTTCAGGCCATTTCGCATAGTCTTAGGGGCAGGGAGAGGGCTCTTTCGACCCGACCTCTCTCCCTCATATGCATTCAGACCCACCCTGAACAACATATGTTTGATCTACAGGCATACTCATGGACGCTCAAGCTCGGCTGTCTCGGCGGCTGTCTCCAGGACTTGGTGACCAAGCCTTTCGAGATCCCTCCAACCCGCGGGAGTATCGACGAGAAGCCCCTAAGCGGTGCCACACTCAATGTCGATCGCTATGGTGCTTTTGAGTTGAAATTAGGCGCTGGTCTTTCCCATCTACCTGAAGCTAAGTGGCTCCTGATGTATGCGACTTGCGGCGTGTGGTCATTAGACCGTACTACGGAACATCATGTCCACCACTTCGTCACTCACTACCGCAATAGGTCCACCCTCGACCTGTCATGGACAGTCCGTGCGGTTGAGGACGCTTTGCGCAATTCAGGCAAGAGTATCAGCTTTCTCGTGGTGCTCGAGTTCGATACCACAGAAATTTCGGTGGAGGCGCTGATCCGCGAAAACTTGGAGCAAAAAGTTTCGAAGATCAAGCTTGCGGTGGAGGAGCATGTCAAGCAAGACCCCCAGCAGCGCTACAAGACCGTCGTTCAGCCTTCATCAACTCGAGCATTGACGGGAGTCCAAGGTGAGTACATTGGTTCCTCGGCAATAAGTGTTATTACTGGACGGTCAAGGTGCTGATCGGCCCGCGTAATCGGTGTGCCGACTATTACAGATCTCGGCTCGTCTGCCCATCCCTTCGACGTTCGCTTTATCTTCGGCGGCGAAGGCGAAAGCGACGAGAAGGAACTTTGGGAGAACGCTGCGTTCCTCGCCTCTCGCTCGCCTTATTTTGCGGTCCTGTTCTCATCGGGCTACTCGGAGAGCCTGATCGAACCTGTCTCTCCCCAAGAATGCAAAGTCGCTTCTCGCACGGTGCGCATCACCGAGGGAACCTTTGAAGATTACCGAGCGACATTTATATGGCTTCGCACGGGTCATATCCTTCTCTCGGATCTCTTGGAGTCGAGTCGAAGCAAGATGACCGACTTTACCTCCGAAGATGCTCCTCAACCCGTCCTCGCTCGCTCGATCTATGCAGTCGCGCATTACCTCCAAATTTCGTCACTTTGCGAACTCGCTCTCCGATGCATCGAGGACTGTTTGACGCCCACTACTGCCGCGGAGTACCTCGTGGATGAATGGTGCTACTTCTATCCAGAACCTCGCGAGCTGGTGATGACGTACGCCGTGGATAACTGGGACAAGGTCAAGCCGACCACGGTTATGAAGGACGCGATTGCAAAAAGAGCCAAGGGGGAACTTTCTCCGGGTGCTAGAGAAACGTTGCTGGATGTACTCATGAGGGTAGCCTGCGTTTGAGGGTACGTGAGCGATACAAGATACGGAAATATAGATCATTCGGATAGGTTTCCGACATTGGTCTTCTTTGAGTACGCTGCAGTTTGAGAATCACACTTTGTAAAAAGATGGAGAGCCGCGCTACTACTCAGGAGTCATGAAAAGTTTGACGACCTGATATTGGTTTGGGGATCTTACCATCTGTGTACAGGTATAGTATGGGGTTCCGGGCCCATGATCACTGGTGCCCCTTGACCGCGAATTTGGCGCTGCGTCGAGTCGGCGGCGCATTCAGGGGCATACGATGCACTGTGTCAGCGTGTAACTGCAGCGGTGCCGGCATTGACCAGCCAGAGCCTGCCAGAGCCTGCCAAAGCGGGCACGCGCCGATGCGTCCCTCCGCCCCCACCGATCCATGCCAGCTTGCTTCCCTTCCTCATCGGCTGCAGACATGGCGTACGCCAACTCGAAACCGTTGTACCCCGTACAAGCGGGTGGACCCTCGCCGCTTCATTTCCGCGGCTTGACCCTCGGTAGGTCTCATAGACACACTCCGTCCTCGCCCTCGCCCATCACGGTGCACCACTTGTGGCCCCGCTCGCTTGAGACTCGTGTGGGGCGCCCCCCGGACCACGCGGTCTCAAGCCCGCCACTTTAAGCATCGCCCTATACCCAGTCGTGTGGGTGTGGCTTGCAGGATCAATATACTGACCCTTTTCTTCTCAAACTAGGTCGCCTCGAAACCTTCGAGCGTGGTCCGTACGACAACATCCACTCGGTCCTGTACGAGCACCGCATCGACGATCCCGAGCACATTCAGATCGAATCGTGGAGCTCGCCCGGAAGGACCAAGGTGAGAGCACAGTCGTCGTCATGACACCGATACTATTTCGGCCTCAAGTGCTAATGATTTGCATCCATCGTCGTGCAGACACCTTTCAAAGAGGCCATCAAGCAAAAATTCAAGCCGGCCAAGAAGGGCGACCACTTTGGGCCTTCGTGGTCTCAGTCAGTATCCTTCGTATATCACCGCGTCCCGGTGACCCAAGCACTCATCTCAAACACGAAACTTGAAACCTGCAGTCACTGGTTCCGTATCACCATCAACTTGCCGGGCTCCTGGGCCAATGCAGACCGCGTTCAGCTCGAGTGGGATCCGGGATGCGAAGCCATGGTCTACGACACCGAGGGCTTGACGCTGCAAGGTATCACCGGTGGCTTCGGTGTCGATCGTCACATCGAATTTATTCTCGACCCCAAAAAGAGGAGCTCGACCTACAGAGTGAGTGCCCATGCTTGACAGAACTGCTCCCAACCACATTGCAAATTCTGACTGCGATAGTACCTTCCGGATCGCAGTTATACATCGAAGGTAAGCGCCTCTAGTAGGCAGGTCAGGACCCAATTCGCCCACTACTAACGCGGGTCTACTACTCGGATGCGCTTATGTGCCGAAACAAAAAGTCGCGTGCAACGCCATGTTCGGTGAGTCGCTCACTGCCGACTATTTCGCCCACCGAGCCGAGCAAACCCGTTCCCTGCCCAACGCAGGCAACGGCACGCCCGACAACAACGATCCCCCCGACAACAGTCGCATGTTCCAGGTACGTCTTCAACTTGCACTATCATTGCATGCACTCTGTTGACTCGTTTCCGCGCGATGGCACAGCTCGCCACGGCCGATCTCGTCGTGCCTCGCATGGACGCGTGGCAACTCCGCTGGGACTTCCGCACAATGAACGACTTGGCCCGTGCTCTCCCCGAAAACTCGCCCCTCGGCAACAAGTGCTTGGAGGTGTGCAACGCCATCATGAATACGTTCAAGGCCGATGACCTGTCGACGATCGCCAAGTGCCGCAGGCTCGCCGAAAAGGTCTTTGGTCAGGGCTGGGAGGAACTCGGCCACAAGATCTTCAAGGGCGACCCCGCCGACGCGATGACGTGGGGTATCGGCAACTGCCACATCGACACGGCGTGGCTGTGGCCATACTCGGCGACGCGTCAAAAGACGGCGCGATCGTGGTCGACCCAACTCGATCTCATGGACCGCTATCCCGAGTACACGTTCGTCGCGTCGCAGGCGCAACAGTTCAAGTGGCTCGAGGAGGACTATCCGCTCTTGTTCCAAAAGATCAAGGGTCGCGTCGAGTCGGGCGAGTTCCAACCGATCGGGGCGGCGTGGGTCGAATGCGACACCAACATGCCCTCGGGAGAGGCTCTGTGCCGCCAATTCCTGTACGGACAGCGCTACTACAAGTCGCGCTTCGGCAAGTACACGCGCACGTTCTGGCTACCGGACTCGTTCGGGTACTCGTCGCAATTGCCGCAGCTGTGTCGCTTGGCTGGGTGCGACTTCTTCTTCACGCAAAAGCTCAGTTGGTCGCAGTTCAACGCTCCGGTGAGTTACGTCGAGCTCTGTAGGACAGGCTGGTTTTGCACGGTCCTAATCTTCCAATCGACGCCTCGTCGCAGGTCCACACCTCGTTCAAGTGGGTCGGCCAAGATGGGTCGCAGGTTTTGACCCATATGACGCCCGTCAATACGTACACGGCCCAAGCCTCGGTCGACGATGTCCGCAACTCGATCAACAATCACAAATCGCTCCAATCTGGCGCCGCGACCGGCTTGCTCGCGTTCGGCAATGGTGACGGTGGCGGAGGACCGCTGTCGCACATGCTCGAAAATCTGCGTCGATGCCGCGCCGTCGCGGACCACTCGGGTGAGTTGCCCAAGGTCACGATGGGCAAGACGGTCGATCTCTTTTACGAAGACATCCTTAACAAGTCCGAGGGTGGCGCGACGCTGCCCACGTGGAACGGGGAGTTGTACCTCGAGCTGCATCGTGGTACGGCGACTTCGCACGGCTCGATCAAGAAGGGCAACCGCAAGAGCGAGATCTTGTTGCGCGAAGTCGAATATGCCGCCACGCTCGCCTCGGTCTGGGGCGCAACCAAGAAAGGCTACTCTTACCCCAAGGACAAGATTGACCCGTTGTGGGAAGGGGTTCTACTCAATCAGTTCCACGACGTCCTGCCCGGTTCGGGTATTGCGCTCATCTATGAGGATGCCGAGAAGGTGAGCTCGAAGTCGAGCTTGTTTCGAGATCGTTGGGTGATATCTGGCTGCTAATGCGAAGCTTCTTTGCGGCCTCAGATCTACGCCGAGACGGCCGAAAAGGGCGGAGCGCTGCTCGAAGAGGCACTGCGTGTTCTGTTGCCCGGTTCCGTTCGAGCCGACGACGTTAACGCCGAAGGGGACGAGCTCGTCGCGGTCAACACCACCAACTTTGCCCGTCGCGACCTGGTCAAGATCCCGCTCGCCGGAGCCCGCGCCCTCGCTGATGCGGCAATTCAGCTCAGCCACGATGGAGCGGCCTACGTCCTGTTCGAGAACGACGGCGCCCAGCCCCTATCGAGCACGACCTCGATCGAGGCGCTCAACCTAGTCCCCGCTCGAGCGCGCGCCGTCGGCTCCGACTATATCCTGTCCAACTCGCAGCTCAAGGTGACCGTCAACAAGAAGGGTCGGATCACGAGCCTGATTGACGTCGAGCTGAACCGCGAGTTGATCGATGAGGGCAAGACCGCGGGCTTTGTCATTTTTGAGGACCGCCCGCTCAACTGGGACGCGTGGGACATTGACGTCTTCCACCTCGAGACGAAGGAGGACGTCGATGCCTCTTCCGTTGAGGTGCTCGAAGACGGACCGATGCGCGCCTCGATCGTCGCGACGTACCACGTCGGCAAGAGCAAGGTCAAGGCGACGATTTCGCTCGACGCGATCGCGCCCGTCGCCAAGAAAGACGCGCTCAGCTTGGTGCGCTTCGACACCGAGGTCATGTGGTTCGAAAAACACCGCTTCCTCAAGTGGGAGGTTCCCCTCGCGATCTCGAGCGAGTACGCGACGTACGAGAACCAGTTCGGTGTGTGCCAGCGGCCGACGACGCGTAACACGACGTGGGACCGCGCAAAGTTCGAGGTCGTCGGGCACAAGTTCGCCGATTTGAGCGAGTTCGGTTACGGCGTTGCCTTGCTCAACGATTGCAAGTACGGCTACGCTTGTGAGGGCAACGTCCTACGCTTCTCGTTATTGCGTGCACCGACCTCACCCGATCCGCACACCGACGAAGGCCACCACGCCTTCTCGTTCGCTCTGCAGCCCCATCGAGGTAGTTTCGTCGAGTCCGACGTCCCCATCGCAGGTTGGCTCTTCAACCAACCCCCGCAAGTCCGCCGCATACCTCGCGTCAGTTTTCAAGCCGCCTTGGCGCGCGATGCCGTCCCTCAACCTTTCAAGCTCGAAGGTACGCGCAACATCATGCTCGACACCATCAAGCGTGGCGAAGAGGACCATTTCAGCGGTAAAGGATCGACGACGGAGCCTCAGACCGTCGTGCTTAGGTTCTACGAGGCGTTCGGTGGCCATGGTCAAGTCGACGTCGTCTCCCCTCTGGCGATTGAAAGTGCGACGATTTGCGATCTGCTCGAAAGGGATCTCGAGGATGTAGAGGTTGTGCAATCCCTTAAGGGTGGGAAGGATATGAGTTCGTTCAAGCTAAAGTTCAGGGGTTTCCAAGTCGTTTCCGTCAAGGTGACACTCGCGACTTCAAGCGGTGGTGGGAAGAAGGAGGAGCTCAAGGGGAGCAAGCGGGATGAGCAGTGGTTGGAGTTGTAAAAACTAAAGAGGAGACTTATTCTTCTTGGAATGTGCCATTTCTTTGATCCTGTATGAAATTTGATACTGTCCTTTTTCCGCTCTTTGCGCGAGAGATCTCGGATGGTAAAAGTCTGGACATTGACATATGCAAAAGAACGACGGGTGGGGAGTACAAGCTCAAGCGAAAACTCAAGCGAAAACGGCAGGCTCCTCATGTTTCTGCCTTTTCATCCTCCTTCGCCGCATCGCCGTCCTCATTTTCCTCCTTGATGTCCATCTGCTCAAAATCGCCACCCATCCTTCGAATCCGTTCCATCTCCTCCAACCGATCCTCCCTCTCCCTTCTGATCCTCAACAACGTAATATCCCAATCCTCCTCCTCCCCATCCTCCTCCTCGTCCTCCGAATCCATGCCCAAATCCGGATTGAACGAGAACAAATCCCTGCCACTCATTCCCGTCGCCTTGCCCTGTGCGAACGTGGTCGATTTGGCGGCCCTGACCAATTCCGCTTCTGCCTCCTTCTTACTAACCCTATTCTTCTTCCATTCCGCAAACGATTCTTTCGTAATCGGCGTCAATTTGGATTGGTCCAATTTGTGCCGTTCGACCTCGATGAAATCTTCCAACGTGATCTCTTTCCTCTTGGAGTCTTCTTCTTCCTTCTTGCGTTGAGATTTGAGTACGAAACCGGGTGGTAAGGCATGACGGTACTTGCACGCGTCACCCCCGTCGGGACATTCCCAAAACCAACCATAGCGGCCCGTTTCGACGGCGTCGATAAAGTGCTGACGAGGGCGGACGGGAAGAAGCAGGTGGGAACCGTCAGAAAACAGTGGGAAGGTTTCGTTGAACTCGAATGCTCTCTCTCTCTCTGAGACTGACCTTGCAAACGATATCGGTCGTCGCGAGTGGGTTCCCCTTCTTACTCACAACCTGCTGCAGTTTCTCGTCGTTCCACTTGTCCATCGTGTCTGCGCAGAGAGGGTGCGCGTGAACGAGCTCGGGTGAGTAATGGGGACTCGGGGGACCGAGGCGATATGCCTCCGAGTACGATTACTGACCGGTCTCCTTGTTCTCATCGCGTTGATCGGCGTAGATGGAGGCTTTCTGTTGTTTTCGGTCTTGGTTGAGGTCGTGGGAGAACTTGCACTTGGTACCTGCCGAGTGGGGGGGGGCGGTGCGCGCACGGAGCGCCGTCAGCGAGGAACGGGAAACTTCGATCAAGCACGATCAGAAGGGGACCTTACCTTTCTGACATCGACCCGCTTTGTGGAAGGCGCATAAAACAGTTTTCGGGTCTAGCGAACGAGGTAGTCGGAACCAGCAATCAGCCGATCAGTTTCGAAAGCGGGTTCGCGGCGTTCTCGACTATGCCTGACGCTAGGCGCCATGGGCTAGACTGACCGACTCCAAACGGTACTTTGGGTTGTACGATATCGATCGGTATGAACAGATTCGCCAGTTCGTCCTTCTTTTGGGCATCGGCGGCCTTTTTCGCTGCGAGGGCGGCCTTTTGTCGATCCTTTTCTTTCGCCTCTTCGGTCCTCCCCTTTTGCGCGGCCTGTTGTTGCAACAAGGCGACTTTTTGTTGACCTTTACCCCCTTTCTTGTTCTTCATTCCAAAAGTCTGCGTAGGACAAGGGGGGGTGAGGACTTTTTGAGGAGAGGAACTGGAATTTGGAATTTGGAATTGGATCGGGATCGGGATCGGAGTTACGTACCAAGTCGGGCTTGACCTTGGCCGGTCCGGCATCCTTTTGTTTCTTGGGTGGCACTGGGGTCGGGAACGTACGATGTAGGTGTCGTCGTCGCGGGCAAGATGACGAGCATCGCGGGGGGTCAGCAGGGGTGGACGGTCGCACGAGGTGAGCACAGGAGGGGGAAGACTGACTCGTAGGGTGCTAGCTCGCTGTAGGCGGTAACGGTGAGGGAGCAGAAGGAGAAGGTGCTCGCTGGATCGCTGGGTCGCTGCAAGTTAGTGGCAAGAGACAGTCTCCTCTCACCGCGACGGGGCTCCGTTTTGGGCGTGCTGCCGACTCGCGGTGGGTGTTTGTAACTTGTTAGTATCGGTTACTGATTCGTTTGAATTGAAAGCACGTTCGCGCCTGTTTCGCGCGCCTATCTGCGCCTATTACTATTACTATTCGCTCTCGCGCCGTGGCGGAGCTTAAATACCCTCGGCGCCTTTCTTTCTCGGACGAGTTGCGAATTGCTCGAGAACGTCGACCGGCTTGGATGCTCCTGTCGCGCTCATTACGACGCACACCCTTCTATCACTCCCCCACGGCCATCATCATGACCACCCGACAACGTTCCTCCTCGCCTGCGACGACGACGACGACGACAACGACGACGACCACACCTCCAGATGTCGCCGAATCGACTTCGCAAGCAAACGTCCGAGCAGCCTCAGCTCGGCAGCAGCAGCACCACCATGACGAGCACGGCCGAGCAGCGAAGCGTATTCGATTGGATCATCATCAACCGCCAGTCCGTACACTGCCCTATCACAAGGGACTGCATCTCGCTCCGATGGTGAGGATCGGCACCTTGCCTACCCGGCTACTCGGTCCGTGCGCTGCTCTTCTCTGCCGTGCACTCACAACAGCTGACGGAGCTCGAATCCCCACAGCCCTCGACTATGGAGCAGAATTGGTTTGGGGTCCGGAGATTGTCGACAAAGCCATCATCGGCTCGGAGCGTGTCGTAGATCGTAGGTCCCCCACCCCCGTCCGTCCTCCGATCTCCGAGCAACCAGGCCTGAAAATTCTTCCCCTCCTCCCTCCTCCCCACAGCCAAATCAGGCACCATCAAATTCATCAAAAACAACCGCTCCGTCTTCGAATGTCACCCCGTAGAAAGACCGCGACTCATATTCCAACTCGGGTCCTCCGATCCCGAGTTGGCGGCCCAAGCGGCCCAGATGATCGCTGGCGACGTCGATGGGATCGGATTGAATTGCGGATGCCCGAAACATTTCTCCCTCCAAGCCGGAATGGGAGCCGCGTTGTTGTCCGACCCGGACAAATTATGTTTGGTGCGTTTTTGTCTTTCTTTTGTTGGGATGAAAGAGTGAAAAATACTTTTCCTCCCTCTTCCTTGGCTGACTCCACGTGGGATATCCCTTTTAATCAGATCCTCGAAGCACTCGTCAAAGAGATCCCACTGCCCATAGACGTCAAGATTCGCCTCTTCCCCACCTCCGAACCGACTCTAGCGCTCGTCAAACGACTACTCAACACGGGCGTCAAATGTCTGACCGTGCATTGCCGAACGAAAGAAATGCGTTCGACCGAACCGGCTTTACTGGAGAGGTTGAGGGAGATTGTTGAGCTCGGGAGGGAGAAGGGTGTTCCGGTCGTCGAGAATGGGGATTGTTATGATGCAAAGGATGCGGAAAGGATAACGGAACAAACGGGTGAGTTGGCAAGGAGGAAAAAGACAGTTTTGGTCAGTGGAGGTGCGACTGACGGTTCTCGGGTCTTTGGGAATAGGTGTGACGAGTTGCATGATTGCCCGAGGCGCAGAGGCGAACCCTTCTTGTTTCAGGAACGAAGGCTTGTTGGATTCGGTCAACGAGGTCATTCCTCGATTACTTCGACTGGTCAGTCGGGACCCTTTCTTCTCTTCTGAATCGCACCAAGTGTTCTCAACTTCCCATTTTTTTTTCTTTTTTTCGCGCAGTCACTCGCGTCGGATCTCAACTTTCAAAACACGCGTTACATCATAAACTCGATGACGCTCACCTCTGAAACCTTGTCCAAGCGAGAGAAGGGAGCGATCAAACTCGCTTCCAACAAGGCGAAAAGCTATTACGAGATGGCGGAGGCGTTCGGGATTGATAAAGAGGCCGTGGATGAGGCGAGGGGGATGGGGATTGAGCGTCTGGTACCGGGTTGGATGGAGAGGAGGAAGAGGATCTTGGAGGAGGAGCTGGGAGAAGAAGCGCACTTGAAGTGATGCAGTGTAGTATGTTTCGAGTAGCGTTTTGGTTTCTTGGAGAGAGCATTTGCATAGCATAGCATCGTTTGTGGATCCAGGCTGCATAGCACATCTCATCTCACGCTGAGCCTGTCTGCCGATCGTCACGGCAAAATTCCTCTGAATACCCCGAGAAGTCAATCGACGGCGACGCGTCTCGCTCAGCCTGCAGCCTGCCAGTCTGCTGGTGCAGGCGCTCCGGCTCCTCCCCCCACCTGCGTATCGCCACGCCCTCGGAAGCGCCACCTACACCCCCCGCCGCACGCAAACGAGATGGACGTCGATATACCCCCAGACACTCCCTCGCAAGTGACCGCTGTGGAAGCCGGAGCCATGCCAACACGTCATTCTGCGTCGTCCAAAGTGGTCGTCAGACCCAATGATCCGTACGACCTTGAGCAGGTCACGGGCAACTACCAGGGTCAGTCACTGCGTTCAGCTCAGCTTCATTATGGGATGACTGAATGTGGTTGTGGTTCGTCTCTGCCCTCCTAGGCCGAACCAAGATCGTGCACCTGCTCTACATCGCGCAACTGTCGCCCTCGCTCGCCGCGCCCGCTCTGACGCTGGCCCTCCAAGAACTCAAGGCCTCGACCCTCGACGTCCCCACCTACGAACAAGCCTTCCACCAATACCGCCAAGTCCTCAACTCGATCGAAAGTGGCGAGTTGATCGACCCCTTCGCTCGAGCTTGGTACGAAGGAACGATCAAGAGTGGGGCCCAGGCCGCGCAGGTAATGGATCGCGAGTGGTGCGAGAGGAGTAGGAAGGAGGCGAGTAGTGGGTTGGAAAAGTTGCAGGTCGAGTTGAAGGGCTATTCGACCAATTTGCTCAAGGAGTCCATTAGGGTGAGTGTTCAGCTGGGGGGGGGGGGGGGGGTTTCCTCAGCGATGCCCATGCTCTGGACTTGACCCGCTCACCCGACCCATCGTCCTCGCATCACTTTTTCATGCAGATGGGCCATCGTGACCTAGCTCGTTTTCAATACAAAGTCGGTGACCTCACCGCGGCCGAACACTCTTACCTCCGTTCGCGCGAATTCTGCCTCACCTCGCAACACCTCCTCGACATGTCCGTCGCCGTGATCGAGATCGCCCTCCTTCTCCGCAACTACTCCCACGTTCGTCAATGGTCAGGTAAAGCCGAAGGCGCATTAGAATCCATCCATTCCAGCGCCAACGCCCAAAACGCCAAACAAAAACCTCAAGTCAACCTCCCGGGCATGGTCGCGCCCGCACAGGATCCGGCTCAGATCGCGAGGGAGAAGGAGAGGACCGCGATGCAGGAGAGGTTGAACGTCGCGAATGGCGTCGCGTATTTGGGGCATGGCACGTATGATCGAGCGGCGTTCTTGTTGAGTGGGGGTGGGAAGGAGGCTATGCATTCTGCGGCGGGGCATGTGAGTCGTGATTAAGAAGCAACCTTTTCTGTCTGGAGGGCACAAAGACTGATCTTGGCATTCCTTTTCCTCATAGTTCATCCCTGCAGCTGACATTGCAGTCTACGCGACCCTGACGGGTTTGGCCACATTTAACCGCAACCAATTGCGCACGAGACTGCTCGAAAATGATGACCTGCGTCCGATGCTCGAACTCGAACCTTATCTGCGGGACATCATCCAGGCGTTCCATTCGAGCAACTTCAAAGATGGGTTGGAGGGGTTGGAAAAGTACAGCGTGAGTGGTGGGTCGGTGTGCTACTGACTTCAGTGAGGTGGTGGGTAGCTGAGTCAGGTTCCGGACCACCTCCCCCAGACGCGCCAAAGGCTCGACCCTCATCTCGCTCCCCATCTCCCGAACCTGATGCACCAAATCCGTTCCCACGCGCTGCTCATCTACTTCACCCCCTTCGCGAGCGTTTCCCTCCCCCGCTTCGCCGCCGCCTTTGGATGGTCCGAAACGACGCTCCTCGAATCCGTTGTCGAACTGATCGGACAAGGGCACATGAAGGCTCGTATCGATAGTCAGAACAAGGTTCTTGTGGCAAAACATACGGACGCGAGGGTCGAGGCGTTCAAGCATGCGTTGAAAGAGGGGGAAAAGATGCAGAGGTGTCAGCAGGCGGCGGAGTTGAGGTGCGTTCTTGGTTTCGTAGGTTTAGGGTATGGGGTACATTCGCGTGGTCTGATGAGAATGTTCCACAGGGTCAAGCTCATCCAATCCAATATCGTCGTCAAGGCTTCGAGGGGTCACACGCACCAGGCTTCGCATTCGCAAGGGCAAATCGAAGTGGCACCTTGAAAGTCCTGACTTGCTCAGACCCGTCGTCATGAGTGGTCCCTCTTAGATTTCTTTCCTTCGCATTCCTCGCATTTTTCTACCGTTTTCCAGGCACATATTCCTACCCGTCGTACTCTGTACTTTCCATTTCACTGCCATGCACCTCCAAGCCCGTACACGAAACCGCATCGACACTCGATCGATTCTTTACCGACCCTTTTCAATAAACAAAACACAAAAAAACCTAAATCCCCAACCCCGACTGGAACTTCTTCCTCGGTAACCCCTCCCAAAGATTCGCGGGAACGTACGCGCATCGCGCGAATTCCTTCGTCGCTTCTTGGAGCGTTGGAGTGAGTGATTTATGGAACGCGACGAGACGACAGATCGTATCACTTTCGGCGAGTTCGTCCTAAAAATAAGGATCGTTGAGAACGGTGATTTAGTGGTTGCGTGGGTGGGGAAAGGGAGTGGGGAAGTAGACTTCTTCTACGACGTACCTCTGGACAAATGCCCGCCAAATTCATGACCCGATCATTGACCACAACTCTCACGAAACGAGTCGGTAGCCCACTGAATTTCGCCGCGAGATCATCCCAAAAACCATTACCCGAACACGCCAAACGTTCGACGACCAAGCTCGCACCGAAAGGGATCAATCGACTCGTGACGAACGATCGCATAGGACAGGGTAAAGTGGGACTTAGGGGAGCGTCATGGAATAAATTGAGGAGGGTTAAAAGGGCGAGTAATTGATCGTCGGAAGTGAAATCGAGGTAAAGCGATCGATCGAGCGGGAAGGTTGATTCTCTCGCATCCGAGGTATTGTTCACCGTCGTTCGATCCTTCTCCACGAAGGATGGACTTTTCGTTAATCGTGTCAAGAGTTCGTGGAGGTAGCCTACGGCTAGGGAACGAGAGAGAGGGGCACCGTATGAATGGGAGTAGTATTTTTCGAGGTCGGCGTCGTATTCGATGGAGGACCATTCGGAGGGGTAGAAGAGGTCGCAAAAGGGCGATAGGTCCGAGGTGGCGAGGGATTCGAGGGCGCAGAGATGGGCAAAGTTGATGATGTCCTTGGTTTGAGGAGTCAACGATGGTGGGTTAGGACCGTCTTTCGTCACAAGCCGCGAGGATATGTTGTAACGCGACCCTTCAAACTCACTGTGCTATTCAAACCATAGCTCTGCCCAGATTGCAACCTCTGAATGACCGCCGGTGTCCATACGTCCCTCCATTGTTGCTGCGCACTCGGGACCGAACTAACGAGTTTGGGACATTTTGCCGCGAGCGTGTTGTTGAGGTGATCACCTTCGGGGATGATGCGTGGTGAGCGGGTAGATTTGCCGGTCCCCTCCATGAGTCCGTTAGCCCAGTTTTTAGCCGAGTCGATCAGAGCTGATGAGTCCTGTGAGGTTCACCAGAGAGGGCGCAGAATGAGCACGGAAGCTTTCCCCGAGTCCACTCCGGAGGAGATCGCCAAGGGGAAGGGTTGAAGGTTTACCGTGGTGGAGATCCAATAGTTCGCACATTCGCTTTCGGTAAGACCTTTGGAATGACAGTACCTCTTGCGGACCTGTACGCCCGCTTGTTTCGATCTAGGGGCCGGCGGTAATCGGTGAGCGAACCACTGATTTAGGCTGCTTGGCGAGTAGTATCCAACAAGACTCACTGTGCTTCTCCATAGGGAAGTAACGCCCCGTTCGAGCCCATGTCGAAAGTATAGTTACCGAGAAAGTCCATCTCCGTTCGGGAGTAGTTGCCCTTACCCACGACCTTGGCGAGCGAAGCTTGGATCGAAGTCCCCAATTTGCTGTCGGGAAGACTCGCTCCGCCGCGCTGGAGGACGATGACCTAGGAAGCAATGGCGGAGACGCAGTCCTATGAGTTTTATTGCTTCGTAGAGCAAAGAGCATTTTACCGCTCTCTCTTGCTTTAGAAGTCTGTACATACCTGCTCGACGGTGCATCGGGACGGAGGACGAGAATACTCGCTCAAAGGTTTGTAGCGTGAGCTGATGATCACCACGGTGGGGTTAGGTTATAAATGTATGAAGAGGGAGTTCAGCATTAAGCACACTTTTCTTTGGAAAAGAATCGTAAACTGTGGGCTCACTATTGGCCGGAATTGAAGACGAAGGGCAGTTCCGATGCGGTCGTCTCGGCCGCTGTCGCTGCTGTGGAGAGCAAGAACGCGACTGTCAAGCCCGCTTCGACGAGCCGCCACCCCGAGGGCTTGCTTTGGCGATGCATGATGATGGCGGGGTTCGTGAAAGTTGCAGAAGAAGATGATGTTGAGTTGAGAATGAAGCAAGGTGAAGGCAAAGCACAAGGAGCGAAGAGTGGCAAGCGACTTTTTCCAGACCGGAATGGTAGCTTCTTACACCGCCGAGTCTCTGTGGCGCATTGACAATAGGCCCCGGCCGAGAGGTTGCTTGGTGGCGCGCGCTTCCCGATTCGGTAAGGCTGCCTCGTGAGAGGGGCCAGGATCGCCCGCCCGGTCACGTGAGCATGATCGAGGATTCGAACGCATTGAACAGGCTGAGCCACTCTGTTCCCATAGGTCCATGACCTATAACCCTTCTGCTGACTTTTCACTGAGATCGGTCCATACACTGGTGTGCTGGCCCTAGTAGCCACGTAGGCAGGCGAGCTTGTGGGACTGAGACGGCGAAGAAACGATTTGCAGAAAGCCCGATCGTAGGCGATCTTTTTGGCTCCCTCAACGCCGAGTACCGACCGACACCGCCTCGTGCTTTCCTGCGTCGCCAAGACTAGGAAGGTCACAAGGCGTCGAATACAGCGAGAGTCTTGCCGAAAGATCCCGGACAAGATGATTGCAAGTGTCGACCACCTCCATGTACTACCCTCAACGTCCAAGATTTCAATCCAATTTTCCAACTCTGACAGCCCGGTGCTTCCTTCGCCAAAATGCCTAGGACGATTCTGACTGAAATGTAAATAAATTATCAAATTTTCAGTTTTTCAATTTTTCCGACATGTACTGCGGTTTCGTAGCTGGCCCTGCCACGACCGCTGATGACTCGAACGGCATTCACCTGCAGACTCGTGGCTCACTGGGGCCTGCACATAACTCGGCAACAGGAGACTGAGTTGCTTGCATGTTCGGTGCTTCCTATCGTGCCATCTCCATCACACGGCCCCTTCCAACCTTTTTGGGTCGTATAGCACCTGCGCCGACAAAAGCCGGAGAGTGAAGAGATTTCAATCCCCAGCCGAGTCCCTCGATTATGTGGGTGACACCGTGACAGAAACTGACGCAAGAGCATAGAATCCACGATGATGCAGATCGATCAATTGTTGACCCGTGGGCGCGAGATTTAGTTTTGATCGATCTAGCGTGATCGGCGCGTGCCTCGATTGACTATTGAGCGTTTGACTCGGGGATAAGCGATTCGCATCTACTCATTACCGAACGTATTTCGCGCGCGCCGGGACACCATCGCACCAGATCGCATCCGTGCATTCATTCGCAGGGCTTATTCTCGCTCACCTCGTTCGTCGCCAAATCCCTTGACGCTCACCGCTTTGAAAGCGCTGCAAGATGATGCGCGCGTGCCGTGTACCCCGTAAGCTCGACCTGCTTGTGACTAGGGAAGCTTATCGTCGCTTCATGACGTGATTGACCCTTCGACCGCGGCGTTCGTCGATGACGATTGCGCCCGCGCCCTCGCCGTCGCAGTGCCTGTCGGAGCTCACCGAGCCCTGAGCCTGAGGTCGTCGTCGGTGTCGTCGCGCTTCTCGACCAGCTCCAACGTCGCCACGACCTTGTTGCGACCTTCGCCGCGTCGATTGTTGCCGACCATCTCGACCTCGACCACACCACCCCCGTCCTCGCCGCTCAGTGCTCCGCCTCCCGTCACGCAGCAGCCCCTGCCCGCGAGCACCGTCGTCTCGCAACCGACGACCGTCGAGGTCGAGTCGTCCACGCCTCCGCCTCCTCCTCACCCCAAGAAGCCCAAGCACCGAATCCGTAACTTTGCTCGGTTTGTGCTCGTCGCCGTCGTAGGAAGCGCGTCGTTCGTCGTCTGGCACTCGCACCGCGCGCGACACCCTTCGGACCAACTGCCTCACGACCCGAGCTTGCCGACCGTCGTCGTTGTCGGCAACGGGTGGGGATCGACCGCCTTCCTGAAGAATCTGAAGAACGAGGGCTACAATGTCGTAAGTCTTTCGACTGGGTGCGAGATGGCCATCACCAGCCCCGACGCGTTGAGCAAAGCGCCTATATTCCGTCGTCTTTCGCAAGTACCCACCCTTGCCTCAGTCCAACGACAGATCGCCTGCTGCCACGCCTGCTGCCAGCCCGTCGCTCACCCCCTTTGATCTGCGTGACGGAGCGCACACAAGGCAGTACTAAACCCTTTGGTTCCTGCTCCGAACAGGTCGTCATCTCGCCTCGCAATTACTTTTTATTCACCCCCTTGTTGCCGTCGGTTACGGTCGGCACTTTGGCCTCGCGCTCGATTCTCGAACCGACTCGCTTCTTGACCCGTCATCTCGCACGTGCGGTCGAGGTCTATGAGGGTGAGGTCACCGAGGTCGACCCCAAGAAGAAGACGATCCGATTTGTTGGTCAGTCGGCAGAGCAAACGCGGCTCGCGTTGTGATTGCATTCCTGACTCCCCTGCCGGTACGCCTCAATACAATTCTAGATAACTCGGAGGTCAAGGGAGCCGTCGACGGAACCGAGATCTCGTACGACTACCTCGTCTACGCCGTCGGAGCCGAGAACAACACGTTCGGTATCAAGGGCGTCAAGGAGAACGCGTGCTTCCTCAAGGAGATCTGGGACGCCGAGAAGATCCGCAGTCGCGTCATGGACTGCATCGAGTCGGCCAACTTTGCCGGTCAGACCGAGGAGGAGATCGATCGATTGCTCTCGTTCGTGAGTCTGCGCCTTGCGATGTTTCCCAGGTCTTGGGTTCGACTGTTGCTGGGTGGACGTGGCTGAGCTCGTGCGTCGTACAGGTCGTCGTCGGTGGTGGACCTACGGGTGTCGAGTATGCTGGCGAGTTGCACGATTTCCTCAAAGAGGATCTTACAAACGTGAGTCGATGGCCCTAAAAGCAGCAGACTCGAATGGTAGATATTGAGCTCCGATGGATTATCGCCTTCACAGTGGTACCCGGATATTGCCGGTCGCATCAAGATCACCCTGATCGAGGCGTTGCCCAATGTGTTGCCCATGTTCTCCAAGCAGCTCATGTACGCCGCAGATCCTGAATGCTCTCACGACGGTCGAGCTGACGTTCGAGCAACCCTGTTTGCCCTTACAGTGACTACACCAACTCGACATTTAAGGAGAACAAGATCGACATTGCGACCAAGACGATGGTCAAGGAGGTCAAGGATACGGTCATCATTGCGCAGAACGAAAAGAAGGAGCTCGTCGAGTACCCTTACGGTCTCCTCGTCTGGTGAGTGTCATTGAGCCAGGATGTGCCTGAATGCTCTACGGAGAGCTAACACCCTCGGGGCTCATCTCGATCAGGGCCACCGGCAACACGGCACGACCGGTTACACGGGATCTGATGGCCCGTCTTCCTGAGACCCAAAACTCTCGACGAGGTCTGCTCGTCGACGAACACCTGCGCTTACTCGGTGCCGAAGGCGTCTTTGCTCTCGGTGACTGCACCGCCACCAACTACGCCCCTACGGCCCAGGCCGCGTCGCAACAGGGTGTCTACCTCTCGCGCGTCTTCTCGCAATTGACCAAGAAGCAACACCTCTTGTCCGAGTTGGAGCAGGCCAAAGCCGCCAACGCCGACCCGGCCCGTCTCGACTCGTTGGCCAACGCCGTGATCCGAGCGAGCAACATCCAACCTTTCCACTACTCGCACCAAGGCTCGTTGGCCTACATCGGTTCGGACAAGGCGATCGCGGACCTGCCGTTGATGTCGGGCAACTTGGCCGTTGGCGGGATCGCGACGTACTACTTTTGGCGATCGGCTTACCTGTCGCAGTTGTTCTCGTTGAGGAATCGACTGCTCGTCGCTGGAGATTGGTTGACGACCCGGGTGTTGGGTCGTGATGTTTCGAGGGAGTAGACGCACCGAGTACTAGGTGGTTGGACTGCGCGGTCAGCTCTAATGTGCTCGACTCGCGCCTTTTTCTCTGCGGCTACTCAGGGGGGGCACCATCACTATATAGAGTTCCTTGTGCATGTATCCCCTTTATCTTTTTTTCGCGGGATCATTTATGAGGGCAATGTAAAATACAGACCTGAACTTCCGATCCTTCCTCAGTCAACCCCTTGCGCCGCCGACTCGGGTCGCAACTTGTGCCTTCCTGATCGGGAAAGGGAGAAGCCCCAACAAGCGCCCGCGCGCGCGCAGAATGAAACTTGAGGCGATGAAGTCATCGCGCGGGGGTCGTTCGTCCCCCTCCGCGCGCGCATCTCACCTTGTGCTCTTGACACTTGCTTCTCCCAACCTCTCGCGCAACCCATCCACCCTGCCTACTCTCGAGCACCAGGGGCCACAACCAATCAAATCGACACCCTCGCAACGCTCCTACCATGGCGGCGTTCCTGCAAAAAGTGCAACACTCGAATCGGGTCTCGTTAGGCCCGAAGGAGCTCGCGCCTTTGGCCGACATCATTGGCGCCGAGAAGCGGCTGATGGATGCGTACGTACCCGCTTTTCACAATGCTGTGGTGGTCTATGCTTGGGACAGGGCTAGGTCGTGATGAGATGACGGGTGCTGGATTGGTCAGGATGTGAAGGTGTGATGAAATTGCGCAAGGTGGTCGAACACTCGGGGCTTCCGCAGCACCGCCACCCCCGGAGGTCGACTTCGGCTTGGTCGGTTTGACCCCGAGCGGGCTGGGACGACGACGGCTAGGCTCGGCGCGGGGGCGTGTTGTTGATGACGAAGAAAGTGCGGTGCGAGGGGGCGAAGAAGGTGTTCATGTCCATGGAATGCGTCGGTGTACGAACCGTCTGCTCAGAAACGAGCTGCTATCCTTACACCCTAAAGAGAGCCTAACTGACCCTTCCACGCTTGCTCCCCCTGCCCTTCCGGCCTTCCGAATACTCGTCCACTACGCGCCTTTGGGATGACAGGACCCAAAAACTAGCAATGGAAGGAACCAAAGCGTCTAGTGCATTGAAGGAATGGGGTGTAGCCGAAGGACCCGATCTGGGGGTATGTTGGCATCCACGCTTTTAAGACGAAGAGGCTAGCGCTCGATGAACAACTGACCTCGTCTTGTCTGACTACGTGCAGGACATCTTGACCAAGATTTCCATGTTGTACGACTATGCTTCTTCCGCCGAAAGGGCCTATGCCGAACACACCGGAAACGCTCGGTAAGTTCGCCGAGAGAGGTCACGCGACGTCATCACCTGCTCATCACCGTTCGCTCCTTCATCTACAGCCTTCACTTCAAAGAGATCAGGACGAGGGAAGAACACTTGACATCGTTGAAGAAGAGCAAAGAGACTTTGGGCAACAAGATCGAGAACCTCGACCGAAAGGTTCGTGATGACGTCGTTGAGCGCCGGTCATGATCGAACGGCAACCTGATCATCACCCCCTTCTTGTGACGGCAGGTGTCCAAGATGAAGGAGGAGAACAAGGACTTGCCCGCGAGCATCCACCGACTGAGCGAGATGCGTAGCGAGATGATCGGCCTCGAGCATTCGGTCCTCAACGAGGAGAGCAAGCTCGGCGACTTCAAGCGCTCGATCGTCCGTGAAGCCATGAGCCTCAAGCTCGGTGCCTTACTCGAAATGGCGGAAAAGATGGTCGTCGTCGCTGAACTGGGCAAACTCATGATCGACGAGATTCCGACCGAAAGGACCGAACCGGGCGCTCCTCGCGCTCACTACAACAGCTATGATCGCACGGACGAGTTGATGCAACAGGCGCAGAGGTGCATCCAGGACGTCGTCTTCAACCCCGTCCCACTTAGTGAGGGCCAACAGTACGACCATGACCGATACCACACGGCCGAAGACGATTTTCGAGCTGCGCAGCCACAGGGTGGCGGTGCTCCCGTCGACGACTACCGAGGCGGTTATGGAGGTATGGCCGAAGAGAAGCAATGGAGTGGACCGAACGACCACTACGGTGGCCAACACGAGCGGTACGCGTCGGAATCACAGGCCCCCGCTCTGCCCGAAATTTACTCGCAACCCCTCTTGCCCCCCGGTGCCGGATCCGGCGGTTTCAGCGGCAACAAAGGCCGAGAGCAGCAGCAGCAGCACGACCAAAACGGGTCGAACGGTGCTTTGGCCGCTCCTTTCGCCCACTACGAGCAGTACAACCAGACCTCGTCCCCCTACTCGGGTTCGAACGGCAGCCACGCCCCCTACGTCGACGCCCCGAGTGGATCGAATCGACCGTCGTTCGAGCACCCTGCAACCACGCAGGATCCGTCGCAGGCGCGCGCGTCGTACGAACAGGAGTCACCTGCGCTGGCCAAGGAACGTGAGCAGGCCGAGGAAGCTGCCCGTGGGGCCCAACAGCCCAATCCTTGGCGCCAGGACTCGCAGCCCAACGTCGCCTCGACTCGAGAAGCGGAAGGTCACAATCAGGCTTATGACAACGGAAGTGATGTGGCACCGGCGGCACCTTCGCCAGCTTATGTGGCACCGGCGGCACCTTCGCCAGCTTATGTGGCGCAGGCCGAACGACCTCGCACACCGGTCCAAGAGCAGCAAGAGCAGCCTACCTATGTTTCGCCCTCGGCCATTGGTTCCAATGCGCTGCCCAACAACCGCGCTTCTCCCGTCATCGGCGGCGTGTCGGCCTTTACTCACCCCGACTATGATCGACCCTACGTCCCCAAGGCCGGGGATGGTGCCTACCACGGGCAACCTGCGGGAGCGCCTCCACTTCCCAGCAATTCCAACGCCTCCGGAAAAAACACGGCCTACCTTCCGCCCGTCAACACCGCTCCTGCGCCTCCACCCATCACCCCCACCCCGACTTCCCCCTCCTCGTCGAGTGGTAACCGTCGACCTGTCGTGATCCGCGGTGAATCAGCTCTGGGTTCGAAGCACGGCGACGTTTTTGTCGCGAACCGAGCGCCGATCGACGGCGGTGCCTTGAACGCCGCCGCACCGAGTGGCCCAAACGTCTCGTCGAGTGGATACGCCGCTGGAACGGGTGCAGGAAGCGCGAGTGGTTACTACCGTTCCTCGGATGCCAACAGCGGTAGTGGCAAAATCCCCGCCGGTGCGTTCCGTCGCGGTCCTTCGAACCAATACATGGCCGGCGGTGTCGTTGCAGGTGGCCAGATGTTGCCCGGACCTCCTAGAGCGAACGATTTTGGGCCTTCGACGACGAATAATGGTGCTTCGCCTTCGCCTAGCGAATCAATGTCGATTCGGGATCAGTACTTGGCGAGGGATGCGGCGCTGTTGCAGCAGCAGCAGCAGACGGAGGGGCTTACAGGTGTGGGTGCAGGTCCCCGGTTCGATGTGAGTTTCATTTCAAGGTGTTTTGAGGTATTATTCTGACACCATCGTTTTCTCCATAGGTCACACCTCTCAACATCTCGAACCGCAACAGCGTAATCGGTGGATCGGCCCCTTCCGAAGTCGGATCCTCTATCGCCCCACCGTCGTACCACCCTTCGGCGCCGTCACAACCATCATTCTCGCAGCAACAAGGTTCTCGATCAGGGTCAGGCTTCAACTCGTCCCACTTTGTTACGAGGTTGGATTGAGGAGGTGTACTTGAACCCCGATCTGATTACACACGTCGTACATATGTCTCTTACTATTGCCTTGCTCGCTAATTTGGAGGTAGCGCTCCTGTGTGAGTTTTATACTTGACCTGTTCTTTTGCCATGCTTTAATTTTCCCTAGATGATCATCATCTTCAAGCACTTTTGCCTCCTTTTCTCTAGTAAATGAACCAAGATGGAATTTTGGATGGTGTTGTTCTTTACGGCTATGTTGCTTTGACCGAGCGAGCATGTCGAGAAAAGTTCTTGGGTGCCGGCCGGCAACGGTTGAAAGGGGTGAGGGAAGGAAGATGAGACTGGGGCCCCAGAGGAGTTCACTGACGATGAGACGGGCAGAAGATGAAGGACGATGGGAGCGGAGACAAACCTAAACTACATAGCGGGGGGGCAATCCCCAGCTCCGCAGCGCACTATAGTCCGTCGCAAAAGAGAGTGTGGGGAGTGGGGGGCGGGGGCGGGAAGATACCCGCCGGGTCCGAGAATGAGAACGAGAATGAGAATTTGAACTCCAGCTAGTCTACAAAAAGAGACGACCCTTCCCCGTGACAATTTGGCGCCATCCACGGATCGCTACTGCACTCAGCGCTCTCCCGCCAGCTATGCTTGAACGGTTTCTCCCAATATTCACGTACACAGCACGCAAGTTCCCTTATTTGTAGGTAACCGCGGTAGTCGCCCAGCAGGTTCCTACCTTCCTAAAGGTGATTATCCACCAAAGTTGAGGTTGCACCATGTTGCTCCGTCGCGCCGGCATCCAACTTTACCGTTGACCAATGGAGACTGGATCACGTGATGCGGGTCTGGCCACTCGACCGGCAACTCTACCGCTTGGCATCGAGGGACTTGGGGCCCCGGAGAGCGGCGGAGCGGACGGCAGCGGGCCGCCAAATGGGCTAGCTCAGGGTGGCGGCATTGGCTTGGCAACCGCAACGAGGCAGCGCAACACATGAGAACATTGGAGCAGCTTCTTTGCGAGCCAGGCAAGTGGTTCCCGTAGAACACAATAGAGTTGTTGGGCGAAGGACGGTGGAAGTGGAGGCGGACCGAAGGATCGCCAACTTGAAGCGACCCCCTCGGATATCTTTCTTCCCCGCTCGTCCATCCGCCCAGATACGACAGAGTACGAAAGTGCCCAATACGAAAGTGACATACGCCCTCGCCCGAGGAATCCGTACGCCTCTGCCTACCTAATTCCTATCTGCTCAAACGATGCCTCGTATCGTGATCCCCACCGGCTTCAAGGACACGACCAGTCCTGATCGGGTTGCACCGACCTGCACTCTGCGAAACGCGCAGGGACATACTTTCTCGGTCCATGTCGTTTCGAGCGAGATCACGCGGGTTGTGCACGCGTTGCCCGGCCAATACCGCCAAAAGACGAACGGTGAGACCGAGTTTGAGACCAATGTGTCCCCAGCTGAGGTCAAGGTCGAGGTGGGTTCACTGGTTCAGCTTGTCCATGTCGAGCTTGGGGCCGGGCCATCCATCTCGTGCGGCACACGTGGGGCACCACGCCCGAACACCAAGGCGAGGCGCTTACACTGTGACGACTTTGATCTCCTTAGAGTGTTCCCGACTCTTCTTTCGTGACAATATCGACCCCAGTCACCCGAATCGAAGTCGACCATGCGGAATGCCCGCGGCTGCAATTTTACCGATCCAGCAGCGTCCACGTCAATGGTGCCGCCGACGCGCAGGCGATCCCTTTTCACGCTGACAGCCACACACGAGCGTATTCGTTCGACGCACAGTCAGGCGCAGTGCTGCATTTGGTGAGCTCGATATGCATATGGATACATAATGTAGACGCATATTCATCTGCTGACGCTCAAGTAACCACTCTGCGTTGTCCTTCTTCTCCTCACTGTCGGGTAGACCGAACGGGAGAACTACTTGCCCGTCTCGGAACACGAGGATGGCATCTCGCGTGATGTCAACTCACCTCTCCGCAACGAGTTCGTCTATGGTCTCGGAGAATCGAGGGCGTTCGAAAAGACCGGACGCAAGTACACGTTCGAAGGCCGGGACGCACTCGCCTACACGCCGCAGAACGGTCAGTCTTCAATGTGCCCGGCCAAACCTTATGCCGAGCTCGTGCTGACCCTGGTATGAAGCTTGAGCAACTCAGGTGATCCTCTCTACAAAACGCATCCCTCCTATTGCGTATACAACAAGCGATCGCAGACCTGGCACGGCATATTCTACAACTCGCTGGTTGATTCAAGCATCGACATGGGTGCCGAGGGTGACGTCCTCTTCGGGTGTTTCCGAACGTACAAGGCCAACTCGGGTCCGGTAAGTCGCTCTTGCCGCGTTTCTCATTCTGTTACCGGTGGCTAACTAAGAAGATCGCGATCGACAGCTGGACTACTACGTCATTTCGCCGCGTGACGGATCCCTGCCCTCGCTCATTTCACTCTACGCGTCGCTCGTCTCGCCTTCCCACTCTACCCCGTATCCCATCTCGGCTTCGCCGGTCCTCCCTCCGCTCTCCCAATTTGGGTATCTTGCCTCAAGCCTGTCGCTTGCGGCCGATCCGAAAGCGCAGGAAGCCGTGATCGGATTCGTGAAAAAGTCTCGCGAAGAAGGATTTCCCATCGATGGGCTGTATCTCAGTTCGGGATGGTGCCAAGGTCGGTCGGGGTATTCGACGCATTTCATCAGCGTGATAACCTCCTTTTTAGTCAGTTCTGACCTGTCATACTCGAAAATTTTCCAGAGGAAGGTACGGATCTGCGACACTACTTTGCCTGGAACAAATCTCGATATCCGACTCCGGCAGAGTTCGGACGGACGGTTGAGCAAGACCTCCAAGTCCAAGTCATCGTCAACGTCAAGCCGTGGCTCCTTGAGACGCATCCTGGTATCCACTCAGCGGCCAAGGTCCGCGCGTTCGTCAGGGCCCCCAAAGATGCTCTGGGGGATCCGACCCGAGCGAGTGAAGAAGGTGACAAGCGGGATCTGGTATGGAGCAGCGGCTTTGCAGCTCATGCTCTAGGAAGGTACCTCGATTACAGTGAGTCGCGACGGGGATCATCGATCCAGAAGGCTCACCGGTCCTGACTACTAGTAGTGCCTTCACGAATCCTGACCAGGCTCAAAGGGTGGGTCCAAGTGGTGGATCGACTCAGTCCAACAGCAGTTGCTCTCGAATAATCTGACCGGCATTTGGATCGACAACAACGAGATGGCGGGCATGGTCGACGACGACGCCACGTTCAAGGGCGAACTCGGTCTGTGGAACGCTACAACGGCTCAGGGCAAGATTGGGGACAATGTCCAGACGCGGATGGGCTGGGGTCGAGGAGAAACAACTGTTGGAAGTGTGGGTAAAGCGGTGCAGACAATGGGCATGGCCAGGGTCAGTGTCAGATCAGAGGGTGATCGATTTCAGGATTAGCCTTGCTGACCAAGCCTTAAGGAATGATCCCAAAAGGCAACGTACGAAGCCCTGCTTTCCGCACGCCCCAATGATCGTCCTGTCATCGTATCTCGATCCGGTCTCCCTGGGATTCAAGCCTACGCACATGCCTCGTGGTCAGGCGACAACGCCACGACTTGGGCCACACTGGCCCACGGTGTGGCTTTGACGTTGTCTCTCGGACTGTCGTTTGGTCCCGGCCTGTACGGGCATGACATCGGAGGATTTGCGGGTGCGCACCACCCCAGTGCAGAGCTTTTGATTCGTTGGTGCCAAAACGCCGGAGCCTATCACTCACGCTTCACCGTGCATTCCTGGAAGGAGACATCGACGACGATGTGGATGTACAACGGACTGGAGCCTGGCGTGACCGACATCCTACGTGACGTGCTCGCGTGGCGATATCGGCTCGCACCGACGATGTACTCACTCTATGTCACTCATTATCATCGAAGAGGGTGGCCTGTTGTCAAGGTTAGTCGAAGGAAGCACATAGAATGCCGATGCACGAATCAGCGCTGACGTCCTGGGTCGTGCACGCAGCCCCTGTTGTGGTACCACTCTTGTGATCCGTTGACCTTGTTCGAGAGCCAGGCGTACCTGTTCGGCTCCCACGTGCTCGTCGCTTCCGTGGTCGAGTTCGGGGCTCGCATGAAGCGGGTCTACCTGCCGTCTTCTACAGTCGGCAAGGAGGGACAGGTCGAGTGGTGCGAGCTCGACACCGGAGTCTGGCATACAGGCGGACAAGTAATCGTCATGGGTAAGTCCTGTGCTATGATGCGATTACGCCTGTGATTGACCAGGCCCCCCGTCACTTGCTTCCCTTACCAGATGCACCCCTATCGCGCACCCCGACTTTGATTCGAGCCGGAGGTATCCTTGTGCTAGGCCCGACGTGCAAGAAGAACTTGCTCGAGTCGTTCGGCTCGCGCCACGTCCTCATCTTCCCCTCGTCCACCCAGAGCGGATGCTCGGGTCGCTTCACTTTGGTCGAAGACGACGGTGTCTCGAACGAGCACACGCTGAACGGCGTCTACACCGAGATCGACGTGTGGTATCGCGTTAAAAATGCCGAAGAAGTTGAAGTCGGCTTCGAGGTCTCAAGGAATGAGTATGTCACCAAGTGGAAGAACTTGACATGGGAACTGCCCAAGGGCGATCGCCGTAAGATCGTGGTCGCCGAGGGGTTGAAAGGGCTTTATGATCCTCAAGGTATCTTGTCGGTAGAGGTGTTTTAAGTTCAGGGTGGACTATGATGGACGATGGAACCAGAAATACGCTTCTTGCTTTTACAGAGCCCCATCACTGAACCTCTGATGCACCTCTGATAATGCAAATACCCCTGTCAGCCTGGAATTGAAAGTTTACCCTGTTTTGGTCCAACCTATTGAAACCTGCGGTACGAACCCGGGACAAGCGTCACAACTTTCATAACCGAGGTCGAGCGCCTTGGCGAGCTGTGCAACCGCCAAACGATCGCGTTCTGGTCAAAGCAACTGGACATCGACCGTTCCGAGCTCGACGCCATCGACGTGTAGGATCTTTTCTCGCAGCGCTTCGCCACCGTGACGGCACCTTTTCTCGAACGGCTTTATTCACGGCAGAGGTCGTTACAACGGATGTCAGCATGACAATTCATCACGGAGACACTAGATAATCTAGTGGTCATCACTGACCTGCACTGATTTGTGTAGTCCAACGATCGCGAGTTGGCTTAAGTGGCGTGACGCGGCTGCTCAGGCCCGCTCGGCGGAAACTCGCAGGCCTGGGCATAGAGACGATCACTTTGATCAGTGATCAGACCGCTCGGCCCTCGTGTCGAATCACCACCTATGCGGGTCTAAATAAGCCTAACAAATATACTACCCCGCGCGCGGCGAGTTTAGGGAGCTTTTTCGAGATTTGGCCCAGGAAAACGTTGGTACAGGGTAGGTGCACCATTCCCCTGCCAACCCCCAGCCCCCGGAGGCAAAACTGGTCACTAATTCGGGCACTTGCTACTTATCCCCGCTAATGGTCCATCTGCCTCAGCACCACGAGTTCCCCCCACTTCCCTCCACCCAAGGCCTTGCAAGCTTGCACCCATCGCTTCAAGCATGGACATCTTACCACACACACCACCACCTCTACAACCTAGCTCAGCATCAAAACGCACTGACAAGACCAAGCGCAAGAAGAGCACGACCGTGAGGAGGAGGAGGAAGAAGGTGACCTGCAGCAACAAGGACACGATCGAGAATGGGGCCACGACGTCGGTGGGAACGGAGGAGGAGGCGAAGACGAAGAAGAAGAAGAGGAGGAGATTATGGACCAAGCGAGTACGGAAAAGGGAGCCATCGTTGTCGCCCGATAGCGAGCTGTTCGACAAGACGTTCGGCTTCAATTTCGGTATTTTCCGCTCTCCAACGAAGAGGCGTCCGAAACGGCAGCCGAGCCCTCCCCCATCACCATCGGTCCAGAGGTCAACGCGTCGTCGGAAGGAGAAGGAGCATTCGAAGAAATCCATTGCCGGCCTCCACAAATCATCGTCCGAGCCTTGGACTGACATTGCCGATGGCGCAACGGCGTGGCCTCTAGACACCGAGACCGGCGGTTTCGAGCACGACTTCGAGCCTAACAGCGCGCCCGGCTTTGAGCCCGACTTTGAGCCCGACTACGACTTCGGTCGCGATTTCGGTGGTGGATACTCATCTGGACCGGAGCATTCGCCATTCCACCCAGACGGTGCTTCTCAAGACCAAGCGCCCTCTTCACTTAAGCGATCGCGGATCGAGAGGAACGCCAAGAAGCAGCGCAATCGTCGCCGGACTGCGAGGGCCGAAGCTAAGACTAGGGCGTCAAAACGACCTGAACTTTTCCAGGCGTACCTATTGATGAAGAAAAAGGCCAAAGAAGTGCTTCGACAGAGCGGGTTTGTCCCTTCCCCGGACGACGAGGAGTGGTGCGACGCATGTCATGAACGCCGAGTCACCAGAAAGGTCCGGGTTGTCGACCTGTTCTTTGCAGGTAGGTGCTTCTGTTGCACATCTTTTGTCAACCACCCCTACGCTATCGTCTTGGACTGATTTGATATCCCCCAACCATGAGCAGGCATGCGAGAACTACGATACTGCCCATGCTATTCCGAGATCCAAACCCTGGCAGCTCACGGTTTTCTCCCGACGTCGTCATCTTCAAACCGAAAAAGAGAAGGCATCACCGCATTCACCTTTCGCACGATCGAATATCTCGACACCTACTGGGGGGTAGATCCTTTTGGTATCTATGGCATGTCCGAAGCGCTCATTCTCTTTTGGTCCTCTGAATTATCCTCGGAGGATCCTTTTAACAAGGTGGGCTCTGGACAGGGACAGGCCGGAAACATTCATTGTTTCTTACAGAATATATTGGAAGCTTCCCAGGGTCCAACCGTGCGTCAGCATCTTCAAGCCGCAATGGATGAATATCGATTTATGCAACAGCTGCAGGCAACTTTGACCGCCGAAATTCTCGGCCTCTCCCCGCGCGAGCGTCTGGCCGACGTTTGTCCGGCATGTTTTGGGCCTCGGATCGATGAAGCCGGCAAGAGCGAGAATGACCTCGATGTCATCATTGCTGTCGACGGCAATTTTCAGCATCGACGATTCGCGCGGGCAAATGCTGATCCTCTCAAGTCACGTCCAGCGTTATTCCTGCCACCAGACAAGATTCGAAACGAGCAAGCTTTGATCGATGGATCGACTGAAGCGGGCGAGAAGGTACCTTGGTGCTGCTGGTGTCGGGTCACCCGAACCCAATAATGAGTTGACCCGACTGTCTGTGATTGCTAAACGAGCTATTCTCCTATACAGGATGAATGCACAGCCAACTGGAAGGCCGCAGATGGTGGTGTGACCTCCGCTTCGTCAAATGTAGTGGCCGACACAGGCCTCGTTGCTGCAGTGTGCCGTCATGATCATTGCCTGCGACTTTGCAACCTTCATCAATCAGGTGAAAAGTATGTGTGGACTGGCCATCTGTGACTCCAGGCAAGGACACTAATAAGCTAGTTTGGTCTACCGCAGGTTAGTATATCCGGTGTCGCTGTTGAAATGGATTCTCGAAGAAGTTGAGGTCGGAGAAACGGATTGTACTACGGGGCCTGCGCGTACCAGTGACGCTACAAACGTCGGATCCAGCTCGGGATCGGACTCCCACCAAAGTTCGAGTCAGGATCGAAGTCGCGTCGGAGTCGCGTATGATATCGCCTGCAACTTATCGTCGCACTTACGCCGAGTGAGTTTGTTCGTGACATTCAGCCTGAGCATTGGCTTAGTCCGTAGCTGAGCAGCTCATCTCTCCCCGGTGTCGCAGCGCAATCTTCTGGCAGACCACTTACCGCGTCTAGAATTTGCTCTCTCGTCGATGCATGCCTATGCGCACAAGTGGTCCTGCCAGGTTGACTTTGATCCGCGCTTTCTACCCAATTTTGGTTTGACTGATGGCGAGGGAACTGAGCGCTTGTGGTCGCAGCTTCGAGGCATGATACCCATGAATCGATCATCGAGTGCCTCCCATCGGCTGGAGAACATCAATCGTCGAGCGTCTGCTTATAACAAGCAGCATCTGGCCGATCTTGGTTCGCCTAAGCTTCCAGTCTTTCATGCACTACCTTACCATGTCGCTGATATTTGGCGTATCGATCATGCCCAGTGACCAAACTTAATTCTCGACTCAAAAACGCAATCAAGCTCAAGGCCGAAGCCGACAGAGTCATTACTGAGGTCGTTAATCGCTCCGAATGGACGGTCGCTACCCTTCTTGAACAATGGCACGCGCAACGTGCAGCGTCCAAGCAGATCCCTCTGAAAGAACAGCGCAAAGAGGTAGCCGAGATGCGCAACGTCATGTTCAAGCTTGAGCTGGTTAACAGAGATATCGCAGCATGCCGGTGGGTCTAAGCTATCGTCGTCGTTTGGGAGTGAGACACGAACCGGTGACCTAACTTCGGTATTCCTTTTTCGATTGCTACAGAGAAGAACTAGCCTGCGTGAACACCATAAATACGAACAAGCTTATAGAACAGTCGACTAAACTTCAACAGCTGGTCAAACAACGGCAGGTTCTTGATGATCGACTAAACTCCTTACGCACATCGGAAATGAACATCAGTGTCCTGGACCCTGGTACGTCACTCCCTTCTTGCATTCTGACCCTCCGGTGTGATCCCCTTTGTCCTCGCTTAAATATGTCAACACCTTTGATTGGCACAGACTATGAATTTGCCTGCACATTGATGGTCGCATCTCGCTCACTGTGGGACTTGGTCGTACAATATCGACAGGGAGCTGAGAGGCTGCGGCTCCCACGCCTAGGCGGTAAAGCCCTCGGTAGGAAATTCATGGTACGAGTCTTCTGCGCCGGCAGAAGGAACGCTGATGTGTAGCAATGCCTGCTCATAGGTACGAAAGCGGCTGGTCTCTTGGTCAAGAATCTTAATTCTTTGCGTCCAAGGCTCATGAAGGCAGTGGCGATGTATAACGACGAGGTGAAAAAGTATGCTGCCATCCTCGCCAATTCTCAGAATTCCCATTCGATCTTGAGAACCCGAAGGGTACCGCCATCAGCCCCAGAGGATCTCAACGAACTGCTCAAACTCGACATCTTGACGCCGCTCTGGAACAACGGATTATATAGTCATCCCACTGAGCCGTGGGCCTACGATGATGATGTTCGTGTCGGCATTCCAGCAGTATTGTCTCGCGCAAGATGCCAGCAAGAAATCAAGCGACTTGGATGGGAAGTACGTCGCATTGGACGGTGGCTGATAAGCCGTCGCAAGAGGTTTCAGCAAGTTCGCCAGCAATTACTACAACTAGATGAGCAGGATGACTCTGCGATGATGCTGCTCGAGCGAGAAGAAGAGCGTCTTAGAACTATTGCGCGACGATGGTTCTCGAAAGGCGGCCTAGATCACCTGTGGGAATGCACCCGGCAAAGCGGCGAACCGCAAACGGAGGAGTGGGTCGAGCTCCGAATGTGGTGCACCGACGACGTTGAGGTTTTTCAACGAACCACAGCGGGTGGCTTGCCGGATCACACATGGCCAGACTGCATCATTGATGGGATGGTCGGAGAGTCGGACGACATCACCACGGATCATGACGCCCTTCTTGACATCAGTGATCATTCGAGCGATGATCTGAGTCATCATTCCGTCGACACTACCGATTACGGCGCCTTCAGTGACGAGATCAACGAGAACTTTGATGAAGACGATGGCGATGTTTTTGGGGAATTTGATATTGATCATATATAGTTGCAGTCTTTTGCCCAGTTGCTACTTGCAATAGTAAAGAGATCAATGATGCGTTCATTTTGCTAGTAGTTCTACACGTTATACGACGCTTTGCTAGGAAGTACAACAAGAGCGATCAGACATCCAAGACCCGGCATCGCTAAATCGCTCGATCTTGCGGTGGCTCGCTTGAAAAGTTTAATGTCGCTCGAGTAAAGCTGGCAACCGGAAGCCCAACACGACCGGTAAGGTTTAGAGGAAGAGCGCGCTACGCTGAGGGAGTGAACACAAGCGTCCATTGCATCTTTGCTGCGCTGACTGGGCTGAGATCTCCTACAGGTAGAACTTACCGCTCTCCCTGCCAGTCAGTCACATGCGTAGTCCGTGTCGTGCCTTGGGTGACACTTCCCGAACAGTCAGCAGGGATTGCAAAAGTACGTATCATATTCCAACACTGCCGACTACATTTTGATGTATACTTGAACGAAGTCCGGATCCGGCTCACAGTTCCAACGTCGTACAAAGGTCTTCTGTAGTGTTGTCACGGCCACTCCGAGCCTCACACTCGACCAGGTCCATTGAGTATTTGCCTCGGAACTTGGTTGATGACTTTTCAGACGCAAGATACAGAAGTTGATCACCCCTAACAGTCTTTTTCTGTATGATATAATGAATTGTACATTGGTGGCACGTTAATGAACTCCTTGCTAAGTTGCTAAGAGCCAGCGCACTGCTTTGTCGCAATTCCTTCCTGCGCAGTTCACACGCTCACTGTAATCTCGACGCGAAGTACGTCGTCACGGCGCTTGCGTTTCAACAGTCGAACTGCAGCAAGTTATAGTCACCCATGCCCAAAGTAATGCGCTGTATATGACTGAACGAAGCCACGAGTGAGTCAGATTCACCTTTATACACCCCTTGCTCTGTCGTTGCTCTACGTTTTCTCATCGCATTAGGCGGCTTGAGAGTTCTGCACGCTGTTGTGGCCTGGGCCTCCTTCTAATATCGACCGACCGACTGCCCCGCCGTGGTTTTCGGTGATGGCAGGTCATATAGTCTTTTGTGACACCAATCAGGGTTCAAACTCAAGGTGGACAACACGTCGTGTTGGAGTCAGACTGAAAGTACCCATACCGGGAGGGTGTTTTCAAAGTTCTTTTCGACGGGAGATACCGTCTTGTCATCACTGTGACGGTCGTCTTCTTGGTCTTCAGTTGGGTCTTATAGTTGCGACGATGGGTGAATTCAGGATGGGACATGAAAGGAGAGGTCGAGCTGTCGTCTGACCCCTGTATTGCAGTCCCAACGAATGACCTCACAGTTATCCACCGTCCGGTTTTGCGGCGCGCAGGCAGTTGAGAGTTATGCAGTGGCAACCGGTCCGACCAGAAGGTGAAGTCAGATTGTATCTAAGGGAACAAGACAATGGTAGGCCAAAAGGTCAAACAGACTTATGCAACGAGACACGGTCAATAGTACGGCGCCTTCGGACGAAGCATGGATATGAGGAATGATTAGGAGGGATTGGATCCCAAGTGTGTTTGAAACGGGAGGCGCAAGAAACGGCGATGAGGTCGAAGTTGGAAAAGGTGTATGGCCATTTGGTTGTATATCACAAGTTCAGAAGAAGAAGAAGAAGAAAGAGGAGATGCGTCGGCCCGAGAGCCATTCTAATTTCGTTGACCCAAGGGTAAATAGATGCGCAGAGATGTCGCCTTACCTGGATGCGAGCGCCACACCGTTGTGCTGCGGCCTATGCGGTGCGCCCCGAGTCCTTGTAGGACAAAGGTGCGGGACCATTGGTTGCGAAGGAAGACTCCAGCCTAATCTCTGGAAGGGGGGCCGTAGATGAACGGGATGCCGGCCGCTGACTTGGTCAGGTTCCGGCGCCCGGAGCACACAGGGGCCCCCGGGCCGTGACGTAAGAAACAGTCCCGGGGGGCCGGGGGGGGGGTCGAGTATGCCCAGTGATCTTGGCAGAGCCTGACAGAATGAGCATTTTGATCATGTTAATTTACAATCCTGTTAAGATTAATCGCCACAATCAAGATGGCAGTCAAGATGGCAGCTGAGACGCTGTATGCGTGTATGACAATCATCTGAAACTAAACTGAAGGATCTACACTGAAAGACGCGCCACAAACCACAGAGACATAACAAATATCGGTCATCTTGCAGACCGACTCAGAGCATAATATGCCCAAAGAAAGACATAAGAACAGTCTCAATCCATCGACGATGTTTTGCTTCATTCATCCTCCGGTCTCCTCCGGTCTCCTCCGCCACCCCCTCGGTATTTCTTTCTCTATCTTCTTCTCCGCTTTTTTCTCCGCCGCGTACCTCTCCGCCTTCGTCCCCGGCTCCACCAAATCTTGGGCTCAGGGGTCCTTCTCCGCCATTCGAGTCATCGTCGCTTGCCTCTGCCTCCGTATTGTCGTTCGGGTCCACCGAGGGTACGATAGCGAGGTGGCCGTGACGGAGGTCGTCAATGATAGCCTTGAGCTGAGCAACGGTTTGCTTGGGCGATGTCTCTGCACTATGATGCAGAGCCATTTCGTATCTACTCTTCGTTCCGGGCTTGATCCGCAATTTGACACCCAGTGCCTTCAAGCCCTGGGTAGACCATATCATCTTCTTCTGAGGTGTGAAATCGCCTGTCGATGATCCCGTGTCGGAACGGCGATGTATAGTCTCGAGAGCAGAGTCTGTAAAGGCGGAAATGATTAGCACGGAGTCGAGCCCGATCAGATGCAGACTACTTACTGAGTTGGGCGCGGAACAGAATGCCGTGCCATTTGCCAAGAACGCCGCGAGTAGCACTGTCCATCGAGCGAGTGTTTGCTGATAGATGAGACGAAAACATATGTCACATAATTGGTAACGGTAACGTGGTCTCATGCGCGCATAATCTGCGATGAAAAGCTCACCCTCTTTCAGATCTGTTGCTTCATTGGCCTTGAGTGTCTCATCCCAGCTCATCTTGGAAGCAAAATTAGACAACAAGGAATTGCCGGATGGATCCTTGAAGTCGTTGCAGTGAGCTGCAAATCTGAGCCCACCTATCGAATGCACGGTTGCCTTCGTCGCTGGCGATACGTCGTCTTGATAACGAGGGACAATGAAGGCCAGGGTTTCCACTCCGTACAGCTTGGACATGCGTTGCGCCAGGTCTCGCAACTGCAATGTACTTTTTGCATTGCTCCATCCGAGTTGGGGAAGGAATGTCGGATGGCGACCGTGTGATGATGGTGGGTGGTACTATCGAAGTGAAAGTCGTATTATTTCCTGCCTCTGCCGCTGCAAAAGCCGCGCGAACAAGCTCTTCATCGTCCTCGCCAAGTTGGGCAGATCCGAGGTCCCCCTGGTCTCTCAGGAAGTTCCAGAGTTGAGCGGCAAGTTTGGTGATGGATTGCGATTTCGAATGATCCGATTCTGAACACGTTTGACACACCCAGGGTATGTAAGAACAGATATTGCGGACGCAGCGGTAAGCATAAGCGAGAGCGTAGGAGAGTGGAGTGGGCATGACCGGAAGCGCCCGGAGGACCGACTCACCCTTGCTTGCTCGCTGGTGTAAAACCTTGACTACAGGGTCCGAGAGAAATCTAGACCACGCATTGCCCTTCGAAGCGAGGCTGTTGAACTTTTTGACGGCCTGAACGAGCCTTGCATGGGATATGCCGAGTTTCGCGGCCATCTTGAGCTCCGAGTAATATCTTCGAGCGGCCCAGTGCTTCAGCGAGGTCCACTTTCTTTGACTCATACGACCGGTCGCGTTCCGATGCGAGCCATGTATGGCCGTCCAGAGCCTGATAGCTCTTCGATGGTCGATCGCGACATCTTCAAACTCGCTCTCACTCTCACTGTAACTGTCGCTGTCGTCAGCCGAGGAGTGACTGGAATCGCCCCAATTGGGCTCGTCAGAGTCGGAGTCGGACGAAGGGGTTTGGGGCACGGGCATGCGCCGCTTTCTCTTCCGAGTCGGGCGTGGAGACGGTTCATCCAGAGTTGTGCTGGCTTGTGAGGATGCTCGACCGCTTTGATCGTCCCTCCGACCTGCAAGAGGTGTGAGAGAACAGAGAATTCTTCAGCTGTCCGGCAGGATTGAGTAGATAGAAGGATGAGGTCGATGACCGGCACTCTGCTCTCAGCCCTGCTACAAGGGATCTTAGTTGGCACACCAGACAAGAGCACTCACTCGGATGAGCGCCAAAGGAAATGGACTCTGCTGGAGAACCTCGCCTAGATCCCACGCGTATGTCTGACGGTCGCGTCATGGTGGAGCAACACAATTAGGCCCATGAAGGGGGATGTGAGGCGGGGAAACGCGTCCACATACCTCCATTCGGCAATAGCATCGATGTTCGTTCAACAGGCGCAGGGAGGTTTCAACGTATTGAGATGCGGGGCGTGGCGTGGGTCAAGGGTGCGCGTTGTCGCGTTGACGTGAGTGTGCAGAGGTCAACGTGTTCACGCAGAGCGCTCGCCAATCTGAGCTCCGCGTGCGGCCGCACAGCCAGGCACAGCCCCGCCTCAATTTTGCCCGTTCAATTACTCTCTGGGAATTGATGCAGGACTGATTGCCGCTGGATCCAAGTCGTCCGTCCGAAGGGGCTTCACTAGATATCCATTTTCTATACACAGTGCACACCGTTCAGAATAAGCGTTTGTCTGCTCGAGGACCGATCCAGGATTCCAGGGACCAGGACCGATCCCTCCCTCGGGCCCAATCATAGACACGGTGTGTACTCCCTCGGTCGTATCCAAACTAACAAATACAAGAAAACAGGACGAAAAGGTCTACACAGAATCTGTCGTACACATATCAGTTGATGGTATATGGAACTACACGAATTGAATGGACTGAGTACGACAAGCTGTATGACATTTATGACATAATTCGAACTTACAAGTCTTCGGAAAGTGTTATTCGTGATGATGGTGAGTCTTACACGAACTAGTAGCCCTTTATTACTTATGACCATTTGGGGTGCACTGAGCCGGGGTGGGACGGGGTGGGGAGGGCATTGGTGCACCCGACCTGTACCAACCTCCAACCAGGCCAAAAAACAGAAAAGCTGCCTTAACTCGCCCGCGCGGGGGAGCTCATTTGGCTGGGTTAACTGACCTGCCGATCTGCTTTCATTAGTGCCTGTGTCACTCCACCTCAATTTCTATCCGCACGAGCTCTCTCATAATTCGACCATTGGAAATATTCTTTATACCATCAATTGCAATTTTGGTCTTATTTTTGCTAGTCTAGCGTCGATCTCGCGTTTTCAGGCACCTCAGCGGCGCTTGGGCGACCCGGACGCCGCAAGTGAGAATACGTGCCTCCACAAAGAAGCTTGTGCCCTCGGCGGCGGCGAGCAGTGACTCCTCCGACTCGGAGACGAATCGAGTGGGTGACCAACTTTTCCCCCGAGTGGAACACGACCTGGCGGCTTCTATCCGCCTGGTCACACAAAAGACCCTACAAATGGGATTGCCTGCGGCGAGGAAAAAGATACTACCGGGCATTGGACGGCGGCGTGCTCCACACAGTGCAACATCAACTCTCTAAAGCCGCTTGCACAGTGAGTTTTAGCGAGGGAGGTGATGTCATGTTGCAGCGGAGCTCGAGAAGCCGAAAGGGACCGTGTCGTAAGCAACAACTTGGTCACTACAGAGCAAAGTAAGAAAGAGACATGAGGGTGTAAATAGGGAAGGCGGGCGGGAAGCTCCAGAAGAGGGGTCGTTTTGCGAGGCGTAGCGATCGGGGATGATAAGTAAACGTGGCAACTATGACAGAGGTACGGCGTAGCATACCCTTGCGAGGCGTAGCGCGGGCGTCTCATACAATTGAACGAGCGTCCGGGAAACTCCGCGGGAGGTAGCCTATAGGATGCCTGCGTCAGTTTGGTGCGCCCAACACTCGCCCAACTAGGGCGATCCAGGGGGGTAATCGATCAAATGAGCGCCGAGCCAAGTTCCCGCCCTCGATCGGTTCTGCTCCCTCTCTCACTCCACTAACCCACAACAATGTCAACGACGACCTCTGACCCCGAGGCGGTCTCTTTCGACCGTTCGTCGCACTCGCACCGCCGATTCAACCCTCTGACGCGTACATGGGTGCTTTGTTCGCGTAAGTGGCTTGAAGCTTCTACCCGACCACCCCCGGCCGGATGTTGGCGTTGGCTACGAATAACTTGATCGATGCCGGAGCCCAAGATGGCCGCGATCCACCGGCTGGATAGAACACGCTCGAGTGGTGTCGAGACATGGATCAGACGATTTGTGTTTGTGTCCAAGGCTTTGCGGCTTTGCGGCTTCGAGGATGACGGACTCTTCGTCTGCGCTGAACGGGTTTCTGTAGAACCCATCGCGCTGAGCGGCGGTCCTCCGGGTCCGCACGTGGTCATCTCCCTTCGGCGACGTTCACCTTTTCGAGCTCGATGGCTTGCACACAAGCACGAGTGATCGTCAAGTTCCACCAACCCAGCCGTTGTCTATGGCTTCTTTCTCCGGCTGCCCTGAATCGGATGTATCTCACCTCAGACGTCGAGGGGAGGGTCGAAGCTCCCCCACCTCAGATCCCCACCTACCTCGCTCCCAGCGCTGACACCTTCACTCTCCCCCTCCCCGTCCACCATTCCCCAGCCCACCGTACCAAGCGACCTTGGCAAGGTGCAGTTGAACCACCCCAACTCGACTCTCGTCCAGCCTACGACCCCAAGTGTTACCTTTGCCCCGGCAACGAGCGAGCGGGTGGAGTCAGGACGGAGAAGTACGAGGGAACTTTTATCTTCGAGGTGCGTTCAACGCTCGGGAAACTTAGGTTCCTACAACGTTCCTGACTCGGATAATGTTCCCCCACTTTACATGCACTAGAACGACTTCGCTGCCCTTGTAGAAGACTTGGTCCTCCCGCCCCCGCCGATCCCGGAAGCCGACGAAAGTGTCAATTCCCTCTTTCGCCAAGAATCCGCAAGAGGCAAATGCCACGTCATATGTTTCTCACCTCGTCACGACTTGACCGTCGCGGAGATGAAAGATCAAGAGATCGAAGGCGTCATCGGGGCTTGGTATGTCGATCCCTCCACTTGTCACTTTTTTCAAAAGTTGACCCCGAGCCTAATCCTTCGGGGATACGAATGTTCGTACAGGACCAAGTTGTACAAAGATGTTTCAAAAGAATACCCTTGGATCAAGTACATCCAGATGTGAGTTACGAACGTGCCCTCCCGTGATGAGTGGCGCACCAGCTCATGGGTGGGTTGATCCTCGTGCCCATAGCTTTGAGAACAAGGGCTCGATGATGGGCTGCTCGAACCCCCATCCGCATGGACAGGTAAGATTCCTACACCACGTCCGAAAAGCTGCGAAAACTCTAACCTCGTTTTTTCCTGTCCGTAGTCCTGGTCCCTCTCCTACATCCCCACAATACCTTCCCAAATCCTCGAATCCCAACTCGCCTTTGCCTCCTCCACGAAACCCTCCAACTCCCTCGCCCCTCTCTCGCAAAATGGTTCTCCAAATCTCCTCCTCACCTACGTGACTCAAGAACTTGCTTTCTACGCTGAGAACCCGGAAGAAAGTCGTGTGATTTTCAAAGGCGAAGATTTCGTTGCGTTGGTACCGTTTTGGGCAGGGTGGCCATTCGAGGCGATGATTCTGCCTTACAAGTGAGCCGTCTCCCCACTAAAAATTCCTGCGCTTGACGTTCATCCGAAGAAGACTGACGAACGACCCATCTTTCCGTTCAAACAGACGTCAAATCGCTTCCCTCTCCCATCTCACCCCCTCCGAAATTTCCGACCTCGCTACCTCGATCGGCCACCTCACGCGCCGCTTCGACAACCTCTTCTCCACTTCCTTCGCCTACTCCATGGGCGTCTACCAAACCCCAACTGACAACTCGACGAATTCGTCCGCCTACCTATCCACGACCCAACTGCACCTCCTCTTCCTACCCCCCCTATTAAGGTCCGCAAGTGTGCGCAAGTTTTTGGTCGGCTTCGAATTGATGGCCGAGACTCAACGGGATATCACGCCTGAACAAGCGGCGGCGAGGTTGAGGGGTGTGGAAGGGGGAACGCATTACAAGTCGATGTGAGGGATAAAAGGTTAAGTCGGATGGGCAGCTTTCGGAAGAGAACTTGGGTTTGTGAACTGGGTTGTGAGCTCGGTAATTAAATCACTTTATTCGGATGTCGAAACCAAAGAAAGAACAATGCTTCGAAAAGCGCGGGAAAAGAAGGCAACATGATCAACGGAGGATCTCTCGAGGAGAGGGGAAACACAAAAACTAAACAAAACAGAAAGGAAACTGTCGATGGGTGTAGGTGGTGATTAGAGTGAGGTGGGAGGGGGTAAAGCAACGTAAAAGCAAAAGCGGCCCGAAGGTCTTCTGAGGAGGGGAGGATTTTCGAAGACGGGAACCGTATATCAAGCGAAGAAGGGGGAGGAAGAGGACTGGGCAATTCTAGCTACACGAATTGGGAGATCACACACACACACACACAAATAGAGTCACACACAGAGAGAGAGACAGAACCACATCAAAGCAAACCCCCACTTTCAAGCCGAGACATTCCCCGAATCCAGTTCGATCTCCCTGGCTCGTTTCGCAGCACTGGCTTCGTCGTCGTTCCCACTCTCCTCACGAGCATGCTTGCGAGGAGGTGCGAACCCCAGCGCCCCACCCTCATTCGACGGTTCCTCGACGACGTTCTCCCTCGGTCTCGCAGCATGTCCGTTCGTAACCTCGATAACGGGTGTAGGATGCACAGGCACTTGAGCGGGCCGTTTGGTCGTCGTAGGTGACGAAGCAGCACCCGCAGCCGCGATGGCCGAAGCAGCCGCGGCGATCGATCCGCCTCGACCTTGGCGGAAGCGAGCGCCGAGTCCACCACCCCGAGCGAGCTTGGCCCTCGAGCTCGTCGAGGGCGTCCTCGTTAAGTTGGTCGTGGCTTCTTCGTCGAGGGGGGTCGAGGTGGACGCTGAGGGCAACACCGGTGGAGTCGAAGAAGACGTCGATGCTACTTCAGGAGCGACGGGAGAAACGGGGGGAGGGACAGCTGCGACGCTTGCCTCCTTCGCGGCTTGCGGGGCTGGAGAGGCAGCTTTCATCGACAGACTTTGCTCGACCGGTTCCGTCTTGGGTTTCGCATCCGCTGCCAAGGGCGAAGGTGACGCAGCAGCTCCGGGACCGGGTGAGTTGAGGTGCTCCTCCGTGAAGGTGCCACCGGGGCTTATCTTCCTCACGATCTTGCGACGACGGTTCTTGTCCTCTTCGGCGATGGGTTCGTAACGGATCGGGACAGGCACGCGACCACGCGACGAGGCGAACTGCCCAGTGTTGGACAGAGCAGCGGGGACGGCAGCGGGCGATTGCGATCCCTCTACGGCGGCGGGTGTCGTTGGAGCAGCTGAGGTCGAAGCAGTGGGAGCAAGGACAGAGGGGCCCAAGGTGCCGGAAGTGGCATCGACGGGAGCGTCGGGACTGGCGGCGACGGCGACTTCGGGTATAGCGGCAGGGACAGGGGCGGCAGGCGGCATGAGCTCGTCAAGGAATTGAATGCCGTCCTCACGTATGGGCTTGAGCGAATGCACAAAGATCATGTGCTGGTGGAGATTGTCCTTGCGCGAGAAGGTCTTATCGCACCCTTCAGCATCGCAAGGGAAAGCTACGAACAGGAAGGAACAATAATTAGTTCGAGTCCGAAGAGCCGCAACAGCACACATTAAGAAGACTTACGCTTGGCACCAATGTGCACAGCCTTGTAGTGTCGCTTGAGATGCTCGGAGCGCTTGAACGCAGCGTCGCAGCTATCGGCCGGGCAGATGTGCACCTTCTTGATCTTGCCCGTCTTGGACAAGAGCTTGCCTTCCATCTCGTTCGCGGCCATCGTGCGTCGACCGCGGATGACGGTGTTCTTGTTGAATGGCGTCGTGAGCGCGATGTTGTGGCCCGCGCTCGGTGCGAGCGTCGGCGTCGACGTCGAAGGTGAACTGGAAGTATCTTCGGACGTGACCTCGGGCTTGACGTCGCCGTTTGCCGGTGCCGTGACGGCGCGACCAGGGATGCGACCACCGATGCCGGCCTCTCGGAGCCTGTCGTCGACCGCGCTCAAGATGCGTGCCGTCGTCGCGCTCACGCCGCCGGCGACCATGGTGCGATCGGCCGTAGCAGCCGAGTAGACGAGCGGATTGTCGACCGCTGGTGGTGGAGCCGTTGAAGTAGAGGGGACCTCGACAGCAGCAGCAGCAGCCGGAACCGGAGCAGCAGTAGCAGCGGAGGTAGTGGCAGCCGATGGAGCGGCCGTGGGCACAAGCTTCGCTGCCGAGGGGCGTGACTTGCCGAGCTTCTTGCCAATGATCTTGGGCGGCGTATCGGAAGCGACGGGTGCGGCGATCGGAGCTGGCTTGGCGACGACGGGTGCGGGAGCGGGTGCAGGTGCAGGCGGAGCTGGGGCGTCAACGACCATGGAATCGTCCTCGCCTTCGGCATCGGCAAAGGGCGAGGGGCGTCGGTTGAAGACATGCTCGTGGCCCGGGCTATCGCCTTCGCCGGCATCGATCGAGGCTCGCCGCGGTACGACCGTTAAGGGTGCCATCGACACAGTCGGATCGTTCGATCGCTGACGACGACCGAGACGCTCTTTGCACGATCGGTTCGTGCGCCCATTCCCGACAGCAGCGGCGACAGCGTCCCACGAAGGGCCGTACTTTGCGAAGGCCTCGTCGAGCTTGCGATCGTCGGCCGGAGTCCATTTGACGACGCTGCGTTGATCGGAGGTATCGGGTTGGGTTGACAGAACGGACACGCGACGAGGTCGAGATCCGGCGATCGACTCGGAGACGTTCGAAGTCGAGGGCGAGGGCGAGGCCTGGACGGGGGCGGGGGCGGGGGGAGCGAACGTCGAGGTCGAGGCACTCGCTCCGGGCACGGAGTGGGTCGGAGCTGGAGTGGTAACAGAGGTTCCTCGTTCATTCGACTCGGTTTCAACACCCTTGGTCGCCGACCCGGAGTGGATCGCGGCGCCAGCGGTGGTCGGAGCTGGTATCGGGTCGGTATCGGGTTCAAAGGGAGCGTCCTCTTCCGAGTTGGCGCTGGATTGGTTCGCGTCGACAGCCGAGTTGGTTTCCGGGGACGTCGATGATTCCTTCCCAGCCGCTGTAGAAGCTGGATCGGTTTTCAGCTCAGAGGTGACGGCATTGTTGGCGAGCGCGCGCGCGTCGGCGGCGGAGGTCGCAGCTGGGCTGCCCGACATCTCTCAAATTCAGAGCCGAGCGTGGGGCGCGAGTGGGCACGGATGTGATGACGAACGAAGGGTGTTACCAGGTCGAGGACGAAGGGGAATGTAGTGTAGTAGATGGCGCAAGCGTCGAGCTCGATCTGATGTACTGGACTCAGCCGTTGTCTGTACCAAAGCGTCAAGGGCATGACGGTCCAGGTCAGCCTCGTGTTGGTATGTATTGAAAGGGGCTTGACTGGCGGGGGTGAGCGCATTCGTGAACCGGCGTCGTCACCGTCGCCTGACGCAAGGAGCGAGCTCCTCGACCCGGGGTTTCGAGAGCCCGCCTGCTCGCCCGCCCGCTGACCTGCCGCGCGCGCACAGGGCGAAAGAAGGAGGGGGTGCGGGTGACTCGCAACAACGACGACAGGCGACAACGATCTGATCCGCTCCGACTCACCTCAGATGACGCGTTCGGGATGCCGCTACCGGTTCGTACACAGAACCAGATGACAGGTTAGTGCCTTGCGCAACCAACTGACCCCTCGGTGAAGCCATTTTGGGGAGTCCGCAGCCGCAGCAACTCACGATCGGTGGGTGGGTGGGTGGTGGGTGGGTCAGCGCGAGCAGCAGAGGCGGCGGCGGGGCACAGGCGCGGGCCGGCGGGAGGCGGCAGATGCCACGAGCGAGCGAGGGGGCAGAAGCGAAACGGGAACCACCGCGCGAACGGGCGGGGCTAGGTCAAGAACTCGGCCTCCTTGTCAGAAGATTCGAAATTGAGGAGAACGGATCGAATTCGGAGACAGAAAAGGTTTGCGACGAGACGAAAAGTCACAAGGGCGAGTGGGCGGGTCGAGTCGAGTCCGAGTTACGACGAGTCGAGGAGGTCGAGTGGAGGGAGGGAGGCCAAGCCGGGTCGGGAGCGTCGAGACTAAAGAGAGACGCAGTCGCTGTCGTCACGGGGAGGCTCAGAGCAAGGGGGTAGATTAGAAAAGGGCGCAGTTTTGACCCTTATTCCCACGCGCCGCGCCTGGGCGATCGCGGGGTGGGTGCCTTTTCAAGCCCGCGGTGTGGAGCGGCCCCAGCCTCGACTCCAGACACACGGGCGCAATGACGAGCTGCATGCTGCACGAGTCGAGCACAACGAAATCAGACGACGCAGGGGGCACCTGCTCGGCACCTTGCACCTTGCTGCCGCTTCCGCCGCCGCCGTCTCTGCTGAACCCTGACAGGCCTCACCCCGTCACGCCCGCGACCGGCCGGCATTCGGGAACACGGCAACAGGTCTCTCACTCTCCCTGCCAGCTGCTACATGTGGGCTATTTAGAAGGTGATGGAAGGGGTGGCGCTGACCGCTCAAATCCGAACAACAGATGTACTACATCCAGCATTGAACTCGTCGTCTTCGACATGATCGCGTTGTTTTGGGGGCGATGCCACGATGGGCATAAAAGGGGCTTTAGTGTAGTACATACAGGGGGCGTTTTTTCGCTTATTCGGGAGTTTGGAGCCGGAGGCGCGGGCGTAAGGCGGGATCGATCGTTTCTCCGCCGCTTCGACCGCCAGGAAGGCTTCTCGGCTTCTCGGCATCTGGCACAGTGGCACTGATGATCCCGAGTTTTTAACTGAACTTCTGTTCTTTGAAATCAACGCGCCTTCTGAGAGGCTCGCACGGATACCTTCTGGCTATAGCTATGGCATCATTCGCAGCGCCTCCGACCGGCGCGAAGGTCGGCTACTAGTTCAGGGGTCGCTCGGCTCATCAGCTCCCGGAAAAAGACGCTTTCCACGTATCATTGAGTTCTGCAGTAGTTTGTACCCAGAGGTACGGAGGACCAACTTTTGTCGAACTCATTGAGTATTCACGAGCAAACTCTTTCGTGTACTCGCAACTCGGTCCGAGCTCGTGGCGAAGGCTCTATTTCCAATCCTCACGAGCTCCGATTTTTTCGCGCGAAAATATTCAAGCGCCCAGAACTCACCACCATTTCAACGCAAATCGAACCTTTCATGCACGTGTCAAATAATGTGTCGCACTCGGCTTATTTGCTGAATCTTCAGCGGGGCCGCCGGAGGAGTCTGCTAACCCCACATCGCCGTGCGCCCAGTCTTCCCCATCTCGCACCACGCCTCCCTGACCTTCAACCGATCTGCGCATCCCTCATCATTCAGATATGTCCTTCTCCTCCACCCACGCCGATCGTATCAACGAGGTCCTCAAGTCCTCGACCCAAGACCCCCACAAGGGCATCCCCCGTGTCGTGCTGCTTGTCGCCTCCTCGGAATCCCCACTCATCTTCTCCTCGAGTGCAGGCTATGCGCAACTCCCCGACTACCCCGCGACGCAAGAAGACTTGGACAAGGCAGAAAAGATAACTCCCGACTCGGTGTTTGAGCTCTGGAGTTGTACCAAGCTCGTTACGTCGATCGCGACGTTGCAGTTGATTGAGAAGGGACAGATCGGCCTCGATGACGATGTCACCAAGTACCTCCCCGAAGTCAGGGACGCCAAGAAGTACAAGGGATTAGACAAGGATGATAAAGCTTTGACGGAGGAACTGAAGACCACGCCCACGATCAGGATGCTTCTGTCTCACACTGCTGGGTGAGTGATCGCTTCCCCACTTCTTCGTCGGCCTCCGGGGATTCGATTCCGGGCAGAGGAGCGAGTGACACGTCGACGCTGACCCCTCGAAATCATCCCCTAGACTTACCTATGAGCTCACACCTGCACATGCTGAAGCTCAAAAGGCTCTTGGCCTGCCCAACGTCTACTCACGAGCCTCGTCCAAGGTTCGTTCCTCCGCTCGCAACCCCACTCGTGATGTGTTCGTCGGAGCAGCGTTCGCGGCAAAGTGCTGACTAATGGCCAATCTCGCGATCATTGCAGGAATCCCTTTTAGCGATGCCATTTATCTAGTGAGTGATTGCATGTGTCGGCTTCTGTTGATCTGACAAATCAAAGTCGTGCTGTTCCTTTCAATTACAGCGAACCTGGAACGGTCTGGTCATACGGCACGGCGATCGACTACCTGGCACTTACGATCGAAGCTGTGACGGGTGGGTCGTTGATCGATTACTTCAAGAAAAACGTTTTTGGGTATGTCTCCGAGCTTGCTTGCACGTGGCAGCTGCTTTGATTTCGGGTCCTTGTGCCACCAATGGAAACTGCTGACCCCCACTGCACCCCCACCTCTTCCTTCTCTCGCCTCTAAGACCTCTTGGCATCAGTGACATGTCGTATGCACCCCCATCAAACCGCATCAACATGGCCTACGATGATCCTGCCAACCCTTCAGCACCCTGGAAAGCAGGACCTGGCTCGACTCTCAAGGAGAATCGAGGAGGCGCCGGTCTTTTTGGCTCCCCCGCTTCGTACCTCAAGATCGTCCGAACCCTACTCGGCGACGGTCAACCCCTTTTCCAAAAGACCGAAACGGTAGAGAAGATGTTCGAGGATCAGACTGCGGGCTCGGAAAGATTCCAGACGTCGATGAATCAGTTCATGGCGCTTGGTTCGGACCCGTTCTTCGGCGAAGCCGAGCAGGCCGGACACGGCTTGGGAGGTGCCCTGACCGGGGCCAGGCACGGGGGAGGGAGATCAAAGGGTACCCTCAGCTGGAGTGGATACTGCGTAAGTGATCACCGATAATTTTGCGTCGGCAGTACGAATCGCGCACCTTCTTCGCTCCCTCAAGTGGCGCCGGACTAAGTATCTCTTCGCCCTCAGAACACCTTCTGGGTCGCCGATCGCAATCAAGGTGTCGCCTACGTCTTTTTCACCAACTCTACGCCTACCTTTGCCCATCCGAGAATCTTTGGCCTATGGGAGAAGATCGAAAAGGATATCTTCGACGGTGCACTTCAAGGTCGTAGATCCGGCTCGAGGCGGCAAACAACGCTTTGAGTGGGGAGGGTACTCTTAGAAGATGTTTGGTTGATGCAAAATGATACATATGTATTTTTAAGATTCTGACGAAAGACAGTGTCCTGTCTGCCGAACCGTGACTACCGATAAAGCTACGCATTATCTTGCTCGCGAGCTCGAAACAGGCATGCGGAAATTTACCCAGACAATGGTACTCAAAAAATACGATGTACAGCAGCGATATCTGGTAATTTTGTATCGGCGTATGAGAGCGAAGATGCGTGGGCCGTGCGCCCTCACCACATGTGATCGGCGTGGCAATGACAAAAGGAGCGTTGTCGCGCTTCCGGGCCCGATGCCGTCCGTCATCGCCCGCTCCATCGCCGGCCGCTCTCCGTCTGACCACACCACTCTCTCCTAATGTTCCCAATCAGTACATGCCGGATGGATGACGTTTACAAGGGTAAGAGACTGACTTCATTCCTTAGCCGCGATCGTATCGGCTGACATGATCTCACTTCCGTTCGTCATAGCCGAGTCGATGTGGCAAAATGAGGCAGCCCCGCAGCCTCGCACGACCTTCGAAACCCGAGCGCGATTTGAGCCCCAGCATCAAGATATCGAGCAAGGGATGCCGAGCTATCCCTATGAGCCAGTGTCGATGTATGAACCAAGCCAGGAGGCTACTTATGCATCCATGTCCGAACCCACGTTTGCCGACCACGACGACTTCTTGAGAGCACCTGCGGCGGCGCCAAACTGTGCACTCTCGGGCGCGACCTCGAGCCCATCCCCACCTCAACCGTGGACCGAAGACGAAGACTTCAACCTCATCTATGCGATTTTAATTCATGGTGAAACGAACTGGGAACGTGTCATGAGCGAACAAGCCGCCGATATTGGTAATCCGGCGCAAGGGCACACTGAAGGGGAATTTCCGATCAAGTATCTTCCTGCTTTGCGAGAACGACGCTCGACGGAAGAGGCGATGTCGAGGTGGACGACTTATTGGAGCTCGCGAATCATCGAGATTGAAGGTGAGATGACTGTCGGTGTCCCAGTTGAAGCTGACACATAAACACTCACGTATGTCCCTCCATTAGGTCACAACTACCGCTTCTCTGACTTGTTCGCTCGCTCGCAAGAAGTCACGGGAGATGGTTTGAACCACCTGTATCGCGACGTCGACATGTACATACCATATCGACCTTCCGGATCGTCGCTTATTTCGTCTTCCCCAGCGTCACTCGCACCGATCTCAGCTTTCAGCTCCGGCTCAGGGGACTCCGGAGCAAGACCTGGCTTTGCTCCACCTTTTCGAGCTCGCTCGAAGTCACTGGGCACCACCGACTCCATCAACGTTCCCCTCACGCTCGCTCAGGGTTCAGCAAGCCTATCCACGTCCTCTGCAAACAGCACACCAGTCCTCGTCCCCGCGTCCCCTCGACGTCGAACGGCGCTCGGTCCTTTGCGCGAAGGAGCTCGTGAGCGCCGACAGGGGCTCGGTCGTCATTCACCACTTTCGTCATCGCCGCTCAAACAAATCATTTGTGGATACGACGAGGAAAATCCGGCTTCCTCGACTAAAGGCGAAGAAGAGAATCAACCCGCAATATGCGGCTGAATCCGGCTGATACAAGCCGGTGGAGGGACGTCGGTGTCGGCATTGCAATTTTCGAAATCTTCTTCGTTCGCGGGAGACTTCTCAGCTCACGACACTCCTTCGTAATTTCAAACCAGATCATACCGATTTTTCTTTAGATTATTTAGGCAACCGGTACTCGGTATCCACCCTACTCACCTGTCCGACTTTGACCGACAAAGCCTCTTCCCTCTCCGATCTCGCCTCTCCCGACCTCAGTCGTATTCGATCCCGTAAAACTACTCGCTTCATCATCCCTACCACCCATCCCGTTGATCCTACTTGTTTCACTGAAATCCATCAAGAATCGAAGCGGACGTCGAAGAAAGATCTGGTTGCTGTTTTGAAGGCGAAGAATGGCTCTACACCTTCGACTCCGACCTTCACCTCGCATATCCTCTCGCCCCATCATGATCGTGTCCATCGAGCAGAAGCTCACCCTCAATTTCAGAAGTGGGTATCGCACCATCCTGGCCCATCAACGCCTCATTTCAACTACCTAAATACGTTCTCACCACGGGTCGCTCGCCGCTCCAACCTTCGCCCTCACCGCCGTTATCAGTATTGGGCGATGGTTCTCAAACCGAATGTCGATCGAGCACGCTCACCGAGCTCACCGAGCCCCCTCGGTAAGCGTGCTCGAAGACGATCTCCCGAAGTTCGTCGGGCTGCAAAAAAGTCTTGCTAAGGTAATAAAGCGAACGAACAGACGCCCCAATTGAGGTGAAGCGGTTTGAATTGGAGACGGGTTCGCCCGAACGAGTCGAGTGCTTGGGGCAGGGGCCGAACGAAAGAAGGAGCAAAGAATGTTGGCCGAAAGCCAGCATGATGAGCTGAAAAAGGTGCAATGCAGTACGCAAAGTGTTCAACGGTACAAAATCGCTGAAGCGCTTACAGATTGCCAACCGGCATCAGAGAAATCTTCGGGAATCCAGGCTCCTCCAACCAGGGGTCCGGCGTTGGGGGCCCTCCGTCGGGCCGCGCTCCTCAACTTCGAATGCGGTGGCCGGGCTTGTTGGTCCAGTGTAACCCACTCGGACTTCGGGTTTTGTCGGACCTCGGCCGCCTTAGCCCAGGCAGTACTTGCAGCATCCTTCCCACTTTCTTGTTTGAGCGTTCCTTGCCCACGAGCTGTACCATGGCCAAATGCTTGACACTCCACGTCACCGTCACCGTCGCCTCCCTCTTCACCCCGCCCTGTTGCTCCGAGCTCGACCGAGCGCCAGTTCGCGGACCACACTCGTTGACTTTCGTTTGACACCATATCTCATGATGTGAAATGACAGAATGACTTCCCACTCTTGCGGTTCTGGTAGAAAACCAACACATTCGTGATACTTTCGGCGCAGTCAATTCGACGAGCGAGCGAGCGAGGGGTTCTGAGCGGGGACAAGCTATACCGTAACCCGTGTAATACATGAAGGTCTCTCACATTTCACACTCTCGAAAATCTGCACCGCTTGGACTCAAGGTCAAACCGATACCCCATTGCACCTCACAAGAATGCCCGAGACACACCATCCCCCGCAATTATCGAGAGAAGCGAACACTCCAAGCCTGACAGCGCGGGCTGATCGACGACTGCGTTTCGGTGTGAGACAAAAGTCAGATCAGTCGGAAGGCTGTGGTGGCGGGCAAGATGAAAACCCATACAAAAGGCGAGCATCAGGAAAAAAAAATTACATACCAAAATGACCGCGTGCAAGTTCGCCTTCGAGCGACAGGCTAGTTGGGAGCTGCGAGGCAATGCGAGCAGAGCTCATCCTCCCCTTTGCCTCTTGGTCGGCGGTGGCGCAGCCTTCGCTTTCCCCTTTCCTTTTGCATCCATACTTTCCTTCTCCTTTCCTTTGCTCTTGGGTTTGCCGTTCCCCTTGCCACCCATCGCATCGTCATCGGAAGCAAGCTCGATTGCGTTAGAGTCGTTGTCGATCGGACGTCGAACTCGGTGATCATCCGCTGCCGACGAGCGAGATGGGGTAGGCTGAGCATGCTGTCGAAGAGGTTGCGAGGGACCTGGGTCGATAGAGGTGGATGAATGCGAGGGAGCAAGGAAGGGAAGAGCACGAGGGTCGAGGGTGTGCGAGGGGCCCGGGTCGGAGGTATGGGCCACTGCAGGTTTAACCGAGTGGAACTTCGTTAGTCTCCGGACCAAGAATAGAGTGCAGTGCAAGAAGCACGAGAGAGCGTCAACTCACTTTCTACATCCACGTTCTGCGCGTTGTTGCCACTGCGCAGCGATCGCCTCGCCCCAGCGGCTCCCCACCCCTTCCCCCTTCCCTCTTCCTGGGCCTTGCCGAGAGCGGCGACGGCTTGCTCCAGCGGCGCCCAGGTTGCAGGTCGCCAATCTGCAGCCACCTGGGGTACTCCTCGGCACCTCCGATCACGAATTGCGTCTGAGCCTGTAAGATACGGGGAAGAAAGACACACCCTACTGCCGTTTCGGGAAGAAAGACTCAGGTTTTCTTCCCGATCTTGTAATGGACCGCGACTGGGTCCAACGTCTTGCGATACGATACATAAGCGTCGTCATGGCGTTGACCGAGCGGAGGTTGATTGGATCACGGGCCGAGGAGTCGATCCGATCTCGACTGGGCGATTTCCACAAGTCGAGCCCAAGCAGGAATCTTTCGCCTTCGAGTGGTATTCTTTGATTTCATGCAATATTAGCGCCACTCTACTACATCATTGCTTTAAATGAATAAGATGATGAAAAATGAAGCGTATAGGCTACTACATCACAACTAATTGCGGTCATAACCGCGTTCACCGAAACCCACGACTGCGGTTCCAACGGCAGTAGGGAGCTCAGTGCATGCATCGATGCCAGTTGGTGCGACGCGCTTCTTTTTGACTTTGGACATCTTACCCCACCTATGGCGGCCACGAGATGAGCCAGCCATCAACTTCCGACGATCTCGAAGGTGGCAGATTTACATCACTTACCACAGACTTTGATGAACGTCGGTGCTAAGATGCCACAAATCCTCCCGCAGCAGCAGCAGCAGCAGCAGCAATCGACGCCGACTCGCAGCTCAAAGTGGGGGAGGGAACCTCGACGCGTCCCTCCGTGCGACGGGGCGCCTCAGCCGCCGCCGCTGCTGTCGTCGTCGCACGACCCTCAACTTCATCACCCTTGACGTCGGACTCATCGCTGTCTGGTCCTGAAGAGACCTCACCCGCTGCTTCTGCAACACCCGTGATGCGATACCCACTTCGCACCATCTCCACCCAGCCCAACGCCCCCACAGCCAGCTCAACCAATGTCCGTCGCAAATGGAACGACGAACACCATCTCGTTTTGACTCGACTCGTCAAAGGGTATCAGAACGCTGGACAGGAAGTCGATTGGGAAGAGGTGGGACGACAGATTGGGAGGAGCGCGACGGCGACGATCAGCAAGTGGAAGAGGTTGGTGCAGACCAAGTCGGTACCCAAGGAAAATGCCAAGTTGCGAGGTGCTGCGTCAAAATTTGCACCGGCGGTCTCGGAGCCGAGTTCGCCTTCGACTGCGAGCAGCGGTGCGACGGGGTCCCGCCAGAAAGCAACAGGGAAAACGGAGAAGGAACGACAGACGTCGCTCAAGGAGACGAGGAGGACGATCAAGTTGATCACCTCGGATCAGAACACGAGCGCCAAGACTACTACTTCCAAAAGGATTAAGAAACGAGAGGAAGTGCAGGATCAAGGTGGTGAAGGCGAGGAACGCGAGCAAAAGTCCATCGCAATCAAGACAGAGACCCCTGTGTTAAGCGCCGAGAAGGGCGAGGAGCACAAGCCAGTCCACGCACCATTCGAAGCAGAGAGTGCCAACTTTTTCAAAGGTGAGGCAAAATTGAGCCATCTGCTCTGATCGATCACGAATAACTGATGTAGTGTTTCTACAGGGCCCTTCGTTCCCGCCTCGTCGCCCCCTTCATCTTCCCACACGTCGCCGACGTTCCGCCCATGGACGCCTTCCGAAGACTTCAGCCTCGTCTACTCGGTCATCCTTCGAGGCGAACACTCATGGGATGTGGTGATGAATGAACGCGCTCCCGAAACGCAACATCATCCTCCCTACGCGTCGGATCAGGCGAGATTGTTGCCTTCGCTGAGAGAGTGTGGGAGGTCGGTCGATGAGGTGGTCGCTAGGTGGTTTGAAAGTTGGAGGGCTAGGGTCGCCGAGCATGGGAGTGAGTGAGATCAAGTTACAGACAATCATGAAGGCTATCGACTGATGACTCGCCTCTGTTGCACACATGCTTAGATCGTCCCTACACCTCGTCGAGTTCCTTCTTCAAATCGTGCGCCGAGCCACATCCCGACGCGCAACTTCTCCCGGACGCGGCTCCGCTGATGTCTCGCGAGCCATCGACCGAACCATCACTAGCTCCAAGGAGGTCCTTCCAGTCGTACGTATTTTACAATGCACCTCCCCTCCCTCAGGCACCCGTCGTCTTGTACCACACCGCTCAGGCTCAGCTTCCAGCTCGAGACGAAGCGGTGTATCCTTCTCAGCGTCCGATCGACATGTATCAACAGATGCCTCTCTCCAGCGCCAGCTACTACCCCATCTCTCACTCTCCACTCAGCCTCCCACCTCAATCGAGTCCCGTGCCTTGCCTCGACGCCACGACGCCCAATTTCAGACCCAACCCCTACCCAAGCCCCCACGGCGCGCGAAACTTCCCCGGCCGAAGCCATGACTCGCAAGTGCGTCGTTCTTCCGCCCCGGAGCATGCTCATTACGCAACCTCGCCAAGCGGTGGTCCTTATCGTGCCCTCTTCGACCTCCACGATCACCGTTACTCGCACCAACCGCTCCAGCCCGAGCTTCGCCGTCCACGCTCGAACACATCCCCTACGGGAGCTTTGGCGACGTTCTCGAAGGAGGTCTCGGCGCCGATGGCGGTTGAGGGAGGGAACCTGGCGGGTGCGGAATACGTGGTGGGAGGAGAAGGGGTGCATCTCTTCCCTTTGCGAGCGAGGGATGAGGAGATGCACCGAGAAAGCTGAACTCCACCTGTGCCATGCGCCGGAGCCCCTTGTTCCCCGCGGCGTCAGGATTCAACTCGGCTCCTCTTCTCAACCTGATCTCCCCATTGTACATACCATCATCCCTATTGTTGCGCAATCTTCACTTTTTTCCGCCTTTCGTTTTATCAGTCGCAACCTCAGCCCGTCTCCATGTAGATCTCACCCCCCCGATCCTCCACACATCGCACATCTAGTTGTTCTCTTTAGCAGCCTTGCCAACGTAAACCGATTTTCAGCTTTCTCACGAATTGCGTTCGCGTTCCTTGTGCCTGAACGTTACTTGTGCCTGAAGTCGCGAAATGAGCCATTACATCCCAAATAAGATTACACTCACTACGCAACTTTCAACTGCTCAGGAACCCCAAAACCTTTCCTAACCCCTCTACCCCATCATCCATGTTCAAAATGGACCTTTGTCGACCATTGCCTCCGAAACCTTGTAAGCCTTTTTGTAGGTCTTGCAACGAGAGCATCGGCGCCGTCGTGGACGATGATGTTTTGTTTGGTGTTGTCATGACGATTTGGTCGACGGTGAGAGGAGGGAGGAGTAAGATGTAACCGGGGTTCAAAGCTTTACACATATGGATCGGCGAATTGGGTTCCGTATACGGTAGTAAATGAACGCAGCTCGGAATGGAACGCTTGATACTCGCAGACGAAAATGGTAAGGTAGGTTGATCTCGATCCGGTTTGGGAATGGGGTAGAGGACGTAGATCGTTGTGACTCCGCTTGTGGAGTGGGGACGTGAGAGGAGGGAAAGGAGGGAGGGAGTGGGGGCCTTTTGGGGAGGTGCGCCGATGGCGGGAGGGTGGCGTCAGAGGGGTGGGTGTGAAGCATTCTGAGGAAAGATGAGTGCTGTGGCTTACCGAAGGCAGTAGGAGGGCTAGGGTGCCTTTGTAGTCTTTCAGATTGGGCAGGGAAACAGAGGGGGAGGTGTTCGTAGTTTGATCGGTTGGATGCTGTGTATGGCCAACGTGCACGATCATCAGCTGTCCCGATCGCAATGGGGTGAAGCGGCACCTAGCAAGGACAGGAAACAAGAGAACGAACCTCATCCTCCCCCTCCCTCTTCTTACCCTTCCCCTTGGTCGCATTCCCACCCCCGGAGCTCTCCCCCTCCGAGTTGGACCGCTCGCCCGAAGCATTCCATCCGCTCACGACACCGACCACAACCACTCCTACGAAAGCCACCACCGCCGTAGTGAGCCACAGACTTGGAGACGAGGTGCGCGGTCTTGGGTTGGGGGCGCGAGGCATGATTCTACTTGAAGAGAAGAAGGTGGTGACGAGAGGGAGAGGGAGGGGAGAGGGAATGAGGGAAAGAGGGAAACCAAACCGGCTCAAAGTGGTCGCCGGGTTGGAGGCCGTCTGGGGCCGAGCGGGTCACGTGCTCGCAACTGCCGCTTGTTGTTCGCTGCCGAGGCGGGAAAGTGAGCGCAGCCGGACAGGGTGCGAAGGCGGGCGGGCGCGCAGACCAGCGCAGACGAGAGGATAGTGAGAGGATTGCGTCCTTCTTGCGTCCTTCTTGCTTCCTACCTGGGCTTGTCATTCTTCATCCACACAACCCACACTCCTCGGGTGACCATGTTCGCATCCACCGGCAAACGAGTGCTCTCATCAGCCACTCCACCATGGCTCACGACCCGCCTCCCCCTGCTTCCGTCATGCCCGTCCTCCTCCGCACGCGCCTCTCACCCCTCCCTTGATCGAGTCTTCTCCACCACGGTCCCTTACCGCAACGCCCCCAATCCACACCTCACCCCCCTCCTCCGACTCGGACCAAAGCCTACGCCGTCCTCAACCGCCCCCAGAGTGCGCCGTCTGCGCTCGCCTTACAAGCTCTCGATGTACTCGACTCCGAACCACACGATGATCACGCTCTCCACCCAAGCCTCGACGATCTCTCAATTCGTCGACCGTAGCCACGAACCCACGAGGGAAGAAGTGAATCAATCCTTGACGGTGCTCACTCTAACGACGCGAATGCACGCGACGTCGCGTTTGCCTAAAGGCAGTCGTAAGAGTGATCTAGGGCGCAGATTGGGTCCGGAGGGTGTCGGCGAGCAAGCGCAAGAGATCAGTGCCTTGATGTTGCACAAGATCAAATCGATGCTCAAAGTCGAAGTCCAAGAAGTTCAAGAAAAGAAACCTGACCCCACTGGCGAAATCGCGGCTTCCCGGGGACTTGACCCGCGTATCATCGGTTCGACGCGATACCCGTGGCCAAGACCTACATCGATCAAGATGGAATATAGGGGGAAAGGGCCGGGCAGGAAGGCGTTCTATGCTATCTTCACCGGGCCGGAAGGACAAGGATTGCAGGAATTGATCGAGGGGGTCGAGGATGACGTGAGTTCGACTGCAGCTGGAGCTTCGGGATCGGGCCTTGATCGGTGTCGAGCGCTAATGTTTTGAGGTGGTGGTGGTGGCGTGGGTTCGATCTAGTTGCCAAAAAGGGAGAAAGGCCAGTTCCCTAAGAAGAGGATGTGCGTACCGATTCCTTGAATTATGCACCGTTACTCCCCGTTCGGAGGAAAAGAAAGGCGCCCCCAGCACTGATCCTCCACTTTGCAATCTGGCTTTCCCGAACAGTCATATCCTCCGTGAACAAGAAGCGAGACGGATCAAGGAAAAGAAAGAGGACGATGAGGCAATGGCGATGGCGATGGAACAGAAGGCAAACAGGGTTTACAGGGAAGAATCAAGGACGAAAGAGGGTTCAACGGGTCGAAGCGAGAGATCAGGAGGGAGGCGCTAGGAGTGCCATGTTTGTACGACGATTATGCACTGAGGCAATGTTTGCAAGGGATAAATGAATTAAGAACACCACTTTTCTACATTCATTACGCACCGCCAGCAATTTGAACGCTCCCTTACGCCTCTAACTGATCCCATAAGAACAAGTTGGAAAAATCAGTTCCGCGTGACGCTCTCCTCTCACTCAAGCTCTCCCTCTCCCCTTCGAGAACAACTCACATAAGAAAGCGGCACCAACCCTTTCCTCCCCTCCTTCCACACCTCTGCCCACCCTTCCCCTGCATTCCTCCCTACGTCAGCCGTCAACTCCAGTTGTTCGCCCTGCTCGAACGAATGTTCCTCGCTTGTCTGCGCTGCGTAGGCGTAAAGCGCCGTGACGAGCTCCCCACCACCTCCACGACCTCCATCCCCGCTCGGCACCGACGTTGGAGATGTCGTCCCCTCGACCATCGTCAAATAACTCTCCGGCACTAAACCCTGCCTGCCATCCCTCGTCCGAACATTCACCCACCCCGCCTCATCAACCCCCTCAACCACCTCGACGGGATCGCCTTCTTGGACGGAGAGTTCGAAGGCCGTTTGGGCGGCGTAGGCGTAGGCCATACTTGCTGAAGGCGCTGAAGATGAGGATGTGGCTGTGGTAGATGTGTAGGGTGTAGAAGATGATGTGATGGGTGGTGGAATGGTCCTCCTCGGTGGTCCGGCGCCCGTTGCTGAGTTCGTCGCGATCGACTCGGTCCGACTGGTCGTCCTTTCCAAACCCGTTGACGACCCCGTACTCGTCGACAGTACCGATGCATTCCCCATTGATAATCTCGAGCTCCTACTCCCACCCACAGCACCACCACCATCCATCCCACACCCACCCGGAACCTTCAACTCACACTTTTGATGCACATTCTTCCCGCATGTCTTGCAACTCAAGCCCTTTCCCCAGACCGAGTGTCCACAGACTGCACAGGCGGAAGGCGTGACGAAAGAATGGGATTTGAAGTCGTGTGCTTTCAAGGTGGTGGTCGAGAGATCGCCCAAGGCCTCGGTGAGGAGGCGGAGTTCGGCTTGGAGATGGGCCTGTTGGATTTGTAAGAGGGTCGTTTCCCGGGTTGCTTCAAAGTAGTTCTAAGTGAGGGACATAGAGGTCAGCCTGACGCTTCCTGGACAAAACATGTCTCTTCGTAAACTCACCTCCAGTACGGCCCCCGCGTCCCCCAATTTCGGATCCCTCCCATACGCATCGGCCAACTGACTCAAGCCCTCGATCTCCCTCTTCTTCGCCTCTATCCCGGGTCCCAGCTCCCCCAGCCTCGCCTCATCCTTCATCTTGACATTCAACAGAAAAGTGACCGAGCCGTCGCCGAGGTCGAACGCGTCCGTATCGTGCCAAATGGGGCATTCCTCCCACTTCAGCAAAGGGGGTAGTTCCCATCCCATGCTCCGGTCGCGTTGATGTCGTTCGACGAACCTCGTCTGTTCTTGATCGGCTTGGATCTCCTCCACAACCTTTTTGGCGTTATCCAAATTCGCTTCGATCGTCCTCAACGAGGTCCGTTCGACTTCAACGACGTCCAACAAGTTGGCTTTGAAAGCCTCCAAAGCGACCCTTTCAATCCTCTGAAAGCCATCATGCAGCGCCGGTAAATCGACCTTGTACAGCCTCTCGTTCGCCTCGTTCGCCAATTGCGTATCCAAAAGATAACGATCTTTCGCGATCCCCATCTCTTCCAAGGCGACGAAGTAGGCTTTCTCGTATTTGTCCGTGTTGGATTTGCCCGAGGCCTTTTTAGCTCGAGCGGCTTCGAGGTTCTCGCAGGCGGTGAAATAGGTCGAACGTGCTTTCTCGCGGTTCGAAAAGGTCTGATCGCGTTCGGCGAGCAATTTACTCGCGAAAGCTTCTTGCTGAGGGTAGGGGCCAACGTTTCCGGAAACTCGGAATGTTCAGCTTCTCAGATCCTAGATCAATGAAACGTTCACATCTGACCGACCTTTTTTCTCCCCTTCTCCAACCTGTTACCTAACTCCTCCGCCTTCTTCCCCAATCCGACCGGTCCCATACCCCCACCTCCTCCAACCGCCACTCCCCCTCTATCCAACCTATCCCCCAACCCGAACCTTTCCCTAACTTTCAAGTCTTCCGCTTCCAAGAACCCACTCCAAGCTTTCTCCAAGCCGGATAATTGCTCGGAACCGGGTCCGGAACGGGTCGAGGATTCGACGGCGACGGCTTGGCGTAGCTTGCCGAGATGGGAGGATAGTTTGGTCGAGTAGTCCCTTTCGAGTCTGGGATGGAAGACGGAGGTACGATGAGGTTAAATATCTCGCGTTGCGGATGATGGCTATCGAGCGAAGCTCCTGCCACAAGTGGGGAGGGGGACGGACGTCCCGTTTCTCACTCGTACAGCGTAGACAAAGTACTCACTGAGCTCGACTAGCAAGATAACTCGACAGCGCCGGCAAAAGCGCGATCCACGCCTCCGTATGCGCATTGACGAGCGGGATAGAATCCGGCAGACTGGGCGCGGCGAACCCCAAGACGAGGAGGGGGAAGCGCATACACGTCATCGTCGTCGAGGGAGGAATCAGCTCCAGTGGGTTCAACGGTCGAAGCTAAGCAGACGAGGATTCACTGACCTCGCTCCGTAGGAAAGAGGGGTTGACATGCTGCTTTTCAGGCTCAGTCCCCGTTCCTGTTCGATGACACTTGAGGTCCAAGGAGGTGCGATAGAGGAGGTGGGACGGAACACGGCCTGGAAACGCGTCGCGGGCAGTCGCGGGCCCGCGCCCGCAGTGGGCAGCAGTCTGCAGCAGTGGGCCGTCGGTCGGCTCGGCGTGCTCTGTTTCCTGGGTGTCCGGAGCTGGCCCAGTCGGTTAAAGTTGTCGGGAGGTTCAAATTCGCCCTCAACCTCTGTAAGGTTTAGTTTCGAACACCTCAGGAGCGTGAGCGTGGACTGATTTATGATACACGGAATCAGCTTGTGATTACGGAAGAGCTTCGTAGCGTCCCAGCCAACCCCGCACTCCTAAACACAGGATCCCTCAGCTTTCGGTGATCGTCTGGCGTTTCGAGTGGCCAGCCTGGGCTGGCAGGCTGGCAGGCTTGGCTCTGCCTCGCAGGTCTGCAAGGTGGCCGTGTGTTGCTCTATTGGTGTACATCCAAGTCCCAGTGGCGTAGTTGTTCACTCTCTCATGGCTCCGAGCTTTGGATGCTGCTTCCAAGCTTGTCATTGATCACATGCAGTGTCATGCACGACTTTCCGTGCACCGAAACCATCTCCTGTCCAGTACGACCGCGCTAGCGAGGCCCGGCGAGCAGTCGCTTCCGAGTCCGGATGGGTTGCACTGGTGCAGCCACCGACTTTCACTTCGCCGTCTATTGAAAAAGTGTGGCAGGATGGCATGTCTCAGGTAGTCAATTTCGACTGTGGAGCCCGATATACCCGGGAAAGCTTGGGCTTGGTGCCACCTCTTCCGGATCCGTTTCGAGGGGATCGGCGAAGTCGACGCCGCACTGCTTTTGCCTCATTTCGGTCACGGGACCCTAACCTGCCTCTCCAGAGCTCCGGAACATCGCTCATTCCTCGAAAGGGGGCATCTTTTTATTGGTCGCCCAAGGCGCGAGGCGGTGTCGCTGACTTGTTCGGTGCTTCAGAGGCAAGTTTGCTCGACAGGAGACAGCGCTTTGCACGGCATTCTACCGCATTCTACCGCACACCTCGGCCGAGCCGACATGTCAGACGACATCAAATCGGGCACACGCTCCCTCTTGATCTTTCCCATCCCTCTACCCTCAGACAGATCTTGTTACTTTCGCCAACAACAATCATTGCTCGAACCGACATGCGCTCATCGTTCCCCATCGCCTCCCTCCTCGTCGCGGCTTCGGCTAGCACGGTCTTGGCCTCTTTCGTGTCGAAGGACGGAACCCTGTAACGAACCTTTTCCCCCATGAGTATCCTCTTACCAGCTTAGCAAAGCGACTGAAGCAGAGTGTGACACGTTTTGACAGATACTGCACGAGCCTACACGACAAATGCAAGTACGTACCAGCGCCAAGACTCGATTTATCAACTGAAGGTCATTTAAGCCATGAACTGATCATTAGTCTTTCCCGACCCCAGCAAATGCATAGCCGGCTGTGAACCGTGAGTGCGCTTTATTGAAGCTCCGAGTGTCGCTGCCAGTTGTATCCTTTGAACGCTCAACTTCGCATTTTCGCGATGGCCATCCTAGTTCCGATAATCCCAACTACCAACATTGTGTTCTCAAGGTTTGCAAGGGGCGGAACAGATACTGTACTATATATCAGGCCCAGTCGAAGAACGCTGCCGCCTGTATGAAAAGCTTGCCAGCAGGGAGTAGCGTAGCGGGGTGAGTCATCTTCGAGTCGCCGGACGACAATTGTCTCGGTATGCTGCTGACCAGATGAAGGTGCTTCGATGAACCTCTAGCTGCCAGGCGGCGTTTCCGGATTGCTACTAGCCTCCGTATTCGCAGAGCGACAGTAGCGTGAACACGCAGAGACCCTCGCGCCTGAAGCCCCTTATAGCCATAGGGTTTTTTTTTTTTTTTGCCGTGTGTGGCAAGGATGAATCAAATCCCATTTTGCCCAAGTTCAAGCCAAATCCACCTACCCACATTCTTCCACAAAGACTCTCTCTCTTTCCGACGTATCGCTCTACCCGCCCGAACATCAGGTCATTTGATCGAACAACTTCCCGCGCAGCGTCTTTCTTGAATTACGCTCCTTCCCTCCCCAAAACTCTACTCTACCCAGCGACTACCTTTCTCATCCAACCCACCATCTTCTCCGCGTCCACTGTCACCCAAAGATTCAATTTTGTACGGGTGTACCCCCCGTCCCGTCCCGTCCTGTCGTCATCCCCCTCCCCCTCCCCTCGACTCTGTTCCCCTCCTCACTTGGTCTTCTTATCCTCCACAGCCGCGGCCGAAGTCGCCGGAGCAGGCGCCTCTTCGGTCTTTGCCGCCGCGGGGCTCAAGAACGAAGGTGCGGGTTCGAAAGGACGTTTGAGGTCGCCGGTGGCGGGGCGGCCGAGGATGTGCAATTGCAGGATCTAAAGGATGGAAAGTGTTTAGTTTGGTTTGGGGTGTGGGTGTGAGGTGTGAGGCTTCTGATTGGGGCTTACCTTGGATTCGTACAGTCCTTTGATGCCCATGATACCTTGGATGAAGAGCGGTTGGGTGTACTTGAGGTACCCGTGCATGAAGGCCATCTAGTAGTCCCGAACCCAAAACGACCGACCTCAGAATCAGCATATCCACCCCACGTCTTCGCGACCCTTCGCAGCCGACCGTGATTTGGTGCAAGGACTCACGAAAGCGATCCCAATCAAAACACTCCTCACGGCCTTGGACACTTCGGACAGGTCATAGTCGCGATTGGTCGTCGTGACTTGGGCTCCTGGTTCTTGCTGCATCGGCGCCTTGGGCTCGACGTACTTCAACACCTTGAGGTCGTTCTTGCGCTTGATCTGGGGGAGAGAGACGGATCGGTTTGGTGTGTCAGGGTTCATGTGTAGACTCGGATGAGTTTGATTCTGGTGGGTATGGTCGGCCGATGATCCGCGCAGGAGGTCACGCGACCTCGGGAGTAACATGCAAGGCGCAGAAGATGTCACCCTCCTCCATTCTTCTTCCCCAACATAACCCTCGAAATCCTTTCACTAGCCGACTCATAAGGGCCGTATTCCTTCCCACCCCTAGCCACGTCATCCTCGCTTATCGCGTGCTCGCTCTGCAGTCAACGACGATCATTTCTCGCACACCCTACCCTACCCGATACCGATCCCAGCTCTTCCATCCCGTCCATCTCTTCCAATCCAAGGGAGATACTTACCACGAGCGAAGTGTAGTAATAGGCCAAGAGGCAGATGACCTGGGAAGCGACGTAGCCGATGCGCACGAGTTGCAGCGTGTCCTTTTGCTCGAAATCGATCTTGCGAGCGACCTCTGTAAGAATGCACACACATGTATATACAGACGGATGCAGGAGCACGGCTTGCACGGGTTAGTTTGGGGGTGGAGGGGTGGGGGGCGGGCGCAAGAGGTGGAAAGAGACTGACGCATCGCACCGAGCGAGAAGAGGAGGTTGGTGATGGCCGGGTCTGGGTGAGTCGCGTAAGATAAAGTGGGTGGACGAGTGGTGGTTTGTGGTTGGAGTTAGTTGTACGGGCCGATGAGGAGGAGAACGGATGGGGAATGCAGGGCAAAGAGACACGAGGTGGTGTGGTCAGCTGATCTGACCCGTCTGGGCACCTTGAACGGTGTACTGACTCATGATGGCTGCTGGTGTGCGCTACAAGAGGTGGGCAGGGAAGAGCAGGAGCAGAGCAGAAGAGAGAAACCGCGCTGACGAGTGACGAGGCGCACCGCGAGAGAAATGGCGCGCCAAGCACGACTCGAATTGCGCATTACCGTTGCTCGTTTGGACTCGAATTGCGCATCACAGACTATCACAGACGCTGGCTCTCGCTGGCTCTTGGTCCGAGCCAACGCCAGCCAACGCCGAGGCTGTGTACGCCCGTACGCCCCCCCTTGCTTCCGAGACCGTCTCTTTGTCTCACCCCCACCCACCCCACTTCTTCGACTTGGCACCACACCACCCATTACTTCGCCCTCATGGCCACCTCCACCTCCTCGACGCACCAAGCGTTCGCCGACCACCTCGTAGCTCGAATCCACTCGGACGTGGACTTTCTCCGCTCGCAAGGCCTGTTGAACGCTCACGACGCCGAGGCGATCAAGGCCAAGCTGCCGCCTAGTGTCCACGGGGTGGGATCGGGTGGTGTAGAGCGCTTCAACGGACAGCTAGGAGGTTTGGACTTGATCGCCGATCCCAGTGAACGAGGTCAGGCGGGCCAGGGAGGACGGTCGACGGAGCGCGCCACTTGTCGAGCGGTGTGGGATTATCCGGCTTCTCAGGTCAGCAGTCGAGCTCACCTTGCTCGGGCTCCCTTATACCAACCAGTGACGGACAAACTCTCTTCCTCCCACAGCCGGACGATCTACCTTTCACCAAGGGCCAAATCATCGTTCTAGAGTCCGAATTGAATCAGGATTGGTGGCAGGGCTCGATTGGTTCGTCTTGTCAAACCTCGATCACAGTCCTTACATCGGCCGACTGCAGCTGACGAACGACTTTTGGCTTCACACAGACGGGAAAAGGGGGATCTTCCCTTCGAACGTGAGATCTTCCAGCTTTGAGCTTGCCGCGAAAGTATCAAGAGCTGAAACGTGATGACTTCGTTGCAGCACGTCGAACGCCTCCCTTTCAGCCCCTCATTCACCACAACGAGCAACCCGAACGGACCGCCACCCCCACCTAGCGCCGAATTCACTCCCTCCCCTTCCCCAGCACCTTACTACAACCACCAAACCCCCCCACCCCAACCACAGGCTCAACAATACGCGTATCAGCAACCGCAGCCTTACGCTGCTTCCTATGCACCCTCGGGGTCAAACTCGTACCAATCCGGCCCATCGCACTACGCCCCTTCAAACAATTCATACCTCGACGACAAGCAGCATTACACCCCTCCACCCCCACCAACAGCAGCTCCAACGCAAGCAATGGGAACAGCAGCCCCCCAGCCCCCTCCAGTGCCGAAGAAGAGGTTCGGCAAAGTCGGCGGTCAATTGGGGTCGGCTTTTGTAGGCGGGTTGGGCTTCGGGACGGGGACGGCGGTGGCGGTAAGTCACTTTTTTCTATCCTTGCGAGGTCTCCTTTCGAGTAGTAAGGAACTGATGAGCTTCTTTTCTGCGAATCGCGTCGGGTTCAGTCGAATGCGATCAATGCGATCTTCTAGACTCCCAGCTTCGAGCTCCTTCTTCTCAGCTTCAAGCATGCGCACCCCCTCCCTACCTGTCGTAGGCCTCCTGCCCTTTCGTTTTCCCGATCAGCTTAGCGTTTTCCGACCAATGTATCGCATACCTCATCTTGCTCCACTGTATAAATCTTATAGTCGGCATTGTTTCGTTAAACAACCTTCAGGGAAACGGTTTTGACCTCTTTGGGGATGAATACCCCCCCCGCTGATGAGAAACCAGAGCCAGAGAGAGAGGAAAGAGAAAGATAGCTTTCACAGAAATCAAGGGGAACCGTGTACATGTAACAACCATATGTGAGGAGAAAGACCAAAAAGAGGGGAACTGTACATGCTTGACTTGGTCGGACGAGCTAAGAGCAGGATCAACGCAAGGAGCGGAGTGAAAGAAAAAGGGGAAGGTTACTGAAACAGGGATGCGATCAAGAGGGGGATATATAACAAAAGCGCACTGGCCGACTTTGGGAAAAGTGGAGGGGTCGATCAAGATCATGCGAAGGGGAAGAGTTGCTGCGAGGGTTGGAAACGACTGCGCTTCGATCGCTTAAAAGTCCTCCTCGAAGGAGAAGGCCGACTTGACGTCCTCTCCGGCTTCTCGTGCAGATTGGGCGGACGAGACACTTTTGGCGACAACGTTCAAGCGTGTCAGTTGACTGTCGCGTGATGCGAATCACGGTCAAAGGGACGAGAGTACTGACCCCGACTTTTGGTAATCCGAAACACGCTTCTCGAAGAAGTTTGTCTTGCCCTCGAGCGAGATCATGTTCATGAAGTCGAAGGGGTTCTCGGTGTTCCAGACCTTGGGGTTGCCCAAGGCGACCAACAATCGGTCGGCGACGAACTCGATGTATCTGAGAGAGATGAACGAGAACGGCCTCGAATCAGCGACTGGACAAAACAAACGCGCGGACGAATCGGCAAAGCAGACTCACTGGCACATGAGCTTGGCATTCATGCCGATCAAACCGCAAGGAAGAGCCTCGGTCAAGAATTCCTTCTCGATCTCGACGGCTTCCTTAATGATGAGCGCGACGGTGTCGGGGTGAGGTCTTCGCTCGAGGTGGGAGAACAAGAGGCAAGCAAAGTCGGTGTGAAGGCCCTCGTCACGCGAAATGAGCTCGTTGGAGAAGGTCAATCCGGGCATCAAGCCACGCTTCTTGAGCCAGAAGATGGAAGCAAACGAGCCTTTCAGATGACAAAGGAAGATGGGGGTCAGTCGTTTGCAGATGGCAACGCGGAGCGGGCAAGACGGTGACGAGGACTGACCAGAGAAGAAGATGCCCTCAACAGCGGCGAAAGCGATAAGTCGTTCACCAAAGATAGATCGATCATCCGAAATCCACTTGAGCGCCCAGTCGGCCTTCTTGCGGATGCAGGGAACTGAAGAAAAGAAGCGCCGGTCAGCTGCAAGATCGTAGCGAGGCGGCGAAGGCCGAACGGGAGCGCGGACCGTAACTCACTCGTGTCAATGGCTTGGAAGAGCTTGTTGCGCTCCTCAGTTTCTCGGACGTAGGTGTCAATGAGGAGAGAGTAGACTTCAGAGTGAATGTTCTCCCTGTGTCGCGAGGACGGATGAAGGTCACAGATCAGCGCACGTCCATCGTGGAGTGCCGACGCGTCACACACGGGGGCATAAGCGACTCGACAGTGACGGTGTCATCGAGTACGTACATCATGATTTGGAAACCGTAGAAGCATCGAGCCTCGGCGGACTGGACCTCACCAGAGAATCGCTCGACCAAGTTCTCGTTGACAATGCCGTCGGAGGCGGCGAAAAAGGCGAGGACGTGCGAGATGAAGTAGCGCTCGTCGGGCTTGAGCTTGTTGTCCCAGTCGTGCATGTCCTTGGACAAGTCCATCTCTTCGGCGGTCCAAAAGGATGCCTCGGCCTTCTTGTACTGTGCCCAGATCTGAATTGGCAAAAAATGATGGCGAGGATCAGATTCGATCGGCAAAATGAAAGGGGTGGGGAGGGGATCACGCGCCGCGCGACGGGCAGTGGGACGCGACGGGGAGGCGCGACGGGCAGAGGCGCGACGGGCAAAAATGAGCCCCGACCAAAGTCCGGCAAAGTGATGCCTCGCACCGCTCGGAGCCAAGTCTGATGCTCAAAGGGGTAAAGGGGGAGACTTGAGATCAATGTGCTCACCTCGTGGTACTTGATGGGGAAGAGGACGAAGCGCGCCTCCGTCGGCCTCAGCAGTGGCTCGTCGGCGTCGCTCTTGATGTCGAGGTTGCCTACAAAGCGGTCACGACCATCAACGGTCTGGACATCATCAGTCGTGGGCTTGGAGGCGACGACGACGGCGGCTTCCTTCTTGAGCTGCGACGCGATCGAGGAAGGCTTGGACAGATCGAGCGACGACAGTGACGCGGCGGCAGCCTTGGAAGGGGTTTCGAGAACGGCAGCGACCATCTTGATGATAGGGAAGAACTAGGAAAAGAGGAGGGGAGTGTAGATGGCTGAGGGGAGATGAGGTGAGGGTGAAAGGGATCTTGAGTGGTGGGAAGGAGAGCAAGAGGCGACGACCATCGGATGCGCGGCACGACAAAGTGATGGGTGCTCGCGCGGCGTAATCGCGACGCGAGAGCGAACGCGTGCGCCATTTCTTTGCCCGCCGCTTGGATTTTTCTCTCGCGGCGCACCCTCTCCTCGACGCGTCGCGAGTTGAAAACACTACACTCTGCTCGTGACGCGCCGCGACTACTCTCAGTCACGTCGCTTCTCCGGGTAGGAGACACGTCATACTACTGCAATGCACCGTCATCACCCGACATATACGTCCGAGAATATATCCACACCGAACTAGACGCTCCCCGTCGTCGTCCCCGATCTCCTCGGATTGACATCAAGGCGACGTGACGACGCGGCGTGACATCGTGACCGCCGTTGATTTTGACATCGCCTCTGACTCGGGCGAGGGGGAACGCGTCGATCATGGCACGGACGAGGCCCGAAGCTTCAGACAGTGCCTCTGCCTAGGTCTTGACTCCCAGACGGGCCCCACCATCTTTGGCAAAAAGTGCTCAAGGTCCAGTATGCACTAAAAATTCACGTGATGTAGTCCGTCTCCCAATCGCCAAATTGACGCGAAAACAACCCGGCCGCCGCCGCCGCTGTCGCCCGCGCGCTTGCCCAAACACGTCGTCACTTATAAGCTTGGCATCAAATCCTCTGGGACCAGAGGGAGGGGAGGGAGGGGGTTCGAACTTAGCTCATGGGAGGAAGAGGAGGCAATTTTGGAACGGACCTCCACCTTTGCGCTGTAAAGACTCTGAAAACCACGAGCAATGGTGGGATCCGTAGTAGGGTAGGATTTGGACTGAAGACCGGGCCCGATGTGCGGATGAAGCGCTGAAGGGGAACGAAGGGAGGGTAGAGGTTCAAATGACTAGGACATCGCGAGGAAGTTTGCTTCTTGTTCTCAGGGAGCAATACAGCATCTTACCTGGCTCTCGCTTTCTGCGTGTTTCAATTCTAGTTCGTTCGGCATCATCTCCAGTCTCCAGTCTCACACTGTCTCAGCGTTTCGTTCTTGGTCTCGGTCTCGTTTCTCGGTTCTACCCCTCTCTCGCGCTCTCCCCTTTCCTCTCTGACTCTCGGCCGTTCCGGTCGCTCTCTCGTCTCTCTCGTCTTGGGCCTCTTAGAAGCTCTTAGTCACACTTTTTCCCTTATCTTTTCATATCATCTTTGTTGATCGACCGCTTTGCAATGCCATAGAACCCGATGCAAATAATGTACATCAAACAGCCAACGATTATGTTCACTCGTGGAAAGATGGCAAGCTCGGCTGCGCACGGCTCTGAGTGATCTATATATCTTTGTCCTTCCTCCCAATACGATGACATCTACGAAAAGGGACTGTCGAATCGGCCGTACAACAGCAAGGTGGGCACCGCTCAGTGACGGTAGCGGAAGCCTGGGTGTTGTTGACCGAGCATGGCGATCTCGTCATCGGACTTCCGAACCAGAACGTGGTCCATTCGACCTTCGTCGCGGCGCTTGTGCGGAAAGGCCGAGTGTGAGCAATAAAGTTAAGCACGACGTAGCCAAGTTGAGACTGTTGCCGGGTATTTGGTTCGGGGCGTATCTGCCCGATGTATGTGTCGGTCTAACGAGTCAGCCAGAAAGGCGATTGGGGATGGTACAAGCGCGGACATGAAACTGACCGTGACAGGTAGCTCCATGTTGCCACAAGACCTCCGAGATTACCTCCGAAGACGGTGATGGCGATGGCACCAGCTCGAGCAGTATCCGAAGTAGTGTTGATAGCTGCCCACGTATTGCAAAAGCTTCCGAACGAGAACGCGCCCGAGGCGATGAGGAAACAGGAGGCGTAGCGGACTTGGGGGTTGGTCGAGGCCACGAACATGGCGTAGCCGATAATCATCAGCGGGGCCGAAACGGTCATCCAGAATGCGCGGCGGCCCGTTTTCCACGAGAGATAAGGTAGCACCAACGAAACAACGGCACCGACAATGTAGGGCGGTTCCGTACGAAGCTGTAATTCAACGGTCGAGTTGCGGGGGAAAATCGTCTTAATGATGGTGGGAAGGAAGAATGCTAGGCCTTGCACGGTGATGTTGCCCAACGAAAAGATGAAGGCATTCACTAAAGAATTCATGTTGAACATGCCGGATATGAACACTTTGGTCTTGGCTTCGTCAACGACGACGATTGATCCCACATTCTCGCTCTTCGTCCGAGCGGCGCAGAGTGCCTTTTCTTCGGCAGAAAGCCACTGCAATGAATCACACACACAAGAAGTGTCAGCTATTTCGGTCCTCCTCCCTGTGGTCCTTCTGATTGCGAGAGAGGTATCCATTCACCTTTGCAGTCTCAGGTCGATCAGTCAGGATGGGATAGGAGATTACGGCGATGCCCATGGTAATGATACCCTCCTATAGCACGATAGCGCATAGCCATGTAAGTGGTGGCCTCTCGATCGTTCAATTCACATGACCGGTACTCACAGCAAAGAAGATCATCCGCCACGTGTGAATCGTGCCGAACGAGGGTGCCTTCAAAAGTCCAGAAGCGAGCAGCCCACCGAATGCACCAGCGAGTGGCGCGCAGACGATGTACAGCGCCAGGCGGAAGCCGAATTCATCCTTGCGGCACCATCGAGAGAGGTAGAACGAAATTCCTAGGTTGATTTTCTGAGATGTCGGTGCAAAAATGTCAGCATACCACCGGCGGAGAGGCTCACTTTGCCATTCAGGGGTGGACAGGCGGGACGACACTCATTGGGAAACACTCCTGCTTCAGCGACACCCAGCAGAAAGCGAAGAGCGAAACCTGCACCAAACGTTTTTACGAACGCCTGTCGGTAGGAAGGCCGTGAAAGGATGACTCAGCAAGATGTGTGCGCATTGCAGAGAGCCTTGACCTGCCGCTCACCATTGCGAAGGAGAAAAGGCCGAAAAAGAATGATAAAATGGGGATGAACTTCCCTGGGCCGACGATCTTGCAGATGTAGTTGCATGGGATTTCGAAAACCACGTAGGCGACGTAGAAAGCGGTCAAAAGTATATTATAGTCATACTTTCCGGTCATCTTGAGGTCCATCTCGAGACCAGCGAGGCGAGCACTGCCGATAGATTTCAGCATCATGTTAGCGATCCTTCCTCCGATGGATGCGCAGACCCCTTCATCCTCTCCTTCAACGTACTTTCCAATGTTGGCGCGGTCAATGAAGCTAGTTGAGCTGAATAAGCGTCCCATCTGAACAATCTCGATCCCGAGCGGCAATTGAAATCTTACCAGAACAGATAGAGCAACGCAATCGTCGGCATGATTCGGATGTCGATCTTCCACCGAAGGGCCGCTTCGGCTTTCGCGTCGATTGCGACCAGCGAGTGGCCATGGATGTCGGTCGCTGCATGGCCTGCAAGGGCGACTTCTTCGACTGTTCGAGATACGAATGAACAATGGTGAATGACAGCAACGAAAAGCATGGCAGAATGAAAGGTTGAATCCAGCACGACGAAACCCAAATCAGAAGCGGAGGCGGCGTGTGGAAAGGGGTGCGCGGACACGTACTTTGATGCCGCTCTTGCTCGATGCTCGACCCCTTCTCGGTGTCATGCGAGTGCTTCATGGCGTGGTCGACAGGTATGGACGTCGATAAATATTGAAGTGGTAAATACAGGTGCCACAAGGTGGAAGTTGACAGGTGGGCGTGTAGAGAGCGGGTCCGTCCCTTGGTACTCAAGAGGGGAGAGGGAGAAGGAGCAGCGGACGGCGAGGAGGGCCCAGGGCCGAGGCGGCCCAGGGGCTCCCAGGGGGCCCCCCTAACTCCTAAACTATTTGAGTTGTACAGACCTTGGAAATCGCATCTTCTTTCTCCTGTCGCGGCATAAGTTATCCCCGGACCCCACCTGTTCCCCCGCTCCTGATTCGGTTATTGTGGGGAACACTGGGCACTGGTCAGCCTGCGCAACCGCCTTCGCCAAGCTTTTCTTCGTCTCGCGCCCTGCCGGCCGAGCTGAGCTTGTCACGTGCAGCTGGCAAAGGCTAAATTCACCTGGTGCGGGGTTACATCCTTTAAGGTTTGGATGCCGAACGCCTACCAGTACCCGTGGTCGGCTTTACCATCGCGGGGACCGACTTGACTTGGAATTCAGAAGCGACCTGCCCGAAAGATCGGCGCCTCGGAGTGGTGCGGGGTGCACTTGGGGTTCGGCATTAGCTATGGCGCCGAGCCGAACTTTATCAGGTAGGTGCCTAGGTACCTCCTCAAGTACCTAGAATTGCATTCAACTCTCCAAAGCCGCTTGCACAGTGAGTTTTAGCGAGAGAGGTAATGTCATGTTGCAGCGGAGCTCCAGAAGCCGAAAGGGACCGTGTCGTATCTAACAACTCGGTCACTACAAAAATGTATCAAAGTAAGAAAGAGACATGAGGGTGTAAATAGGGAAGGCGGGCGGGAAGCTCAAGAAGAGGGATCGTTTTGCGAGGCGTAGCGATCGGGGATGATAAGTAAACGTGGCAACTTGTAAGGCGCCGCTCCGCTTACGCCTCACGACGACCTCGAGCCAACCTCTGCGGCCTCACGCTTGCCTTCGCGCGCGGCGCCGCCGCGTCTCTTGACCTTAGTCCTTTTAGTAGTCTTTCTTCGCCTGCGAATTACACCGTTTGATCCTTTCAGTTTGGACTCGGAATCAGTGAGGCTCGAGAGCGATCTCGTGCCTTTCACAACTATGACAGAGGTACCGCGTAGCATACCCTTGCGAGGTGTAGCGCGGGCATCCAATACAATTGAACGAGCGTCAACTCTCTTGATAACGCTTGCGCCGTGCGTTTGTTTAGTGAGCGAAGGATGTCTTGTCGTTGCAGCAGGACTTGAGAGAAAACCCGAAGGGACCGTAGTGTTACTAACACGGACGGCCTTAGGGGAAAAAAGTAAACCAAAACAAAAAATTAGAAGGAAAAGGGATGGAGGGGGGGAAGCTTCGAATACCCTCATAGATAATTGGAGCTCGTGTAGACATGCTCCGTCTGTCTCATTGTCGAGGTCGCGGAATGCCAGCCTGTCGTCGGCTGTCTCCGCTGTGGCCGCGCGTGGGGTCTCGTCGTTGCGTGGAGCTGTGATCATCCAGGTGTGGCGATATGGGGGTGATGTTCCCCAAATACAGGAGTGCACATGTCCTTCTCTGTTGTTCTAAGTGCAGGAAACGGTCCCAGTGGCTTGGGAGCCGGGGGGGTTCCCGCACATAGTGGAATTATTCAATTGCAATTCGGAGAACGGACGAGGGGGGTCATAGGGGGTCGTTGCTTCTTCTGTGTGATCTCCAAGAAGTAACAGCGCCTCACTTGACTCACCTACTTTCCCTGAGTCCTTGCTCTTGGCTATGCATCGATCGGGCGCAAATACGCAAGCGCGCTCCTTCCATTGAAATAAATCAGCATCCATGGAAATTAATAGGCAACAGTATCAAGGGTAACTGGGGAAGGAGTTGTCGTTCGCTCTTAGGGGACGGGGCTGGGTACACCATTGGTGATGTGATGGGTGTCTTTGATTTGTTGGTAATTAAGCAGCTCAAGTTGTTTGCCACCAGGGTTCCCTTCAACGCGGCCTCAGAGATGTCTCACTTGAGGCATGCACTTGCCATCCCGGTCGACCCATCCGTAGCGACCCCTGTGTTGCCCGCTCCCGCGAATTTGCGTAAATCGGCAAATGCACCGAAGGAGCAAGCTTTGAGAAAAAAATCAAGCAACAGTGAGCCAGGTAACCTGTTGAGCCGAGATGGCCCGAAATCGCTTTGGCATGAAGGCTGAGCGCTGCCGCAGTGAAGCTGGCGAGCGCGGCCGGACCACTCGAGCAGTCATGAACGAGTCGTTCCCGCTTCCACAGAGAGATTGAAATACCTTGAGACTAGCGAGGTGTTTTGCACCGGATTTGACGACTGGCTAAGAGGTAATCCCATCCAGGACTACTGGGGCCACCAGGTCCGCTATAACTCCTAGTCCGTATGCGGCGGTTTGAGAATCGCGTGGCAGAGGGGCTCGAGGCTCGAGCGCAGGGAGGGCGAAAAACGGACAGTTCAGGGACTGATAGCGTCGACACCGGTCTCGAGCCGCCGTTCCGGCGCCTCAGGTTATCGTTCCGCTTAGTACTCATTAATTGAAGGCGACACACCATCAGAAACCGCTTGATGGTAGTCATAGTCGTATGTGTCGTGAGTGCCTGTGGCCCTTTGACTTTTGCAACCCCTAGTATGATGAATTGAATGTGATTATGCCGATCGAGCCTTGCAGTGCAGCAAAAGACTTGCGACGCAGAAACCTCAGTAAGTTGGAAACATCTCATCGGCGTCCCTACTCCACCCGACCAACCCGTTCTTCAGATCACCAACCACAAATGAACCTCCACTCCCTACCGAATACTCCCCAGTTCCAGATTTCTTGTCCCTGGATCTCTTGACAGCTCGAGCAGCGACGATCGAGTCGTTTCCTCTTCGGCAAACGAACACTAGCTCTTGAGGTTCTGAGTCGTCTTGCTCTTTGAGAACGATCGAAGGATCTCTCAGGATTTGCGCCAGGGGGATGTCTACGTGACGAGTTGTGACCGTTAGCTTCGCCTTTGGCTCCAAGTCTTACAGCGGTGTCTACAGCGTCGGCTTACTCTCACTCCCAGGAATCTTACAAATCCCCCACTCGACACCAGGTCTCACATCAATCAACCTCAATTTTCCTCCATGCTCACCCTGCGCCAATCGTTCACTCAGCGCTCTCGCACTCCACCTCTTCTCATCCTTCCTTAGCGCACCCTGACCCGCTCCAGGAAGTTCGCACAAGGGGTCGATCCATTCGGACCAGTGCCCAGCTTGCAGAAACTCCTCCCATTTGGTTGTGGAGTCGGCTCCGCACGCTGGACAGGAAGGCTGGCGAGCTCGGAGCTTGATCGTTCGTAAGGGGTGCGCGGATAGGGGTGACAAAAGGTGCAGGGTCGGTTTGGCTGTGGTGGTGGAAAGAAATCTTTTAGCTGATTGAAATATAATATTGCTCGCTGGAGCTCTTCGTACACGCACCCATCCCCAACAACACCCTCATAGCCTCGCAGCCCATCTGCACCCCGACCTGACCACACAAAAGACCAAGCACACCTTCATCCGAGCACGCTCCCGTACCTTGCAACGCCGTCTGCTCCAGCCTCCTATCTTCCCTCTCTTCCTCGGATAAGCCATCCACGTCCGCAACATCCTCCAAAGGTGATGGCGGTGCAGGAAAGACACAGGCGTAACAGGGGCCATACTCGGCGGTTCCATTCTCAGCCGACGTAATCTCGTTTTGTAGCTTGAGGCCAAAGACTCCGACCGTACCTTCAGCTCTCACAGCTCCTCCACTGACGAGGGGAATACTGTAACGCACGGCATAGGCGTTGAGGAAATGCCGTGTCGCTGCGTTGTCGGTGCAATCGAGGACGAGGGTGAAGCTCGCTTTCAGAACGCAGTCCGGAGTGCTTGAGCAATTCGAGGGATCGAATAAGGTTGGTGTGAATGGTAAGGCGTAGGAGTTGATGATAATGTCCGAGTTGAGCCTGAAGGTAAATGAGCGTCAGACGGGAGTCAGAACGTCTGAAGAAACTTTTGGCTCCGAAAGGCGGACCGACCTCTCGAGCCCTATCCGAGCACTCTCTGCTTTGTTGAACCCTATCCTTGTCTCGTCATGCAATACCTGGCGATGTAGGTTGGACAATTCGACGTCATCATGATCCAAGATGGTGATTTGACCTTCAAGCAGAGGCCAAATGACGGATCACGTGAGCTCGTGTGCTGGACCCTCTTCGCCTATACCGAACAGCGACTCACCTACGCCTGCGGCTGCGAGATAGAGCAAGACGGGACATCCTAGACCGCCTGCGCCGATGACGAGGATGTGGGCTTGTTTGAGCTTGAGTTGACCTGTATGAATCGTACAGGGCGAATGGGCAAATAGTTTCGACGGGGCCGTCGCATTCGCTCCGACTAACCAGGCAAACCCACAGCTGGCAGGATCATTTGTCGACCATATCGTCTATACTCTTGTTGACTCAAGCCTTGAATGCGTACTTGAGTCCTACCTGTCGAGGCTTTGGACCTCTTGTCTGTTATCGGTCCGGCATGGTCTGCGGAGGCCTGTAGCGCCTGCTCGAGTTCGGCTACTTTGGCTCGAGCCAAAGCGAGTTCGGCCCCTAATTGATAAGGTGAAGATGAAGCCATCTCCAACACAGGTCGTCGTCTGTTTGCCACCAGGCGGAGCGACTTGTATGAACTGAAAGGGGAGAGGAAACCCCCAGCCTCGAACGCGAGATAGAGCCAGCTCGGCTCTGACAGGGTCCGTGCGCGGCGGCGCCACTCGGATGTGCACGTGCTGTCTGTCATCACCGACTGCAGGCGAAAACGGATCGGCCCTATACTTCCAGAGCAGCAGAGTGCTGTGAGTTTCGTAAAATTGTCGAGCCAAGATAACAGGATGTACGGACCCCGGTGTATACCCGGACACCGCCTGAGACCAGTACGGCTCGTTTACGAATGCAATCGAGGAATCGAGGATCGCGAGAAAGATCGCCGAGGTCGATCGAGTCAAGGACATCAAACGGTCCGCGCGAGAAGGGCCGGAATAGTAGAGATGCTGCTGTGAAGAGCTGTCGCGATTTCAGGGGTCAAGATGGCATTTGCCTGTCCAACAACAAAAATGTAGACCTGCACCACTGCAACCCGACCATGACGTCGTCCCAGACGTCAAAGCCTGTGCCGACTGCGTGACTGCCAGTGAGAGTTATCCGAACGCGGCGCTCGCAGACGAAATGGCAGGCGCCGCGGGCGGACTGAGACGGCGGGCGCGCGAAGCTGCTGCTTGCTCTGTCTCACACCCATCATCCGACCGGGCGACTGGACGCAGGTGCTTACCCCACGCATCGAGCGACACAACACCATCTTGTGAGCTGGATGAGATATTCACTGACCCTGCCTCTCACTCTGTTTTGTCTGCTGACCCCTGGTGTGGTGCTGTTTTGCCCAGCAGCCCTCCGAACTGCGAGATTCCGCTCGCGCGGAGTGGGCTGACACGTAACCCCCCCGATCAAGCGCGCTGCCGCTTGCCCGCGCTGCCCAATCGAGCGCATACGAGAACGAGATCAGTGCGCGCCCCTCAAAACGATGCCGACGAAACGTACTTTGAAACCAGCGATCGCGATACACACTACGACGGTGCCCTCGTCCGCTGGTGGTAGTGGATCGGCCTCGTTGTCCGTCGTGGGCAGCGGCGCTGGCGCCGGTGGTGGTGGTGGGGCGGCGTCGATCGGACATGCGCGCGCCACGTCAACGTCACGTTCGAGGACCCCTAGCGCGTCCATCTCGGCTACCCTACACCCCAATCGAGCAAAATCAAACCCCCTCGCCAACTCGAGGGACATCACTCCCGAGTTTGCCTACGACCACTCATCGCGCAACGACTCGCATGATCAACTAGACTCGGACGACGACACGGGGCGTCACTCCCCCGTCTTTAACCAGTACGGCTCTGCCGGCGCTTCGTCGTCGTCCTCGTCGCTGCTCATAAATGGCGGTTCGACGGCGGGGTTGAACCCGCAACAGCTACGATCGCTCGCGAGGAAGGAAAGGAATCGAGTCGCGGCGCAGAAATCGAGGGATCGCAAAAAGGACGAGTTCGAAGGGCTGTCGGCCGAGAACGAAGGGCTGCGGGAGGAGATCCGCGCGCTCAAGGACCAGGTTCGCAAGCTGGATGACGAGCTGTCGATGTACCGCGGCGTTGGTGGGTCCAAGGCGAGTATTTCAAAAATGCGAGGATTGACCTCGGGTCAAGGGTCGGCCAAGAAGAGAAGGGTCAAGGGCGCGTCGACTACTTCGAACGAGTCGGCCGAGCGCGGACCGGCTAGCCCCGCACCGGCTGCGAGCGTGCCGATGATCAAGCTGGACAGCCGACGGAGCATGGCCAGTACAAGCACTGGGTTCACCAGCTTGGATGAGTTGGCTTCTCGCCGCGATGAAGAGGACATGGATGACGATGAAGAGGAGGAAGAGGAAGAGTACGAGTACGACGATGGGAACGACACCGAGACGGAGAGGGACGAGGTTCGTGAAGGAGGGCTGATGCTCGATGAGGCCCTGCTACGCATTATCAGCGAGCAAGACATCCTCAAGGACGAGGACGAGGAAGATGAGGAGGAAGATGAGGAGATCATGAATATCGCAAGGGTGATGGGCACGATGAGGGAAGCAGCTGCGCAATCCGTACGCCCCGGGATGTTCAGGCGAAAATCGTCGAATCGAACCTCGACGGTCGCGACGCCGAATGCCGCATCGGCGGCGGATAGTGGCTCGAACTCAGCTGAGTCGTCGCTGCCACTGAGTCCGAAACGGAAGAGGAAAGGAAGTGCGGCCTCGATCCAAGGCAATAGTCGAACCTTGTTCCCCGCGATCGCTTCGGTTTTGGTGAGTGGGACTTGGAGCATTCGCTGACCCTCGACGGCGATGCTGACTCGTGATTCCTTCAATGTCCGCAGAGAGGTACATTGGACAAGGAGCCCTAATGCGCTCAACATGAGACGCTGCTGCCGTATACCCAATATTTTCAGCATTCATTCTCCAGCAACCAACGGACGCTCTCGCACTCTGACTACTAATAGCATTACGGCTATTACCTAAACCCTTTGGTCCCGCGCTTTCTCCTCTGTTGTATACATAGCTATTAGTATCGTTGTGAAATGCGTGATTGATACCGGACCAGAACGACCATTACCGCTTAGCGAGAGATGGGTGAAGGTCGCGGTTTAGGCGCAAGATGCGACTCACCAGCCGTAAGTTTGAACAGGGGCCGCGACGGACCGAGAGCAGGGGACCAGGGGTGTTCTAGCTCACTTTGGCACGAGCTCCTTGGCCGGAGTTTCACTCGAAGGAGTCTTTTCAAGAATGAATCGAGTCACCAGTGAACTATCATTGATCGTTGACCTGTAAATCTGACCTCAAGGAGTCAGGATGGAAATAGCAGGCTTGCGGTGCGCGAGTCACTCACGGCAAAAGTCGCGCATTTCGAGCATGTCCGAAACACGAACTAAAAATAGCGGCGCCGTTTGCGCCGTTTGCGCCGTTTGCGCCGTTTGCGCCGTTTGCTCCGCTCCGACTCGGCTGTGCTGCTCTCCTCCCTTCTTCACCGTATGCGCTTCCGCTCTTTCCTTCTTTCCTTCTCCATCCTGATCATCGCACTGGCTTCTCCATCGCTGTTCGCTCGACTGGGTCAGATCGTACGACACATGTCTTCCTCTTCCACCTCGGCTTCGTCCTCAGGCACGGCCCAAACAACTCGGACGGGAATCAAGAACCTTGTCGTCGTCGGCGCAAGTTATGTCGGTATGATGGCCGCGAAGGAATTGATGACCAAGTTGGATGGCGAGCAGCAGAAGAAGGATAGCTATAGGGTTGTTGTCGTTGAGAAGCAGTCGCATTTCTCTCATCTCTTCGCGTAAGTCGTGCGAACGCCCACTTCGGCCCCGAGAACGACTGGTGGGATCTCCTCGGCTGGTGGAATACCCTGTCCGCATGCGATTCAACTGACATGCATCCTTTTCGTTCATTCTAGCTTCCCTCGCTTCGCCATCGTCCCCTCGCACGAGCACAAAGCCTTCATCCCCCTTAGCCTCCCCTCCCCCCACCTCCTCCTCCGAGCAAGCGTATATCGAGCATCACCCCTCATTCCTCTCTCCTCCTCGATCGACCCGTCCAATTCGAAGGGAACAAGGTTACAGAGTTACCGTTCGAGGCGCTGGTGTTGGCGAGTGGGACCAAGTTGACACCGCCTGGCACAATGCCGAGTGAGGAGAAGCTGGAAGGGGTCAAGTACCTTCAGGGCGTGCAGGAGGAGCTGGAAAAGGCCCACGATCTGGTCATTCTCGGCGGAGGGGCTGTGGGAGTTCGTGAGTTGATCTTTTCAAACCACAACGATGGTCTGGATCCCGAGAACGATGTGGACCGATGGTATTTATTTTGCTGACCTGCCCTCCCGGCCCCTTCCGTCCCACCTGCCCGGCGCACGTGACCTCCGCCTTTTTTTTCAACCGTCCGAATCTCAAGAAATGGCTACGGACCTCGCGATCCTCTACCCCGAGAAATCCATCACCGTAGTCCAATCCCGCACTCTGATGCCGCGCTTCCATCCCCAATTACACGAGTTGGTGATGAAGCGCTTTCAAGAGTTGGGGATCAAGACCATATTGGGATCGAGGGCGGTCATTCCTGCTGAAGGGTTTAATGTAGAGGGGAGAGAGGGGAAACAAGCTGTGAGAACGCAGAATGGGGATGAAGTGAAGGCGGATTATGTGGTGCGTTATCCCGACAGGACGATGGGCCCCACGGTGTAGTGCCTCCGCGCAGCCGAGCCTAATCCTTCATTTCCTTGTCCTCCCAGATCGAATCCACTGGCCAAACCCCCAACTCGGCTTATCTCGCCTCCTTCGCCGCTTCGACTCTGACACCGGGCAAATACGTCCGCGTTACTTCGGCTCTGCAAGTAGATACTCAAGGAGTGGAGGATGAAGAGGTCAAAAAGGTCGCAGGAAGGATATTCGCGGTGGGGGATATCGCGGATTCGGGTGAGTTGAGGGGAGAGATCGCAGGTGTGGAGCCGATTTCCTGTGTGGGGGCGAAGATTTAACTCAACCTAAAGTCTTATCTGGGACTTTGTGACCCAGGTGCACCCAAGGCCGCCCGCCCGGGAATGGCACAAGCGACGATCGTCGCCAATAATATTGCAAAATTGCTCGCTGGGGAAGAGGCTTCGTCCTTCGAGGTACGTGTATCGCTTTTGGAGATATTGATTCAAGCTTAACTAATAATATCTTGCCTATGTTTCACTCACCCATCATACAGACCTACCACCCCAACCCGGCCGCAATCCACCTCACCCTCGGTTTCGCCGAATCCGTCATATTCCGCAATCCACCTTCTACCAATCCCGAAGACGTGTTGGGTTCTTTCGAAGGTGATCCGGTGATCATGGTCAAGGATGATGGCAAGAAAGACATGGGGATCGAAGGCGTTTGGGAGAGGAGAGCCCCCGGTTTGGTAAAGAGTCAAGACGATTATTGGTTGTGAGTTTGGGGGACGGGGCGGAAAGAAGGGACGGTGATGGGTTTCTTCGGTGGGTGTGATTTTGCTTTCTGTGTATGGTCGACTTGGTAAATCTTTGTTGTGGACATGCTATTGCCGCTGCGAGCTAGGAGAAATCTGATAGTTTGAACAAGTCCGAGCAAAATAGAGCACCGTCAACCGCTTCCCGCGAGCTTTCGCGCGGGGTCGTCTCGCTTCCCGCCCCCCCACCCTGCCCGGGCTGGCTCCTGACCCCTGTCCCCCCTCCCCTCCACCTCCTCCAAACCATGGGTCAAGCCGAATCGCAACCTTCCGAAAATCAAGACCCTTCTCTCCCCTCCCCCTCCCTCCCCACCTCGCGTTACGCGCCTCAGAACGCGACGATCGCCCAAGTCGGCCTCGCGTTCCACGTCTTGCGCGTTGCGGAGAGGTCACCGGCGGACGAGAGCGGGGTCGAACCGTTCTTTGATTTTGTGGTTGGGGTCAATGGGAGACCTTTGGTAAGATACCTTCAACTGGAGGCTGAGTCTGGTGTTGGGGCGGGGGTGTTCGATGTGAAACAGCGCAGGAGCAGGATTGAACGTGATCGGTTGGTGGTGGAGCACGTGGACGCTGACTTACCCGAGTGGTTTTTTGGGTCATGATGAACAGGGTGATGATATCGATCTATTAATGCGCATGTCGCAGCAATTCGAAGAACGTCAGATCTCGTTACAGCTTTATAGTACCAAACGAAAGGAGCTAAGAGGTCAGTCGGCGCGACTAGAGGCCAGAAGAGGATCCTGTTTCCCGGTCGGGGCTGATCAACTGATTCGAGCACTTTACTGCTTTGTGAATGGTTCAAAAGATGTCCCCATCGTTCCTTCAAGAGCTTGGTCATCGAACTTGAACAGATCCGGTAGCAAGGGTGGCAACGCGGATGGGGAAGGCGGGGAAGGCGGGGCTTCATTGTTGGGCTTATCGTTGAGGTTGTGTGATCCGCAGCATGCTTTGGACCAGGTGAGATAATAGGGAAGATGCTCGTCAGGGAGACCGTATCTTGGGGGGAAGTTGATGTCCTTTTGCTGGGTCGGGTCGCTCTAGGTCTGGCATGTGTTGGAGATCCTCGAAGGTAGTCCGGCGCAGAGTGCTGGTCAGTCAGCGATAACCCCTGATTCAGGTCCGTGCTTAACAATTACTGATGCGTGCTTTCCTCAGGTCTTGTCCCGTTCGGCGATTGGATCATCGCGTACTCGGGGGGGATCCTCCGAGGTGAAGGCGACTTTTATGATGTCGTCGAATCGGTTAGTCTCCCCTTGTTTCATCCCGCTCAAGCAGAGCAGCATCGCTGATTCTACCCCTCTCGGGACATCCCACCTCCAGCACGTCGACAAACCCCTCCGGCTTTTCGTCTACAATGCCGACTACGATGTCACGCGCGAAACGATCCTGATCCCCAATCGATCCTGGGGCGGCGAAGGTCTTCTCGGCTGCGGTGTAGGATACGGCCTCCTGCATCGGATCCCCAAACCACAAGATCGCGCACGAGGAGGATCGACGAACGATGCGGTGGTGGGTGATGGGGACATGCCGACGAGTCATGGGATGGCCGGGATCGGATTACTCTCTTCTCCTCCGACACCTCAATCGACTATATCGACCTCACTCACGAGTCCGGGAGGGAGGAGCGCTCATCCCATCTCGCCCATTCGTTATGCGCCTCCACCTCCTCGAGCCCAGGCGAACCCTGCGTTACTGAAGAGTATCTATCCCTCTTCCAATGGTGGCTTACAACACGCGCAATTGAACATGAGTGGTGGTGGAGGAGGGACGGCCCATCGACCACAGGACTCGGTCGCGTCGACGACGTATTCGGATCTTTCACCTCCTCCTTCGACGACGAGGAGGAGGGAGACCCTCGTCGAAACGCCGACGATCCCAGTTCCGAAGGCTTATGGGAGTGAGGAGGAGAGCGGGTTCGAGGATGGAGAGGACGACAAGGAGGAGGATGCGGAAGGGGAGGACCAGGTTGAACGATACGATGAGAGGTATGGGTCGTATGCGACGGAAGGGGTACAGATTATCCCCATTTCGCATGAAGGGGATGAAGGCGAAGAGGACGGGGATTTTGTCGTTCAAACGAGGAGGACGTATGGCGCGGAGAGGCCGGAGGAGGATGAACTTGAGCATGCGCTTGAGGAGGAGGAGGAGGATGCGGGACCTGGGGATGGCGGAGGTCATTTCATGGCCAGGGCTTTGGCGGCAAGAGCGAATGCGGGGGGAGGGTTAAATGTCAGGACGGATTGGTCGAACAGTGGGAGAGGGGGACAGGATTGGAGGGCGGGTGCGAGAAATGAGCGGGGAGATGGAGGTGGCGATGAGGATGAGCAGGATCAAGGTCAGGGGCAGGCGTACCCGATCCCGCCGAGTCCGTGGAAACCACCACCGAGCCCTGCGTTGAGGATGGAATCGACGAGTTATGTGTAGGTGGGCAAGTTCTCGGGCCTGTCTGGAATTAGCAGTTGATTTTCAGGGATCTTCATGGTCCTGATCATTTCTTGGAAGTGTTCGCCGAGATGATTTTGTGGCCCCGAGGGGTTCCTCGCGCGTTCGGTCAAGGCTACGGATATCAGGAGATGCGATGAACACATTTCAGACGAGCTGAGGAGATAGGGTCTAGCCTACTGTCCGCCTTCAGTCTAGACCTCTTGTCTTCCTGTAGCCCGGAAAAACTGCCTAGTCAAAAGTTCGACCGATCGATATGGGTTGAATACCCCGGAGGTGGCAGAGAAGAACAGAGCTCTTGCCCGACCGGTCAATTAAATCGGCCACCCGCGGCGCGGGCCACGAACAAGAAGCGGAGAGGGAGCATCCCTCGATCTCGACTCGGTCGCTCCCCCTTCCTTTCCGGACACTTTCGGAGCGAACTCCGACTACGACGACAAGCATGAGTATGCAACTGAGGTCGCATGCTCAGGACCTGGCGAGGGCCAGTGCGAGTTCGACGACGACTGACCATCAGCATCATCATCAACATGGGTTCTTGTCGTTGAAAGGCGCTTCGTTGACCCCGAACTCGTCGTCGTCGGGCTCGACCCCACATTCATCATCGACGCTCAACGGAGCCACCGACGCCGGCTTTGCCAGTGGGACGACGGCCTCCTCCAACGTGGCGCAACCTTCTACCCCTTCCCCTTTCCCTGTCACGGCACTGACCGTCCCTACACCTCATGAGTCCGGTCTGACGATCACGATCGAGGTTTACCCACCCACGGGGAATCGTACCCACCACGTGACGTCCGAAACGCTCAAAGGCATCGTGCGCATCAGTCGACCGCGCCTGCCCGTCACTACTGCGGGGGCGGGGATCGATGAAGAGGGCGGAGATGCGGCGGATTCTTCGGGGGTCCAAACGCCGAGAGCGCCGTTGGTGTCGTTGATCAAGAGTTTATCAGTTAGGTTCTATACGGAGTCGAGGTCGTTGTATTGGAGTTTGGTCGATCCCAACAACGTCAAGTCGTCGAGTCATGGGAATGGATCTTCGGCCACAACGACGGCGATGGCTTCGTCGGAGAAGAATGCGACGTCCGAGACGGCGGCTGAACAGGAACTGCGCCAGAGTTTGCAAAAGGCGACGCTGGGACAAGGAACGAAACAACTCGTTAGCAATCCGCTTCAGAAGATCGTCTCCCCTGATGGCAAACAGTCGACAAAGAAGGCTGCTGCGTCGGACAAGAACTCTAAGAAGCCCAAGAAGAAGAGCTCGAGCACCGCCGAGGAGTGTCACTGGTCGTTGGATCACGAATGGGCCCGGGCAGTGTTTTCAGAGGTTTTGTTGGTCTCGAATGGTCGATTACAGCAACAAGCCATCGTTGATCCCGTCCTCTCGAATTCCGCTTTGGCGAATGGGGCCCCCAACAGTTCCTCGACAGGTTCTGTGCACAAGTCCAAGAAGTCGAGGTCGAAAGGAGCGCCGTCGTTCAATCGCTTGCGCGCCCATTCGATCCCGTCCATTATTGACAACTCGGACGAACTTGTCTTACCCTTCCGCGTCATGTTACCCCTCGATGTTTCGTATGATGAATGGAACCGACACCGCGGCGCTTCGAGGTCACAGCATCGGGTTCCTCGGCCTGCGCCACCAACTTGCAGAGATGCGAGCGATGCGAGTGTCGAATGGGTATGCGAGGCCATTTGTGATCTCCGGTCGAGTAGTCTCACCAGTCCTTACTCGAGCGTACCGACGACACCCAAAAGAACTTCGATGGAGGCACTGGGTTCAATCACCTCCGTCTCTTTACCCGCAACCTTTGATACGAACGGAGTGACAAACCCGGACCACTTGAAGATGTCACAATTCGATCCTCAACCTGATCAAGACTCGGACACCTCGTCCTTCGAAGAAGACGTCCTTAACCCCGTTATTGACACCCGAGGATTCCTCCTCTCCAAAGCCTCGCGCATCGTGCAACGCCAAGTTTACCCCGTCATGAACTCCGACGCGAGGTTGTTCAACCACGATTTAGGCGATGAGGTCATGCCTTCGATCGCAGAGAACGAGAGGAAGGCTTTGAGGCATCATGCGGGCAAGAGGATTGATGGGGAGGGGGATGCGAGGAGGGCAAGGTGGTTGAAGACGATTGAGATGAGGAGTAGGATGGGCGGGCTCTATGGCACGCTTAGTATCGAGGTGAGTTGGCAGGTGGGCTTGTGGTCTGGGGCCTTGCTGACCAGTCATCGTATGTCACTTGCGTATTTACAGCTTGTTACACACAAACCCTTTTACCTACCACGCACGGTGAGTCCCCATCCTCTTTTTGATCGTCAGCCGACTGAATTGCTGGCCGAGCACTTTGCTTCCCACCGAGCAGAATCTGCGCGGCTCGCTCAACCTCTTCATCAGCTACCAACAAGCGCGGACACGCTCCTTCTTTGGTAGCTCAGCGTTTGGGTCCAAAAATGATCTTCCAACGATCAAACATGTCAACCTGGCTGTCGATTACTATTCGTGGACCAAAGGTACGTGAACCGACTCGTGATGCGTCTAAGGATTTGGAAACTCAACCTTTGATCGAACGGTTCTGCGCAGGTGGGAACGGAAAAGTTCGCAAAGAAGTCACACCATTACGGTAAGTTAGCTATCTTACGTACTTCAAGCGTGTCAAGGCAAGCACTGACAAGAGCTTCACCTCACGGTCCCTCCCACAGCCGTCTCAAAGTCCCCCTCGACCTTCCCCTCGCCTCCTGTCTCTCCAGCACCCTCGCTCGAGCCCCATCCAACGCCTCCACCGTCTCTTCCGCCTCCGCTTCCGCGTCAGTTCAAGAATCCGATTCTTCCCTATCCCAAACCCCCTCCACCCCCTCTCAGAACCGCTACAAGCTCCGCATCCCATTCGATCTCCGCAACGCGCAAGCGAACTTTTTTGAAAACGTTGCTGAATTGGTGCCGAGTTACAAGACGGCGAATGTCGAGAGGGAGTATACGATCTCGGTTAGTGTGAGGACCGATAAGGATGATGTGGATTACTATATCGGTCAGTCCTTTGGGCACAATTAGCGACTGGACCAATTGTGGGTCGCTTGGCTGACTTGGTTCTCTTCTCGTACGGCGGTCAATTTAGGGGTCGTGCCTTTCCAACTCACCTCGGGCGTCGCGCCTCTCAAGGAGGACGAGTTGGGTGGGATCGACGAAGGCACCGAAGAGGAAGAAGAGGAAGAATGAATCAGGGGCAGGAACGTGAAGGGTGTCTCGACGAAGGATAACGACGAAGTGTGTGTACGAATTAGCAAGGCTGTGTTGCTTCTCTCGGTGTATCAGGTGTTCAACAGGTGGACTTCTAGCGGCGGGTCGTTCCCTTTATCAATGGAGAATTCTTTTGTGGACCATGTTGTCAAGTTCGTGTCCCTCTCAAGCCACGATCGAAAGCGGTAGATGCTGAAGTTCGATGCTTGACATTTCATCCAAAGAATTCACATATCTGGGAGGATTCATTATCATGCAAGAGTTGCGTCATTTGAATCGAGGTGTTTGCTGTTCCCTTCAGGCCTCGGCATTGTTGTTGTTGGCGGCGACTTCCTGGCGCGCTTGCGCAAGGGCGCGACGCATCTTCCTAACCCATTCGCAGAGCGGTTTCTTGAGTGCTTTACCACTGTTATTTAGGGAAGAAGGGTGTCAGGAGCGCCCTACTCTAACCAACTCGATATTGATCCATCCAACCCCCCAGATGACAAAGCACTACTCACTCGGTCGCGTTCGTTATCTCATTCAAGATCTCCTCCGCCGCGCCCTGGGGCCACCACCCACTCGTCGTCGGCAAATACTCTCCCATCATGAACTGCGTGAACTCGTCACCTCTTTTGAGGTACAAGCCTTTCAACAAGCTCGCGATCTCACCCATCATTTGGAACGACTGGGCATCGAGGAGATCAAAGTTGGGTCGGAGGGGGACTTGGAAACAGATGGGGATCGCGGAGCTGTAGAGGAATGTTTCGAAGCCGGGGACAGGGGATTCTTCCATGACGAGAACGGCGGTATTGGGTTGACCGGAGGAGGCGTTCGTAGCTGGGACTGGGGGGGATACGACCCAGAGGGAGAGGAGTTTGTTGAGCACGATGAAGCCGAAACGTTGATCCGAAATCTGGGCGTTGTCGAGGGCGATGTAGTGCGTCACTGAGGACAGAATCGACGAGAGGGAGGATTGGTTCTCTGTAGCAAGAGGAGGGTGTTTAGCGAGTCGCCTCTTCATGCAAACAATCGAATTGACTCACTCTCAGAGTAAAACACCTGCTGCAAATTCGACGACGTAACGGAGAGGATGAAGTTAAAGTACGCCCTCCTCAATGTCGCATGTTGAATCTCATCGTCCGTGCCCGTGATCGGTTGTTTGAGGAAATGGAAGACGCGATTGAAGACGGGCAACAAGAGCGTGTCCAACACTTCGAGGATCGAATTCTTGTATTTTGCGACCAAGAGACCAACAAAACTGAGCAACTCGGCCAGTTCGGGGAAGGTGATCTCACCGAGCAGGACGTCGATCAACGTTGGGATCAGGTGCAAGACTGCTGGTCCGGTCGTCGCGACAATTCGATTGAAGGAGAAGCGTACAGCGTCTCGGATGACGACGAAGGAGGACATGGACTTGGCGGCCGCGAGCATCGACTCGGTCGCTTCCTTGAAGACCTCGACCCAAACGCCCGAGGTGGAACGAGCCATCGCCGCACTGATGTTTGCTGATGGGCCGGACGATCCAGGACTGCTACCACTCGGAGTGGCCGTAGGTGTGACCTTCAAGTTCGTCGCATCGGGGAAACCCTTGGCGACATTGCCAGTCGCCATGATGAGGTGATGCGCCTTTAGCACGGACGCGTAATCAGCTGCACTCGAAGCCGTAGGTCGCACGTTCGCTTGCAACTCTGACAACAGCGGCGTGAGAACGGCTCGAAGGAGGGTCACCTGCTCGTCGGGCATCTGGTTGAGAATCCAGATGAGTGTTCCGATCGATTCAAGCAAGTAAAGCTGAGCATCGAAAAAGGTCGTCGTCGAAGCGGCCTTGACCAACCCTTCAACCGATGCATCTGACGAGTCCAACTCGGCATTGATCGTCAACAAGTCCTGTGACGGCCGGAAGAGAGTGAGTTATTGTACACAGCTCACACCTGACATCTCAAACGACTGCTCACCTGCATCCTCGACAAGATCTCCTGAATGACCTGTCCCGACACTCTCGTCTGAACAATATGCTTCGCCTGATGGATAAACCTCGAAAACAGGTAAAACATCCTCGCCTGGATCGTCTCGTCCATCTGGTGCAGTCCATGCTCATCCAAGAAGCTTGGCAAGATGCGACCGATGAACTCGGGGCAGAGTCTGAAGAAGTCGGAATAGCGGACGGTGATCTCGAAGAATTGGAGGGCGACGGAGGGGTGAGGGAACTCGACAACATTGCCTCGGCATGCTCGGAGCAAGAGTTCACCGAGGGTAGAGAGTGGGAAGGCGGTGTAGTCGACACGGTACTCGGCTTCCTTCTTGGCTCGATCGAGCTCACTTTGAGGTACGACGGAGAACGCCAGAGGACCCGTGACGAGGATGGCTTGCCCGAATCCGTATAGGAGGTACAGGCTCAACTCAAGTCGCTGCCAGGGTAGAGTCGCACCTTGTTCGAACGCTTCGATCGTCGACACGATCGTCGATTGGACGACCTCCGAGTAGAGCTGTGGGTCCAAAATGGCGATCGCATCGCCGATCTGACGTAGGTTCTTGCGCAGGTCGAGGAACGCGAGCTCGTCATCCTCCTCCTCTCCCTCCTTCGAAAGCGTCCATTCGTCATCGGGCTTGTACTGCATCTTGACGATCGCAGCCTTGAGCAGAGCTGTCAGAAAAGCACTTCGTTCCGCATCAAGCGGCACGTTTTGACTCCTTTTCTTGTCCTTCTTGTAGCGCGAGAGCAAGGTATGGGTGAAGGGCATGATGGCCATGGCAACCTGATCGTTTTGGTCCGTCAGTAGCCGGAGCAGTAGAGGGAATATTGAGCTTGTCGATACTGATGCTGCTGACTTGGCCTCATTCGAAGCATTGTTCTGGATTAGAATATTGCAATATGAGCTCACCCGAGAGTACACCCTCTCGAAGGACGACCCTTTCCGACTTACATCCTCACAGATCTTGCACAACTCGCACCCTACCCCATTCAGCAATTTGGCGAACTTTTCCGCAAAGGCATCCATCTCGTCGTCACTCGGTGCGCCAGTCGCCGTCTTGCCGTTCGCAAGCTGCGAGATGCTCGCATCTCTCTCTTCCACCAAGCGACCGAGAACAGAAGCAATGTCGAGAACCGAGAGCAGAGCGAGCTTGTCCCCCGGTGGCATCCCTTTCGAGATGGTCTCGAGCAAAGCATCCGCGGCTGCTGTACGAATCGAGAGAGCTTCGGAGGTCGAGGGCAAGTTGAGCGCTCGAAGGAGAAGTGCGATTGTCGAAGGGGTGACCATGAGGTTGATGTCGATCCACGAGACGTAGTCACCGACGACTTTCATCGCCATCTCGAGGATCTCTCTCGCTCGTTTGCCCTTGAGCCCGACAAGGTCGTCCAGGGTTGTCGAGGAGGAGGAAGGGGTCGAGATGCCATCGAGGGACTCGGAGATGATCTCCCAGATTGACGAAGCGATCGCGGGGGCGTCGTGTTCGCGCACGGCGTCTCGTAGCTCGGTGTCTTTAGCCAAACGATGCGGGAGCTTGTTGAGTCGCAACTGGGCATCCGAGATCTCGTCCGAAACGTCGTGCAGTAGGCGTAGGAGGAGGTCGGCCGTCAAGGGGTTGAGCGGAGGCGGGGTCGTCGGCGCGGGCTGGTGACTCGGCGAGTACAGGCGCAGCAGGTTGAGAAAGGTTGAGAAGAAGGACGAGAACTGCTGCGGATAGGTATGCACGAACAGAACGGTGATGAGATGGACCGAGGCGTTCTTGAGATCTGTGCGATGGTGAAGGAAGAAGGCAAAGTGGGGGGAACGAGCAGGTTCAGTCACTGGGCCCAAGGTGGACAGACGCAGAGGAGTACTCACACGCGACACCATTCTCTGCTTTTCCGTAGGTGATGTACTCTTGCTGAAAGTAGTCGACGAGTGATTGCTGTACGAATGCGAGTGCCTCGGCGGAGAGATGCGGCAGACTGCACTCGAGGGGCGCGGGTCACGCGACGTCAGTTATGCAGCTTCCGGGAGCGGACTCGTGCACGTCGATGTCACGTTCGAGTGGGGCAGAGGCAGCGGTACGGTGGTGGTACCCATGCTCCTAGGATGATTGAGGCCTAAGACACGATGGCTAGCCCCTCTCGCTGGAGTGGGCGAGCGCGGTCGGGCAGGGTGCGCTGCGAAGTGGGTGACGACAACAACCAGCGGCCGAGCACCTCCTGCGCCCACCGGAGCAGCCCAACTCGGATACACCGGAATGAAACGAAACAAGCAGATGCACTGAACCACCAAGCAAAGTAAAAGGACTGACCTTTCCCCAACGACCTGCACCCCAAACATCCTCGCATCGCCGTCCCACTTGTAGCCCGTCTGACCACCCGCACCATCATGACGGTCCAAAAACAAAGCCAAGCATGCCTGCCAAGTCTCTCCATGAGCCTCACGCACATGTTGCAGGAACGTGTAGGCCTCTTGGCGTTGCGCCGGCGCTGAGGAGGGCGAGAGAGCGCACTGGCATGCCGAAGCGATCTGCGCTGACAACGACGACAGGTCCATCGCCCTGGTCACGAGAGCACAGACTGATCGAGCCTTAGAGACCGGTTCGGCGTCCGAGTCGGAGTGACGATAGGAGAAGAGCAGGCGGGTCGAGACAGAGGTCGGACGAAGGCAGAGAGCCGACGGGCGAAAAGGAGCGATGCGCCAAGAGGAGCTTCACTCATTTTACTCGCGGCCGCGACGACGCCGCGCACGGACCTTTGGCCGGACTCGAAGAACAGGGGGCTCCCCTGATACAACTCCGAGTGAACAATACAACTCTACGCGTTACTCAAAACTCAGCCCAGATCCGTCAGGAATTGCTTCCATTTACGACCAGCTCCGCCCTTTCAAAGAGTATACAATGAGCTCGGTACAATAGCAGTCACATCTTGGCAATACAACACTTCGCACACTACTTCCAGTATACACACCGCTCTTCATCCTCCCACTCAAAGCCAGGAAGAATCCAACGCACTCAACCTCGACTCTTCATCCAGCATCTGAGTAAACTCGGTCCCGAACGTAGTCCACTGAGCAGGGTCCAAATGCGCTGCGCTTCCTCCGACATTCAAGGTCGGCAACGTCGAGAGGTGCGTCGATGATGCATCCATCTCATTCGATGAAAAGGCGTGACTCATCAATGCGTCTGAAGAGAACGCAAGCGTATTCGGTGCAGTATTCGAAGTTGATGGTAAAGGCATAGCGAGGTATTGCGAGAAAAGGCCTAGATCCTCCTGCGCGGGCACGGCGGGTGGTTGGGCCTCGATCCCTTGTTGGGTGTTGTTGGGTGGGGAAACTTCGGTGCGTGCGGGTGGAGAATCCTCCATTCGCATCGTTTGCAGTCGCTCCTCAAGCGACGTGATGAGATCGGCATTGTCGGGCCAGGACCATCCGATCATCTTTAGTCCCGCGAGGATCTGTTAAGCATAAACAACATATGAGCAGCCAGCGCATAGCAAGCACCGAAAGACATCGCGTGAGCTCACCGTTTGCAGATCCGAAATCCTATCTTCCCGGCTGATGCCATCCTCGTGCGCCAAATCAAGCAGCACGTCGGCCCAGATGTCAATCCGTTCGTGTTGTATATGGGTCAAGTACGCAAGGCTGGCCGGTGTATCAACGCACGCCGCGACCCCCCTCGCGGCTTTCATGAGCGCACGTTGCGCATGTCCTTTGAGTACTTGCAAGCGATCACGCGTCCGTCGCTTCTCCGCCGTCATCGCCGTCACGTCCATGAGCGACAAGCGCCGTCGGAGTTCAATGCTCAGCGGAAGCACGAGGCCGGTCCATGCGAAGCGCAGCGTGTGGCTGCATAGCGTCATGATGTAGCGGCTCTTGGTCTCGGCGTCATGGGAATAGGCGCGGGCCCTGGTGGCCTCCGGTGTCAGGCTCAGCGGGATTAGGCCCAAAATGGAATGTTGGAGATGGTCCAGTAAGTCGAGTTGGGACAGGTAGTTTGCGACGAACACTTCGTCCAGTGGTTGATTCCGCACCCAACCTGAGGAATTCGCGTGCGCTCGAGTGCGATCAGCAACGGGTAGAATGACGCCGACCACGCTTATCGAACCATTTATACTCACTACCTGCGACATGCTCGGAACACTCTCGAGCCATCTTTGCGACGTGGAACATGTACGAATTCGTGAAGCCATAAAATGTGGTCATTGGGTCACGCCCAACTCCATTTTGGATATGACGGAGCATGAATTCGATCGAGAGGGGTGTCGGACTGAGAAGTAAGGCGTCGTTGTCCGCGTCGACGCTGAGGAGTATGGGAAGTGGCCGGCGGTGTCAGAAGAGTGCTCTACCAAGCACAGAGTCAATCCATGCTTGTGCTTAAAAATGTGATCGCCGACCCATTCGAAGTGCTGATAGGGACTCTCGCATCTAATGTGGAAATTCAAAATTAGTGCATGGTCCTCTGCAGGACAAATTCGGCAGATCGAAGGGCGATCCAAAACGCAGCTCACCATCAGAGCCGACCATCCAGGGTGTTTCACAAGACCTGTCACGCCCCCACCAATCGTATCTCGCTCGTCAAGCAACGTCCGCAGGTGCGTTACAAATGCGCTGACATAAAGCACTCCCTTCTTGGTGTCCGTGCGAGACTCGAGAATGTCGAGCAAATGACAGCTCGCCATCGTCTCCTCCGAGGCCTCGACCAGCGTGCCTCGTTCCCATGCCAACTGCACCGCCTTGACTTGCATCTTTTCGCACACCGCATCGCGCCGAGCACCAAAGGCTTGTAGGTCTGGACGTGCCTTGAGGCTCTGCGATGTGAATGCCTCGAATGCCGGCGCTGGAGGACCGTCGTCGAGGATGTACGGATGCGACGACAGTCGGGAAGTAAGCGCCATGATCGTGTAAGCAAGGACTTCGGCCTATGGCGGCAATGCAGAGAGCCTTCGTCCCGACTCTTCGAACGCGGACATAAGACGTGCTTGAGGAATCACAGAGAGCCAGGATTGGGGCAGCTCCTGCCAAAGTCCGAGGAGATGGGCCACAAGCTCGCCCGACAGCTGCATCTGAGCCAAGCGGGAATCGAGATCTTTGGTCGAGAAGCTCGGCAGTGACAAAACTTCTCTTGAGCTAGAAGGTATCGAAGGCTGGCTTAGTGGGGTCGACGAAGTTTGTGTAGTCCGCCAGGCCTGGCTGTCGGCCACTGGAGCAGAATCCAACGAGCTTGTCTCCATCGCGCCAAACGTTGCCCTAGTACCCACTGTGGACATCAGGATAAAGTTTTTCATCGCAAGAACACTGAGCCGTAACTCACCTCGCTTGCTCGATCCTGCGACCCGTCCTGCCCGTGGGCTTCTTTCGAATCACCGGAGTGCTCGTGCATCTACCGGCGCACAGTTCAGAAATGAGGTCAGTCCGATAGATTCATAAGACCTACAAGTCGTACCAACTTGCAAGGGACCATTACTTGCATTATCCCCTTGTCCAGACAGCGACTGCAGCTTCCGGGAGGAGGCACAGGAACGCACAGAACCCGTCTCAATCGACACGAGTCGCACGACGGCAGCTTACGTCGCTTGCCTACCAGAGGCGCCTTCTTGCTTATCGCAAGCGATGCAGGTGTTTGTGACTCAGCTTGAGGTGTCGGCGCAGTGGAGCTATCGGACTCGGTGCCGGTCGCTGCAGTTGAGGCGCAGGCGGCCGGAGATGCCGACGTCGACGCGACCGACGCGGACGTGGATGCGTCTTCGTCCATCTTCACGGGTTCAGTTCGGGGTACAGCGGACTTGGGGTGGGGATCGAAGATTGCCGATGACTTGAATGCAAACCTGCTCCGAATTCGGTCAGAATGATGGCACGGTCGAGGAAGGACACCCGCGGCACGAGTGAAGTAAGTCCGTGGGGATGAGGCGATGGAATAATTGCCGTGACCCGTCCAAGTCGACTCAGTTCGTTGTTACGGGTGGGCCGCCCCCCTGGGGGTGGAGCGCATGCGCTTAGAGTGAAGTAAGGCGAGAGAAATGCCTGTTCGCTTCTGCACCTTATTCGTTTCGCTCGAACGGCAGTAGTGGGACTAGTGCTCGTTGCCTCTACACTCGCGACACTTTTTGACCCACCCACCGTACCGAATAAGGTGCTGTCTTATTCCAAGGGAATATTAGCGTTTTTGCAAACCGCGGTCCCTGGGGTGTACGCATCATCCCAGGGTCTCGTCCAGGAAGATTATTCATCTTCCTCATCCCAACACAACCAAACAAACCGAAAGATACACAAGGAAGGTCGCAATTCCCTTCCCGCGCTCGAGAACCCCATTGGCATCCGATCGAGACATCGGAGGGGAAAAGCGCGGCTCCCGCGGCATCCGCGCGTGAGCCGGGACACTGGTCGAGCAAACTCTAATTTGACGGCCTTGGGCAATTCGAATCAGCACTTTGAGACTCAGATGCAGGTCAGATCGTGCGGCAACTCAGTACGATCAGAAGCTAATAAGTCACAAAGCTCAAATTACACCCTGGTGCTGACATGTCAGGTCCGTCTGAACTCGGCATTTCCAGCACCGATGGAGGCAAAGCTCTGTCAACTCCGCCGCCTGCGCGCGATCGCCTGGCGCCAGCTGCACAGCCTCGGGTCGCTTGTCGTGCCCTGTGTCCACCTTGACGTGTGTTGCATCCCACTTGCCTTTTATTTCAAGAACCCCTTTCATCAGCTCCATCTAGGCAAAAACGGATTCATGCCCGTCCCATCGTCAAGCATCTGGTTGAACTCGTCGCCGAACAAGCTCCAGCTCGGGTCCGAACCTCCTCCCGTTGACTGCGGGAGGAGGGGCTGGACCATCCTCTGATCGGGTCGAGACCCAGCCATGTTGGCGATTGGGCCATATTCCATCGATGCAGGCGAAGCAGAGAAACTGCACGTCGGAGTGGCTGATGTGGCTGATGAAAAACCTGTGCTGGCTTGTGGAGGGGAAGGCGTCGCGAGATATTGCGAGAAAGTGCAGAGGTCGTCCCCACCCGCTTGGGCGGCGGTTCCTACTTCACTTGCTTGAGGAGTCGAGATCGACGTGATCGCTGCTGCTCGCGCCCTTCCAGAATCACCAATCTCCATCGAATTTAGACGCTCTTCGAGTGATCCGATGAGCTGAGCATTGTCGGGCCATGACCAGCCAATCATCTTGAGACCGGCGAGAATCTGCACGAAAGACCTCAGTGAGCACCTCGACCAAGCTTTAGCTTTTCCGGCAACGAGTTGTGGAGACTGACTGTTTGCAAATCCGAGAACTGCTCCTCTTGGCTGATCACGTCGTCGTCGTCGTCGCGGGTCGAGTCGAGCAGCACGTCGGCCCAGTTGTCGATCCGTTCCTGTTGAACATGGGTCAAGTAGCCCAAACTCGGCGGCGAGTCCAAACAGGCAGCAATCATTCTCGCTCCCTTGACGAGCCCTTGCTGGGCGTGCCTCCGCAGCAGCAGGAGACGATCTCTAGTACGCCGTTGCTCGGGGGACATCGTGCCGACCTCCATCATCGAAAGGCGTCTCTTGAGGTCGGTGCAGAGCGGGAGGATGAGGCTTGCCCAAGCGAGCCGTAGGGTGTGGATGCAAGAAGTCATGATGTACCGGCGCTCGGTCTCAAAAGGAGCGGGCAAAGCATGCGCGCTTGTTGCGGCCGGTGAGAGGCTGAATGCGATTCGTTCCGACAGCAATAGCAGCAGCCGTTCGAGTGAGTCGAGTTGCGCCAGATACTTCGAGACGAAGGCCTCGTCGAATGGTCGATTACGTACCCAGGCTACATCAGCGGATAGAATAGGCAAGATCAGCTCATTGCACTCCCAAACTTTTGCACGAGCAAAGTTTCAAAGACGAGTGATCGACTTACTTCCCGTCACGCGGTCCGTGCACTCGCGAGCAAGACGTGCGACATGGTACATGTAAGGTCGCATGGGCCGGAAGAAGAGCGATACCGAGTCTCGGACATCGATGTCGTCAACAGTTTGAAGCAATGCTTCCTCGATCGACGGAGGCACGGGTCCGACGAGGATTTCATCGTCCATGCCGTTGCTGGACAGGCAGATGATTCGAAGAGTCCAGTAAGTTGGTCGCCAAGCAAGATATATGCGCATACACGAGTATTAACCTACAAGTGCGAGCGCCCGCCTGTTCTAAGCGCCGCTAAAGCCTCTCGCATCTGGAAAACTCAGAGGAAGATCAGCTGGCGAGGCTTTGCTCGCGTTGAAAGGTCCAATGCACTTGACTGACCATTAGCGCCGCCCACCCAAGTGGTTGATGAATGATCTTGCCCATTCCACCGGTCGTGTCTCGCTCGTCAAGCAACGTCCGCAGGTGCGTCACAAAGGCACTGACATATGGCACTCCCTTCTTGGTGTTGGTGCGAGACTCGAGGATGTCGAGCAAGTGGCAGCTCGCCATCGTCTCCTCCGAGGCCTCGACCAACGTGCCTCGTTCCCATGCCAACTGCACCGCCTTGGCGCGCATCTTTTCGCACACCGCATCACGCCGGGCACCGAAGGCTTGCAGGTCCGGTCGTTCCTTGAGGCTCTGCGATGTGAGTGACTCGAACGCTGGCGCCGGCGGTCCGTCGCCGAGGATGTACGGATGCGAAGACAATCGTGAGGTGAGGGCCATGATTGTGTAAGCGAGCACCTCAGCTTGGGGAGGTAAGCTTGAGAGGCGTCTCCCCGACGCTTCGAACATTGTCGTGATTCGTGCCCGAGGAAGTAGGGGCAACCAGGATTGGGGAAGGGCTTGGTATAGGCCTAGTAGATGGGCGACGAGTTCGCCTGATAGTTGGGTCAGGCCGAGGCGAGAATCCAGATCGTTGGCTGAAACTGTCGGCAGCGATGAGGATGCTCGCATGACGCTGGGAATCGGGGTAAAGTTCTCGGCCATGGTAGACGTTGATGAGCCTAGCCAGGGTTGATACTCAGCTGGGGCCGAGTTCGGAATTCCAGCCTCGGTGGCGCCAAACATTGCTCTGATCCAGAATCGAAAAGAATGAGTCAGTCCAGAGCATTTGTGCGCACGATTATGATAGGCGAAATGTAGCTGACCGTGCCTCCTCAATGCGCCTGCCCGTCCTTCCCACGGGCTTCTTCCTGATAACCGGAGTACTTGTGCAGCTACAGTAGTGGGGCCGATCAAGCTCGAGATCAGATACAGGAACGCTGCGGGTCTAGGCTGATCCAGCCGGAAGGTACCGAGCCCAGTCAAAATGAAGTTCTACATACATGATTCCCTTTTCCAAGCATCGACTGCAGCTACCCGGAGGGGGCACGGGTACGCAGAGCACTCGACGAAGTCGGCATGAATCGCACGATGGCAGCTTGCGGCGCTTCGTCCCAGTGCTTGTCTTCTTCTGAGCGCCACTGAAAGAAGGGGTCGGAGCTTCAGACTGGACTGCTTGTGAAGGCTGATGCGTCGCCTCCAGGGCTGCAGATCCCGTCGCGAACGGCGCCGGCGAAGTCGAGGCCGAGGCTGACGTCGAGGCGACCGGGGTCTGATCCATCGTGTATTGAGCCACGTCGAAGCCTCTATAGCTTCCTAAACAGCGTTCTGAGTATGTGATGGGTTGGTCGACGGGTTCGCGTGGGTCAGAGACAGGGGAGTCAGGGTGTGCGTGATTCGCAAGTGGTGCCCGTGACGGTGGTCAGCTGAACCTGCCCGGCGTCCCGAGCTCTCGGACACGAGCTCGGGGCGCCAGTGGGGCGCCCTGGGGCGCCGGGCTTCGCCGCTTAGACCACTTGATCGGCTGCTCGGGCTTGCTTACGAGACACTGCACAGCCCGTAAGGTGCCAATGAGACTTCGGTAGTGAGACATTTGGGCCTTCTCCAACACCAAATGAAATTATGAGTTCTATTCTAAACCTGAAATCTACTTTGGCAAGCTTCAACGTCGATGCAAAAGAGGCGAGTCGGAGGAATTGGAAAAAACACCGAGGCGCGATGCCGGCGCGAATCCATGTGGTACTACAGACATGGAAGACCATGTCAGCTGCCAAAGGAAATGTGGTACGATCTCACATCTACTTTTAGACATATTTCTCCTAACAGTCGAGATTGGTAGCGCAGGAAGCGTGGCAACTGTCTTCATACGCCGCGGAGCTGGGGCAAGCCAAGTCCAAGCAAATTTTCAGCGTCAGCCTTGAGTCATTGCTGGCTCAGTGAGGTAGATAGTTCACATCCATAACAATTTGCATACTGTGTAAGCCTAACAGCTATCCCGGGCGAAATAAGAGTAACCTTTGGTGGAGCAGTCCGGCTGACTGATGTCCCACACGGTGCACACATAGCAAAAAACCCCCCCTAAAATGGGACGATCCCGGGATCATCCCGGGATCGGGCCCCCGATTTGAAATCGGTGCAGCGATTTGAAATGCATTTGAAATCGGCGCGGTGATTTGAAACGCATTTGAAATCGCCGCACCGATTTGAAATGCATTTGAAATCCGTGCGCCGATTTGAAATGCGTTTGAAATCGGCGGCGCGATTTGAAACGCATTTGAAATCCGTGCGCCGAATTGAAATGCGCGTCAAATCGGCGCGGGATCGATCCCAAATGCGCTTCAAATCCTCGTGGGATCGAACCATGCCCAACGGTCAATAAGGACAAGGGCATAGAACTTGTGTGAGAGGGCCAATTGCGCAAGGTAGAGTAGACGAACATGTTACTATTGCTCAAAGTATGTGCAAGTATACTACTGAAACGGTACGAGGCCCCATGCGGTGGTGCATCGCACCACCAGGCCTGCAATCTGCTCTTCAGTCAGCCATCGTTATTGGATCTGAACGCTCCCACTCTATGAAATCGACAAGTTCCTGCTCCAGCTCCTCGTCAACGGGCTCGTCATCGTCCGAATCGTCCTCCTCGTTGTGGTCGGTATGCATGAATGGAGGCGGAAGAACGTCGGGGACGCCCAATGTCAATTCGCACCGGCGGTCTTCATTGACTATCCAGCAGTTGACCTTTGGCAAAGACCTATCGACATTGCCATCCTCGGTGGTGGAGTCCCGTGGAACGGCCGTGCAGCGGTCGACCCAAAAACTGCGAAACTGCTCACTTTCTTCGGGCAATCGAGCCGGCGAATTCACCTGCTGATCCTGTTCCTGCACGGTGTCGCTCCCATCATTCCACTCAGCCAATCGAACTGCACCGAGTTCGAATCATGAAACATACCTCGTTGGAATCGGACTCGTCATTGGCTGCCAAGCGCCTCTGATGAGGCACTTCAGCCGCGATCCAGGCGGCGGCGGCGCATTTCAAACGGTGTGCGTATGGAAGTTTCGGGTCGGCGAGAACGGCGCGATCTACGGCCTTGAGATTAGTCGAGAATATAGCCTTGGCCTTTTTGAGCGTGACCCAAGGCATGATCTTGATGGGTCGGGGGAACTCGGTGGATCGGCGTCTCTCGTTTGCCTCGGCCTCGTCCGTGCGCCCCTTCTCCTTTCTTCGACCAGAGTCACGCATGCGGCGTGCGGCGGGAGGTCGTGTGGGCCTATAAATTGAGGTGTATTAGCGCCAAATCTTCATGTTGTAGAGCTTGCATCGTCAGAGTGACCTACGTCTGATCGAGAAACGTCTTCCCTGCTTCGGAGCGCAGCCATGCCTTGGCGTACGGGGCCACGGCGGTGAGGGTCGCATGGAGGATCGAAAATCTTTTAGATCGAATGACGCGATGAAGCTGGGCCTTGCGAGCCGAGTAAAGGGATGAGCTCAGCAAACTCCATTCTTGCCAATCCGACGAGTGCGAAATGTCGACAGGCTTACCTTTGCTTGTTTTCGGTCGGCCGGACTCATCTCCCCAAGGATCTCAAGACCCCTCCCAGACGCAAGGGTTGCGACCAGATACTTATAATCCTTGTCTTCCCAATTGGTCTTGAAGAGAAAGTATCGCTTGCAAGTTATGAGGATGTCGTCATGGTCGAAGGGCTAAAGACAGTCCGGAGGTGCCGGCATGTCAGCCAGAGCCAGACACATTCGCAATGGCGTCAGCAACTCAAGCATGACACTCACGGGCGGTAGTGTTGCTCCGGGACCTGAACGCTGTGTCTCGATACGACGCTTCTTGGCACGAGGCGCAGCCAACATCGATTTCTTCTTCTTCTTCTTGCCAGGCCCTTTCCCTAAGACTTTGCGCTGGGTTGACGTAGGATCGTTGCTGCGAGACGCAGGACGCTTCAAAAGGGATGAATCGTCGGAGTCGCAACTTGTCATCTCGTCATCAACAACGTGGCCAACGTCATCCTCCCCGCCGCCGTCCACCTCATCACCAGCATCATCGCTGTCCTCGTCGCCCTCTCGATGCTCCTCCTCGTCCTCCTCGTCCTCTTCGTCCTCTTCGTCGTCATAACCGTCGCTCCCAGACGGGTGAAGCGAGGCCTGTTCCTTCGTCCTGCGTCCGTACACCTTGGTGGCTTTGCGCGTCGATTGCGAAGGAGGGGGTCCTTTGAGGTCGACTGAAACCGCGCTCCTTGACCTGCAAAGCTTGATAAGACTGCTTCGAGGTCGTGGAATTCGAAAGGGTTTGCCATCGTCCTGGTGGCGCACGGTGGGTCAGATGTCAGCTCTTGGGCAAGGTAGAAGTTCGCGACAGCATACTCACGTCGTTGTCGAGGGTTTCGAATACGCATTCGAGGAGCGGGTCATCGAGTCGCTCTAGGTAATCACGAGATTTGCCGAGTTCGAGCTCTACCATCCAGTAATTGACAGCCGACAACCAGAGCTCGCCAATCCACTCGGCCGTCTCGTTGTATGGCGTGGCCAATGCGGGCTCCCATTCGTTGCGCATGCGAGTCCAGTAGAGATTGAGTTTCTCGCCCGCATGGCGATACGACACGGACGACACGGACGACGCCGAAGGGAGGGTAGCGGCGACATTGGACTCCACCCGGGGTGTGGAGGTGGTGGCGGGTTTCAATGATGAGGTGGGCGTGGGACGCGCCTGGGAACACGCCTGGGACGAGTATTTGACATGTCAGTGCCTTGCCCTCGGCGCGCGACGACGAACTGACAGGTGGCTCGCTCGGATGAGCGGCGATCGAGGAGCTTGAGCACTCACCATTATGTGGGAAACGATCGGCGACGATGAAACGAGCTTGGTGGATGCGTGCTACCCCACCCCGAGCCTGGACAACAGGTGACACAACGAAGGGCCGACCGGGGGTGAAGCAAGCCAAGGAGCGAAAGGCGAAAGCGCGACCGAGATTTTAACTTTGAACTTTGTCGCACCGGCGTCCAGCGCGCGATCGGCCGGATCGGCCGCGGACGGCCGACCGCGCTTTATCCGACGTCCCGATGCTCCCTTGTGCGACGTCAACGACAGTTACCCACTAGCGAGCATTGAACATTAGGAGCAGTCAGTTCGAGCCGTACATATCTCCTGGCGCTGCGACATGCTCGAGCACTTACACGATGGTGTTACCCCACCTCCTGTCGTCTCCAGCGCCTGCAGTCGACGGCTCGGAAATAGGACGTTGCCATGGTGTCGTCGCCCCGCTTCCCCACAGAAGCCATGTCACCTCCTCCTCCCACGTCCCAAGTCCAATCGAGTGCCAAAGAACCGACCTCAGGTGGGAGTGATCAAACCTCGACCACCCTCGCACCCAGTCCAGCCAATCAGTCGACCTTGCCCCACCCCAATGTGGGGCGATCAACCTCAAAGCCCCGCGTCGGTAAATGCATGACGGTGGAGGCGATCGAGGCGGCACGAAGAGACTGGCAGAACCGCATGCAAGTCATGGAGGTTGACGAGGCAAGGTTATCGAGGCGAAATCATCACGGTCCCCCGTGCCCCCGCTGACGAGCACGTGACTTTTGGCCCCTTCGATAGTCGGCGTCCAGCGACGATGACGGCAAGATGGACGTCGATGACGACGGCGATGACGAGGAGCATCAAAAGGGCGACGAGGACAACGATGATGCTGGTGATGAGGAGGACGGCGGCGGCAGCGGCAGCGGCGGCGAGGACGATGACGACGACGGCGGCGAGGACGATGACGACGACGGCGGCGGGGACGATGACGGCGGCGAGGACGACGACGGCCATGACAGCACCAGACAGAACGACAGAGGGAGCGAAGAGAACGATCACGATCAGCGCGGGCTGCGAGTGACGAGTCGAGGCTGTGTGCACCAACCTTCGCTGAATTGGCTATCTACGCGTGGAGCCTGGAATACAGGGTTTCGTGGAAGCCTGCTGCGCCTTGATTGAGGCGTTATAGAGCGAATGCTTTGACGCCACCAAACTACCGAAGTCGTTTTCAACGCTGGAAACGCGGGTCAAGGCGCATTTGCGCATGTGCGTCATACGGCGCCACGTCGTCCCGCGGAAAGCGTCCAAGACGACGATTGCCAAGACCGGTTCGAAGGCGAATCGCACCACAACATCGGCGTACACCCTAAGCTTGAAGGAACAGATTGAGCTTCGAATTCTGGGAAAACCCGCCCTACTCGGGAGCCTGCGCACCGGCCTCGGCGACTTCGCAGAAGTGCGGACGAACCTATGGGAGGGCGACGTCTGGCGCGAAAGCGTGGTGGCATGTCGCGCGGCCTACCCTATGGAGACAACAAACGGTGAGTGATCGAGGATGGCGCGACGAGGAAGAACAATATCGGGTGCCGGAAGCGTGTGAATAGGTGTCATGATGGGTGACCGGGCGATAGCGAAAGCGACGGAGGGGCGGACAAGCGCAAGAGACTGCAAGAGACAGCACGAGACCGCTAGCCGAGGCCTGCCGAGGCCGAACGCTAGCGGCCTCTAGCGGCGGCAGGCGGCGGCACTCTGCGGCACACGGCGGGAGAGGGTGATGCGATGCTCCACTGCCGCATCCGCATGGGGCCTTGTACCGTTTCAGTAGTATACTTGCACATCACATACTTTGAGCAATAGTAACATGTTCGTCTACTCTACCTTGCGCAATTGGCCCTCTCACACAAGTTCTATGCCCTTGTCCTTATTGACCGTTGGGCATGGTTCGATCCCACGAGGATTTGAAGCGCATTTGGGATCGATCCCGCGCCGATTTGACGCGCATTTCAATTCGGCGCACGGATTTCAAATGCATTTCAAATCACCGCGCCGATTTCAAATGCATTTCAAATCGCTGCACCAATTTCAAATCGGGGGCCCGATCCCGGGATCATGTTTTTTGCTATGCAGCGGATCGGTCTTGACGATGTGATTGGCGGTTCGAACGGCACTCGAGGAAGTGTAGCTGATAGGGTCGGCGGATGATTCCGTGTGATTGAGGTTTGTCCTCAAATTCGAATTCTTAGTCCCATTGATCCAGGACAGATGATATTGAGGTTTTCGCAGGTGATGAGCTGGCTTGTGGAGCCTAGTGAGGGAATCGCGCCGAGGCAAGCATGCAGTGTACGTAACTGTGGGTCGCATCCCCCAGGCCACTTCTACAAAGAGCGAGTGCTAAATCATGATTTCCGCATGGATCACTTGGATATTTGAAAAATGGTGTTCAAGGGAGTAGTTTACAGATTCAGTCAAAAGATGCGGAAAGGAGTTGATGGCGACTGCACTGCATTTACTGCGGAGCCTGATATCAATGAGCGCGTCCTCACCAGGTCTACCGGCGCATACTGGCATATCTAGCATATACCTACAGCTTTTGTAGTTGCAGAGGTAGATACGGCTGCGTCATAGAGGTATGCTGAAGCGAGCAAGAATACTTCAATCTGAGACAGCCGGCGCGAGGCTGCGATGGCGGAGCGCACGACTCACTTGGAGTCCGCCCGCGTCACCCCCATTGCGGCAGCCAACACGAAGCCAACGATAAGCGTCTTGACCTTTACGGTGTACAGCTGTTCGAACCATGCGTAAGCATATGTTCCGATGCTTCGAAGAGACCGGTGGAATGTAGGTTGAGACGGAAAGAGAAGTGGAGAATGGTCTCGAAGTTACAGCTTGGGCGGCACGTTATTGCCAAGCCTTTGTAGTAGGGGCCCGTCAACTTTCTCATACCTAGGGGCCAAATCCTTGGGGTCTTGATCTCAGAGTGTTGGAGGGAAAAGGCGGCATAATACCGATGTGTAACAACTGTTCCCTTGAAGACAGGATCGCTCGAGAGCGCCTAGGAGCTGTTCTTTAGCGCTTCAGCATCGGCGGTCTGGTGATGTTGATTGGCCAATGGCGGTAGACCCGTAGGAATTCTTTTGATTCTGAGTGATCATGTAAAGTGTGGCTTTTCCTAGATGTCGAAAATTTGCCATTGCACACCTTCAAATGGCCGAAGATTCTCTCGTGCACACGTCAACATCGAGAGAGGAGCGGCCAATTCAGCGCAGCCAGCGAGCCGAGCTCGGGATTATCTCGCATTGGCTTCGCGATTGGGGACATAGAAATGGTCTAAGGGTCCTACCTAGGTAGGCGTCTGTTAGGTTTTACTTTATAATCAAATATTATCCGAGGGAAGGGGAGTCATGGAACAGTGAGAGTCTGAACTCGATCATGAGCGAGCAGCGCAGAAGCGGTCCGTGCTCGTGCTTACCCACCCTACCTTCTATTCGATCAACTCTACTACGTCAGCGATGTAGTTATAGCCAAGAGTGATGAATGCATTTCAACATACCTATTCGATCAACTCTACTACGTCAGCGATGTAGTTATAGCCAAGAGTGATGAATAGGAAGCTAACAATAAGAGACCCGCGCGCCCCAAGTCCACAGCCAGCGAGCCTGGGGCTGAGCCAATGGCCCAGGCTCGCTCCGCGCGCCTAAGTCCCAGGCTCGCTTCGCGCGCCTAAGTCCTGGGCCGGGGCGCCCGGCTCACTCCGCGCGCCTAAGTCCGCGCCCGGTTCGCTCCGCGCGCCTAAGTCCTGAGCCGAGCGGAGAGTGGATTCCTCACACCCCCCCCCACGCGAACGCGAGGTAGACTTGAGCCGTGGATGTCGCGTCCGGAGGCCTAGAGCATAGCAATGTGTACCAAAAATCTTGGGGCCTAGCGCTTTGGTGAATACGTCCGCAACCATGTCTGCTGTGCCAACGTGTGAGAGAGAGATATCACCTCGATTGACCATGTCACGGACAAAATGCTCGCGGAGGCGAATGTGCCGGGTGCCGGAGGTGCGAACGGGGTCGTGAGCGACGGCGGCCGCGGCCTCGTTGTCGGTGAAGATGTGAGCTGCAGCGATTGGGCAAACGTGGAGCTCGGAGAGGAGTTGGTTAAGGTAGATCGCTTCCTTACCCGCGTGCGACAAGGCCAGGTACTCGGCATCAGTGGTGGAATCCGCTACCCGAGTCTGACGCTTCGACGACCAAGAGACAGCGGCGCCTGCCAAGTAAAATACGTAGCCCATCGTTGAAATGGATGTGTCGACGCAGGCGCCCCAGTTCGCATCAGAATAACCAACCACACCCGTGACTTTTGCTGGGCCGCGGGCATAGAGAAGCTCATCGCGGTACGTGGCGCGAAGGTAGCGAAGGACGTGTTTGACGGCAATCCAATGGCGGCGGCCGGGGTTGTTGGCGAACCGGGACAGGTACGAGACGGCGAAGGCAATGTCGGGTCGAGTGCCAAGGGAGATGTAGAGGAGGGAGCCGATGGCCTGTAGGTACCACGAACGAATGCGCTCCGTTCCCTGACCCGGAATTGCCGTGAGCGAGAGGCCGGGCGTCATCGGCACCGTAGTGCCGCGTGTCGTGGTGTCGAAGTGGAAACGGGCCAGCACGTCCATGATGTAGCGCTCCTGGGATAGAGCAATGGAACCGTCGTCCAGGCGGCGTATTTGGATTCCGAGGATGTACTCCGCGGGGCCGAGTCGTTTGACGCCGTACCGCTGTTCAAGGCCGGAGATGACACGTTCGATCTCGTCGAGGGCTGGACTGACAATGAGGAGGTCGTCGACATACAAGGCGATATAGTGAGGCCGCTGCTGATCGTCAATGCGAGAGTAAATGCAGTGATCAGTGCCTGTTGCCTTGTACCCCAGATTCCTGAGTGATGTGTCAATGTGACGATTCCAGATGCGACCGGCCTGCTTGAGACCGTAGATTGAGCGTCGCAGCCGGAGAACCTTATCGCTCGGGAAGTCGAAACCGCGTGGTGTCGTCATCCAGATATCATGATCGAGCTCGCCGTGGAGGTAAGCCTTGTCGATGTCGGCCTGATGAACGTGGTAGCCATTGGCAGCGGCAAGAGCCAGGAGGCAGCGAATGGAGGAGAAACGGGCGACGGGTGCGAAGGTTTCTGAGAAGTCGATGCCGTCGCGCTGTCGGTTACCCTGCGCTACAAGACGTGCCTTCCGCCCCGTGACTTCACCGCTTGCGTTGCGCTTGGTCTTCCAGACGAATTTGGAGGTGACGATGGTGGCGCCCGGCGGTACAGATGAGCGAGGCTCGATGGTGAACACCTTGAAGTCGTCGCGCATGGCGGTGAACTCGGCGGCGGCGGCCTCAGCCCAGATGTTGTGCTCGTCGCTGGACATTGCTTCGCGCCAGGTCTGGGGGTCGCTAGTGATCGATTTGACGGGCTCGATGGCGTCGAGGGTGGGGTCGTCGTCGTCTGTGGCGATGAAGGCGCGGTGTTGTTGGGTGAGGAAATCGATTTCATCCGGCGATTCATCGCGCGAGTGACGCCCAATGATGTCGAGTTCGTCGGGCGACTCCTCAGCCGATGCGGGCTCACGGTACGTGCTGAAGTCTGGGCGGTGCACGTCCGGTGGGCCAAGGCGAGTCGGGGTCTGTGAGCCGATGAGGTCCAGAGGGTCGGCGGAGTAGTCAGAGTCGGTCGGTGAGACCGAGGGTGACGATGACGCTGCCAACGACGGTGACAGCGCAGGCGACGGTGACAAAGGGTTTGTGGGCGACGGTGACGAGGACGGCTCAGGAGACGGTGACGAGGACGATTCGGTATCTGTGGAATTAAGTAAGGTTCCGCCAGTGTACCCTGGGGCCACGTCAACGGCGCTCATGGCAGAATCATCAAGGGAGGATGAGACGTCCATGTGCGCCGACCTTACTAGTGGGGTCCTCGTCTTGACGGCAGGGGCGGGCGTGTCGGCGGGAACGACGAACTGACGGTCGGTGTCGTCTGCATCGACGGGCGTGGTGACTGGCAGGCCGGGGAAGTCGTCGTCGAGGAAGGTGGCATTGCGACCAAGTACAATCTTGTTGATGGAATGGTCAAAGAAACGGAAAGCTTTGGAGGCGAGGTCGTAACCTGTGAAGATCACGCGCGCGGCCTTGGGGTCGAGCTTGCTGCGAAGGTCCGGGGCGACCGTGAGCCAGGCTGTGCAGCCGAACGGGTGGAGGGCGGTGGCGGTGGTGCGTTGGCCGTTCCAAACGGATTCTGGAGTCTGTTTGGCCAAAGCTGAGTGTGAGCACCTGTTTTTGCAATAAACGAAATACGCAGCCGCTTCATCCCAAAAGGTGGCCGGCAGACGGGCGTCCGCAAGGAGAGCGAGGACGCCCTCGACGATGGAGAGGTTGACACGTTCGGCGCGACCGTTTTGTTGAGGCGTGTAAGGGATAGAGTATTGACGACGAATGCCCTTGGATTTGCAGAACTCCGTGAATGCGTTTGATCGGTACTCCCCGCCATTGTCGGTTCGAAGGATCCTCAACCGCGCGTTCGTCTCTAACTCCACTTCGGCGAGCCAAGTCTGGAAGGTCGGGAAAACATCGCTTTTGTGATCGATCGCATATGCCCAGAGTTTGCGAGAGTGGTCGTCTAGAAACGTGACAAGGTAGCGCTTCCCGGTCAAGGACGGAGTGGGGAACGACAGGACGTCGCTGTGCACGAGGCCAAGTCTCTCGGCGGAATGCGACTCAGAGTCGGGAAAGGGAAGGCGGTGACCTTTGGAACCAAGGCAAGCATTGCAAACAAACTCCTCTACGTCTTTGTCACTGTACCCGGCCCCAAACCCGTCCAGCAAACCTGCAGCAATCATCTTCTGTATAGAGGATGGGGCAAGATGGCCGAGGCAGCGGTGTAGGGTAAGCAGGGGCACGGGAGACTCAGAGCGTGAGAGGAAGGCAAGATGCTGACACTTGGTGTGATCCGCGTCCAAAAGGTAAAGACCGTCGTTGACCCTGGTACCGTGAGCAATGGCCCGGCCGTCCTTGGCGATGTCGATGCCGTCGCTGGTGAAGGCGAGACGAACGCGGTCGGTGTCGCAGAGGCGAGAGACAGAGAGGAGGTTGACGTGTAGGCCAGGCGTGTGAAGAACACCACGGAGCGTGATCGGGTGTCCAGTCTTGGCGACGAATGCCACGTCCCCCATGCCGATAGCCGTGATGCCGCCCGCGATGCCGCCGATCTTGGTGTGTGCCGTCTGACGATAAGTCGTGAATAGAGATCGGTCGGCGACCATGTGTGTCGTGGCACCCGAATCGACTACAAAGGCGTCAGTTGGGAGTTGGCGACGAGCGAAGAGGCAGGAGGCGAAATAGCCGACGTTCGGTTGCGAGGCCGCGGAGGAAGACGTGTCGTCCTGGGTGTCGTCGCTGCTACGTGCCTGTTCACCCCGGTTCTTGCAGTCGAGTGCCCAGTGACCTTTCTTGTGGCATCGGCGGCAGGGGCCGGTGGGCGGGTGCTTCGCACGTGAAGTGCAGTCGCGCAGGCGGTGACCGGGAGCGCGGCAGGCGGGGCAGGGGGAGCTGGTGGCAAGCATGGCCGAATGCGAGGTCGAGAGTCCTGCCGAACGAAGCTGGATGCGAATGCGGTCCGTAAGCGTCGTGAGTTCGGGAAGGTCGCGTCGGTTTCGCTGCTCGTCCGTGAACGTGAGTCGGAAGCTGTCGAGGCAAGACGGGACCATGGCGAGCACGTGGGTGGCGAGCACGTCGTTGAGCGATGTTTTGGCGTCGCGTATTTCCTGAGCAATCGACATGTACTCGCGTAGCCAAGTGTCGTAGGCCTCGACGGAGGCAGGCATCTTCCTGAAGTCCCAAAGGCGAGCGAACAACTCGAGAGTGCGTGTAGCGTCGTCCGGTGCAAAACGAGCCTTGAGAGCGGCAAAGATGCGCGGTGCCGACAGGTCGTCGCTGGGGATGGCGTCGAGGGTGGCCGATACGTCGGCGGAGTCGATAGAGCCAACGATGATTTCCCGGGCGGCGTCGTCACGTGCGGCAAGCTGGTCGGCGGTCCAGGTCGGGGGAACGACACCGTCGAGAACGTAACCACGAACCTGGTTCGGGAGTGCAAGACGGAGTTGACGCAACCAGTTGGTGAACGACTTGGGGCCGTCCAGACGAGCGTGCTTGGGAAACACGACCTTGGATGCGGTGGCGGCGTTCCCCGGCACGACGGTGACGGCCGGGGGTGCGGCGGCTGCGGCGGCGGCGGGTTGCGAGGCCTGCAGAGCGGCAAGCTGGGCCTGTAGAGTGGCGATTTGTTCGCCGATCGAAGATTCAGGGGAGCTGGGATCCCTGGGGGCCAAAGGCGAGGCGGGAGAGCTGTCCATGATGTGATGGTGCGATGGACGTGTGCGGCTCGAGTGGCTGGGCTCGAGCGAAAAAGCCTCAAGCGGCGGGGCTGGTAGCTCGTGGGCTTATAACCTATTCGATCAACTCTACTACGTCAGCGATGTAGTTATAGCCAAGAGTGATGAATGCATTTCAACATACCTATTCGATCAACTCTACTACGTCAGCGATGTAGTTATAGCCAAGAGTGATGAATAGGAAGCTAACAATAAGAGACCCGCGCGCCCCAAGTCCACAGCCAGCGAGCCTGGGGCTGAGCCAATGGCCCAGGCTCGCTCCGCGCGCCTAAGTCCCAGGCTCGCTTCGCGCGCCTAAGTCCTGGGCCGGGGCGCCCGGCTCACTCCGCGCGCCTAAGTCCGCGCCCGGTTCGCTCCGCGCGCCTAAGTCCTGAGCCGAGCGGAGAGTGGATTCCTCACACCTTCTCCCCGGAAAACCAATCGGCGGCGCAGGAAGGTCTTGAAGGCGATGACGCTCCTAAGATGGGCACTTACCTCATCCTCAAGCCCTATGCGTCACATAGGGTAGCAACGCTGAGATGACTGAATCGACTAGGAATACAACTTCTCGTACCACCTGGCGCCTTAAAAAGTATTCGTGTGCGTACGCGGCGGGTTCGGAGCGACCGATCACCATCCCAGCTCCGAGATTAGGCCCGTGCTCCAGCCCGTCGATCCTGTCCTCGACCACGAGTGCCAGTGGATACCAAAGCGACAGTAGTACACGCACACAAAACCAGCGTCAAGCTCTGGAATGGGTTCACTGGTGAGTGTAGAAGGCGACATGTCTGGCGATCGTACCGCCAGTTGCTCTGAGTGAGCGTGCGAGGCTAACGAAGCCGCCCGCTCACTTGCAGCTCGGACCCGGGGCTGATATGCGAGCTCACAACGCCGTCCTCGACGCTCGGCTCTACTTTGGCTTCCTCCGACAGTCCAACGCTGCGAATACTCTTTCAGCCACTGCATTCAAACCAATCCACACAATCGACCCTCATGTACCAGGACCTTGACCTCGCCTCCTTTGCGTCACCTCAAATCCAAGCTATCTGCCCGCCTGACGAGCTCGCGATTAGAGCCGTCTACAAAGCTTCGATGGTCGGCATTCGGTACTTTAGCGCCGAACGGAAGCTGGCCAGCATCAAGCGGTTTCAACTCAACTTTGAAAACCACGAAGACGTCTTGCAATTCCTGGATGCGACCAAGGCTTGGATTCCGGCTAAACCGAGCAGCGACACGCAGCCATCGTCCTCGACGGCGCGGATGACTATCCGGCACACTCGAACCACTCAAGCTCCGATCGTTCCCACGCCCTGCGGCCCAGCTACCCCGGTCACTGCTGGGCAACTCGACGAGTCAAAAGTTTACCTGGCGGCGGGCTCATCTCGAGCCGACGTGAGCCGATCCGAATCAGGGGGGAACTCCTGGCCGCGACCCATTCCGACTTCAAGCCATGCCCAAAATTGGCGTTATACGCAGCAGCTGGCTCGAAGTGCTCAATTTGCTGTGTCCGGGGGAGCGGAGCAAAGTGGGACCGATCCAACACCTACCTCGAGCTTGAACCTACATCTCGATTCAGATTCGATGACTCGCCTGGACCGAATGCTGCCTCGGTTGCGCGGAGCCTTGCGTGCCCAAGAAGAAGAGCCGAGCGCGCGCGGCCCCGACTCCGAGTGGAATGATGTCCGTGCAGAGGGCGATCAGCACCGCGACATCGAAAGCGCAAACGAGCTGGCTGAGTTGGACGATGCAAGCTTACTTGACGTGATCAACAACATCATCCAGGAACCTGGCTTTGAGAAGCTTGTTGAGAGGGTCAATGGGCTTTTGCAGTGTTCAGACGGTCGGACGTAAGCACCAGCGCTTGTCGCGGCCGAGGCCGTCCAATGCCGACGGACGCGTACATGCGTTTTCAGTTAGCCTCAGTACGATCGCTTCGAAAATGTAAAAAAACCGTTTTGGTGTTAAAATAGGCGGGGTGTGTATCACTTCTTGCTCTCGTTGAGCACTGTAATGGTGCTGTATTTCGCAATAGCTAGCCCGTCTTCCTGTTGGAGCGAGGATACTCAAGCTCGCCAGGCAAGAGATCGCACCCGATCAGACGTGAGAAGCGAAGAGATGCTGCAATGTCAGTGTCAGATATGTCTCTAACGAGCGCGACTGGAATGGAGCACGGATCTCTAGTGGATTTCCCGGGCGGACCACCCGCCGGTGTGTCGTCCTTTGGCCGGTCTACGCTCGAGGTCCGTGCCACGACCGTACGTCGTGTGCTGAAAGTAACGCTGCGCTGTTTCGAAGTGGGGTTGCACCAACACGAATACCTGCGCTTCCTTCTCCTCTATCCTGCCCATTGCTACTTCAACGCGGCACCACAAACATCAGGATCAGATTCGAACCTCTACACTCGCCTTCTCGTACTGCGCGGGCCGTGGAAGCTTTGCAATCACGAGGACTCCTGAAACCGCGCTGCGGGGTGTACCGTCCCGAGCCCTGGCATCGACGATGCCCACGAGGACACGCTTGAACCGTGAATCTAGCGAATCTCTCATCGACTCTCAGATTTCTAGACTAAGAGGACCCCAGTACAAAGCGGGGGCATCTCGTCGCGCTTCGATTCGCCGAACGCAGCTCAGCAGGATCGACGATCATCCCACGCCGAACGAGGCGCCGGTGCGGCTCGCGCCTCGCGCGCGGGAGCGGGTGCGAGTGCCTTCTCCCTCTTCTGCTTCTAATGATTCGTACAAGTACACGTCTCGAGATCAATCCTGGGGTCGGCCGTTCTTCAAGCCCGGTAGAGGAACGAGGGCGCCCGCAGGGATGGAGCAACCCCTCTTGCCCAAGGAGGAGAAGCGAGCCTCGCATTCAAGCAAGAAGACGGGAAGATCGCGTTTCGAGGACGAATCGCCCCCTCCCACCATCGAGTTCCTCATGCGGGATCCCAACGTGACTGGGCAGACCCCGAGAGCAATTCCACCACCACTTCTCGCTCCGAATCGTGCGAGCTTGTCGTCAATCATCTCCAAAACCGTACGCTCGGCGCCCAGTTCACCGACGGATCAGTCCAAAGCGTCCACCTTTCGCGATAGTTTCGTCGCCAAATTGATCCGGCCCATCAAAATCAAAACAAGCGGCGACAAGCCAGTGTTCTCGTGCAATGTCGTTGACCCATCGGAGACGAGTTCCATCATCTCCGACCGTCCAGCGACTGTCACACCACGAACTCCTGTCACACCACGAACTCCTGTCACACCACGAACTCCTGTCACACCACGAAAGCCTGTCGCCTCGACGAGTACTGCAACAGTGCGACCTCCGACCTTGCGCAAGCAGGCATCGTCCGATTCGGCTACATCTTGGATTTCCACCTCGAAAAGGCTCACATGGCCTGTACCTCCCTCATCCGATGTGGACAATGCGGAGTCCTTCTCATCAAGCAAACACTGTCCCACAGCCCACGGCCTCTGGCATCCGGACCCGACAACCCCTGGTCCGAGCGGCTCAAGCGAGCTTGAGCTTGGCTCTGAATATGGAGACAAGGAACAAGCTTGGACGCGCTCTTTACGGACCCGGATGAGGACGCCGGTCTCGAATGTGATGAAGGCTTCTTTGAAGCGGCGGGAAAGTACAACCTCGTTCATTTCCCGCGATGCTCGACCCAAGACAATGGCGGTCGAGTTTGCCAAAGACTTGGGATTGTTGTCGTTTCCTTGTACTTTGGACGAGCTGGATTCGAGTCAGCGCGAGATGTAGGTCCCGACCTGAGATACTCCCGCACTCTGTTGCGCAGGAACCAAGAACCCTGATTTCGATTTTCTAAGTTTTTCAGAGCGTCGGGAGGCATCCCAGAGCTGCTCTGCAGTCCACTACTCTTCACTCGATCGACTTCTGCCGTCGACGTCAGTTCACCCACCCTCATTTCGGAGCAGCTGGGGACACGTCCCTCGATCGAGCAATTGCAATTTGTTCATCTCGTCCTTTCGACGTACGCCCTCTCGAATCTCGCTGAGCCACTCGCACCGAGGAAGACGGCGGTCGCACTGCACGCGTTCCCGGCTCGGACACTTGCGGAAGGCGCAGCAAAACTATGCAATGAGGTCCGTCGGCTTCGGTTGACTGCGTCAACAAGGGTTCAAAAAGCGCTTAGTGCGACGCCGGGCGAGACCACGGACGATGCGGATGTCAAGTTCGTCCTTACTGTCACTGGCATAGCGATGACTGAAGGGTCACCCGAGAGAGAGGAGTCATGGCTCGCCATCTTGACCAGTGGACGTGAACGCGATGCATGGGGTAGAGTACTCAAAGGAGCGGTTGCTGATGTGAGGAAGATGGAGAAGAGTCGTTCTCTGCACCACTGAAGGACGAGGCCAGCATCTCGCACTGGAAGCGTACTCAGCCTCCTTATACCCCTCCGTATCTTAGGCACTCTCAACAGATTATGTGCTGATATTTGGTACATCATTTGCTTTCTTAAATGAGAAACAAAGAACCTACTTTTTGCCCTTATTCAGCAGCGCACGGAAGTCGTCTTGAGTCTTCGACGCGCCAACAGACGCAGAACTTGAGCCGACGCTCGCGCCAGCAGAGATGCTTGCAGAAGATGAAGCAGGTCCTGAACGCATCCCCAGGCCACCTCTGGCTGATCCTCTCCCCCTCACTCCCAACCCAATCCGCCCTCGGCCTCGACCGGCTTGTCGTGGAAGAAGCGGTGCATCCGTCCGAGGCTTGCTCTGCGCTCCGACACTCGTTGCCGCCGCTCCCCGTAATTGGGGCCCATCAGCGACGACGTGCACTTTGGTCCCATCAATAACGATCCCTTCCTCGCTCGCCGCGGCGAGCAAGACTTTGCCTGCTTCCGCGGCGCTGTCCAACTCGACGTTCGCGTGCGTTGCGCCTACGCTCATCGTCACGAGCTTGACCGTGGCCAATTTCTCGAAAGCCTGTTGCACGATCGCTTCTTCGGTTCCGGGCGCGATGTTGGTTACTCGTACAGATTTGTCCGAGAGGGCTGTCTTATTCTCGCGGTTCTTGAAGGAGGAATTCGAGTCGATCGCCGATTGAGCACCTCTCGCTCGGGCTTGAGCGATCGTGACGCTGATGTGTCGCTTCTTCAACTCTGTATTGTTTAATATCAAAGCCGCTTGTGCCGAAGCCTCGTCCTCATATTCGACAAATGCGAAGCCCCGGCATTCGCCTTGATCGTCCTCGTTCACTCGGATCCCTTTGATCGTTCCGTGTGGCTCGAAGAGACGGCGTAGGTCGTGCTCTTTCGTGTACTTGGAGAGGCCGGCGATGTAGAGTTCTTTGTTGTTGGCGTCGGCGTCGGTACGGCCCTTTTTGCGATTCGGGTCCGAAATAAGGGCTTGAAGTCGATGTGTCGAATCGAGTTCCTTGTTGTGCAAGGCTGATGTAGCAGCGCTGGCGGAACTCTGCAACGCGTGAGGACGCACGACGCGATCAGTCACGTAGTGCTTACTAGATAGCTGGAAAAACTGGGACGACTTACTGCGTTGGTGTACTGAACGTAACAAAACCTCCTCGTCGATTTGAAGCGTTTGCTCGGCCACCTCGTATCAAAGATCGTGCCATACTCGCCAAAAAGCTTTTCGACCTGCTCCTTGTCCCATTCCTCGGGAAAGTTCGTCACGTACAAACAACTGTGCCAAGCGACCTCGACTTGGATTTCTTCACCACGCAAGCGCTTCTTGTCTTTTGTTCGGGCGGCGAGCACGTCCGATGAGGACATGAATTCGATCATCGCGACGTCCGAGGTGCCGAGCGTCTTGAGCTTGCATTCCCTGAACTTTCCACAGTCTTTGAACAAGGTGACGAGATCGTTTTCGGTCATGGAGGTTGTGGAAGGGACGGTGACGAAAACAGTGGAATTCTCGCGGTCTCGAGTGGGAGCCCCGTTCTCGTTCGACGTCGATGCGGGTGCAGGCGTCGAAAGAGCGGCGCTCTCAGTCTTGGCCTTCTTGGGCGGTGGGGCCGGCATCGCCACATCCGCCGAACTTTGAGCCACAGACGTCCTGGAGGCGTCATCCTCTGTCACAGCCACCGGCGATCGCTCCCGCTTCTTTCCACCCTCAGCAACAACAGCCAACTCAATGAACTGTGCCGCCATTTCGTCCTGACTCGCCATCGCTGCCTGCGCCTCCTGATACTGCTTCATCTCCCTTTCCCTCTTCCTCTCCAACCCCTTCCTCTGCCTCGCAATCTTTGTCAATGAGAACTCCAAGTCGGCTAGATTGCCATTCTGAATCTCAAACGCCTCCCACGCGTCGATGAGGTATTCAGGATAATCGAGCGAGCGCTCCGAGCACCCTTGGACGTAGACGGCATGTGCTGTCGGAATGTCATTGTGGCGAGTGAGAAAGTCTGCCCGTCCGTACCACACCGCATAGGAGGAAGGCGTATCCTCGGTCAAGCTCTCCCAGAGATCCGCGGCTTCCTCGATCCGGTCAAAGCGTTCGAGTTGGCGCAAGAGGTATTTCTCGAGGCGCAGTTGAGGATCACCCTTCTTCGAAGCTGTTGACGAAAAGAGCGCGATCAGTCGCGGATATCACGAATTTCGTCATTGTGTGTATCAAACATACCTTCCTCGACACGCGAGATGCCTTCCCTCAAAACCCCAACGACGAGATCGATCAGTTCAATGTTATCTCCTTCTTCTCCAGGAGCAACTGTGAGCATGGAACACAGATAAGATGATTAGCAAAGGCGAATCTCAGCAACATTGAGCTGGCGGATGGCTCACCAAGTTGATCGACCTGTCTTCTATGGAAGCCTGCTCTCGCTTGGTACAGCGCAACGAGACCCTCGACATCCTCATCGAACAAATGTGTCGAGTAGGCCTTCTCAAAGATCTGATCGACCTCGAGCCCAAATCTCTCCGCAATTCTGAGATAGATGACCCACAGTTTGGCGTGTTGAGGCAGCGCCCGAACGGCTCGTTCCGAGATGGCAAGGATGTTGGAGGATGCTTTGGGGGCCTTATCGAAGGCATCGAGGTAGAGGGCCCAGATCTCGAGCGAATCGGGGTGGTGAGACAGCGCACGCTCGAACAGGGCTCGCAGTTGTACATAGTCGGGCTTTTTGGGTTCAAGTTCCCATTCGAGATAGGCAAGGAAGGACTTTTCGGAATATTTTGCCTGCGCCTGTAGGCGAGAGATGAAACGAGCGAGTGAGCGTGTGGGGAGCATTGAGCTCGATATCAAATCAAGACTGACCAGCTTCCTTTCCTCGGCATCACGTTCATCAACGACTTTCTTGGCCGCACTGAACACCCTATTCGCGGCCGGAAGCTTTTCACCGTAGTGGTCGTTGTCGTGCCGAGTGACAAAGGTCGAGTAGGCGGCAAAGGTGTCCTCGATCTGCATGTGGGGGACCGCGAGTCGGGCGAGGAATAAGGCGTCGACATTGGCAAGCTGCTGTGCCCTTTCTTCGGGGGTCGAAGCCAGTGAAAGGAGGTCGAGCTCGAATGCTCGCCAAATATTCCACAGTGACTGGCTCTGGGGGTTGCGAAAACTTGCATTAGCCCGGTATAGCTCGGCTAGTGGCCCCCACTCGCCTTCGCGGCTGCGGGTTCCAATCGCGATCATCGTGACTCACCTCGCTCAAAAACCTCCCTCCTGCCGCCAATACCTCTCCTCTGACCTCCTTGACGTTGACCAATCCATAGACTGCCTCCAGCAAAGGGTTGGGGTCTCCAACTCGGCGCGCCGATCCGACATCGTCCATGGCCGCATCCTCGTCCTCGTCCTCGTCCTCGTCCTGTTCGTCCACATTGGTTTCGTTGGATAAAGAGGAAGGTAGTAACACGCCTTGAGAGATGTAGTATTGGGATATGACGTGCTTGGAGTAGGATTCGAGCAAGGGCATGTCTGCGAAGGGAGGCGAGTCACAAGTCAGCGAGCGAGCGCGCGTGTATCTTCCAAGAACGGCTATCAATCCTTCGTTCGCGTGCTACACTTACAGATAATGTCTCTGGCTGATTTGGAGTAGAGATCGAGCAGGGCGACGTGAGGTTCCATGTCATCCTGGACGAGTTTGGCCCTGCGATCGTCGATCCACTCGGTCCACTCGTCTGGGCCGGGTATCCATATCGAACATCAGGACCTCTGACTTCTACCAGTATCAGATACAGAGCTCCCCTTACCTTGCGTCAAAGGGTAATACGACCCCAGCATCTCCCTTGCTTGCTCCACGCCATCGTCATCGCCGAGCTGTCGGACCAAGGCGAGGTGCGACGAGTGCAACGACCGATCGTGAGGCCGCTCGCTCAGCTGCGTCAGCACCGAAGAGTACCGCTCCATCAACGCTTCGGGGCTGTCATCGACAGGTGCTGTTGCTGTTGGCTTCTTGTCCTTGTTCCGGTTGCGAGGCGCCATCCCGAAAGCGTCGCGACCGGCGAGACGAACTTGACGAGACGAGATGGAGGTGGAGCGCAACCAACCGCGATCGGTGAGGTCAAGCGCAGGCGCGCAGGCACCCAGGCTGGGCAGCCCTTCCCGAAACAAGTTTTTGTTTTCTTGCGTCACCCCAAAACTTCTTTTGCACATGTTGATGAAACCTGCATTCCTCTACTAAATTGCTTCTACCACAACATCGATAGAGTTTCGGTCAAGGATTGTTGTCCAAAAACTCCTCTAGCGCTTGAAGGAACTCCTTGGGTTTCTCGGCGTGGACTGATCGCCATCAACAACACTTTTCGTCAGCCCCTCTCGCAGTGAGGTGGTACATGCAGAGAATAGACACTCACCCCAATGCCCCGTTTCCAACGTCTTCAACTCCATCTTGGGGAAATAACCCTCACACAACGGGATGTTTCGTCGATTGATGTACTTGCTCTTGGCACCCTTCAAAAACAGCGTAGGACCGGTCCATGCCTTCGTCCCCGGTGGGAACGGGAAAGATCCGATCTCGTCAATCTGCTTCGAGAGGTAGTCCAAGGGAAGACGGAAGCTGTAGGGGGTCGAATCGGAGTTTCGGATCAGGTTCGTCAAGAGGAATTGTCGAACTCCGAGATCCTGGACGGTTGACCCAATGCAAAAGCGTGAGGATATCAGCCGGAAGGTAGCTCCTTCTTTCTTAGACTCAAAGTTGAACATACCGGTTCGGTCTTGGCCAGGATCGCATCGGCCTCTTTCCTAGACATGACTTTCGCATCGTTGATTTCCTTCATCGCAGTCAGGTAAGCTCTGAACTCGGGTGAGATTGCGCCGATTCCGGGGGCGATATCGACCACTGAGGGGATGGGACTTTCGGCGATTTAGTCAAGTCGGAAAAACAAGGGGCAGTGTGAATTCAACTCACCGACGAGTTGTTTGATCTGCTCGTGCGGTTCCAGTGTCAGAGCCATGGCGACCTTGCCTCCCCTTTTCCAACCATTCGCGAAAATCGGGCCGACGCAGATATCCGAGGTACATGGGGACGAAGAATCAGTTCAGCGCGCATTATAAGACAGTGCGGGATCTACATTCATGACGTACATTGAATGGCCGACGAGACAGATGTTTTGTAGCTTCTGATCATCGATGAATTTGCGAACGTCACCGGCCAAATCTGAATAGGCTGCCTCGGGAGCATGCGGTGAGAGCCCATGGTTACGCAAATCCTGGCAATACAGCTCAGGGACTTCGTCAGTTACTCCGCTTATCCTTCTCCACGTAGCCAAGCTTATCCCAAACTGACCAATGTGATAACGTCTCTTCCCAAATGCTGAGCTATCCCTTTGGCCTGCGACCGCCAGTTTTGTTTGGACCCGTACAGGCCATGCAACACCACAAGAGGTCCTTTGGCCTGATCAGGTTTTGTTTTGGGTGAGTAGACGTCCGATGCGAGGTCGATGGGTTTGAATGAGATGGGTGAGCAAGAGAAGCTACGCCGAGCTGCGATGAGCACCCCGCTGGTGACGACACTACGACTCCATGTCGGGGTGCATGTACCACATTGGGGGGCTAGAGCAGTCGCTCGTCGGAAGAGTGACATCTTGCTCTGATGGCGGAAGCCGCTCCGTCCAGATGCTGTGAGTTCGCAAGCGCGGAGTGATGCCAAGCGCGGCGTGTGGGGCGGCAAGTCGTGTCACCGCCCGACGGAATCCCTCGGCCGCCCGGTTGAGCTACTCCGTCTCGCTCTCTCGACAGCTAGGCCGAATAGGTCTAAACATGCAACAGCCTCGTATTGTTCAAGCGGTGGGAACAATCATAGTCTATGATGATAAAAAGCGAGCTCCTGCTGTTGCCGCCCCAGAAAATCGAAATACTAAAAACGAATCGGCTCGAATGTCTTCGACTATCGTTTATCTGTCTTTCCCGAAACCATTTTTGCTCGAGCTTGAGAACCAGTAATAGTCGCTCAAGCCTTCCAGAGCATCGATTCGCTAGTCTTATCGCCTGTCTCGAGGCGGATCCAGCTGTTCGCGACGAGCGCTTGAGTCTCGTTCTTCCTGTTCAAACCCGAGCGAACCTCAATGACTCGCGAGCCGCGAGTCCAAGAGCCGTATCCGCCGTAGCCCGAGTGACTAGATAAAATTGGGAAGACGAAGCAAAGGGGATGCGAGGAATACATGGGCAAGGTCAGTCCATTGAAGAGGGACCACCGTACAGAAGCTGAGGCGAAGGAAGCAGCGGCTTACCGCGCAAAGCAGTGTTGCCAAGGGCGAGTGCTCGATTTGGCGCACCAACTGAGAGACGTCAAGTAAGAATTAGTAACATAAAGCGACTTGATCGAACATAGCGCAGTGGCGTTAACACTCACTCGTTGCCGTGATCGTGGCCTACCACGGTGGCGATGACGCCGTTCTCATGAGCGCCGTTCAAGGTGTAACGAACCGCGTTCCAGAACGTAGCATCGGGGCTGTGCACAGCGGGGTGGTGCTCGCCTTGCGAGTTGACGGTGTCGTCGTTGATGAAGGCGGGTCGGTAGCTCGCGGGGCGGCGGTTGACGTCCGCGTCCTTGAGTTGGTTCATGCGGCTGACGGGGATGTGCACGAACGTCAACGAGGGGGGAAGCGAGCGCAAGTTGTAGGTCGACAGAATGCAATCGGCGGTCGATTTGATCCACTGCAGCGTAAAAATCGAGTCAGCGCTTAGTTTAGCACGATACAATGAAAAGACTCGGCCGGGTCAAATCTTTCCGAGCCGCGCGGGTTGGCTCACCGAAGAGACCTTTGGGTCGACCCAGTCTTCGTATTGGGCAGGGTCGTCAAAGATACCACTCCTCGAGTCGAAGAACCACAGCAAGAGACTAGGCGAGGTCGCTGCGTTGTTCTCAAAGACGGGCAAGACGTAGTTGTAGATGCCGTTCTGGTCGTTCGCAGAATCCGGGTTCGCCTGCGTCATCGACCAACGCCTGTAGTTCGACTTTTCGTGTTGGTACAACTTGGTGTGACTGATGTTGACCGAGTTGTCGTGGTTGCCGTAGATCGCAGCGAAAGGGAGACGCGAGTTGACGGTCGCCTCGAGGCAGCGGTCGTAGGCGAGTGTGGCGTTCTCGGCCAACAAGCCTTCGCCGGTGACTTGGTCACCATTGAACACGACAAGGTGGGGCTTCTCGGCTTGGAGGACTGTGTCCATTACTAAAGTCGAGTTGATGTCCTACAAGAGAAAAAAATAAAAATGCAAAGGCGTTCGTTGAGGTCAGATCCGATAGTTGATCCGAGCCCGTAAGGCACAATCAACTGCGCGCTCTCGCCTCGGATAAATGATCTTCGAACCAACGGGCGAAAAGCCCGAGTGCGACCCCTTTTCTGGTAGTCGCCGGAAAGGCCCGTGCAGGGGCGGCACTCACCTGCTCTATACCCCAAGGTTGCCAGTCTGTACCTTGAGCCTCACCATAGTGAAGATCCGTGAAAACCGTCGTTCGAAATACGCCGTTCACGAACTGCAATCGCTTATCAAAGCGGAGGTCGCACTGCGCCTGGCCGTCGGTGCGACGTTCCGAGGTGGGCAAAGCGGCGGCGAGTGACGAAAGGGCGAGCGCCGAGAGGAAGGTGTAAGGTCCAACCATTCTTGCAACGGGTTTGGGAGCGAGAGAGGGAGGAAGGTTGGTGAGGAAGAAAAGGAGATGGTGACTCACTCTGACTTAGGTGGCAAGTTGTTCGACCGCGTGCTGCGCGCGCCGATGACAGCCCGGTGTCGATCACCGAGTCGACAGGTAGAGGTTGCTGAACGTGCACCTGTCACCGCTACTAGGGCCAACATGATTCGCGCCAGGCCCATTCAGCGACCACGGGGTCCGACTCGCCCTGCTAGATCTCGATCACTTCCAAAATTAAAATCAACCGAGACATGTCAGAATTGAACCGGTGCAGCAGAAGTGCAGTAATGAGTTGGCGGGGGATGACCGGCGCGCGCGCTTTCGCGCGGCGATCACGCCGGTCGACTTGAAAAACGTGCGCTTGGGAAGCAGCTCTGCGTCCACGCGCGCCCACCGCAATTGGTCGTGTGATTAGTCATACCCACTTCACGGAGATGCACTATTTTTACGTCGAATCGCAAGGTTTGCCTCAGGAAATACGAAATCTCAGGGCCCCTATCCTCGCAGCACGCGTACCGGATTTTCTCGCGCGGCCTTGCTCGTCCGGCGACTGGCATGGGTAACGCACCTAAGTTACACGAGGAAGGGAGCTGGCCTTTTAAAGTGGGCCAATACAGACTGTACATTACGCTCATTCCTGGCCTCTGCCATCTCGACATGTAGATCTGCAAGGCCGAATGGGGCGAGGACTGACCTGCACGTGGAGTCCGGAAATCGTCGCAAACCGCGGGCGCGGGACGAGATGATCAGAGTCTAAAAATTGACCACCCTGGCAGAAATCGAATGACATACCCATTGAAATTCAGCTTAGAGAGAACAAGCAAACATAGAGATGGTTCGACGCGATCAAAGGTACACCTTCGAGGGCACGTTTGGGTTCGAATCGAGGCACGTCACGTGAGGTCTGTTGAGCAGCTGGCTCACCCTTTTGCGAGACACGTAGCCATACGCGAAATTTCGGCATAGCGGGGGCGGGCTCATCTTTTGATGCTGTGATGGTTTCATCCACGCTTGGTTCACCGAGGCATTGCAGTAGATTGCAAGTCACAAGTCCAACTCGACGCCTACTCTTCGATCTGAACCTTCTCCTTCCTCTTCTTAAACACACCCTCTTCACCACCCATGATCCTTTCCCTCTTCTTTCCTTTACGATCCCTCGCGTCCTTGTTACCAGACCCGTTCGTTCGACTGATGTCCTTTCGCCCGACGGGTGTGAGACGGAGTCGTTTCTTGTCGTCTTGTGAAGGAGCTTTGAGGTCGAGCATGTAGGAGGGGACGGCGCACCCGGAGGAACGCATGACGTTGACGATGCTGAATGAAAGCGTGGACTTGGACAAACATCAGGGGGTTGAATGAAGAAGCCGAGATACGAGAGCTTTGATGGCTTACATCTTCAGGTAGGGAGCGTCCGCTTGAGTGAAGAATGTAATGGCTTTGCCGGGGTTCCCAGCTCGACCCGTTCGCCCTGTCGTGGTGAGAGATGAGATCAATCAGCGCCAGTTCAGATCAAGCTCCTAGGTATAGCAAACTCGCCAATTCTATGGACGTAGCTTCCAGCGCTCTGCGGGAAGTCGTAGTTGATGACCAACTTGACCCCCCTGAAATCAACCCCTCGGCCCAACACATCCGTCGCGATCAAACACCACACCTTGCCCTGCGCGAAAGCCTGCACCGCCGCATCCCGCTCCGCTGCCGTTCGTTCGGCATGGATTGTATCGACGTTGATGCCGTCCAAGACGAGTTCGGTCGCGAGCTCTTTGGCCCTCAGGATCGATTGAACGAAAATCAAGACGGGGGGAGTAAATTGACCTTGGGCGATCAGTGTGCGCAAGCTCAAGAGCTTATGATCCTCTGCACCAACGAAGAGTAGTGTTTGGTCGATTTGGTCGTTCGCAGCATCCTTGTGACCGACGATCGCACGGATCAAAGAAGGTTTCATCACCGTCTTGGCAAGCTCTTCGATGCTTGAGGGAAGCGTCGCGGAGAACATGGCTTTTTGGGTCGTCGAGGTGAGGTGGGAGATGATTTCGTCTGTTTGAGCGAGAAAGTTGAGTTCGAACAACTTGTCCGATTCGTCGAGGATGAGATGACTTGTGCCGACGACCGAGACTTGGGAGGACTTGATGGCGTAGATCAGTCGCAATGGGGTGCTGATGAGGATCTCTGATGAGATGGGGACGGCAGACATGATGAGCACCGACACAAGTCACGAGTTTCTCGTTCTTCAGACTTACCGACTACGCCACCTTCCTCCTCTTGCTTCTCTTCCAGGAGCAGCTCGGCCTCTTCTGCCCCCTCCTCGGTCGTCTTACTGCCCTCCTTGCCTGCCTTCTTTTCTGCTTTGCTGCGCTTCTTGTTCTTCTTTTCTGGCTTCTGCCCAACCCCAACCCCATCCTCACCCAGCACTCGGATCTTCCATCGGCCACCCTGTGACAAGGCTAAGGCTTCTCGTTGCACTTGCATCGCCAATTCTCGTGTCGGTTCAAGGATGATCGCTCGAGGGGCGATGGGTCCTTGCTTGGTGGAGGGATCGTCCGAGGTGGACGGAGGGACGGATAAGAGCAGAGGCACGAGGAAGGAGAGGGTCTTCCCGGACCCTGTTGGTGCACATGCCAAAAGGTCACGGTTCTGGATGGGATCGGTCTCGTCAGCTACCGAGCTCGGTCGCATTGTGTGATTCGGCGGAGTTGCTCACCTCCAACATGATCCCCCAAGCGCTCATCTGGATACCTGTTGGTTCATTGAGGCGCATCTTGGTCGTCCAGTTGCTGTGAAGGAGGGTGGTTTGAGCGTTTTGCGGCAAGTGGCTCCACGAAGGTATCGGGTTGGGGACGTCATCGCCGGTGCACTTGATGCGCTTGGTCCGGAGCAGCGTTGCATAGTCGGCTTTTGTAGGATGGCATGGTCTAGGTCAGCTACTCTGAATTATTTTCGAAAGACTGCATGTGCGTGCCCTGCTTACGCGCTTCTGGTGGCTGCTGCTGCTGCTGCTGGTTGTTGGACTTTGACTTCTTGCGCTTCTTGCTCGCCGTCTCGGTCGATTCTGGTGGTGCAGTCACATTCCCGAAAAAGTCCAACTCGGCAGGAAGAGCAGTTGATGTTGATGCCACTCGGGTCGTCTGAGACTTGGGCTACAGGGGGAAAGAAACAGGATCAGTTCGGCTCGAGTTGGTCCTGGCTCGGCTGCGAAGTGCTGCGGTCAGGGGCACCACCACCTGTGTGAAACGCTTCGGGCTGACCTCGAACGCTTGGATGTCCTGTTTGAAACGTCTGCGGTCGAAGCGAGCTCCTGCCGTCAGTATTTTGAACGCGTCCATGTTGCCAGCTCGACGTGTGTGGGTGGAGGGACAGACAAAGCACACAAGACGAGGCTGCGAAGAGGCCTGACGTCGCCGTTCAGTCCGAGCGGTAGCGAGCGGTCCGAGCGGTAGCGAGCGGTCCGAGCGCGCGCCGAGCCCAATCTCCACTTACGAACCGATTTCTAATCGCGAATTGGAATTGGCGCTTTCGACACCACATCCCCCGCGCATCGCACCACATAATCGAACCGCATCGAATCGCATCCAAGTCAGACGGTCTGTCTTTGCTCGGCGCAAGGGGGAGAGTATGCAAGCCGCATTCTCTACCTCGTCTCTTGCAGTGGAGCAAGAGGCCTCCGACCAAGATGTCGAAGCAAGTCATTCACACAGGCGGTCGTGTGTGCCACGAGCAACTCGCTCACCACGCTCGTCCCGAACAGTGCAGCTAACCAACGGCCTCGGTTCCGTTCCTCTTCACCCGCAGTTCCTCAACCTCAGTCTTCCTCAGCAAGGATTGACCGTTCGCATCTCACCTACCGCTGACTCGGTCGATGCTTCTGTTCCGAGCGCACGAGGGCACAAGGCGAATGTGCTCGCCGTCTCCAACACATTCGGATGGGCCGTCGCCGCGACCGAACCCAGTGGTACATCGACCCTTCTGATTGGATTCTATGATCACAGTGATGCTGACACTCGCCAACATGCTGTTGCTGAACGTAGGCTTTGTGCTCTTCTCGCTGTCGAGCCTGCACCAACTCTTGTCGACCGCGGCCGCCCACTCGACCCCCTCGCTCGAACCTCAACTCGCAGTTCCGACCCCACACCCCGTAGACCACTTGCACTTTGCCCAATCCGACCACTCGCTCATCGTTGCACTCCGAGATGGGCAGGTCCTCGTCTACTCGCTCAAGCAGCTCGTGCAGGGCCAGGTAAGTCACCCGTGATTTGGGCGAGGACCTGCTCCCCAACTCAGGCTCTTGCCACATCGCTGACTCGTAGTCACTCGACGTCCGTCAACAGACCACGCCTCAACACACTCTTCCCTCGGTTGGTGGCTCGTTGCTGTCCATTCACGGCTGCCCGGCCGAGTTTTCGCCGCTCGTGCTGCTTGTCGCTACGACACCGTCCCCACCTCGCATCATCAATCTCACCTCCCCCACCGCATCCCAGACCGCATTCCCTCCCGGCCTCATGGCGACATCCGCGTGCTGGTCCGTCAAGGGCAAGCAAATATCCGTCGGAGACGTCGACGGTCTTGTTGCTCAGTACACCCCCGAGGGCCAACTCAAGGGCTCGATCCCTCGCCCGTCGTCGCTCTCGGCCGAATACCAGGTCCGCGCAGTCGAATGGTTGGAAAACACGGCCTGGCTCATCACGTACGCCCTGCCGACCCCAGAGGGTCAAGAACCGGCTCACGCGGACGAGGTCTTTGTCGTCAACAAAGTCGGCTCGGGCGAGTACGCACACGTCAAATTCTTCGACCCCACACCGGCATTTGGTTTGACCCAGTTTGAAGGGAAGCGATGGACCTTGAGGCTCAAGAGCTGGGCACCGTTCAAGCACTTGCTCTTCCTCGCCAACAAGCCGTCGGCCGACTTGGGCGCGATTGCACAGTTCGAAGAGGATGGGCAATGGAAGGGCCTCGTTCTGCCCGACGCGAGTCGGCCAACGCTGCCCATGGGAGAGAACGGCGACGACGTTGCACCTGTAGGAGTGGCACTGGACCTCACTGGCGAGGCACCGAGCATTCTCGTGCTCACCAGTCGAGGTGTACTTGTATCCTGGAGTGTCGCCAACTCGAACGCGCCTCAGCCGTATCAAGGGCTCGTCAAAGCAAAGGACGTCACGATCGAGTCCGAACCCGTTGCTCAGGATGCCGGAGCCGCCACGTCCTCGGCGCCAGCTGCACCCACTTCCAGTGGTTTTGGAGCTCCCAGCTCTTCTCCTTTTGCTGTGGCTTCAACATCTTCCCCCTCGCCCTTTGGGCCCTCGGCGTTTGGCTCCTCGGCGTTTGGCTCCTCGGCGTTTGGTTCGACCCCCGCCTTTGGTCAGACGCCGGCCCTTGGGACATCCGTCTTTGGCGCCGCGGCATCGGGCTCAAGTACACCTCCAGTAGTGTCGAGTGGTACGACCAACGCGTTTGCCACGTTTGGATCATCCTCGACTAGCGCAACTGGATTCGCTGGATTTGGCTCTGGCGCGAATTCCAGCGGGTTTGGCGCGGCTGCAGCTGCCACGCCGGCGACTTCAAATCGGGGCAGCATCTTCGGATCCGGTGGTGCATTCAAAGCCGCTCCTGCTTTTGGAAAGAGCGAGTCGGCTCCTTCCGGTTCGGCTACTCCGTTTGCTGCAGCAGCGACGACAACCAATGCCTTTGGCTCGTCGACGAGTTCGCCCAATCCCTTTGGTTCCAAGGCCTCGGCAGCTCCAGCAACGAACGCGTTCGGGACCTCGACCTCGACACCTGCCTTTGGAGCCTCGACTGCGGCGCCTGCGTTTGGTGCACCAACGGCCTTCGGCTCCTCGTCGGCGTTCGGTACGGCTACTGCATCCCCTTTTGGCACCGATTCGCCTTCGAACGCGTTCAGTGCGTTCGGCGGCGGGTCTTCGTCGACAAACAACGCCTTTGGCGCAAGTACCAGTGGTGGAAGCAGCGGATTCGGTGCGTTCGCAGCGGCCAAACCAGCAAACGGGGGCTCGATCTTTGGCTCGGGCGGCGCATTGGGTTCTTCGACTTCCTCGACGCCCGGTGGGAGCTCGACGACTATTTCGGCTTTCGGGAACGGAGGTTCGGCTTTTGGGGCTGGAGGATCAGCGCCTGTGTTCGGTACTGGCTCGTTCGGTGGCTCCCCCGCTTTGACAATAGCTGCGTCTACGCCCAAGCCTTCATTCGGCATGCGCAAAGATGCCTTCAACTCGGACGACGAAGACGAGGATGTCGATGGCGTCGACGATTCGGGAGCGAGGGTCGACGAACCGCCGGATCTGGAACCTGAACACACGGGCTTGGATCTGAATGCTAGTTTGAAAACTGCCAAGAGTTCCAGCGAGAGGGTCGCTGAGAAAGCTTCTCAGCGGAGTGCGGGTAGCTTTGGTACGGCTTCGTCGGGTGCGTTTGGGATGGGTAGTTTGGGACTTGGAGGATCGACGACGCCCGCGGCGACGACACCGACAAGCGAAGCGAAGCAACTACCTGTTTCTGGCTCTGCATCGGCTGCATCACCTGGTGCGATCACGTCCCCTACCCTTCCGCCTACTCCAACACCGAAGCCGGCCGAGTCCCCTGCTGCTTCGCCTTCGCCACCTGCAGCTCCTGTATCTTTCAAGAGTGGGTTCGGAGGCTTTGGTTCCGCCTCTTCGTCGACACCCCAGGTTGGGTTTGGATTCGGAGTCGGGCTTTCAGCACCATCGATATTTACATCGACCACGCCGGTCCCTACCACCCCAGCACTACCCAAGGAGGACTCTGACACCCAGTCCACTCCGACCGAGTCCAAGCCTATCTCTACCTTAGCGAAGACATCAGTGTCGACTCCGTCTTCAGCGAAGAGTTTGTTTGGTTTCGCCAGCTCACCGCCGTCGACGCTTTCGTTTGGTAAAAGCTCTGGGGAGACGGAGGGGAATAGTTTGTTGAGTCGATTGGGTCGGATTGAGGGTGATCAGGATGAGGAAGGGGAAGATGAGGAGTACGACGAGGAGGCGTATGATGAAGAGGGGGAGTACGAGGATGAAGAAGAGGATGACAACGAAGGGGAAGGTGAAGATGAGGGAGAGTACGCGGAAGAGGAGGTTGGGGGGGATGAGCAGGAAGAAGATGTTCAAGACGACGACGAGGACGGTGATCAAGAACAGCAAGATGTGGATGCGAGTAGCGATGCTGCCGACGATGAACAGGCCCAGGGCACCTCGCCGCCCTCTCCCGTACCGGCAAAAGAGGACGTCAAGCCTGCAGTGAAGGCTGCGGACGAGCCAAAACCAGAAGCTGCACCAAAAGCTTTCGCCTTCTCGCCAGCGTCGTCTCCGCCTTCATCGACTCCCACTTCGGTCTCTGATCCCAAGGCTTTGCCACTCGCACCCACAGCACCAGCTTCACCGGCGATCTCTGATGCAAGCAGTCAGCAAAAGTCAACTCAACCTACATTCTCCTTCCACGCTCCAGCCCCCGTCCCAGCGTCTAAGCCGTCTGCACCGACTGCGGTTTCGGCTCCGTCTCCACAAGGTACTGCGAAACCTCCTTTGTTCAGCGGCGGTTCATTTTCAGGCTTTGGATCGTCCGTTCCCCGCGTACCATCGCCATTGGGTGCTCCACAAAACTCGGCGCCGTCTGCCGCACCGGCGTTCTCGTTCGCTCAAGCACCAAAACAAACGGCCACTTCTGAGGCGACCAAACCCGCGCTGTCCTTTGATGGGTTTGGTGCTCCGCCAAAACCTACTGCTTCAACGTCGCCATTGCCGTCGCCCTTGCCAACTTCACCAGCGTCAGCCAGTCCTTTCGTTTTTGCTGCCCCTTCAACACCCAAGGCCGAGCCAAAGCCAAACTTCTCGTTCGCGTCGATGGCGCCTAAGGAGACGTCGAAGAACGCGATCTCGTTCGCACCTGCTGCGCCGAAACGAGAAGTGGTCAAAAATTCAACATTCTCGTTCGGCGCTGTATCACCCTCCTCGTCAAGCCCGGATCCTTCCGTTCCGGCAACCCAATTGCAAGCAGCTCAACGTGCCTCGGTTGCGGACCTTGCCCCGCCGCCGAAGCTCGGATCTCAGCTCGTCAAAGCGGCCGAGCCCGTCGTTAAGGAGAAGGGTATGGCAGGTGAACTCGCCAAGGCGTACCTGCGCATGCAGACCGACTTCGAGATCGTGGCTCGCAACACTGTCATTCTAGGTGACTTCGTTAAGGCGATCGGCAAACCTTGTCAGGTCGATGCGTCTTCGAGTGAAGTCGCTGAGGATCTCGATCCCAGGTATTGGAGTCTGGGTGACTTGAGCAAACTTCGACGTGCATTGCTCGATGTGCAGCCCGGGGTAGGCAAGTTGGTCGAGGAAGCGAAGAAGCAGAAGACACAGGTCGCAGAACTGCAAGCGTTGATGCTCAAAGGTGGGTGGTTCAATAGCGTCGCTCGAAGGATGGTCTGGTCGGGGAGCTAATCCGCGCATCACCCTTATGTATGTGCTGCAGCTGAAACGAAGAGCGAGGAAGCTGCGCGCTTTATCCGAGCCAAGGACGATCCCGTCTTTGCCAAGATGGTCCGCGTACGGCAACTTGGGCCGGAGCAATTGGAAAACCAAAAACGGCTCAGGCTTGCCATGACAGTGAGTGTTGGCAGTACATGTTAGCAGTATGGGAGTCGATTACTGACCGTGATCCATTCACAGACGATCAAAGCGACGCTTGAGCAAGTCGAGGACCACGTCTCGGTCCTGCGGGAGAAGATGGTTGAAAGTCGCCTAGGGCGGACCTCCTTCAAGTGAGTTGCTCCCACTTTTCCCTCGTGACTTCTTGAAAGTCGAAGCTTAAAACAATCAATTCATCGTTCCCAGGGCACCTTCACTTGATTCGGTCAATCGTGCCGTTCGCAATATCTCGAGCGCTGTCGCGGAAAAAACCTTCGAACTGGACGAGCTCACGCTGCGCCTCGAGTTGATGAGGGTTCAGCCCGCATCGACGACGACCTTATCTCGGTCAGCGCGGGCTCGGTCGGCTTCCATCACCGAGAACTCTATGAACACCTCGTTCCTCCTGCGGGCAAGTCCGGGTGCGTCGGTGAAAGCACTATCGTCGCCGGGCACGACCCAATTACGACCAGATGTCCTTGCGACGGCCCAAGCCGCCTTGAGAGCCGAGCGCTCCTGCGCGATCCTCAAACGGGCGCTCCTTAACGTGCAAGGTCCCGTGTCCCGACTCAACCAAACCGCCAGCGAGAAAGCGTCTTCGAACGCCCATGAAGATATTGCCGACTTGCAACTTGCGTTCTCTCGAGGTCCCATTACTGGCGACCGACTACCCCGTCCCCGCCGCAAGCCCGAAAGACCGAAGACGCCCCCACCGGCACCCGCGCCTGTAGCCCCGACCATCAAGACAGAGCCACCCAGTTCTGCCTTGGGACTCTCAATGTCTTCCTCTTCACCTTTCAGGAGCGCCGGGTCTCAAAATTTGGCTGCCGTACCACCACCTTTGACGTTCAAGAGTGCCCCCCAATTTTCGTTTGCGACTTCCACTGCGCCGAGGCCTTCGTCGCCGCTGAGTGGGGCGAGTGGTGGCAGTGGCGTCTCGCGAGGATCCAAGATCTCGAGCTCCCGGTCCTCGGCGGTCAAGTTGCGACCCAGCGAGTCCGTGGCCGCTCCTGGATCGGAAGGTGGAGCACCCGTCCCGAAAAGTAGTTTCGACTGGGACTTGCCGGCTGCTGGATCGTCGAATGGGTCTGGCGCGAATGGGCCGAGTGCGTCAGGGGACAGGAAGCCGATTGGATTTGTTCCATTCGCTGCGGCTCTGGTGGCCTCGAAACCCTTCTCAGCTGCGACAACACCGCCTGCACAGGGTGGTACCGGCTTCTCTTTCGCCGCCACGCCTTCGCCGAGCACGGATTTCCCGGCTCTCTCGGGCGCGCCATCGTTCTCGTTTGCGCCTCCTTCCAAGATCACCTCTCCAGCTGCTGGGTCTGCTGCTCCCCCGACTTTCGCCTTCAAGGGGTTCGCTCCTGTTCAGGATCCAAAGGCGTTTGGTAGCGCTGCAGCGTCCTTGCAGCTGCAGCATGGGGATGATGAGGACGACGAGGAATACGATGACGAAGAAGGGGATGAGGATGAGGAGGACTATGAGGACGAACAGGAGGGCGATGGGGAAGAGGACGAGGACGGCGAATGGGATGAAGATGAAGATGACGAGGAAGAAGGTTTGGATACGATCGTTGAAGGCGATGAAGAGTGATAGAGGAAAGGATAATTGGGAACCGCAATGCACTGGGGCTTGTAAGATAGATCCGTCAGCGAAGGTCTTGCAGTTGACGACATGTGCAGTATCTGGCATGCTCGGCGATTATTGTGCGAGATCAAGCAGATAGCAGGCTCGATATTACATGTAGTACAGCCTGGAAGTAAAGCACTGCCTCATGGTACCATTATGCCTTTTTCCCCTTGACTGCAGCTTTCGCAGGTCCCCAATTCGCCTGCGGGTTCATCTGGTATTTGACCAATTTGAGATCCGAGAGCATATGCTTCGCCACGTCCGGATGAGGTGTCAAATCGACGTTGTATCTGTGACGCAATGCCAAAGGTTTGTTTATCATCTCCTGGACACGTGATGCGGTGGTAGGCAACGCACCGTTGTGTCCTGGCCAATAGCGTATTGGCGGGGCTGCCCTCCTTGACGTTCTTCATGTTGACCGGATTCGACTTGATCCATTCTCTTATGACGTCGAAGACAAAGTCCCGGGGGGCCGACGTCTTCATCGAACCGGGGAAAGCGTGCGAGCGAGAGACTTGGTAACCGGCATTGAGCAGCGCCGAACTGTAGAGGCCGATCAGCATAGAGGAAGATGAGCGCGTCACCGTCAATGAAACTGAAGAACTCAAGATTCACGTTTCCGGGAACTCACGCCATCAGATTCATCGGCGGACTCTGGCAATGAAAGAAGCCGCACACTTTTGTGGGTGAAAAGTACAACGGCCCATCGGGGACCTCGGATTTTGCGATGGTCAACATGCCCTGGATGCGAGTAGCCGTGTTGAAATCTGTTGGGTGCGCTTCGAGTTGTCCGAGCATGGCAGTGATGAACGATTGTGAGTGGATCGGCGCAGACCACATTGGGCCGCCGATCTGTTCGTATGAGCAAGTCTAGTCAGCATCGGATCGACACAGGGAGAGTCGGCCGGTCAAAGACGGGACACTCACGCTGAACCTCCCTCCACATTGCCCACAGGTTTCACCGACGCCCGGCGGCGGTCCAGAAGCGGCATGGTAAGTTGTGTTCGTTGCGCCCGATTTCCCTATTTTCTCGGCAGTCCTCCCCATGGGTTGGAAGTGCGGCGTCTGGCAGTGGTGGCAGTAGTAGAGGAGCGACGTTTTTCTGCCAGTAAATTCAGTCAAGTCAGTGGAGGTCACCTTCGGGCCGTCCCATAAAGCAAGTCTTCACTCACGATGGCAGCGCCTTGACCTCCTTGGGTCCTGTGTCAACCCGGATGAAGAGGCGGACGTAAAAGTCGATGCTCAACGAAAGCAAGGGCTCGATGTAACGACCGTAGCGGGCTGCTGTCGTAGCGATCGAGTGCAGGACCAGTCGGAGTGCCTGCTTGGTTTGATAGGGTCAGTCGAGCGTAACACATTTTCTTCGTGGGCGCACAGGAGACGAGCTCACAACTTCGTGAGAGTACTCAGTATTGACGCACACGCCACCATAATGTGTGAAGCTGTGATATGTGGAGCAAGGCGGGGAGGCGCGTGGTCAGAAGGAGAAGTTTGCCTCGAGATCGTCGGTAATGCGGCTAAAAGAACTTGCGCTTTCTCGGGATAGTTGTGTCCCGCGAGCACACCCATATCGGTGCATGTGATGCACAGCAACCCTGAGGTAGAGGATGAATAGGACCGTATTGGTCAAAATCAGCTTGCCTGCGGGTAGAACTTTACAGCTTTCTTCAACTCTTTCCCCCCTCAAAGAACTGACCACCGTCGGCAACGGCTCCGACGGCTGCGTCCAGGAAAGGCACCGCACTGCCGTATGGATCCAAATCGACACAATCAAAGCGTGTGGATTCCGAACGGTGTCTGTACATGAGGTCGCTAGATGGAAGAAAAAAGGTCAGTCCTCCGCATCTCAGTCAGCACCAATCAAATCCGATGAGCAAGGAGACCTCTTACCACGCGTCGTCATGGTTCGCCCTGACCTTGCCTAGCCTTTCCACCTCGTCTTTCGGCTTTCCGGTTGATGGTGTAGCAATTACTTCGGCCGAGGCTGGTTCGGGTTGCGCCGGTTTGAGCCCATTCCATGCAATGTTTCGCTCGATGTCCTCCACAGCCGAAGAAGAGAGGTCGTTTGCAACAACATACTTGAGCAGCGGGATCTCTTTGGCGTAACGGATCGCACGAAGGCCGGTTGCGGACAGGGCCTCAAGCAGGGTGAACTTGAAGGTCGGGTAGTTGGCGATGCGGAATTCTTTGACCGGCTCGTCGGCGATAGACGTCGAAGCCTCGGGCTCCGTAGAAGGGTCGACTGCTTGTGCTTTACCATCTGGCATCTTGCGCTTCTTCCTATCACCTCCCTGGGCAGCTTGGTCTTGCTTGCCGGTTTCTTGGCGCTTGTCGAGCCGGGAGCGATTCTTCTTGGTCCACTTGTTCCTAACGCCGACCTCCCAATACTTTTGCTTCTCGGTTTGTCTCATCTCGGACCAGGTGCGGATCGCGACGACGGAAAGATCGCGGTTGTACTCTTGCACGGGATTGAGGAATACGGGGGCGACGGTCGCGACGGATGCGGCGGTGGAAGAGGGTGAAGTCGAGGCAGCGGCAATTGTGGTCGTCGGCGTGGTCGCGGAAGGAACAGCGAAGAGGATCGAGGTGGTGGATTCTCGGTGCACGACAAATCCGTGGGGAACATCTGGTGTTTGTTCTGTTGGGATCGCAGGTGAGATAATCGGGTCGCTCGGTCCCGGGCCGTCTCGCTCTTCCAAGTGGGGGTGTAAGACTCACGCGTCGCTGAGGCTGGAGGTGCGAGGGCAGGAGAAATGTCGTCTTGTGGATCGTCGGTGGCCTGGTAGACATCCGAGTCCTGGAGGGCAGGCTGATGAGTCGCCATGATGGGATTCGATGGCGATGAATGGCTCGAGATGGGGCGGGTCGTGGTGCCCGTGGTGCTCGTGGTGCTCGTGGTGCTCGTGGTGCTCGTGCTCGTGCGTGCTCCGCGGTCGGGGCTGCGAACGGGCCAAGTCGGCGCGAGGATCGGGTGACACGGGCGTGAATGCAACAACCAGAGTGGATCGATAAGACGGGAAGTCGATGGGCGAACCAACATGCACCAGCTCCGATCGACGGATGGCTGTTGCAGCACTTGCAGGCCGAGAAGCAGAGTGCAGAGGCAACTAACTACCGGGCAGCTAGAGAGGCAGCCAGAGGCAGTTCGCAACAGTTCGCCACAGTTCGCGCTAGTTCGCGTCTGGGGTCCTATCTCGAATAGTCCTCAGCCAGTCTCAGCCAGTCCGATCTACGGCTCTTCCACCATCTCCACCCTTCGCACCATTCTCATCCCGGTCGCATCCAAAGCAGCCCCACATCAAGATGCCCCTCACACTACTACGCTCGTCCCCGCCAGCCCTGACGCGCCAACAGCTCGCGACCTTGTCCGAGTCGACTCCGGCCAGCTTCACCGACATACCCCCTCTGCTCCATCACCACGAGACCCAAGTACGCTACACCCTTGACCCGCCCTTCGAAGAGCTCGAGCGTGAAGGTGTCGCAGATCTCTACATCACCGAAGGGTCCGTTTGCTCTTTCCGTCTTTCGTCTTGGTCTTGACCTCCTCCCCCACCAACTGACCCGCCCGCCGCGCGCTCGCATGCGAACCCGTCTGCACGACTTGTACCTTGCACAGAGCCGTGTCCTTCTTTTCGACGGCATCCTCAACCGGACTCTTGATCCCCTACCCGCACTTGACCCTGCACGCCATCTCACGCGAGCCTCCGAGATCTTCGACCGCGAACGCGACCACGAATGGTGCGTCCGCCTCATCTTCGTCCGAGACATCATCATCGACGACGGCATCACCTGCAGGGCCCTGCATCTACTGCCAAGTCGACGCGGAGGTCATCGAATCCGACACGGATGAACTTGAAGGGCAGACGTACGAGCTCATCCTCTTCCCGAGCGACACTTCGACTGGTAAGTCCCGTCTTGTCGGCCCCGTCGGGAAGAATGAGCCACGAGTTCTCCCCTGAGGCTCATCTTCAAGACAATCCATCTTCCCAGTGGACAAGATATTCGAAACGCTTTCGGACTGCGCCGCGCTGCATCCCCCACCTGGCGCCTCGGACCCATCCTCGCTTTTCGGAGGTCTTGACCCGGACTCGATGGTCTATGCCGACGAGCAGGGCAACGTCGCTGGACCTGGACTCGATTCGGTCGAAACACACGGCAGTGGGGATGCGGTGGAAGATGCCCCCGATTCCCCCGATATTGCTCTTGAGAGTAGCGCCGGTCGCGTCAGGAGTGACTTTACTCATCCCGAAACGAGAAAGGGGCCTTACTGAACGTGATCGATACGGCCTATCTATGTAAATCTGCTCTGTTTCATCGAGCGAACAAGCTCTAAGACTGTATGACTCCACAGCCATCGACCCATGTATTCTGCTTCTGAGGTTCCCGAGGGCCCCTGTCCGGAAGAATGTCGTTGGGGAAAGCCTGGCCTAAGGTAGGGAGACTGTCGCCTGTGTGTTTGTAATCTGGAGTCGCCGTCCGAATCAGGTGGAAAAGAGGAATCAACGGGGAGGTGTACCATCGTGGTCCAAGCAAATACCCGCAAGCCGAAAAATCAGGGGCTGCTACAGCAGAAGCAAAAGTGCCCGGATATTCTACGGAGCAGCGAGCGACGCTTGAACGCCGAAATTTCTTATATGTGCACAAAACTTCGAAGAAGTGTATGCAAGGATGGACCATTTTTACGATGCTGCACGGTAGGTAAAGGTGGGGACGTGGTGGGTGCAGCACATGCAGTGACGCATCCCCGAAAAGCACACAGGTCGATCCCCATTCCCCAACCGGCGGCCTCCGGAGGCCCCCGTCGGGCGATCGCCGCCGTCGGTGCTGCCCGTCGCCGAAGCCGGCTCATTTTCTCGATCACTTTGACAAGCTGGCGCGTGTTTCCTCACCAGTAGTGACCGCAGAAAAAGAAGGGATTCGGCTAAGACGGAGTTCCGAGCCCGTGAAATTTCGAGGCCCAGCCCTGTGCGACCATCTTCGAGCGTGACATCTCGTGGTGGTTTCATTTGCGCGAGAGACAGCACTTCGCTCCCCGTTGACTTCGCACAGGATTTACCCCCCACCCTACCCGTCGTACCGAACTTGTTCTCCGATCGCACTCATCCCGGCACACAAGACCACTGCTTCACCTGTACTCTCGCTGCTCGACGCCTTATACCTCTAAGACTTCTCTGTGTAGTGATAATGGACGTTCTCTCCGCCAAGCTCGCGGCTGCTTCCCCGCGCTTTCGCGCGACGCTGGCCTCTCTCGAGAACTTTGGCACGCCACCACAACCGGATGGCATCATCTTTCCCCAGTTGTGTAAGTGACCTCTGTGGATGTTGTGGCATATGACATTCTAAGTTAGTATTGACGATGTTTCTATTTGCTTAACTCCTTTGCTTGCCTCGCAACCTTGGCTCGAACTTACGCCACTTGCTGCATAACCGGCCGTCGCCCTACCAACCTCGCGCATCCCCCCGGCTCCGTCCCCGTGCCTGCGACCGCTTTTGACCCCTGACTTGCGATGGATCCTCGAATTCGATGCAACCCTACGATCTGACATTCACGCCAACAGACTCTTTTTTCTTGCATCCCTGGACTCCAATCGTCTTTGCGGTCGTTTACTTCTTCACGACGAAATATTTGTCCGCCAACTCGGACGGCAAGAACAGGATCACGGGCAAGAGGTGGAAGGTCGCCGTCGTGATGCACAACTTGTTTCTGGCAGTCTACTCGGCATGGACGTAAGTCTGAGATCTGACACGTGAAAGGAAAGGCGTTGCTGCTCCGGTGCCACAGCAGAGTACCATGACTAGCGCACTCGCTGAGCCGCTCCCTACCCTCCGCACATGCCTCCAGCTTCGTCTCGGCTGCGCCGTTGATTTTCTCGGCATTCGCTCGATCTTACGTCGCTGATGGTCTGACGGGTTTGACCCACACCTTCTGCGACTCGTCGCTCGCGTTCTGGAGCAATAACACGTTCTCGCGCGTCGCCTACCTGTTCTATTTGTCAAAATTCTACGAAGTCGTTGACACGGCCATCATTCTGGCCAAGGGTTAGTCCTCCAGCGAGCTTGAGCACTCAAAACCCGATGTGCTGAGTCACACTCGCGAGTTTGCACTGACGTTCCGTATCCCGTTTCCAGGCAAGCGAGTTGGCATGCTACAATCGTACCACCACGCCGGCGCGGTGATCAGCATGGGCTTCGCCTTCCGAAGCATGTCGATGCCGGCGTGGATTTTCGTCGTCTTCAACTCGGCGATCCACAGCTTCATGTACCTCTACTACGTCGCATCGGCCTGTCGTCTCCCCTTCCCCATCTTCCTCAAGAAGAACTTGACGAGGCTTCAGATTACTCAGTTCCTCGTCGGTGGCTCGTTGGCCGTGTCGTACCTCTTCATCGCTCTCCCGAACACGCGCCCCGCTCACCTGCAGGAGGCGCTGGCGCCCTTGTTCTGCGACATGAGCCACGCGTTGGGCTCATCCACGCTCAACGTGACGAGCTTGGAATTTGCGGCGAGGGAACAACTAGTGGAAGCCAGGGTTGGTGGTAGTTGTTTGGTGACGCCGAACCAGAGGCTTGCAGTCTGGATCAACGTCCTGTACTTGATTCCTCTGAGTGAGTCATCCCTAGTTTAGGTGGCGTGTTCAGATGTGCATCAACCAGAAGAGTAAACCCTAACCCGTTTTGCTGTCCCTCTGTAACAGCTTACCTCTTCCTCTCTTTTTTCATCAACTCTTACCGCAAGTCCGCGGTTGGCCAAGGAAACCTCAAGTCGTCTCCGACGGAAACGAAGTCGGTCAAGGCGGAATGAAGTCCCGGAGACTCGGACTGATAACGACCTGAACGATTCGTGTTGACTCGCGCATATACGGAACAACATTATATTACCCCACCACCATCAGTTTGCCCGTGGAAGCTCCCGTCTCAGCCCCTTTCGTTGTTTCTGCGCCTAGACTCTCCCCCGGGAACCACAGGCCTTCAGCGCGCAGTTGTTCGGTCCTGCCTCACCTGTATTTGAAAGGTAGAGCCTTGGACGATTCTAAAGGATATCATGTTTGTTTTGGTAATAAAGTAGTCTTCTCCCAAGAAGTATCTGTAATCATGGCGTTCGGGTTGCCCGGCACTACTGTGCTGCTAGATCCAGGCTGCTGGGCTGCGTTGGGCCCCACATGGTAATGCCCCCCCGGTCATGAGCCGAAAAGACAAGAAGACGTGAGGGAGCAGTCTGGAGCAGTCCGGAGCACTCGGATCGCCAGACGAGCTCGCGCTGGGAACTTGCAAGATCGTTCAGCGCCCGGTTGCCTCCGTCCTGCTCGCATGCTAGCTATATTTCTCGACAACCTGAGATGTCGACCGAGCAACTACCCACTCCCAAGACGTTTCATATTGGCGGCATTGCGGCCCACGTCTACGGCCTGTCCTCTCCCCTGCTTCGCAACACCTCGTCCGGCGTTCCTGACACCGCTGAGGGTGTGACGGTGCTGTTTTTCCTTCATGGTCGGTTTGGACATTCGCTCGAACCACGCTACGTCAAGCCCATACAGTCGTTTCTCGAGGCTGCTGAGCGAGCGGGGAAGAAGCTCGTCGTCATCGCCTTCGACCAACGGAACCATGGGCAGAGGACCGTTGACAAGGATCGGAACAAGGGATGGAAGGACGATGGAACGAAGGTTGGAGAATCGAACAACGAAAGCCATGCGGGGGACATGATCGCGATTCAGCGTCAGTTCACCTCCTTGGGCCTGGCTCCGGAGCTGCCCCGGATCAAAAGCTTTCGGTCCGGGACCTTTGCTGCCGTGCCCAATGCTCACTGACCTCATGCGGACCAACGGTGTCGTTCATCAACCCGGCTTCCAGTGGGAACTGCTCGAGATGTTTCCTTTTTGATCGACTTCGCTGAGATCTCGGTCTGGCCTCGAGGGGAGCAACGAGTGGCCCAATGGTGGTGCGCTGGCGTTTCTCTTGGAGGCCACTCAACTTGGCTTGCTTTGGCGCATGGTAAGTCGACGAAAGGCTGGCTTACTTATCTGCCGAGCTGACTGTGAAATCAATGCACGTTCGTGCACCTGACAGAGCCTCGCATCACTCTCGGCATCCCAATCGTGGGCTCCCCCGACATGCTGACGCTTTTGACGGCTCGAGCTCGGTCACTCGACCTGGCTATTGAGGCTCCGCATTTCCCCAGCCGACTCCTTGAGCTTTGGCAACGATTGGATCCTATCCATGCCCCTCCCAAAGCTTACGAAGGCAAAAGAATACTCATCTTGAGCGGAGCTGAGGACGAATTGGTCAACTTTGTGAAGGGAGGGACCGACGACTTTGTTAGCTCAAAACTGAACAAGGCCGTGGGGAAAAACGGCTGCGTGCAAGTATGGGTGCAGGAGAAGACTGGGCACACCTACTCTCAAGAGATGATCGAGAGGACGTGCCGGTTTTTGGTAGAGACAGGCTGGGACTTGTCCGCAGCAGCGCAGGGGCAAAGTCTGACTTGAACGAAGCTCGCGGTGGCACTGCACCGCACCCAATACTACTTAGGAGTTGCATAGCATGCCGCCTGAAACTTAGCATTCCAGAGAGTGCAAATACTTCATTGTGTCCATTGTATAACCGCAAGAACGAAACTCACTTCTTGGGTCATGCGTAATACTTGAAAACAAGACGGACCACGGCCCGAGAATCATCATCATTATTGGAATATATGTACCACCAGAAACACAGATGGACGCTGTCTCACTTAGGTTCCAACTTACTCATGAGTCGGCGGTCTTCAAAGTGGAACTGCTGCTCGAACTTATTATATAAGTGCATGTGACTACACGCACTTTTACCGCCCCGGAGCACTGTTAATACCTCAGTCAAGCTTCTCCAGCTACTTCGGTATAGGTGCTCGATCTAAACTTCTAAAATTGTTAACCTGGCTTCCTCACACCTATATTACGTTACGTCGTGTCGCGGCGTTTTTCATGCCGATGGTGTTTTGCTGAACCTCGGCTGCATAAATCCGATGACACTGAGTCTTGGGAAATTCGACTCGAACGCCCAATTCTACTACAATACGCTTGAGTACCAATTGAGGTCTCGACAACCTTCTCTGAAATACCTGACTTTTTACGATTTTTTGGGGGAGATTCTTGAAAGTGGGGAGTTCGGCTGCCAAAAGGGTTCTTAATAGCGGCGGATCCCGATCAGCCTAAAAAACACTGCTGAGTAAAGTCTCAAAAGTGCAATTCCGATGCATCTCATCCGGATTGCCCAAGTGATTCCTAAGCCTTAATACAATTGGAATGTTATTGAATCATATCAGATAAAAATAAAAATAAACAAAACAACAAAATTCCCAGCCGAACACAGGCTTTAAATTTGAAAGCTGAGAACCCCTTGCATGCGCTGAGTCTGGATCGCCGGCCGCGCCTGTGAACTCGCGATTGCCGAATTTCCCTCGCAAAGGCGCGGTAGGGCGCGGAGGGGCGCGGTTGATCGGTTGATCGTGACGACGTTCACTTTCACGGTGGGTCGCGGCGATTTCCCCTCTCTGCTCCTCCACCGCATCTGTTGTCGTCCACGCACACATTAAAATGCTCTCCATCCGCTCCTCCGTAGCCGTGAGTTGTGCAACTTGTTCGACCAGGCATGTACCACCGCTGACGCTCGCTCGCCCCCCTCCCCCTCGTCCTCGCCTCGCCGTTGTCCTCCCCTCACGCCTCGGCCTCTGCGTTATCCGCGCTGCCCGTTTCGGCTGATACCGCGCCTGCGAACCGGCCCGCCGACGGCACGTCCAACATCCACAGCGCCAATTCGCCAACGCCGCCAAGGCCCACGGCGTTCGATATGCTTCTACCAAGGTGAGAGACTACGACTCGCTTCAGCGGAGACAGTTCCCGACCCTCCTTGCGCGACCATGCCGGCCAGCGGTAGCGCACACGCGCCCGATTTGACTGTTTTCTCTCTCGACGGCAACCAATTGGGCAGGTCAGGCCAATGTACCGTCCAGCTCAGTCCACCTACGCCGAATACCCGGTCGCCCCACGACAACGAGCTAGTGTCGTCGGTCGCAGAAGTAACAGCGCTGGCGGCTGGCTTCAGTCTGCCGCCCCGTCCACTGCCTCTGTGGACCGGGCCCCAGTGCAACGCGCAGCCGGTGGGCGCTTGCGGAGCATGCCGTGCCTCCCCTGGCTTGTCTCGACCACGGCCCCTGCAACACAAACGGACCCGCGCAGTTGCCAAATTGTTGATCGAGCTCGCCACATCCCGGAAACGGGATAACTATGTCTCGACTAACCATGGCTTGGGGAAGAAATGGCCCGCATGCGGGGAACTTCGCTTGACCCCACGCGGACCGCATTCCTGCTCTCGGAGGGGCCGCAATAGATCGTCTATCGTTGGCTTATTCTGATGTGTTCACTTTGGGAATATGCCTCGGTGATGCTGTGTGTTGTGCCGTCGCTCACTCAACCCTCCTCCGCTGGCGCCTCCCCTTCCCACAGACTGTCCAAGACACGCTTGCCGAGATCATTCCCGAACGACAGGCGATTGCCAAGGAGCTGCGTCAGTCTTGCGCTGCTCGATCATCTTTGGCGGAAGATACGCAACGCAGTGCTGACTTCTTCTGAGGTCCAAACACATTCTTCATTGTGACACGAACAGGCTCGCAACACGGTGACAAGGTCCTTGGCAACGTGACCGTCGAGCAAGTTTTCGGCGGTATGCGTGGTATCAAGGCCATGGTCTGGGAGCCCTCCGTTCTTGATTCGGAGGAAGGCATTCGCTTCTGGGGTCGCACGATCCCCGAATGCCAGCAGGTGCTTCCTACCGCTCCGGGCGGCAAGGAGATGCTCCCCGAGGCCATGTTTTGGTACCTTCTCACCGGCAAGGTTCCTTCTGCCGAAGAAGCCAAGGCTTTCCAGGAAGAGCTCGTTAGCCGCTCCACTCTCCCTGAATTCGTGGAGAAGGCGCTTGATGCTCTGCGTGAGTTGCATTGGGGCGCTGCAAGTGACCGTAGCCGTCCGACGGATCAGCTCATCCTCCGCCGCCTTTCGCCTTGAATGTCCCTACCGCAGCGACATCTTTGCACCCGATGACCCAGTTCATCATCGGTGTTGCGGCCCTCAAGTGAGCTCCACACCACGCGCATTGGCCAGATACAGCAGAGCACTGGAAGCTCACGCACGCGATCGCTTCACAGCCACGATTCTCAATTCGCTGCCCAGTACAAGAAGGGAATGAAGAAAGCTGACTACTGGAGGCCCGCCCTCGAGGATTCGCTTGACTGTGTGGCCAAATCCTTCACGATTGCGGCTCGCATCTACCGAAACACGTACCTCGGCGGTGTCAAGGACATGCCCGCCTTGCAGATGGACAAGGATCTCTCGTGGAACTTTGCCAACCAGATTGGCTTCGGAGGCTCCGAAGGCTTTGTCGAGGTCATCCGTCTCTACAACGCTCTTCACAGTTCGTCGCGCCCGGCTCGTCCTCGTCGGACCTTGTATTCGTTTTGAGCTGATCCACCCGTGTTTGCCTGCTTGAATGGTACAGCCGATCACGAGGGGGGCAACGTCTCCGCCCATACGACCCACTTGGTCGGATCCGCTCTTTCGGACCCCTTCCTCGCCTATTCGGCCGCCCTTGGCGGTCTCGCTGGTCCTCTCCACGGCCTTGCCAACCAAGAGGTGCTCCGTTTCGTCCTCGCTGCTCAGAAGAAGCTCGGTGATTTTCCCAGCGACGAGAAGCTCAAGGAGTTCATTTGGGACACTTTGAAGTCGGGCCAGGTCATCCCCGGTTACGGTCACGCCGTTTTGCGCAAGCCCGACCCCCGTTTCATGGCTTTGCAGCAATTCGGTGAATCGCGACCCGAGGTCGCTAAAGACCCCGTCTTCGGTTACGTCAACCAGCTTTACAAGATTGCCCCTGGTGTCTTGACGGAGCACGGCAAGACGAAGGTTTGTCTTGGGACGAGCCCTTTTATTTCCAACTCGGTGGCAGACTGGACAGCGAGCGGAGCTGACCGAGTCTACGCTTGTCGTTTTTTCATAACAGAACCCCTTCCCCAACGTTGATTCTGCTTCGGGATCGCTCTTGTACCACTACGGTCTCAAGCAGTTCGATTGTAAGCAGTCGGGCCATCCTCGTCGAGGCAAAGACAGTTTAGATCTATCTCCTAATCCATTTGTCCTTCCCGCCATGCAGTCTACACTGTCACATTCGGCACCAGTCGATCGATGGGTGCTTTGTCTCAGCTCGTTTGGGACCGTGCTCTCGGCTTGCCGCTCGAGCGCCCCAAGTCGCTCTCAATGGCTGCTATCGCCAAACGTGCGTTTCCGTCTCTGCGTCTACCTCCCTGATGCCATGCAAGACTTGATAGAGCTAATGCGCCACTGGCTTGCTTCCTTTGCGGCATACAGTCATCAAGGCTGATATTCCCGGACTCAAGCAATAGATTTGATGCGACGCTGAGTGATCCCGCAAGACGGAGAGGATCGTTAATTCGTATGCAATTCTTGTGTAGCTTGTCGCCCCCCTCAGGAAGCTTCCAAAATAATGGTCCTGCCTTCATTCATCTCCTGTTCTTTCCTTTTGGGGCCCGTGGTGAATGATGGCGAGCTGCTGCGACTATATGACTGGGAAACCGGCGAGTGAACTTCGGCCAATCTTATGGTCAAAAAGGACCTAGATACTACGAATGAATAGTCGATGCGAGGGAGGAAAGCCTTTAAGCGCGCACGAAGCTCCTTCCACTGCAGTTTGGAGGATGTTTTAGACGTCGCAGGCGGGTCAGTGTATGGAAAGACAAGGGAGCAGAACATCACGACCAGTCATCACGGACCTTGCGGTCTTGCGCTCCTTTTCAACACCGGTCGCAGCCTGATCCGGTTTAGCCCTGTTCAAGACCTTCAGAAATTCGGCACCGCGCAGGCGCATTCGTGAGTGCATGTAGGCTTTTGAGCACTTGATGTGGTAGTGAAGATAGTCGCGGAACAGTTGAATTTGAGTAATCGAGGCCGAGGCGATCAATGGGCTTGAGAAGTGTCGCGGGAAGAGGACTGTCGTAAGATCCGAACAAAATTCGATGAGTCTTGCCCGCGTAAACGAGGTGTCGCGGCGACGTTACAGTGCGCAGTCACACAATGCATCCGGCTCACCAAAAGTGACGTAACCAACGTTCTCGCCGTCGGCTAGGCCTGGTAGATGGCGAATCTCCAGCGGCGGTTCGCGGTTCGAGTAGAGCACCTGGGGCGCCGTCTGACAGCTTGGTCGACGTCGCGCGTCGACAAACTCTTGCAAGAAGACTTTGCCAAAAATGCGGTCGGTTTCTTCTTTGAAAATGGTCGAGAAGATGACGGTGACACGATCGATCGAAGGCTGAATGTAGATGGCTTCTTCAGGCCTGCGGACGAGCAAGCGGGGTGGGGCATGGATCAGTCACAAACGAAAGTGTCGGCGCTCAGTGATGTAGCGATCAAGTGCCATCGGCCGACGGCCACTGCGGGGTGGCTCTATCCAGAAATATAGGCTGTGTCGACCACTAACCGGTAATGGACGGCCATGACGGGTTCCTTGGTCGGTGGCGCGTCGGCAGTGGGGGGGTTGGCGTCAAGCTGCTTCTGCAAAGTGAACGCGCGCTCGAACGGGGCGGCCAAGGCATTGCGTTTTAACAGTGAGAACGATTTGATCAACTCGACACGGGCCTCTGAGTAGCGCGGGAACCGTCGTTGCAACGATGGTAGGGGGCAAGGTTAGCGCACATACGGGCAGGCCAGAGCTGCTCGAGGGACGTCTGGTCCGGGGCGACTGACCCTGATCGAGTGGTAGGTTGTCGACGTCAATGAGCAAAGACAGGGCGTACTCGTGCTCGGTCTGGGTGATGTAGGCGCCGTACTCGCGTTGGATCAAATCGTCGGCGCCATGCTGGACCAGTTCAGCCCAGCACGGGATGTCCATAGACAGCAGCAGCTGGGTCTTTTTGACCGGCGTCGACAGATGGTATCGCACCGAGTCAAAGTCAACAAAGGCCTGATCGAGGGCCGAAGGTCTGTGGAGCCAACGAGAACGGGGATCAGAGTCTCGGCCTAGGGCAAGGCAGCCTGCACACCGGGTTCGGCGCTCGGGGCCAATGTGCCGGATCGTCTCGTTCTCTCACTTGTTGAACTTTTCGGTCAAGAGATCCGCGATAATGCGGTTTGCAGGTTCAAGCAAAAGCATGGTAGACTTTCGACGCGACTGGTGAGGTGGTGGCGGTCGCGGTGGGGGCACTCGGACCGTTGACGGGGATGGCGGTGACGAGGACGATGACGATCACTGAGGTGGGGTTTGTTCCAAGCGGGAACCGTGCAGACGGTGCAGTGCGGTGCTCTAGGTTATGATGCGATGCGATGGTTTCGACTGGCAGGCTTTGAGTTTGGCCGCAATGACGTGTACGAGATGCGGGAAGTGAGGTTTGGGTGAAGTCCTGGTGTAGTGAGTGACGTTACGAAGGGAGGACTTTTGAGCCACTAACCAGGCGAGACAAAGACCTGAGCCTTCCTTATAGCGCCTCCTTATCATCATTAGCCTTGGTGGAAACGGGTGCAAATAAAGAATGGAAGCCGCGTGGAAGCCGCCTTTAGCAGCTTCTAGGCGAGCGCTCCCACTGCGCTCCCTTGGCCTCTGGTCTCTCCACTCCATCATTGCCCAACCAGCCTTGTGGTCGCCCGCTTCTCCATCTCGCCACTCACGACAAGTGCCACTGCACTTCATCTCGACGCCTATTCAGCTGCTCCTGCTAGCTCCTGCTAGGAGTTGGGCCCTGGCCACTGCCACCGCGCCGATCAGGGTTGATCGCCGACTGCGCGTACTTTCACTCGGTCAGTCGATGCCACAATTACTTCACCGTCCCAGCACTTGGGAGGGAACGTCTGGGATGTAGCGTCCCACACGTGAGGCTGCTACAGTGCGAGGGTTGCCACGTCCCTCCATACCTTCGCCGTCCCATCGCTACCGGTCGCGATACTCGCTCGTGTCCACCAAGTTCATCGAGTGCTTCCTCATTCCGATTCATCGTTCGAGCAGCGACGCTGCTTTCGGAGCTGCTCAGTGCCCAGACTGGCACACGAGACAAAGCTGACCAGATCTTGGTGCCTCTCTCGGACATTTGAATACGCAGCCACCGGCGGCGTCTTGCGATGGGGGCCGTACTCGGACTGCCCTTGCTGGGCTCGCTCGCGGGACTCGGCGCATCCGCGGCCTCCGCGATCATTGGAGGATTGGCTTTCTTTTGTACAGGTCAAGCGGTAAGGGTCGCAGCACCATAATCACCACTCACGCTTCTAGTGGATGCTCATCATATCCTCGCACTCACATCCGTGCGGTGCCGCTGCACAGGCCTCGGCATTGACCAAGTCGTGCAACTGCAATTCTTCCGTCGCGACGCGAGTCGGATTCTCCATCATCTTTCTCCTCAATTCGCTGCTTGCATGGTTGATGCTGTCGGACTGGGCCATAAGAGCGATTGCCAAATGGAGTTACGATTACATCAAGATGAGCTGTGCCGAAGGACGCTGCTATGGTGTGCTTGCTGTCAGTTCAAGCCTCCTCTTGTTGTAGTCCTGCTTTCTCTGTGCTAGCTGACAAGGGTCTCCTTCCAGGTCCACCGCATCAATTTTGCCTTGGCGTTGTTCCATACAATCCTTGCGCTGCTTCTGATTGGGGTTCATGACACGCGCACTCGCCGTGCGTCGATTCAAAACGGGTGAGTACGGATGGCCCGTCAAAGGTCAAGAAGTTCTTGAACTCAGTCTTATATCTTGCAGCTGGTGGGGCCCTAAAGTTGCGGCTTGGATCGTCCTCGTCGTTATTTCCTTCTTCATCCCGAACGGCTTCTTCATGTTCTATGGCGATTGTCAGTCATTCCCAGGCCCAGTGTGCACTGGCCGCGTGATTCAAGAGATGTGCTAATGATGTGGCACACTCAGACATTTCTCTTGTTGGCGCTACCGTTTTCATTCTCATTGGTCTTGTGCTTTTGGTCGACTTTGCGCACTCCTGGTCCGAAACCTGCCTCGAGCGATGGGAATCAACGGACTCGCCTTTTTGGAAATGGACGCTCATCGCATCAACCTTGGGTCTCTACGTCGTCGCGCTGGTCCTGACGATCATCCAATACGCCTTCTTCGCGGGCCAAGGATGTGGTCTCAACCAATTCCTGATCACGCTCAATCTGTTGGTCTCGTTGGCCGTATCAGGGCTAAGCATCGCACCCGCCATTCAAGAAGCGAATCCGAGATCGGGATTGGCTCAATCAGGCATGGTCGTAGCGTACACGGCCTACCTGGTCACCTCGGCGATTGCAAACCACGACGATGATTCAACCGAAGGACAGTGCAATCCGCTGACATCCAGAGCCGCCGGCGCTCGGACAGGGATGGTGGTCCTTGGTGCAATCTTCACCTTTCTTGCTATTGCCTATTCCACAAGTCGTGCCGCGACCCAATCAAAGGCGCTTGTTGGGAAAGGGGCCAAGAGGAATGTTTCGGAGGGTAGCTATGGCGCTCTAAGTTCGGAGGACGGGGAGTTGGCGACTGTGGTCTCAAACCAACCGAACAGGAAGGAGTCGCTGAGATACCAAGCACTTCAAGCTGCTGTGGCTGAAGGGTAAGTCACTGCACATAATTTTTCGCGCAACGGCAGGGGTTGATCTGCATCCACACATTGTTTCAAAGGTCCCTCCCTGCATCCGTGCTAGAAGAGGATGATGAAGATGAGGATGCCCTGGCCACAGACGAACTTGATGATGAGAAGGCGGGCACAAGATACAACTATGTGTGGTTCCATGTCATCTTCATCATGGCCACCATGTATGTTGCTATGCTCTTGACAAATTGGTAAGTTGGAACGGGAGGCAGGTGATTTCGCATGCAAAATCTAACGCTTTCTGGCTGCTCCGATGTTGGTCCGCTCTAGGAACGTCGTCACTGCCGCGTCATTCATCCCAGATCAGGGTGGAGATGCTACCCCCGTGAAGATTGGTCGATCAGGTAGAGCAATGTGGTGTCGGATCGTGTCTTCATGGGTGTGTACCGTGCTGTACGCATGGAGCTTGCTAGCTCCGGTCATGATGCCCGACAGATTTGGAGAATAATTAGGCTGTTTGGCCCTTTGTTCTCTTGTGTGGGCGTATCTTTGACATTGTACCATTGCAGTCTATTTGGTGCGTAGGTCACAAAAAGAGAGAGCATTGCTTTGAGACCTGTAGTCCTCCAGATCAAACCCACACCAGTGAGAGCCTGTTAAAGTAATGGGAGGAAGCTCCGATTGAAATGAAGGGAGCCATTTAAGGCGCAAGTAGCTTTGATCCTTGCATGTTGTTCAGCCCCTAATACCGTTGGCCCGTGTCAGGATCACAGCCTGTACTGCCATCAATACTTGAAGGATTTTTTATTTTTTTTTGTAGAAACCGTTCATCATATTGCCCCCAATTCCTGTTCCCCCTGATTGGCCTACGGAAAAACTAGATGGAAGTCGACGATGATAACACAAACCGCCCGCAAGATGCGAGAAACGGGCCAAGTCCACCAATCCGATACTTCGGATTCAAGTGCCCCAGCCAAGCGGTTGCTCCCCCCCAGGAGACGAATGAGAGAGAGAAGAGAAAGAGAGAAAATGAAAAAGAACTGGCGTACTAACGACAAGAGGCCCACCCCGCACCCACTTCCCAACTCGGTCGAGACAAAGACAGGAGAGCGACTGCGCAGCTACCCTGACCCGCGAAGTCCCCAAGTCTATGCTCGGTCACAACAAGACGCGGTGGAGGCCCCTCAAAACCTCCACCTCAGCAGTCCCTGGCCCCTCAAAGCCGACTTTCTGCCTGTGTCTGCTGATCCCTCCCTTGACTCAGAACCCCGAAGCCAAAGAGCGCGAGCCACCGTCGAGTCAATCCCAAATCGCGAGCCGGTCCATGAGCAACGGAGGCAGACCTGTAATAAAAGAAAGAAAGATGAAGAAAATATATTTAGTATACAGTTTTTGTAAGAGGATGTGTGATGTGTTAAATCGTGTGTCTCGAGAGGGGACTGGATCGGCAACCAGTAAGTGTTGAATTCCATACACTCTTGCTTAGGTTGATCTCCAGCCCGCGCCCAGCCTAGCCAGCCGCGCGCCGCTCGGACCCCTTTTGGACTTAGAGATATTTCGCGCACTCGCACCGCGAGCCTCTTTAGTCTTCCCCCTAACGCTCCAATATACTTCCTACAACTCGTACTGTGTCTCGTGTACTTACTGGTTGCCGATCCAGTCCCCTCTCGAGACATACAATTTAACAGGTTATGAGCCCGAGCTAAAGCTGCTACAACGATGCCTTCACCACCATCGTCACTTGCCACCATCATGATCGCGTTCGTCATCATCATCGCTCTGTACCACACCGTTGAAACCGCCCTCGCCCATGCGACCGGCCGTTACCGCACCTTGACGCAACTTGACACGTCGCACCTGGACCCGACTGTGAGCATGGCAGTCCGGCCCAGCGTGAACGTCGTCGCACTCCTAGGTCGTCTACCATCGAACCGTGAGCTCCACCTTCCAAATGACACCCTTGTACTCGACTCGGGCGCCTCCCACCACATGGTCAAGGACGCGTCTCTCTTCTGTTAAGTTGGGACCGGGGGGTCGCTGGAGAATCGTGAGGCGGCACGGACCGGATCGTTTCGGGAGGTTGCGAGGCAGGACGACGTAGCAAAGTGCTCCCCGGTCGAGAAGTCGCGAGGCGGTGAAGACGCGGCCTGGAGAGGCAGCCGCGGCGCAGCCGAGCGATCTGTTCTCTAGCGAATCTCAGCAGTCTGAATGATGAGATGAAACGATAGTGTGATTGCAACGGACCTGTTCTCTAGCAAATCTCAGCAGTCTGAATGATGAGATGAAACGATAGAGAAAAGGGAAAGAGGCGCGGGAGCGCGCGAGTCGGGCGAGGTTCTAGCAAGGGAGCGCACAGTGGATCTAAGGCAAACTGGGCGGGCACATTGCGAAGCTTCAAGGACCAGACTCCAAGCGGGCCATCAGGGCGTCGAGAGGTGTCGTGTTGGACGACGGCACGAAGGGAAACTTATCCACAAGGTCAAGTGTTGATGAGCGAGGCAATCCGCGGCGACGAGATCCAGGTTGCAAACGACGGGCGTCAAGCATGGGCGATGCTCTGGATGGCCGATGAATCATGAGAGCGGCGGCGGCGAACTGGAGGTAGCTGGGCGGAAGCATCGACTCGGCAAAGCTGGAGAATGCGGGCTGACTAAGTCCGGGCGTGAGGGCGGCGGCGCGCGAGCGTGAGTTGAGCAGGCAGGTGCGGAGACGAAGGCGAAAGGGCGGCCTTGGGCGCAATGGGCGACCAAGCGGCAGTCAAAGGTACGAGGGCGTTGACAGGGGCACTCGGACGGAGACGAAGAACACGGGCCAGTGAAGGTGCACTGACAAGACAGACAGCGCCATGCGAGGGCGTGCGAAGGCGAAGGCGCGAAGGCAGGGCTGGCGGCGGCTTGCGAAGGTGCAGAGGTGGCGCAGGTGTGTGGTGGCGTGCAGGCAGGGCAGGCGACGACCGGGTGAACAGACCAAGATGTGGGCGAGTTGACAAAGGCGCACAGGGGTCGAGGAACGAGGCTGGGCGCAGGATCATGCGGTGAGGCTCGAGAGACAGGGGGCGCAGTGAGGGCTTGCGAAGGCGAAGGCGCGCGGAGGCGAGGCGCCGAGGCGAAGGCGCGAGGCGAAAGGCGGGCAAGTCCGTCAAACGGCGGTCCGATGTCGAAGTGTTCGAAGGCTTGACAGAATGCAATTCAACATCTTCGACGCCTGGCACACACGGTCACACGTCGCCGTTGATGGCGCTGGCGGGTCACTCATGGCACAAGGCACCGGCTCGATCACGATACGAACGTCGAAACAACGAACGATCAAGCTCTGCAACGTCTACTGCGTCCCCGACCTTCCAGCCATACCTGATCTCGGTCATGCAGCTGCGACGCGAGCGCGTTTACACCCACTTTGGCAAGACCATCGAGCTCCGGTCACAAGGTCAACTCATAGGCGTGGCATCCCTCATTGCGAATCAATTGTCGACACTGGACGCCACCCCAATCCGCAGCACGGTGTCACCGGTCGCAGCCGCCGCCATCCCTCTCCTGACTCTGCACCAACGATTCGGCCACCTGTCCCTCCCCAACCTGCGAAGGGCAGTCTCGTCGGGTCAACTCCAAGGTCAGACATGGACGTACTCGGCGGCCGAATGCAAGGCCTTCTCCTGCGACACCTGCAAAGCCGCCAAAGCAACAAGGACGCCTTTCCCAACGTCGGATTCTCGCGCTTCGCAACCACTCAAACTGGTCCACTCCGACGTCCTCACTCTGCCCGAACCCGCCACCGATGGGGAACGATACGTTGTCACCTTCATCGACGATTTCTCCCGGAAGACGTGGGTCAGCGCGCTGAGGAACAAGAGTCAGGTCTTCGACACCTTCCAGCGTTGGCACACCATGATTGAGCGCTCGACGGGCCTCAAGCTTCGCACGTTACGAACGGACAACGGCGGTGAATACACGTCCAAAGCCTTCATTGAGTACTGCTCTCATCACGGCATCACCAGGCAACTCACGATCCCTTACACCCCGGAGCAAAACGGCCGAGCCGAACGGACAAACCGCACAATCGTCGAGGGGACGATCTCCCTACTCCAGCACTCGGGTCTGCCCATGAGACTCTGGCGCGAGGCCCTCTGGTACGTTGTCGACACCAAAAACCTCAGCCCGCACAGCGCCATCGATCACAAAATCCCGGACACTATCTGGTATGGCAAACCTCCCAGCACGGCAAACCTGAGGGCATTCGGCTGCCGCGCCTGGCACACCACCCCTCGGCACAAGCGGGCAAAACTCGACCCCAAGGCCAAACCATTCATCTTCGTCGGCATCGAAAACAAAACCAAGGCCTGGACGCTGTACGATCCAGAAACAACTTCGTTCTTCCAGAGCCGCGACGTTAGATTTGATGAGAACGTCTTCCCTGCTCGAGATGCCCCGATTGGCCAACCAAAGCCTCACACGACGTCTAATACTGGCGACTGGACCTTCTGACAGGCAACGTCGGAGGGGATGACGATGACTACACGCGAGAGACGAGGGAGAGAGCGAGAGAGCGCGCGAAAGCGCGAAGAAGCGAAAGGGGTGTCGACCGAGGCGGCGGCAGTCGACCGAGAGGCAACCGCGGAGGGTACGCGGTTGCAAGGCTCGCAGCAAGTCCAGTGTACCGGACTATGGTAGCCAACGAGGTCGGAAAGAAGAGGGAGGGCAAACGATCCAAGATATAGCTGACCAGGCCGATGGGAAGGTCGAGTCGGCTGGGCGGCGGCAATCGACCGAGAGCGACCGAGGAGTGGATTCGGTCGGAAGGCTTCGCAGCAAATCAAGTGTAACGGACTTAATTGCCAGCGAAATGGGTAAAAAGAGGGAGGGTACGAGTCATGATAATGAGTGGACCAAGCTCTGGGGGAAGGGTGGCAAAAGCAAAGGGAGGGAAGTGCTCCGAGCGAAGGAAAGACTGAGTCAAATAACTACACCACGAGGTCGCTTCAGGGGTAAAAAGGATTGCCTGCAAGGCACCGGTAAAAACCCCGAAGCCGGGCCTCGGATAACAAAAAGGAAAAGAAACCAAAAGGCCGATCGCGCTCCGGGCGGATCGAACCCTCGACCACTGAGTGCGCGCCCGCGCGCCCTCACGACTACGCCATCGCGCCCACGATGCTTGCAACGAACGAACCAGTAGCTGATGTCGACTCCGGCCGCAAACTTGGGAGACTTCACTTCACTTCACTTCACTTCACTTCACTTCACTATCGCCCTACTGCAGCCTTCGATACTCGAGTTAACAAGTGATACACCGACAAGATGTCTACCGGAGACCCTGGGTCCCCACTGCCGGCACCGCCACCACCGGTATCCGCCACCAGCGTCCAGCCCCCCCGCGACCGGATCCCGATAAGCTCGAAGAAGACGCAAGTCACGGGCCCCGCCACCGCCGCACCCAACTATGCTGCCGCTGCGAGTCAGATGGCGGCTCAAACACCTGAACAACAGCAACAACAACAACAGCGTGCCAAGGCTCTGGGCAGCCTCCTACAAGCCATGGGTGCTGTACCCGGAAACCGCATGGATCGCTGGGTCCAGGCCATCTACTTCGCCGAACTCTACCCCGTCGCCACCGCCACATCGCTGAAATTTTCGGCCTTGAACGCGAACCGGTCCGTCGAGAACATCTTCGATTACGCCCTTGAAGTGACTCTGTCTCACCAGAGCGCCTCGCGAGTGACTCATGCCGACAAGATCGATCTCGTGGCCTGCGTCACGAGGCTGCTATCGCCCATCTCTCCTATCTGCTTTGAGCCTGGAGTTCCTCTGCCGGACCATCTTGCGGCTTATCAACCACAGATCTTAGGCGTACAACATTCATCAATCCTGCGTAATGGGGCGGCTCACCATCGCGTTACGGTTGGGTTCGTCACCGGCGAGGCACGTGACGCGGCGCTCACGACGCCCCCCGCTCTCACTTGGCGATCGGCGAAGGCCCGCTTCGCGAAGTCTCACAGGTTCCACCATAACATGGTCGAGCTTCGAATCAACGTCGGTGTTCAAGGAGTGCCCTCCATGGATGCCATCATCAAATCGTTCCAATCACTTGTGCAAGACCTGTCAGGCAAGGGACATTCATGCCAACTTGTGCAGGTTCTGCGCGTTATCAGCGTGGACAACGCCTCGGCCTTCGCCCACGTTGCCGGAGACTACTCGGCTTTCCTACACTTCGATGACGACTCCCTATTCCAACGCCCCAACACGACCTTGAAGGAGATTCTACCTTCGAGGATCGACCTTCCCACTCGAGGCATCCCGGTTACCGCCCTTCGCCATGACTATGAGAAGGAGGCGGCTTGCGGTAGGTGCCACTTTGTGGGTCACGTGGGAACCTGCGGACTGGATCAGGAGAGGAAGCGGAAGGAGGCTCACAACGGCATCATCAACAGCAACAAAAACACCATCACCCACAACACCAACATCGCGGAGGCCGAGGCCCCCATTCCTGTGCTGGTTGTTAACAGGATCGCATCACAGAATCACTTCGCCGGGCTCGAGGTCGAGGAGGGACAGGAGGAAGAGGTAACTGGCCAGGGCGAACAGGGACCGGAGGAATCGGGGGAGGAAGACGCTGGTGATAAGGCGGATGACGAGGACTCGGAGGACTCGGAGATGGAATCGGAGGCGGCCGCGAAAACGGAGGTCATCAAAATTGAAAGCGAGGACGAGTCGGTCTTGGAGGACTGCAGCGGATCCGATGGAGAGGTGATTGATGAGAATGAGGTGATGGCGGATGAAAGAGGTGAAACGGAAGGAGAGGTGGCTACGGAGATGGAGGAAGAGGAGGTGGCAACGGAGGTGGGCGATGTGGACGAAGCGAGGGGATCGACGAAAGCGGAGAATGCGGAAGCGACGGACTTAGGGGAAACGAACAGGCTGGACAATGACGACGACAGCGACGCCACAGCAACCGCCGCCACCGCTTCCCGCGAATCGACGCCGCATGAACCAACCCCACCTCTGTCACCCGAAACTCTCGCCAAGTCGCTACGCGAGGGGGAGGAGTGGGACAGGATCAGAGCTAACTGGGTTGAGCAGGCACGACTTGAGCGGGACCAAAGCATCGAGAGGAGGCTCAACGCTGAAACCCCCCCTCTGGTGCGTCACAACTTTGCCACGTGGGACGAGGACGGTGAGATACGCTCCATCAACATCAGGGGGACCGCTGCGAAGTTCAAGAAGCAGGTGATGAAGAGGTCGCAGACTGCGGCGGACCTCAGTGACCCAAGTGACGAACCGACCGACGCCAAGCGAGTCATCATCAAAGGGAAGAGCCGCGTCGTGGTGAAGGATGGAATAGAGGGGCGGAGGGTGACGAGGTCGATGTCGGCGGCAGCGGCGATGCAGGTCGAGGTGACGAAGGTGGACAGAGGGAAAGGAAGAGGGGTAGCTGAGGAAAAACGATGGTCCGACCACGAGCCCGAGGACGATGTCCTGCCCGCCCTTCCCCTCTTTGAGGACGTCACCACCGCCAAGAGCGCCTCGACCTCGACTACCCATTAATGATCAAGCACACCATCATCACCTGGAACGTAAGAAGGGGCATGGGGGTCCCGGAAAAACGACGTAATATCTACACCTACCTTTCCACATTCAAAGCTTCCGCGATTCTCTTACAAGAGCATTTCATCAGACCACAATTCTGGCAGCTCATCAAGGACGAGTACGAGGGCAAGCTCTTCATCAACCAGCACTGCCTGACCCTGATCCCGGCCGACTCGCCCCTGATCGACGCCGAGCTCTTGCGCACCCACTCGGCACTCGACGGCCGGCTCCTCGTCACCTCCTTTCGTCTGCGGGGCGACATCAAAATTCTAGAAATCAATAACCTCTACGCGCCCGTTGACCCAAAACAACGAGCAAAATTCTTCGACAAACTGATCCTCCACAAAACACAGAAATCCCACCTCCGACTCCTTGGCGGCGATCTCAACGACTGCCCGCGCCCAGAAGTCGATCGGCGGAACCAAAGTCGGCGCGGCCACCACTGGCCGATTCTGATGGGCAAGCTCGACTCGGCCTACACGGACTGCATCCGCTACAAGCACCCCATCACCCCATCTTTCACTCGACCTAATCCCAATCGCAAGCGACCCAACTCCTTCTCCCGGCTTGACTACTTTCTCCTACAAAGAGCTCACCAAAAAAGGCTCGACCAGGCCTCGACGATCTACGACTATCCCAAGGATCTTTCCGATCACCGACCGGTCTTGATCGTACTAGCTCTCTCAGACGATCTTGATGCGGCTCTCCCACAGCTCAGCCTACCTACCACATCCGACCAACTACATCGAATCAATACCACAACCTTCAAGACGGTGGAATTTCAGCGGATGATGGAAGGATGGTTGGAAGGGGCAAGCGGGGAGGATCCGGTGCGAGAGCTTGAGGAGGTTCTGGAGGCGTGCAGGGACAGGGGTGGGGAGATGGCGAGGAGGCTGCATCGGGAGCGGACGGAACGGATGGAGTATTTGGTGGGGAGGGTGCAGGATCTGGAGGCGTTACCGGTATGGGGGGAGGCGGAAACGGCAGAATGGACAAGGACGTCCGAGGAACTCAAGCGGGCGGTCGAGGAGCGCGCGCGCCTACTCCGGATCCGAGCCCACGTCCCCGAGATCGCTTCCGAGGAACGACTGTCGCGGCCGGTCCACGCCAAGCTCGCGGCGCGGAACTCGGACTCCAAGATCACAGCACTGCGCTTGGGCAACGGAGAGCTAACGCATGACATTGATGTCGCTCTTGACCACACGCAGGCGCATTTCCAGCGCCTCTACCACATCGAGCCTCGTGATCCGGAACGCGTCGACCGACTTCGGGACGAACTCCTCGTGCCGATCAGGGCGGCACGGACTTGCGACGACCCGCGCTCAGATCCGCTCTTTCTGCGCCGACTCTCGGAAGCGCAGATTGATCTCCTCCAGCAACCCATCACCGAGGACGAGGTCGTGGCCGCGATCGGGACGACGCACCCGGGGCGATCGCCGGGCCCGTCGGGCGTGCCTTACGAACTCTATCAGACCGCACCGGAGGCGTGGTCCAAGGTGCTGACCAAGGCCTACAACGCGATGATCGAGCGCGGTTCACTCTCTCCCAAGCAGGGCCAGGGACTCGTGCGCCTCATCTTCAAGCGCCACAAGAAGAATGCCGATCGCGCCGAACTCTCGTCGTATCGCCCCATCACCCTGCGCGAGTGCGATTACAAGATTTTTACCAAGGTCTACGTCGCCCGATTGAACCAAATTCTGCCCGATCTCCTCCCGCCGCAGCAGCACGGCTTCGTCAAGGACCGCCGATCGGCCGACGCTGCACTACACCTTCGTCTCCTGATCGAGGAACTTGGCGCGCGCAGGACCGAGTTCCCCGCGGCCGCGCTCTTGTCTCTTGACCAATCATCCGCCTACGACCTCGTCGAGCATGACTGGATCTTTGCCATCTTCGACGCTCTGGGCGCTCCTACCACCTTTCTTCGCGTGCTGAGGATGCTCTACTCGGGTGACTCGACCTCGGCGCGCTACATCATCAATGGGTTCCTGACGGCGCCGGTGCGACTGACGTGTGGGCTCGGCCAAGGGGACCCGGCGTCATCGTCGGTCTGGGACATCGTGTTTCAGCCGTTCCTGGATGCTCTACACCGTCGAAACATCGCGCTGAATCTCTCCATACCTGCACTTCATCCGTACCCACAGAGCCGCGCCATTACATCACTTGCATTTGCCGATGACGTTGTCGTCGCCGTCGCGGGCTTGGAGTCACTCAACTTGCTCGATGACCTGGCGCTCGACTGGAGGCATGCAACGAATGGCCGGCTCAACACGGACAAGACGGTCGTCCTACCGATTGGACGTCGCTGGGACCCTGGGGAACGGCCAATCGTCGTCAAGGCCGCAGGCGAGTCGCTCGAGTGGATCGGCCTCCCCTTCGACCCCAGCGGCGACACCGAACTCGCCTACGCGAATCTCATCGAACGGCTCGAGGCGACGCTGGAAGCGGTTCAGCATCGCTGGCTCACGCACCACACCCGTGCCTTTTACGTCAATCGGTACGCCATTCCCAAGATCCTGCATTTCCTTGCAGCCGACATCCCGCCGCCCGAAGTCGTCAAGAAGCTCGATGACATGCTCGTCGATTTCGTCCGTGGGGGCAAGGGCAGGACCAGCTACGGCAGAGACATTGTGTTCACCGCCAAGAACAAGGGGGGACTCGGGGTGATAAGGATGCGGGACGTTGTGGACGCGGTTGCGGCACGGCTCTGGGACGTTCTTCTCGGCGGTTCCGGCGCGATTTGGCAAGGACTTGCGCGCGCATCACTCCAGCGAGCTCAGCCCGACCTCGACCTGGCCACCGATCTCTGGCCACATCCATCTACTCCCATCCCCAACGACCTTCATCCCCGATGGCACGCCGCACTGGGCGTTCCGAAACTTCACGACGCGCAGGTCAACCCGAGGGCCTTGACCACCGCGAACTTGCTCGCGCTGCCCACCCTGCTCGGCAGCCTCCACACCCCCATCAGAGGGAGACAGACCATCGACGCGGTTCATGTACCTGACTACCTTCGTCTCCAGGGCTACCCGAAGGTGGCGGATCTCTATCGACGCGAGTTGTATGCGGGTGGGGGGTTTCACCTCTGGACGCCGCCGGCGGATGTGCTCGGCGACAACAGCGAGTACGATCGACGCGGGCTCCCGCAGCGACTGGCAATCGCGGCCTGGTACCGGTTCACTGTCGATCGACACAAGAACACCCCCTTGGCGGCGGCGGTGGCGGCGGGACGACTCAACGTGCCTCCCCGGATCGGCACCAGCGCACCACTCGAGGCGATCATCCCCAAGCCCGTGGCCCGCTTCGCAATGGAGCAGCGCCTTCCGGACCCGGTGCTTCCACAACAGGCGAGCCAGTATACGCTGCTGAACATGGCTCGCCCCTACACAGTCCGTCGCATCCGCCGGGTCCTGAACGCGAAGGCATTTACCAACATGCTCGGGCTCAAGGGACCACCGCAGCCGGACGACCTCAGGAGCTTCTGGAAGGCAGTCAACTCGAAGGCACTGACAGCAAGGGAGAGGGAAGTTTGGTTCAAGCTGATCCTCCGCTTCACCCCGACGTGTCAGGAGCACAGCCTGCACTGCCATCAATACTCGAAGGAAGTCTCCCAAGTTTGCGGCCGGAGTCGACATCAGCTACCGGTTTGTTCGTTGCAAGCATTGTCGGCGCGATGGTGTAGTCGTGAGGGCGCGCGGGCGCGCACTCAGTGGTCGAGGGTTCGATCCGCCCGGAGCGTGATCTGCCTTTTGGTTTCTTTTCCTTTTTGTTATCCGAGGCCCGGCTTCGGGGTTTTTACCGGTGCCTTGCAGGCAATCCTTTTTACCCCTGAAGCGACCTCGTGGTGTAGTTATTTGATTCAGTCTTTCCTTCGCTCGGAGCACTTCCCTCCTTTTGCTTTTGCCACCCTTCCCCTAGAGCTTGGTCCACTCATTATCATGACTCGTACCCTCCCTCTTTTTACCCATTTCGCTGGCAATTAAGTCCGTTACACTTGATTTGCTGCGAAGCCTTCCGACCGAATCCACTCCTCGGTTGCTCTCGGTCGACTGCCGCCGCCCAGCCGACTCGACCTTCCCATCGGCCTGGTCAGCTATTTCTTGGATCGTTTGCCCTTCCTCTTTTGTCCGACCTCGTTGGCCACCATAGTCCGGTACACTGGACTTGCTGCGAGCCTTGCAGCCGCGTATCCTCCGCGGTTGCCTCTCGGTCGACTTCCGCCGCCCAGCCGACTCGACCTTCCCACCGGCCTGGTCAGCTATTTCTTGGATCGTTTGCCCTCCCTCTTCTGTCCGACCTCGTTGGCTACCATAGTTCGGTACACTGGACTTGCTGCGAGCCTTGCAGCCGCGTATCCTCCGCGGTTGCCTCTCGGTCGACTGCCGCCGCCTCGGTCGACACCCCCTTCGCTCCTTCGCGCTTTCGCGCGCTCTCTCGCTCTCTCCCTCGTCTCTCGCGTGTAGTCATCGTCATCCCCTCCGACGTTGCCTGTCACGACGCGCAAGCTCCAGCACGAGCAAAAGCACGACACTTCTCCCGCGTGCCTCGTCTGCGAAGCGCCGGTGGACGACACCGATCACTACTTCTTCGGCTGCTTCGACTCGCGAAACGTCTGGATCGCGGCGAGGGGCGTGCTCTGCGACGCGCTCGGATGCGACACGATCGAGGACGCCGAGTACACGACGCTTCAACGACTCTTTGGCCTCCCCAAGCTCAAGGCCAAGCTCAGCGCACAGGAAGGCGCGGGCAGGACGATCGAGATCTTCACGGGGATGGTTTTGGAGATGATCAGCAGTGGGAGATGGAGGATGCAGAAGCACGGGACGAGGATGGAAAGCGTGGAGAGGAGGAGGGTGGTACTGGAGGAGAGGATGAAGTTGAGGGCGGGAGGAGCAAGAGGCAGGCGAGTGCAGTAGAGGCTAGGTTCGATTTCCCCCCACCCCATCCCACACTCACACACCCCACATCACACATCCTCTTACAAAAACTGTATACTAAATATATTTTCTTCATCTTTCTTTCTTTTATTACAGGTCTGCCTCCGTTGCTCATGGACCGGCTCGCGATTTGGGATTGACTCGACAGTGGCTCGCGCTCTCTGGCTTCGGGGTTCTGAGTGTAAGGGAGGGATCAGCAGACACAGGCAGAAAGTCGGCTTTGAGGGGCCAGGGACTGCTGAGGTGGAGGTTTTGAGGGGCCTCCACCGCGTCTTGTTGTGACCGAGCATAGACTTGGGATTTCGCGGGTCAGGGTAGCTGCGCAGTCGCTCTCCTGTCTTTGTCTCGACCGAGTTGGGAAGTGGGTGCGGGGTGGGCCTCTTGTCGTTAGTACGCCAGTTCTTTTTCATTTTCTCTCTCTCTCCTTCTCTCTCTCATTCGTCTCCTGGGGGGGAGCAACCGCTTGGCTGGGGCACTTGAATCCGAAGTATCGGATTGGTGGACTTGGCCCGTTTCTCGCATCTTGCGGGCGGTTTGTGTTATCATCGTCGACTTTCATCTAGTTTTTCCGTAGGCCAATCAGGGGGAACAGGAATTGGGGGCAATATGATGAACGGTTTCTACAAAAAAAAAAAAAAAAAATCACTTTCACTTTCACTTTCGAAATCGCGCCACCCACCACCTTCGAAGCTACAAGTGATACATCAGCCTACATTAGCATGGAGACCGGCGAGACCGGCCCACCCCCACCATCGGCGTCCGCGGCGACGAGCGTCCCGATTGGGACAAAGGAGACGCAAGTCCCTATCGCCGCCGCGACCTACGCCACCGCCGCGATTCCAAAGACCAAGCAGACCCCCGAGCAGCAGACCCAACAACAACACCGTGCCAAGGCTTTGACCCAAATGTTCGAAGTCATGGGTGCTGTACCGGGCAATCGCACCGACCGGTGGTTGCAAGCCACCTTCGCCACCGACGAGTACCCTGTCGCTACCGCTACATCGCTCAAGTATTCGGCTCTCAACGCCAATCGATCCATTCGAAACATCTTCGACTTTGCTCTCGACGTCACTTTGACCATCCAAGGCGCCTCGAAGGCCTCTCCCGCGGACAAGGCCGATCTGCTCGGTTGCGTCACGAGACTGCTCTCCCCGCAATCACCCCTGTGCTTCGACGCCGAGGTCACCCTTCCCGAGCACCTTGCGGCGTTTGCGCCCCAGATTAGGGGTATCCAACACTCGTCTTTCGTCAGGGCCGGTGTGGTCAACCACCGTATCTCCGTGGGATTCGTTTCGGCGAAGGCACGTGACTCGGCGCTTACGGCCCCACTGGCGCTTACTTGGCACTCTGCAAAGGCTCACTTCGCAAAGGCCCACCACTTCTACCACAACATGGTCGAGCTGCGTATCAACGTCGGTGTCGCAGTGGTCCCATCCAGGGATGCCATTGTTGACTCTTTTAAATCAATTGTCACCAAAATCACAGCCAAGGGACACCGTTGCGAGCTGGTACAAGTCTTGCGCGTGATCCACGTCGATAACGACTCGGCCTATGCGCACTTGGCCGGCGAGTTTTCGGCCTTTATCCGCTTCGACGACGACACCCTTTTCAAAGCCCCTAACAACACGCTGAAGGAGCTCCTACCGTCGAAGGTCTCTCTAGCCACTAGAGGCAACATGCATACGGCGGTTCGTCACGACTACGAACGAGAAGCGGCCTGTGCTCGGTGCCACTTTGTGGGGCATGTGGAGACCTGCGCGCTGGAACAGGAGAGGAGGCAGAAGGAAGCGAACAACAACACCGGAAGGCACAACAAGTACCACAACAACAACAACAACGACACTTCCGAGGTTGTGGCCCCTAGCTGCGCCCTCGGAACCGACCAACTCGAATCGCGGAACCGATTTGCGGGGCTCGAGGTCGAAGGAGGACAGGAGGATGACGTCGAGCAGGAGGATGCAGGAAAGGAGGGCGAGGAAAAGGAGCAGGTCGAAGAAGGAGACAAGGATACGGGCGCCAAGGCGGACGACGAGGATTCGGACTCGGATGGGAACGCCGGAGCGGGCATCGACAAGGCGGGAGGCGACAACAAGGACGAACAGAACGACAGCTCGGAGGGAAGCAAACAAAGAGAGGACGAAGGAAACGATGGGGATGACGTGATGAAAGATGGAGCAGAGGAGGAGGACGAAGGGACGGAGACGGAGGTGGAAGAAGAGGTCGAGCAGGAACAGGGGGTACAGGACGACAGCATCATGATCATCGACGACGACCAAACGACAATCACCACGGTTTCCCGCAAGTCGACTCCTCGGAGTCCCTCGTGGCCTCCACTATCTCCTGAGACGTTGGCAAAGTCGCTGCACGAGGGTGCGGAGTGGGACCGAGCTAACGCCGAAGCTGCTGCACGTGTCCAAGCAGAAAAGGAGGCGATCATCAACGCCCAACTCGACACGGAGGAACCGCTCGTTCGCCACCAATTTGCAGAGTGGGGTCAGGAAGATGGACAACTGCGATTCATCAACATTCGTGGCACCGGCTCCGGGTCGAACAAGAAGATGAAGAGGTCGCAAACGGTGGCCGATCTCAGCGATCCGAGCGACGACCCGGTTGATATCAAGCGCATTCTGAACAGGGTCAAAGGTCGAGCAGGAAAGGAGGTAGCGGGTCAGGGGAAGAGGGTGACGAGGTCGATGTCGGCGGCGGCGGCGATGCAGGTCGAGGGGGCCAAGGCGAAAGCGGAGAAGGGTAAAGGGGTGGAGGAGGAGAAGCGCTGGTCCGACCACGAGCCCGAGGATGACATTCTCCCCGAATTCCCACTCTTTGAGGACGACACTACCGCCAAGAGCACATCTACATCGTCTACCCAATAATGATCAAGCACACCATCACCAGCTGGAACGTGAGGAGGTGCATGGGGATCCCGGAAAAGCGACGCAACATTTACACCTATTTATCAACATTCAAAGCATCCGCCATTCTACTACAAGAACACTTCATCAAACCGGAACTCTGGCAATGTATCAAGGACGAGTACGAGGGCAAGGTCTTCATCAGCAAACACTGTCTGACTCTGATCCCCGCCGACTCGCCCCTGATCGACGCCGAGATTTTGCGCACCCACTCGGCACTCGACGGACGAATCCTGGTCACCTCCTTTCGACTTCGAGGCGACATCCGGATACTCGAGATCAACAACATTTACGCACCAGTCGATACAAAACAACGACTCACATTCTTTGACAAACTACATTTCCACAGGACGCAGAGCACCCACCTTCGACTCCTCGGCGGCGATCTCAACGACTGCCCGCTGCCGGCGATCGATCGGCGGAACCAAGGTCGGCACGGCCATCACTGGCCGATCCTGATCGGCAAGCTCGACTCGCCCTACACCGACTGCATACAATTCAAACACCCGCTCACACCATCTTTCACTCGACCCAACATCGTCCGCAAGCGACCAAAGTCCTTTTCACGACTTGACTACTTCCTTCTGCAGCGCACCCACCAAAAGCGACTCGTCCAAGCCTCGACGATCTACGACTATTCGATCAACTCTACTACGTCAGCGATGTAGTTATAGCCAAGAGTGATGAATGCATTTCAACATACCTATTCGATCAACTCTACTACGTCAGCGATGTAGTTATAGCCAAGAGTGATGAATAGGAAGCTAACAATAAGAGACCCGCGCGCCCCAAGTCCACAGCCAGCGAGCCTGGGGCTGAGCCAATGGCCCAGGCTCGCTCCGCGCGCCTAAGTCCCAGGCTCGCTTCGCGCGCCTAAGTCCGCGCCCGGTTCGCTCCGCGCGCCTAAGTCCTGAGCCGAGCGGAGAGTGGATTCCTCACACCCCCCCCCACGCGAACGCGAGGTAGACTTGAGCCGTGGATGTCGCGTCCGGAGGCCTAGAGCATAGCAATGTGTACCAAAAATCTTGGGGCCTAGCGCTTTGGTGAATACGTCCGCAACCATGTCTGCTGTGCCAACGTGTGAGAGAGAGATATCACCTCGATTGACCATGTCACGGACAAAATGCTCGCGGAGGCGAATGTGCCGGGTGCCGGAGGTGCGAACGGGGTCGTGAGCGACGGCGGCCGCGGCCTCGTTGTCGGTGAAGATGTGAGCTGCAGCGATTGGGCAAACGTGGAGCTCGGAGAGGAGTTGGTTAAGGTAGATCGCTTCCTTACCCGCGTGCGACAAGGCCAGGTACTCGGCATCAGTGGTGGAATCCGCTACCCGAGTCTGACGCTTCGACGACCAAGAGACAGCGGCGCCTGCCAAGTAAAATACGTAGCCCATCGTTGAAATGGATGTGTCGACGCAGGCGCCCCAGTTCGCATCAGAATAACCAACCACACCCGTGACTTTTGCTGGGCCGCGGGCATAGAGAAGCTCATCGCGGTACGTGGCGCGAAGGTAGCGAAGGACGTGTTTGACGGCAATCCAATGGCGGCGGCCGGGGTTGTTGGCGAACCGGGACAGGTACGAGACGGCGAAGGCAATGTCGGGTCGAGTGCCAAGGGAGATGTAGAGGAGGGAGCCGATGGCCTGTAGGTACCACGAACGAATGCGCTCCGTTCCCTGACCCGGAATTGCCGTGAGCGAGAGGCCGGGCGTCATCGGCACCGTAGTGCCGCGTGTCGTGGTGTCGAAGTGGAAACGGGCCAGCACGTCCATGATGTAGCGCTCCTGGGATAGAGCAATGGAACCGTCGTCCAGGCGGCGTATTTGGATTCCGAGGATGTACTCCGCGGGGCCGAGTCGTTTGACGCCGTACCGCTGTTCAAGGCCGGAGATGACACGTTCGATCTCGTCGAGGGCTGGACTGACAATGAGGAGGTCGTCGACATACAAGGCGATATAGTGAGGCCGCTGCTGATCGTCAATGCGAGAGTAAATGCAGTGATCAGTGCCTGTTGCCTTGTACCCCAGATTCCTGAGTGATGTGTCAATGTGACGATTCCAGATGCGACCGGCCTGCTTGAGACCGTAGATTGAGCGTCGCAGCCGGAGAACCTTATCGCTCGGGAAGTCGAAACCGCGTGGTGTCGTCATCCAGATATCATGATCGAGCTCGCCGTGGAGGTAAGCCTTGTCGATGTCGGCCTGATGAACGTGGTAGCCATTGGCAGCGGCAAGAGCCAGGAGGCAGCGAATGGAGGAGAAACGGGCGACGGGTGCGAAGGTTTCTGAGAAGTCGATGCCGTCGCGCTGTCGGTTACCCTGCGCTACAAGACGTGCCTTCCGCCCCGTGACTTCACCGCTTGCGTTGCGCTTGGTCTTCCAGACGAATTTGGAGGTGACGATGGTGGCGCCCGGCGGTACAGATGAGCGAGGCTCGATGGTGAACACCTTGAAGTCGTCGCGCATGGCGGTGAACTCGGCGGCGGCGGCCTCAGCCCAGATGTTGTGCTCGTCGCTGGACATTGCTTCGCGCCAGGTATGGGGGTCGCTAGTGATCGATTTGACGGGCTCGATGGCGTCGAGGGTGGGGTCGTCGTCGTCTGTGGCGATGAAGGCGCGGTGGTGTTGGGTGAGGAAATCGATTTCATCCGGCGATTCATCGCGCGAGTGACGCCCAATGATGTCGAGTTCGTCGGGCGACTCCTCAGCCGATGCGGGCTCACGGTATGTCAGGAGCACAGCCTGCACTGCCATCAATACTCGAAGGAAGTCTCCCAAGTTTGCGGCCGGAGTCGACATCAGCTACCGGTTTGTTCGTTGCAAGCATTGTCGGCGCGATGGTGTAGTCGTGAGGGCGCGCGGGCGCGCACTCAGTGGTCGAGGGTTCGATCCGCCCGGAGCGTGATCTGCCTTTTGGTTTCTTTTCCTTTTTGTTATCCGAGGCCCGGCTTCGGGGTTTTTACCGGTGCCTTGCAGGCAATCCTTTTTACCCCTGAAGCGACCTCGTGGTGTAGTTATTTGATTCAGTCTTTCCTTCGCTCGGAGCACTTCCCTCCTTTTGCTTTTGCCACCCTTCCCCTAGAGCTTGGTCCACTCATTATCATGACTCGTACCCTCCCTCTTTTTACCCATTTCGCTGGCAATTAAGTCCGGTACACTGGACTTGCTGCGAGCCTTGCAGCCGCGTATCCTCCGCGGTTGCCTCTCGGTCGACTTCCGCCGCCCAGCCGACTCGACCTTCCCACCGGCCTGGTCAGCTATTTCTTGGATCGTTTGCCCTCCCTCTTCTGTCCGACCTCGTTGGCTACCATAGTTCGGTACACTGGACTTGCTGCGAGCCTTGCAGCCGCGTATCCTCCGCGGTTGCCTCTCGGTCGACTGCCGCCGCCTCGGTCGACACCCCTTTCGCTCCTTCGCGCTTTCGCGCGCTCTCTCGCTCTCTCCCTCGTCTCTCGCGTGTAGTCATCGTCATCCCCTCCGACGTTGCCTGTCACTTTTTTCAAGTTCGGCATTGCTAGCGACAGTCCCAGCTTCTCTCACCGCTCAGTCCCACACCCTGGACGAGCATTCCCGCCCTCCCGCCCTTCGTCTTCGCGTCGTCCGCCTCCTCTCCGTTCGGCCTCTCGAGTTCGGCCTCTTTGACGACCGCGTGGTTCCTCCCCCCACCCCCCACACCTCCCCCACCCCCCACCCCCCCACCTCTTCTTACCGTCTCGTGACCGCCCTCGTTCGCCCTGGAATCGCTGTTGACTGTGAGTTGAGTGATCGCCATGGCCGCCGAGTGTGACACGTCGCGCGCCGCTGCCGCAGCCAGCGCGCCGCGCCTCTTCGCAACCGCGACCCCGGCCGCGCGAACCCGCCCAAGTCCGCCTGCCACCACACTCGTTTCGCACCGCCGCCGCCTTATTGCATGGTCGCCTCGTGCCCGCCTCGTTCGTCCTGGAATCATCGACTGTCGTGTTGAGCGATCGCCATGGCCACCGAGCGCGACACGTCCTGCGCCGCTGCCGAAGACGGCCCGCCGTCCCCTTCCGCCAATCCGACCCCGGCCGAGCACGGCCAACTCCGACCGACCCGGCCGCGCGAAACCGCCTAAGTCCGCCCGCCGCCCAACTCATTCCGCACCGTCACCGCCTCGCCGCACGGTAGACTTCCTTCTGGGGGGGATAGTGTCAGGAGCACAGCCTGCACTGCCATCAATACTCGAAGGAAGTCTCCCAAGTTTGCGGCCGGAGTCGACATCAGCTACCGGTTTGTTCGTTGCAAGCATTGTCGGCGCGATGGTGTAGTCGTGAGGGCGCGCGGGCGCGCACTCAGTGGTCGAGGGTTCGATCCGCCCGGAGCGTGATCTGCCTTTTGGTTTCTTTTCCTTTTTGTTATCCGAGGCCCGGCTTCGGGGTTTTTACCGGTGCCTTGCAGGCAATCCTTTTTACCCCTGAAGCGACCTCGTGGTGTAGTTATTTGATTCAGTCTTTCCTTCGCTCGGAGCACTTCCCTCCTTTTGCTTTTGCCACCCTTCCCCTAGAGCTTGGTCCACTCATTATCATGACTCGTACCCTCCCTCTTTTTACCCATTTCGCTGGCAATTAAGTCCGGTACACTGGACTTGCTGCGAGCCTTGCAGCCGCGTATCCTCCGCGGTTGCCTCTCGGTCGACTTCCGCCGCCCAGCCGACTCGACCTTCCCACCGGCCTGGTCAGCTATTTCTTGGATCGTTTGCCCTCCCTCTTCTGTCCGACCTCGTTGGCTACCATAGTTCGGTACACTGGACTTGCTGCGAGCCTTGCAGCCGCGTATCCTCCGCGGTTGCCTCTCGGTCGACTGCCGCCGCCTCGGTCGACACCCCTTTCGCTCCTTCGCGCTTTCGCGCGCTCTCTCGCTCTCTCCCTCGTCTCTCGCGTGTAGTCATCGTCATCCCCTCCGACGTTGCCTGTCACGGTACGTGCTGAAGTCTGGGCGGTGCACGTCCGGTGGGCCAAGGCGAGTCGGGGTCTGTGAGCCGATGAGGTCCAGAGGGTCGGCGGAGTAGTCAGAGTCGGTCGGTGAGACCGAGGGTGACGATGACGCTGCCAACGACGGTGACAGCGCAGGCGACGGTGACAAAGGGTTTGTGGGCGACGGTGACGAGGACGGCTCAGGAGACGGTGACGAGGACGATTCGGTATCTGTGGAATTAAGTAAGGTTCCGCCAGTGTACCCTGGGGCCACGTCAACGGCGCTCATGGCAGAATCATCAAGGGAGGATGAGACGTCCATGTGCGCCGACCTTACTAGTGGGGTCCTCGTCTTGACGGCAGGGGCGGGCGTGTCGGCGGGAACGACGAACTGACGGTCGGTGTCGTCTGCATCGACGGGCGTGGTGACTGGCAGGCCGGGGAAGTCGTCGTCGAGGAAGGTGGCATTGCGACCAAGTACAATCTTGTTGATGGAATGGTCAAAGAAACGGAAAGCTTTGGAGGCGAGGTCGTAACCTGTGAAGATCACGCGCGCGGCCTTGGGGTCGAGCTTGCTGCGAAGGTCCGGGGCGACCGTGAGCCAGGCTGTGCAGCCGAACGGGTGGAGGGCGGTGGCGGTGGTGCGTTGGCCGTTCCAAACGGATTCTGGAGTCTGTTTGGCCAAAGCTGAGTGTGAGCACCTGTTTTTGCAATAAACGAAATACGCAGCCGCTTCATCCCAAAAGGTGGCCGGCAGACGGGCGTCCGCAAGGAGAGCGAGGACGCCCTCGACGATGGAGAGGTTGACACGTTCGGCGCGACCGTTTTGTTGAGGCGTGTAAGGGATAGAGTATTGACGACGAATGCCCTTGGATTTGCAGAACTCCGTGAATGCGTTTGATCGGTACTCCCCGCCATTGTCGGTTCGAAGGATCCTCAACCGCGCGTTCGTCTCTAACTCCACTTCGGCGAGCCAAGTCTGGAAGGTCGGGAAAACATCGCTTTTGTGATCGATCGCATATGCCCAGAGTTTGCGAGAGTGGTCGTCTAGAAACGTGACAAGGTAGCGCTTCCCGGTCAAGGACGGAGTGGGGAACGACAGGACGTCGCTGTGCACGAGGCCAAGTCTCTCGGCGGAATGCGACTCAGAGTCGGGAAAGGGAAGGCGGTGACCTTTGGAACCAAGGCAAGCATTGCAAACAAACTCCTCTACGTCTTTGTCACTGTACCCGGCCCCAAACCCGTCCAGCAAACCTGCAGCAATCATCTTCTGTATAGAGGATGGGGCAAGATGGCCGAGGCAGCGGTGTAGGGTAAGCAGGGGCACGGGAGACTCAGAGCGTGAGAGGAAGGCAAGATGCTGACACTTGGTGTGATCCGCGTCCAAAAGGTAAAGACCGTCGTTGACCCTGGTACCGTGAGCAATGGCCCGGCCGTCCTTGGCGATGTCGATGCCGTCGCTGGTGAAGGCGAGACGAACGCGGTCGGTGTCGCAGAGGCGAGAGACAGAGAGGAGGTTGACGTGTAGGCCAGGCGTGTGAAGAACACCACGGAGCGTGATCGGGTGTCCAGTCTTGGCGACGAATGCCACGTCCCCCATGCCGATAGCCGTGATGCCGCCCGCGATGCCGCCGATCTTGGTGTGTGCCGTCTGACGATAAGTCGTGAATAGAGATCGGTCGGCGACCATGTGTGTCGTGGCACCCGAATCGACTACAAAGGCGTCAGTTGGGAGTTGGCGACGAGCGAAGAGGCAGGAGGCGAAATAGCCGACGTTCGGTTGCGAGGCCGCGGAGGAAGACGTGTCGTCCTGGGTGTCGTCGCTGCTACGTGCCTGTTCACCCCGGTTCTTGCAGTCGAGTGCCCAGTGACCTTTCTTGTGGCATCGGCGGCAGGGGCCGGTGGGCGGGTGCTTCGCACGTGAAGTGCAGTCGCGCAGGCGGTGACCGGGAGCGCGGCAGGCGGGGCAGGGGGAGCTGGTGGCAAGCATGGCCGAATGCGAGGTCGAGAGTCCTGCCGAACGAAGCTGGATGCGAATGCGGTCCGTAAGCGTCGTGAGTTCGGGAAGGTCGCGTCGGTTTCGCTGCTCGTCCGTGAACGTGAGTCGGAAGCTGTCGAGGCAAGACGGGACCATGGCGAGCACGTGGGTGGCGAGCACGTCGTTGAGCGATGTTTTGGCGTCGCGTATTTCCTGAGCAATCGACATGTACTCGCGTAGCCAAGTGTCGTAGGCCTCGACGGAGGCAGGCATCTTCCTGAAGTCCCAAAGGCGAGCGAACAACTCGAGAGTGCGTGTAGCGTCGTCCGGTGCAAAACGAGCCTTGAGAGCGGCAAAGATGCGCGGTGCCGACAGGTCGTCGCTGGGGATGGCGTCGAGGGTGGCCGATACGTCGGCGGAGTCGATAGAGCCAACGATGATTTCCCGGGCGGCGTCGTCACGTGCGGCAAGCTGGTCGGCGGTCCAGGTCGGGGGAACGACACCGTCGAGAACGTAACCACGAACCTGGTTCGGGAGTGCAAGACGGAGTTGACGCAACCAGTTGGTGAACGACTTGGGGCCGTCCAGACGAGCGTGCTTGGGAAACACGACCTTGGATGCGGTGGCGGCGTTCCCCGGCACGACGGTGACGGCCGGGGGTGCGGCGGCTGCGGCGGCGGCGGGTTGCGAGGCCTGCAGAGCGGCAAGCTGGGCCTGTAGAGTGGCGATTTGTTCGCCGATCGAAGATTCAGGGGAGCTGGGATCCCTGGGGGCCAAAGGCGAGGCGGGAGAGCTGTCCATGATGTGATGGTGCGATGGACGTGTGCGGCTCGAGTGGCTGGGCTCGAGCGAAAAAGCCTCAAGCGGCGGGGCTGGTAGCTCGTGGGCTTATAACCTATTCGATCAACTCTACTACGTCAGCGATGTAGTTATAGCCAAGAGTGATGAATGCATTTCAACATACCTATTCGATCAACTCTACTACGTCAGCGATGTAGTTATAGCCAAGAGTGATGAATAGGAAGCTAACAATAAGAGACCCGCGCGCCCCAAGTCCACAGCCAGCGAGCCTGGGGCTGAGCCAATGGCCCAGGCTCGCTCCGCGCGCCTAAGTCCCAGGCTCGCTTCGCGCGCCTAAGTCCTGGGCCGGGGCGCCCGGCTCACTCCGCGCGCCTAAGTCCGCGCCCGGTTCGCTCCGCGCGCCTAAGTCCTGAGCCGAGCGGAGAGTGGATTCCTCACAACGACCACCCCAAGGACCTTTCGGATCACCGACCGGTCTCGATCGTCCTAGTTCTCTCGGATGAGCGAGGAGACACGGCTCAAACCAATTACATCGTATCAACGCGGCGACCTTCAAGACGGCGGAGTTCCAGGGGATGTTGGAAGGATGGTTGGAAGGAGCGAGTGGGGAGGAACCAGTGGGGGAGCTCGAGGTGGTGCTGGGGAACTGCGCGAAGGAGGGTCGGGAGCTGGCGAGGAGGGAGCATCGGGAGCGGGTGGAGCGGATGGCGGTCTTGGTGGGAAGGGTGCAGGATCTGGAGGCGTTGCCGGTGATGGGGGACGAGGAGACGGCCGAATGGACGCGGACGACGGAGGAACTTAGGCGAGCGGTCAACGAGCGCGCGCACCAACTTCGGATCCGAGCCCACGTACCCGAAATCGCTACCGAGGAACGACTGTCGCGGCCGGTCCACGCCAAGCTCGCGGCACGGAGTTCGGATTCCAAGATCACAGCACTGCGATTGCCCAACGGAGAGCTGACACATGACATTGACGTCGCGCTTGACCACACACAGGCGCACTTTCAGCGCCTCTACGATCTCGAGCCGCGCGATCGGGACCACGTCGAGCGACTTAGGGACGATTTCTTGGCGCCGATCAGGTCGGCGCGCACTTGCGATGACCCGAGCTCGGACCCGCTCTTTCTGCGACGACTCTCGGAAGCGCACATCGAGCTGCTGCAGCAACCCATCACCGAGGACGAGGTCGTAGCCGCAATCGCAACAACACACCCCGGTCGATCGCCGGGTCCATCTGGCGTGCCCTACGAGCTCTATCACACAGCGCCGCGGGCGTGGGCCAAGGCGCTGAGCAGGGCCTTCAACGCGATGACCGAGCGCGGCTCGCTTTCACCGAAGCAGGGGCAAGGTGACAGGCAACGTCGGAGGGGATGACGATGACTACACGCGAGAGACGAGGGAGAGAGCGAGAGAGCGCGCGAAAGCGCGAAGGAGCGAAAGGGGTGTCGACCGAGGCGGCGGCAGTCGACCGAGAGGCAACCGCGGAGGATACGCGGCTGCAAGGCTCGCAGCAAGTCCAGTGTACCGAACTATGGTAGCCAACGAGGTCGGACAGAAGAGGGAGGGCAAACGATCCAAGAAATAGCTGACCAGGCCGGTGGGAAGGTCGAGTCGGCTGGGCGGCGGAAGTCGACCGAGAGGCAACCGCGGAGGATACGCGGCTGCAAGGCTCGCAGCAAGTCCAGTGTACCGGACTATGGTGGCCAACGAGGTCGGACAAAAGAGGAAGGGCAAACGATCCAAGAAATAGCTGACCAGGCCGATGGGAAGGTCGAGTCGGCTGGGCGGCGGCAGTCGACCGAGAGCAACCGAGGAGTGGATTCGGTCGGAAGGCTTCGCAGCAAATCAAGTGTAACGGACTTAATTGCCAGCGAAATGGGTAAAAAGAGGGAGGGTACGAGTCATGATAATGAGTGGACCAAGCTCTAGGGGAAGGGTGGCAAAAGCAAAGGGAGGGAAGTGCTCCCAGCGAAGGAAAGACTGAATCAAATAACTACACCACGAGGTCGCTTCAGGGGTAAAAAGGATTGCCTGCAAGGCACCGGTAAAAACCCCGAAGCCGGGCCTCGGATAACAAAAAGGAAAAGAAACCAAAAGGCAGATCACGCTCCGGGCGGATCGAACCCTCGACCACTGAGTGCGCGCCCGCGCGCCCTCACGACTACACCATCGCGCCGACAATGCTTGCAACGAACAAACCGGTAGCTGATGTCGACTCCGGCCGCAAACTTGGGAGACTTCCTTCGAGTATTGATGGCAGTGCAGGCTGTGCTCCTGACACAAGGACTCGCTCGCCTGCTCTTCAAGCACCACAAGATCGGGGCCGATCGCGCCGAGCTCTCGTCGTACCGGCCCATCACCTTGCGCGAGTGCGACTACAAGCTCTTCACCAAGGTCTACGTTGCGCGACTCAACCACGTGCTGCCGGACCTGCTCCCACCGCAACAGCACGGCTTCGTCAAGGGCCGCCGATCGGCGGACGCGTCATTCCACCTGCGACTCTTGATCGAGGAGCTGGGCGCGCGCGGCACCGAGTTCCCTGACGCGGCGCTCTTGTCTCTTGACCAATCGTCGGCTTACGACCTCGTCGAGCACGAATGGATCTTCGCCATCTTCGACGCTCTCGGCGCTCCTGCCGCCTTCCAACGCGTTCTGAGGATGCTCTACTCGGGTGACTCAACCACGGCGCGATATATCATCAACGGCTTCTTGACTCCGCCGGTGCGGCTGACGTGTGGGCTCGGCCAAGGGGACCCGGCGTCGTCGTCGGTCTGGGATGTCGTGTTCCAGCCGTTCCTGGATGCTCTGCACCGTCGAGGCATCGCGCTGAACCTCTCGCTTCCTACCATTCACCCCTACCCACAGAGCCGCGCCATTACATCCCTTGCGTTTGCCGATGACATCGTCGTCGCCGTCGCGGGCTCGGAGTCACTCAACTTGCTCAACGACCTGGCACTCGACTGGAGGCTCGCAACCAATGGCCGGCTCAACACCGACAAGACCGTCGTACTACCCATCGGGTGTCGCTGGGAGGCTGGCGATCGTCCGCTCGTCGTCAAGGCCGAGGGCGAGTCGCTCGAGTGGATCGGCCTATCTTTCGACCCCACCGGCAACACCGAACTCGCCAACGTGAATCTCGTCGCACGGCTCGAAGCGGTGCTCGATTCGGCACGGGACCGAGGGCTCACACACCACACCCGAGCGTTCTACGTCAACCGATACGCCATTCCCAAGATTCTGCACATCCTCTCCGCCGACATCCCACCACTCGAGGTCGTCAAGGAGCTTGATCGCATTCTCGCCGACTTTGTCCGCGGCGGCAAGAGGAGGTCGTGCTATGGCAAGGACGTCGTCTTCACACCGAGGTTCAAGGGGGGTCTTGGGGTCATGCGGATGCAGGACGTCGTCGACTCGGTTGCGGCACGCGTCTGGGACGTGCTTCTTGGCGGTTCGGATGCGATCTGGCAGGGACTTGCGCGCGCGGCGATTGTACGAGCCCATCCCGCCCCCGACTTTGACTTGGCAACCAATGCGTGGCCTTGCGACTACACTCCGATCCGAACCGATCTACACCCAAGATGGCAGGCCGTGCTGAAGGTACCATCGACGCACAATGCGCAAGTCAAGCCGAGGACGTTGACGCTCGCGAACCTTCTCGCTCTTCCGATCAAGTTGCACACCCTTCACTACCTACCGGGAGCACCAGCTGTGTCGCGACCACCCTACGACGCCGACTATGCTGCGTTTGCCATTTACGCCAAGGTAGCGGACCTGTTTCGACGCGAGCTGTACCCGGGCGGGGGCTTTCATCTCTGGACGCCGCCGACGGATGTGGTCGTCAGCAACAGCGAATACGATCAACGGGGCCGCCCACAACGAGAGCACATCGTGGCATGGTACCGACATGCGATCAATCGATTGAGGTTCACACCAATAGCTCAACCGGTGGCGGCAGTACGAATCAACGGGCCTCCCCGAGTCTGACAGGCAACGTCGGAGGGGATGACGATGACTACACGCGAGAGACGAGGGAGAGAGCGAGAGAGCGCGCGAAAGCGCGAAGAAGCGAAAGGGGTGTCGACCAAGGCGGCGGCAGTCGACCGAGAGGCAACCGAGGAGTGGATTCGGTCGGAAGGCTTCGCAGCAAATCAAGTGTAACGGACTTAATTGCCAGCGAAATGGGTAAAAAGAGGGAGGGTACGAGTCATGATAATGAGTGGACCAAGCTCTGGGGGAAGGGTGGCAAAAGCAAAGGGAGGGAAGTGCTCCGAGCGAAGGAAAGACTGAGTCAAATAACTACACCACGAGGTCGCTTCAGGGGTAAAAAGGATTGCCTGCAAGGCACCGGTAAAAACCCCGAAGCCGGGCCTCGGATAACAAAAAGGGAAAAGAAACCAAAAGGCCGATCGCGCTACAGGCGGATCGAACCCTCGACCACTGAGTGCGCGCCCGTGCGCCCTCACGACTACGCCATCGCGCCCACGATGCTTGCAACGAACGAACCGGTAGCTGATGTCGACTCCGGCCGCAAACTTGGGAGACTTCCTTCGAGTATTGATGGCAGTGCAGGCTGTGATCCTGACAGAGTCCGCCCCACCACGCCGCTCGAGTCGATCCTGCCCCATCCGATCGACCCGCCGCAGCGCCTTCCGAGACCGGCTCTCCCAGACCAATCAACACAATACAACTTGCTCAGCATGGATCGGCCATACACCATCCGTCGCGTCCGCCGAGTCTTGAATGCAAAGGCCTTCACCAACACGATCGGTTTCAGGGACTCGCTGCAGCCCGACGATCTCAAGGGATTCTGGAAGGGGGTCAACTCGAAGGCATTGACGGCGAGGGAACGCGAGGTGTGGTTCAAGCTCGTCAGGAACTTCACCCCGACTCGGAGTCTGCAGTTTCATCAAAAGCACGACGACTCGCCCGCGTGCCTCGTCTGTGGAGCGCCCAAGGACGATCGGGAGCACTACTTCTTCGACTGCGTTGACTCTAGGAACGTTTGGATCGCGGCAAGGGGCGTGCTCTGCGACGCACTGGGGCTCGACACGATCGACAACACGCATTACACGGCCGTTCAACGCATGTTCGGACTTCCGAAGCTCAAGGCCAGTCTGCGCGATCAGGAAGGAGCGGGGAGGACGATCAAAATATTCACCGGGCTGGTCTTGGAGATGATCAGCAGCGGGAGGTGGGGGATGCAGAAGTGGGGGACGAGGCTGGAGGGTGTTGGGAGGAGGAGGATCATCTTGGAGGAGAGGTTGAAGCTGAGGGCGGGAGGAGCTTGGGGGAGGAGAGGGCAGTAGAGGCTGGGTTCGACTTTCCCCCCACCACCACACACACACACACCAAATTCTCGTGACATCATTTTCTCCTACTGTACACTAAATAGCTCGCTTTCTCTTTCTTTTGTTACAGGTTCACCGTTGCGGATCATGGACCATCTCGCGATTTGGCGTCGACTCGGTGTGGCTCGCGCTCTTCGGCTTCGGGGTTCTGAGTCAAGGGAGGGATCAGCGGACACAGGCAGAAAGTCGGCTTTGAGGGGCCAGGGACTGCCAAGGGGGAGGTTTTGAGGGACCTTCACCGCGTCTTGTTGTGACTGAGCAGAGACTTGGAGCGTCGAGGGTCGTGGTGGTTGCGCAGTCGTGCTCTTGTCTTCGTCTCGACCGAGTGGGAAGTGGCTGTGGGGTGGGCCTTCTGTCGTTAGTACATTTCTTTTCTTTCTCTCTCTCATTCGTCTCCTGGGGGGGAGCAACCGCTTGGCTAGGGCATTTGAATCCGAATCTCGGATTGGTGGACTTGGCTCGTTTCTCGCACTTTTGCGGGCGGTTTGTGTTATCATCGTAGTCTTCCATCTAGTTTTTCCGTAGGCCGAAACAGGGGGAACAGGAATTGGGGGCAATATGATGAACGTTTTCTACAAAAAAAAAATCCTTCAAATCATCCGTTATCTCAAAACCCTTCGGCCGGCCCCTGCGGCCATCCTCCTGCAAGAGCACCACCTCAGCTACAACGCGTCGCGCGAAGGCTTCAAGAGTGCTTGGCCGGGGGCTTGTATTCGTTTCACTCCTCATGTCCTTACCCTCATACCCGATGGCTCACCTTTGGCGGGCCATCTCCTTTCCTCTACCCCGGTCGTCTTTGCAGGAGCTCCTCGTTTCGACGGTCGGATTCTGTGACAGGCAACGTCGGAGGGGATGACGATGACTACACGCGAGAGACGAGGGAGAGAGCGAGAGAGCGCGCGAAAGCGCGAAGGAGCGAAAGGGGTGTCGACCGAGGCGGCGGCAGTCGACCGAGAGGCAACCGCGGAGGATACGCGGCTGCAAGGCTCGCAGCAAGTCCAGTGTACCGAACTATGGTAGCCAACGAGGTCGGACAGAAGAGGGAGGGCAAACGATCCAAGAAATAGCTGACCAGGCCGGTGGGAAGGTCGAGTCGGCTGGGCGGCGGAAGTCGACCGAGAGGCAACCGCGGAGGATACGCGGCTGCAAGGCTCGCAGCAAGTCCAGTGTACCGGACTATGGTGGCCAACGAGGTCGGACAAAAGAGGAAGGGCAAACGATCCAAGAAATAGCTGACCAGGCCGATGGGAAGGTCGAGTCGGCTGGGCGGCGGCAGTCGACCGAGAGCAACCGAGGAGTGGATTCGGTCGGAAGGCTTCGCAGCAAATCAAGTGTAACGGACTTAATTGCCAGCGAAATGGGTAAAAAGAGGGAGGGTACGAGTCATGATAATGAGTGGACCAAGCTCTAGGGGAAGGGTGGCAAAAGCAAAGGGAGGGAAGTGCTCCCAGCGAAGGAAAGACTGAATCAAATAACTACACCACGAGGTCGCTTCAGGGGTAAAAAGGATTGCCTGCAAGGCACCGGTAAAAACCCCGAAGCCGGGCCTCGGATAACAAAAAGGAAAAGAAACCAAAAGGCAGATCACGCTCCGGGCGGATCGAACCCTCGACCACTGAGTGCGCGCCCGCGCGCCCTCACGACTACACCATCGCGCCGACAATGCTTGCAACGAACAAACCGGTAGCTGATGTCGACTCCGGCCGCAAACTTGGGAGACTTCCTTCGAGTATTGATGGCAGTGCAGGCTGTGCTCCTGACATTCTGCGCTCGGTGTTTCGTCTTGAGGAGCTCGATGTCGAGATCATCAACATGTACGCGCCGGTGCAGGAGGACGATCATCGCGACTTTTTCGGGCTTCTGTACTTCAACGCCCCGAGACCCAAGATTCTTCGGATCTTGGCCGGCGATCTCAACGATTGTCCGGATGTATCGGTCGACCGAGTGTCCATCACCGATCACGCTTGGACTCCTGTATCGCACTGGCAGACCTTGCTGTCAAAGATCGCGTTCAAGGCACTCGACACGGTCCGACATGTCCATCCTTGCACCCCTGCATTCACTCGTCCTCACTACCGTGGTAGAGGGGAAGAGCGAAAGATTTGCTCGTGGTCGCGGATCGACTATATTCTTGTCCAATGCAGTTGGGCGAACCGGTTGTTGAGCGCTTCTACGCTCTTCGATGCGCCCTGTTCGGACCACAGACCTGTAGTTGCCACTTTTGCTTTGCCTACATCGAACGCTGATGCCGAACCCCCCCTTTCTCTTCCCTCCACGAGCGATTTCATTTCGAGGCTCAACCCAATGGTCTTTGACAATCAAGACTTTGTCGCATCGATTCCCGGGGTCGTCGACGAGGTCTATCGAAGGCTCGAGGGGACCGCTCCGCTCGGCGACGTCTATGACACCGCTCTGCGGGCGGTTGCAGTCGCTGGCCATGCACGATACCGCTCGACTCGTGCCGACATGCGCCAACTGCGGGCCGAGAGCCAATCCGTCATGGAGGCTTTGGAGGCACGCGGTGAGCACATGAATGAGGCCGAGCGCGATGCGTATGCTCTTGCCAAGTCGCGGTTGGACCAGTTGGCGGTAAAGGAGGCTGTCAGGATGACAGCGTGTACTCGAAGGAAGCCCCCCAAGGCTATGTGCAGGTAGAGTTGACTTGACCAGAGGCTTGCCTCGGTTCACAGCATCGTCGGTGCGATGGCGTAGTCGTGAGGCGCGCGGGCGCGCACTCGGTGGTCGCGGGTTCGAGGCGCCCAGACCGCAGTCTTCTTTCGGTTTGTTTTATCTTTTGTTAGCCGAGGCGCGGCTTCAGGGTTTTTACCGGTGCTCCCGCGAGCAATCCTTTTTACCCCTGAGGCGACCTCTTGGAGTGGTTGATTTGGCTAAGTCCCCTCTGGGCCTGGCACAGTCCCTTCCCTTTAGTTTTACCACCTTTCCCCGGGAGCTTGGTCCGCTCTTCTCTGTTGTTGCCCCTCCTCTTCTTGTCGATCGTTTGGGAATTAAGTCCGTTACACTTGATTTCCTGCGAGCCTTTCGACCGACTCCCCTCCTCGGTTGCTCCCTTGTCGACTGCCGCCGCAACAGCCGACACTTCCTGAAATCCCCCCCCCGTACCAACGCGTGTAGACGACGTCATCCCCTCCGACGTCGCTTGTCACTTTTTTCAAGTTCGGCATTACCGACAACGATCCGCACCTCTACAACCGCTTCGTCCACCGTCCTGGACGAGCATTCGCCCCCACTCTCTGAGCCTGAGTCTTCAGCCTCCTCTCCATTGCCGAATTCATCACCAACGAACGCGTCGCTGTCCTTCCCGACTTCCTCCACAGAGTCCGACAACGAACACGTTTATCCTTCCTACCCTTTCCGTCAACCGTCTCGTGCCCGCCTTCGTTCGCCCCGCAATCGCCGACGTTTGAGTCACGAGATTGCCATGGCCGACGAGCGCGACGTGTACCGCGCCGTCGCCGATGATCGAGACGCTCCTCTCCGCGACGAAGACCCCGGCCGCACGAAACCGCCCAAGTCCCCGCCGCCCCAACCCTACCACACCGCCACCGCTCTATCGTCCCTCGAAAGCCGCCTCGAGGAATCCGAAGCCCGTCGTATCGACTCCGAGGAACGTGTTCAGCAATTGGAGAAGTTGGTGGAGGGTTTATTGAAAAGCTCACCTGAACCAGCTGCGGCGCGGGCTGGATTCTCTGAACCAGCCGCAGCGCGGGCTGGGGAGTTTACGTTTACGCCGGTGAGATCGGTCCCCTTGGACGTTCCCCCACACACCATTCTGGAACGTTCAGGCAATACCGCTGACCCCCTTGTTCGTTCCCCTGGGGGGGAATCTCACAGCGCACGAAGGGACGGCCCTTCCTCGGCAGTAATCAGCTCTCGTTGGAGAGGGACGTTACCTGACCGGGAAGGGCTATGGACAGGGGATAACCCGGATCGGTTGGTCACTTTCACTACATTTGGGAAGTCGTACTTGTCTCTACTTTGCGACATTTCCACCAGCGACCTTTTTACCACCGACCGCGTCATCCAGCTTGTGGCGACCTTGTTCGTTCGTTCCACTTCTCCCAAGCGCCGTCAGTCTCCGCACGACTGGGCCGTTGATACTATGACGGACGCGCTCCGGGACGAACGACCTCACTGTTGGACGACACTGATGACAGAAGTTGGACGTCGTTGGCCGGATCCTGGCTTTGCCGACCGAGTGTCCCACGACTTCTACGGGTGCCGACAGTCTTCGTCTCGCGCCTACGACCATGTGGGCGAATGGCGTGCCCGCTACCGAGCGTTTATGCACAACGACCCCAGCTTCAGCCTCTCGCCCCTTCAACTCGCCACAACCTTTTATCAATCGTTGAGTGATGTGGCTAAGTGGGAAGTGCGGGCTGGTATGCTGCGGGAATATCGGGATAACTCACTCGTGACTATAGGGAGGTTCGGACGAACTGTCCCGTCCCTCGAGGAGGTTACCGACTGGGCCGCCATCGCCGACGACACCGGCACGACATCAGTTTCGACCCCGCCGATTCGTACGGCGACTTATGGAGCAATTGCAAAAACGCCACACACCGCCCCATCCACGCCGAACGACGACGCACGTACTCAGATCCGTCGAGCTCGATGGATGTGTTAAGTTGGGACCGGGGGGTCGCTGGAGAATCGTGAGGCGGCACGGACCGGATCGTTTCGGGAGGTTGCGAGGCAGGACGACGTAGCAAAGTGCTCCCCGGTCGAGAAGTCGCGAGGCGGTGAAGACGCGGCCTGGAGAGGCAGCCGCGGCGCAGCCGAGCGATCTGTTCTCTAACGAATCTCAGCAGTCTGAATGATGAGATGAAACGATAGAGAAAAGGGAAAGAGGCGCGGGAGCGCGCGAGTCGGGCGAGGTTCTAGCAAGGGAGCGCACAGAGAATCTAACTGGGCAGGCACACAATGCAAAGCTTCAAGGACCAGACTCCAAGCGGGCCATTAGGGCGTCGAGAGGTGTCGTGTTGGACGACGGCACGAAGGGTGGCAGGCAACGTCCTCTTCAGAAGACGTTGACTACACGCGGAGGAGGGGATCAGGCCGAAGGAAGGTCGACTGGGCGGGGGCAGGCGACCGAGGGACAACCGAGGAGGGGACGCGGTTGTGAGGCTCGCAGCAAGTCAAGTATATCGGACTTTATTGCCAACGAGATCGAAAACGAAGGATGAAGGTGAAGGGATCTTGGGAGATGTAGCGGACCAGGCTGAGTGGGAAGGTGCTAAAAACAAAAGGGAGGCACTCAGGCGCAGAGGGGACTTAGCCAATTCAGCTACTCCAAGAGGTCGCCTCAGGGGGAAAAAGGATTGCTCGCGGGAGCACCGGTAAAAACCCTGAGGCCGCGCCTCAGCTAACAAAAAGAACAAAAACCGAGAGAAGATTGCGCTCTGCGCGCCTTGAACCCGCGACCATTAAGTGCGCGCCCGCGCGCCGAACGACTACGCCATCACGCCCACAATGCTTGAATGGAGGGAAGCATTTGGTGACCTCAACTCTACCTGCACATTACCTCAGGGACTTCCTTCGAGTGTTGCTGTCAGTGTATCGCTGTTTGCCTGACATTGTCCCCCCCAGAAGGAAGTCTACCGGGAGGACAGGCGGCGATTTGAGCGATCGAGTTGTGCCAGGTAGGCGTCGAGTAGGGATGGATGGTCGAAGCGGAGGGACTGCTCTGACATCCAAGTGTCATCGATGTCCTTACGGCCAATCCATCGAACCAAGAACGAACGATTGCCCCGAGCGTTCCGACGATCGCGAACAATCCGTTCCGGAATGGCGGAGTTGTCGGCCGCGTCGGCTACATCTTCAACAAAAAGAACTGCGGGGTCACGCCCAGGGAACCTCTCAGCATCGTTCTCAACATAGGGGCGAAGCAGTCGAGCATGGAAGCGACTGTGCACTCGCGACATTGCTGGGGGAAGCTCGAGGTCGTAACTGGACGTCGCTGGAATGGCCGCTCGGATACGGAAAGGACCAATGTAGCGCGGCAACAACTTCGACTTCATCCCTTCAGGAACTGCCAGGTTCTTGGTCGAAAGATAGACATAACTGCCGGTCCGAAAGGCGGGATCATCCGGGCGTCGATGCTTGTTGGCCTGGTGAGTCTGATCGAGGCGTGCACCAATGATCGCATCCGTGACGTCGAGATTCCGTAACTGTCGGATTCGGGCAAACGCTTCCGCACGCGGGACGTCCGAGACAGACCAGGAATCGGTGGGCCAGCGTCGAGGAAGGTAACCGTAAGTCGCCTCGAAAGCCGACAGAGACGTGGAAACAGCAACGGAAGAGTTAAGAGCGAACTCAGCTTCAACAAGACGAGATGCCCAAGCCTCGTGGTTTGACGACACCATGATGCGCAGGGTTTGGGTGACCATCTTGATTCGGTTCTCACTCGATCCGTCGGTCTCTGGGTGCGCCGCTGTTGACATCCGCAAGACGGTGCCGACCTTCGCCTGCAATGCTCGCCAAAACTGCGAGGTGAACTTGGGATCGCGATCGGAAACGATGGCGGAAGGCGTCCCATGCAGTCGAAAGATGGTGGCGTAGTACCTGTCGGCAACGAGCTCGGAGTCGGCGTCGGCTGGGAGGGGAATCAGGTGGACCATCTTGCCCCAAGTGTCAGTGACCACCATGATTTGAGCGACCATCATCCCTTCGAACTCGACCGGAGGCAGTCCCGTCATGAAGTCGATGGCCACTTGTTCCCATGGGCCAGAAGGGATCGGCATCGGATGCAGTCGGCCATAAGGGACTTGAGTGGACGCTTTGCCTCGGGCACAATCTTCGCATGAATGGCAGAACTTGGCGCAATCGGCAGACATGGACGACCACCAATACAAAGGACGTATGGCGGCCAAGGTGATGCGATGTCCCGCGTGCCCGACGCTCCGATGGATCTCCGAAAGCACGAGCTCGCGCAGCGATGGGAGCTTGTCGGAGTCGACAACGCCGGTAGCGAGACCGCGAGGCACAAACAGGGAAAGAGACTCATCTGGATGTACACGCAAGATCCTCCCTTCCTCGGTCACCCGAAACATCGGCCATGACAGCGGGTCGTCAACAATGACTTGGGCTTGCGAATCGTGGGCGTAGGCTCGGATGACGGCGTCGAGGAAAGGTTGCGGCAGCGGGTCGGGCGGTCGATGGACTACAGGGGCGTCGTTGACCTCATCGGCGGCGGCTCCCAGTAAGTCGAGTTCATCGGCGTCGGCATCGACTGGAATGGGCGCGTCGTTGGCGGGGGCCGCGGCGATAGCATGAACTCGATTGACGGCGATGGGAGGAGAAAGGGGACCGGTAGAAGAGTCGACGGCGTCCATAATGTTCTCGGCCAGACGATGGGAACCGGGAGAGCCTGCGTCGTAGCCGTGATCCCAGGGCCCGAAGGCACAATCAACAGGGGGCAACCGATCGTGCGAAGGTGAGGTGTAAGGACGTTCCTCAGGGAGGCTCTCACCAGGTGTAGTGAACTCGTGGCATTCTTCCTTCAAGAACAAATTCCCTAAATCCCGTCCATTCACGTCCTCGTCTTGCGATTCGTCCTTGAGCGCGTAGTATCCGGGAGAGCCTGCCTCGCAATCGTCGCGTTGGGGCCCGAAGGCAAAATCAACAGGAGGCAACCGATCGGGAGATGGTGAGGTGTAAGGACGTTCCTCAGGGAGGCTCTCACCGTGTGTAGTGAATCCGTGGCGTTCTCCATCAAAGAACATATCCTCCAACTCATTCTCCTTGACCTGATCCTCGGGCGATCCCTCCTTGACTTCCCACAAGCGTGACAACGAATCGGCAAGGGAGTTGTTCTTGCCCGCAATGAATTCGAATTCGAAGTCGAAACGGCTGAGTTCGAGACACATGCGGATGTGCCGGGGTGTTTGGCGTAACTTCTGCGTTTTAATCGTGCGAAGGGCTTGGTGGTCGGTGACGATGACGAAGGGGTAACCGATCAAGTGCTGCTCGAACGCCCGACACGCCGAAACGACGGCTAAGAACTCCTTATCAGTGACGTGATAATTGAGCTGAGCGCCATTGAACTTAGCGGAGAAGAATCGCGTAGGAATGGCCTGCGAACGAGTGGGGCCCGAGGCCAGGCAAGCGCCAATGCCAACACGACTGGCATCGGTGAACAAGTAGATTTTGTGCTCGCCGGAGGTGACCTTAGCGCCGTCGATCGGTCGCAGTGTTGCTGGCACGAGGGACTTGACGGTGTCGAAGGCCTGCTGCTCGCGCTCGTTCCAACGCCACGACGTCGATTGCGCTAATAATGCGGTGATGGGCTCCAAGGTGATCGAGAGGTGGGGCAGGTGATCTCGCATCCAATTCACGGTGCCGAGGAAACGCTGAACGTCGGTCTTGTTGTGTGGAGTCGGCCACTGTCGGATACGCTCCCACTTGGCCGGGTCGACCTCGATGCCGTCGTCGGAGATGATCGCGCCCAAGGAATCTAACGACTTTGAGAACCACTCGGATTTGTTGGATCCTAAGTAGAACCGATAATGTCGCAGTGTCATCAGCAAAATCTCGATGTGTCTTAAGTGCGCGCGACGAGTATCGGAATGGACGTGAACATCGTCGAAAAAGATCTTGGCAAACGAGAGGCACGGCTGAAACATCGCCGATGTCAACAAGTTCAGGGTGTTGGGCGCATTGGTGTCCCCAAACTGCATCACCCGCGACGTGTACGTGCCCGTGACCGTGGCGAAGCCGGTGCGATCGACGTGCTCGGGTATGACCCGCACCTGCTCAAACGCTGCGGCCACGTCGAATTTGGACCGGTAGCGCGAACGTGCCACTTCGTAGCGAACACTGGTCATGTCGGGGATAGGTGAAAAACGCTTGGCGGTGTTGCTGTTGCGAGCGCGGAGGTCGATCACAAAGCGAGCGGTCTGGGAGTTCTTTTTCGGAATGGCGAAGACCGGAGCCGCAGAGTCGATCGGACCAGAAACCCAGAAGCGACCGCGAGTGTACTTAGCTGAATGCTCCGCCCACTGGCTACGATATTTGTCGGCAAGGGGATAGACCCTCGGCTTGACCTTCTCGTTGGGGTCGATCAAAGGGATTTCGTGATTGACGGGTCGATAAGGCGGGAGTCGGTCCATTGGGAGCGAATCTACGAACACATCAGAGTATTTCTCGAGTAAGGCAGCCAATCGTGTTCGTGCTTCGGACTCAGACAAATCCTCGAGCGCCGGGTCGTCGACGACATCCAGTAGAGGGTTGTGCGGCTCGAGGCCAATGATCTCGTCGTCAGGAAGCAACCCTGGGTGATCGTAGCCAATGGCAGAGCCGGAGCAGATGGGCGCCACCGTGACTGCGCGATCCCACTCGTGAGTGCCCTTGGCGACCGGCTGCGAAGGGCCCGGCCGTGCGACGGTGAAGACGCCCCAGCCTACCAGCATGCCGGTGTCCTTCAGAAACGGCAAACCCAGGATAGCATCATATGCCGTCACACGGCAAATGAAAAACGCCCGCAAGCCGAGGTCGAGGGAACCGGACGTGAAGAGGGCGTTGGCAAACACGGCGCAGCGGTCAGATTTGTCGCGAGTGCCGAGGCGCAAGTGCAGCGGCGCGGTAAGGCGGGACGTCGTGAAACTCGGGTCTGTTCGCACGACATCCTGATCCACCAAGTCCACTTCCGAACCAGAGTCGACGAGGCAACGCAGCGTTCGCCCAGACGGCAACGTCCACGCAATAATATTGCGGGCGCGCACAATCGCGGGCTCGGCGGGTCGGGCGAAGTCGTCGACGTCGATCAGGGGCGTGTCGGACTCCAAGAGAGAAACCCCCAACGGCACCGGAACACGAACAGAGCTCACCGATGCAGTCCTCTCCGCTTTGCGCGACGACACCACCTCCGGCCCCCAGTATCGCCGCATTCGCGACGCGGCATCAGCATAAGAGGGGACGTCTTCCACCGCGTCAAACGCAGAGTCGGTCGAGTCATCGGCAAGACGACGTAGATCTGCATCACTTGCCGGCGCGGTTGGCTGCGGATTACTTGATGAGACTTCGACGTCGACTGAAGAAGAAGCCCCTTCTTTCATTCGGCCAACGGGGTCTGCGGGAGGGCAAGAAGGGCGCGTCATTGAAGCGGAAACGGAACTCAAAGGTCGAGTCTGAACACGCTCGAGTGAAATGGGGACTCTCACCTCGGGATCCTCGTCACCACCTGCGACCGAGGACCAATCTTCGTCATCCAAGTCGGCCACAGCGACCGCTGAGAGTTGGACGGCGACCGGGGATTGACGCTCCGCGGTGCAGTGCTGCGAGAAATGACCGCCTCGTCCGCAGTTGAAGCAAGCCATGCTGGTGGGTACCCCGCTGGGCGCCGGGGAAAACCAGGTGGAGCGGTCCTTCCACAAGTGCGATTGCTGCCACTTAGTAGCGCGGTCGACCCATCGAGCTCGTCGGATCGGGAACCTCTCGTCGACGGTGGGCGTGTTGGTCGCAGGTGGGCTCACTCGGGGAGCTTTGACGATCGCGCCATAGGTCGCGGTGCGGCTTGGTGGGGTCGGAACCGAAGGCGGAGGAGAAATGTCGTCGGCGATAGCGGCCCACTCGGTAATCTCGTCGATGGACGGGACCTTCAGTCCGAATCGCCCAATTGTCACCAGCGAGTTGTCGTGGTATTCACGTAACATTCCCGCCCGCACTTCCCGCTTGGAGGAGTCACTGAGCGATTGGTAGAAGGTCGTGGCGAGCTGAAGCGGCGACAGGGTGAAACTATCGTTGTCGTGCACGAAGGCACGGTACCGCGCCCGCCACTCCCCGACATGGTCGTAAGCCCGAGACGACGACTGGCGACATCCGTGGAAGTCTTGAGCCACTCTATCGGCGAACCCGGGGTCGGGCCAACGACGTCCCACTGCCTTCATGAGCGACGTCCAACAATGAGGGCGCCCTTCTCCAAGCGCGTCCCTCATCGCCTCGATGGCCCAATCGAGCGGGGATTGGCGGCGCTGTCGGGTTGTCGTACGAAAAAATAGCGTCGCCACAAGCTGGATCACTCGGCTCGTGTCGAAAAGGTCGGAGGTGGAGATGTCGCACAAGAGAGAAAGATACGACTCCCCAAACGCAGTGAAAATCACCAACCTTTCCGGATGATCTCCGGTCCATAACCCTTCCCGGTCCGGCAATGTCCCTCTCCAACGAGAGCTAATCACCGCCGAGGAAGGGCCGTCCCTAATTCCGCTGTGAGATTCCCCCCCAGGGGTACGAGCAAGGGGGTCAGCGGCAGCTCCCGGGCGTCCCAAAAATGTGTGCGGGGGGACGTCCAGGGGGACCGGTCTCACCGGCAGAGCCTCCCCGACCTGCGCCCCAGCAGGTGCGGTGGATTCTCTCATCAATCGTTCCACCATCTGCTCCAATTTGCGGATGCGTGTCTCCGAGTCGCGGCGCAGGGCTTCCGATTCTGCGAGGCGGGATTCAAGGGACGTGATGACGGCGGCGGCCTGGAGCGGGTGCGGCGAATGCGTCGGCGGGGACTTAGGCGGATTCGCGCGCGAGGGGTCTTTGCGGACGGGGGCGGTGGTGTCTCGCGACGTGTCGGTGGGTTCGGCCATGGCGAGTTCGCGGCGTAGCGGTTGGCGGTTGTGGGGAGAACGGATGCGAGCTCGAGAAGGATGGAAGAAGGGGTACGAAGGGATGACGCGTTCGTCGTCGGACTCAGTGAATGAGGTGGCGAATGACCACGACGCGTCAGCGGGGGATGAGTTCGGCAACGGGGAGGAAGCTGACGACTCAGGGGTAGTGGACGATTGCTCGTCCAGGATGCAGGATAGAGCAAGGGCAAGCGAGATCGAAGGTTGGCGGTGCCGGACTTGAAAAAAGTGGCAGGCAACGTCCTCTTCAGAAGACGTTGACTACACGCGGAGGAGGGGATCAGGCCGAAGGAAGGTCGACTGGGCGGGGGCAGGCGACCGAGGGACAACCGAGGAGGGGACGCGGTTGTGAGGCTCGCAGCAAGTCAAGTATATCGGACTTTATTGCCAACGAGATCGAAAACGAAGGATGAAGGTGAAGGGATCTTGGGAGATGTAGCGGACCAGGCTGAGTGGGAAGGTGCTAAAAACAAAAGGGAGGCACTCAGGCGCAGAGGGGACTTAGCCAATTCAGCTACTCCAAGAGGTCGCCTCAGGGGGAAAAAGGATTGCTCGCGGGAGCACCGGTAAAAACCCTGAGGCCGCGCCTCAGCTAACAAAAAGAACAAAAACCGAGAGAAGATTGCGCTCTGCGCGCCTTGAACCCGCGACCATTAAGTGCGCGCCCGCGCGCCGAACGACTACGCCATCACGCCCACAATGCTTGAATGGAGGGAAGCATTTGGTGACCTCAACTCTACCTGCACATTACCTCAGGGACTTCCTTCGAGTGTTGCTGTCAGTGTATCGCTGTTTGCCTGACATACGCCATCGCACCGACGATGCTGTGAAACGAGGCAAGCCTCTGGTCAAGTCAACTCTACCCGCACATAGCCTTGGGGGGCTTCCTTCGAGTACACGCTGTCATCCTGACAGACTTCATGCCATCAGGAACTGCCAGGTTCTTTGTCGAAAGATAGACGTAACTGCCGGTCCGAAAGGCGGGGTCGTCTGGGTGTCGATGCTTGTTGGCCTGATGGGACTGGTTGAGGCGTGCTCCAATGATCACATCCGTCACGTCGAGGTTCCGTAATTGTCGGATCCGAGCAAACGCTTCCGCACGAGGGACGTCCGAGACAGACCAGGAATCCGAAGGCCAGCGTCGAGGAAGGTAGCCGTAGGTTGCCTCAAAAGCCGACAGCGACGTGGACACAGCAACAGAAGAGTTAAGAGCGAACTCAGCTTCAACAAGACGAGATGCCCAAGCCTCGTGGTTTGACGAGACCATGATCCGCAGGGTTTGGGTGACCATCTTGATCCGATTCTCACTCAATCCGTCCGTCTCGGGGTGTGCCGCGGTTGACATTCGCAAGACGGTGCCAATCTTTGCCTGCAATGCCCGCCAAAACTGCGAGGTGAACTTGGGATCACGGTCGGAAACGATGGCGGAAGGCATCCCATGCAGTCGGAAGACGGTGGCGTAGTACTTCTCGGCAACGAGCTCCGAGTCGGCGTCGGCTGGGAGGGGAATCAGGTGGACCATCTTGCCCCAAGTGTCAGTGACCACCATGATTTGAGCAACCATCCTCCCTTCGAGCTCGACCGGAGGCAGTCCTGTCATGAAGTTGATGGCCACTTGTTCCCAAGGACCAGAAGGGATCGGCATCGGATGCAGTCGGCCATAGGGTGACAGGCAACGTCGGAGGGGATGACGATGACTACACGCGAGAGACGAGGGAGAGAGCGAGAGAGCGCGCGAAAGCGCGAAGAAGCGAAAGGGGGGTCGACCGAGAGGCAACCGCGGAGGATACGCGGCTGCAAGGCTCGCAGCAAGTCCAGTGTACCGAACTATGGTGGCCAACGAGGTCGGACAGAAGAGGGAGGGCAAACGATCCAAGAGATAGCTGACCAGGCCGATGGGAAGGTCGAGTCGGCTGGGCGGCGGAAGTCGACCGAGAGCAACCGAGGAGTGGATTCGGTCGGAAGGCTTCGCAGCAAATCAAGTGTAACGGACTTAATTGCCAGCGAAATGGGTAAAAAGAGGGAGGGTACGAGTCTAGAAGAGTTGACCAAGCTCTGGGGGAAAGGTGGCAAAAGCAAAGGGAGGGAAGTGCTCTGAGCGAAGGAAAGACTGAGTCAAATAACTACACCACGAGGTCGCTTCAGGGGTAAAAAGGATTGCCTGCAAGGCACCGGTAAAAACCCCGAAGCCGGGCCTCGGATAACAAAAAGGAAAAGAAACCAAAAGGCCAATCGCGCTCCGGGCGGATCGAACCCTCGACCACTGAGTGCGCGCCCGCGCGCCCTCACGACTACGCCATCGCGCCCACGATGCTTGCAACGAACGAACCGGTAGCTGATGTCGACTCCGGCCGCAAACTTGGGAGACTTTACACACACACACGTGAGTTTCTGTGGTGTAGAGTGAGTAGTTGACCTCCAAGCCCGTTAAGCTTTACAGGTCAACACAAACACGCGATGCCGGATCCGCCCGGCGCCGATGCGCCCCCGCCCGAGGACCTATTGGGTGGTAATGGCGCAAGTGATTCATCACTCAACACGCAAACGCGTGAAGCGGTCACTGGAGGAACCGCGAATCCTCCAGCTTGGTCGCCCGAGGCAACTCAGGTCCGGTTGGACCATGAGAAGCTGATGAAGAAGACCTTCCAAGTGCTCGGGATTGTTCCCTCCAGCAAGTCGACCCGCCGACTGATGGTCCTGATGCACGACGCCTCGACCCCGCCTTCGCAGGCGCCAGCGCTCGCACGAGCCGCCCAAAGAGCGGTGCGAAACGACGCAGCCCCGGCCTCCAATGTGATTCGAGTCATTATGGATGGTCCTGGATCACCCAGAGGTCCTGTACAGACCGCGCTGCGCAAGCACTTTGGATTGGCCGAGACGCCGTTCATGTTCGCGCGGCCCGAGGGCGTCGTGCTTGACCCCGAGGTCGAGAAGCTTTTCTCGAAATGCGTGAAGCTGAACCCGATTGTGACGAAAGCCACGAAGAGGTTCCCGATCGCTCGTCACATGTACGAGCTTGTATTCGAATCCGAGCAAGCTTGTCTTGAAGCCGCTTCAGCGGGCCCATTCCCCTACCACGGCAAGGAGATGGTTACCGAGCTCCCCAGCGCCTCTCCCCTTAACCACGTCGTGCAGGTGCGATTCACCTTGCCCTCCTCCTCCAGCGCGATCCCCGCTTCCGTGCTCCGAAAATCTCTCGATGATGCTATCACCCTTTCGTTCGGCCGCGCAGGTCGCACGCAAGGTTATACCCTGATGCAATTACAGCGGGGCCTCGCGGTCGATCCGAATGGTGATCCGATGGCCATGACCGAAGACGGGTTCCACTGCGCGTACCTTCGCTTACATGCTGATCTTTTCCAAGGCTCCATCGAGACGCAGAAGGGTGCGCTCAACGCCGCTTTGCCACAAGAGATCGAGATCCTGGGCGCCAAGTACGGCTTGCGACACGAATTCGAGACGCACTACTGCGCGGTGTGCGATCGCGCCGGACACCAGTGGGGCGCTTGCAGGAAGCCGGTTTCGACTCCGGCCACCGCCGCCCCTGTTCCGGGGGCCTCGACCTCGACTTCGACTTCGACCACCGGCTTCCGAGTTGCTGGAAAGAATGGGAAGCACGGTGGGCCTGCCGCATTGAACTCTCGTGTCTCTGGCGCGAACATGATCCAGCTGGGACCTCGTGCTAACCCCGCAGGTGCAGTAACCGCCAACAAGGACGACGCGAACGACGGCGACGACGAGTCGGTCGTTTCGACCGAACCGGAGGGCGGCGACACTGGGGAAGAGACGTCGACGCGTGCGACCCTGGGCTCAACAAAGGAGACGCAGACGACGACGGCGGCGCCCGTTTCGACCCCGACCTCTCCTTCGCCTTTGTCCGGTGGCACGTCGGGATCATCGGCAACCTCGACAACCTCGATAGCCTCGACGAGTCCTCGACGCCTTCGTTCGAGCTCGGCACCCGGCAACCGACGTGTCACCCGGGCGGGATCCGCCATGATCCTCGGTGCATCAGGGGGTGATGGCTCAGGGGGTCACAGGTCCGAGGTGACCGAATTCGAGGGGGGCGGCGCTGAACTGATTTAATCATGATTGAGTCACTCACCGTGTTGACGTTCAACGTCCGATCGATGAAGAACGCAGTCAACCAAGTCAAAATCATCCGTTATCTCAAAACCCTTCGGCCGGCCCCTGCGGCCATCCTCCTGCAAGAGCACCACCTCAGCTACAACGCGTCGCGCGAAGGCTTCGAGAGTGCTTGGCCGGGGGCTTGTATTCGTTTCACTCCTCATGTCCTTACCCTCATACCCGATGGCTCACCTTTGGCGGGCCATCTCCTTTCCTCTACCCCGGTCGTCTTTGCAGGAGCTCCTCGTTTCGACGGTCGGATTCTGCGCTCGGTGTTTCGTCTTGAGGAGCTCGATGTCGAGATCATCAACATGTACGCGCCGGTGCAGGAGGACGATCGTCGCGACTTTTTCGGGCTTCTGCACTTCAACGCCCCGAGACCCAAGATTCTTCGGATCTTGGCCGGCGATCTCAACGATTGTCCGGATGTATCGGTCGACCGAGTGTCCATCACCGATCGCGCTTGGACTCCTGTATCGCACTGGCAGACCTTGCTGTCAAAGATCGCGTTCAAGGCACTCGACACGGTCCGACATGTCCATCCTTGCACCCCTGCATTCACTCGTCCTCACTACCGTGGTAGAGGGGAAGAGCGAAAGATTTGCTCGTGGTCGCAGATCGACTATATTCTTGTCCAATGCAGTTGGGCGAACCGGTTGTTGAGCGCTTCTACGCTCTTCGATGCGCCCTGTTCGGACCACAGACCTGTAGTTGCGACTTTCGCTTTGCCTACATCGAACGCTGATGCCGAACCCCCCCTTTCTCTTCCCTCCACGAGCGATTTCATTTCGAGGCTCAACCCAATGGTCTTTGACGATCAAGACTTTGTCGCATCGATTCCCGGGGTCGTCGACGAGGTCTATCAAAGGCTCGAGGGGACCGCTCCGCTCGGCGACGTCTATGACGCCGCTCTGCGGGCGGTTGCAGTCGCTGGCCATGCACGATACCGCTCGACTCGTGCCGACATGCGCCGACTGCGGGCCGAGAGCCAATCCGTCATGGAGGCTTTGGAGGCACGCGGTGAGCACATGAATGAGGCCGAGCGCGATGCGTATGCTCTTGCCAAGTCGCGGTTGGACCAGTTGGCGGTAAAGGAGGCTCAGTGGCTGCGCATTCGTGCGCATGTGCCGTCAGTCGACTCGAGGGAAGGTCAATCGGCAAGCATTCGCATGCGCCTCAACCGCCGGAGTCGCCAGACGAGCATCGTCTCGCTGGAGGATGTGGATGGCACCGAGACCGTTGACATGCAGGAGGCGCTGGGTATTGCTTCACGGCACGCGCAGTCGCTCTTCACGCCGGACCCAGCTCGTGGCGACCCGACGAACGCACGCCGGTCCCTGCTCGACCCTATTCGCGCAGCGAAATGCTACGATGACGACCGCTCGGACCCTACGTTCGGTCGTCGGCTGCCTCGTCAAGCGAGAGTGGCGCTTGACGAGCCCTTCACCCTCCTCGAGGTTGAAGCGGCGTTGAAGAAGACGGATTCGGGGCGATCACCGGGGCCCTCGGGCATTCTGTCAGGAGCACAGCCTGCACTGCCATCAATACTCGAAGGAAGTCTCCCAAGTTTGCGGCCGGAGTCGACATCAGCTACCGGTTTGTTCGTTGCAAGCATTGTCGGCGCGATGGTGTAGTCGTGAGGGCGCGCGGGCGCGCACTCAGTGGTCGAGGGTTCGATCCGCCCGGAGCGTGATCTGCCTTTTGGTTTCTTTTCCTTTTTGTTATCCGAGGCCCGGCTTCGGGGTTTTTACCGGTGCCTTGCAGGCAATCCTTTTTACCCCTGAAGCGACCTCGTGGTGTAGTTATTTGATTCAGTCTTTCCTTCGCTCGGAGCACTTCCCTCCTTTTGCTTTTGCCACCCTTCCCCTAGAGCTTGGTCCACTCATTATCATGACTCGTACCCTCCCTCTTTTTACCCATTTCGCTGGCAATTAAGTCCGTTACACTTGATTTGCTGCGAAGCCTTCCGACCGAATCCACTCCTCGGTTGCTCTCGGTCGACTGCCGCCGCCCAGCCGACTCGACCTTCCCATCGGCCTGGTCAGCTATTTCTTGGATCGTTTGCCCTTCCTCTTTTGTCCGACCTCGTTGGCCACCATAGTCCGGTACACTGGACTTGCTGCGAGCCTTGCAGCCGCGTATCCTCCGCGGTTGCCTCTCGGTCGACTTCCGCCGCCCAGCCGACTCGACCTTCCCACCGGCCTGGTCAGCTATTTCTTGGATCGTTTGCCCTCCCTCTTCTGTCCGACCTCGTTGGCTACCATAGTTCGGTACACTGGACTTGCTGCGAGCCTTGCAGCCGCGTATCCTCCGCGGTTGCCTCTCGGTCGACTGCCGCCGCCTCGGTCGACACCCCCTTCGCTCCTTCGCGCTTTCGCGCGCTCTCTCGCTCTCTCCCTCGTCTCTCGCGTGTAGTCATCGTCATCCCCTCCGACGTTGCCTGTCACATTCCGTACGAGCTCTTCAAGGCGCTGCCAACCTACTTTGCTCCCAAGCTGTTGGACTTGTTCAACTCGATTTGGGAGGGCGGCAAAATGACGGCGTCCTTGGCAGAGGGGCTGGTGCGGCTCTTGCCCAAGAATAAACCGGGGGCCAATCTGAAATCACTGGGGGCATACCGACCGATCACATTGCGCGAGACGACCTACAAGGTCCTCAGCAAGGTCTTGGTGGCGCGACTCAATGGGGTGCTCGGCGAGCTTTTGCCGCCGGCGCAACACGGCTTCATGCCATCAAGACGTTCAGCGGACGCGGGAAGTCATCTCACTCTCCTTCTCGAAAAACTCAAGTCGCTAGGCACTGATGTTTTCCCCGAGGGCGCCCTCTTGTCTTTGGATCAGCAGAGCGCGTACGATCGGGTCGATCACGCCTGGATCTTCGAGGTCTTTGAGGCCTTTGGGTTCGGTGAGCGTTTCATCTCGCTGCTGCGCGCTCTCTACGATCCCGAGACTCTGGGGGTGCGCTACCTTGTCAATGGGTTCCCCACGGACTTGGTGCGGTTGCTGTGTGGTCTCGGTCAGGGGGATCCCCTCTCGTGCCCGGTTTGGAACATCACGTTCCAGCCCTTCCTCGACGCCCTCGTTCGGCGCGGGATCGCGCTCGACCTGCAGAAGGTGTGGCCAGGGGGGCCGCGTGCGCAGCTTACGCATCTGGCGTTTGCCGACGATGCTGTGGTGGTGGTGGAGTCACCGGCGGCATTGTCGAAGCTGCAAACGCTGTCGCAGACGTGGTACGAGGCTACCAACGGGAAGACCAACACGGACAAGACGCTGGTGCTACCACTCGGACCGAACTGGCTTCGGGACGAGACTGCGCAGGCGCTGCCAACGGTGCAGGAGGGGGAGAGCTTCAAGTGGTGCGGCTATGCCTTCTTTCGCCACGGTGACTCGAAACTGTTTTGGACCCATGTTCTTGACAGGATCAAGGCCAAGGCCCGCGCCGCTCGAGACCGGACACTTTCGCCGAGTGGGAAGGTTTTCTATGCCAACGCTCACATCATCTCGACGGTCCTCCACGTGCTGTCCTTCGACATACCGCCTCAATGGTTCATTAAGGCGGCGGAGACGGCACTTACGGACTTTGTCTGGGGAGGAGCAGGGCGAAATACCGTCGCTCGCGATTTCGTGTTCCAGGCTCGGGAGGACGGTGGCTTGGGTTTGATTTCGATTGGCGACATCGTTCATTCGGTGGCGCTTCGATTTTGGGATGCTGTGGCGGGCTCGGACGAGGCGATCTGGGCGCCCCTAGCTCGCGAGAGCTGGAGGTCCCTCGTCGCTGCGACCCGCGATTTCAGTCCGTGGGGGTTCTTCAGCAGCACGGCTCGGGTCGAGAAGCTGTATCGCGACTCGACGCGCTGGGGGGCAGTCGTTGCAGCGGCCAGGGTCACAGTTCCAACCATCAAGTCCGAACTCCTTACGCTTCCCGAATTGCTCTCGCTTCCGCCTCGCCTCCCTTCACTCTATGCTGAAGGTGCCCAGCACGCATATGACGATGCGGACGCGGTGGCGAAGTTTGCGCAGATCGCGGACCTGTACTGGAGGGACGAAGGGAAGGGATGGGCTCTGGTTGGTCATCGACGCGGGTTCTGGCAGCACTCTAAGGAACCCGCCCTACAGCACGAGCACGTGTGGTCGCGCGTGGGTCAGTTGCTCAAGGCGAAAGCGTTGCTGCCCAAGACCGCGTTGCGACCTGCTCGGATACCTCTCATGGAGGCTCCCCGTCCTCGGTGCTTCAACTTCTTTGGGCTCTCCCGACCTTTTACGATTCGCAAGCTATGAAGGAACAATATACCACTGCACCAAAAGGCGAGGCACCTCTACTTCAGTGAGCGCATATTGTCCTAGAAGTGAGATGGAGCGAAGTTCAACACCCCCCTGTGCGCGAAGCTGAAGAGCTTGTGGCAGTGGGTGCGGCTGTGAGGCAACTGGGCATGTTGATCAGGTCGCTGGGCAAGTGCAGCTTGGGCACTGTGAGCACTGTCGATGCGCCAGGGTGCTTGGCACGCTGCTGGGCAAGTGCGGGGGCCGGGACGCTGAGTGTATGCGCGCAAAATTGCCTGACCCCAGGGGGGATTGAACTCATGACCTGCTGGTTGCTCTGGGCTCATAACCTATGAAGGAACAATATACCACTGCACCAAAAGGCGAGGCACCTCTACTTCAGTGAGCGCATATTGTCCTAGAAGTGAGATGGAGCGAAGTTCAACACAAGCTTCGTCGGCTTGTGAACAAGGTGCGGTTCCCAGGGAGGGAGGACCGTGTCAAGCGTTTCCCTGATGGGACTTCTCAGAGCGATAGGAAGCGCTTCTGGAGATGGCTTCATGACCGGTTCGCGTCTGCTGTCGAGCAGGACACCCACTGGCGGCTCATGTACGACGTGACGCCGACGCGCAAGAGGCAGCATACTCAGGGTCATGCCTCTTCGCCGACGTGTCTGTTCTGTGGCAACGATGCAGCGGTCATCGAGACGGTGTCCCACTACTTTTTCGAGTGCGCGTACTCGACCAGCTTCTGGGGTGGGGTGCTACGCATTCTGCTTGACAAGCTCGGCATCGAGGATACCGACGTCGATCCGTCGACGTTCACTCCGGAGCAGCTGACTATGGGGCTCCCCCTTTTGCGGGGTCGTGGGAGAACGACCTCGAAATGGATGTGGGTTCGGCTGGCCTGCGCGATCGGTTTCCAGCGGCTGCACCTGCTCCGCTGGCGCGTTCATCAGCGGTTCGAGCTGGACAACGTCGTGGCCCCTCCCTCGCTTCCCAGTGCGCTCAGAGCGTTCGAGCGAGATTGACAAGCGACGTCGGAGGGGATGACGTCGTCTACACGCGTTGGTACGGGGGGGGATTTCTGGAAGTGTCGGCTGTTGCGGCGGCAGTCGACAAGGGAGCAACCGAGGAGGGGAGTCGGTCGAAAGGCTCGCAGGAAATCAAGTGTAACGGACTTAATTCCCAAACGATCGACAAGAAGAGGAGGGGCAACAAAAGAGAAGAGCGGACCAAGCTCCCGGGGAAAGGTGGTAAAACTAAAGGGAAGGGACTGTGCCAGGCCCAGAGGGGACTTAGCCAAATCAACCACTCCAAGAGGTCGCCTCAGGGGTAAAAAGGATTGCTCGCGGGAGCACCGGTAAAAACCCTGAAGCCGCGCCTCGGTTAACAAAAAGATAAAACAAACCGAAAGAAGACTGCGGTCTGGGCGCCTCGAACCCGCGACCACCGAGTGCGCGCCTGCGCGCCTCACGACTACGCCATCGCACCGACGATGCTGTGAAACGAGGCAAGCCTCTGGTCAAGTCAACTCTACCCGCACATAGCCTTGGGGGGCTTCCTTCGAGTACACGCTGTCATCCTGACAGTTTCGTGATCGACCTCCGCGCGCGCAACAGCAACACCGTCAAGCGTTTTTCGCCCATCCCGGACATGACCAATGTTCGATACGAGGTGGCTCGATCGCGTTATCGCTCTAAATTCGACGTGGCCGCGGCATTTGAGCAGGTTCGGGTCATACCGGAGCACGTCGATCGCACCGGCTTCGCAACGGTGACGGGCACGTACACGTCGCGGGTCATGCAGTTTGGTGACACCAATGCGCCCAATACCCTCAACCTCTTAACCTCGGCGATGTTCCAGCCGTGTCTCCCGTTCGCCAAGATCTTTTTCGACGATGTCCACGTCCATTCCGATACCCGTCGCGCGCACTTGAGACACATCAAGATCCTGCTGATGACATTGAGACATTACCGGTTCTACTTAGGATCCAAGAAGTCCGAGTGGTTCTCAAAGTCGTTGGACTCCTTGGGCACCATCATTTCTGACGTCGGCATCGAAGTCGACCCCGCCAAGTGGGTGCGTATCCGTCAGTGGCCGATCCCTTGCAACAAGACCGATGTCCAGCGCTTCCTCGGCACCGTCAACTGGATGCGAGATCACCTACCGCACCTCTCAAAGATTTTGGAGCCGATCACCGCGTTAATGGCGCAAGCGACGTCATGGCGTTGGAACGAGCGAGAACAGCAGGCTTTCGATACCGTCAAGTCCCTTGTGCCCGCCATCCTACGACCGATCGATGGCGCCAAGGTTACCTCGGGCGAGCACAAGATGTACCTCTTCACGGATGCCAGTCGGGTTGGCATTGTAGAGTGTAGGTCGTGGAACTTTTCGGAACTGGGTGTAGCGACCGCTGGGGCTACTGTTGGGCGCGTCGACGTGGCTACGGTTGCGACGGACGGTCCGATTGGGAGAAGTCGCAAGGCGGCACAGACGCGGTCTGACGAGACGGCGGTGCGGCTGGACGATCTGTTCTCTACCGAAGATTAGCAGTCTGGCTAATGTCGGGAAGTGGTCGATATGATTTCAACTAACCTGTTCTCTACCGAAGATTAGCAGTCTGGCTAATGTCGGGAAGCGGTAGAGAAGAGGAAGGGAAGCACAAGGAGCGCGAGTCTGACAAGGTTCTAGCAAGCGGGCGCGCAAAGGATCTACTGCAAATCGGGCGGATGCGCTGCTAAGCATCAAGGGCAAACTCCAAGTGGGTCATTCGGGTGCTGAGAGGGGTCGTGTTGGACAACGGCCACGAGGGGAAACCTATCTACGATGTCGAGTGTTGGTGAGCGAGGGAGTCCATAGCGACGAGACTCAGGTTGCGAACGGCGGGCGTCATGCATGGGCGATACTCTTGATGGCCGATGGAACATGAGGACGGCGGCGGCAAGCTGCTGGTGACTAAGTGGAGGCATTGGCTCAGCAAGACTGGAGGGCAGACGGCCAGAGTCCCGGCGTGGAGGCGGCGGCGCGCGGGCGTGAGTTGAGCAGGCCGGCGCGAGGCAGGAGGGCGACGGCTTGGCTGCGAAGGCGAAGGCGCCGAGGTGAAAATGGGGCGGCGGCTTGGCTGCGAAGGCAAAGGCGCCGAGGCGAAAATGGGCGGACCTGACAACGGCGGCCCAAGGTTGAAGTGTTCGAACGCTTGTAGTAGAATGAAATTCAACAGGCATTGGCGCTTGTTTGGCGTCCGGGCCCAACCGTTCGCAGGCCGTTCCAACGCGATTCTTTTCCGCTAAGTTCAACGGTGCTCAGCTCAACTATCATGTCACTGATAAAGAGTTCTTGGCTGTCGTCTCGGCGTGTCGGGCGTTCGAGCAGCACTTGATCGGTTACCCCTTCGTCATCGTCACCGACCATCAGGCCCTTCGCACGATAAAAACCCAAAAACTGCGCCAAACGCCTCGGCACATCCGCATGTGTCTCGAACTCAGCCGTTTCGACTTCGAATTTGAATTCATTGCTGGCAAGAACAACACCCTGGCCGATTCGTTGTCGCGTCTGTGGGAGGTCAAGCAGGGTTCACACGAGGATCAGGTCAAGGAGAATGAGTTGGAGGACATGTTCTTTGATGGAGAACGCCACGAATTCACTACACCCGGTGAGAGCCTCCCTGAGGAACGTCCTTGCACTTCACCATCTCCCGATCGGTTGCCTCCTGTTGATTTTATGAGATGATCACCACTACTGTCAGGAGAAGTCGAGAGTCGAACAGAAGTGATCTATTTCAGCGTACCTATGAGATGATCACCACTACTGTCAGGAGAAGTCGAGAGTCGAACAGAAGTGATGAGAAGGAAGCTAAGAAATGGAAAGGGGGCCCGCGCTGGGATATGCCCAGGCGCGGGCGAAATCGCTGGAGCGCTGAGGCAGTCGCGCGCGGCTAAGTCCCCACTGCAAGGGCGGGCTAGCGGCGCGCGCCCGAAAACCGCCGGCGCCGGCGCGCTGAGGCACTCGCGCGCGCCTAAGTCCCCACCACAGGGGCCAGGCTAGCAGGCGCGCGCAACGACCGAGGCGCCCCTGTCGAGCTGAGAGTGGACTCTTCACACCCCCCCCCACGCGAATGCGAGGCAGATCCAAGCCGTGGGTGTCGAGTGCGAAGGCCTAGTGCGTAGCAGTGTGTCGAGAAAATCTTTGGGCCAAGAGCCTTTGTGAAGATGTCGGCCACCATGTTGCTGGTTCCCACATGCGAGAGTGAGATATCGCCCCGATTCACCATGTCCCGAACAAAGTGCTCGCGCAAGCGTATGTGTCGAGTGCCGGAGACACGGACAGGGTCGTGGGCAACTGCGGCAGCGGCTTCATTGTCAGTAAAAATGTGAGCCGGTGCAACAGGTTGGACATGGAGCTCCTCGAGCAGCTGACTGAGGTAGATCCCTTCCTTGCCAGCATGCGAGAGGGCGAGGTATTCAGCGTCGGTGGTAGAATCGGCAACTCGAGATTGACGCTTGGACGACCAAGACACGGCGGATCCGGCAATGTAGAAGACGTAGCCCATAGTGGACACTGTGAAGAGTCCACTCTCAGCTCGACAGGGGCGCCTCGGTCGTTGCGCGCACTTGCTAGCCCGCCCCCGGCGGTGGGGACTTAGACGCGCGCGACTGCCTCAGCGCGCCAGCGCCGGCGGATTCATGCGCGCGCCCGCTAGCCCGCCCCCTTGCGGTGGGGACTTAGGCGCGCCGGCGATTTCACCCGCGGCTGACTTAGGGATGTACATTGTCACGCGCCTGGGACTATCCCAGCGTGGCCCCCCCCTTTCTGTTTCTTAGCTTCCTTCTCATCACTTCTGTTCGACTCTCAACCTCTCCTGACAGTAGTGGTGAACGTCTCATAGGTACGCTGAAATAGATCACTTCTGTTCGACTCTCAACCTCTCCTGACAGTAGTGGTGAACGTCTCATAGGTTATAAGCCCACGAGCCACCAGCTGGCATGACCACGACACCACCCCTCGCGACGGGTGCCAACCCTCCGATTCCCGCCGAACAGCTCGCCGCACTTACATCGCTGCTGTCGGGTCTCACCGCTGCCGCTTCCGGCACTGCCACACCCGCCACGACGTCCGGCACCACTCGCACTGCCTTTCCAAAGCACGCACGCTTGGATGGTGCGAAGACCTTCGCGAACTGGACACGCCAACTTCGCCTGTGCCTAGCGGACGACATCCGCTCGTACGTCCTCGACGGTATCGCACCCGACGACTGGACACCTTCGCAACGCTCCGCTCGCGACGCCGTCGCTCGTGAGGTCCTTGCGAATTCGATTGACTCGGCCGAAGTCTCGGCAGTCCTCGACAAAATCCCTACCGCCGACCTGACAGCGCCGACAATCTACTCGACGCTGAAATCGCGGTACGCCCCTGACGACGCCACCCGCACGCTCGAGCTCTTCTCACGACTCTGGGGTTTCCGTCCCATGCCCGGCACGGTTGCCGAATTCGACGGGTGGATCATGGACTTCAAAGCCGTTGCGCAAGAGATCATCGACACAAAGACAACTATCAATGATGTTCTCGCCACACTCCTCCTTGCAATCGCCCACCCGTCCCTCGAGAGCTTCAAGGCGTCGTTCACCGATGAACAGCGCACGCAACGAACTCTCCCCGACATTGATTCGCTTGCCGACCGTATGCGAGTCCAACTTCGGTCAACGAACATCCCCAGCACTCAATCGGCCCTTCTTGCCTCGTCGTCGTCACGTTCTACTCGTCTCAAGTGTCTCGCCTGTCGCAGCCCTTCGCACCGAGTCGCGGAGTGCCCTACGAGGGCGCAACACCCGCCGCCAGGACCCTGTCGCTCCTGCAAGAAGAAGGATCACTGGTCTCTCGACTGCAAGAAGGCGCTCGAGGACGGCAAAAAGCCCGACACCGCTGACTCGACCGTCGACTCGCAACACCATGTCGGATGTCTCGCCACCGGTCTTCTCGCTCGTCGTCGCCAGCTTCGCAACCACTCTTTTGTCGTCGACTCGGGCGCCACTTCGCACATGGTCTCGGACAAGTCGCTGTTCACGACCTATCGCCATATCGCTCCTACGAAGATTGGTGGTATTGCAGGGGGCATCAACGCCATCGGAACGGGAAACATCGCCTTCATTGCCGCCTCGGGTCATCCGATCACGCTTACCGGCGTGCTGCACACTCCGGGCCTGTTTGTCAATCTTCTCTCGGTCTCTCGACTTTGCGACACCGACGATGTCCGTGTCGCCTTCACAAAACACGGCATCCACATTGACAAGGACGGCAACGACATCGCTGAAGGCGCACGACTCGACGAAGGGCTCTACTTGCTGGACGCTGATCATTCCAAATGTCAGCACCTTGCTCTCCTTTCTCGCTCACAGTCGTCCGTGCCCCTGCTGACTCTCCATCGCTGCCTCGGCCATCTCGCACCGTCCTCCATACAGAAGATGGTTGCCGCTGGTTTGCTGGAGGGTCTCAGGGCCGGATATAGTGACGAAGAGGTAGAGAAGTTTGTCTGCAATGCTTGCCTCAGCGCAAAGGGCCATCGTCTTCCCTTTCCCGATTCGGATTCGCACTCCTCAGAGAGACTCGGCCTTGTACACAGCGATGTGCTTTCCTTCCCCGAGCGGTCCTTGACTGGCAAACGTTACCTGGTCACATTCCTTGACGATTACTCGCGCAAACTCTGGGCCTACGCAATCGGACACAAAAGCGAAGTCTTCGGCATATTCAAAACTTGGCTAGCCGAGGTTGAACTCGAGACGGGTGCGACGCTGAAGGTCCTCCGAACCGACAACGGTGGCGAATACTGTTCGAGAGCGTTCACAGAGTTCTGCAAGACACGAGGCACCCGTCGACAATACTCTATCCCACGCACGCCTCAACAGAACGGTCGTGCAGAGCGGGTCAATCGTTCCATTGTCGAAGGCGTCCTTGCCCTCCTTGTCGACGCCCACCTACCCAAGACATTCTGGGAGGAGGCTGCAGCTTATTTCGTTTACTGCAAGAACCTGTGTCAACACGCGGCCCTGGACAAGGCAACACCAAACTCCGTCTGGCAGGGTGACCACACCACTGCCTCGGCGCTTCACCCGTTCGGCTGTACAGCTTGGCTTACGGTCGCGCCCGAACTTCGCTCCAAACTCGACCCGAAGGCGGTTCGCGTTTTTTTCACCGGCTACGACCTGGCTTCAAAAGCCTTTCGCTTCTACGACACTACAACACAGAAGATTATACTTGGCAGAAATGCCACGTTCCTCGACACTGAATTCCCCGGATTACATGGCGACCCCACTGAGCAAGACGGCGACACGCACTTCGCCAGCGCTCCCACCACCGAATCTCAAACCGTTGTCAAGACATGGACCCCACTAGTAAGGTCGGCGCACATGGACGTCTCATCCCCCCTTGATGATTCTGCCATGAGCGCCGTTGACGTGGCCCCAGGGTACACTGGCGGAACCTTACTTAACTTCACAGATGCCGAATCGTCCTCGTCACCGTCGCCTGCGTCGCCCTCATCACCGTCGTCTGCGCCATCGCCTGCACTTTCACCATCGTCGGCTGCGTCATCGTCACCCTCGGCCTTACCGACCGACTCTGAAGACTCCGCCGATCCCCTCGACCTCCTCGGCTCACAGCCCCAGGTTCGCCTCGATCTACAGGACGTGCACCACCCAGACTTCAGCACGTACCGCGAGCCCGCATCGGCTGAGGAGTCGCCCGACGAACTCGACCTCATTGGGCGCCACTCTCGCGACGAATCTCCGGACGAAATCGATTTCCTCACCCGACACCACCGCGCCTTCATCGCCATCGACGACGACACCTCTGACACAGAGGCAATTCAGCCAGTCAAGTCCATCACGAGCGACCCACAGACCTGGCGCGAGGCGATGTCTAGCGACAAGCGTGAAGTATGGGCCAAAGCCGCCACCGACGAGTTCACCTCCATGCGCGACGACTTCAAGGTCTTCACCATCGAGGACCGAGCCACGGTGCCCGCGGGTGCGACTATCGTTACATCCAAGTTCGTCTGGAAAACGAAACGGAACGCACTCGGCGAAGTCACTGGACACAAGGCAAGGCTGGTCGCGCAAGGCAATCGGCAACGCGACGGCATCGACTTCAACGAAACGTTCGCACCGGTCGCACGCTTCTCCTCGATACGCTCACTCCTCGCGCTGGCGGCCGCCAACGGCTTGCACGTGCACCAGGCGGACATCGACAAAGCATATCTGCATGGCGACCTTGACCACGACATCTGGATGACGGCACCGCGCGGCTTCGACCTTCCCAGCGACAAGGTGCTTCGCCTGCGACGCTCCATCTACGGGCTCAAACAGGCTGGCCGAATCTGGAATCGACACATCGACGCTTCGCTTCGGGCCCTCGGTTACACGGCGACGGGCACCGACCACTGCGTATACTCTTGGCTCGATGATCGTCAATGTCCACACTACATCGCACTGTACGTCGACGACCTCCTGATGATCAGCCCGGAACTGGCCGAAATCGAACGTGTCATCTCAGGCCTGGACCAACGCTACGGAGTCAAGCGCCTCGGCCCGGCCGAGTATATCCTCGGCATCCAGATCAGGCGGTTCGACGACGGCTCTATCGCCCTATCCCAGGAACGGTACATCATGGACGTGCTCGCTCGGTTCCACTTCGACACCACGACTCGCGGCACTACAGTTCCGATGACTCCCGGCCTTTCGCTCACTGCTATCCCGGGTCAAGGCACCGAACGGATCAGGTCATGGTATCTGCAGGCTATCGGCTCGCTCCTCTACATTTCGCTCGGTACCCGCCCTGACATCGCCTTCGCCGTGTCCTACCTGGCCCGCTTCGCCAACAACCCCGGTCGTCGTCATTGGATTGCGGTCAAGCACATCCTACGCTATCTCCGGGCCACGTATCGCAACGAACTCGTGTATGCTCGCGGCCAGGCTCGCATCACGGGTGTGGTAGGCTACTCCGACGCGAACTGGGGGGCCTGCATCGACACATCGGTGTCCACCATGGGCTACGTCTTCTACATCGCTGGCTCGGCCGTGTCCTGGTCGTCCAAACGCCAGTCTCGAGTTGCCGATTCGACCACCGACGCTGAATACCTCGCCCTCTCGCATGCTGGCAAGGAAGGGATTTACCTCAGTCAGCTGCTCGAAGAGCTCCATGTACAACCTGTTGCACCGGCTCACATCTTTACTGACAACGAAGCCGCTGCTGCAGTTGCTCACGATCCTGTCCGCGTCTCTGGCACTCGGCACATACGCTTGCGTGAGCACTTCGTTCGGGACATGGTGAATCGGGGCGACATCTCTCTCTCGCATGTGGGTACCAGCGACATGGTGGCCGACATCTTCACCAAGGCTCTCGGCCCAAAGGTCTTCTCAACGCACTGCTACGCCCTCGGCCTTCGCACTCGACACCCGCGGCTTGGGTCTGCCTCGCATTCGCGTGGGGGGGGGTGTGAAGAGTCCACTCTCAGCTCGACAGGGGCGCCTCGGTCGTTGCGCGCACTTGCTAGCCCGCCCCCGGCGGTGGGGACTTAGACGCGCGCGACTGCCTCAGCGCGCCAGCGCCGGCGGATTCATGCGCGCGCCCGCTAGCCCGCCCCCTTGCGGTGGGGACTTAGGCGCGCCGGCGATTTCACCCGCGGCTGACTTAGGGATGTACATTGTCACGCGCCTGGGACTATCCCAGCGTGGCCCCCCCCTTTCTGTTTCTTAGCTTCCTTCTCATCACTTCTGTTCGACTCTCAACCTCTCCTGACAGTAGTGGTGAACGTCTCATAGGTACGCTGAAATAGATCACTTCTGTTCGACTCTCAACCTCTCCTGACAGTAGTGGTGAACGTCTCATATGTTGAACTTCGCTCCATCTCACTTCTAGGACAATATGCGCTCACTGAAGTAGAGGTGCCTCGCCTTTTGGTGCAGTGGTATATTGTTCCTTCATAGGTTATGAGCCCAACGAGCTACCAGCTGCTCATGAGTTCAATCCCCCCTGGGGTCAGGCAATTTTGCGCGCATACACTCAGCGTCCCGGCCCCCGCACTTGCCCAGCGGCGTGCCAAGCACCCTGGCGCATCGACAGTGCTCACAGTGCCCAAGCTGCACTTGCCCAAGCGACCTGATCAACATGCCCAGTTGCCTCACAAGCCGCACCCACTGCCACAAGCTCTTCAGCTTCGCGCACAGGGGGGTGTTGAACTTCGCTCCATCTCACTTCTAGGACAATATGCGCTCACTGAAGTAGAGGTGCCTCGCCTTTTGGTGCAGTGGTATATTGTTCCTTCATAGACACCGACGTATCGACGCAGGCCCCCCAGTTCGCGTCGGAGTAGCCAACCACGCCCGTGATGCGTGTCTCGCCGCAAGCATAAACCAGTTCGTCGCGATATGTGGCCCGGAGATAGCGGAGGATGTGCTTGACCGCGATCCAGTGACGACGTCCAGGGTTGTTGGCGAAGCGGGCCAGGTAGGACACGGCGAAGGCGATGTCGGGGCGGGTGCCGAGCGAAATGTAGAGGAGCGAGCCGATAGCCTGCAGATACCATGACCTGATCCGTTCGGTGCCTTGACCCGGGATGGCGGTGAGCGAAAGGCCGGGGGTCATCGGGACTGTAGTGCCGCGAGTCGTGGTGTCGAAGTGGAACCGAGCAAGCACGTCCATGATGTACCGTTCCTGGGACAGGGCAATAGAACCGTCTTCGAGTCGCCTGATCTGGATGCCGAGGATGTACTCTGCCGGGCCGAGGCGCTTGACGCCGTAGCGTTGTTCGAGGCCCGAGATGACACGTTCAATTTCGGCCAAGTCGGGGCTGATCATCAGGAGGTCGTCGACGTACAGCGCGATGTAGTGTGGGCGTCGCCGATCGTCGATCCGAGAGTACACGCAGTGGTCGGTGCCCGTCGCCGTATAGCCGAGATCTCGAAGCGATGCGTCGATGTGTCGATTCCAGATTCGGCCAGCCTGTTTGAGTCCGTAGATGGAGCGTCGCAGACGAAGCACCTTGTCGGTGGGAAGGTCGAAGCCGCGCGGTGTCGTCATCCAGATGTCATGGTCAAGGTCGCCATGCAGATAGGCTTTGTCGATGTCCGCCTGGTGTGAGGAATCCACTCTCCGCTCGGCTCAGGACTTAGGCGCGCGGAGCGAACCGGGCGCGGACTTAGGCGCGCGGAGTGAGCCGGGCGCCCCGGCCCAGGACTTAGGCGCGCGAAGCGAGCCTGGGACTTAGGCGCGCGGAGCGAGCCTGGGCCATTGGCTCAGCCCCAGGCTCGCTGGCTGTGGACTTGGGGCGCGCGGGTCTCTTATTGTTAGCTTCCTATTCATCACTCTTGGCTATAACTACATCGCTGACGTAGTAGAGTTGATCGAATAGGTATGTTGAAATGCATTTATCACTCTTGGCTATAACTACATCGCTGACGTAGTAGAGTTGATCGAATAGGTTATAAGCCCACGAGCTACCAGCCCCGCCGCTTGAGGCTTTTTCGCTCGAGCCCAGCCACTCGAGCCGCACACGTCCATCGCACCATCACATCATGGACAGCTCTCCCGCCTCGCCTTTGGCCCCCAGGGATCCCAGCTCCCCTGAATCTTCGATCGGCGAACAAATCGCCACTCTACAGGCCCAGCTTGCCGCTCTGCAGGCCTCGCAACCCGCCGCCGCCGCAGCCGCCGCACCCCCGGCCGTCACCGTCGTGCCGGGGAACGCCGCCACCGCATCCAAGGTCGTGTTTCCCAAGCACGCTCGTCTGGACGGCCCCAAGTCGTTCACCAACTGGTTGCGTCAACTCCGTCTTGCACTCCCGAACCAGGTTCGTGGTTACGTTCTCGACGGTGTCGTTCCCCCGACCTGGACCGCCGACCAGCTTGCCGCACGTGACGACGCCGCCCGGGAAATCATCGTTGGCTCTATCGACTCCGCCGACGTATCGGCCACCCTCGACGCCATCCCCAGCGACGACCTGTCGGCACCGCGCATCTTTGCCGCTCTCAAGGCTCGTTTTGCACCGGACGACGCTACACGCACTCTCGAGTTGTTCGCTCGCCTTTGGGACTTCAGGAAGATGCCTGCCTCCGTCGAGGCCTACGACACTTGGCTACGCGAGTACATGTCGATTGCTCAGGAAATACGCGACGCCAAAACATCGCTCAACGACGTGCTCGCCACCCACGTGCTCGCCATGGTCCCGTCTTGCCTCGACAGCTTCCGACTCACGTTCACGGACGAGCAGCGAAACCGACGCGACCTTCCCGAACTCACGACGCTTACGGACCGCATTCGCATCCAGCTTCGTTCGGCAGGACTCTCGACCTCGCATTCGGCCATGCTTGCCACCAGCTCCCCCTGCCCCGCCTGCCGCGCTCCCGGTCACCGCCTGCGCGACTGCACTTCACGTGCGAAGCACCCGCCCACCGGCCCCTGCCGCCGATGCCACAAGAAAGGTCACTGGGCACTCGACTGCAAGAACCGGGGTGAACAGGCACGTAGCAGCGACGACACCCAGGACGACACGTCTTCCTCCGCGGCCTCGCAACCGAACGTCGGCTATTTCGCCTCCTGCCTCTTCGCTCGTCGCCAACTCCCAACTGACGCCTTTGTAGTCGATTCGGGTGCCACGACACACATGGTCGCCGACCGATCTCTATTCACGACTTATCGTCAGACGGCACACACCAAGATCGGCGGCATCGCGGGCGGCATCACGGCTATCGGCATGGGGGACGTGGCATTCGTCGCCAAGACTGGACACCCGATCACGCTCCGTGGTGTTCTTCACACGCCTGGCCTACACGTCAACCTCCTCTCTGTCTCTCGCCTCTGCGACACCGACCGCGTTCGTCTCGCCTTCACCAGCGACGGCATCGACATCGCCAAGGACGGCCGGGCCATTGCTCACGGTACCAGGGTCAACGACGGTCTTTACCTTTTGGACGCGGATCACACCAAGTGTCAGCATCTTGCCTTCCTCTCATGCTCTGAGTCTCCCGTGCCCCTGCTTACCCTACACCGCTGCCTCGGCCATCTTGCCCCATCCTCTATACAGAAGATGATTGCTGCAGGTTTGCTGGACGGGTTTGGGGCCGGGTACAGTGACAAAGACGTAGAGGAGTTTGTTTGCAATGCTTGCCTTGGTTCCAAAGGTCACCGCCTTCCCTTTCCCGACTCTGAGTCGCATTCCGCCGAGAGACTTGGCCTCGTGCACAGCGACGTCCTGTCGTTCCCCACTCCGTCCTTGACCGGGAAGCGCTACCTTGTCACGTTTCTAGACGACCACTCTCGCAAACTCTGGGCATATGCGATCGATCACAAAAGCGATGTTTTCCCGACCTTCCAGACTTGGCTCGCCGAAGTGGAGTTAGAGACGAACGCGCGGTTGAGGATCCTTCGAACCGACAATGGCGGGGAGTACCGATCAAACGCATTCACGGAGTTCTGCAAATCCAAGGGCATTCGTCGTCAATACTCTATCCCTTACACGCCTCAACAAAACGGTCGCGCCGAACGTGTCAACCTCTCCATCGTCGAGGGCGTCCTCGCTCTCCTTGCGGACGCCCGTCTGCCGGCCACCTTTTGGGATGAAGCGGCTGCGTATTTCGTTTATTGCAAAAACAGGTGCTCACACTCAGCTTTGGCCAAACAGACTCCAGAATCCGTTTGGAACGGCCAACGCACCACCGCCACCGCCCTCCACCCGTTCGGCTGCACAGCCTGGCTCACGGTCGCCCCGGACCTTCGCAGCAAGCTCGACCCCAAGGCCGCGCGCGTGATCTTCACAGGTTACGACCTCGCCTCCAAAGCTTTCCGTTTCTTTGACCATTCCATCAACAAGATTGTACTTGGTCGCAATGCCACCTTCCTCGACGACGACTTCCCCGGCCTGCCAGTCACCACGCCCGTCGATGCAGACGACACCGACCGTCAGTTCGTCGTTCCCGCCGACACGCCCGCCCCTGCCGTCAAGACGAGGACCCCACTAGTAAGGTCGGCGCACATGGACGTCTCATCCTCCCTTGATGATTCTGCCATGAGCGCCGTTGACGTGGCCCCAGGGTACACTGGCGGAACCTTACCTAATTCCACAGATACCGAATCGTCCTCGTCACCGTCTCCTGAGCCGTCCTCGTCACCGTCGCCCACAAACCCTTTGTCACCGTCGCCTGCGCTGTCACCGTCGTTGGCAGCGTCATCGTCACCCTCGGTCTCACCGACCGACTCTGACTACTCCGCCGACCCTCTGGACCTCATCGGCTCACAGACCCCGACTCGCCTTGGCCCACCGGACGTGCACCGCCCAGACTTCAGCACGTACCGTGAGCCCGCATCGGCTGAGGAGTCGCCCGACGAACTCGACATCATTGGGCGTCACTCGCGCGATGAATCGCCGGATGAAATCGATTTCCTCACCCAACACCACCGCGCCTTCATCGCCACAGACGACGACGACCCCACCCTCGACGCCATCGAGCCCGTCAAATCGATCACTAGCGACCCCCAGACCTGGCGCGAAGCAATGTCCAGCGACGAGCACAACATCTGGGCTGAGGCCGCCGCCGCCGAGTTCACCGCCATGCGCGACGACTTCAAGGTGTTCACCATCGAGCCTCGCTCATCTGTACCGCCGGGCGCCACCATCGTCACCTCCAAATTCGTCTGGAAGACCAAGCGCAACGCAAGCGGTGAAGTCACGGGGCGGAAGGCACGTCTTGTAGCGCAGGGTAACCGACAGCGCGACGGCATCGACTTCTCAGAAACCTTCGCACCCGTCGCCCGTTTCTCCTCCATTCGCTGCCTCCTGGCTCTTGCCGCTGCCAATGGCTACCACGTTCATCAGGCCGACATCGACAAGGCTTACCTCCACGGCGAGCTCGATCATGATATCTGGATGACGACACCACGCGGTTTCGACTTCCCGAGCGATAAGGTTCTCCGGCTGCGACGCTCAATCTACGGTCTCAAGCAGGCCGGTCGCATCTGGAATCGTCACATTGACACATCACTCAGGAATCTGGGGTACAAGGCAACAGGCACTGATCACTGCATTTACTCTCGCATTGACGATCAGCAGCGGCCTCACTATATCGCCTTGTATGTCGACGACCTCCTCATTGTCAGTCCAGCCCTCGACGAGATCGAACGTGTCATCTCCGGCCTTGAACAGCGGTACGGCGTCAAACGACTCGGCCCCGCGGAGTACATCCTCGGAATCCAAATACGCCGCCTGGACGACGGTTCCATTGCTCTATCCCAGGAGCGCTACATCATGGACGTGCTGGCCCGTTTCCACTTCGACACCACGACACGCGGCACTACGGTGCCGATGACGCCCGGCCTCTCGCTCACGGCAATTCCGGGTCAGGGAACGGAGCGCATTCGTTCGTGGTACCTACAGGCCATCGGCTCCCTCCTCTACATCTCCCTTGGCACTCGACCCGACATTGCCTTCGCCGTCTCGTACCTGTCCCGGTTCGCCAACAACCCCGGCCGCCGCCATTGGATTGCCGTCAAACACGTCCTTCGCTACCTTCGCGCCACGTACCGCGATGAGCTTCTCTATGCCCGCGGCCCAGCAAAAGTCACGGGTGTGGTTGGTTATTCTGATGCGAACTGGGGCGCCTGCGTCGACACATCCATTTCAACGATGGGCTACGTATTTTACTTGGCAGGCGCCGCTGTCTCTTGGTCGTCGAAGCGTCAGACTCGGGTAGCGGATTCCACCACTGATGCCGAGTACCTGGCCTTGTCGCACGCGGGTAAGGAAGCGATCTACCTTAACCAACTCCTCTCCGAGCTCCACGTTTGCCCAATCGCTGCAGCTCACATCTTCACCGACAACGAGGCCGCGGCCGCCGTCGCTCACGACCCCGTTCGCACCTCCGGCACCCGGCACATTCGCCTCCGCGAGCATTTTGTCCGTGACATGGTCAATCGAGGTGATATCTCTCTCTCACACGTTGGCACAGCAGACATGGTTGCGGACGTATTCACCAAAGCGCTAGGCCCCAAGATTTTTGGTACACATTGCTATGCTCTAGGCCTCCGGACGCGACATCCACGGCTCAAGTCTACCTCGCGTTCGCGTGGGGGGGGTGTGAGGAATCCACTCTCCGCTCGGCTCAGGACTTAGGCGCGCGGAGCGAACCGGGCGCGGACTTAGGCGCGCGGAGTGAGCCGGGCGCCCCGGCCCAGGACTTAGGCGCGCGAAGCGAGCCTGGGACTTAGGCGCGCGGAGCGAGCCTGGGCCATTGGCTCAGCCCCAGGCTCGCTGGCTGTGGACTTGGGGCGCGCGGGTCTCTTATTGTTAGCTTCCTATTCATCACTCTTGGCTATAACTACATCGCTGACGTAGTAGAGTTGATCGAATAGGTATGTTGAAATGCATTTATCACTCTTGGCTATAACTACATCGCTGACGTAGTAGAGTTGATCGAATACCTGGTGCACGTGCAAGCCGTTGGCGGCCGCCAGCGCGAGGAGTGAGCGTATCGAGGAGAAGCGTGCGACTGGTGCGAAGGTTTCGTTGAAGTCGATGCCGTCGCGTTGCCGATTTCCCTGCGCCACGAGCCGTGCCTTGTGGCCGGTGACTTCGCCGAGTGCATTCCGTTTCGTTTTCCAGACGAACTTGGATGTGACGATGGTCGCACCCGCTGGTACCGTGGATCGGTCCTCGATGGTGAAGACCTTGAAGTCGTCGCGCATGGAATTGAACTCGTCGGTAGCGGCCTTGGCCCACACTTCGCGCTTGTCACTCGACATTGCCTCGCGCCATGTCTGTGGGTCGCTGGTGATGGACTTGACTGGTTGAATGGCTTCTGTGTCAGAGTTGTCGTCGTCGGTGGCGATGAAGGCGCGGTGGTGTTGGGTGAGGAAATCGATTTCGTCCGGCGATTCATCGCGCGAGTGGCGCCCAATGATGTCGAGTTCGTCGGGCGACTCCTCAGCCGATGCGGGCTCACGGTACGTGCTGAAGTCTGGGCGGTGCACGTCCGGTGGGCCGAGGCGAGTCGGGGTCTGTGAGCCGATGAGGTCCAGAGGGTCGGCGGAGTAGTCAGAGTCGGTCGGTAAGGCCGAGGGTGACGATGACGCAGCCAACGACGGTGACAGCGCAGGCGACGGTGACAAGGGGGTTGCGGGCGACGGTGACGAGGACGATTCGGCATCTGTGGAATTAAGTAAGGTTCCGCCAGTGTACCCTGGGGCCACGTCAACGGCGCTCATGGCAGAGTCATCAAGAGAGGATGAGACGTCCATGTGCGCCGACCTTACTAGTGGGGTCCATGTCTTGACAACGGCTTGGGATTCGGTGGTCGGGCAAGCGCTGGCGAAGTGCGTGTCGGCGTCTTGCTCGGTGGAGTCGCTACGTAACCCGGGAAATTCGTTGTCGAGGAACCTGGCATTTCTGCCCAAACTGATCTTCTTGGTCGTCGTGTCGTAGAAACGGAAGGCTTTAGAAGCCAGGTCATAGCCGGTGAAGAGAACGCGAACCGCTTTCGGGTCGAGTTTCGAGCGAAGTTCAGGCGCGACTGTGAGCCAAGCCGTGCAGCCGAACGGGTGAAGCGCCGAGGCGTTGGTGCGGTCGCCCTGCCAGGCGAAGTTCGGTGTTGCCTTGTCCAGGGCCGAGTGTTCGCACAGGTTCTTGCAGTAGACGAAATAAGCTGCTGCCTCCTCCCAGAATGATTTGGGTAAGTGGGCGTCTGCAAGGAGGGCAAGGACACCTTCGACGATAGAACGATTGACTCGTTCGGCACGACCGTTCTGTTGAGGCGTTCGAGGGATAGAGTATTGTCGACGTGTGCCGCGTGCCTTACAGAATTCCGTGAACGCTCTCGAACAGTATTCGCCACCATTGTCGGTTCGGAGGACCTTCAGTTTTGCACCCGTCTCGAGTTCGACCTCGGCAAGCCATGTCTTGAACACGCCAAAGACTTCGCTTTTGTGTCCGATCGCGTATGCCCACAGTTTGCGCGAGAAGTCGTCAAGAAACGTGACCAGGTAACGCTTGCCAGTCAAGGACGACTCGGGAAAGGAAAGCACATCGCTGTGTACGAGGCCGAGTCTCTCTGAGGAGTGCGAGTCCGAATCGGGAAAAGGAAGACGATGGCCCTTTGCACTGAGGCAAGCATTGCAGACAAACTTCTCTACCTCTTCGTCACTATATCCGGCCCCGAGACCTTCCAGCAAACCAGCGGCAACCATCTTCTGTATGGACGACGGTGCGAGATGGCCGAGGCAGCGGTGAAGGGTCAGCAGGGGCACGGAAGACTGTGAGCGAGAGAGGAGAGCGAGATGCTGACATTTGGAATGATCAGCGTCCAGCAAGTAGAGCCCTTCCTCGAGTCTTGCGCCTTCAGCGATAGCATTGCCGTTCTTGTCGATATGGATGCCGTGCTTCGTGAAGGCGACACGGACATCGTCGGTGTCGCAAAGTCGAGAGACCGAGAGGAGGTTGACAGACAGGCCCGGGGTGTGCAGCACGCCGGTAAGCGTGATCGGGTGACCGGAGGCGGCAACAAAGGCGATGTTTCCCGTTCCGACGGCGTTGATGCCCCCTGCAATACCACCAATCTTCGTAGGAGCGATGTGGCGATAGGCCGTGAACAGCGACTTGTCCGAGACCATGTGCGAAGTGGCACCCGAGTCGACGACGAAGGAGTTGTTGCGAAGCTGACGACGATGTGCGAGAAGACCGGTGGCGAGACATCCGACATGGTGTTGCGCATCAGAGGTGTCGGGCGTTTTCCCGTCCTCAAGAGTCTTTTTGCAGTCGAAAGACCAGTGGTCCTTCTTCTTGCAGGAGCGACACGGGCCTGGCGGTGGATGCTGGGCCCTTGTAGGGCATTGTGCGACGCGGTGAGAAGAGCTGCGACAGGCGAGGCACTTGGTACGGGTAGAACGTGGCGACGACGAGGCAAGGAGGGCCGATTGATCGTTGGAGAGGTTCGTTGACCGGAGTTGAACTCGCATACGGTCGGCCACTGAATCGATGTCAGGGAGAGTTCGTTGCGTGCGTTGTTCGTCGGTGAACGTTGCCTTGAAGCTCTCGAGTGACGGGTGGGCGATCGCGAGGAGGAGTGTGGCAAGGACGTCGTTGATCGTCGTTTTCGTATCGATGATCTCTTGCGCGACCGACTTGAAGTCCATGATCCAACTGTCAAATTCGCCAACCGTTCCGGGCATGGGTCGGAAGCCCCAGAGTCGCGAGAAGAGCTCGAGCGTGCGAGTGGCGTCATCAGGGGCGTATCGCGATTTCAGCGTCGAGTAAATCTTGGGCGCTGTGAGGTCGGCCGTAGGGATCTTGTCGAGGACTGCCGAGACTTCGGCCGAGTCGATTGAGTTTGCAAGGATCTCGCGTGCCACGACGTCGCGGGCGGAGCGTTGCGAAGGCGTCCAATCGTCGGGGGTGATTCCGTCGAGGACGTAGGAGCGGATGTCGTCCGCTAGGCACAGGCGAAGCTGGCGTGTCCAGTTCGCGAACGTCTTCGGCCCGTCCAACCGCGCATGCTTCGGGAAGGCATTGCGATTGGAGCCGGATGTCGTGGCGGGTGCGGTAGTGCCGGAAGCGGCAGCGGTGAGTCCCGACAGCAGCGATGTAAGTGCGGCAAGCTGTTCGGCGGGAATTGTCGGGGTGGCGCTCGTCGCGAGGGTTGACGACGTGTCCATGCCAGCGGTAGCTCGATGGGCTTATAACCTATGAGATGATCACCACTACTGTCAGGAGAAGTCGAGAGTCGAACAGAAGTGATCTATTTCAGCGTACCTATGAGATGATCACCACTACTGTCAGGAGAAGTCGAGAGTCGAACAGAAGTGATGAGAAGGAAGCTAAGAAATGGAAAGGGGGCCCGCGCTGGGATATGCCCAGGCGCGGGCGAAATCGCTGGAGCGCTGAGGCAGTCGCGCGCGGCTAAGTCCCCACTGCAAGGGCGGGCTAGCGGCGCGCGCCCGAAAACCGCCGGCGCCGGCGCGCTGAGGCACTCGCGCGCGCCTAAGTCCCCACCACAGGGGCCAGGCTAGCAGGCGCGCGCAACGACCGAGGCGCCCCTGTCGAGCTGAGAGTGGACTCTTCACAGATTTTGCCCTCGGGCCCCAACACGACGATTGCGAGGCAGGCTCTCCCGGATACTACGCGCTCAAGGAGGAATCGCAAGACGAGGACGTGAATGGACAGGAATTAGGGAATTTGTTCTTGAAGGAAGAATGCCACGAGTTCATTACACCCGGTGAGAGCCTCCTCGAGGAACGTCCTTACACCTCACCTTCGCACGATTGGTTGCCCCCTGTTGATTGCGCCTTCGGGCCCTGGGGTCACGGTTACGACGCAGGCTCTCCCGGTTCCCTTCATCTGGCCGAGAACATTATGGACGCCGTCGATTGGTCTATCGGCCGCCTCTCTCCTCCCATCGCTGTCAATCGAGTTCACGCTATTGCTACGGCCCCTGCCAACGACCCGCCCATTCCGGTCCATGCCGACGCCGACGAACTCGATTTGTTGGGAGTTGCCACCGATGATGTCAACGACACCCCTGTAGTCCATCGGCCGCCTGATCCACTGCCCCAACCCTTCCTCGACACCGTCATCCGAGCATACGCCAATGATTCGCAAGCCCAGGTCATCATTACCGACCCGCTATCATGGCCTATGTTTCGGGTGACCGAGGAAGGGAGGATTTTGCGTGTACATCCAGATGAGTCTATTTCCTTGTTTGTGCCTCGTGGTCTCGCTACTGGCGTCGTCAACTCCGACAAGGTCCCATCGCTGCGTGAGCTCGTGCTTTCGGAGATTCATCGGAGTGTCGGGTGTGAGGAATCCACTCTCCGCTCGGCTCAGGACTTAGGCGCGCGGAGCGAACCGGGCGCGGACTTAGGCGCGCGGAGTGAGCCGGGCGCCCCGGCCCAGGACTTAGGCGCGCGAAGCGAGCCTGGGACTTAGGCGCGCGGAGCGAGCCTGGGCCATTGGCTCAGCCCCAGGCTCGCTGGCTGTGGACTTGGGGCGCGCGGGTCTCTTATTGTTAGCTTCCTATTCATCACTCTTGGCTATAACTACATCGCTGACGTAGTAGAGTTGATCGAATAGGTATGTTGAAATGCATTCATCACTCTTGGCTATAACTACATCGCTGACGTAGTAGAGTTGATCGAATAGGTTATAAGCCCACGAGCTACCAGCCCCGCCGCTTGAGGCTTTTTCGCTCGAGCCCAGCCACTCGAGCCGCACACGTCCATCGCACCATCACATCATGGACAGCTCTCCCGCCTCGCCTTTGGCCCCCAGGGATCCCAGCTCCCCTGAATCTTCGATCGGCGAACAAATCGCCACTCTACAGGCCCAGCTTGCCGCTCTGCAGGCCTCGCAACCCGCCGCCGCCGCAGCCGCCGCACCCCCGGCCGTCACCGTCGTGCCGGGGAACGCCGCCACCGCATCCAAGGTCGTGTTTCCCAAGCACGCTCGTCTGGACGGCCCCAAGTCGTTCACCAACTGGTTGCGTCAACTCCGTCTTGCACTCCCGAACCAGGTTCGTGGTTACGTTCTCGACGGTGTCGTTCCCCCGACCTGGACCGCCGACCAGCTTGCCGCACGTGACGACGCCGCCCGGGAAATCATCGTTGGCTCTATCGACTCCGCCGACGTATCGGCCACCCTCGACGCCATCCCCAGCGACGACCTGTCGGCACCGCGCATCTTTGCCGCTCTCAAGGCTCGTTTTGCACCGGACGACGCTACACGCACTCTCGAGTTGTTCGCTCGCCTTTGGGACTTCAGGAAGATGCCTGCCTCCGTCGAGGCCTACGACACTTGGCTACGCGAGTACATGTCGATTGCTCAGGAAATACGCGACGCCAAAACATCGCTCAACGACGTGCTCGCCACCCACGTGCTCGCCATGGTCCCGTCTTGCCTCGACAGCTTCCGACTCACGTTCACGGACGAGCAGCGAAACCGACGCGACCTTCCCGAACTCACGACGCTTACGGACCGCATTCGCATCCAGCTTCGTTCGGCAGGACTCTCGACCTCGCATTCGGCCATGCTTGCCACCAGCTCCCCCTGCCCCGCCTGCCGCGCTCCCGGTCACCGCCTGCGCGACTGCACTTCACGTGCGAAGCACCCGCCCACCGGCCCCTGCCGCCGATGCCACAAGAAAGGTCACTGGGCACTCGACTGCAAGAACCGGGGTGAACAGGCACGTAGCAGCGACGACGACGGTCTTTACCTTTTGGACGCGGATCACACCAAGTGTCAGCATCTTGCCTTCCTCTCACGCTCTGAGTCTCCCGTGCCCCTGCTTACCCTACACCGCTGCCTCGGCCATCTTGCCCCATCCTCTATACAGAAGATGATTGCTGCAGGTTTGCTGGACGGGTTTGGGGCCGGGTACAGTGACAAAGACGTAGAGGAGTTTGTTTGCAATGCTTGCCTTGGTTCCAAAGGTCACCGCCTTCCCTTTCCCGACTCTGAGTCGCATTCCGCCGAGAGACTTGGCCTCGTGCACAGCGACGTCCTTGTTGAACTTTGCTCCATCTCACTTCTAGGACAATATGCGCTCACTGAAGTAGAGGTGCCTCGCCTTTTGGTGCAGTGGTATATTGTTCCTTCATAGGTTATGAGCCCAGAGCAACCAGCAGGTCATGAGTTCAATCCCCCTGGGGTCAGGCAATTTTGCGCGCATACACTCAGCGTCCCGGCCCCCGCACTTGCCCAGCGGCGTGCCAAGCACCCTGGCGCATCGACAGTGCTCACAGTGCCCAAGCTGCACTTGCCCAAGCGACCTGATCAACATGCCCAGTTGCCTCACAGCCGCACCCACTGCCACAAGCTCTTCAGCTTCGCGCACAGGGGGGTGTTGAACTTTGCTCCATCTCACTTCTAGGACAATATGCGCTCACTGAAGTAGAGGTGCCTCGCCTTTTGGTGCAGTGGTATATTGTTCCTTCATAGTCCTGTCGTTCCCCACTCCGTCCTTGACCGGGAAGCGCTACCTTGTCACGTTTCTAGACGACCACTCTCGCAAACTCTGGGCATATGCGATCGATCACAAAAGCGATGTTTTCCCGACCTTCCAGACTTGGCTCGCCGAAGTGGAGTTAGAGACGAACGCGCGGTTGAGGATCCTTCGAACCGACAATGGCGGGGAGTACCGATCAAACGCATTCACGGAGTTCTGCAAATCCAAGGGCATTCGTCGTCAATACTCTATCCCTTACACGCCTCAACAAAACGGTCGCGCCGAACGTGTCAACCTCTCCATCGTCGAGGGCGTCCTCGCTCTCCTTGCGGACGCCCGTCTGCCGGCCACCTTTTGGGATGAAGCGGCTGCGTATTTCGTTTATTGCAAAAACAGGTGCTCACACTCAGCTTTGGCCAAACAGACTCCAGAATCCGTTTGGAACGGCCAACGCACCACCGCCACCGCCCTCCACCCGTTCGGCTGCACAGCCTGGCTCACGGTCGCCCCGGACCTTCGCAGCAAGCTCGACCCCAAGGCCGCGCGCGTGATCTTCACAGGTTACGACCTCGCCTCCAAAGCTTTCCGTTTCTTTGACCATTCCATCAACAAGATTGTACTTGGTCGCAATGCCACCTTCCTCGACGACGACTTCCCCGGCCTGCCAGTCACCACGCCCGTCGATGCAGACGACACCGACCGTCAGTTCGTCGTTCCCGCCGACACGCCCGCCCCTGCCGTCAAGACGAGGACCCCACTAGTAAGGTCGGCGCACATGGACGTCTCATCCTCCCTTGATGATTCTGCCATGAGCGCCGTTGACGTGGCCCCAGGGTACACTGGCGGAACCTTACTTAATTCCACAGATACCGAATCGTCCTCGTCACCGTCTCCTGAGCCGTCCTCGTCACCGTCGCCCACAAACCCTTTGTCACCGTCGCCTGCGCTGTCACCGTCGTTGGCAGCGTCATCGTCACCCTCGGTCTCACCGACCGACTCTGACTACTCCGCCGACCCTCTGGACCTCATCGGCTCACAGACCCCGACTCGCCTTGGCCCACCGGACGTGCACCGCCCAGACTTCAGCACGTACCGTGAGCCCGCATCGGCTGAGGAGTCGCCCGACGAACTCGACATCATTGGGCGTCACTCGCGCGATGAATCGCCGGATGAAATCGATTTCCTCACCCAACACCACCGCGCCTTCATCGCCACAGACGACGACGACCCCACCCTCGACGCCATCGAGCCCGTCAAATCGATCACTAGCGACCCCCAGACCTGGCGCGAAGCAATGTCCAGCGACGAGCACAACATCTGGGCTGAGGCCGCCGCCGCCGAGTTCACCGCCATGCGCGACGACTTCAAGGTGTTCACCATCGAGCCTCGCTCATCTGTACCGCCGGGCGCCACCATCGTCACCTCCAAATTCGTCTGGAAGACCAAGCGCAACGCAAGCGGTGAAGTCACGGGGCGGAAGGCACGTCTTGTAGCGCAGGGTAACCGACAGCGCGACGGCATCGACTTCTCAGAAACCTTCGCACCCGTCGCCCGTTTCTCCTCCATTCGCTGCCTCCTGGCTCTTGCCGCTGCCAATGGCTACCACGTTCATCAGGCCGACATCGACAAGGCTTACCTCCACGGCGAGCTCGATCATGATATCTGGATGACGACACCACGCGGTTTCGACTTCCCGAGCGATAAGGTTCTCCGGCTGCGACGCTCAATCTACGGTCTCAAGCAGGCCGGTCGCATCTGGAATCGTCACATTGACACATCACTCAGGAATCTGGGGTACAAGGCAACAGGCACTGATCACTGCATTTACTCTCGCATTGACGATCAGCAGCGGCCTCACTATATCGCCTTGTATGTCGACGACCTCCTCATTGTCAGTCCAGCCCTCGACGAGATCGAACGTGTCATGACAGGCAACGTCGGAGGGGATGACGATGACTACACGCGAGAGACGAGGGAGAGAGCGAGAGAGCGCGCGAAAGCGCGAAGGAGCGAAGGGGGTGTCGACCGAGGCGGCGGCAGTCGACCGAGAGGCAACCGCGGAGGATACGCGGCTGCAAGGCTCGCAGCAAGTCCAGTGTACCGAACTATGGTAGCCAACGAGGTCGGACAGAAGAGGGAGGGCAAACGATCCAAGAAATAGCTGACCAGGCCGGTGGGAAGGTCGAGTCGGCTGGGCGGCGGGAGTCGACCGAGAGGCAACCGCGGAGGATACGCGGCTGCAAGGCTCGCAGCAAGTCCAGTGTACCGGACTATGGTGGCCAACGAGGTCGGACAAAAGAGGAAGGGCAAACGATCCAAGAAATAGCTGACCAGGCCGATGGGAAGGTCGAGTCGGCTGGGCGGCGGCAGTCGACCGAGAGCAACCGAGGAGTGGATTCGGTCGGAAGGCTTCGCAGCAAATCAAGTGTAACGGACTTAATTGCCAGCGAAATGGGTAAAAAGAGGGAGGGTACGAGTCATGATAATGAGTGGACCAAGCTCTAGGGGAAGGGTGGCAAAAGCAAAAGGAGGGAAGTGCTCCGAGCGAAGGAAAGACTGAATCAAATAACTACACCACGAGGTCGCTTCAGGGGTAAAAAGGATTGCCTGCAAGGCACCGGTAAAAACCCCGAAGCCGGGCCTCGGATAACAAAAAGGAAAAGAAACCAAAAGGCAGATCACGCTCCGGGCGGATCGAACCCTCGACCACTGAGTGCGCGCCCGCGCGCCCTCACGACTACACCATCGCGCCGACAATGCTTGCAACGAACAAACCGGTAGCTGATGTCGACTCCGGCCGCAAACTTGGGAGACTTCCTTCGAGTATTGATGGCAGTGCAGGCTGTGCTCCTGACATGTCATCTCCGGCCTTGAACAGCGGTACGGCGTCAAACGACTCGGCCCCGCGGAGTACATCCTCGGAATCCAAATACGCCGCCTGGACGACGGTTCCATTGCTCTATCCCAGGAGCGCTACATCATGGACGTGCTGGCCCGTTTCCACTTCGACACCACGACACGCGGCACTACGGTGCCGATGACGCCCGGCCTCTCGCTCACGGCAATTCCGGGTCAGGGAACGGAGCGCATTCGTTCGTGGTACCTACAGGCCATCGGCTCCCTCCTCTACATCTCCCTTGGCACTCGACCCGACATTGCCTTCGCCGTCTCGTACCTGTCCCGGTTCGCCAACAACCCCGGCCGCCGCCATTGGATTGCCGTCAAACACGTCCTTCGCTACCTTCGCGCCACGTACCGCGATGAGCTTCTCTATGCCCGCGGCCCAGCAAAAGTCACGGGTGTGGTTGGTTATTCTGATGCGAACTGGGGCGCCTGCGTCGACACATCCATTTCAACGATGGGCTACGTATTTTACTTGGCAGGCGCCGCTGTCTCTTGGTCGTCGAAGCGTCAGACTCGGGTAGCGGATTCCACCACTGATGCCGAGTACCTGGCCTTGTCGCACGCGGGTAAGGAAGCGATCTACCTTAACCAACTCCTCTCCGAGCTCCACGTTTGCCCAATCGCTGCAGCTCACATCTTCACCGACAACGAGGCCGCGGCCGCCGTCGCTCACGACCCCGTTCGCACCTCCGGCACCCGGCACATTCGCCTCCGCGAGCATTTTGTCCGTGACATGGTCAATCGAGGTGATATCTCTCTCTCACACGTTGGCACAGCAGACATGGTTGCGGACGTATTCACCAAAGCGCTAGGCCCCAAGATTTTTGGTACACATTGCTATGCTCTAGGCCTCCGGACGCGACATCCACGGCTCAAGTCTACCTCGCGTTCGCGTGGGGGGGGGTGTGAGGAATCCACTCTCCGCTCGGCTCAGGACTTAGGCGCGCGGAGCGAACCGGGCGCGGACTTAGGCGCGCGGAGTGAGCCGGGCGCCCCGGCCCAGGACTTAGGCGCGCGAAGCGAGCCTGGGACTTAGGCGCGCGGAGCGAGCCTGGGCCATTGGCTCAGCCCCAGGCTCGCTGGCTGTGGACTTGGGGCGCGCGGGTCTCTTATTGTTAGCTTCCTATTCATCACTCTTGGCTATAACTACATCGCTGACGTAGTAGAGTTGATCGAATAGGTATGTTGAAATGCATTCATCACTCTTGGCTATAACTACATCGCTGACGTAGTAGAGTTGATCGAATATCCTTCCCCGAGCGGTCCTTGACTGGCAAACGTTACCTGGTCACATTCCTTGACGATTACTCGCGCAAACTCTGGGCCTACGCAATCGGACACAAAAGCGATGTCAGGAGCACAGCCTGCACTGCCATCAATACTCGAAGGAAGTCTCCCAAGTTTGCGGCCGGAGTCGACATCAGCTACCGGTTTGTTCGTTGCAAGCATTGTCGGCGCGATGGTGTAGTCGTGAGGGCGCGCGGGCGCGCACTCAGTGGTCGAGGGTTCGATCCGCCCGGAGCGTGATCTGCCTTTTGGTTTCTTTTCCTTTTTGTTATCCGAGGCCCGGCTTCGGGGTTTTTACCGGTGCCTTGCAGGCAATCCTTTTTACCCCTGAAGCGACCTCGTGGTGTAGTTATTTGATTCAGTCTTTCCTTCGCTGGGAGCACTTCCCTCCCTTTGCTTTTGCCACCCTTCCCCTAGAGCTGTTGAACTTCGCTCCATCTCACTTCTAGGACAATATGCGCTCACTGAAGTAGAGGTGCCTCGCCTTTTGGTGCAGTGGTATATTGTTCCTTCATAGGTTATGAGCCCAGAGCAACCAGCAGGTCATGAGTTCAATCCCCCCTGGGGTCAGGCAATTTTGCGCGCATACACTCAGCGTCCCGGCCCCCGCACTTGCCCAGCAGCGTGCCAAGCACCCTGGCGCATCGACAGTGCTCACAGTGCCCAAGCTGCACTTGCCCAGTGACCTGATCAACATGCCCAGTTGCCTCACAGCCGCACCCACTGCCACAAGCTCTTCAGCTTCGCGCACAGGGGGGTGTTGAACTTCGCTCCATCTCACTTCTAGGACAATATGCGCTCACTGAAGTAGAGGTGCCTCGCCTTTTGGTGCAGTGGCATATTGTTCCTTCATAAGAGCTTGGTCCACTCATTATCATGACTCGTACCCTCCCTCTTTTTACCCATTTCGCTGGCAATTAAGTCCGTTACACTTGATTTGCTGCGAAGCCTTCCGACCGAATCCACTCCTCGGTTGCTCTCGGTCGACTGCCGCCGCCCAGCCGACTCGACCTTCCCATCGGCCTGGTCAGCTATTTCTTGGATCGTTTGCCCTTCCTCTTTTGTCCGACCTCGTTGGCCACCATAGTCCGGTACACTGGACTTGCTGCGAGCCTTGCAGCCGCGTATCCTCCGCGGTTGCCTCTCGGTCGACTTCCGCCGCCCAGCCGACTCGACCTTCCCACCGGCCTGGTCAGCTATTTCTTGGATCGTTTGCCCTCCCTCTTCTGTCCGACCTCGTTGGCTACCATAGTTCGGTACACTGGACTTGCTGCGAGCCTTGCAGCCGCGTATCCTCCGCGGTTGCCTCTCGGTCGACTGCCGCCGCCTCGGTCGACACCCCTTTCGCTCCTTCGCGCTTTCGCGCGCTCTCTCGCTCTCTCCCTCGTCTCTCGCGTGTAGTCATCGTCATCCCCTCCGACGTTGCCTGTCACTTTTTTCAAGTTCGGCATTGCTAGCGACAGTCCCAGCTTCTCTCACCGCTCAGTCCCACACCCTGGACGAGCATTCCCGCCCTCCCGCCCTTCGTCTTCGCGTCGTCCGCCTCCTCTCCGTTCGGCCTCTCGAGTTCGGCCTCTTTGACGACCGCGTGGTTCCTCCCCCCTATGAGACGTTCACCACTACTGTCAGGAGAGGTTGAGAGTCGAACAGAAGTGATGAGAAGGAAGCTAAGAAACAGAAAGGGGGGGCCACGCTGGGATAGTCCCAGGCGCGTGACAATGTACATCCCTAAGTCAGCCGCGGGTGAAATCGCCGGCGCGCCTAAGTCCCCACCGCAAGGGGGCGGGCTAGCGGGCGCGCGCATGAATCCGCCGGCGCTGGCGCGCTGAGGCAGTCGCGCGCGTCTAAGTCCCCACCGCCGGGGGCGGGCTAGCAAGTGCGCGCAACGACCGAGGCGCCCCTGTCGAGCTGAGAGTGGACTCTTCACACCCCCCCCACGCGAATGCGAGGCAGACCCAAGCCGCGGGTGTCGAGTGCGAAGGCCGAGGGCGTAGCAGTGCGTTGAGAAGACCTTTGGGCCGAGAGCCTTGGTGAAGATGTCGGCCACCATGTCGCTGGTACCCACATGCGAGAGAGAGATGTCGCCCCGATTCACCATGTCCCGAACGAAGTGCTCACGCAAGCGTATGTGCCGAGTGCCAGAGACGCGGACAGGATCGTGAGCAACTGCAGCAGCGGCTTCGTTGTCAGTAAAGATGTGAGCCGGTGCAACAGGTTGTACATGGAGCTCTTCGAGCAGCTGACTGAGGTAAATCCCTTCCTTGCCAGCATGCGAGAGGGCGAGGTATTCAGCGTCGGTGGTCGAATCGGCAACTCGAGACTGGCGTTTGGACGACCAGGACACGGCCGAGCCAGCGATGTAGAAGACGTTATGAGACGTTCACCACTACTGTCAGGAGAGGTTGAGAGTCGAACAGAAGTGATCTATTTCAGCGTACCTATGAGACGTTCACCACTACTGTCAGGAGAGGTTGAGAGTCGAACAGAAGTGATGAGAAGGAAGCTAAGAAACAGAAAGGGGGGGGCCACGCTGGGATAGTCCCAGGCGCGTGACAATGTACATCCCTAAGTCAGCCGCGGGTGAAATCGCCGGCGCGCCTAAGTCCCCACCGCAAGGGGGCGGGCTAGCGGGCGCGCGCATGAATCCGCCGGCGCTGGCGCGCTGAGGCAGTCGCGCGCGTCTAAGTCCCCACCGCCGGGGGCGGGCTAGCAAGTGCGCGCAACGACCGAGGCGCCCCTGTCGAGCTGAGAGTGGACTCTTCACACCCCCCCCCACGCGAATGCGAGGCAGACCCAAGCCGCGGGTGTCGAGTGCGAAGGCCGAGGGCGTAGCAGTGCGTTGAGAAGACCTTTGGGCCGAGAGCCTTGGTGAAGATGTCGGCCACCATGTCGCTGGTACCCACATGCGAGAGAGAGATGTCGCCCCGATTCACCATGTCCCGAACGAAGTGCTCACGCAAGCGTATGTGCCGAGTGCCAGAGACGCGGACAGGATCGTGAGCAACTGCAGCAGCGGCTTCGTTGTCAGTAAAGATGTGAGCCGGTGCAACAGGTTGTACATGGAGCTCTTCGAGCAGCTGACTGAGGTAAATCCCTTCCTTGCCAGCATGCGAGAGGGCGAGGTATTCAGCGTCGGTGGTCGAATCGGCAACTCGAGACTGGCGTTTGGACGACCAGGACACGGCCGAGCCAGCGATGTAGAAGACGTAGCCCATGGTGGACACCGATGTGTCGATGCAGGCCCCCCAGTTCGCGTCGGAGTAGCCTACCACACCCGTGATGCGAGCCTGGCCGCGAGCATACACGAGTTCGTTGCGATACGTGGCCCGGAGATAGCGTAGGATGTGCTTGACCGCAATCCAATGACGACGACCGGGGTTGTTGGCGAAGCGGGCCAGGTAGGACACGGCGAAGGCGATGTCAGGGCGGGTACCGAGCGAAATGTAGAGGAGCGAGCCGATAGCCTGCAGATACCATGACCTGATCCGTTCGGTGCCTTGACCCGGGATAGCAGTGAGCGAAAGGCCGGGAGTCATCGGAACTGTAGTGCCGCGAGTCGTGGTGTCGAAGTGGAACCGAGCGAGCACGTCCATGATGTACCGTTCCTGGGATAGGGCGATAGAGCCGTCGTCGAACCGCCTGATCTGGATGCCGAGGATATACTCGGCCGGGCCGAGGCGCTTGACTCCGTAGCGTTGGTCCAGGCCTGAGATGACACGTTCGATTTCGGCCAGTTCCGGGCTGATCATCAGGAGGTCGTCGACGTACAGTGCGATGTAGTGTGGACATTGACGATCATCGAGCCAAGAGTATACGCAGTGGTCGGTGCCCGTCGCCGTGTAACCGAGGGCCCGAAGCGAAGCGTCGATGTGTCGATTCCAGATTCGGCCAGCCTGTTTGAGCCCGTAGATGGAGCGTCGCAGGCGAAGCACCTTGTCGCTGGGAAGGTCGAAGCCGCGCGGTGCCGTCATCCAGATGTCGTGGTCAAGGTCGCCATGCAGATATGCTTTGTCGATGTCCGCCTGGTGCACGTGCAAGCCGTTGGCGGCCGCCAGCGCGAGGAGTGAGCGTATCGAGGAGAAGCGTGCGACCGGTGCGAACGTTTCGTTGAAGTCGATGCCGTCGCGTTGCCGATTGCCTTGCGCGACCAGCCTTGCCTTGTGTCCAGTGACTTCGCCGAGTGCGTTCCGTTTCGTTTTCCAGACGAACTTGGATGTAACGATAGTCGCACCCGCGGGCACCGTGGCTCGGTCCTCGATGGTGAAGACCTTGAAGTCGTCGCGCATGGAGGTGAACTCGTCGGTGGCGGCTTTGGCCCATACTTCACGCTTGTCGCTAGACATCGCCTCGCGCCAGGTCTGTGGGTCGCTCGTGATGGACTTGACTGGCTGAATTGCCTCTGTGTCAGAGGTGTCGTCGTCGATGGCGATGAAGGCGCGGTGGTGTCGGGTGAGGAAATCGATTTCGTCCGGAGATTCGTCGCGAGAGTGGCGCCCAATGAGGTCGAGTTCGTCGGGCGACTCCTCAGCCGATGCGGGCTCGCGGTACGTGCTGAAGTCTGGGTGGTGCACGTCCTGTAGATCGAGGCGAACCTGGGGCTGTGAGCCGAGGAGGTCGAGGGGATCGGCGGAGTCTTCAGAGTCGGTCGGTAAGGCCGAGGGTGACGATGACGCAGCCGACGATGGTGAAAGTGCAGGCGATGGCGCAGACGACGGTGATGAGGGCGACGCAGGCGACGGTGACGAGGACGATTCGGCATCTGTGAAGTTAAGTAAGGTTCCGCCAGTGTACCCTGGGGCCACGTCAACGGCGCTCATGGCAGAATCATCAAGGGGGGATGAGACGTCCATGTGCGCCGACCTTACTAGTGGGGTCCATGTCTTGACAACGGTTTGAGATTCGGTGGTGGGAGCGCTGGCGAAGTGCGTGTCGCCGTCTTGCTCAGTGGGGTCGCCATGTAATCCGGGGAATTCAGTGTCGAGGAACGTGGCATTTCTGCCAAGTATAATCTTCTGTGTTGTAGTGTCGTAGAAGCGAAAGGCTTTTGAAGCCAGGTCGTAGCCGGTGAAAAAAACGCGAACCGCCTTCGGGTCGAGTTTGGAGCGAAGTTCGGGCGCGACCGTAAGCCAAGCTGTACAGCCGAACGGGTGAAGCGCCGAGGCAGTGGTGTGGTCACCCTGCCAGACGGAGTTTGGTGTTGCCTTGTCCAGGGCCGCGTGTTGACACAGGTTCTTGCAGTAAACGAAATAAGCTGCAGCCTCCTCCCAGAATGTCTTGGGTAGGTGGGCGTCGACAAGGAGGGCAAGGACGCCTTCGACAATGGAACGATTGACCCGCTCTGCACGACCGTTCTGTTGAGGCGTGCGTGGGATAGAGTATTGTCGACGGGTGCCTCGTGTCTTGCAGAACTCTGTGAACGCTCTCGAACAGTATTCGCCACCGTTGTCGGTTCGGAGGACCTTCAGCGTCGCACCCGTCTCGAGTTCAACCTCGGCTAGCCAAGTTTTGAATATGCCGAAGACTTCGCTTTTGTGTCCGATTGCGTAGGCCCAGAGTTTGCGCGAGTAATCGTCAAGGAATGTGACCAGGTAACGTTTGCCAGTCAAGGACCGCTCGGGGAAGGAAAGCACATCGCTGTGTACAAGGCCGAGTCTCTCTGAGGAGTGCGAATCCGAATCGGGAAAGGGAAGACGATGGCCCTTTGCGCTGAGGCAAGCATTGCAGACAAACTTCTCTACCTCTTCGTCACTATATCCGGCCCTGAGACCCTCCAGCAAACCAGCGGCAACCATCTTCTGTATGGAGGACGGTGCGAGATGGCCGAGGCAGCGATGGAGAGTCAGCAGGGGCACGGACGACTGTGAGCGAGAAAGGAGAGCAAGGTGCTGACATTTGGAATGATCAGCGTCCAGCAAGTAGAGCCCTTCGTCGAGTCGTGCGCCTTCAGCGATGTCGTTGCCGTCCTTGTCAATGTGGATGCCGTGTTTTGTGAAGGCGACACGGACATCGTCGGTGTCGCAAAGTCGAGAGACCGAGAGAAGATTGACAAACAGGCCCGGAGTGTGCAGCACGCCGGTAAGCGTGATCGGATGACCCGAGGCGGCAATGAAGGCGATGTTTCCCGTTCCGATGGCGTTGATGCCCCCTGCAATACCACCAATCTTCGTAGGAGCGATATGGCGATAGGTCGTGAACAGCGACTTGTCCGAGACCATGTGCGAAGTGGCGCCCGAGTCGACGACAAAAGAGTGGTTGCGAAGCTGGCGACGACGAGCGAGAAGACCGGTGGCGAGACATCCGACATGGTGTTGCGAGTCGACGGTCGAGTCAGCGGTGTCGGGCTTTTTGCCGTCCTCGAGCGCCTTCTTGCAGTCGAGAGACCAGTGATCCTTCTTCTTGCAGGAGCGACAGGGTCCTGGCGGCGGGTGTTGCGCCCTCGTAGGGCACTCCGCGACTCGGTGCGAAGGGCTGCGACAGGCGAGACACTTGAGACGAGTAGAACGTGACGACGACGAGGCAAGAAGGGCCGATTGAGTGCTGGGGATGTTCGTTGACCGAAGTTGGACTCGCATACGGTCGGCAAGCGAATCAATGTCGGGGAGAGTTCGTTGCGTGCGCTGTTCATCGGTGAACGACGCCTTGAAGCTCTCGAGGGACGGGTGGGCGATTGCAAGGAGGAGTGTGGCGAGAACATCATTGATAGTTGTCTTTGTGTCGATGATCTCTTGCGCAACGGCTTTGAAGTCCATGATCCACCCGTCGAATTCGGCAACCGTGCCGGGCATGGGACGGAAACCCCAGAGTCGTGAGAAGAGCTCGAGCGTGCGGGTGGCGTCGTCAGGGGCGTACCGCGATTTCAGCGTCGAGTAGATTGTCGGCGCTGTCAGGTCGGCGGTAGGGATTTTGTCGAGGACTGCCGAGACTTCGGCCGAGTCAATCGAATTCGCAAGGACCTCACGAGCGACGGCGTCGCGAGCGGAGCGTTGCGAAGGTGTCCAGTCGTCGGGTGCGATACCGTCGAGGACGTACGAGCGGATGTCGTCCGCTAGGCACAGGCGAAGTTGGCGTGTCCAGTTCGCGAAGGTCTTCGCACCATCCAAGCGTGCGTGCTTTGGAAAGGCAGTGCGAGTGGTGCCGGACGTCGTGGCGGGTGTGGCAGTGCCGGAAGCGGCAGCGGTGAGACCCGACAGCAGCGATGTAAGTGCGGCGAGCTGTTCGGCGGGAATCGGAGGGTTGGCACCCGTCGCGAGGGGTGGTGTCGTGGTCATGCCAGCTGGTGGCTCGTGGGCTTATAACCTATGAGACGTTCACCACTACTGTCAGGAGAGGTTGAGAGTCGAACAGAAGTGATCTATTTCAGCGTACCTATGAGACGTTCACCACTACTGTCAGGAGAGGTTGAGAGTCGAACAGAAGTGATGAGAAGGAAGCTAAGAAACAGAAAGGGGGGGGCCACGCTGGGATAGTCCCAGGCGCGTGACAATGTACATCCCTAAGTCAGCCGCGGGTGAAATCGCCGGCGCGCCTAAGTCCCCACCGCAAGGGGGCGGGCTAGCGGGCGCGCGCATGAATCCGCCGGCGCTGGCGCGCTGAGGCAGTCGCGCGCGTCTAAGTCCCCACCGCCGGGGGCGGGCTAGCAAGTGCGCGCAACGACCGAGGCGCCCCTGTCGAGCTGAGAGTGGACTCTTCACAGACGTAGCCCATGGTGGACACCGATGTGTCGATGCAGGCCCCCCAGTTCGCGTCGGAGTAGCCTACCACACCCGTGATGCGAGCCTGGCCGCGAGCATACACGAGTTCGTTGCGATACGTGGCCCGGAGATAGCGTAGGATGTGCTTGACCGCAATCCAATGACGACGACCGGGGTTGTTGGCGAAGCGGGCCAGGTAGGACACGGCGAAGGCGATGTCAGGGCGGGTACCGAGCGAAATGTAGAGGAGCGAGCCGATAGCCTGCAGATACCATGACCTGATCCGTTCGGTGCCTTGACCCGGGATAGCAGTGAGCGAAAGGCCGGGAGTCATCGGAACTGTAGTGCCGCGAGTCGTGGTGTCGAAGTGGAACCGAGCGAGCACGTCCATGATGTACCGTTCCTGGGATAGGGCGATAGAGCCGTCGTCGAACCGCCTGATCTGGATGCCGAGGATATACTCGGCCGGGCCGAGGCGCTTGACTCCGTAGCGTTGGTCCAGGCCTGAGATGACACGTTCGATTTCGGCCAGTTCCGGGCTGATCATCAGGAGGTCGTCGACGTACAGTGCGATGTAGTGTGGACATTGACGATCATCGAGCCAAGAGTATACGCAGTGGTCGGTGCCCGTCGCCGTGTAACCGAGGGCCCGAAGCGAAGCGTCGATGTGTCGATTCCAGATTCGGCCAGCCTGTTTGAGCCCGTAGATGGAGCGTCGCAGGCGAAGCACCTTGTCGCTGGGAAGGTCGAAGCCGCGCGGTGCCGTCATCCAGATGTCGTGGTCAAGGTCGCCATGCAGATATGCTTTGTCGATGTCCGCCTGGTGCACGTGCAAGCCGTTGGCGGCCGCCAGCGCGAGGAGTGAGCGTATCGAGGAGAAGCGTGCGACCGGTGCGAACGTTTCGTTGAAGTCGATGCCGTCGCGTTGCCGATTGCCTTGCGCGACCAGCCTTGCCTTGTGTCCAGTGACTTCGCCGAGTGCGTTCCGTTTCGTTTTCCAGACGAACTTGGATGTAACGATAGTCGCACCCGCGGGCACCGTGGCTCGGTCCTCGATGGTGAAGACCTTGAAGTCGTCGCGCATGGAGGTGAACTCGTCGGTGGCGGCTTTGGCCCATACTTCACGCTTGTCGCTAGACATCGCCTCGCGCCAGGTCTGTGGGTCGCTCGTGATGGACTTGACTGGCTGAATTGCCTCTGTGTCAGAGGTGTCGTCGTCGATGGCGATGAAGGCGCGGTGGTGTCGGGTGAGGAAATCGATTTCGTCCGGAGATTCGTCGCGAGAGTGGCGCCCAATGAGGTCGAGTTCGTCGGGCGACTCCTCAGCCGATGCGGGCTCGCGGTACGTGCTGAAGTCTGGGTGGTGCACGTCCTGTAGATCGAGGCGAACCTGGGGCTGTGAGCCGAGGAGGTCGAGGGGATCGGCGGAGTCTTCAGAGTCGGTCGGTAAGGCCGAGGGTGACGATGACGCAGCCGACGATGGTGAAAGTGCAGGCGATGGCGCAGACGACGGTGATGAGGGCGACGCAGGCGACGGTGACGAGGACGATTCGGCATCTGTGAAGTTAAGTAAGGTTCCGCCAGTGTACCCTGGGGCCACGTCAACGGCGCTCATGGCAGAATCATCAAGGGGGGATGAGACGTCCATGTGCGCCGACCTTACTAGTGGGGTCCATGTCTTGACAACGGTTTGAGATTCGGTGGTGGGAGCGCTGGCGAAGTGCGTGTCGCCGTCTTGCTCAGTGGGGTCGCCATGTAATCCGGGGAATTCAGTGTCGAGGAACGTGGCATTTCTGCCAAGTATAATCTTCTGTGTTGTAGTGTCGTAGAAGCGAAAGGCTTTTGAAGCCAGGTCGTAGCCGGTGAAAAAAACGCGAACCGCCTTCGGGTCGAGTTTGGAGCGAAGTTCGGGCGCGACCGTAAGCCAAGCTGTACAGCCGAACGGGTGAAGCGCCGAGGCAGTGGTGTGGTCACCCTGCCAGACGGAGTTTGGTGTTGCCTTGTCCAGGGCCGCGTGTTGACACAGGTTCTTGCAGTAAACGAAATAAGCTGCAGCCTCCTCCCAGAATGTCTTGGGTAGGTGGGCGTCGACAAGGAGGGCAAGGACGCCTTCGACAATGGAACGATTGACCCGCTCTGCACGACCGTTCTGTTGAGGCGTGCGTGGGATAGAGTATTGTCGACGGGTGCCTCGTGTCTTGCAGAACTCTGTGAACGCTCTCGAACAGTATTCGCCACCGTTGTCGGTTCGGAGGACCTTCAGCGTCGCACCCGTCTCGAGTTCAACCTCGGCTAGCCAAGTTTTGAATATGCCGAAGACTTCGCTTTTGTGTCCGATTGCGTAGGCCCAGAGTTTGCGCGAGTAATCGTCAAGGAATGTGACCAGGTAACGTTTGCCAGTCAAGGACCGCTCGGGGAAGGAAAGCACATCGCTGTGTACAAGGCCGAGTCTCTCTGAGGAGTGCGAATCCGAATCGGGAAAGGGTGTGAGGAATCCACTCTCCGCTCGGCTCAGGACTTAGGCGCGCGGAGCGAACCGGGCGCGGACTTAGGCGCGCGGAGTGAGCCGGGCGCCCCGGCCCAGGACTTAGGCGCGCGAAGCGAGCCTGGGACTTAGGCGCGCGGAGCGAGCCTGGGCCATTGGCTCAGCCCCAGGCTCGCTGGCTGTGGACTTGGGGTGCGCGGGTCTCTTATTGTTAGCTTCCTATTCATCACTCTTGGCTATAACTACATCGCTGACGTAGTAGAGTTGATCGAATAGGTATGTTGAAATGCATTCATCACTCTTGGCTATAACTACATCGCTGACGTAGTAGAGTTGATCGAATAGGTTATAAGCCCACGAGCTACCAGCCCCGCCGTTTGAGGCTTTTTCGCTCGAGCCCAGCCACTCGAGCCGCACACGTCCATCGCACCATCACATCATGGACAGCTCTCCCGCCTCGCCTTTGGCCCCCAGGGATCCCAGCTCCCCTGAATCTTCGATCGGCGAACAAATCGCCACTCTACAGGCCCAGCTTGCCGCTCTGCAGGCCTCGCAACCCGCCGCCGCCGCAGCCGCCGCACCCCCGGCCGTCACCGTCGTGCCGGGGAACGCCGCCACCGCATCCAAGGTCGTGTTTCCCAAGCACGCTCGTCTGGACGGCCCCAAGTCGTTCACCAACTGGTTGCGTCAACTCCGTCTTGCACTCCCGAACCAGGTTCGTGGTTACGTTCTCGACGGTGTCGTTCCCCCGACCTGGACCGCCGACCAGCTTGCCGCACGTGACGACGCCGCCCGGGAAATCATCGTTGGCTCTATCGACTCCGCCGACGTATCGGCCACCCTCGACGCCATCCCCAGCGACGACCTGTCGGCACCGCGCATCTTTGCCGCTCTCAAGGCTCGTTTTGCACCGGACGACGCTACACGCACTCTCGAGTTGTTCGCTCGCCTTTGGGACTTCAGGAAGATGCCTGCCTCCGTCGAGGCCTACGACACTTGGCTACGCGAGTACATGTCGATTGCTCAGGAAATACGCGACGCCAAAACATCGCTCAACGACGTGCTCGCCACCCACGTGCTCGCCATGGTCCCGTCTTGCCTCGACAGCTTCCGACTCACGTTCACGGACGAGCAGCGAAACCGACGCGACCTTCCCGAACTCACGACGCTTACGGACCGCATTCGCATCCAGCTTCGTTCGGCAGGACTCTCGACCTCGCATTCGGCCATGCTTGCCACCAGCTCCCCCTGCCCCGCCTGCCGCGCTCCCGGTCACCGCCTGCGCGACTGCACTTCACGTGCGAAGCACCCGCCCACCGGCCCCTGCCGCCGATGCCACAAGAAAGGTCACTGGGCACTCGACTGCAAGAACCGGGGTGAACAGGCACGTAGCAGCGACGACACCCAGGACGACACGTCTTCCTCCGCGGCCTCGCAACCGAACGTCGGCTATTTCGCCTCCTGCCTCTTCGCTCGTCGCCAACTCCCAACTGACGCCTTTGTAGTCGATTCGGGTGCCACGACACACATGGTCGCCGACCGATCTCTATTCACGACTTATCGTCAGACGGCACACACCAAGATCGGCGGCATCGCGGGCGGCATCACGGCTATCGGCATGGGGGACGTGGCATTCGTCGCCAAGACTGGACACCCGATCACGCTCCGTGGTGTTCTTCACACGCCTGGCCTACACGTCAACCTCCTCTCTGTCTCTCGCCTCTGCGACACCGACCGCGTTCGTCTCGCCTTCACCAGCGACGGCATCGACATCGCCAAGGACGGCCGGGCCATTGCTCACGGTACCAGGGTCAACGACGGTCTTTACCTTTTGGACGCGGATCACACCAAGTGCCAGCATCTTGCCTTCCTCTCACGCTCTGAGTCTCCCGTGCCCCTGCTTACCCTACACCGCTGCCTCGGCCATCTTGCCCCATCCTCTATACAGAAGATGATTGCTGCAGGTTTGCTGGACGGGTTTGGGGCCGGGTACAGTGACAAAGACGTAGAGGAGTTTGTTTGCAATGCTTGCCTTGGTTCCAAAGGTCACCGCCTTCCCTTTCCCGACTCTGAGTCGCATTCCGCCGAGAGACTTGGCCTCGTGCACAGCGACGTCCTGTCGTTCCCCACTCCGTCCTTGACCGGGAAGCGCTACCTTGTCACGTTTCTAGACGACCACTCTCGCAAACTCTGGGCATATGCGATCGATCACAAAAGCGATGTTTTCCCGACCTTCCAGACTTGGCTCGCCGAAGTGGAGTTAGAGACGAACGCGCGGTTGAGGATCCTTCGAACCGACAATGGCGGGGAGTACCGATCAAACGCATTCACGGAGTTCTGCAAATCCAAGGGCATTCGTCGTCAATACTCTATCCCTTACACGCCTCAACAAAACGGTCGCGCCGAACGTGTCAACCTCTCCATCGTCGAGGGCGTCCTCGCTCTCCTTGCGGACGCCCGTCTGCCGGCCACCTTTTGGGATGAAGCGGCTGCGTATTTCGTTTATTGCAAAAACAGGTGCTCACACTCAGCTTTGGCCAAACAGACTCCAGAATCCGTTTGGAACGGCCAACGCACCACCGCCACCGCCCTCCACCCGTTCGGCTGCACAGCCTGGCTCACGGTCGCCCCGGACCTTCGCAGCAAGCTCGACCCCAAGGCCGCGCGCGTGATCTTCACAGGTTACGACCTCGCCTCCAAAGCTTTCCGTTTCTTTGACCATTCCATCAACAAGATTGTACTTGGTCGCAATGCCACCTTCCTCGACGACGACTTCCCCGGCCTGCCAGTCACCACGCCCGTCGATGCAGACGACACCGACCGTCAGTTCGTCGTTCCCGCCGACACGCCCGCCCCTGCCGTCAAGACGAGGACCCCACTAGTAAGGTCGGCGCACATGGACGTCTCATCCTCCCTTGATGATTCTGCCATGAGCGCCGTTGACGTGGCCCCAGGGTACACTGGCGGAACCTTACTTAATTCCACAGATACCGAATCGTCCTCGTCACCGTCTCCTGAGCCGTCCTCGTCACCGTCGCCCACAAACCCTTTGTCACCGTCGCCTGCGCTGTCACCGTCGTTGGCAGCGTCATCGTCACCCTCGGTCTCACCGACCGACTCTGACTACTCCGCCGACCCTCTGGACCTCATCGGCTCACAGACCCCGACTCGCCTTGGCCCACCGGACGTGCACCGCCCAGACTTCAGCACGTACCGTGAGCCCGCATCGGCTGAGGAGTCGCCCGACGAACTCGACATCATTGGGCGTCACTCGCGCGATGAATCGCCGGATGAAATCGATTTCCTCACCCAACACCACCGCGCCTTCATCGCCACAGACGACGACGACCCCACCCTCGACGCCATCGAGCCCGTCAAATCGATCACTAGCGACCCCCAGACCTGGCGCGAAGCAATGTCCAGCGACGAGCACAACATCTGGGCTGAGGCCGCCGCCGCCGAGTTCACCGCCATGCGCGACGACTTCAAGGTGTTCACCATCGAGCCTCGCTCATCTGTACCGCCGGGCGCCACCATCGTCACCTCCAAATTCGTCTGGAAGACCAAGCGCAACGCAAGCGGTGAAGTCACGGGGCGGAAGGCACGTCTTGTAGCGCAGGGTAACCGACAGCGCGACGGCATCGACTTCTCAGAAACCTTCGCACCCGTCGCCCGTTTCTCCTCCATTCGCTGCCTCCTGGCTCTTGCCGCTGCCAATGGCTACCACGTTCATCAGGCCGACATCGACAAGGCTTACCTCCACGGCGAGCTCGATCATGATATCTGGATGACGACACCACGCGGTTTCGACTTCCCGAGCGATAAGGTTCTCCGGCTGCGACGCTCAATCTACGGTCTCAAGCAGGCCGGTCGCATCTGGAATCGTCACATTGACACATCACTCAGGAATCTGGGGTACAAGGCAACAGGCACTGATCACTGCATTTACTCTCGCATTGACGATCAGCAGCGGCCTCACTATATCGCCTTGTATGTCGACGACCTCCTCATTGTCAGTCCAGCCCTCGACGAGATCGAACGTGTCATCTCCGGCCTTGAACAGCGGTACGGCGTCAAACGACTCGGCCCCGCGGAGTACATCCTCGGAATCCAAATACGCCGCCTGGACGACGGTTCCATTGCTCTATCCCAGGAGCGCTACATCATGGACGTGCTGGCCCGTTTCCACTTCGACACCACGACACGCGGCACTACGGTGCCGATGACGCCCGGCCTCTCGCTCACGGCAATTCCGGGTCAGGGAACGGAGCGCATTCGTTCGTGGTACCTACAGGCCATCGGCTCCCTCCTCTACATCTCCCTTGGCACTCGACCCGACATTGCCTTCGCCGTCTCGTACCTGTCCCGGTTCGCCAACAACCCCGGCCGCCGCCATTGGATTGCCGTCAAACACGTCCTTCGCTACCTTCGCGCCACGTACCGCGATGAGCTTCTCTATGCCCGCGGCCCAGCAAAAGTCACGGGTGTGGTTGGTTATTCTGATGCGAACTGGGGCGCCTGCGTCGACACATCCATTTCAACGATGGGCTACGTATTTTACTTGGCAGGCGCCGCTGTCTCTTGGTCGTCGAAGCGTCAGACTCGGGTAGCGGATTCCACCACTGATGCCGAGTACCTGGCCTTGTCGCACGCGGGTAAGGAAGCGATCTACCTTAACCAACTCCTCTCCGAGCTCCACGTTTGCCCAATCGCTGCAGCTCACATCTTCACCGACAACGAGGCCGCGGCCGCCGTCGCTCACGACCCCGTTCGCACCTCCGGCACCCGGCACATTCGCCTCCGCGAGCATTTTGTCCGTGACATGGTCAATCGAGGTGATATCTCTCTCTCACACGTTGGCACAGCAGACATGGTTGCGGACGTATTCACCAAAGCGCTAGGCCCCAAGATTTTTGGTACACATTGCTATGCTCTAGGCCTCCGGACGCGACATCCACGGCTCAAGTCTACCTCGCGTTCGCGTGGGGGGGGGTGTGAGGAATCCACTCTCCGCTCGGCTCAGGACTTAGGCGCGCGGAGCGAACCGGGCGCGGACTTAGGCGCGCGGAGTGAGCCGGGCGCCCCGGCCCAGGACTTAGGCGCGCGAAGCGAGCCTGGGACTTAGGCGCGCGGAGCGAGCCTGGGCCATTGGCTCAGCCCCAGGCTCGCTGGCTGTGGACTTGGGGTGCGCGGGTCTCTTATTGTTAGCTTCCTATTCATCACTCTTGGCTATAACTACATCGCTGACGTAGTAGAGTTGATCGAATAGGTATGTTGAAATGCATTCATCACTCTTGGCTATAACTACATCGCTGACGTAGTAGAGTTGATCGAATAAAGGGAAGACGATGGCCCTTTGCGCTGAGGCAAGCATTGCAGACAAACTTCTCTACCTCTTCGTCACTATATCCGGCCCTGAGACCCTCCAGCAAACCAGCGGCAACCATCTTCTGTATGGAGGACGGTGCGAGATGGCCGAGGCAGCGATGGAGAGTCAGCAGGGGCACGGACGACTGTGAGCGAGAAAGGAGAGCAAGGTGCTGACATTTGGAATGATCAGCGTCCAGCAAGTAGAGCCCTTCGTCGAGTCGTGCGCCTTCAGCGATGTCGTTGCCGTCCTTGTCAATGTGGATGCCGTGTTTTGTGAAGGCGACACGGACATCGTCGGTGTCGCAAAGTCGAGAGACCGAGAGAAGATTGACAAACAGGCCCGGAGTGTGCAGCACGCCGGTAAGCGTGATCGGATGACCCGAGGCGGCAATGAAGGCGATGTTTCCCGTTCCGATGGCGTTGATGCCCCCTGCAATACCACCAATCTTCGTAGGAGCGATATGGCGATAGGTCGTGAACAGCGACTTGTCCGAGACCATGTGCGAAGTGGCGCCCGAGTCGACGACAAAAGAGTGGTTGCGAAGCTGGCGACGACGAGCGAGAAGACCGGTGGCGAGACATCCGACATGGTGTTGCGAGTCGACGGTCGAGTCAGCGGTGTCGGGCTTTTTGCCGTCCTCGAGCGCCTTCTTGCAGTCGAGAGACCAGTGATCCTTCTTCTTGCAGGAGCGACAGGGTCCTGGCGGCGGGTGTTGCGCCCTCGTAGGGCACTCCGCGACTCGGTGCGAAGGGCTGCGACAGGCGAGACACTTGAGACGAGTAGAACGTGACGACGACGAGGCAAGAAGGGCCGATTGAGTGCTGGGGATGTTCGTTGACCGAAGTTGGACTCGCATACGGTCGGCAAGCGAATCAATGTCGGGGAGAGTTCGTTGCGTGCGCTGTTCATCGGTGAACGACGCCTTGAAGCTCTCGAGGGACGGGTGGGCGATTGCAAGGAGGAGTGTGGCGAGAACATCATTGATAGTTGTCTTTGTGTCGATGATCTCTTGCGCAACGGCTTTGAAGTCCATGATCCACCCGTCGAATTCGGCAACCGTGCCGGGCATGGGACGGAAACCCCAGAGTCGTGAGAAGAGCTCGAGCGTGCGGGTGGCGTCGTCAGGGGCGTACCGCGATTTCAGCGTCGAGTAGATTGTCGGCGCTGTCAGGTCGGCGGTAGGGATTTTGTCGAGGACTGCCGAGACTTCGGCCGAGTCAATCGAATTCGCAAGGACCTCACGAGCGACGGCGTCGCGAGCGGAGCGTTGCGAAGGTGTCCAGTCGTCGGGTGCGATACCGTCGAGGACGTACGAGCGGATGTCGTCCGCTAGGCACAGGCGAAGTTGGCGTGTCCAGTTCGCGAAGGTCTTTGCACCATCCAAGCGTGCGTGCTTTGGAAAGGCAGTGCGAGTGGTGCCGGACGTCGTGGCGGGTGTGGCAGTGCCGGAAGCGGCAGCGGTGAGACCCGACAGCAGCGATGTAAGTGCGGCGAGCTGTTCGGCGGGAATCGGAGGGTTGGCACCCGTCGCGAGGGGTGGTGTCGTGGTCATGCCAGCTGGTGGCTCGTGGGCTTATAACCTATGAGACGTTCACCACTACTGTCAGGAGAGGTTGAGAGTCGAACAGAAGTGATCTATTTCAGCGTACCTATGAGACGTTCACCACTACTGTCAGGAGAGGTTGAGAGTCGAACAGAAGTGATGAGAAGGAAGCTAAGAAACAGAAAGGGGGGGGCCACGCTGGGATAGTCCCAGGCGCGTGACAATGTACATCCCTAAGTCAGCCGCGGGTGAAATCGCCGGCGCGCCTAAGTCCCCACCGCAAGGGGGCGGGCTAGCGGGCGCGCGCATGAATCCGCCGGCGCTGGCGCGCTGAGGCAGTCGCGCGCGTCTAAGTCCCCACCGCCGGGGGCGGGCTAGCAAGTGCGCGCAACGACCGAGGCGCCCCTGTCGAGCTGAGAGTGGACTCTTCACACCACCCACGTGCTCGCCATGGTCCCGTCTTGCCTCGACAGCTTCCGACTCACGTTCACGGACGAGCAGCGAAACCGACGCGACCTTCCCGAACTCACGACGCTTACGGACCGCATTCGCATCCAGCTTCGTTCGGCAGGACTCTCGACCTCGCATTCGGCCATGCTTGCCACCAGCTCCCCCTGCCCCGCCTGCCGCGCTCCCGGTCACCGCCTGCGCGACTGCACTTCACGTGCGAAGCACCCGCCCACCGGCCCCTGCCGCCGATGCCACAAGAAAGGTCACTGGGCACTCGACTGCAAGAACCGGGGTGAACAGGCACGTAGCAGCGACGACACCCAGGACGACACGTCTTCCTCCGCGGCCTCGCAACCGAACGTCGGCTATTTCGCCTCCTGCCTCTTCGCTCGTCGCCAACTCCCAACTGACGCCTTTGTAGTCGATTCGGGTGCCACGACACACATGGTCGCCGACCGATCTCTATTCACGACTTATCGTCAGACGGCACACACCAAGATCGGCGGCATCGCGGGCGGCATCACGGCTATCGGCATGGGGGACGTGGCATTCGTCGCCAAGACTGGACACCCGATCACGCTCCGTGGTGTTCTTCACACGCCTGGCCTACACGTCAACCTCCTCTCTGTCTCTCGCCTCTGCGACACCGACCGCGTTCGTCTCGCCTTCACCAGCGACGGCATCGACATCGCCAAGGACGGCCGGGCCATTGCTCACGGTACCAGGGTCAACGACGGTCTTTACCTTTTGGACGCGGATCACACCAAGTGTCAGCATCTTGCCTTCCTCTCACGCTCTGAGTCTCCCGTGCCCCTGCTTACCCTACACCGCTGCCTCGGCCATCTTGCCCCATCCTCTATACAGAAGATGATTGCTGCAGGTTTGCTGGACGGGTTTGGGGCCGGGTACAGTGACAAAGACGTAGAGGAGTTTGTTTGCAATGCTTGCCTTGGTTCCAAAGGTCACCGCCTTCCCTTTCCCGACTCTGAGTCGCATTCCGCCGAGAGACTTGGCCTCGTGCACAGCGACGTCCTGTCGTTCCCCACTCCGTCCTTGACCGGGAAGCGCTACCTTGTCACGTTTCTAGACGACCACTCTCGCAAACTCTGGGCATATGCGATCGATCACAAAAGCGATGTTTTCCCGACCTTCCAGACTTGGCTCGCCGAAGTGGAGTTAGAGACGTGTGAAGAGTCCACTCTCAGCTCGACAGGGGCGCCTCGGTCGTTGCGCGCGCCTGCTAGCCTGGCCCCTGTGGTGGGGACTTAGGCGCGCGCGAGTGCCTCAGCGCGCCGGCGCCGGCGGTTTTCGGGCGCGCGCCGCTAGCCCGCCCTTGCAGTGGGGACTTAGCCGCGCGCGACTGCCTCAGCGCTCCAGCGATTTCGCCCGCGCCTGGGCATATCCCAGCGCGGGCCCCCTTTCCATTTCTTAGCTTCCTTCTCATCACTTCTGTTCGACTCTCGACTTCTCCTGACAGTAGTGGTGATCATCTCATAGGTACGCTGAAATAGATCACTTCTGTTCGACTCTCGACTTCTCCTGACAGTAGTGGTGATCATCTCATAGGTTATAAGCCCATCGAGCTACCGCTGGCATGGACACGTCGTCAACCCTCGCGACGAGCGCCACCCCGACAATTCCCGCCGAACAGCTTGCCGCACTTACATCGCTGCTGTCGGGACTCACCGCTGCCGCTTCCGGCACTACCGCACCCGCCACGACATCCGGCTCCAATCGCAATGCCTTCCCGAAGCATGCGCGGTTGGACGGGCCGAAGACGTTCGCGAACTGGACACGCCAGCTTCGCCTGTGCCTAGCGGACGACATCCGCTCCTACGTCCTCGACGGAATCACCCCCGACGATTGGACGCCTTCGCAACGCTCCGCCCGCGACGTCGTGGCACGCGAGATCCTTGCAAACTCAATCGACTCGGCCGAAGTCTCGGCAGTCCTCGACAAGATCCCTACGGCCGACCTCACAGCGCCCAAGATTTACTCGACGCTGAAATCGCGATACGCCCCTGATGACGCCACTCGCACGCTCGAGCTCTTCTCGCGACTCTGGGGCTTCCGACCCATGCCCGGAACGGTTGGCGAATTTGACAGTTGGATCATGGACTTCAAGTCGGTCGCGCAAGAGATCATCGATACGAAAACGACGATCAACGACGTCCTTGCCACACTCCTCCTCGCGATCGCCCACCCGTCACTCGAGAGCTTCAAGGCAACGTTCACCGACGAACAACGCACGCAACGAACTCTCCCTGACATCGATTCAGTGGCCGACCGTATGCGAGTTCAACTCCGGTCAACGAACCTCTCCAACGATCAATCGGCCCTCCTTGCCTCGTCGTCGCCACGTTCTACCCGTACCAAGTGCCTCGCCTGTCGCAGCTCTTCTCACCGCGTCGCACAATGCCCTACAAGGGCCCAGCATCCACCGCCAGGCCCGTGTCGCTCCTGCAAGAAGAAGGACCACTGGTCTTTCGACTGCAAAAAGGCTCTTGAGGACGGGAAAACGCCCGACACCTCTGATGCGCAACACCATGTCGGATGTCTCGCCACCGGTCTTCTCGCACATCGTCGTCAGCTTCGCAACAACTCCTTCGTCGTCGACTCGGGTGCCACTTCGCACATGGTCTCGGACAAGTCGCTGTTCACGGCCTATCGCCACATCGCTCCTACGAAGATTGGTGGTATTGCAGGGGGCATCAACGCCGTCGGAACGGGAAACATCGCCTTTGTTGCCGCCTCCGGTCACCCGATCACGCTTACCGGCGTGCTGCACACCCCGGGCCTGTCTGTCAACCTCCTCTCGGTCTCTCGACTTTGCGACACCGACGATGTCCGTGTCGCCTTCACGAAGCACGGCATCCATATCGACAAGAACGGCAATGCTATCGCTGAAGGCGCAAGACTCGAGGAAGGGCTCTACTTGCTGGACGCTGATCATTCCAAATGTCAGCATCTCGCTCTCCTCTCTCGCTCACAGTCTTCCGTGCCCCTGCTGACCCTTCACCGCTGCCTCGGCCATCTCGCACCGTCGTCCATACAGAAGATGGTTGCCGCTGGTTTGCTGGAAGGTCTCGGGGCCGGATATAGTGACGAAGAGGTAGAGAAGTTTGTCTGCAATGCTTGCCTCAGTGCAAAGGGCCATCGTCTTCCTTTTCCCGATTCGGACTCGCACTCCTCAGAGAGACTCGGCCTCGTACACAGCGATGTGCTTTCCTTTCCCGAGTCGTCCTTGACTGGCAAGCGTTACCTGGTCACGTTTCTTGACGACTTCTCGCGCAAACTGTGGGCATACGCGATCGGACACAAAAGCGAAGTCTTTGGCGTGTTCAAGACATGGCTTGCCGAGGTCGAACTCGAGACGGGTGCAAAACTGAAGGTCCTCCGAACCGACAATGGTGGCGAATACTGTTCGAGAGCGTTCACGGAATTCTGTAAGGCACGCGGCACACGTCGACAATACTCTATCCCTCGAACGCCTCAACAGAACGGTCGTGCCGAACGAGTCAATCGTTCTATCGTCGAAGGTGTCCTTGCCCTCCTTGCAGACGCCCACTTACCCAAATCATTCTGGGAGGAGGCAGCAGCTTATTTCGTCTACTGCAAGAACCTGTGCGAACACTCGGCCCTGGACAAGGCAACACCGAACTTCGCCTGGCAGGGCGACCGCACCAACGCCTCGGCGCTTCACCCGTTCGGCTGCACGGCTTGGCTCACAGTCGCGCCTGAACTTCGCTCGAAACTCGACCCGAAAGCGGTTCGCGTTCTCTTCACCGGCTATGACCTGGCTTCTAAAGCCTTCCGTTTCTACGACACGACGACCAAGAAGATCAGTTTGGGCAGAAATGCCAGTTTCCTCGACAACGAATTTCCCGGGTTACGTAGCGACTCCACCGAGCAAGACGCCGACACGCACTTCGCCAGCGCTTGCCCGACCACCGAATCCCAAGCCGTTGTCAAGACATGGACCCCACTAGTAAGGTCGGCGCACATGGACGTCTCATCCTCTCTTGATGACTCTGCCATGAGCGCCGTTGACGTGGCCCCAGGGTACACTGGCGGAACCTTACTTAATTCCACAGATGCCGAATCGTCCTCGTCACCGTCTCCTGAGCCGTCCTCGTCACCGTCGCCCGCAACCCCCTTGTCACCGTCGCCTGCGCTGTCACCGTCGTTGGCTGCGTCATCGTCACCCTCGGCCTTACCGACCGACTCTGACTACTCCGCCGACCCTCTGGACCTCATCGGCTCACAGACCCCGACTCGCCTCGGCCCACCGGACGTGCACCGCCCAGACTTCAGCACGTACCGTGAGCCCGCATCGGCTGAGGAGTCGCCCGACGAACTCGACATCATTGGGCGCCACTCGCGCGATGAATCGCCGGACGAAATCGATTTCCTCACCCAACACCACCGCGCCTTCATCGCCACCGACGACGACAACTCTGACACAGAAGCCATTCAACCAGTCAAGTCCATCACCAGCGACCCACAGACATGGCGCGAGGCAATGTCGAGTGACAAGCGCGAAGTGTGGGCCAAGGCCGCTACCGACGAGTTCAATTCCATGCGCGACGACTTCAAGGTCTTCACCATCGAGGACCGATCCACGGTACCAGCGGGTGCGACCATCGTCACATCCAAGTTCGTCTGGAAAACGAAACGGAATGCACTCGGCGAAGTCACCGGCCACAAGGCACGGCTCGTGGCGCAGGGAAATCGGCAACGCGACGGCATCGACTTCAACGAAACCTTCGCACCAGTCGCACGCTTCTCCTCGATACGCTCACTCCTCGCGCTGGCGGCCGCCAACGGCTTGCACGTGCACCAGGCGGACATCGACAAAGCCTATCTGCATGGCGACCTTGACCATGACATCTGGATGACGACACCGCGCGGCTTCGACCTTCCCACCGACAAGGTGCTTCGTCTGCGACGCTCCATCTACGGACTCAAACAGGCTGGCCGAATCTGGAATCGACACATCGACGCATCGCTTCGAGATCTCGGCTATACGGCGACGGGCACCGACCACTGCGTGTACTCTCGGATCGACGATCGGCGACGCCCACACTACATCGCGCTGTACGTCGACGACCTCCTGATGATCAGCCCCGACTTGGCCGAAATTGAACGTGTCATCTCGGGCCTCGAACAACGCTACGGCGTCAAGCGCCTCGGCCCGGCAGAGTACATCCTCGGCATCCAGATCAGGCGACTCGAAGACGGTTCTATTGCCCTGTCCCAGGAACGGTACATCATGGACGTGCTTGCTCGGTTCCACTTCGACACCACGACTCGCGGCACTACAGTCCCGATGACCCCCGGCCTTTCGCTCACCGCCATCCCGGGTCAAGGCACCGAACGGATCAGGTCATGGTATCTGCAGGCTATCGGCTCGCTCCTCTACATTTCGCTCGGCACCCGCCCCGACATCGCCTTCGCCGTGTCCTACCTGGCCCGCTTCGCCAACAACCCTGGACGTCGTCACTGGATCGCGGTCAAGCACATCCTCCGCTATCTCCGGGCCACATATCGCGACGAACTGGTTTATGCTTGCGGCGAGACACGCATCACGGGCGTGGTTGGCTACTCCGACGCGAACTGGGGGGCCTGCGTCGATACGTCGGTGTCCACTATGGGCTACGTCTTCTACATTGCCGGATCCGCCGTGTCTTGGTCGTCCAAGCGTCAATCTCGAGTTGCCGATTCTACCACCGACGCTGAATACCTCGCCCTCTCGCATGCTGGCAAGGAAGGGATCTACCTCAGTCAGCTGCTCGAGGAGCTCCATGTCCAACCTGTTGCACCGGCTCACATTTTTACTGACAATGAAGCCGCTGCCGCAGTTGCCCACGACCCTGTCCGCGTCTCCGGCACTCGACACATACGCTTGTGCGAGCACTTTGTTCGGGACATGGTGAATCGGGGCGATATCTCACTCTCGCATGTGGGAACCAGCAACATGGTGGCCGACATCTTCACAAAGGCTCTTGGCCCAAAGATTTTCTCGACACACTGCTACGCACTAGGCCTTCGCACTCGACACCCACGGCTTGGATCTGCCTCGCATTCGCGTGGGGGGGGGTGTGAAGAGTCCACTCTCAGCTCGACAGGGGCGCCTCGGTCGTTGCGCGCGCCTGCTAGCCTGGCCCCTGTGGTGGGGACTTAGGCGCGCGCGAGTGCCTCAGCGCGCCGGCGCCGGCGGTTTTCGGGCGCGCGCCGCTAGCCCGCCCTTGCAGTGGGGACTTAGCCGCGCGCGACTGCCTCAGCGCTCCAGCGATTTCGCCCGCGCCTGGGCATATCCCAGCGCGGGCCCCCTTTCCATTTCTTAGCTTCCTTCTCATCACTTCTGTTCGACTCTCGACTTCTCCTGACAGTAGTGGTGATCATCTCATAGGTACGCTGAAATAGATCACTTCTGTTCGACTCTCGACTTCTCCTGACAGTAGTGGTGATCATCTCATAAGACGAACGCGCGGTTGAGGATCCTTCGAACCGACAATGGCGGGGAGTACCGATCAAACGCATTCACGGAGTTCTGCAAATCCAAGGGCATTCGTCGTCAATACTCTATCCCTTACACGCCTCAACAAAACGGTCGCGCCGAACGTGTCAACCTCTCCATCGTCGAGGGCGTCCTCGCTCTCCTTGCGGACGCCCGTCTGCCGGCCACCTTTTGGGATGAAGCGGCTGCGTATTTCGTTTATTGCAAAAACAGGTGCTCACACTCAGCTTTGGCCAAACAGACTCCAGAATCCGTTTGGAATGGCCAATGCACCACCGCCACCGCCCTCCACCCGTTCGGCTGCACAGCCTGGCTCACGGTCGCCCCGGACCTTCGCAGCAAGCTCGACCCCAAGGCCGCGCGCGTGATCTTCACAGGTTACGACCTCGCCTCCAAAGCTTTCCGTTTCTTTGACCATTCCATCAACAAGATTGTACTTGGTCGCAATGCCACCTTCCTCGACGACGACTTCCCCGGCCTGCCAGTCACCACGCCCGTCGATGCAGACGACACCGACCGTCAGTTCGTCGTTCCCGCCGACACGCCCGCCCCTGCCGTCAAGACGAGGACCCCACTAGTAAGGTCGGCGCACATGGACGTCTCATCCTCCCTTGATGATTCTGCCATGAGCGCCGTTGACGTGGCCCCAGGGTACACTGGCGGAACCTTACTTAATTCCACAGATACCGAATCGTCCTCGTCACCGTCTCCTGAGCCGTCCTCGTCACCGTCGCCCACAAACCCTTTGTCACCGTCGCCTGCGCTGTCACCGTCGTTGGCAGCGTCATCGTCACCCTCGGTCTCACCGACCGACTCTGACTACTCCGCCGACCCTCTGGACCTCATCGGCTCACAGACCCCGACTCGCCTTGGCCCACCGGACGTGCACCGCCCAGACTTCAGCACGTACCGTGAGCCCGCATCGGCTGAGGAGTCGCCCGACGAACTCGACATCATTGGGCGTCACTCGCGCGATGAATCGCCGGATGAAATCGATTTCCTCACCCAACACCACCGCGCCTTCATCGCCACAGACGACGACGACCCCACCCTCGACGCCATCGAGCCCGTCAAATCGATCACTAGCGACCCCCAGACCTGGCGCGAAGCAATGTCCAGCGACGAGCACAACATCTGGGCTGAGGCCGCCGCCGCCGAGTTCACCGCCATGCGCGACGACTTCAAGGTGTTCACCATCGAGCCTCGCTCATCTGTACCGCCGGGCGCCACCATCGTCACCTCCAAATTCGTCTGGAAGACCAAGCGCAACGCAAGCGGTGAAGTCACGGGGCGGAAGGCACGTCTTGTAGCGCAGGGTAACCGACAGCGCGACGGCATCGACTTCTCAGAAACCTTCGCACCCGTCGCCCGTTTCTCCTCCATTCGCTGCCTCCTGGCTCTTGCCGCTGCCAATGGCTACCACGTTCATCAGGCCGACATCGACAAGGCTTACCTCCACGGCGAGCTCGATCATGATATCTGGATGACGACACCACGCGGTTTCGACTTCCCGAGCGATAAGGTTCTCCGGCTGCGACGCTCAATCTACGGTCTCAAGCAGGCCGGTCGCATCTGGAATCGTCACATTGACACATCACTCAGGAATCTGGGGTACAAGGCAACAGGCACTGATCACTGCATTTACTCTCGCATTGACGATCAGCAGCGGCCTCACTATATCGCCTTGTATGTCGACGACCTCCTCATTGTCAGTCCAGCCCTCGACGAGATCGAACGTGTCATCTCCGGCCTTGAACAGCGGTACGGCGTCAAACGACTCGGCCCCGCGGAGTACATCCTCGGAATCCAAATACGCCGCCTGGACGACGGTTCCATTGCTCTATCCCAGGAGCGCTACATCATGGACGTGCTGGCCCGTTTCCACTTCGACACCACGACACGCGGCACTACGGTGCCGATGACGCCCGGCCTCTCGCTCACGGCAATTCCGGGTCAGGGAACGGAGCGCATTCGTTCGTGGTACCTACAGGCCATCGGCTCCCTCCTCTACATCTCCCTTGGCACTCGACCCGACATTGCCTTCGCCGTCTCGTACCTGTCCCGGTTCGCCAACAACCCCGGCCGCCGCCATTGGATTGCCGTCAAACACGTCCTTCGCTACCTTCGCGCCACGTACCGCGATGAGCTTCTCTATGCCCGCGGCCCAGCAAAAGTCACGGGTGTGGTTGGTTATTCTGATGCGAACTGGGGCGCCTGCGTCGACACATCCATTTCAACGATGGGCTACGTATTTTACTTGGCAGGCGCCGCTGTCTCTTGGTCGTCGAAGCGTCAGACTCGGGTAGCGGATTCCACCACTGATGCCGAGTACCTGGCCTTGTCGCACGCGGGTAAGGAAGCGATCTACCTTAACCAACTCCTCTCCGAGCTCCACGTTTGCCCAATCGCTGCAGCTCACATCTTCACCGACAACGAGGCCGCGGCCGCCGTCGCTCACGACCCCGTTCGCACCTCCGGCACCCGGCACATTCGCCTCCGCGAGCATTTTGTCCGTGACATGGTCAATCGAGGTGATATCTCTCTCTCACACGTTGGCACAGCAGACATGGTTGCGGACGTATTCACCAAAGCGCTAGGCCCCAAGATTTTTGGTACACATTGCTATGCTCTAGGCCTCCGGACGCGACATCCACGGCTCAAGTCTACCTCGCGTTCGCGTGGGGGGGGGTGTGAGGAATCCACTCTCCGCTCGGCTCAGGACTTAGGCGCGCGGAGCGAACCGGGCGCGGACTTAGGCGCGCGGAGTGAGCCGGGCGCCCCGGCCCAGGACTTAGGCGCGCGAAGCGAGCCTGGGACTTAGGCGCGCGGAGCGAGCCTGGGCCATTGGCTCAGCCCCAGGCTCGCTGGCTGTGGACTTGGGGTGCGCGGGTCTCTTATTGTTAGCTTCCTATTCATCACTCTTGGCTATAACTACATCGCTGACGTAGTAGAGTTGATCGAATAGGTATGTTGAAATGCATTCATCACTCTTGGCTATAACTACATCGCTGACGTAGTAGAGTTGATCGAATAAAGGGAAGACGATGGCCCTTTGCGCTGAGGCAAGCATTGCAGACAAACTTCTCTACCTCTTCGTCACTATATCCGGCCCTGAGACCCTCCAGCAAACCAGCGGCAACCATCTTCTGTATGGAGGACGGTGCGAGATGGCCGAGGCAGCGATGGAGAGTCAGCAGGGGCACGGACGACTGTGAGCGAGAAAGGAGAGCAAGGTGCTGACATTTGGAATGATCAGCGTCCAGCAAGTAGAGCCCTTCGTCGAGTCGTGCGCCTTCAGCGATGTCGTTGCCGTCCTTGTCAATGTGGATGCCGTGTTTTGTGAAGGCGACACGGACATCGTCGGTGTCGCAAAGTCGAGAGACCGAGAGAAGATTGACAAACAGGCCCGGAGTGTGCAGCACGCCGGTAAGCGTGATCGGATGACCCGAGGCGGCAATGAAGGCGATGTTTCCCGTTCCGATGGCGTTGATGCCCCCTGCAATACCACCAATCTTCGTAGGAGCGATATGGCGATAGGTCGTGAACAGCGACTTGTCCGAGACCATGTGCGAAGTGGCGCCCGAGTCGACGACAAAAGAGTGGTTGCGAAGCTGGCGACGACGAGCGAGAAGACCGGTGGCGAGACATCCGACATGGTGTTGCGAGTCGACGGTCGAGTCAGCGGTGTCGGGCTTTTTGCCGTCCTCGAGCGCCTTCTTGCAGTCGAGAGACCAGTGATCCTTCTTCTTGCAGGAGCGACAGGGTCCTGGCGGCGGGTGTTGCGCCCTCGTAGGGCACTCCGCGACTCGGTGCGAAGGGCTGCGACAGGCGAGACACTTGAGACGAGTAGAACGTGACGACGACGAGGCAAGAAGGGCCGATTGAGTGCTGGGGATGTTCGTTGACCGAAGTTGGACTCGCATACGGTCGGCAAGCGAATCAATGTCGGGGAGAGTTCGTTGCGTGCGCTGTTCATCGGTGAACGACGCCTTGAAGCTCTCGAGGGACGGGTGGGCGATTGCAAGGAGGAGTGTGGCGAGAACATCATTGATAGTTGTCTTTGTGTCGATGATCTCTTGCGCAACGGCTTTGAAGTCCATGATCCACCCGTCGAATTCGGCAACCGTGCCGGGCATGGGACGGAAACCCCAGAGTCGTGAGAAGAGCTCGAGCGTGCGGGTGGCGTCGTCAGGGGCGTACCGCGATTTCAGCGTCGAGTAGATTGTCGGCGCTGTCAGGTCGGCGGTAGGGATTTTGTCGAGGACTGCCGAGACTTCGGCCGAGTCAATCGAATTCGCAAGGACCTCACGAGCGACGGCGTCGCGAGCGGAGCGTTGCGAAGGTGTCCAGTCGTCGGGTGCGATACCGTCGAGGACGTACGAGCGGATGTCGTCCGCTAGGCACAGGCGAAGTTGGCGTGTCCAGTTCGCGAAGGTCTTCGCACCATCCAAGCGTGCGTGCTTTGGAAAGGCAGTGCGAGTGGTGCCGGACGTCGTGGCGGGTGTGGCAGTGCCGGAAGCGGCAGCGGTGAGACCCGACAGCAGCGATGTAAGTGCGGCGAGCTGTTCGGCGGGAATCGGAGGGTTGGCACCCGTCGCGAGGGGTGGTGTCGTGGTCATGCCAGCTGGTGGCTCGTGGGCTTATAACCTATGAGACGTTCACCACTACTGTCAGGAGAGGTTGAGAGTCGAACAGAAGTGATCTATTTCAGCGTACCTATGAGACGTTCACCACTACTGTCAGGAGAGGTTGAGAGTCGAACAGAAGTGATGAGAAGGAAGCTAAGAAACAGAAAGGGGGGGGCCACGCTGGGATAGTCCCAGGCGCGTGACAATGTACATCCCTAAGTCAGCCGCGGGTGAAATCGCCGGCGCGCCTAAGTCCCCACCGCAAGGGGGCGGGCTAGCGGGCGCGCGCATGAATCCGCCGGCGCTGGCGCGCTGAGGCAGTCGCGCGCGTCTAAGTCCCCACCGCCGGGGGCGGGCTAGCAAGTGCGCGCAACGACCGAGGCGCCCCTGTCGAGCTGAGAGTGGACTCTTCACACCACCCACGTGCTCGCCATGGTCCCGTCTTGCCTCGACAGCTTCCGACTCACGTTCACGGACGAGCAGCGAAACCGACGCGACCTTCCCGAACTCACGACGCTTACGGACCGCATTCGCATCCAGCTTCGTTCGGCAGGACTCTCGACCTCGCATTCGGCCATGCTTGCCACCAGCTCCCCCTGCCCCGCCTGCCGCGCTCCCGGTCACCGCCTGCGCGACTGCACTTCACGTGCGAAGCACCCGCCCACCGGCCCCTGCCGCCGATGCCACAAGAAAGGTCACTGGGCACTCGACTGCAAGAACCGGGGTGAACAGGCACGTAGCAGCGACGACACCCAGGACGACACGTCTTCCTCCGCGGCCTCGCAACCGAACGTCGGCTATTTCGCCTCCTGCCTCTTCGCTCGTCGCCAACTCCCAACTGACGCCTTTGTAGTCGATTCGGGTGCCACGACACACATGGTCGCCGACCGATCTCTATTCACGACTTATCGTCAGACGGCACACACCAAGATCGGCGGCATCGCGGGCGGCATCACGGCTATCGGCATGGGGGACGTGGCATTCGTCGCCAAGACTGGACACCCGATCACGCTCCGTGGTGTTCTTCACACGCCTGGCCTACACGTCAACCTCCTCTCTGTCTCTCGCCTCTGCGACACCGACCGCGTTCGTCTCGCCTTCACCAGCGACGGCATCGACATCGCCAAGGACGGCCGGGCCATTGCTCACGGTACCAGGGTCAACGACGGTCTTTACCTTTTGGACGCGGATCACACCAAGTGTCAGCATCTTGCCTTCCTCTCACGCTCTGAGTCTCCCGTGCCCCTGCTTACCCTACACCGCTGCCTCGGCCATCTTGCCCCATCCTCTATACAGAAGATGATTGCTGCAGGTTTGCTGGACGGGTTTGGGGCCGGGTACAGTGACAAAGACGTAGAGGAGTTTGTTTGCAATGCTTGCCTTGGTTCCAAAGGTCACCGCCTTCCCTTTCCCGACTCTGAGTCGCATTCCGCCGAGAGACTTGGCCTCGTGCACAGCGACGTCCTGTCGTTCCCCACTCCGTCCTTGACCGGGAAGCGCTACCTTGTCACGTTTCTAGACGACCACTCTCGCAAACTCTGGGCATATGCGATCGATCACAAAAGCGATGTTTTCCCGACCTTCCAGACTTGGCTCGCCGAAGTGGAGTTAGAGACGAACGCGCGGTTGAGGATCCTTCGAACCGACAATGGCGGGGAGTACCGATCAAACGCATTCACGGAGTTCTGCAAATCCAAGGGCATTCGTCGTCAATACTCTATCCCTTACACGCCTCAACAAAACGGTCGCGCCGAACGTGTCAACCTCTCCATCGTCGAGGGCGTCCTCGCTCTCCTTGCGGACGCCCGTCTGCCGGCCACCTTTTGGGATGAAGCGGCTGCGTATTTCGTTTATTGCAAAAACAGGTGCTCACACTCAGCTTTGGCCAAACAGACTCCAGAATCCGTTTGGAATGGCCAACGCACCACCGCCACCGCCCTCCACCCGTTCGGCTGCACAGCCTGGCTCACGGTCGCCCCGGACCTTCGCAGCAAGCTCGACCCCAAGGCCGCGCGCGTGATCTTCACAGGTTACGACCTCGCCTCCAAAGCTTTCCGTTTCTTTGACCATTCCATCAACAAGATTGTACTTGGTCGCAATGCCACCTTCCTCGACGACGACTTCCCCGGCCTGCCAGTCACCACGCCCGTCGATGCAGACGACACCGACCGTCAGTTCGTCGTTCCCGCCGACACGCCCGCCCCTGCCGTCAAGACGAGGACCCCACTAGTAAGGTCGGCGCACATGGACGTCTCATCCTCCCTTGATGATTCTGCCATGAGCGCCGTTGACGTGGCCCCAGGGTACACTGGCGGAACCTTACTTAATTCCACAGATACCGAATCGTCCTCGTCACCGTCTCCTGAGCCGTCCTCGTCACCGTCGCCCACAAACCCTTTGTCACCGTCGCCTGCGCTGTCACCGTCGTTGGCAGCGTCATCGTCACCCTCGGTCTCACCGACCGACTCTGACTACTCCGCCGACCCTCTGGACCTCATCGGCTCACAGACCCCGACTCGCCTTGGCCCACCGGACGTGCACCGCCCAGACTTCAGCACGTACCGTGAGCCCGCATCGGCTGAGGAGTCGCCCGACGAACTCGACATCATTGGGCGTCACTCGCGCGATGAATCGCCGGATGAAATCGATTTCCTCACCCAACACCACCGCGCCTTCATCGCCACAGACGACGACGACCCCACCCTCGACGCCATCGAGCCCGTCAAATCGATCACTAGCGACCCCCAGACCTGGCGCGAAGCAATGTCCAGCGACGAGCACAACATCTGGGCTGAGGCCGCCGCCGCCGAGTTCACCGCCATGCGCGACGACTTCAAGGTGTTCACCATCGAGCCTCGCTCATCTGTACCGCCGGGCGCCACCATCGTCACCTCCAAATTCGTCTGGAAGACCAAGCGCAACGCAAGCGGTGAAGTCACGGGGCGGAAGGCACGTCTTGTAGCGCAGGGTAACCGACAGCGCGACGGCATCGACTTCTCAGAAACCTTCGCACCCGTCGCCCGTTTCTCCTCCATTCGCTGCCTCCTGGCTCTTGCCGCTGCCAATGGCTACCACGTTCATCAGGCCGACATCGACAAGGCTTACCTCCACGGCGAGCTCGATCATGATATCTGGATGACGACACCACGCGGTTTCGACTTCCCGAGCGATAAGGTTCTCCGGCTGCGACGCTCAATCTACGGTCTCAAGCAGGCCGGTCGCATCTGGAATCGTCACATTGACACATCACTCAGGAATCTGGGGTACAAGGCAACAGGCACTGATCACTGCATTTACTCTCGCATTGACGATCAGCAGCGGCCTCACTATATCGCCTTGTATGTCGACGACCTCCTCATTGTCAGTCCAGCCCTCGACGAGATCGAACGTGTCATCTCCGGCCTTGAACAGCGGTACGGCGTCAAACGACTCGGCCCCGCGGAGTACATCCTCGGAATCCAAATACGCCGCCTGGACGACGGTTCCATTGCTCTATCCCAGGAGCGCTACATCATGGACGTGCTGGCCCGTTTCCACTTCGACACCACGACACGCGGCACTACGGTGCCGATGACGCCCGGCCTCTCGCTCACGGCAATTCCGGGTCAGGGAACGGAGCGCATTCGTTCGTGGTACCTACAGGCCATCGGCTCCCTCCTCTACATCTCCCTTGGCACTCGACCCGACATTGCCTTCGCCGTCTCGTACCTGTCCCGGTTCGCCAACAACCCCGGCCGCCGCCATTGGATTGCCGTCAAACACGTCCTTCGCTACCTTCGCGCCACGTACCGCGATGAGCTTCTCTATGCCCGCGGCCCAGCAAAAGTCACGGGTGTGGTTGGTTATTCTGATGCGAACTGGGGCGCCTGCGTCGACACATCCATTTCAACGATGGGCTACGTATTTTACTTGGCAGGCGCCGCTGTCTCTTGGTCGTCGAAGCGTCAGACTCGGGTAGCGGATTCCACCACTGATGCCGAGTACCTGGCCTTGTCGCACGCGGGTAAGGAAGCGATCTACCTTAACCAACTCCTCTCCGAGCTCCACGTTTGCCCAATCGCTGCAGCTCACATCTTCACCGACAACGAGGCCGCGGCCGCCGTCGCTCACGACCCCGTTCGCACCTCCGGCACCCGGCACATTCGCCTCCGCGAGCATTTTGTCCGTGACATGGTCAATCGAGGTGATATCTCTCTCTCACACGTTGGCACAGCAGACATGGTTGCGGACGTATTCACCAAAGCGCTAGGCCCCAAGATTTTTGGTACACATTGCTATGCTCTAGGCCTCCGGACGCGACATCCACGGCTCAAGTCTACCTCGCGTTCGCGTGGGGGGGGTGTGAGGAATCCACTCTCCGCTCGGCTCAGGACTTAGGCGCGCGGAGCGAACCGGGCGCGGACTTAGGCGCGCGGAGTGAGCCGGGCGCCCCGGCCCAGGACTTAGGCGCGCGAAGCGAGCCTGGGACTTAGGCGCGCGGAGCGAGCCTGGGCCATTGGCTCAGCCCCAGGCTCGCTGGCTGTGGACTTGGGGCGCGCGGGTCTCTTATTGTTAGCTTCCTATTCATCACTCTTGGCTATAACTACATCGCTGACGTAGTAGAGTTGATCGAATAGGTATGTTGAAATGCATTCATCACTCTTGGCTATAACTACATCGCTGACGTAGTAGAGTTGATCGAATACGCACTTGCTAGCCCGCCCCCGGCGGTGGGGACTTAGACGCGCGCGACTGCCTCAGCGCGCCAGCGCCGGCGGATTCATGCGCGCGCCCGCTAGCCCGCCCCCTTGCGGTGGGGACTTAGGCGCGCCGGCGATTTCACCCGCGGCTGACTTAGGGATGTACATTGTCACGCGCCTGGGACTATCCCAGCGTGGCCCCCCCCTTTCTGTTTCTTAGCTTCCTTCTCATCACTTCTGTTCGACTCTCAACCTCTCCTGACAGTAGTGGTGAACGTCTCATAGGTACGCTGAAATAGATCACTTCTGTTCGACTCTCAACCTCTCCTGACAGTAGTGGTGAACGTCTCATAGGTTATAAGCCCACGAGCCACCAGCTGGCATGACCACGACACCACCCCTCGCGACGGGTGCCAACCCTCCGATTCCCGCCGAACAGCTCGCCGCACTTACATCGCTGCTGTCGGGTCTCACCGCTGCCGCTTCCGGCACTGCCACACCCGCCACGACGTCCGGCACCACTCGCACTGCCTTTCCAAAGCACGCACGCTTGGATGGTGCGAAGACCTTCGCGAACTGGACACGCCAACTTCGCCTGTGCCTAGCGGACGACATCCGCTCGTACGTCCTCGACGGTATCGCACCCGACGACTGGACACCTTCGCAACGCTCCGCTCGCGACGCCGTCGCTCGTGAGGTCCTTGCGAATTCGATTGACTCGGCCGAAGTCTCGGCAGTCCTCGACAAAATCCCTACCGCCGACCTGACAGCGCCGACAATCTACTCGACGCTGAAATCGCGGTACGCCCCTGACGACGCCACCCGCACGCTCGAGCTCTTCTCACGACTCTGGGGTTTCCGTCCCATGCCCGGCACGGTTGCCGAATTCGACGGGTGGATCATGGACTTCAAAGCCGTTGCGCAAGAGATCATCGACACAAAGACAACTATCAATGATGTTCTCGCCACACTCCTCCTTGCAATCGCCCACCCGTCCCTCGAGAGCTTCAAGGCGTCGTTCACCGATGAACAGCGCACGCAACGAACTCTCCCCGACATTGATTCGCTTGCCGACCGTATGCGAGTCCAACTTCGGTCAACGAACATCCCCAGCACTCAATCGGCCCTTCTTGCCTCGTCGTCGTCACGTTCTACTCGTCTCAAGTGTCTCGCCTGTCGCAGCCCTTCGCACCGAGTCGCGGAGTGCCCTACGAGGGCGCAACACCCGCCGCCAGGACCCTGTCGCTCCTGCAAGAAGAAGGATCACTGGTCTCTCGACTGCAAGAAGGCGCTCGAGGACGGCAAAAAGCCCGACACCGCTGACTCGACCGTCGACTCGCAACACCATGTCGGATGTCTCGCCACCGGTCTTCTCGCTCGTCGTCGCCAGCTTCGCAACCACTCTTTTGTCGTCGACTCGGGCGCCACTTCGCACATGGTCTCGGACAAGTCGCTGTTCACGACCTATCGCCATATCGCTCCTACGAAGATTGGTGGTATTGCAGGGGGCATCAACGCCATCGGAACGGGAAACATCGCCTTCATTGCCGCCTCGGGTCATCCGATCACGCTTACCGGCGTGCTGCACACTCCGGGCCTGTTTGTCAATCTTCTCTCGGTCTCTCGACTTTGCGACACCGACGATGTCCGTGTCGCCTTCACAAAACACGGCATCCACATTGACAAGGACGGCAACGACATCGCTGAAGGCGCACGACTCGACGAAGGGCTCTACTTGCTGGACGCTGATCATTCCAAATGTCAGCACCTTGCTCTCCTTTCTCGCTCACAGTCGTCCGTGCCCCTGCTGACTCTCCATCGCTGCCTCGGCCATCTCGCACCGTCCTCCATACAGAAGATGGTTGCCGCTGGTTTGCTGGAGGGTCTCAGGGCCGGATATAGTGACGAAGAGGTAGAGAAGTTTGTCTGCAATGCTTGCCTCAGCGCAAAGGGCCATCGTCTTCCCTTTCCCGATTCGGATTCGCACTCCTCAGAGAGACTCGGCCTTGTACACAGCGATGTGCTTTCCTTCCCCGAGCGGTCCTTGACTGGCAAACGTTACCTGGTCACATTCCTTGACGATTACTCGCGCAAACTCTGGGCCTACGCAATCGGACACAAAAGCGAAGTCTTCGGCATATTCAAAACTTGGCTAGCCGAGGTTGAACTCGAGACGGGTGCGACGCTGAAGGTCCTCCGAACCGACAACGGTGGCGAATACTGTTCGAGAGCGTTCACAGAGTTCTGCAAGACACGAGGCACCCGTCGACAATACTCTATCCCACGCACGCCTCAACAGAACGGTCGTGCAGAGCGGGTCAATCGTTCCATTGTCGAAGGCGTCCTTGCCCTCCTTGTCGACGCCCACCTACCCAAGACATTCTGGGAGGAGGCTGCAGCTTATTTCGTTTACTGCAAGAACCTGTGTCAACACGCGGCCCTGGACAAGGCAACACCAAACTCCGTCTGGCAGGGTGACCACACCACTGCCTCGGCGCTTCACCCGTTCGGCTGTACAGCTTGGCTTACGGTCGCGCCCGAACTTCGCTCCAAACTCGACCCGAAGGCGGTTCGCGTTTTTTTCACCGGCTACGACCTGGCTTCAAAAGCCTTTCGCTTCTACGACACTACAACACAGAAGATTATACTTGGCAGAAATGCCACGTTCCTCGACACTGAATTCCCCGGATTACATGGCGACCCCACTGAGCAAGACGGCGACACGCACTTCGCCAGCGCTCCCACCACCGAATCTCAAACCGTTGTCAAGACATGGACCCCACTAGTAAGGTCGGCGCACATGGACGTCTCATCCCCCCTTGATGATTCTGCCATGAGCGCCGTTGACGTGGCCCCAGGGTACACTGGCGGAACCTTACTTAACTTCACAGATGCCGAATCGTCCTCGTCACCGTCGCCTGCGTCGCCCTCATCACCGTCGTCTGCGCCATCGCCTGCACTTTCACCATCGTCGGCTGCGTCATCGTCACCCTCGGCCTTACCGACCGACTCTGAAGACTCCGCCGATCCCCTCGACCTCCTCGGCTCACAGCCCCAGGTTCGCCTCGATCTACAGGACGTGCACCACCCAGACTTCAGCACGTACCGCGAGCCCGCATCGGCTGAGGAGTCGCCCGACGAACTCGACCTCATTGGGCGCCACTCTCGCGACGAATCTCCGGACGAAATCGATTTCCTCACCCGACACCACCGCGCCTTCATCGCCATCGACGACGACACCTCTGACACAGAGGCAATTCAGCCAGTCAAGTCCATCACGAGCGACCCACAGACCTGGCGCGAGGCGATGTCTAGCGACAAGCGTGAAGTATGGGCCAAAGCCGCCACCGACGAGTTCACCTCCATGCGCGACGACTTCAAGGTCTTCACCATCGAGGACCGAGCCACGGTGCCCGCGGGTGCGACTATCGTTACATCCAAGTTCGTCTGGAAAACGAAACGGAACGCACTCGGCGAAGTCACTGGACACAAGGCAAGGCTGGTCGCGCAAGGCAATCGGCAACGCGACGGCATCGACTTCAACGAAACGTTCGCACCGGTCGCACGCTTCTCCTCGATACGCTCACTCCTCGCGCTGGCGGCCGCCAACGGCTTGCACGTGCACCAGGCGGACATCGACAAAGCATATCTGCATGGCGACCTTGACCACGACATCTGGATGACGGCACCGCGCGGCTTCGACCTTCCCAGCGACAAGGTGCTTCGCCTGCGACGCTCCATCTACGGGCTCAAACAGGCTGGCCGAATCTGGAATCGACACATCGACGCTTCGCTTCGGGCCCTCGGTTACACGGCGACGGGCACCGACCACTGCGTATACTCTTGGCTCGATGATCGTCAATGTCCACACTACATCGCACTGTACGTCGACGACCTCCTGATGATCAGCCCGGAACTGGCCGAAATCGAACGTGTCATCTCAGGCCTGGACCAACGCTACGGAGTCAAGCGCCTCGGCCCGGCCGAGTATATCCTCGGCATCCAGATCAGGCGGTTCGACGACGGCTCTATCGCCCTATCCCAGGAACGGTACATCATGGACGTGCTCGCTCGGTTCCACTTCGACACCACGACTCGCGGCACTACAGTTCCGATGACTCCCGGCCTTTCGCTCACTGCTATCCCGGGTCAAGGCACCGAACGGATCAGGTCATGGTATCTGCAGGCTATCGGCTCGCTCCTCTACATTTCGCTCGGTACCCGCCCTGACATCGCCTTCGCCGTGTCCTACCTGGCCCGCTTCGCCAACAACCCCGGTCGTCGTCATTGGATTGCGGTCAAGCACATCCTACGCTATCTCCGGGCCACGTATCGCAACGAACTCGTGTATGCTCGCGGCCAGGCTCGCATCACGGGTGTGGTAGGCTACTCCGACGCGAACTGGGGGGCCTGCATCGACACATCGGTGTCCACCATGGGCTACGTCTTCTACATCGCTGGCTCGGCCGTGTCCTGGTCGTCCAAACGCCAGTCTCGAGTTGCCGATTCGACCACCGACGCTGAATACCTCGCCCTCTCGCATGCTGGCAAGGAAGGGATTTACCTCAGTCAGCTGCTCGAAGAGCTCCATGTACAACCTGTTGCACCGGCTCACATCTTTACTGACAACGAAGCCGCTGCTGCAGTTGCTCACGATCCTGTCCGCGTCTCTGGCACTCGGCACATACGCTTGCGTGAGCACTTCGTTCGGGACATGGTGAATCGGGGCGACATCTCTCTCTCGCATGTGGGTACCAGCGACATGGTGGCCGACATCTTCACCAAGGCTCTCGGCCCAAAGGTCTTCTCAACGCACTGCTACGCCCTCGGCCTTCGCACTCGACACCCGCGGCTTGGGTCTGCCTCGCATTCGCGTGGGGGGGGTGTGAAGAGTCCACTCTCAGCTCGACAGGGGCGCCTCGGTCGTTGCGCGCACTTGCTAGCCCGCCCCCGGCGGTGGGGACTTAGACGCGCGCGACTGCCTCAGCGCGCCAGCGCCGGCGGATTCATGCGCGCGCCCGCTAGCCCGCCCCCTTGCGGTGGGGACTTAGGCGCGCCGGCGATTTCACCCGCGGCTGACTTAGGGATGTACATTGTCACGCGCCTGGGACTATCCCAGCGTGGCCCCCCCCTTTCTGTTTCTTAGCTTCCTTCTCATCACTTCTGTTCGACTCTCAACCTCTCCTGACAGTAGTGGTGAACGTCTCATAGGTACGCTGAAATAGATCACTTCTGTTCGACTCTCAACCTCTCCTGACAGTAGTGGTGAACGTCTCATAAGAGTCCCCATTTCACTCGAGCGTGTTCAGACTCGACCTTTGAGTTCCGTTTCCGCTTCAATGACGCGCCCTTCTTGCCCTCCCGCAGACCCCGTTGGCCGAATGAAAGAAGGGGCTTCTTCTTCAGTCGACGTCGAAGTCTCATCAAGTAATCCGCAGCCAACCGCGCCGGCAAGTGATGCAGATCTACGTCGTCTTGCCGATGACTCGACCGACTCTGCGTTTGACGCGGTGGAAGACGTCCCCTCTTATGCTGATGCCGCGTCGCGAATGCGGCGATACTGGGGGCCGGAGGTGGTGTCGTCGCGCAAAGCGGAGAGGACTGCATCGGTGAGCTCTGTTCGTGTTATGAGACGTTCACCACTACTGTCAGGAGAGGTTGAGAGTCGAACAGAAGTGATCTATTTCAGCGTACCTATGAGACGTTCACCACTACTGTCAGGAGAGGTTGAGAGTCGAACAGAAGTGATGAGAAGGAAGCTAAGAAACAGAAAGGGGGGGGCCACGCTGGGATAGTCCCAGGCGCGTGACAATGTACATCCCTAAGTCAGCCGCGGGTGAAATCGCCGGCGCGCCTAAGTCCCCACCGCAAGGGGGCGGGCTAGCGGGCGCGCGCATGAATCCGCCGGCGCTGGCGCGCTGAGGCAGTCGCGCGCGTCTAAGTCCCCACCGCCGGGGGCGGGCTAGCAAGTGCGCGCAACGACCGAGGCGCCCCTGTCGAGCTGAGAGTGGACTCTTCACACCCCCCCCCACGCGAATGCGAGGCAGACCCAAGCCGCGGGTGTCGAGTGCGAAGGCCGAGGGCGTAGCAGTGCGTTGAGAAGACCTTTGGGCCGAGAGCCTTGGTGAAGATGTCGGCCACCATGTCGCTGGTACCCACATGCGAGAGAGAGATGTCGCCCCGATTCACCATGTCCCGAACGAAGTGCTCACGCAAGCGTATGTGCCGAGTGCCAGAGACGCGGACAGGATCGTGAGCAACTGCAGCAGCGGCTTCGTTGTCAGTAAAGATGTGAGCCGGTGCAACAGGTTGTACATGGAGCTCTTCGAGCAGCTGACTGAGGTAAATCCCTTCCTTGCCAGCATGCGAGAGGGCGAGGTATTCAGCGTCGGTGGTCGAATCGGCAACTCGAGACTGGCGTTTGGACGACCAGGACACGGCCGAGCCAGCGATGTAGAAGACGTAGCCCATGGTGGACACCGATGTGTCGATGCAGGCCCCCCAGTTCGCGTCGGAGTAGCCTACCACACCCGTGATGCGAGCCTGGCCGCGAGCATACACGAGTTCGTTGCGATACGTGGCCCGGAGATAGCGTAGGATGTGCTTGACCGCAATCCAATGACGACGACCGGGGTTGTTGGCGAAGCGGGCCAGGTAGGACACGGCGAAGGCGATGTCAGGGCGGGTACCGAGCGAAATGTAGAGGAGCGAGCCGATAGCCTGCAGATACCATGACCTGATCCGTTCGGTGCCTTGACCCGGGATAGCAGTGAGCGAAAGGCCGGGAGTCATCGGAACTGTAGTGCCGCGAGTCGTGGTGTCGAAGTGGAACCGAGCGAGCACGTCCATGATGTACCGTTCCTGGGATAGGGCGATAGAGCCGTCGTCGAACCGCCTGATCTGGATGCCGAGGATATACTCGGCCGGGCCGAGGCGCTTGACTCCGTAGCGTTGGTCCAGGCCTGAGATGACACGTTCGATTTCGGCCAGTTCCGGGCTGATCATCAGGAGGTCGTCGACGTACAGTGCGATGTAGTGTGGACATTGACGATCATCGAGCCAAGAGTATACGCAGTGGTCGGTGCCCGTCGCCGTGTAACCGAGGGCCCGAAGCGAAGCGTCGATGTGTCGATTCCAGATTCGGCCAGCCTGTTTGAGCCCGTAGATGGAGCGTCGCAGGCGAAGCACCTTGTCGCTGGGAAGGTCGAAGCCGCGCGGTGCCGTCATCCAGATGTCGTGGTCAAGGTCGCCATGCAGATATGCTTTGTCGATGTCCGCCTGGTGCACGTGCAAGCCGTTGGCGGCCGCCAGCGCGAGGAGTGAGCGTATCGAGGAGAAGCGTGCGACCGGTGCGAACGTTTCGTTGAAGTCGATGCCGTCGCGTTGCCGATTGCCTTGCGCGACCAGCCTTGCCTTGTGTCCAGTGACTTCGCCGAGTGCGTTCCGTTTCGTTTTCCAGACGAACTTGGATGTAACGATAGTCGCACCCGCGGGCACCGTGGCTCGGTCCTCGATGGTGAAGACCTTGAAGTCGTCGCGCATGGAGGTGAACTCGTCGGTGGCGGCTTTGGCCCATACTTCACGCTTGTCGCTAGACATCGCCTCGCGCCAGGTCTGTGGGTCGCTCGTGATGGACTTGACTGGCTGAATTGCCTCTGTGTCAGAGGTGTCGTCGTCGATGGCGATGAAGGCGCGGTGGTGTCGGGTGAGGAAATCGATTTCGTCCGGAGATTCGTCGCGAGAGTGGCGCCCAATGAGGTCGAGTTCGTCGGGCGACTCCTCAGCCGATGCGGGCTCGCGGTACGTGCTGAAGTCTGGGTGGTGCACGTCCTGTAGATCGAGGCGAACCTGGGGCTGTGAGCCGAGGAGGTCGAGGGGATCGGCGGAGTCTTCAGAGTCGGTCGGTAAGGCCGAGGGTGACGATGACGCAGCCGACGATGGTGAAAGTGCAGGCGATGGCGCAGACGACGGTGATGAGGGCGACGCAGGCGACGGTGACGAGGACGATTCGGCATCTGTGAAGTTAAGTAAGGTTCCGCCAGTGTACCCTGGGGCCACGTCAACGGCGCTCATGGCAGAATCATCAAGGGGGGATGAGACGTCCATGTGCGCCGACCTTACTAGTGGGGTCCATGTCTTGACAACGGTTTGAGATTCGGTGGTGGGAGCGCTGGCGAAGTGCGTGTCGCCGTCTTGCTCAGTGGGGTCGCCATGTAATCCGGGGAATTCAGTGTCGAGGAACGTGGCATTTCTGCCAAGTATAATCTTCTGTGTTGTAGTGTCGTAGAAGCGAAAGGCTTTTGAAGCCAGGTCGTAGCCGGTGAAAAAAACGCGAACCGCCTTCGGGTCGAGTTTGGAGCGAAGTTCGGGCGCGACCGTAAGCCAAGCTGTACAGCCGAACGGGTGAAGCGCCGAGGCAGTGGTGTGGTCACCCTGCCAGACGGAGTTTGGTGTTGCCTTGTCCAGGGCCGCGTGTTGACACAGGTTCTTGCAGTAAACGAAATAAGCTGCAGCCTCCTCCCAGAATGTCTTGGGTAGGTGGGCGTCGACAAGGAGGGCAAGGACGCCTTCGACAATGGAACGATTGACCCGCTCTGCACGACCGTTCTGTTGAGGCGTGCGTGGGATAGAGTATTGTCGACGGGTGCCTCGTGTCTTGCAGAACTCTGTGAACGCTCTCGAACAGTATTCGCCACCGTTGTCGGTTCGGAGGACCTTCAGCGTCGCACCCGTCTCGAGTTCAACCTCGGCTAGCCAAGTTTTGAATATGCCGAAGACTTCGCTTTTGTGTCCGATTGCGTAGGCCCAGAGTTTGCGCGAGTAATCGTCAAGGAATGTGACCAGGTAACGTTTGCCAGTCAAGGACCGCTCGGGGAAGGAAAGCACATCGCTGTGTACAAGGCCGAGTCTCTCTGAGGAGTGCGAATCCGAATCGGGAAAGGGAAGACGATGGCCCTTTGCGCTGAGGCAAGCATTGCAGACAAACTTCTCTACCTCTTCGTCACTATATCCGGCCCTGAGACCCTCCAGCAAACCAGCGGCAACCATCTTCTGTATGGAGGACGGTGCGAGATGGCCGAGGCAGCGATGGAGAGTCAGCAGGGGCACGGACGACTGTGAGCGAGAAAGGAGAGCAAGGTGCTGACATTTGGAATGATCAGCGTCCAGCAAGTAGAGCCCTTCGTCGAGTCGTGCGCCTTCAGCGATGTCGTTGCCGTCCTTGTCAATGTGGATGCCGTGTTTTGTGAAGGCGACACGGACATCGTCGGTGTCGCAAAGTCGAGAGACCGAGAGAAGATTGACAAACAGGCCCGGAGTGTGCAGCACGCCGGTAAGCGTGATCGGATGACCCGAGGCGGCAATGAAGGCGATGTTTCCCGTTCCGATGGCGTTGATGCCCCCTGCAATACCACCAATCTTCGTAGGAGCGATATGGCGATAGGTCGTGAACAGCGACTTGTCCGAGACCATGTGCGAAGTGGCGCCCGAGTCGACGACAAAAGAGTGGTTGCGAAGCTGGCGACGACGAGCGAGAAGACCGGTGGCGAGACATCCGACATGGTGTTGCGAGTCGACGGTCGAGTCAGCGGTGTCGGGCTTTTTGCCGTCCTCGAGCGCCTTCTTGCAGTCGAGAGACCAGTGATCCTTCTTCTTGCAGGAGCGACAGGGTCCTGGCGGCGGGTGTTGCGCCCTCGTAGGGCACTCCGCGACTCGGTGCGAAGGGCTGCGACAGGCGAGACACTTGAGACGAGTAGAACGTGACGACGACGAGGCAAGAAGGGCCGATTGAGTGCTGGGGATGTTCGTTGACCGAAGTTGGACTCGCATACGGTCGGCAAGCGAATCAATGTCGGGGAGAGTTCGTTGCGTGCGCTGTTCATCGGTGAACGACGCCTTGAAGCTCTCGAGGGACGGGTGGGCGATTGCAAGGAGGAGTGTGGCGAGAACATCATTGATAGTTGTCTTTGTGTCGATGATCTCTTGCGCAACGGCTTTGAAGTCCATGATCCACCCGTCGAATTCGGCAACCGTGCCGGGCATGGGACGGAAACCCCAGAGTCGTGAGAAGAGCTCGAGCGTGCGGGTGGCGTCGTCAGGGGCGTACCGCGATTTCAGCGTCGAGTAGATTGTCGGCGCTGTCAGGTCGGCGGTAGGGATTTTGTCGAGGACTGCCGAGACTTCGGCCGAGTCAATCGAATTCGCAAGGACCTCACGAGCGACGGCGTCGCGAGCGGAGCGTTGCGAAGGTGTCCAGTCGTCGGGTGCGATACCGTCGAGGACGTACGAGCGGATGTCGTCCGCTAGGCACAGGCGAAGTTGGCGTGTCCAGTTCGCGAAGGTCTTCGCACCATCCAAGCGTGCGTGCTTTGGAAAGGCAGTGCGAGTGGTGCCGGACGTCGTGGCGGGTGTGGCAGTGCCGGAAGCGGCAGCGGTGAGACCCGACAGCAGCGATGTAAGTGCGGCGAGCTGTTCGGCGGGAATCGGAGGGTTGGCACCCGTCGCGAGGGGTGGTGTCGTGGTCATGCCAGCTGGTGGCTCGTGGGCTTATAACCTATGAGACGTTCACCACTACTGTCAGGAGAGGTTGAGAGTCGAACAGAAGTGATGAGAAGGAAGCTAAGAAACAGAAAGGGGGGGCCACGCTGGGATAGGCCCAGGCGCGTGACAATGTACATCCCTAAGTCAGCCGCGGGTGAAATTGCCGGCGCGCCTAAGTCCCCACCGCAAGGGGGCGGGCTAGCGGGCGCGCGCATGAATCCGCCGGCGCTGGCGCGCTGAGGCAGTCGCGCGCGTCTAAGTCCCCACCGCCGGGGGCGGGCTAGCAAGTGCGCGCAACGACCGAGGCGCCCCTGTCGAGCTGAGAGTGGACTCTTCACAAGATGTACCTCTTCACGGATGCCAGTCGGGTTGGCATTGGCGCTTGTTTGGCGTCCGGGCCCAACCGTTCGCAGGCCGTTCCAACGCGATTCTTTTCCGCTAAGTTCAACGGTGCTCAGCTCAACTATCATGTCACTGATAAAGAGTTCTTGGCTGTCGTCTCGGCGTGTCGGGCGTTCGAGCAGCACTTGATCGGTTACCCCTTCGTCATCGTCACCGACCATCAGGTGACAGGCAACGTCGGAGGAGATGACGATGACTACACGCGAGAGACGAGGGAGAGAGCGAGAGAGCGCGCGAAAGCGCGAAGAAGCGAAAGGGGTGTCGACCGAGGCGGCGGCAGTCGACCGAGAGGCAACCGCGGAGGATACGCGGCTGCAAGGCTCGCAGCAAGTCCAGTGTACCGAACTATGGTGGCCAACGAGCTCGGACAGAAGAGGGAGGGCAAACGATCCAAGAAATAGCTGACCAAGCCGATGGGAAGGTCGAGTCGGCTGGGCGGCGGCAGTCGACCGAGAGCAACCGAGGAGTGGATTCGGTCGGAAGGCTTCGCAGCAAATCAAGTGTAACGGACTTAATTGCCAGCGAAATAGGTAAAAAGAGGGAGGGTACGAGTCTAGAAGAGTTGACCAAGCTCTGGGGGAAAGGTGGCAAAAGCAAAGGGAGGGAAGTGCTCCGAGCGAAGGAAAGACTGAGTCAAATAACTACACCACGAGGTCGCTTCAGGGGTAAAAAGGATTGCCCGCCAGGCACCGGTAAAAACCCCGAAGCCGGGCCTCGGATAACAAAAAGGGAAAAGAAACCAAAAGGCAGATCACGCTCCGGGCGGATCGAACCCTCGACCACTGAGTGCGCGCCCACGCGCCCTCACGACTACGCCATCGCGCCGACAATGCTTGCAACGAACAAACCGGTAGCTGATTTCGACTCCGGCCGCAAACTTGGGAGACTTCCTTCGAGTATTGATGGCAGTGCAGGCTGTGATCCTGACAGAAAATGGGCGGACCTGACAACGGCGGCCCAAGGTTGAAGTGTTCGAACGCTTGTAGTAGAATGAAATTCAACAGCCTTGTGCCATGAGTGACCCACCAGCGCCATCGACGGCGACGTGTGACCGTGTGTGCCAGGCGTCGAAGAGAGACGCGTCCTTGACCATGTGGTGGGAGGCGCCCGAGTCGAGTACAAGGGTGTCATTTGGAAGGTGGAGCTCACGGTTCAATGGTAGACGACCTAGGAGTGCGACGACGTTCACGCTGGGCCGGACTGTCACGCTCACAGTCGGGTCCAGGTGCGACGTGTCAAGTTGCGTCATGGTGTGGTAACGGCCGGTCGCATGGGCGAGGGCGGTTTTAACGGTGTGGTACAGAGCGATGATGATGACGAACGCGATCATGATGGTGGCAAGTGACGATGGTGGTGAAGGCATCGTTGTAGCAGCTTTAGCTCGGGCAGCTGGTAGCTCGTTGGGCTCATAACCTGTTAAGTCGTGTGTCTCGAGAGGGGACTGGATCGGCAACCAGTGAGTACACGAGACACAGTACGAGTGTTAGGAAGTAGTTTGGAGCGTTAGGGGGAAGACTAAAGAGGCTCGCGGTGCGAGTGCGCGAAATATCTCTAAGTCCAAAAGGGGTCCGAGCGGCGCGCGGCTGGCTAGGCTGGGCGCGGGCTGGAGATCGACCTAAGCAAGAGTGTATGGAATTCAACAATGAAGTCGAAGTTGTTGCCGCGCTACATCGGCCCCTTCCGTATCCGAGCGGCCATCCCTGCGACATCCAGCTACGACCTCGAGCTCCCTCCAGCGATGTCGCGAGTGCACAATCGTTTCCATGCTCGACTGCTTCGGCCTTGCGTTGAGAATGATGCTGAAAGGTTTCCTGGGCGTGACCCCGCAGTTCTTTTTGTCGAAGACGTAGCCGACGCGGCCGACAATTCTGCGATTCCGGAATGGATTGTTCGCGATCGGCGGAACGCTCGGGGCGCTCGTTCATTCTTGGTTCGATGGGTAGGCCGTAACGACACCGACGATACTTGGATGTCAGAGCAGTCCATTCGCCTTGACCATCCGTCCGTCCTCGACGCCTACCTCGCGCGCCTCGATCGCTCGAACCGCCGCCTCGCCGCACGGTAGACTTCTGTCAGGATCACAGCCTGCACTGCCATCAATACTCGAAGGAAGTCTCCCAAGTTTGCGGCCGGAGTCGACATCAGCTACCGGTTTGTTCGTTGCAAGCATTGTCGGCGCGATGGCGTAGTCGTGAGGGCGCGTGGGCGCGCACTCAGTGGTCGAGGGTTCGATCCGCCCGGAGCGTGATCTGCCTTTTGGTTTCTTTTCCCTTTTTGTTATCCGAGGCCCGGCTTCGGGGTTTTTACCGGTGCCTGGCGGGCAATCCTTTTTACCCCTGAAGCGACCTCGTGGTGTAGTTATTTGACTCAGTCTTTCCTTCGCTCGGAGCACTTCCCTCCCTTTGCTTTTGCCACCTTTCCCCCAGAGCTTGGTCAACTCTTCTAGACTCGTACCCTCCCTCTTTTTACCCATTTCGCTGGCAATTAAGTCCGTTACACTTGATTTGCTGCGAAGCCTTCCGACCGAATCCACTCCTCGGTTGCTCTCGGTCGACTGCCGCCGCCCAGCCGACTCGACCTTCCCATCGGCTTGGTCAGCTATTTCTTGGATCGTTTGCCCTCCCTCTTCTGTCCGAGCTCGTTGGCCACCATAGTTCGGTACACTGGACTTGCTGCGAGCCTTGCAGCCGCGTATCCTCCGCGGTTGCCTCTCGGTCGACTGCCGCCGCCTCGGTCGACACCCCTTTCGCTTCTTCGCGCTTTCGCGCGCTCTCTCGCTCTCTCCCTCGTCTCTCGCATGTAGTCATTGTCATCCCCTCCGACGTTGCCTGTCACCCAACCTGCGAAGGGCAGTATCGTCGGGTCAACTCCAAGGTCAGACATGGACGTACTCGGCGGCCGAATGCAAGGCCTTCTCCTGCGACACCTGCAAAGCCGCCAAAGCAACAAGGACACCTTTCCCAACGTCGGACTCTCGCGCTTCGCAACCACTCGAACTGGTCCACTCCGACGTCCTCACTCTGCCCGAACCCGCCACCGATGGGGAACGATACGTTGTCACCTTCATCGACGATTTCTCCCGGAAGACGTGGGTCAGCGCGCTGAGGAACAAGAGTCAGGTCTTCGACACCTTCCAGCGTTGGCACGCCATGATCGAGCGCTCAACGGGCCTCAAGCTCCGCACGTTACGAACGGACAACGGCGGTGAATATACGTCCAAAGCCTTCATCGAGTACTGCTCTCATCACGGCATTACCAGGCAACTCACGATCCCTTACACCCCGGAGCAAAACGGCCGAGCCGAACGGACGAACCGCACAATCATCGAGGGGACGATTGCTCTGCTCCAGCACTCGGGACTGCCCATGACACTCTGGCGCGAGGCCCTCCGGTACGTTGTTGACACCAAAAACCTCAGCCCGCACAGCGCCATCGATCACAAAATCCCGGACACTATCTGGTATGGCAAACCTCCCAGCATGGCAAACCTGAGAGCATTCGGCTGCCGCGCCTGGCACACCACCCCTCGGCACAAGCGGGCAAAACTCGACCCCAAGGCCAAACCATTCATCTTCGTCGGCATCGAAAACAAAACCAAGGCCTGGACGCTGTACGACCCAGAAACAACTTCGTTCTTCCAGAGCCGCGACGTCAGATTCGATGAGAACGTCTTTCCCGCTCGAGATGCCCCGACTGGCCAACCAAAGCCTCGCGCGACGTCCACTGCTGGCGACTGGACCTTCGTTGACGCTGCACATGGCTCCCGCACTGTCCCACGTCTGTCACTCCCGCCCGTCGTGCACGAAAATCGATTTGCCGCACTTGAGACCGACGCAAGCGACGACGCAACAATCGAAATGTCCGATGATGGTTTTGATACCCCGTCCGACATGTCCATGGCTCAGTTCTCGCTGTCACCCCCTGCGTCGGACGTGACCGATGACTCGGCCGACCCCATCGACTTCCTGTCATGCCCGTCTCGCGCCGCTGCCTTTGCCGCCACCACTGCAGATTCACCGGTCGTCGAACTCGAAGGGCCAACCGAGGACCCCCAGAATTGGTCGCAGGCGGTCAAGTCAGGTAAAGAGGAGATCTGGAGGCAAGCAGCAGCCGACGAGTTTCACTCCCTTGCCACCGAGTACAAATGCTTCACCCCTGTTGACTCCTCCTCACTGCCCCCTGGCGCCAAAGTCCTCGGATCCAGGTTCATCTTCCGCACCAAACGCGACCAACTTGGCAAGATCACTTCGCACAAGGGCCGGCTCGTTGCACAGGGATTCTCCCAGCGCCCAGGTATCGATTACGACGAGACTTTTGCCCCTGTTGCCAAGTTCACCTCCATCCGAGCTCTCATCGCCCTGGCCGCCGCCAAGAAACTCCACGTCCATCAGGCCGACATTGACAAGGCGTACCTCCACGGTGAGCTGAAGGAAGACCTCTACATGCGCGTCCCACAAGGTGTTGACATGCCCGGTAAAGTCCTCAAGCTCCATCGATCGATCTACGGCCTCAAGCAGGCCGGCCGAGTCTGGAACGAGCACATTGTGTGAAGAGTCCACTCTCAGCTCAACAGGGGCGCCTCGGTCGTTGCGCGCACTTGCTAGCCCGCCCCCCGGCGGTGGGGACTTAGGCGCGCCGGCAATTTCACCCGCGGCTGACTTAGGGATGTACATTGTCACGCGCCTGGGCCTATCCCAGTGTGGCCCCCTTTCTGTTTCTTAGCTTCCTTCTCATCACTTCTGTTCGACTCTCAACCTCTCCTGACAGTAGTGGTGATCGTCTCATAGGTACGCTGAAATAGATCACTTCTGTTCGACTCTCAACCTCTCCTGACAGTAGTGGTGATCGTCTCATACATTGACTTGACGCTGAAAAGCCTCCACTACCGCGCCACAGCCAAGGACCACTGCGTGTACGTACGACGCGACGGCGACCACTACCACTACATCGCCCTCTACGTCGACGACTTGCTGATGGTCAGCCCCTCGGAGGACGAGATTGAGCGCATCCTCAACGGCCTGGAGCAAAAATGCGGCATCAAGCGACTTGGCCCAGCCCAGTACATCTTGGGGATCCAGATCAAGCGACAGGCCGACAAGTCCATCATCCTGTCGCAAGAGGCGTACATCACGAGCATCCTCCGCAGATTTGGCATGTCAGACAGCAGCCCCGCCTCCACGCCCATGGCCCCGAACCGACAGCTCGAACATTCGCTCGCGGAAACATCCAAAACTGCTCGGACACGCTACATGCAGGCTATTGGATGCCTCCTGTACGCCGCCACCGGTACTCGCCCGGACATTTCCTACGCTGTCGGATACCTCGCACACTTCTCTGCCAGTCCCACACCCGAACACTGGACGGCCATCAAGACCGTATTTCGGTACTTACGTGGAACCGCACGTCTAGGCCTGCACTACAGCTCTGAACAAGGCAAGTTCTCAGGCTTCACCGGTTACTCTGATGCAGACTGGGGAACCTGCACCACATCGTCACGGTCGACCATGGGGTACAGCTTCCACCTGGCCGGATCTGTCATCTCTTGGTCCTCCAAAGTGCAAAACCGTGTGGCCAACTCCACCACAGACGCCGAGTACCTCGCCCTCTCACACGCCTCCAAGGAAGCTGGTCACCTCCAAGAACTGCTTATGGAACTGGGCATCGACACACGAGCTCCCGTCCAGCTGTACGGCGACAACCAAGGTGCTATTGCTCTCGCCAAGAACCCCACCCTTCACCACCGGTCCCGTCACATTCGCATTCGTGAGCACTTTGTACGCGACCAGGTCAGGCTGGGCACCATCCAAGTCGACTATGTGGACACGAAAACCATGGTCGCCGACATCTTCACCAAGGCACTTGGACCCTTGGTGTTCAAGGTACATCGTGACAACCTGGGTCTTCGAGGCTAAGTCAGCTTCGAGCGAGGGGGGGTGTTGAATTCCATACACTCTTGCTTAGGTCGATCTCCAGCCCGCGCCCAGCCTAGCCAGCCGCGCACCGCTCGGACCCCTTTTGGACTTAGAGATATTTCGCGCACTCGCACCGCGAGCCTCTTTAGTCTTCCCCCTAACGCTCCAAACTACTTCCTAACACTCGTACTGTGTCTCGTGTACTCACTGGTTGCCGATCCAGTCCCCTCTCGAGACACACGATTTAACAATGGATGGGCGACGCTCTGATGGCCGATGGAACATGAGGACGGCGGAGGCAACAGGTTGGCAAGACAGGAGAGGTAGATCGACTGAGTTCCGGCGTGTGAGGCGGCGGCGCGCGAGCGTGAGTTGAGCAGGCTGGCGCGGAGGCGGCGAACAGGGGGCGGCTTGGCTGCGAAGGCGAAGCGGCCGATACGAAAAACGGGCGGTGGCGTGCAGGCTCAGCAGGCGACGGCCGGATGGATGGACCAGGAAGTGGACGTGTTGACTAAGGCGCACATGAGTCGATGGAGCGAGGCTGGTCGTGTGTATCAGGCGACGAGGCTCGGGTAACAGGGGGCGCGATGAAGGCGCCGAGGCGAAGGTGCCAAGAGGCAAAGGCGCGTGGTGGCGAGCATGGCAGAGCAGGCAAAGCTGGCGACGACGGGCAGACGGACCGAGATGTGGACGAGTTGACGGACGGTGCACATGGGTCGAGGAACGAGGCTGGGCGCAAGCGTCATGCGGCGAGGCTGGAGGGACAGGGGGCGCGGCGGAGGCTTGCGGAGGCTTAGGCGCGTGGAGGCAAGGCGCCGAGGCGAAGGCGCGAGGCGAAAGGCGGACAAGCCCGTCAAACGGCGGCCCGATGTCGAAGTGTTCGAACGCTTGACAGAACGCAATTCAACACAGTGGAGGCTTGCGGAGGCAAAGGCGCACGGAGGCAAGACACCGAGGCGAAGGCGTGAGGCAAAAGGCGGGCGAGCGTCAAATAGGGGCCCAAAGTCGAAGTGTTCGAAGGCTCGACAGAATGCAATTCAACAGGTTGATCGTGACAATGTGGTGCAGGTTCCCCAGTCTGCGTCAGAGTTACCGGTGAAATCTGAGAACTTGCCTTGCTCAGAGCTGTAGTGCAGGCCAAGACATGCAGTTCCGCGTAAGTACCAAAAGACGGTCTTGTTGGCGGTCCAGTGTTTGGGTGTGGGACTGGCAGAGAAGCGTGCAAGGTATCCAACAGCGTAGGAAATGTTCGGGCGAGTACCGGTGGCGGCGTACAGGAGGCATCCAATGGCCTGCATGTAGCGTGTCCGAGCAGTTTTGGATGGTTCCGCGAGCGAATGTTCGAGCTGGCGGTTCGGGGCCATGGGCGTGGAGGCGGGGCTGCTGTCTGACATGCCAAACCTGCGGAGGATGCTCGCGACGTACGCCTCCTGCGACAGGATGATGGACTTGTCAGTCTGTCGTTTGATCTGGATCCCCAAGATGTACTGGGCTGGGCCAAGTCGCTTGATGCCGTATTTTTGCTCCATTGTTGTGGTAAGGTCCTCGCAAAGAACGTCAACGAGGCGAGCAGGAGACGTCGATGAAGAGCGGAAGTGCGACTCGGGCACGGCAGGCTCGTAGCGGAAACCACCGGTGCGAGCGACGATAACGCAAGGAACCGGTGGAGAGGAATTGTTGCGGTAATATCGTCGTAGAGACTGTCGACGAGGCGAGCAGGAGACGTCGATGACGAGCGGCAAGTGCGCGGAGACGGTCGTTGAAGCGAGCAGGAGAAGTCGAGATGCGATTCGAGCACGGCCAGCGTCGCGAGGAGTAGGGGTCGACAACGAGCTTCGAATGCGTGGGACACAGAGGTGAGCGTAAGCAATCGCTGGCCCTGTCGTAGAGGTAGGTCGTGTGCGGCAATCGTTGATTCGTCGAGTTGCGGACGAGCGTGATAGCATTCGAGTCGATGGGGAAAGCGCTAAGGCGGGGCGGGACCTTCCGGCGCGCGTGGTGCATCGACTTGTCATCGCACATCGCCATCAGGCCCCATCGTACAGTACCCTCTAGTGTCATGCGCTAGGGGTGTCATGCCTTGTTATTGGCCCGTAAGCCACCGCATCCCAAACGGCGTGTGAACAACGTGCGTCAGCCGACGATATGTCCGGGAAGATCTGATGGTCGTGGCGACGAGTAGGAGCGATGACTGAGGATCACAACTTGGAGCTTTGCAACCAAAATTTTTAGATGTCAGTCGGCTGCAAAATGATCATAGAGAAGTCCATGGATCGGCTCAGCATACCTTTGCGACGAGACAAGTCACTGTATAAGGACGGATCGGCGCAGATGGCGCGAGTGGAGGCAAAGGGTCTGCTGAGAGCCATATATGCAATGAGCGTGTTGCCCAACAAAGGCTACAGAGCTATAGGCCCATACAATTATATTGTAGGATTAGAAGTACAGAGTAGATGTCGCAACAAGCGCAGTATATCAAGGCACTCACCCCGAGTTACCCAAGGCGAGCCACGTCGAGGGTTTGAGACGAGCTGCTCGCACCTGAGAACGTCCAGCAAGACGGAATGCTCGGTCAGCGACTTCATCAACTGGGACATAGTGGTGAGAGTGAGGAACGCACCTGTCCTACAGGTGGCCAATGCAGCCGCAGAAACTGGTCGGGAAACGTCGACGCTGCAGTGAAGGCCCCAAGAGGGACACGTGTCATAGCAAAAACCCCCCCCTGAAATGGGACGATCCCGGGATCATCCCGGGATCGGGCCTCCGATTTGAAATCGGTGCAGCGATTTGAAATGCATTTGAAATTGGCGGAGCGATTTGAAATGCATTTGAAATTGGCGGAGTGATTTGAAATGCATTTGAAATCGGCGCGGTGATTTGAAATGCATTTGAAATCGGCGGCGCGATTTGAAATGCGCTTCAAATCGGCGCGGGATCGATCCCAAATGCGCTTCAAATCGGCGCGGGATCGATCCCAAATGCGTTTCAAATCCTCGTGGGATCGAACCAGGCCCAACGGTCAATAAGGGCATAGAACTTGTGTGAGAGGGTCAATTGCGCAAGGTAGAGTAGACGAACATGTTACTATTGCTCAAAGTATGTGCAAGTATACTACTGAAACGGTACGCGGCACCATGCGGTGGTGCATCGCACCACCAGGCCTGCAATCTGCTCTTCAGTCAGCCATCGTTATTGGATCTGAACGCTCCCACTCTATGAAATCGACAAGTTCCTGCTCCAGCTCCTCGTCAACGGGCTCGTCATCGTCCGAATCGTCCTCCTCGTTGTGGTCGGTATGCATGAATGGAGGCGGAAGAACGTCGGGGACGCCCAATGTCAATTCGCACCGGCGGTCTTCATTGACTATCCAGCAGTTGACCTTTGGCAAAGACCTATCGACATTGCCATCCTCGGTGGTGGAGTCCCGTGGAACGGCCGTGCAGCGGTCGACCCAAAAACTGCGAAACTGCTCACTTTCTTCGGGCAATCGAGCCGGCGAATTCACCTGCTGATCCTGTTCCTGCACGGTGTCGCTCCCATCATTCCACTCAGCCAATCGAACTGCACCGAGTTCGAATCATGAAACATACCTCGTTGGAATCGGACTCGTCATTGGCTGCCAAGCGCCTCTGATGAGGCACTTCAGCCGCGATCCAGGCGGCGGCGGCGCATTTCAAACGGTGTGCGTATGGAAGTTTCGGGTCGGCGAGAACGGCGCGATCTACGGCCTTGAGATTAGTCGAGAATATAGCCTTGGCCTTTTTGAGCGTGACCCAAGGCATGATCTTGATGGGTCGGGGGAACTCGGTGGATCGGCGTCTCTCGTTTGCCTCGGCCTCGTCCGTGCGCCCCTTCTCCTTTCTTCGACCAGAGTCACGCATGCGGCGTGCGGCGGGAGGTCGTGTGGGCCTATAAATTGAGGTGTATTAGCGCCAAATCTTCATGTTGTAGAGCTTGCATCGTCAGAGTGACCTACGTCTGATCGAGAAACGTCTTCCCTGCTTCGGAGCGCAGCCATGCCTTGGCGTACGGGGCCACGGCGGTGAGGGTCGCATGGAGGATCGAAAATCTTTTAGATCGAATGACGCGATGAAGCTGGGCCTTGCGAGCCGAGTAAAGGGATGAGCTCAGCAAACTCCATTCTTGCCAATCCGACGAGTGCGAAATGTCGACAGGCTTACCTTTGCTTGTTTTCGGTCGGCCGGACTCATCTCCCCAAGGATCTCAAGACCCCTCCCAGACGCAAGGGTTGCGACCAGATACTTATAATCCTTGTCTTCCCAATTGGTCTTGAAGAGAAAGTATCGCTTGCAAGTTATGAGGATGTCGTCATGGTCGAAGGGCTAAAGACAGTCCGGAGGTGCCGGCATGTCAGCCAGAGCCAGACACATTCGCAATGGCGTCAGCAACTCAAGCATGACACTCACGGGCGGTAGTGTTGCTCCGGGACCTGAACGCTGTGTCTCGATACGACGCTTCTTGGCACGAGGCGCAGCCAACATCGATTTCTTCTTCTTCTTCTTGCCAGGCCCTTTCCCTAAGACTTTGCGCTGGGTTGACGTAGGATCGTTGCTGCGAGACGCAGGACGCTTCAAAAGGGATGAATCGTCGGAGTCGCAACTTGTCATCTCGTCATCAACAACGTGGCCAACGTCATCCTCCCCGCCGCCGTCCACCTCATCACCAGCATCATCGCTGTCCTCGTCGCCCTCTCGATGCTCCTCCTCGTCCTCCTCGTCCTCTTCGTCCTCTTCGTCGTCATAACCGTCGCTCCCAGACGGGTGAAGCGAGGCCTGTTCCTTCGTCCTGCGTCCGTACACCTTGGTGGCTTTGCGCGTCGATTGCGAAGGAGGGGGTCCTTTGAGGTCGACTGAAACCGCGCTCCTTGACCTGCAAAGCTTGATAAGACTGCTTCGAGGTCGTGGAATTCGAAAGGGTTTGCCATCGTCCTGGTGGCGCACGGTGGGTCAGATGTCAGCTCCTGGGCAAGGTAGAAGTTCGCGACAGCATACTCACGTCGTTGTCGAGGGTTTCGAATACGCATTCGAGGAGCGGGCCATCGAGTCGCTCTAGGTAATCACGAGATTTGCCGAGTTCGAGCTCTACCATCCAGTAATTGACAGCCGACAACCAGAGCTCGCCAATCCACTCGGCCGTCTCGTTGTATGGCGTGGCCAATGCGGGCTCCCATTCGTTGCGCATGCGAGTCCAGTAAAGATTGAGTTTCTCGCCCGCATGGCGATACGACACGTACGACACGGACGACGCCGAAGGGAGGGTAGCGGCGACATTGGACTCCACCCGAGGTGTGGAGGTGGTGGCGGGTTTCAATGATGAGGTGGGCGTGGGACGCGCCTGGGAACACGCCTGGGACGAGTATCTGACATGTCAGTGCCTTGCCCTCGGCGCGCGACGACGAACTGACAGGTGGCTCGCTCGGATGAGCGGCGATCGAGGAGCTTGAGCACTCACCATTATGTGGGAAACGATCGGCGACGATGAAACGAGCTTGGTTAATGCGCGCTACCCCATCCCGAGCCTGGACGGCAGGTGACGCAACGAAGAGTCGATCGGGGGTGAAGCAAGCCAAGGAGCGAAAGACGAAAGCGCGACCGAGATCCGAGATTTGAACTTTGTCGCACCGGCGTCCAGCGCGCGATCGGCCGGATCGGCCGGATCGGCCGCGGACGGCCGACCGCGCTTTATCCGACGTCCCGATGCTCCCTTGTGCGACGTCAACGACAGTTACCCACTAGCGAGCATTGAACATTAGGAGCAGTCAGTTCGAGCCGTACATATCTCCTGGCGCTGCGACATGCTCGAGCACTTACACGATGGTGTTACCCCACCTCCTGTCGTCTCCAGCGCCTGCATTCGACGGCTCGGAAATAGGACGTTGCCATGGTGTCGTCACCCCGCTTCCCCACAGAAGCCATGTCACCTCCTCCCCCCACGCCCATAGTCCAATCAAGTGCCAAAGAACCGACCTCGGGTGGGAGTGATCAAACCTCGACCACCCTCGCACCCAGTCCAGCCAATCAGTCGACCCTGCCCCACCCCAATGTGGGGCGATCAACCTCAAAGTCCGGCGTCGGTAAATGCATGACGGTAGAGGAGGCGATCGAGGCGGCACGAAGAGACTGGCAGAACCGCATGCAAGTCATGGAGGTTGACGAGGCAAGGTTATCGAGGCGAAATCATCACGGTCCCCCGTGCCCCCGCTGACGAGCACGTGACTTTTGGCACCTTCAATAGTCCGCGTCCAGCGACGATGACGGCAAGATGGACGTCGATGATGAGGAGCATCAAAAGGGCGACGAGGACAACGATGATGCTGGTGATGAGGAGGACGGCGGCGGCAGCGGCGGCGGGGACGATGACGGCGGCGGGGACGATGACGGCGGCGAGGACGACGACGGCCATGACAGCTCCAGACAGAACGACAGAGAGAGCGAAGAGAATGACGAAGAGAACGATCACGATCAGGGCGGGGCTGCGAGTGACGAGTCGAGGGTGCCCGCACCAGCCTTCGCTGAAGTGGCCATCTCCTGGAATACAGGGCAGGAAGCCTGCTGCGCCTTGATTGAGGCGTCACAGAGCGAATGCTTTGACGCCACCAAACTACCGAAGTCGTTTTCAACGCTGGGAACGCGGGTCAAGGCGCATTTGCGCATGTGCGTCATACGGCGCCATGTCGTCCCGGGGAAAGCGTCCAAGACGACGATTGCCAAGACCGGTTCGAAGGCGAATCGCACCACAACATCGGCGTACACCTTAAGCTCGAAGGAACAGATCGAGCTTCGAATTCTGGGAAACCCGCCCTACTCGGGAGCCTGCGCACCGGCCTCAGCGACTTCGCAGAAGTGCGGACGAACCTATGGGAGCGGAGGGCGACGTCTGGCGCGAAAGCGTGGTGGCAGGTCGCGCGGCCTACCCTATGGAGACAACAAACGGTGAGTGATCGAGGATGGCGCGACGAGGAAGAACAACATCGGGTGCCGGAAGCGTGTGAATAGGTGTCATGATGGGTGACCGGGCGATAGCGAAAGCGACGGAGGGGCGGACAAGCGCAAGAGACTGCAGAGACCGCTAGCCGAGGCCGAACGCTAGCGGCGGCAGGCGGCGGCACAGGGCGGGAGAGGGTGGGAGAGGGCCTCGCGCTAGCTCGCGCGCTGGACCTGGGGGTGCGATGCTCCACTGCCGCATCCGCATGGGGCCTCGTACCGTGTCAGTAGTATACTTGCACATACTTTGAGCAATAGTGACATGTTCGTCTACTCTACCTTGCGCAATTGGCCCTCTCACACAAGTTCTATGCCCTTATTGACCGTTGGGCATGGTTCGATCCCGCGAGGATTTGAAGCGCATTTGGAATCGATCCCGCGCCGATTTCAAATGCATTTCAAATCACCGCGCCGATTTCAAATGCATTTCAAATCGCTGCACCGATTTCAAATGCATTTCAAATCGCTGCACCGATTTCAAATCGGAGGCCCGATCCCGGGATCATCCCGGGATCGTCCCATTTCAGGGGGGGGTTTTTGCTATGGTCGTGAGTGCCGCCCGGGAGCCCGCGTGTGTGGGAAGCACAGCTGTGGGAGAAAGGGTCCGTGCGCGCGAGCGCGACTAGCCCGGACTTGGGGGAAAGACTTGGGAGGACTTGGGAGCTTTTGGAACCCAGCTGCGCTCAAGAGCTTGGGAACCCACCCACCGTCAACGCGTCCACCACGAGCTGCGAACGCCCTATCCGTCGCCGGGCCGTTTTGCTCAATCCGACCCTATGCCTGCGATCAGGACCAAGACGGATGCAAATGCGGATCTGCACCCGGCTTCGACCTCGACTGACGGCAAGCCGGCCAGCTACGACGCTCGTCTGGCCTCCTCGTGTGTGCAATGCCGCGCTCGCAAGATCAAGTGCACGAGCGACAAGCCCTTGTGCGCCAACTGCATCCAGTCGGGCCAACAATGCGAATACAGGTTGGTCTCCCCGCGTCTGGCTCTCGACGGAGTAACCGTACCTTCGAGTGGACGGGTCTGTTATGGCCTGTTGGCAGCCGATGAATGGAAACTGACACCGCCCCCACTTGTCTCACGTCCAGGCACCGCCTCAAGCCAGGTCTGAAGCAGGGTGTAGGCAGCGAATTGCTACAACGAGTCAGGTAGGCCGTTAGATCTGCATCGCTTGCTACCGAGTCCGTATGTGCCAGAGTGCCTGCTCCTGACCGGACCGCTTGCTCCGCGTTCACGTTCGTGTCGATAGTGTTCTAGAAGAGGTGCTCGCTACGGTCAACTCTCGAATGGCCGACTTCTCGACGAGGCTCGACCGCTTTGACAAACTCCAACATCCAAGTCGAGCTGACATGGCACTAGGGCCAGGTAGCTCTGGTTCAGCATCGGCAAACATGCAGTACGCTGCTGCATCGTCAAAGACGCCTGCGTCGGCCGCTTCCGCGACATCGACTGGATCCGTCGCGTCTATCAACTCGACCGAGCTCATGCCACCACCGCTGCCGTCTCATTACTCACACCACGGCGCTCACTACGGACTCGACGAAGATCTTACGAAGCACCGCTCATTGGGGACTGCGTCTGTGTCAAAAGAGGACCCACTTGCCGGCAAGTCTGGCTTGCTGGAAGCGAACTCGAAATCGGTGCCCGATGATCTTCCGCCATACGACTTGCTTCTGACTCTGTAAGTTCGAGCTCAAATCACCGAAGAACGTCTTCAACCACTCGCCGAACAAAGTATGTAACAGAGGAGCCGATCTTGCCTTCACAGTCTCGACCTGTTCTTCGTCCACGTCGCCCCATGGACACCGTTCGTGCGACGTGATGTCGGCGAAGCTCTTCGAACAGCCAGCAACAATGACCACGAGTGGCCCATTCTGATTTACGGCATCGTTGTCGCAAGTCTAAGGGTGTGTGTTACTGTTGCTTCTCCTTGTGTTTGGTACTCTCTGAACGCTGTTCTTTCACTACTATGTACTCACCCACCGTTCTTGGACCTCTTGCATTGGCCCAGTTCTCGTTTGATCCGCGTTGGAACGATATCGAATCGAAAGACGTGTACCGTGAAAGGGCCAAGCGTAGAGTCATCATGCACAGTATGAGCTCGACATCCGTTGCCTCGATTGAAGCCTTGATGCTCGTTGCACTGGATGATGTCGGTGCAAATACGACGCCCGCTGCGTGGGGAGCTCTGGCGCTAACAACGCGATCGGGTGAGAATTCGGTCTGATCTGTCAGACTTGAACCTACTGTCTGACATTGTGCACAATCTTACAAATCTCAGCTGTTCATATGTCCCTACACAAGGAAGAGATGAACGCATTCCGACCGTCGGACGTCCGTGGTGTGAGTCCGATGCAGCTGCTTAATCGATCGACAAGTCACGCCGAAGCGGAAGAGCGACGTCGCCTGTTCTGGTCCATCTTCGTTCTCGACAGATGGAGCGCGACAGCAACAGGTTGGGAGTGAGTTCTTGGCAATCCCAGTAACCTGTCAACGCCGACTACTGTTGCCTATGATCTTGCATGTCTGACCTTCTGTCTGCCCTCGCTTTTATCTCCTCCCTTTCCTTCGGAACGGTCCCGGCGCAGTCTTGCCTTTGCGGATGAGCATATCTCAAGACAGTTGCCTTGCATTGACTCAGAATGGCTCACGAGTGTAAGTCAGTGGAAGCTCCTGTGTATCCTGAGCCTAATATCTACTCTTCCAATCTCAGAGCCTCCGACCTACTCGCCTTTTCGTGTCACCACATCAACAGCTCAGGTCTCAATCCACGCAGGAGGAACCTAAAAACGCGGACGTGGAGTTGATTGCACTCATAGAGGTGACGGATCTCCTAGGGAAACTGCATCAACTACATCGCGAGCGTTTGGATGATGTGCAGAAGTTTCGAGAGGGAACCGAGGCAGGTCCCAACTCTGCTTTGGTCTCTTTCAGAAGCGGGCCTAATGCTGAGCTGACTTGCCTACATTCTTCAGGCTATGGATCACACATTATCCCGTTGGTTCTCAGCATTGCCCATCTCTTTGAGGATGGCCAGCCAATCGAACACGCACCCGCGCCCAATCCTGATTCAAGCCCTTTATTGGGCAACCGTCATTAAGCTGCAATCTTTGGTGAGCAATGGATCACCCCATGCTGCTTGACCAACAAGAGCGCAAACTGATCATTGCTCCAATGCATGCATAGGTTGCCTACCCACTTGCGCCCAACTTAGCACCCGATCCGCAGGCCGGTGAGAAGGCACACGAGGCGGCGAAGCAAATCAGCTACTTGGCCCGAGCTTCGACGGTCAGTAGTGCGTACCTCAGCTGGACGTTCTTTGTAGGGGCAAGAATGATGCTGCGTAAGTTGTTTCTGTTTCTGCCGAATTTGCGACAATGCGGGCTCTGATCACTGACCCTTCCGCTTTGGCGTGTTGCATTTTCCTTGCCATTTATAGTGAGAGCATATCGACGCAACGAGATGATCGACCCTGCAATCCAAGACACATTGCGTGGCCTCAGGGAAGCAGCAACATACTTTGATCTTGCTGGTGAGCTGGATGATGTGATGCCGTTTCTCTTGACAGGATCCCTGATTCCAGAGTTTAGCTAACGTGCCGCGCTCCCTTCATGTAGCTCGGCACCATGCCATGATCTCTCGTGCCATCAAGCGTCAGAACTCGATGGACGGCTCTCTCGGAGGTGCATCAGCGCTGGTCGATTTGCATCACACCGCGTTCAGTGCGGAGCGTGCGATCTTGCCCAGTGGAGATGTCACACCAAATCATCATCAACCTGCACAAAGCCAGCTGTTCCACTATCAGCAAGCCGTACAAAGCGACCTCAACATTCGATCGTCGCAGGCTCAAAGTCATGGCCGCACATCGGCTCTTGATGACCACATAGGAGAAGAGACGACGACTTTCGACGACTTGATGCAGATTTCCTCCATTCCCGGGATCAAAGACACCGCACCTCATTCCGCACCAAAAGTGTCTGCTGGATCAACGCCTCTTGCATCGGGACAAAACGCGTTTCAGGGTGGTCGACCGCACTATGGAGACGGAAATATTTCGGGCGGCGCAAACGAGCAAGCCTTCGGCGCCTTGGGTGCCGAGGCAGCATGGTGGGACAATGATTTGCTGGGTCATAGCTTTGCAAGTTGGTTCGATTTATCGTTGTCCCCTACGGTTCTCAATACGCTTGCCAATGATGGTGCCGCCACATTCACATCAGACGGCAATCAGATGAGGGAGTGATATGTGTGGTTGGATATCGTCTTCAAATGCCGCGCAGTGGAGTCGTTGTATATCTGTTGATGTTGTGATATATATGCATGTGATTGTCTGAAACCGCTGATAAAATCGGTATGTTAAAGAAACGGGCTACTCGAGGTGACCTCGATGCCAACAAGCACCTTGATCACCTTAGGTAAGCGTCGCCCTCGGACGCAGAAATTCAGCCTTCCTTTCTCGCTCCCTTAAGTGAGATTTCTCTTGATTATCTCTTCAGTCTAAGTAAGTCGCTGCCAATAGCCCTCTGACCCACCCTGGCGGTGTCAAGCCTCGAAGGGCTCATGCCGAAGTGGAAAGCAGAAACTCCGGTATTTGATACATTGCTGTTTACTATCACCCCCCGGAGAATATACACCAACAGTTCTGATAGTGAATACATTGATGTTTACTACGATCTCCCGGAGAATACACACAAAAAAATCTGACACACTTTAAGTAGTACCCAGAAGAAACCGAGCGCATAAGCACCAAGAACCGCACGACACCGTTGTTGGTGGTCGCACCTGCCGAGAGTCCTGGAAAGGAAAGACGACCCCAAAGACTCGTCACTGCTCGTGGCGGACTTCGGTTTTCTCGCCTCGAGCGGCAGCGACTTGGTCCGAGCGCCATGCCTTCTGCACGTCCGTGTCGAATTTGGCAAAGTCTCGAGGAGCGACCTTCTTCTCGAACATCTCGTCGATTTCGGCGGTCGTGCGTCTGCGAGAAGAAAGAGAAAATAATTCGAGACGCCGGCGTCAGTGGATGCGCACCACCGACGGATCCCGGTCGAGATGTGAGCCGCAACTTACTGAGCGCATTCTGGCAAGATGAAGTAGGCGATGATTGTGGCGATCGTGCCCGTGATACCAAAGAAAAAGCCCGTCTTGACGCCCCACTTTGGCGCCCCCTTAAGCATGATCGGTACTGAGAAGGAGAAGCACACGCCGAAGCAGGCACCGACCGCGGCACCGAAACCGGCGGTCCGGGCGCGCCAATGCTGCGTCGGAGTCTCGGCGAGGTACACGTAGCCGATAGCACCGGACACCGTGTTGAAGAAGATCGCCGAGCATGCGAAGAAGATCTGAATCATCGAGCGGAGGAGTGTTGAAAGGAGGCCGATGTCAGTACTCACTACCGAGGCACGCTCAGAACGGACACGGCGCTCGACCGGCCTCAATGCGCGAGAACTCACCAACAGCGAACCGAGCGGCGCAGAGGTGTAGGCTTGCGTGCCGATGATACCAATCGCCAAGACCGACAGCGATGTGATGGCGTAGCCGACCCAGGTGGCGGTTCGTCGGCCCGTGTCTAAGAACATACACGTCCAGAAAGAAGAAGGTTTGGGGGAAGGGGGGGTCAGTTGAGTCGGTCTGCAGTGGGGCGTCGGAAACGTACCAGTGTACAGCGAGACCAAGATGACGGAAGCGATTTGGGTGCATGCGAAGATGACGGTCACCCTGAAAGGGTCCTTGTTGCCGGCCAGCTGGAAGAAGTAGGTCGCGTACGAGTTCACAAGCGAGAGCTGAGGGCGACGAGCGTGACGCGACGCGAGAGGCGCGAGACCGAGACATCAGAAAGGAGTGCACAGAGGAGACGGGGTCAGCATACGCGTCTCTACTCCTCAGAGTCGTTCAGGTGCATCCATACGGCGCCGTGAAGGAAGAATGTTGAACGAGGATTGGAACGTACACCAGTAAGTTGCTGGCAGCACTTGGGCCAGCATGCGATGAGCGTACGCCACCCGTTCGTGCCGTAGAAGATGTTGACGAAGGAGCCAGTCTTGAGTTTCTCCGCGGCGATGCGCTCGTGCTCGATCGTCGCCTTCATGATGTCCCACTCGGCATTGACGTCATAACCAGGTACAGATCCGTTGAGTCGACGAAGAGTGGCCTTGCCACGCTCCTCGTTGCCTTTCCCCGCGTGCCACCACGGCGACTCGGGAATGATCGCCCAGAGCACGATTAGCACGCCGAGGAACGCCCACTGCGAATAGATGGCCGGCCGGAAGATGAGAGGGTGGCGCTTGTTCTCTTGCTGTAGAATCGTAGGGGCCAGGATTTGTCCGACGACGAACCAAGCGCTGCAAAGAAAGAAAGAAACCCAACGCGACACCCTCAACTCAACCATTGCGATCGGCGCAAAAGACGGCACCGCATAAAGCTCTACTCACGAGTAGGCGTTGACCAGCGCTCCCCGGAGCTGCGTCGGCGCGATCTCTGCGATGTAGGGCGGCAGTGTTGCTTGCATCGCACCAACGCTGTCGAATAGCGAGCCCGAAAAAAATTCGAGCGATGGTTCAGCAGACGTTCACGTCGATAGACCGATCGTATCGGGCTTGTCGAATCCAAAATGACGCTGCGGCCGGTCCCTCGTCACTCACCCAACTCCCGCGAGAATTTTGGCGCCGAGCCAGTGGCTCCAGTTCTTCGCGACGCACTCGACGATCACACTAGCGCACATGACGACCCAGATGATGTAGAGCGCATTCTTGCGACCCAAATAATCGGAAACGAACGACGACGAGGTCATACCTAGTACATTCGGCAAGCGCTAGTGAGTTTGCCGTCGCTCCGACCGGTCATCCGACCCCAGGCACCCGTGCCGCCTTCTGCCGCCCCTTCGGAGCAAAAACTGACCGATCACCTGACCAACGGATTGCATGCCCCCCCACACGCTGACATACTTGGGGTTCAAAGAAGTCGTGATGGTGCCCGTGGTGGCGCTCTTGGTGAAGACCGTCCCGAATTGTCGGATGAAGCCCTTGTTGGCAATAATGCTGCCATTCAGGTTCACCTGGAATCCACGATCGTGCGATCGATGCAAAGTGAAAAGGTTCGGAGACGAGCGCGACTGATCAGCACGAGCGCGCACGGGTGGATGGATGATGGGCTACCCGAGTCGACCCCCTCGAGACTGCTAGACCGAAGAAGGGAAGACTACGAGCAGGAACTGACTTGATAACCGTCGCACATTGCTGAAAAGGCTGCGATCGTCGCATACATCGCCGCCACCTTGTAGGCTTTGAATGCCTGGGGGATCGTCAACGAGTCGAGCGCACTTTTGCGCGTGGCCGAGTAGTGATCGACGTGCTCGACATGTTCGGCGCGCTCCTCTTTCGAATCACTCATGGGGGTCGTTGATCGAGGTCGGTCCATTGGGTGGGCAGCGAGTGCGCAAGGTCGAAAGAAGGAGGGGGAGAGATGGAAGACTCGACGAAGAGAAGAAATAAGAGATGTGGAGTCGGGACCCCGGAGTCCAGTGGACACTACTTTGAATCCAGCACTGGCATCGTCGCTGCCGGCTTCAGGTAGTAAGTCAGTCGACCTGAAACCATGATGCGGGGCTCCGCGGGCATCCCGGTCCGGATCCGATGCCTGACGAGATGGATCGCCCCTAGTATGAATTAGGTGCGAGCGCCTCAGACTCTCGCAAACTCCCAGAACTGCGTCTGTCGAGACTTTGCACCAGTGCGAAACTGCGGGCCTTCGGAAGCATCGGCACGACAATGCGCCGCGCGCCACGCCTGCAGTCAGCTTACGGTGGTCAGGGCAGCGGCGACATCATTGCGCCGCCTCAGATCGCGGAGTCACGATCAACGACCTTCGCCGAGGGAACAATCCGTCGGAGATTCCGAACTCGAATGACCGTGAAACGACCAGTCATGGGTCAACTGTGGGCTCAGGGGTTCGTCCCAGAGTGAGGTATACATTCCGGTATCTGTAAAAGGGACACCGACCTGATGTCATCAGGTACTTACCTACTAGTAGTAGACATGATTCAAATCTTCGCCGGCCCGGAGGCCCCTTCACTTGAAAATCGCTTATCGTTCTCAGCTTCTACTGGCTAGTTCAATCCTCCAACCTCATCTGTTTCGATCTTATTTTCGATCTTATGACTTGCTCCTGTTGTCGAGACCCAGCTTTTAGGCCAAAAAGCCAATGTGTTCAGGGGGTTCTACAGGTGCAAGCTGTCGCGTCGCTGCTGCCGAGTCCGTCGCAAAGACACCCCGAAGAAACGCGCGCCAGTCACCGGACCGTTCGCTCCAATTCGACCTGATCGTGTTCCCGGTACCTGGTCAATGCCTGCCGAGCCAGGGCTCGCTCACTTCTACCATCCCCCATCAGTGATCTGCGGATGAGCATATTCTCGACATGGTCGACATGGTTAAAATACTTCGGGAAGCGAGCACGACAACGTTAGGCAGCTCGCCCGTTGCTCGCTGTCAGCTGAACGGCGGTGCGTTCGTGCAAGACTGCCTCGTCACCCACCGAGGTGAGTTGCACCGAATGCATGTATAGAGGCAGTGAGAACTGAACGTCCACTGATGAAGATTACGCGTTCTCGGGACCCTTGAGTAGGCTGGCAGTATGCCGCGTTCTACCTTGACAACCGACCCGGTGTTCGTCATGTCTGCCTCGCGCGACGACAGCTCCCTTCCGGCGCTTGGGATATTATCACATTCACGGACTACGACCAGACCGAGGACGATGGACACAGTACGTCCTGGTCACAGATCCTCGCTGCCTGACCCGGTCCGAGCTCACGTCGTCACGTGACCGTCCAGACGTCATCTCGCTCGGCATCTGCGCAGCCGACGGATCAATCCACTTTTCTTTCGATGCCCACGACACCCCGCTGCACTATCGCCACTCGCTAGTTGATCTGACGACTGATGCAGCGAACTCTCACTGGCGAACTGAATCCTTCTCGAAAGTACTCGACTGCTTGCCCGGCTTAGAGCATCTTTCCAAAGCTGAATATTTCAAGGCAAGTCTCAGCTGGGTTCCCGCACTTGCGCTGCACCAGATTTTGACCGTGATCTATGTGCTTCCACAGGTTTTGACGTATCCTCGCTTTGTTTCAGTGAGGGAACCACCTGGTGCGCTTGTATTCGAGTACCGCATCGGCATATCTGGTCAGCGCCGGCTAGCGAGTCAACTTCGCGACTATGGCTCTGACTCATGTGCACCATTGCTCGATTTTGAAGGGCTCGGCAGTGATTTATTGTGCGTGTATTCGGGGAATGTCGATGACGAAGGCTCATGGCGGCATCGAGGGGTGTATCTGCAAGGCGTGCAAAATAATCCGTGCGTCTCAACAACTCACGAGACACTTTTTTGCTTCCCTGCACGGCAAGCTGACGCGCGACTCTCAATTGGGAAGGTACATCAACGGGATTGATGCGGACGTCAGCGGGGCTTTGCATGTTTCTTGGACTTACCGAGACTATGTTCCTGTCACTCTCGAGCAGTCTCGTCAGCAAGCGGGACCTAACGGGCCAGAAAACGTGAGTCAAGCCTCGAACGCGGTCGGGAGGCCTCTAGCATGCTATCGGCTTGCTGCACCCATTCTGAATGCGCATCAAAATTTGTCGGTAGAACCATGATTTGTGCTACGCATACTCTCCCCCGGAAAAGGACGGGACCGGCCCTGGGTTGCGGTGGTATGCTTCGGACGGTCACCCTATCGGAATCTCCAGCTCGAGTCCGATCTTACCATCGACCGAGGGTATTCTGGCGTTCGATATACCAAAGTACTCGGGTGATTCCCATTCGAATGTTTGGGAACAACGCATCAATAGTTTGCTTATCCTGCGCTTTCGTTGTTTCGTTGCTGCTTTATAGGCATTCTCAATCAGGAAGCCCAGTGCGTTACACCACGAGGCGGCTTTCATGCTCTTAATCGCGAGCTTGTCCGAGGGCTCGAAACCTGGTGCATATCCTTACCTCCCGGTTTGCCCATAAAGATTATTTGCGTTCCGCTGACACCCTATCGGATCCTGTTCAGGTTCGTATACTCGCTCATGGACGGTGAATGGACAAAAGAGCCTTTACCGATTCTGCCACCGTCGCCGACGTCCGCTCGTGGGAAGATCCTAGTCTCAAGAAAGAGCGAACGCCTTCTGGCTCTGCTCCCGCTTGCCCAAGATCTACTCATCCTGACCAAAACTGTTCACCGAGGTTGGGAAACGTCCCTCGTTATTCCCGATGCTGGGGGTGAGAAAGGAATGGAGGTACTCTACGATGTGAGTATCATAGGGTGACTCGCTCGTGCGTGTTTACAGGAGCTATTCTGACCGTCACCCTTGGCCCCTATTACATTCAGCGCAATCGCCTCGCTGTCGATGACGGCGTGCTTTCTCTCTTTTTAGGAATAGAGGATCAAGAGAGTGGGCGAGCAACCATCAGGGTTGTTGACCTTGAACTAGACTGTGACTACTGAACTCATTGTGGTCTGTAATCTTTGAAAGTTGAGCTCAGGTCCCACGGAGGCATTTGGAGATATCCCTTTTGCAATCAGAAGCACCCCTTGCCACTCCAGAGGCCAGGACTCTGACTGGCAAAAGCGAGCTTTACCATTACTTCGACATCTGAAAGTGGTTTGATTCAAGCGTTTGGTCTGCTGTCCCAAAGCCCACACATGTTTCTGCGAAGCCAGCCCAGTCCGCGGCGCCGAGTCGCCGCAGCTGGCGGTGACCGACCTCTCTCGCCCCTACATACAGATGCATTCGTGTGCATGCATGTGCACATCAGTGGCTATTCACGCCAAGTTATGTCCCATTCAAACGTCTCTGCCCCCCACTGCACACCTATACACCCGCGTGCACTCTCGGATCGAATCGGCCTCTGCGATCTGCTTCGTTACGAGACCCCATTCCGTCGCCCACCGTCGAGCCGATGTGGAGAAGCAGCAGGATGACTCGAAGGACCCCAATTCACGGGGAGTGATCAGCGGGACAGTAAGAATAGTCAGCGACAGAGTGAGAATGCCCAGGAACGTGCGGGGCCCCGAGGCCCGGTTCCGAAGGGCACACATGGGCATTACCAGCTGCAAGTTATAAGGTTCGGCAGCCAGCCAGCGAGGGTTCGTTGAAGTTGGGCTCTTTACACAAGCGTTCGGCGCGTTGGAGAGGGTCACGCGAGCAGAGCTACCGTACAATTACACTCGCGAGGAACTACACTCAGGTGGAAGCGTTCCAGAAAAAGCTCTCCTTTGCTTCAAGGACCGTTGACTCCGTTGGCTCCGTTCGTCTTCGTAGTTGCAAGTTGACGGTCTCTTGCGTGCTTCTCATCGTCCGTCATACTCAATCCACTGTCGGGATTAGGAGCCAAGAAGGCGGAGGCGGTGATCAATCGCGCGGCCGGGTTCAGCTCGAGACCGAAACCGGGCAAATCATCGGAGATGTCAATCGAGCCATCGTGGGGGACCGGCTCGTTGAGGAAGAGATTGCCAAAAACGGGGGCAATCGACTTTCCGTCGGCCGAGTTTGCGATGTCTGTGACCATTACCGTGGGTTGCTCGGTAAGCCTCGGGTTTGCTCAAGTGCGAAGAGCAGCGAAAAGCAGACATAACTCACATTCGCAAAATGGCGAATGAGGCTGTGACATGATAAAGTGGTACGAGTACGGTCCGGATCCGTGGGGTACTACTGGGATGTCATAAGCCGCCGCATGCGCTGAGATTTTCAGGACTGCGACGGAAAGCTCATGTGTGAGTCGAGGGATCTTAGGCGAGGGTTCAAAGAAAGGGGATCAACTCACGCTCGGTGAGGCCCCCCATCCACATCACATCCGGTTGAAGCATGTCCACCGCTCGACCTTCGATGAGTTGGCGAAAACTGCGTGTCAGAGTTCACTCGTCGTCAGTGCTGTTGAGACGAAGCAGGCTTCTCAATCGGATCTGACAAGCTCACCCGTATCGCGAGTATTCGTGCTCGCCAGTGGTCCATTTTACCTGAAGCAACCTCTGCTTCAATAGCTTGTGCCCGTCAAAGTCATCTGGGTGCAGGACCTGCAATAGGGCATCACGGCAGCAGATCAGCGTCTGAGGTTCCACGACTTTGGACGGCAGACAGTCTCGAACCTCACCTCTTCCCACCATGTGATGTCAATGCCCTCGTCGATAGCGCCCTGAGCGAGTTGGATCGCATAGTGCACGTTCAAACTCATCCAACAATCGACCATGAGTGGAAAGCCGTCCCCCAGAGCTTTTCGGTGCGCTTTCAAAAAGTCGAGGTTGCGTCGCAGCGAGTCGAAGCCATCGTTCGGAGAGTAAGGAAGGGCGACCTTGGATCCCCAGAAGCCGAGTCCCCTCGCATAGGTGGGCTCGGGCCCCGTAAGATAGAAGGGGATCTTGGCATCTTTGGCTTGGCCCCCAATCATTTTCTGCCGCAGCGAAGCAAGAAAACAAGCAGATTCAGAATTTTTGTAGCAAAGGTAGCGGCCACGAAGGTTCTGCAGTACTGAATGAGACTCACATAGACGGGCTCGCCACGAATCTTGCCGAGCAAATCCCACACGGCCAAATCGACGACAGAGATGGCGGCAACCGGTAGACCCTTGCGGCCTTCGGAATGATAAAAAAATATACATACCTCCATTAAAAAAAGGTTTGACGTAAAGAGAGAATGGGAGCGTGTGCTCCAAGCCAGAATGAAAGCGCCAGCCCACTCACCATAGAAGGTCGACGCCTTGAACATTTGATCCCAGATCCTGTTCGTGTCCCTAGGGTCACTACCAATAACGAAGCGACTAAAATGCTGTTCGATGAGCCAGCATGCTGGAGGACCTCCGAAGCCGGTCGAGATACCTTGGGTTCCGTCGCTGGCGGTGATGATGCAGACGAGGGATCCCAACACACCGATGCCGAATGAGGTGCGGTCCTCCCGGTACTGCTTGTAGCCAGACATGGGAGTTGAGATGCCGCACTTGGTGTTGGGTAGGGTCGCATGGGGTTTGCCTCCATCGAGAATCCAGTGTCCCTCTTTCTTGCGATGATAGTGACCACCGTCTGAGCCGTCGGCGGGTATGAACGTCTCAACCTTGACGATGGTCGGCCATTGCTTCGTTGTGGCGCCGGAGTTAGCTGGCATGCTGAAGATTGCTGGGCAGGTGAGCGTAGGTTCAGGTGGCTGATCGAAATATTGGTAAGACGGGAAAGAGATGCGGAGGATTCGGCAGGAAGTGGAACGACGACAAGCGGGCCCAGATACCGACACTTGCCCGGCAATGCGATCGCTGCGCGGCCGACGCACTGCCGACGCAGCTCGGACAAGCGCCGACCGGTCGGACGGCCCGATGGCACTCGGCCCAAGGTCGGGCCATCTTTGAACCGTCGGCGCGAGTCGGAGACATGGGCTGCTTCTCGGAGTTCTGTCGGGTCTCGGACATCGCAGTTGCCGGCGCGAACGAGCCAGCACTTAGCTGGCGAATTGCCTGCGTGTAGGACTGGTAGTAGGCTGCACTCAATAGGTAGGTCGTATCGTGAAATGTGCTACACACTCCACGAACACACTCCAAAATGAGCCGAATTTCCAAGCCTCGTAATATCACTGTTTTTGGGTGTTCAATTTAGCATTGGCGGTGTACCGGTGGTAGATCCATTGAGGATCGTTTTCCGGTCTCAAGCGGAAATCGAAACCTCGTGAAAGGCACGAGATCGCTCTCGAGCCTCACTGGTTCCGAGTCCAAACAGAAAGGATCAAACGGTGTAATTCGCAGGCGAAGAAAGACTACTAAAAGGACTAAGGTCAAGAGACGCGGCGGCGCCGCGCGCGTGGGCAAGCGTGAGGCGGCAGAGGTTGGCTCGAGGTCGTCGTGAGGCGTAAGCGGAGCGGCGCCTTACACCTCGGTGAAATGGAAATATGCGCATCGACCCACTTGGCCCTGTTATCACGACAGAAAGGTGACGTGAAGTGCTCTCATTGCAGGTTCACAAAAGCCCCTCCGTCCACCAGAACATAGGCTCCCGTCACTGTTCGCAGTCGTGAAGCTAAAAGTCAGATGACACGTAGCTTGGAGCGACCGTGATCATTCTGCGGAGGCTCTGCCCGCAAGTTGAGACGCTTACCATATGCCGCCATCTCGCTCAACAGGAATACTGCCGGACCCGCCAGATCCTCGGGTCGCCCCAATCTACTGAGTGGAATACGCTTCTCCATGTATGCGCGTTTGACGGGGTCCTCCAGGTCTTCAGCATTGATGGGGGTCTCGATCGTGCCTGCATGATGAAGAGGGAAGAAAACGGCTCTCAATTCCGAGGCGAGCTTCACAAGCCAGCAGACCGAAATTTCGCAACGATTACCTGGCAGTACAGAATTACCTATGACACATTTCCTCTTTGAAGGCATCAGAGTCATCCTGTCACTTTTGTCCCCCTCACTTGTATGGGCAGGAAGCTCACATCGAATTTTGTAAGGCGCTAACGAGATCGCGCAAGATTCCATCAACGATTTTACACCGGCTTTTGTTGGAGTGTAATGGCTGTTGAGAGGCCGGAGCACAACCAATCAGATGGCCATATGAATTCATATAGCGCTCACAAAACAAAGACCGTCTTGCTGAGCTTACGCTTGTTCACCGCCGCCGACGAGTGCAGAGATTGACGACACGGCTACGATGGATCCGCCTTGGGGTATCTGCTCCTTCATCTGTCTCGCACAAGCCTGTGTGATCCATCCTTCAGCTCGGTCAGTTAATACTCGGGCCATAACAAAATCTGGCTCCCTCTTGCGGACCTGCACAAAGTAGAAGGCGCCGTCGAGATTGATGGCCCGCGTGGAGCGCCACACGCCGCGGGGAATATCCAAGAATGCGTAGAAGGGGCACACGCCGGCATTCGAGACACAGCAATCAATTCGACCGAAAGCAGTGACTGCCGCTTGAACTATCTGGTGAGCGAACAACAGCTCGCTCAGATCGTCAGCGAGGGCGCTCATGGTCAAACCCTCCCTCAGCTTCGAGGCCCTCACCTCGTCAGCCGTGCACTCATCGCTGATGTCTCCAGCGACCTGCACAGCACCCGGCCCAAGAAGGCCGACACCGCTTCTCTCCTTCTCAATATCAGCGATGACCTGTCCAGCGTCGAGAGTAGCTTGCGGGGTATTGAGATGGTGAACCACGACTTTGGCGCCTGCGCGGGCGCATCCAAGAGCAATTCCACGCCCAATACCTTGCGAAGCCCCGGTGATGCAAACGACTTTGTCTTGCAGAAGCAGCATGTATGAGACCTATAGGGATAGCCGTAGCTTTGACGAGCGAATGGGGTGCGATATCGACGGACGGCGGTCGCCACGTTTGGGTTGGATCCGGCACGACGTAACAACCGAGAATTGGAGTTGCAGTGGTGCGCGTCAAAGAAGTACCGCTGCAACATTGCGTCGCAAGGCGTCGCACCGCAAGTCATCAACTGGGTAAATTAAAATCATCCAGCAGGAACTTGAATGCTCCCCTGTTGCCAGCAAGCGATAGGAGGAATTCGGTACAACTAGGTGCCTGCCTATCGTGTTTACAAATCGTATCAGGAAACGAAATGAACTGTGCTCATTAACAAGGTGATCCGCGTCTACTTCTCTGCAGGTGAGCGGAGCAAGTCCCCCGAAACGACGTTGCCCATCTTGCTCCGTGGGGGACGACCTGCTTGAAGAAATGACCTTGACCTGGACATTATTAGTGTTTACATCGACAGACGCCAGGCGTCCCCCGTGCAGTGAAATACAAGGAACTTGTTGCCGGCCCAGTAGAGAGTATGGTACAACTGTGACTATCCTATTGTACACCAAGAGGGAACCCGTTAATGTCAGGAGAATATTGAGGATTGAACTAGCCAGTAGAAGCTGAGAACGATAAGCGATTTTCAAGTGAAGGGGCCTCCGGGCCGGCGAAGATTTGAATCATGTCTACTACTAGTAGGTAAGTACCTGATGACATCAGGTCGGTGTCCCTTTTACAGATACCGGAATGTATACCTCACTCTGGGACGAACCCCTGAGCCCACAGTTGACCCATGACTGGTCGTTTCACGGTCATTCGAGTTCGGAATCTCCGACGGATTGTTCCCTCGGCGAAGGTCGTTGATCGTGACTCCGCGATCTGAGGCGGCGCAATGATGTCGCCGCTGCCCTGACCACCGTAAGCTGACTGCAGGCGTGGCGCGCGGCGCATTGTCGTGCCGATGCTTCCGAAGGCCCGCAGTTTCGCACTGGTGCAAAGTCTCGACAGACGCAGTTCTGGGAGTTTGCGAGAGTCTGAGGCGCTCGCACCTAATTCATACTAGGGGCGATCCATCTCGTCAGGCATCGGATCCGGACCGGGATGCCCGCGGAGCCCCGCATCATGGTTTCAGGTCGACTGACTTACTACCTGAAGCCGGCAGCGACGATGCCAGTGCTGGATTCAAAGTAGTGTCCACTGGACTCCGGGGTCCCGACTCCACATCTCTTATTTCTTCTCTTCGTCGAGTCTTCCATCTCTCCCCCTCCTTCTTTCGACCTTGCGCACTCGCTGCCCACCCAATGGACCGACCTCGATCAACGACCCCCATGAGTGATTCGAAAGAGGAGCGCGCCGAACATGTCGAGCACGTCGATCACTACTCGGCCACGCGCAAAAGTGCGCTCGACTCGTTGACGATCCCCCAGGCATTCAAAGCCTACAAGGTGGCGGCGATGTATGCGACGATCGCAGCCTTTTCAGCAATGTGCGACGGTTATCAAGTCAGTTCCTGCTCGTAGTCTTCCCTTCTTCGGTCTAGCAGTCTCGAGGGGGTCGACTCGGGTAGCCCATCATCCATCCACCCGTGCGCGCTCGTGCTGATCAGTCGCGCTCGTCTCCGAACCTTTTCACTTTGCATCGATCGCACGATCGTGGATTCCAGGTGAACCTGAATGGCAGCATTATTGCCAACAAGGGCTTCATCCGACAATTCGGGACGGTCTTCACCAAGAGCGCCACCACGGGCACCATCACGACTTCTTTGAACCCCAAGTATGTCAGCGTGTGGGGGGGCATGCAATCCGTTGGTCAGGTGATCGGTCAGTTTTTGCTCCGAAGGGGCGGCAGAAGGCGGCACGGGTGCCTGGGGTCGGATGACCGGTCGGAGCGACGGCAAACTCACTAGCGCTTGCCGAATGTACTAGGTATGACCTCGTCGTCGTTCGTTTCCGATTATTTGGGTCGCAAGAATGCGCTCTACATCATCTGGGTCGTCATGTGCGCTAGTGTGATCGTCGAGTGCGTCGCGAAGAACTGGAGCCACTGGCTCGGCGCCAAAATTCTCGCGGGAGTTGGGTGAGTGACGAGGGACCGGCCGCAGCGTCATTTTGGATTCGACAAGCCCGATACGATCGGTCTATCGACGTGAACGTCTGCTGAACCATCGCTCGAATTTTTTTCGGGCTCGCTATTCGACAGCGTTGGTGCGATGCAAGCAACACTGCCGCCCTACATCGCAGAGATCGCGCCGACGCAGCTCCGGGGAGCGCTGGTCAACGCCTACTCGTGAGTAGAGCTTTATGCGGTGCCGTCTTTTGCGCCGATCGCAATGGTTGAGTTGAGGGTGTCGCGTTGGGTTTCTTTCTTTCTTTGCAGCGCTTGGTTCGTCGTCGGACAAATCCTGGCCCCTACGATTCTACAGCAAGAGAACAAGCGCCACCCTCTCATCTTCCGGCCGGCCATCTATTCGCAGTGGGCGTTCCTCGGCGTGCTAATCGTGCTCTGGGCGATCATTCCCGAGTCGCCGTGGTGGCACGCGGGGAAAGGCAACGAGGAGCGTGGCAAGGCCACTCTTCGTCGACTCAACGGATCTGTACCTGGTTATGACGTCAATGCCGAGTGGGACATCATGAAGGCGACGATCGAGCACGAGCGCATCGCCGCGGAGAAACTCAAGACTGGCTCCTTCGTCAACATCTTCTACGGCACGAACGGGTGGCGTACGCTCATCGCATGCTGGCCCAAGTGCTGCCAGCAACTTACTGGTGTACGTTCCAATCCTCGTTCAACATTCTTCCTTCACGGCGCCGTATGGATGCACCTGAACGACTCTGAGGAGTAGAGACGCGTATGCTGACCCCGTCTCCTCTGTGCACTCCTTTCTGATGTCTCGGTCTCGCGCCTCTCGCGTCGCGTCACGCTCGTCGCCCTCAGCTCTCGCTTGTGAACTCGTACGCGACCTACTTCTTCCAGCTGGCCGGCAACAAGGACCCTTTCAGGGTGACCGTCATCCTCGCATGCACCCAAATCGCTTCCGTCATCTTGGTCTCGCTGTACACTGGTACGTTTCCGACGCCCCACTGCAGACCGACTCAACTGACCCCCCCTTCCCCCAAACCTTCTTCTTTCTGGACGTGTATGTTCTTAGACACGGGCCGACGAACCGCCACCTGGGTCGGCTACGCCATCACATCGCTGTCGGTCTTGGCGATTGGTATCATCGGCACGCAAGCCTACACCTCTGCGCCGCTCGGTTCGCTGTTGGTGAGTTCTCGCGCATTGAGGCCGGTCGAGCGCCGTGTCCGTTCTGAGCGTGCCTCGGTAGTGAGTACTGACATCGGCCTCCTTTCAACACTCCTCCGCTCGATGATTCAGATCTTCTTCGCATGCTCGGCGATCTTCTTCAACACGGTGTCCGGTGCTATCGGCTACGTGTACCTCGCCGAGACTCCGACGCAGCATTGGCGCGCCCGGACCGCCGGTTTCGGTGCCGCGGTCGGTGCCTGCTTCGGCGTGTGCTTCTCCTTCTCAGTACCGATCATGCTTAAGGGGGCGCCAAAGTGGGGCGTCAAGACGGGCTTTTTCTTTGGTATCACGGGCACGATCGCCACAATCATCGCCTACTTCATCTTGCCAGAATGCGCTCAGTAAGTTGCGGCTCACATCTCGACCGGGATCCGTCGGTGGTGCGCATCCACTGACGCCGGCGTCTCGAATTATTTTCTCTTTCTTCTCGCAGACGCACGACCGCCGAAATCGACGAGATGTTCGAGAAGAAGGTCGCTCCTCGAGACTTTGCCAAATTCGACACGGACGTGCAGAAGGCATGGCGCTCGGACCAAGTCGCTGCCGCTCGAGGCGAGAAAACCGAAGTCCGCCACGAGCAGTGACGAGTCTTTGGGGTCGTCTTTCCTTTCCAGGACTCTCGGCAGGTGCGACCACCAACAACGGTGTCGTGCGGTTCTTGGTGCTTATGCGCTCGGTTTCTTCTGGGTACTACTTAAAGTGTGTCAGATTTTTTTGTGTGTATTCTCCGGGAGATCGTAGTAAACATCAATGTATTCACTATCAGAACTGTTGGTGTATATTCTCCGGGGGGTGATAGTAAACAGCAATGTATCAGGTCCAACGACTACAGGGCCATTCCACAGCGGGTCTTGCGAACACGACCGACGATTTTGACTTCTGGTCGGACAGCCGACGCGAGCAAGCGCGAGCATGACTAAGCGTGACGGGTCACGAGTGCGTGACTGACTGGCCTGCTCGCGACCTCTCGCGACTTGCTCGCGCCACGCACTGTACTGCCGCGCAGACTTCGCGAAGCCGTGTAGCTCTTTGCCTCCGTCGACCAAGTCAGCTCTCCCGACGTTCCCTGTTGACGTCGAGCCCGCCTCATGGTCGGTTCTCGGATCAGATCCGGCGCTGGTGTACTTTTCCCATACGAGCCAACATACTCATCAGCCGTGTGTGTTGCCTCTGCCGCAGGGAGTGAATGGCCTGTGGTCGCTGCTGACTCCGGTCGCGCGGCCGGTCAATCTCGATGCGCTTGAACGCAAGCGCCTTGCGATCGATGCCAGCATCTGGCTGTACCAGTTCCAGATGACCATGCGCGACAAGAAGTCTGGTGATGTGCTCAAGGGGGCCCACGTCAGTGAGTTCGAGCCGGCTCTCCGCTTGTTCACTGTTCACGGCTTCACCATGGCCCCGGCTGACTTCACCTCGATGACGTCGTGCACGCTTGCGGTGTCGCAGTGGGAACGTTTCGACGCATCATGAAGCTCATCTACCACGGTATCCGTCCCGTGTTTGTCTTCGATGGGAAGGCGCCCATGCTCAAGATGCGAACGATTGTACGTAGCTCTGCCCTCTGCCCGAGCGTCTGCAGGCATCGCGCCTTCCGAGAGGTCTAGCTCAGCCTCGGCGTCTCTCCTTCAGGATAATCGTCGCAAGCGCAAGCAAGGTGCAGGTCGCAACGCTGCCAAGACGGCACAGCTGTTGCTCTCTGCCCAGCTGAGAGCTGCGGCAGCTGCGGCTGCCCTTCGAAGGTTGGTCGTGTTCTCGGTGTTGGTGCCTTTTCTCCGTGTTCTCGGTGTTGGCTTCGCTGAGCGCGAACTTCGTTGTGCCGACAGGCGGGGCCCAGACGAGGATACCTTGATGGACACGAGCGCGGCATCGACATCCGGCAATGCCTGTACAGCGCAGAAACTCAGCTTTGATCGTGACACGGGTGAACGGATCGATGAACACACGACCTATTTGGAGGATCTTGAAGCCGGCATCGGTCCAAGTTCGAGTCGGCCCCCGCACACGCTACCCAAGACTCCGAGTCGTTCGGCAGGTCCTACAAAGACGGATACCGCTTCGGCTCGCAAGAAACACGTCTTGCGCGATGAGTACGCCTTGCCCGAAATCGCAGGCTCGCTCCACTCTCGCATCAAACCAACCGACGTCCGACTGGCGACGGAGGCCGAACAGCGCGAATTCCTCAACGAAATGAGGCCCGAATTCTTCGATTCTGCAGACTTCGCCAGCCTTTCGACGCAGCTCAAGTACGAGATCATTGGCGAACAACGGCTCAAGTCACGACAAGTCAATCACCGACGAGTTCAAGAGATGAAGACGCTTCCATCCGCTCTCGACTTCTCCCAGAGTCAGATCGCAAATCTTGTTGTCCGCAACCAGTACACGCAAAAGCTGTTTCAGGTCACGGACGAACTTGGACAAGCCGCGATTCAAATTCCAACGCGTATTGCGGGCGAGCGTAATCGAATGTACCAGTTGATCAAGCAGGACCCGAGCAAAGGCACGGGCTACGTGCTCGCTGTGCAGAATCCCGAGCTCACCAAGGACACCCCGATCGTAATTGACACCACTACTGACGAGAGCAGCGATGGCACCGATTCGGATGAGTTTGAAGAAGTAGGAATTGCCAAATAGTTCGTCCGCGGCTCCTTCCCCGTCCGAGCGAGCACAGCTAATCCTTTTCGAACAGCCATCCCAAGCGATCCGACGTCAACGAGGTGACTCGGCAAGCCGAGGTTCTAGAGCTACTTCGTGCGAGGCACGAAATGAAGCGACCTCCAGTTGAGATCGATCCCTACCTTGATGTGGTCCCGGTCGAAGGAATTAAATCTCTGTTTGGGCACGATCGGAACCCACCTAGCCCAGTGCACTCGAGCCATTCGATCAACGAAGACGAGGGCATCCAAGCCGCCATCCACGAGTCGACACTGGCACCTCAGCATCTCGAGTCCGCCGACTTCCCCGGAAGTCTCAAAGAGGGTCATTCCGCTCCGGCTCAGACTGTCGGCAAGTGTCCTACTGTCAGCAAGCATCCTACTGTCAGCAAGTGGCTTCCCCGGATCGACGATGACGGCGATAGCGATTCGGCCCACGAAGCCGAAGATGGGCAAACAGTCCAAGAGACTGCCCCACGTCAAGTGATCTCAGCACGCAGCGAATCAAGTGACTCTGATTATCTCGAGGAGATAGAGATCATGCGCTCGTAAGTCGACTTGCCGCGTCCTGCTTCGGTTGAATGCGTGCCTGATGTTGCTATCGGAATGTATACGCAGGGACTTCGTTTCCAAGAGCGAGGTAAAGCCCGACGCCTCCTCGACCTCCGCAGGCTCTCGTAGATCCACTTCACCACTGGTGGAACCATCGCCCGTGGCCAGCGTGCCTCGCACTCCCCCACCGACTGCACCCACAGGTGAAACGCCGTCACTTGTTTTGGACCCGACGGCTCCTGAATTCGTTTGGACGACGAGCCCAGCGGCTGCAAGGACGCCCAGCCCTTCGGTGCCAACAACTTCGACCAGAATATCGCAGGGTGGCATTGAAGAGGAAGCTCTTTTGAACGAAATCGAAGCGGACGGAGCGCGCAATGGTGATCCTTCATCCGAGAGAGACTCGACACTCTCGGGCAGCGCCTTCGCCATTGTCGCGGGCAGTTTGAACGCAACCTCGGCGCCCGTGCTCGAAGCTTTAACACCGGATAGGAATGGTATGGGTCTTCCTCAGGGCTCTTCGTTCTCCGAACATCCAGCGAATGTCCCAGAGGCTGTGACGCCACCGCAACAGGACGACTCGGAAAACTCGGTCGAAGAGTTTCTAGAATGGGAAAGAAGTCCAACGCCCCCTCGCCTGGCGGCTGACGCTGTTGAAGCCTCGGAATCCTCCCGAGCCAGTGAAACACCTCACCTTGAGCACAAGGTCAATGAGGACGAAGGCGTCACTGGCGATTCAAGCGGTGATCGCTCTGACGACGACCACAATGAGGAAGGCGAGGTGATTGCGAACCTTCGCCGCGAGCAAGCGCAATACGCGGACATACTCTCACAGCTCAAGAACCGACGCATCGAGGACATGCACGATGAGGCCCAGGCCGATATTGCCTCGCTATCAGCGCAACGCAATGTCGACCAAAGGAATGCCGATGGGATCAGTCGGCAGATGGAGAATGACATCAAAGTGGGTGCCACCATGTACGGCCCTTCAAGAGGAAGCTGAACGCTGATTAACGACGCTCTGCCGCGACACGTGCAGGAGCTGCTCTCTCTGTTTGGTCTGCCTTTCGTCGATGCTCCTCAAGAGGCTGAAGCCGAGTGCGCGGACCTACTCTCGCGTAAACTCGTGGATGGCATCGTCACCGATGACTCGGATGTGTTTCTTTTCGGAGGGGCGAGCATTTATCGCAACATGTTCAACGATGACAAGTTTATTGAATGCTACCTTTTGGCCGACCTCGATCGTGAGCTCGGACTCGATCGCAAAAAGCTCGTCCGACTGGCGCATCTGCTGGGCAGCGATTACACCGAAGGTCTGCCCGGCGTGGGCCCAGTTCTGGGACGCGAACTTCTGGAGGAGTTCCCCGGCGATGACGGGCTTTCCGACTTCAAGAAGTGGTGGACGAAGGTCCAGAGCGGCAGAGATGGCCCCGAAGACACGTCTAATGCTTGGAGGCGCAAATTTGTACGTGCTCATCGCTTTCACAGCGCAAATCGCATTTGAATCCGCTTGCCCCCGATATTGGTATTGACTCATGGCTCCTTGCAGAAAAAAGGACACAAGGATCTCGTTCTGGAAGAAAGCTGGCCCACCTCGGCAATCGTGAGTCGTGGGACGCTCTCACCCATGGTTTGGTATTCACTGACGCCCTTTGATCATGTCCGCTCACAGGCCAAAGCCTATCTCGCCCCGGTCGTGAGCGGTGATGATGAGCCTTTCGAGTGGGGCTCGATCGATTTGGATGGCATTAGGGCGTGAGCGTTTTTCATCGTGAAAATGGGTCCACAGGGGAAAAAATTGCCCACACCTGCTCATACCTCTACGACGTGCAGATTCCTTGCTCGCAATCTATCTTGGGGCCCTGAAAAGGTCAATGGCATCATGCTCCCTCTACTGAGTCGTCAGAAGGCGCGATCCGACGGTACTTTGAAGCGTCAAGGCTTCATCTCAGAATTGTGAGTGCCTTTGGCGCAAGATCAATCCATTCTGTTCACTGTCCTAATGAGTGAGTCGCTACGGTACTTCCGGGTTTGCAGCTTCGATGTCAGTGTCGGCACTGGCCCACTCCAAAGGCAACACCGTCGCGGTTATGCGAGTTCTCGACTCCAATCCGTGCTTGATGTAAGCGGCAACATCCGAGACTTTTTGGTGCGACTCGGGATCGACCGGTACTGAACCTTGGATCCTCAATTTGCAGCAACACCGAGCCAAGACGCTGAAGAAGGATACCTCCAAGGTCAAAGCTGAGCCTGAAGCCTCCACGTCAGAGATCCCGTCATCCGCGACTCCGAACGAGATACCGAATCAGACCGGTACGCCAAGGAAGAAGCGCAAGACTTGAGCTGCCGGTGGTGCGCAGAGAAAGAAGCGCGCTCGCAAAGCGGCATTATTCCTCGATGATGATGCCGAGGATGCTGCGGATGAAGAAGCAGAAACGGGCCCTGCTGTCTCCAAACGCCTTCCGCGCCGTAAAGCGACCAAGACCCCAGCAGCGGAGATTGTTGATTCGGACGACGACAACGGTCAAGAGGCTGCGTAGTCCGGCAGCGGCCGGCGGGAAGCCCACTTGCAAGCGACAGAATTAAAGGACACGTGCTGCATTACATCACGGGAACACAGGTAGTTTTATTTGCCTAAGACCGACACCAGCTTCTTCCAACACTCGCCGGCTTGCGGCGTCCATCGAATACGAGAGGGAGTACACCACCTCGATGACACCGCATTGCACAATCTTGACGGTGCACCGAAGGCAGGGGCATCTGGGTACACAACCAACCGAGTTTGTCAGCTTCGATCCTCGGCTTTCCCAGTGAAGAGACACTATACGATTGTCGATTCATTTTTGTTTTACCACCTTGTTGCTGTATTATATGCTCAGAGCACTGGGGTTTTGGAAACACGATCCGAGAGACTTACGTGTTGCAGTACAAAATCGCGCCTTCGGTCCCGCCTCCACTGACTCTCTCGCGCCCTGCTTCGAGTAGTGCGTTCTCTTCCGCATGGAGACAAAGACACTCATTGAGGCCTTCACCCATTCTGATGGACGTCAAAGACGTCGAATTCGCGGTGTCGTGGTCGGCGTTGGTTGCAAGGACGCGACCACTCGAGCCCGAGTTGCACCTCCCACACCCGCCATCATTGCAATTGCGCACGCCGCGCGGTGTACCGTTGTACCCCGTCGAGACGACCCTCTTCTCGCGCACCAACACGGCTCCAACCCTTCGCTTCATGCAATTCGATCGCAAGGACGCGAGCGAGGCGAGCAGCATGAAGTAAGGATCCCACGATGGGCGCAGGGCTTCCTGCAATTTCGGCAACGATAGAGCGCGAAGGAACGGCGCAGGGTCCGAGTACGGATTTTGGATGGTCAAGTTGGCGAGGGGAAGAAGACCAATGAGCGGGTCCGGTCGGTCCTCGTGCGGGTATCGGAGGGGTGTTGCAGCTCTGCGAGGGGACGGACTTGGAGAAGGTGGGGCGTCCGCGGAGGGGGAGAGATGGGTCGGCGGTGGGGTCGACGATATCCGATCGAGGGCTTGTGCGACGACCAAAGCTGTGCGAGCATGGGCTGAGGTGTTGGGCGTCGTTGTTGCTGTTGGCGGTGGCACTTCATCGCGTTGCTCGGAAGCGGGCAGAGCACCATATGTCGAAATATCGTCCGATTCGACGAAGCTTTCGAGTGAGCCCGAGTTCAAGAGGGAACCATCCTCACGACTCCGAGTGCTGCGGTGAAGGGGGTCGTTAGCCAGAAAATTGACCACAGACATGTTTCTCTGCGCCCAAGAGAACTAACCTTTTCTTGGTTCGGGAATACCTGACGCTCAAGGGTGCCTCCACGGCGACGATCGCGACAAAAGGCCTCTTGCTGAACTCGTGCAGCTTGACCGCATTCCTAAGGTCGGTGGTGACATAGTCGACCTTCCAGTACCTCGTCGCGTAGTCCAAGAACTCGGTCGACGAGTCGAAATGTAGATCTGAATTGGAGGTGAAGTCGGAGCTGGATTCGGTGCTGTGGGTGGTGGGCGTGAGTTCGGAGATGGGGTCGCGAGGGAGACGAACGCGCGTGTACGAGTGCGTGTCGACGAGATGCTGCGCGAGCGTGTTCTTGCCCGACTGGGACGCCCCGATCAGAATGATGAGCATCGACGTTGCGACTTTGTACAAGGGGCCTGTGAAGGAGAACGAGAACGAAGCTGGCACTTCGCGCTCACTTTCTTTCTCAAGAATCGGACGCGTCGAGGCGCGCGACAAGGCTAATAAAAGGTCGTCGGGAGAATGACCGAACCGGTGAGCGCGCGTGGATTACTAATGGAGATTATTATTTATAGCCCGCTCGACACCCGCTTCCGATCCCACCTCTGACGAGTCGTCCCCCCGGCCTGAGCGTCTACGGTCTGCTTCTACCAACATCGCCATCCAAGCCACCTCCAAATTACCATACAATGCCTCAACTCCTGTCCTTGCAGCCTCTCACCTTGGAACAGCTCCCAACCCCCACTACGGCCGAGCTTTCCACGCCGGGCGCTCGGACAGCGCTCGATGACCTCATCGCCCAACTCACTCGGGAAGCCAATTCGCTCCTCTCGACCTTGACAGATCCAAGCAAACGTGACAGTTCGCCCGACCCCTCGGTGTGGAAGTCGGGCAAGACCTTCAACCAATCCACGATCCCAACGCGTTCCTACTCTGCTCACGACCCCGCCGGTCTGGTCCCCGATCATGAAGGACGACGCTGGTTTGCAAGAATTTCGAACCACCCGGGCGCGGATTATGACAAGGTGGGGGAGAAAAAGAATCGAGCACAGTGTATGCGAACAGAAATCACTTGAGTCTTATCGCGTTTCTCTAGTGGCGAAGCGGCTTGCTCCTGGATCACTCCGAGAACGAAGTGCGCTACATCGAATCGTGCACCCAAGCCGAGCGACTGCACTCGATCGTGCCCAACAAACTCGAGGTGTGGACCACACAATGTGAGTCGCGACATTCAGCGCTTCACGTTCGTCTCTTTTCATCGGCGCTTCATGTCTGTCTCCTTTAACCTGACTGAAGTCTCTTTGGCTCAAAAGACCACCTCGCCTTCCCGACCTCGAATCGTGATTTTACATTCGCGATCCTCACATCCGAGCAGGAAGCTGGGGTAGAACCCTCCGCTGCTCGTTCGTTCACGGTCGTGTCGGTCCCTTTCCATGCCCCCTCAAGATCCGGGTTCGTGAGGGCAAAGTACGTCTCGGTGGAGCACGTCATTCAGACGCAGGATGGTGTGAAATGGGTGTGAGCTGCTTCCGAGATCCCATTCGACGAGTTCCAACAGCATCGTAATCCTGACGAGACGACGAGACGACGAGACGTCTTTTCCTTTCTGCAGCATGGCCACCGCAAGCGACGCAGCGGGTCTCGTTCCCAAGTTCATTAGCGACATGGCCATGTATGTTCTCTTGCGAGAGCTCATCCGCATCTAGCCAACGCGACGTTCTGATCCCTGAACACTTTCGTGAATCACCAGGCCCAGCAAGATTGCCGAAGACGTGCCGTCGTTCCAGTCGTGGATCCTAAAGCAGTAGTCGATGTAGGACTGGGTATTATTACAATGTTGTTAAACCATACCCCACATCATGTCGACCTCTTAACGACCTCGATCTTCAATCGGTGGTTTTGGTCCGACTCCTTGAACGCGACGACGCACTCGAATGAGCCTAATCGCTTGATACGGTTCTTCTCGATGCTGTTGCTCGTTTCATCCTCAGCCTCCAACTGCACCGACGCGGCGGTCGACTCGAGATTGATGCCCTTCGACCGCAACTCGGTGAGGATGTCGGCGGTCGTAACGGAGCCGAAGAGCGCGTCGCTGTCCTGATGGGTGAGACGGGTGAACTCGAGCGTCGAGATGTGCTTGAGCAAGTCGAACACGTTTTCTTCCCTCTGTAGTAATGTCGGTTGTCGGTCCTGCGAACGCCGACACCGTGAAACGTAGCGAAGAGAACATCAGCCGTCATGCCCTTTCGTGCTCGTTCGCAACGCCTTCCGCTGTTCGTCCACTCACGACGATCTCATCCAACACGTTCCCAGCGTTCAACACGCTACTCTCCGTATCAGCCTTGGCCGCCTTGGCCCTACCCGACTTGATGATCGTGGCTTCCCTCCTGGTCTCGGATCGCATCATATCCTGTACGGCCGAAGCCGGTCGGCCGTTGAGCACGAGTAAGGCTTGGCCTCTGCCGTAGAGGTGGCGAGCGAAACCGCGGGAGACGGGGTGGCGTTCACCTGTGTTGCAGCGTAGTAAGGAAGGAATCGAGGATTGAGAATGGCGATTGGAAGGGAGCGGAGGGAGCGGAGGGAGGCAAGCTCTCAAGACTGACCTCTCCGCCCAACCGACGGCACGGTTGACAGTAACTCGATCTCGACCAGCTTGTGCGCGAATCGCTGTAGGAGCGAGCACAATGAGTTGGTCTACAGCGATCAGTACCATCATTCTAGTGGCTCGGACAGGAGGGGGAGCTGCAGCCCGTGGGAGCGCTCTTTCGCCCTTTCGCCCTTTCGCGAAACGCACCTTTTGCTCGAACTGACACCGGTTGCACACCGTCCTAGTTGCTCGTGAGAATAACGACATACTGAAGGACCAACCAGGGTGAGGTGGTGAGGTGGTGTGGTGCTGTGGTGCTGTGGTGCTGTGGTGCAGCTGGCTCGGATCGTCGGGTGGTGTGTAGAGAGAGGACGGGTGCCGAGTCCCGACACTTGACCGCCGCGAGAGTTGGGGACCGTTTTCTCCGAGCTAATGCACTAATGCTAGAGTCTAGCTAAGTCGCTGCAGTTGCCGTTCGCACCTCTCGGCTCGAGTCGGCGATTGGTCTGGCAGTGATTTGAACTTTCACCAACCTCACTATTGCTATGATTAAGTACGCTATACAACGACGTCGAAACCGTTGTCGGGGATTATCTTTGTGGCAGGAGTCATACTCTGCTTTCCAGGTCGCGTGTATGGCAATGGCCGCCCGCCAACATCGCCGCCGTCGCCGGGCGAGTGTTTGACTACCGCCGAGCGGCGAGAACGAGTCGTTGTGCACTCCGTGAGACATTTATTCGCACGCCGGCGCTTTAGAATACCTACCACGCAAATGCTTGACCGCGAGGACCCGGCGAACACGTGGAAGACAATATGTAGCCGCCTCGGGACTCGGTCACCACTCGGGGCAAGGAGTCGCGGTTCTGACACCGCCTCGGTGCATGGCAATTTGGGTCGGTAGCCTGAGCTCCTTTCCTTCACGGTAACCGCCGTACAGGGCCCCACGTACAACTTGGCACCCATGTTGATTCAGCGTCCAAATTTTCTTCTCGAACAGGGATGATCTGAAAGGGCGCTTGTTGCGTACGTGGGATCATGTGGAGCGGCACGGAGTTTCTTGATGAAACGGGCAGAACGGGCTCTTCAGACTCAAGGACGGTTAGCCGCTGGGTTCCCAAGGAGTATATAACCGTTGGGCGTCGGGTTTTTCTTTCTCCGGTTCGGCGTTTGCCAGACAGCTCGCGCCCCTCGTGAGCGCCAAGGAAACATAAGCTTTTCCGGCAGCTTCCGAAATTCGCTGGAACCGCACGGCTCTGCATCACGATTACAGTGAGCCATACTCTGGTTCTCTCTCCTATCCGAATTGCCGACTACTCAACTATCCTTGGTCTCTCCGTCGTTCACTTCCCTTTTCTTCCTGTTCGCATCATCTGCGACCTCATCGTTTCGTTAGTGCCGCAACCATGCCAGACTTGTCGTGGTTTCACTCGGCCCTTCTCCTATCATGTCTCGGGACGCTCGCGCTTTCGCATCCCATCATCCTAGGTCCGCACCATCTCTACGACAGCTCACACGCCGCACAAGGTTTAGTTCATCCCGATGCACTACGGGGACAGCTCGTACAAACACCTTCAGCCTTGTTGAATGCACTCAGTTTACGCAATGCTGAGATATTCGTGTGGGCGAATGCGAATTCGAAGGGTGCGTGCACTTGCCTCTTATCTTCTCTCGCGCCACCCCTATCAACAGGGGCAATTTCCTTGCGCTTTATCTGTTTCAGAACTGACTTCACCTTTTATAAAATCGAAAAGGCACGAGGGGGACTTCGCAGGTCGCTGTAATGCAGATGGACACTCTCGATCAGGAGAAGGTAAGTCGCTACATTTTGGCGAAGATTCCTCCCGCGCTGGCTCCTGACAAGGGACGGGCCCGCACACCCCTTTCCAGGCCATCAACATGCAGCGATTTTCCCATCTCCTCGCTAACGTCAGATGCAAACCTTCCCAAGTAACTGTTCAATTCGTAACCAAAGCCGCTTTTGAAGTCGCCTCCCAGCTCTGGAGCGCTCTCAACTCGGATAACATAACCCACCTCAACCTCTTCACGAATTGGAAGGGATGCTACACCGATGGCGGCAACCTCAAGCCTTTTCATCTCACCAAGGTTTCCTTTGATTCAAAACAACTCGCCGCGACTTTGACTGGAAGTGAAACGGATTGGAAGACGGCAGCCCACACCTTCACCATGTCAATCGGGAAGCACTTCGACGAAACTCTTGCCGCCGCCGGCGGTTCCTCACGGCCCTTGTTGACCCGAAGCTCGATCTTCACCAAAGCGGAGAAAAAGATCAAAAAGGACTTCGCGGCTGAGCTAAATTCTGTGGCGAAGTCGATCGACAGAGCAAAGTCCAAAATCCTCAAAGGGATCAAAAAGGGGCTCAATGCCACGCTCGTCAACATCAACCAAGACCTCCGCGTAACCTTCGACAAGCCCCACACAGCGACCAAAACTCTCTCCACTCCCAGTTTAGGCGGATCGGTGACGTGCACCGCTTGTGGCGCGCATGGGAGTCTGGGGGTTAGGATTATCATCAAGGTCACGTTGGCGGCAATGCAACCGGTGAAGCTCACCATGAAGCCGCAGAACCTTGGAGTTTCGCTAGGGTTGGCGATGAGTGCGAAAGTGAGTGCGCTGGCTTGTGCTCGAGATGCATTTGGCTCCCCTGTGTGGAGGTCTCGAACTGCAGAACTGACTACCAAGAAAACCCTGATCACAGAGCGACCTCCCCGAATCCTTTGAAATCGAAAATCCCCTCTTCGAACAACCAATCCCCGGCGCCGGGTTGGTGATTCCCGAACTAGCCACCGTCGGTCTCACCGCTTCGCTAGACTACGGGATCTCCGTCTCCAACTTCACAGGCGGCCTCAACGTCGCCAAAAACGTGTCTGTCAGCATCCCTGATGGTGCGGAGGTCGATTTGCTCGTAACCCATTCAAACGATGAGCAACCGACGTTGCGAGGGAGTTGGGCTCCTGTTGCGCAGCCGACGCCGATGCAGGTTAGCGGATTTGGCTCGGGCGAATTCGCGGTCGGTCTCGGCATCTCGCTCAGTCTCAAAATGGAGGTCATGAGCCTCGGTGCGTTTGAGCCTTCGATCTCGAGAACTCTTGAAGCTACCTCGAACACTGTCACTGATTCCGTGCCGGCCCCGCTTCCTCGCAGATATCACCCCTATCAAAATCACGCTTGGCGGGCCCAGTGTTGGCTTCGGTGAGCTTTGTCCAATCCTCGTGCTCAAGTTCCAAGTTCTCAAATCTAGCCGCGTAACCCCCCCTCTCCAGAATTCGGTGTCTCAAGTAAAGGTTCCGGGCCCTGCCCCTCCCTCAGCTCTTCACATGACCCAACGTATTACATTACCCCGAAGATCGGTTTCTCCCTCTCCATCGGTTCGGGCCTCAGTGTTGGTCCGGGCATGTGGGGTCTCGGGAGCCCGATCCCAGCTAGCGGTGGACCTAACAAGAACAGCTCACAGGCAACAGGAAGTAGCGGTGGTGGAGGTGGCGGGTCTAATCCTCCTCATCCCTCATCAACGCACACCAACCCGGATCAAAAGGACTCCTCCCAGCTCGCCGTCGAAACGAGGTCCGTCACGAAACGCCACAATCACGACTCAATCGGCGCCTCGAAAATGAGCATCAGTGCCTCCAAGACTTTGTTTGAAAAGAGTTTCCAGCTCCACAACCCGATCTGCTTTACGAGTCGGCATCATCAACGACGACCGTTATCAAACAACGGGAGGAAGGACGAGCCGGATGGAGGTCCTCGACGACTTCCGAACTCATCGGAGTAAGGAGTCCTCGGCCCAGCGGCTTCATCGTCAATGCTCTCTCGCACAGAATCCTCACTTCGGTAGCACCTCGCTTTGTTAGCATAATTCAGCGCTACGTGGAGCCTCTTTTTATATATACCGCCTCTACACATCGTGACACACCCCCGTGGTCTTATTCCTTGCCCAAGTTGTTCATGCAATAACACTACGTTCTTTTGCACATCTCTTGCCGGAGAGGAGCCGACAGCTGTCCGGCTACGCAGACACTGGAGGCAGGTCCCCGAGCTGCGGGCGAATAGGGGAGATCCCATGTGAATCCTTGAAATCTCGAAACAGGAGCTCTGCTCCTCCCTTTGTCTCGCAGTTCCCAAACACACAAATAAACCGAACTGCATTCCCAAAACCAAAGTCCTTTACCTCTCCCCCGCCCTCTGATCTACTCCCCTTTCTTGACGATTTTCGCCCCCTTAACGAAACCTTCCAACCCCTTCGGATCCTCGGACTCTTCCAGTCCCGGTGATTCAGCCGGAGAACTGACGAGGCTCGAAGCCTGCGTCGGCGTACCAGGCGTCGGCGTCCTCCCGCCTTCAGCTCCTCCGTTTGAGCTTCCATTCAAGCCCGTGTTGGCGGAAGCGCCCTTGTCGGAGTCGCCCTCGTCAACCGAAGTGGCTCTCCTCGACGAATCTTGACTGACGCGTCGCTTGCCCTTGAGTTTCGCGACAACGGACATAGCGAGAAAAGTCTACGCGACGAGGCGAAAGAAAACAAAGAATTCGATCTGCATCAGCTCCCGATTTCTCCTCTCCTGATCCCATCCCTAATTCCCAACTCACCGAAGCCCGATAAACATTCAATGCCCTCTCCACCTCCTCCCTCGTCGGCTCTTCCAAATCCACGCAATTCTCCTCATACGGCACCAACCTATCCTCGCCTTCCTGATTCGTCCAGGGGTCGTCCCATATCTCCCCGATGCATATCCGCTGGTGGAGGTCTTTTTCGAGCATGCGTGAGAGGAGGTGTTGGAGGGTGGTGGGGAGGTGGGAGGGGTAGGTTGGGCTGGGAGCAGGGCAATTGAGGTCAGCTAGGAGGCGGAGCGTTCAAAGATTGGTAGGACTGGACGCACTTAACATTCTTGATCTGATGGAACAACTCGGTCGCATCCGCATCGTCAAACGGTAGCCCACCGGTAACGAGCGCGTACAATGTCACGCCTAGGAATACGTGAATGAGATTAGCTACGCGCACCGAATCCTCAACGATTGACCGATCAAACTCACCCAAACTCCAAACATCACTAGCATAGCCATGCACATCCTGTCGATGCCTCACCGTCTGCGACCGATCCGCCCCACCCTGTTCCTGCTCACGCTCATGGTCATGCTGTACCGTCCCTGCGCCCAACAACTCAGGTGGCATGTACGCCGGTGAGCCCTTGGCATCGAGTTTGTCCCCCGTCTCGGCGGTGAATTTGGATATGCCAAAATCGATGAGCTTGACCGAGCGCTTGTCGGCCATGAAGAGGCAGTCTGGGATGGCCGTAGCTTGTCAACGACTCGTCTCAATCGGATCGGGTGTGGAGCTCGGGCACTCACTATCGGGTTTGATGTCGCGATGTATGATATGGTTATGATGGAGATATGCGACGCCTGCAAGATCAACCCCAAGTAAGGAATGAGCCATGCGACCGCACACTTGCTCCATCAAGATGGACGTACCAAGCACGAGTTGCTGAAACACGCGCCGAGCTTCGTCGAGCGGCATCGGATCGGTCTTTTTGCCGGCTTCGATGCGCATGATGGGGCCACCGGCGCAGAGTTCCATCACTATGATTCAGGATAGACGATGTAAGTACTGCAAGCACTGCTTATATGAGTAGAAAGGGCCAAGGACTTACCGATAAGCAGAGCGTCATCGCTTGAATCGAGATGAGATTCGCCCTTCAGCATCGACGAAAAGCGGCTGTCTCCAATATGCCCGTCACTCACCTCGTCACATCCAATACCTCATGTATAGTGGCAATACACGGATGCTTGACCTTCTTCATGATAGCAATCTCCGTCCCTGTACCGCGCCGAGACCAACAAATCAGCTTCCAATCCCATATCACCAAGCTCGAAACCGATTCCCACTCCCAACGCACGAACGAGATCCAGGTTATCGGACCCTTGCTTATCATCGAAATCTTGCGTACACGCCCGTTTCGAGACCATCGGGGAGCCGCCTCTCCCTCTCCCTCTTCCTCTCCCCCTCCCTCCCCCAGCCATGCGCTCCCTTCGTGCCTGTTCACTCGCGGCAATCTGCCTCAGTCGCCGCTTGCTGAATTCTTTCATCGCCTGTACGTCAAGAATCAGAGGAATATCAGCGAAATCTGGAAGGAGCTCAACGGTCCATTTGCTCAACATACGTATTCGACGCCCGTCTCCCTATCCGTCGCTCTTTCGACCGTCGCATAACTACCCTTGCCCAACGACCCCTTCTTATCCTTCCCGAGCACATACTGATTGACGGATCGCACGCCATCCTCATCCTCTACCGCATACGCATTCAACGTCTCTTTGTAATTTCGTGCGGTACTGCTAGAGCCACTCGCCCCCGAACTCGATCTTCGTGGCATCGAAGGGGTCGGAGGACCACGCGCTGCTCGAGACGACGAGTCCGAGGTTGTGCTCTGAGTCGACGGATCGGAGGCCGGTTCCTCCCTCAACGCATCGGTCGGCAAAAGGGACGTTTTGTTCAAGGGTGAATGCAAGGTATGCGCATTCTCGATGGGCCATCGATGGGTTTGTAATCGCGCGGGCGAGTCGACGGGTGTGGGAGGGGTGAGTGTATGCGAAACGACGGCGGGCGACGACGAAGACGACGACGACGAAGAAGAAGCGCGGGTTTGCAACTTGGCCAAGAGGGGTGATGATGCACGAAGTTGGCTCTTGGAGGGTGATGCTGGACCCAGCGAAGGCGCGGTGTCTGTAGTCTTGTTGGACGGCTCTACGTCGGGGTGTGCTTGCTCCTGTCCAGACGATGTCGTGCTCGTGCTTTCGGTTGTGGTCCCGGGCGGACACCTGGTGGGCACGATGATACTCGACGGTTCATCGACCTGCACCGAGTTGGGGATGACCGTCGTCGGTGTCAACTCGGCCTCTTGACTGTCGTCACTGCGATGCTCGACCGTAGCCGAATGATCGATCGTCAACGTCGGCGGAGCTGGAGTGGTCCGAGTCTGACTCTGGCACGATAACGCGCTCGGTTCTGGTTCTGATTGTTCTGATTCTGATTCCGAATCGTGCTTTGACGGAACGAGTGCACGTCCAGCACGTTGGGGGGACGGAGGTGACATGATCGCACCCACTGGAGGGGTAGGTTCGGGCTGTTGTTCCTGGTCGGAGTCGTTGGCGTCTTGACAGAGCAGAGTCTTCCACATGTGCGGCTCACAACGCAACGAACCTGATGGGGCGCGAAGGGGAACGAAGCAGAGGCCGGCCAAAGAGGGGGCATTTGCCACGGTGAGCGCTCGGCCAGGCAGTGGCCAGAGAGAGATGGCCAGGCTCGGCCCAGTGCAACAGGCTGCGGCTGGACGGAAATAGACACCAGTGAATTGGTCATGTGATTCAGGGCAAACTCCATGCATAGGGGTTTGGCCTTCTTTGAGCGCGTGTGTTCGCTCTCAATTGATCTCCGGAATATGATCTCATTTCAGTTCCCGAATACGAATCTCCTGTCAGGTTTTCTGTTCCAAAGCCATGCACTGCAATTCCAGTCGATCCAACCAGCCCCGGGCCCACTTGGGGTGTCCCCCCGCTGCCCTTGTTACAGCAACCTCATTCCGAATCGCACCAGCAAACCCACGCTCAGCAACTACACCGATCCAAAGTAGAATCCTATCAGTACAGAACCGACCACATAGTCGCACCAGACCGCGTGCTGAACGTACCGTCACCAAGCCCGAAGGCATGAACTTGCCCGACCTCAACGCCTTGGGCCCCATCATCCCGAGCAACACCAAGCTGACCCCGACAATCAACCCAACCTGTCTCCTGTGCTTGGTCTGTTGGTACACGCCCCAAAGAAGCAAAGCGCCCGAACCTCCTCCCGAAACGAGGGAAGCGAAGCTGCCTCGTTTGAGGTAACCGATCGCGCCACCGAACGCGATCAATGACGCGGCGACGTAGCCAAAGATGGTGTCGGCGTCCATGTCTTGAGAGTGTGCTTTGGAAGTGCGATGGTTGTGCGATGCAACGAGTGCCTTGTCTCGTCTGGCCGGTCGAGCGGCGTGTGATGCGTCAGGTTGTCAGGTTGTCAGGTGTGGGGGAAGGAGCCAACGAGCTCGGTGGCTGCGGTGGGGAAGGGCCAATTCCAATTCCAATTAGCTGAGAGGTCGCGCGGGGGTAATTCGCATTAGCCTAATGCGACCATATATTATGACGTCCCGCGCTCGAATTCGGTTAAGCCGAAAATGAAATCGGGTAACGCCCAAGTATTAAGGTGCACACGATGCGCGCGCTTCGGTCACGACACGCGCGATCGACGCGACTTTCCGGTCAACGCCCTCGACGCGCCTTTCCTCACCTTTTTCTTTGGCCACCGACCCCACATCCCAGCTTCTGCATAGACGCCACCACCCAACCTCACCTATCCAGCCTCCTCCACATTCCGTGCCGATGACGGACCGACTGCTCGTTGCGCTGCACGTGCCTCAAGAGCTGCTCCCGCTCAGCGGCTCCCACGCGGTCGTCGCAGGCAACGGTCCCTCGAAGGCCCACTCCACCTCGACCACTCCACAAGGCTATGGTCCACCCATGCCCGTCGATGGCACCCCTTTGACCCGTCTCGTCTCCGCCACGCTCTACAACCAGAGCCCCACCTCGTCAAACGACCCCAACTCGCACGGCTCGAGCAATCGAACAGAATACGACCTCGTCGCTCTGCCCCTGACGAACCGCAACTGGCAAGAACGGTGGGAGAGCATGTGCGTCAGCATCACCAGCCAGAGCCAATTCGACCTGCAGGCGCAAACGGGCAACAAACTGCAGTCGCAACAGGGACAATCGGTGGCCGAAGAGGCCGAGAGGTGGAGAGGTGGGGGAGCATTCCACAGGCATCAGGTCAACGTGACGCGCAGTGGTCAGTATGCGCACTAGGGGTCTCACTACGAGCAATCTATCACTCAAAAGCAAGTCTTCCCTCACAGAGGAGACGGGAAGTCTGGTCGCGTTCGCCTCCGATTGGCTCGAACTCGACTCGCCCGACGAAGGACTGCGCTTCGACTCTGAACTCGTACGATCGACGATCTTTTAGTATTCTGCGGCACCCACCACCGGACTAACAAGACAGGCCTCTTTCTGCACAGGCCCTACGACAAGAGGTCACGTACGCCTCGTACCTCTCGCTCACGACCATCATCGTCGCGCCTCCAAGAGCAGAGTTTGCCGACTTTCTGCCCGACTATGCCCGCGCCATCAACGGCGCCCTCGCGAGCAGTTGGCATATCAATGTGAGCGTCGCGTCGGGTTAGACCATGCACGACTCACAGCAGGCGCTTATCTTGTACTCAAGTTCACCCACAGATATCGATCCGGTTACCTCTGAGCTTGCACCCACCCCCACACCTCGGAGGCCGGTCATCGACACCCGTTGGATCGTGGGCCTCGGCACAGGATGACTGTCAAACCTGGGAGTGGTGGAACACGATCCGGTCCATGTGTGGCTATTCGCCCCGTCTGAGCATCTGTGAGCCCATTCAATCTCCTTGCACTGTTGTGGATCCAAGCTCAACCCGTTCCATTCTGTTGAACAGGTCTGGACCTGTCGAGCGCGCTTCCCCCCGCCCAATTTCTCGGTCGATGGGCCGCCGAACCGGTCAAGCACATCTTTCTCCCTTGCTCGACCTTTATACCCAACGCCAAAGCCTATCCGGTCTTGACCAAATCTCTGCAAGCCTTTTTGAAAAGATGTTTCCGCTTCAACCCGACCGTCATCCTCTCTGGAACCCAGAAAGGTCTTCACGCGATGGGCGGCCCCTTGGCCTACGTCCAATACGTTCGACACCTACATCGCAAAGCCGCGCCATTGGACCCTGTCGAACAGTACGCGCAAGGGTACATGGACCATCTGCAACTGCCCTTGCAGCCTCTAATGGACAACCTCGAAGGGGAGACGTACGAAGGTTTTGAAAAGGATCCCGTCAAGTACCGCCAATACGAAGAGGCCGTCTACCAAGCCTTGCTCGATCGACCAGAACGAATGCCCGTGACCATCTTCGTCGTCGGAGCAGGTCGAGGCCCCCTCGTCGCGGGCTGTCTACGCGCCGCCGAACGTTCGCGCCGAAAAATCATCATCACCGCCGTGGAGAAGAATCCGAGCGCGTACGTGATCCTACAAGAGCGAGCTGCGCTGGAATGGGGTTCGTCGGTCAAGCTCGTCTTTTCGGACATGCGGAGTTTTCATCCTCGAGAACAGGCGGATATCATCGTTTCAGAGTTGTTGGGCTCGTTCGGGGACAATGAACTGAGTCCCGAGTGCCTCGATGGGGTGATGAGGTGTCTTAAACGTGAGTTCGGCGCGAAGGTCACTCGAGTGGGAATTCCTACTGAAGTGCCTGGCGTCGACGCTCCCATAGCCGATGGCATCTCGATCCCCTCCTCCTACACCTCTTACCTTGCCCCCATCACGACCTCAAAGTTGCACGCCGAAGTGACCCGCCCCGTACCCCTAGGCACCTCCTCAACTTCAGCGGATTACAAACCCGCCGAATCACCCTACGTTGTCATGTTCTCAGCGTTCCATATCCTGAGTGCTAGTACGGGACAAGAAGGTGGGGAGAGGGTCCAAGAGTGTTGGAGTTTTGTTCATCCCAATCCGAGGATCATATTCGGGCAGGATGGTCAGTTTTCTCACCCCTCTCTCGGTACCACCACTCCAATGATGCTTACCCATTTCTCCTTCGTTCTACCGTAGGTCTCCCCTTAACAAACAGCCACAACACCCGATCCGCACACCTCAGTTTCCATATTCCCTATTCGGGCGTCTGTCACGGTTTTGCGGGTTATTTCGAAGCGACGTTGTACAAGAACGTCGGGTTGTCGATCCACCCCGAACGCGCGGCGGGGGACATGTTGAGTTGGTTCCCAATCTTCTTCCCTTTAATGGTACGTTTCGGTTAAGTTGTACAGAAAGAATCCGATTGATTGTTTTCTTCCGCACCACCACCCAGGATCCCATCTACCTCCCCGCTTCCTCCTCCATCGACGTGCAAATGTGGCGCATGACGGACAGTTCCAAGCGTAAAGTCTGGTTCGAATGGGCCGCCTCGGCGTACATAACTATACCTTCCCCGATCACCACACCTTCCCCCAACCCCAATACAACGACAGTCACCACAGCTAGTGCTACAGGTGGCGGAGCCCGCACGTCGTACGATCCCCGCACGACCTGGATGGCGATGCCCAGCCCCCTGATGGACGATGGGATATTCCACTCCGCGCCCAGTCCCATGATCGGTTCCACGCCCCACCTCACGAACGGTACTTCCCCAACAGATCGTCGGGACAGTGGCCGAATGCCCAACGCTCCAGACGAAGAAGGCTCGAATCAACAATCCCATGCGTCGATGTCGATGGTGATGAATAGGGTATTGATCAATCAGAGCAAATTGCATAACCCGGGGGTAGGACGAGTCATATTGGAGTTTAGTCTGGAGCGAAGGTGGGCGTAGAATATTTTATTTTATTGTGGTTGCGTTTGATTTATTGGAACTCGACCTCTTCCGTGTTTACATCACCTCCCCAAGTTCCCGTTCGGCATTGGGTCTCGAATTCAGAATGTTAAAAGTGCTGCACATGAGAAGGAGACGAACGAGCGTGAATAAATTGCTGTTGCATGCAAGGTTAGGTATCGTTTTGCGAGAGTCAGAAAACATGAAAACAAATAGTGAAAGTGAAAGTTGCCAAAGAAAGAAGGCAGGAGGGCATACCCTCTTTGTTGGTAGGGACAAATGTCTAGTGCAGAGCGAAAAAGTGATTGGGTAGTCTTGCCCAGAGAGTCCAAGGCGGTTGAAAGGATGAAAGGAGAAAGCACGTATCGCCGGTGCTCTTGACCAAGCAAGTTCCCGATGCTTATCATTTGTGGGATCTAAAGTTGAACCCCAACTTCTTGAGCGTCACACCGGCCCTCCTCGGTTTCCGAATACTGGCCCCATCCCCACTCGCCCGTGCAGCCGCAGCCCCACGACTCAGCGCAGCGAGCATCAACAGATCCGGTCCACCTCCCCCACCCGCGGCAGCGCCATTCCTCCCTCGCCCTCTCCCAACAACTTCCAGAGTAGGCGAAGGCGACCTCCTCGACCCCGTGGTGGTCGTCGTCCCGGTCGTCGTACTCGACCCCTTCCTCGAAGTGTTCGTCGCGAGCCCCGACGGGATCCTCAAAGGGGACGAGGTCCCGCCGCCACCTCCAACTGCTCCTCCTCCTCGAGGCGTCATCAGCACCAAGCGATACTTGTCCTTGAAGCCACGCCCCCAGAGTGTCGTCGTTGTCGACGACCTGGCCTCCTTGCCTCCATTGCGAGAGGTAGGAGCAGCAGGCTCATGAACGACGACATCCCAGTCTGAATCCGAAATGCCGGATTCGAAGGATGGTCGAACCGCTTCGGGGGTGTGCGCAAGTGCGGATGGGGCGTGCAGTTGAACGTGGTCGAGTTGATTCGTGACCTCTTGAAGCGACGACGTAGCATAATCACGATCCTGATCGTAGGATGTAGGTTCCTCGACCTGATTCTCGTCCATGACCATCGCCTCGACCCGACTTTGAGTCTCATCCGCTTCGCTACCTCCTACCGATGGGGGTCGAGCAACCCCGTCCTCCTCCTCTCCACCCTCGTCAATCTGCGAGGTCTCGCTATAGAGCGATTCCGCATCACGACCGTAGTAGGAATCTGCGGACCAAATCAAAATACACCTCATCAGCACCCTCCCTCCCTGAAGCATTCACGCGTCCTCACTCAAACTCACATCCATCAAATACGTCCCTCCCCTCCTCATCGACCGCCGACTCCGGCTCTCCATCGGGCGAGTCCCTCCCGGATCCTTCTTCGGGTGCAGCGCCGGTCCCAACTTCGTTGGGCATGGAGAGAAACATCTCGTCGAATTGCGACGTGTCGCATGGGTCCGATGGGTTCAGCGTTGGGATGAAAGGGGGTACGTACTGCGGCGCGACACAAGGAATTCATGAGGAAGGGGGGGTGGGGGGTGAATGCGACAGACTTCTTCACGACTCACACGCCGATGATAAACGTGTTCCCACACGATCATACTGAAATACGGGTGTCGCTTGATGCGTTCGTCGGTCATACGCAACAAAGGGTCGCGTTGTAGCAGACCTCGGAGCAGGGACTTGGTGTCGTCGTCAAAGATGCGATCCGTGTCGTCGAAATTGAGGTCTTCGTGAAGGACGCGGTGATACACTGCATGTGAACGAGGGTGTGAGCCTAAGTAACCTTACGACCTTCACAATGTGGGAATTCGGATGTACTTGTGGCATGATCCTCGGACCAGTAAGGCGTGACGCCCGCGAGCATCTCCCATAGCATCGTTCCAAGCGACCAAGCATCCACCTCATACGAATAAGGCTCTCCAAGCAAGACCTCTGCGATCGAAAAGCCAACTTGATCAGACACCACCGACATAGTCATCTCCTTCGCAGCAGACTCACCAGGACTCAGATACTCTGCCGTTCCGCAGAACGTTGTTGTCGTTTCTCGTGTCGCAGGCCAGTTCGCAACCGAGGCCGAAGCTCTTCGTTCACCATGCCCCGATGAGGAAAGCCAGTGCGGTCGCGGGAGTCCATCGTCGCCCTCTCCAGCACCAGATGATCGATCTCGAGTCACGTGTCCAAAGCTTTATCGGATGATGTCGGATGACACGGGGGACGACAATTCAGCATCGCGTATGAGCCGGGAGAGCAGAAGCTTGTACTCACTCTTTCGACAGCCCAAAGTCAGTCAGTACGATATGCCCCTCGGCATTGATGAGCACATTCTCCGGCTTAAGATCGCGATAAATGATCCCATTCGCATGCAACCCCTGCACCCCCTCAACAATCTCTGCCGTATAAAACCTCGCACGATCACGACCCAACCTACCCCATCTCGCAAGTTGCGTCGCCAAATCGCCCCCGGGGTGGAAGTCCAACGCAAGGTAGAGGGTCTCGCGATCGTGGAAGGAGTAGTGTAGCCGGACGACGAAAGGGTTGATGGTCGCGTCGCGCGCACACATCTTGAGCACGGCTTGCTCGGTCTTGGTATGCGCCGATTCACGATGGGCGAGGACCTGCAGGCTCGTACGTTTGTCAATATGGGCCTATCAAGAGCCTACTGAGATAGTGCTGTCGCTCACATGCTGCTTATGAATCGCCTTGAGTGCAAAGAGCGCGCCGTCCGTCTTTTGCCGTACGAGTAAGACCTTGCCCGCGCATCCTTTGCCGAGCACGCGCAGGATCTCGAACGAATCGATCGTCACGGCCTTGTCGTCTTTTCTCCTCCTCCGCAGTGTCTTGCCTTTTCGCTTCGTCGAAGAGGTTGCAACGGCATCACCAGATTTTTCGACGACGGAAGCGGGTCGTGATGCGCCAGGCGATTCGGTCGCTTTGCTCGGCTCCGGACTCTTCGGTATCGCATGAACCTCGGGCAGCGACTCGGGTTCCTCAATCGATTCCTCAAGCCGCTCAGCCACGATACCGCTAGGCAAGCCTTGTTCGATCTCACTCCCAGCCGTACTAAGCGTGTCGGTCCCCGAGCTACTCTTGCGTTTGCTGTTGACGTCGAAGTCGAGTTTAGACGACGGGATCGGCGGTAACGGAAAGAGCTGGACATGTTCGGAGCTCGTCGTCCCCGCGGATGGGATGCTGTCCTCCGAGACGTTTAGATGTCCTCGCTTCGCTTTGGTCGATGAAGGTCCAATGTATTTGGTGACGTTGCTCTGGGTCCCTTTGAGCCGTCGTTCCAATCGCGCGCTCTCGAGGTCGTCCGGCGCACTCGCGAAGAATGACTGAAACGCCGAACTCTCGCGCAGCACCTTGTCCCCACTCAGATCGGTCAACCAATTCCCAAGCTCCGTAACGTCCATGATGGACATGTCCAGGCTATTTGCCCTTGCGCTCGAGGATGAAGAAGACGACGCTCGACGAGGCGAAAGTGTTCGTTGAAGGGTCGCGAACACGGCGGTGCGTGATTTTTTCGGGGTGAAGGTGATCAAGGGCGGTGCGGGCATCGGCCGACCGGGGACGCGACCGGGGAAGTTGTACCTCAACTGGACGATATGGGATGTAACAAGCTATCTCAGCCGGGTGTCATGTCGAAAAGCGGGATTAAGCAACGGACGACTCACGTCAGCTTCGAGTTCGGCAACGTCGGCCAGACTTCGACGCAGGGTCAAGCTCGAGGTCGGTGTTGACACGTAGATCGTCAAGTTCTTCTGCTCCAGATCGTTCTATCGATACAATACTATTCAGCTTCGGTCGAAATCACTTATCCATGGTTGAATGCACTCACCGTCCTACGCCTGAGCCCATTCGTCGACTTACCGCCCCTCGCCAAGACGACCGAAACGACCCAGGCGTCCCTATCCTGAATGCCCGACACCGTCTTGGGCTCCCTCTGACCCCGTTCCCGCAGGTCGCCTTCCTCCCCTTGCTCAAAAAAGTTCTTTCCCAGCCCCAACCGATCGGCGCTAGGGACGCCAACAACGTGTCCGACCGAAGCGGCGGTGAAGGGCGCGGTTGTTGTGCTACCCCTGGATTTGGACGTGGGCGCGCCGGCGCTGGAGCTGGCGACGAAGGGGGTCGTCGGACTCGGGGACCCGGCGATGGTGTTGAAATTGTGCGGTACGGAGGGCGTCGCGGGGGCGATCCAAGCGTTAGCTTTGACTTGGAAAGAAGCGACCATGCTCCTACACCGTCCTTGTTGGCCGAGTCAGGGCCCAGCAGCACCCGCAGCAGCAGCAGCAATAAGCGACTGAAACCCGACTTGAGGCTGAGCGCGACGGCACGTGAACGGGCCTCGCGAAGCGGCGCGCGTCGTATGGCCCTCAACGACGGCGACAACGACGACGGAACCGTTGACGTCGACGACGTTGACCAGATGCAGAACCAAGTCCCCGAGAGCACGAACAAGTGGGAGGACGAATCCACGAAGCCTGGCCCAAGAGGAGGTGTTGTTGTCTCGAACTAACCCAATCGACCGAGGAGACACCTGGGTCAGCCTGGGTCACCGAAACAACCCGGCTCCAGAGTCCACCGAGAGGGGCACGGGCGAGCGAGTGTTCGGTCCGAAGGTGCCAGCTGCTGATGGGGCTACGAGCGAGTCACCGTCCGGTGTCGTGTAGGTGTTCGGCGCGTCAACAGAGGGATAACCGCGTCGGCCTATCCAAAATGAGGCAGACCCCAAAGGCATACCATTGATACCAAGTTGACCCCGAAACCGAGGGACGAGGCCCGAAACCTGATCCAGGGCTCAGGCCGATCGTCGTTCTTAGTATGTAGCTGCAGGTCTGGGCTGGGCTGGGCTAATACTATCGGTGTGAACCGGCACCCTGTAATAAGCGCAAGCGCGATTTTTGACTTGTTGCCAAAACAGCGACACAGAAGCGCCGAGAGGCGCGCCAGCTGAGATACAGACCACTCATAAGCCATCATCGCTAGATCGTAATGCCCAATTATCCCGTCCGTCCCCAAGTCGGCGGCACCCCACATCTGCCTCCGTTTCACCTTGTCGCGATCTCAGAAACGTGCGCCGTCGAGTCTCAATCGTGCGGCGTCAGATCCTCGATCCACAACGCAACGAGCTCGAATCCATCGAGAACAGCCACCGCCAAAAATTCAATCCCATGGCGCCCAGTTTCCCGCTCGGTGAACACCCTGACGGCGATCCATTCGCGGCGCAAGATCGCGAACGGCAGGCGAATTCGCGCCTCGGTCGCATGGAGGCACGCGCCCAACAGGAGGAGCAACAACGCCTCAAGCAAGAGCAGGCAGCACTGCAAGACCATCGTACCCACACCAACACCGCAGCACCCATCCGAGCTGGATCATCTACCTCTTCTTCCCAGCACGGGTCGAGTACGAATGCGAACGGTGCGGGCACAGGAGGTCACCGAACCGCATTCACGGTCGCCCCTCCACCTCCAGGGCGCGCCCATCACCGCAATAGTGCCCGTCTATCCTCGCACAGCAGCAACACCACCATCAACGCCACAAAAAAGAGGGAACCCGATCTCGTCATCAGCGACACCGAGGACAGCAGCACGACGCCGAACGCTCAATCCCCGTCGGCGGCTTCGGCAGCAGCACCCCGCGCGGTCCCGCACTCGACAAACATACTCCCTGCAAGAAAGCGCCCACGCGGAGAGAACGATCAACCGTTCTCCGTGACAGTACACAGTGGGATCCCTCATGTTAGAACGACGGTCCCGACGCCTGTCAGGACGGCCCCGGCAAACGACGAGGCCGATGAACCGATGAGCGACGCGCCCGCACGCGCCGGTGATGACTCGACACTTCTTTCGACTCCGGCCGAACCGGCGAGGAGAGGGAGGGAGAGCAGTCTCAGTAGCATTGCTTCTTCGCCACACGCTGGGCATACTTCTCCCTTACGCACCGGTGAAGAAGGGGATGAAGAAGAGGAAGAGGACGAGGAAGACGAGGGAGAGGGAGATCCCGAAGGAGATGATGATGGGGAAGACGATGATGAGCAGGACGACGAAGACGACGACGAAGACGAAGACGACGAGGATGATGACGAAGATGACGAATACAGTGAAGCAGACTCGGAGGACGAGGACAGCAAAGTTGCGGCATCAGTGACTCGACCCAAGACTGTCGATGGTCGTTCGGACTCGGATGAGAATATGGGGTCGCCGGGCAAGAACTCAAAGCCTGCACCGAATGCAGTCGGCTCAACGTCTAACGGGACCGATGAGAAGAAGGACGCCAAGCCCTCCCCTCCACCACCCGAAATGTCAGCCGTCCGCCTCACCTACTCGTTCCCACCTCGCGGAACGGACCACGGCGTCCTGCAGATCAGCATCGGCGAAATGGCGCGTGAAGCCGGCTACGATCCCTCCAAGCACAACATCGCTCAAGTCGCTAGCAGTGATGGCGAAGAAGATCACTCTGACGGGAGTGATAGGGAAGGGAAGCAGAAGCGTGAACGGGAAGAAGCGAAGCCAGGGGAACCTTTGCCTGTCAGGCTGCCGATCCCGGGCGTTGTAGGGCCTCCTAAGGTAAGCCTATTCGATTCGAACCTGACCGTTGACAGGCTGAGCTGATCCTCTTTCGTAACCACAGCTGAAGAAGCGAAGGCGTGCACCCAACACTGTTCTTGGCCGTTTTGGTGGCTACGATGTAGAGGACCCTTTCGTCGACGATTCCGAGATCAACCTCTACGAGGTAAGCAAGTACTTCGACCCGAGATCTTACGAAAGACTTGCTCACGCCTTTCGAATGGGAGCATTTGGTACAGCCCAAGTTCACCGCGCAACCCAAACGTGCGGGGTTCCACGTCTGCGTCGGACCGGTCGCGATCCTCACCAAGAGTCACCGAGGCAGGATTCCGGGGTCCAAGAACAAGCCCAGGGTGCGTCTGCACTCAATGTATGTTGCGTTATGCGCAGGCTAAATCATCGAGACGTGACCTGTGTCCCTGAACAGGTTTTAGGCGGACCAGAGGCAGGCGCGGGTGAGTATTCTCCCTTTAGTGAGCGTGGGGGTCCCGCTGATAATAGAGGAACACGATCTCGCAGATGGACATGTGGCCATTCCTGCCGCGTCGACATCAGTCTTGCCCACCTTTGGAGCGATTGGACAAGGCGCTGGTGGGCCCCCAGTCAAACCTCCGAAGAAGAAGGCGAGTCAAGTCAAGTCAGGCCGAGCGAGCAAATGCACGGGACTTTGACGGAACTAATTCTTGTTTTTCTGGTCCCTCTAGGGCACCTTCTCGCCAGAGATGCAGAAGGAGATCGATCGTCTCAAAGACGAGGTCGCCAAAGGTCAGTTGGACCCGTGCCAATCAGATCATATCGCCTGCATGCTCTTCAGACTCTGCATGCTCTTCAGACTAATCCTGAAAAGGTCCAACTGGCAGAGTCGTTCGAGGTCAAGAACAAGTTTCCGCCTCGCCTTCGACCGATCCTGGTCGACGTTGCGATGCGCGCACTCGAACTGGACGAATACGACGACGACTTCTTCGCCATCATGCCTAAGATATTCCCCTACAATCTCTTCACGATGAAGAAACTCATCAAGCGCGAGGTATTTCCTAAGCGCATTGCGGCCTACGAAGCCGAACAAGATCGACAGATCGAGATCATTCGACAGAACGTCGTGGAGTTGTTGCCGATCTCGAAGAAGAACCATGCGGAGGATTATGCGCACTACAGGGCTGAAAGGGCGGCGTGGGAAGAGAAGGAGCGCAAGAGGCTTGAAGGGGGTGGGGGGACACCTGAGCCTATACAGGGGGGATTCCCTTTGATTGCAGGAGTGGCAGCGGCGACGGGTTCCGATGGTGAGGACGCGACGGGACCAGGCTTGGCTACGACTGGACGTGAGTCTCGATCTTCCAATGACAACGGAGCGATATCAGTGTGGAGGCTGACCAATTGGATCCTCTTTTCGTTCGCCCAGCTCGCGAGCCAATCTACAAGTTCCGCTTCAACGAAGCGATGAGGATCGCCTTGTACAATGCGTGCGAGATCGGGGACAGGATGAGCGAACTGATCGTCGAGAAGCAGTGAGTCGACACCGCCTCGTAGACACGAATGGTCTTGGTCTGAGTTTGCGGTGGATGGTGTCGCCTTCTCACAGAGAATTGGAGAAGGCCGTCGAACAAGGCCAGAAAGTCCACTCGGCCGCGAACGACCGCAAGATCTTGTATGCCAAGGTCAGTCAAACCCCGCTAGTTCGCGCGTGCAGTCTCGTTCCGGCGCGCTGACCGTCAGACTCGCACTTGCTCTTGATCCAGCTTCTCAAATTCTGGCCCAGTGGGGACATGACCTCCAACCAACTGTCACGAGAGAGTAAGCACACCATCCCACGTCCCCCGATCAAGCACCTCTCACTCAGGCCTCGACGTCCTCTCCCACCGCAGTGAGCGCAGCGAAGAACAAGCTCCTCCGCCAAAGTCAACGATAGCACCGCAACGCCGCGACCGAAGCTTCTCTACCGAAGCTTGCCCCACCCAATACCCCCTTCTGCATCACCCCCTTGTATCCAACTGTCCGTGCGATTTTTTCTCTTACACTTTTATGATGAAGAAAGTCCAAACTTGTTGCTTAGGTTGCCCAATCGCGTCATGTTCTATGCAATACGACGCGTGTAGTCTACTATGATATCACCCTCCATACGACATGTTTTTAAACTCAGTGATACTTTGCGGATCAAGTCCATGAAATACTGCTTGAACAACCCTAGTATTCTACACCATCCCAAAACCGTAGAACCAACGCTCGAAAACCCCATCACGTGACGATCGTTCTGCCAACTCTGCCAACTTCGCAGGGTCAGGAAACACTTCACCCGCGCCTCGACGTTCTCGAAGAGTTGCCAAATTGGAATTTCTTCTCGCTTCCGCTCCGGCTCAACGGCCCGGGCGAAACGCCAACGCCGCGCGACGCGCGACACTGTAAGTTTCTCTCACAGCATAGAGTCCATGGCAGGGTCTGTTTGCACGATGAACAACAACAAATCTGGTGAAAAGCCAGAACTAAAAGAGGAGAGAGAGATAGTGGTGAAGAAAGTAAGCGAAGAAAAGCGAACGTGCGCCCAGCGCATTCTCAAAATTTCGGAGCCGGCATCCCGGGCACGTTTTGGAAGAAGCTCGACCACGAATCGACATCAAAGATGTTCTCCGGCGGCAGCATCATGTTCCCGCCCGCCCCTGCGAAACAACCGTTCATCATCTCGGGGTGAGTGTTGAAGCCGAAGGGGTCGAAATGGTGGCCCGCGACGCCGCCGAGGAACATGTTCGACGAAGCCGAAGTGTTCCCTTGAGCTCCTGGGTTGATCGAAGCGTTCGCAGAAGTCGATCCGGCTCCGTCCGCATTGTTGCTCGGGTCGTTCGCGTTGGTAGTGGCGGCGGCAAAGTTGAGCATAGGATTAAAGTTCATCGTCGCGAAATCACCAGGTGTCGGCATCGGGGTCGACGTAGGCTCATCGGCAGGTCGATCATCTCCATCCGTGGGTGCACCATCTTCACGCATTCGATCTGTCTGGCCAGGGGATTCGACAGCGGTTGATCCCGTGACCGATTGCGCAGGTGTCTCGTCCATCGGTCCCGCGTTTTCTTCGCCTTCTTGATGCGTGCTCCTAATTGAGCTCTCATTCCCCAACGGCAGACTATGCCTCAACAACCCATTCGACTCGGCCGGTTCAAGTGGACTGATCGCACTTCCCCCCGCAACACTCGAGCCCGCCTGTGTTCCCGAAGGCCCCACAGCTGAAGCGGGTGAACTCGTCGCGGACGGGGTCCTCCTCTCGCTCCTAAAGTATGACACCTCATTTGTGCCCTTCTTATCGACGTACTTAAGGTGCCAATCCTGCTCCCTCTGCCTGACCCCCGGTGTAGGGTTCAACGTCGCGATCGCGGTCGTGTTGGACCCAGAAGCAGGGGACATCCCTTCGGCCGCTTCGGGGGCCCATTTCTGCACCGACAGAGCGGTCTGGTACAAGAGATGGAGAATCTCGCTGATCTTGTACCGTAGGTGCGTCTCTCCATCGGGGACAACGACGCGCTGTACAAAAGACCCGCCGGCAGACGGGGATCAGCCCTATGCACGACCGGAGTTCTGTCGTTGGTCTGGGGTGAGGACGCACCTTCATGATATCACGAGCAAGCTTAAGCGTTGCCAGCGGCTCGGCATCCCGGCGCCGGATGTGGGAGTGGTATTGGATTAGTGAAGCGATGAAAAAGGCGTAGATACCGCTGCGAGGGCAAGCGATTCGTGAGCAAACTCATACAGCTACGGTCATTCACGGAATTGCACAAATAGGCACAGAGACTCACACGAACCACCCCTCCAGCACCGCCTCATTCTTATCAACCCACTCGATCGCCTCTCTCGACTCGGCCTCCAGCTGACCCCACTCGACGACCCCGACACTGAGGTGCGCGAACCGCTTGGGCAACTGAAACGAAATGCTCATGAAAGGCCTCGTGACCAAGAACTTGGCGGGTAGGTACAACAACCTCAAGAACCCTTGTTCAGCCGTCGACTTGTTGGGTCCGTTGAACCTCAATTCCGAAGGGAGGCCCGAGACCCAGTGCTCGAGATCGTCGAAGAGGGAGGTCGCATCCGCTGCTGACAAGGTCATGATCCCCGTGGGGGAGTAGATAGCTTTGATGATGCGACCGAGTAGGATCGAGAGCGAAATCAAAGCGCCGTTGAAGAGGTACGGCTTTCGTTCAGCGTCGAACTCGGTGCCAGGTCGGATGTCGAACACGGAGGGTAGGAGACAGTCGCAATCCGCCAAATCGATCATCATAGGGCATCCATACTGCGTAGGCGTAAGTGTTTCACGTCAGGTGAGTCTCAAAGCACTCGAGGGAGCGAGACAGCTCTGTTCGGATACTTACGATGGCAGCAATCCACCGATCGGCGATCAGACACCCACCCCAAACCCTCCTCCTCAACTCGCAATGATCTGCCTCGGACTGCAACTTCTTCTCCGTCCCAAACTTGCGGTGCAGCCCCAAATCCTGCGCCATCCTGATCGCAACACCGAGCAAGTTCCACGTCTTGCTCGCTGGCGTCTTCTTCTCCAGCTCCAGCGAGAAGGCATAGACGAGCAGGGCCTGGATATTGGACATGCTCGAGTCGTCGAGAAAGTCTTGCTCGCGCAGGATCGCGCGAATAGTGCCTTTGATCGTCCTCAGGATCCCCGGTGCGACGTGGTGACTGAGCCCCGAGATGCCGCACAGCGTATTAAACAGCAAGATCGACGTTTTTTTGTTCGCCGCAAAGTCAGCCCTGGTCACGACGGGGAAGTGTCGACTATGTGTCGTAAAGTAGTGGTTCAAGAGCTGTTCGGCAACGGGTGAGTCCAAGCCCTGGATCGCCTGCGGGTGCGCATCCGGACCCCCTGCTTCTCCCGTATAGTCCCCACCCCCATTGATTCGGATGAAGCCATCTCCCGTCTCGTCTACGGTCAGTGATTGCGAGTATTTGGAGTCTACCGAATTGAGGCGTTCGGCGGGGAAGGTCGAGGTCGAGTGCATGAGGTGCGAGATCGAGGTTGGGCCGACGATGCGCATTTCCCTATTGCGTCGGAACGGATCCGAGTCTTGGTTGCCTTGGGTCTGCATCTGAGTTGGCAGATGGCCGGCAAGTGGCGTAGTCGACGAGAAGGAAGGCCGATTTGCCGAGGATGGGTGAGCCTCGTAGTGGTACTGTCCTATCGAACTAGACGTATGAGGAGAAGCCACGGACTGCGAACCGGCCGATGAAGCTCGGTGGTGCGCCTGACTGAGCGCCGCTAGTTGAGACGCAGCGACGGCCGACGAAGGGTCGTCGGCTTGTTTAGGTTTGGAACGCTTGTTCCGAGTTTCCGCGATCGGTAGGAACTTGTGATGGATCGAGTCGTGAAAAGATTAGTCGTTGATGGTCGCAACGCGAAAAGGGGGGAGGGGGCGGGGGGGGAAAACACTTACCCAGGTACACGCCGTGTGGTGAGAGTGACAGTGCACGCATATAGGTGGCTCCGTATCCGGCAAGGCATCGCACCTATGTTACGATACGCATACGGGGTGCTGTTAGCCTTGCCGTGCTAGAGCTCTCTCGGACTTTGACCCCGACGCAGCGAAAGAGAGGGAGCACTCGCCTGATCTTCTTTCTGCGACAGCTATCGCACGCCCTCGGAGTCTTGGAGCGCTTCTTCTTCGCGGAGGCGCTGTCCTCGTCATCCTGTTCGTCCTGACTACCCGCAGCATCAGGTGTCCCCGCAACGTTGATGGTCGAGCCGCTGGCGCTGATCCTCCTCTTGCCGGTCGATGACGACGATGAGCCGTAAGGGGAATGGTCCTGCGCCGTGGCTAAGGGGGGTGCGCCGCTCGGGTGCCTCGACATGGAGTCGTAGTGCGCCAATGACGCGGGCAACGAGTTGGCCGGAGGAGGAAGAGGGACTATCGGTATCGAGCTGGACGAGGGCGAGGAGGAGCCAGTCGCGGCATTGGCGGCGTTGGCGGCGTTGGCTCGCTTCAACAGCGCCGAAGGGGACGGCAGCCCGTAATTCGTCGACGAGTTGTTCATCCCGTTCTGGCCGCTGTTGCTGCTACTGCTGAGAGCTGAGTTGGGATTCGGATACATTCTCGGCAGATTGGGAGGGGGTAAAGTCGAGTGTATGCCGTAGTCGGCGATAGAACCGCCGCCGAGCGAGGCTGAGGAGGAGGCTCGCAGTGGAGGCATGCCGTGAGCGCTTCCGTTGCCGCTTCCGCTCGCGATGGCGTTGGCAAGCGAGTACATGCCACCACCACTGCCGCTGCTGCTGCTGACGCTGTCAGCCCCACCGTACCCGTACGCTGATCGGTTCTGCATGGCTTGGGGCGGGGCGGGGATTTACCTCGGTAGTCGTGTCCCCCTGGCGGTCACTGTGAGCGATCGAACAGTGATGACCGCCGGTGTATGAGAGACAAGTCACTCGCCTCCTTTGCGCGGCCGACGGAGGCCCACGGCGGCAGACGGCGGCCAGCGGCGGCCACGCCGAATAAGCGCCGACTGATTAGCCGCGGATATAGTCCTGCTCAGGGCAGTTGGAAACCACCGGCGACGGTCAATATTTACGAACTGGTACGAGCCACCAACGGGTACCTTCAACTGTGAATGTATGCATGAAGCGGAGCACGAAGTCAGAAGGATCTCGGAATCGCTTGAAGTGTACACCTATGCATTTGATCAGCCTGGGGAAGAAACTGGTGAGGTGGAGTTGCGTTGTGAAGAACCTTTCCAGCGACACGTCACATCTGGAAAATTCGTATCAAGCGGCTTCATGGGATGTACTGCAAGATTTTTCAGGAAACAAGTAATACGAACATTTGCGTTCGCATAACACCGGGCAGCAGGTATGTACCGGCCACGTCAGATGGATATTCGAGGCGTGAGGGTTCGATTGGAAAGGCCCAGAACGAGCCACGTCAGGCCACGTCAATCGGTGCAAATGAAGGCGCGTCGTCGCCTGTCGTCGCCGGACGCTGTGAGCTGCTGTGAGGAGGGCGGGTGGTGTGGCGCCGGCGCGCGTACGCTTTCCTTTCCTTTCTTCCCCTTCCTCACCTCTGTCGATTGGACTCATTCCCCGATCCATAGTACACACCCACTCGCCACTACACTTCTCAACAAGAATGGCTCCTACACCGAGTCGCAAGACGCTTTTATCGGCATTGCTGCTCGTGGTGATTGCTCTCGTCAGCTTTTCCCCCGTGGCCCAAGCCGCCAATGAAGAGGTGAGTGTGCTCGTGCTCGGGGCTTCCACCACGTTCTCGCGTGGCCACAGTGAATACCCGTAACGTGATGAGACTGCCAGGCGATCACGTACACCCTTGTCGACCGTTGCTGACCATGCTCGTCCTCTTCTGTCCTCCGTGCCTACTGATTCATGGCGCCACGTCAAACTCGCCGCCGTCCGCTGGCTGTTCGCGTGCGCCTCACGTCTGACGTGTCAATTGTTCGTCATCATCTGCCTCGCCTCGCCTCGCCATGCCCTACATTGCCCTCGAACCATGGCATCGCGTGCACGACGTTTCTTTTACCATGACACTGCATCCCATTTTGCCACTTACAGTATGGCACAGTCAGTAAGTCACGCTCCGGTGCCCCCTTTGACCGTCACTTGGTCACTTTTCCTTCACGTTCCATCACACCAGCGTGGCGCCTCCAACGCCGGCTTTACGTGGACAGACAAGCTGACCTTTCCCCTCGCCGCCCGTCTTCCTTGCTGCAGTCGGTATCGATCTGGGAACAACATATTCATGCGTTGGGTAAGCCTCTTGTTCAGTCTTGAAACGTCTTTGTGTGTGTGCACGGTTCGAGCGGGGCCTGCGGTGGACCCGGGGGCTCTGGCGGGCAGCACACGTCGACGGGCACCCTGCTCGCACGCGCTTCTCGACGTTACGAGGCGCAACTGCACACCAGGATCGTACATCGTAGTAGTTCACGGGTTGCCAGCGGCTGCCGCTCGGGAGGGCTGTCTACGATTGATAAGTCTCTTCGAGTCCGTCTCGCGCCTGGCGGCCTCGATGACGAAGAAGAACGGCTCGCTTCCCGTGGGAGATAGCGAGCCACGTAGCCTCACAGAACCCGTTGCCGCGACTCGCACACACGCTTTCCCCATTTTCCAGGGCAGTTCGCTGATACGTGCTTCATTCCCATAGCTTACAAAAGAACGGCCGGGTCGAAATCTTGACCAACGATCAAGGTAACCGTATTACACCATCCTACGTCGCTTTCGCGGCCGGCTCCGGCGAACGACTCGTCGGTGACGCCGCCAAGAACCAGGCCCCTTCGAACCCTACCAACACCATCTTCGACATCAAGCGTTTGATCGGTCGCCGCTTCACGGACAAGGCCGTCAAGGAGGATATCAAGCACTACCCCTTCACCGTCAAGCCCGGCAAGCATGACCAGCCCGTCGTCGAGGTCTCTGTCGGCAACGAACGCAAGACCTTCACCACCGAGGAGATCTCGGCCATGATCTTGGGCAAGATGAAGGAGACCGCCGAGGCCTACTTGGGCAAGAAGGTCACCCACGCCGTCGTCACCGTCCCGGCCTACTTCAACGACGCTCAACGACAAGCGACCAAGGACGCCGGCACGATCGCCGGTCTCAATGTTCTCCGTGTCGTTAACGAGCCCACCGCCGCCGCGATCGCCTACGGTCTCGACAAGACCGGTGGCGAGCGCAACATCATCGTCTACGATCTCGGGGGGGGAACGTTCGATGTCTCGCTCCTCTCGATCGAGGACGGTGTCTTTGAGGTATTGGCCACCGCCGGTGACACCCACTTGGGTGGTGAGGACTTTGACAACCGCGTGATCGACTACATTGCCAAGACGTGGAAGCGCAAGCACGACGGCCAGGACATCACCAAGAACTTGCGTACGATGGGTAAGCTGAAGCGCGAGGTCGAGAAGGCCAAGCGAACGCTCTCGTCGCAAATGTCGACCAAGCTCGAGATCGAGGCCTTCTTCGAAGGCGAGGACCTGTCCGAGACCCTCACCCGCGCCAAGTTCGAAGAGCTGAACCTCGACCTGTTCCGCAAGACGATGAAGCCCGTCGAGCAAGTGCTTAAGGATGCCGGATTCAAGAAGGAGCAAGTCGACGACATCGTCCTCGTCGGTGGTTCGACCCGTATCCCCAAGGTCCAGGAACTGCTTAAGGAGTATTTCAACGGCAAGGAGCCCACCAAGGGTATCAACCCCGATGAGGCCGTCGCTTACGGTGCTGCCGTCCAAGGTGGTATCCTCTCCGGTGAGGAGGGTCTCGGTGATGTCGTCCTGATCGATGTCTGCCCCCTCACCCTCGGTATCGAGACGACCGGTGGTGTCTTCACAAAGCTCGTGAGTCGCTGGACGCCCCAACGAATTGTCATCCGTTGTCGCTTGATACTAATTGCGTCCTCTCCCGCTACAGATTGACCGCAACACCGTCATCCCCACCAAGAAGTCCCAGATCTTCTCGACCGCCGTCGACAATCAGCCTACCGTTTTGATCCAAGTCTACGAGGGTGAGCGTGCGATGACGCGCGACAACAACCATCTCGGCAAATTCGAATTGACCGGTATGGCCCCCGCCCCTCGCGGTGTCCCCCAAATCGAGGTCACGTTCGAGATCGACGCTTCGAGTATTCTCCGCGTCAGCGCCGTTGACAAGGCGACGGGCAAGTCCGAATCGGTGACGATCGAGAACGAGCGAGGCCGTCTCTCGCAAGAGGAGATTGACCGAATGGTCGCCGAGGCCGAACAGTTCGCCGAGGCGGACGAGCTTTTGAAGAAGAAGATCGAGTCGCGCAACGCGTTGGAGAACTTCATCTACTCGGTCAAGGGTCAACTTGCCGACACCAAGGAAGGTCTTGGCGCCAAATTGGACAAGTCCGACATCAAGACCTTGCACGCCGAGTTGAAAAAGTCGCAGGACTGGCTCGAGGCGAACGCCGATGCGTCGGTCGAGGACTTGACCGAGCAACTTGAGACGCTCCAAGGCGTCGTCACGCCCATCACGAGCAAGATCTACGGTGGTGCCGGCGGATCGGAGGAGCCCCTCTCGAACCACGACGAGCTTTAGACGTTGTCTCCCTTCTGATGACCCGGACCCCAAGCCCCACAAAAGAGTAGTGTTTTCCTTTCCCTATCTTTTTTTTCTTTTTTTCTTTTTTTTTGGGTATGGCACTTGCATTCCGTTGCATTCCATCCCTTTCGGGTGTGAAATAGTACGCTTTGCCCTCTCGAATGCACGTGAGAACGACGAGAGAACGACGAGAGAACGACGAGAGAACGACGAGAGACCGAGACCAAATGCCGGGTGGTAACTCAGCTCTCCGCCTGTGCCGCTGCTGCTGCATTGCAAGTCAATCCGCCAAAGTAGGCCGTGATAGCTTTCAACTTGTATCCCATCCATTCCTCCTCAATCTCGACTTCGGCATACTCGCCATTCTTCTTCTGCGCCAACTGAGCCACTTCGACGAGGTCAACGTTCCGAGGAAGGAACATGGCGATATGCGGCGTGAGAGCCGCCGAGAGGGCGTACAAGTCTTGGCCAGGTAGAGGCGCAAGTGCGGATAGTGGGTAGGTTGTCGATGCTGACGATGCTGACGATGCTGTTTTCGACGCTGTTGGCGTAGCGGGTGTGTTGGACTCCTGGGCAGCTCCCGACTTCCGTCTCTTTTTCTTCTTCCTCGACCCCGCTGTGATTGCCTCCACAGCCGCCTCCCCAGCAACCGGGGCAGGAGTTCCCATCTCCACCACCTCCGTCCCCATCGAATTCCCCTTTGCATCAACAGACAGATAATCAATCCCACCCCAAGGCGGACTGAGGAAAACGACCTCGATCTCCTCCTCTTCCTTCGGCTTCGCCTCAAGTCGTTTGGCTTTCTCTTTGGCCCATTCGACAAAGTCGGCCTGTATGAACTCGATGCGATCGGCGACGCCGTAGATCTCGGCGTTCTTGCGGGCACACGCGAGTCGGGTCGGGGATATGTCGATTGCGATGACTGGAGGTGGATGAGGGTGGCGAGCGCAAGATGAGATTAGAATACTTTTTGAAGAGGAAGGTGGAATGACCGTTTTGGCGCTCACCCTTTTCACATGTGAAAGCGAATTGGATCGCATTTCCACCCACACCGCAGAACGCATCGACGATAACATTACATCGACCTGTTTTTCGACGCAGACAAAAAAATTAGCGAAGGTGCATAAGGTTCTGAAGGAAGCTTGATGCCGAGGACTTGAGACTGACATCGCTCGGCGATCTGTTGCGCAATCTTTTCCGGTGTGACGGAGAACCATCCTTCTCGATCCATTTGCACGCCTTGATCAAAAAGAGAAAAAAGTCGATATCGTTGGAACCAGTCTGCACCATAAACAGATCGCACCCATGAGATTAGCTTGATGCGTCGTGATGGCTAGAGTGTCCCAACCCGCGACCGACGCCATCTCGTCCGGTTCAACGATGGGGAGCTTCGGTTCCTGCGGTGCGAGACAACCTCCATGCCAGACACTCACATTTCTTGAGCTCATCTGGTAGATTCTCAGCGTCATAATTCGTCTGCACGGCGTCCCACTCGTCCCCATTCCCATTCGCCTCGCTCCTACTTCGTTTTCCATTCGCACCAGCACCATTCACTGCTTCACTCCCTAACCCAGTCATCGTCAAAGTCGACGTCGAAGCCACCGGCCCCATCTCCGGCTGAGTAGGAATCAAGCTTGCCTTCGGCGGTGGTGCTTGCCCGTTCACCTCATTCTGGTCAGGGATGATGGATCGGACCGGTCGAATCAAGGCTCGTACGAAGGGTGAGTTGGTGATCGCGTGCGCGCGCGATGAACGACCTGCTCGCATCTCGTCTTGAGTGATGGCCTCTTCCTATCGCTTGGTAGCACCTGGGCGTAGTGGGCTAGTGCGCGTTGCGATGCGATGTGGTGAGAGCGAGAGGAAGTGGGGCGCGAGACGGGCCTCGCAATGGAGATTCTGGCAGACCTCGGCCGACCACGGACCTCGGCAGTTCATCAGCAAAATGGGCACTCGGCGCGCACCGCTTAAGGGCGCTTAACAAGACGTCCTTAAGCGGGGCCAGCGCTTAAGCGTCCTTAAGCGGGGCTTAAGCGCCTTTAAGCGGTGCGCGCCGAGTGCCCATTTTGCTGATGTTTTGCCCCGCTCAGTCCCGCTATTTCATCTGATCTGCCGCGACCTTCTTCTTTCGAGCCAATTATGTGATGTTTCTTTTGGTTCTTGGGTAAGATACAGTAGAATGCCATTCCCCTGTTATTTACTAAAAAGCAGAGCGTTCGGCCCCTTGGGCTGCCGATGCTAATTTCGTACGCCTAACCAACCTAATCCCGAGACTCAGCCATTTCAGAGGGTTTATTCATTCCCAAGGAACAGAAAAAAGTCGCCCAACCTCATAGTCGCCACGTCACGTGTGAATCCTAGCCAATGTTTTCCCAAAACCTTCTTCACCTTGCCAAAACTTCTTCTCCAACCTGATCCTCCACTCCTTGACCGCCTTCTTCTCGTCCCAAATTTCCTCGCACAACTTGGGCACCGCGACGCGCATCATCATGTACCTACCGTAAGCGACATAATCGACGAAACCCGGCTGGTCCTTTGATGCGAGGTATGAGTGTCCCCGGTCGGTCAAGAGGGCTTCGAGCGGGAGGAGCGAAGCTTTGGCGCGGGAGACGAGGGTCTCTTGAGGGGTCGAGGTGAGGAACTTCCATCCGTCCTTCATGCCGAGCTTAGCATCGGATTTGAACCAGCCTCGTTCCTACGAGGGCGCACGAAGGTCAATTTGACGGGAAGGAAAGGATGAAGCGCGGCCAGCGGTGAGCGCGTGAGCGCGTGAAAACTCGCCAATGTAAACCTAATCAGGCCACTCACCGTATTCGTGTCCTCCGCATCACCGGGATACAAAGCTGCCAAAAGCTCGGCCGAGATCTCAAAGAACGTTGACCATTGCGCATCCGACGATCCGAACCCGCTCGAAAAGACGAACGCGTACGCCTTGGCGACGTCCATCTCGGGAGAATCTAGTTGCACCGGGTTCGGCGACGAGGGCAGGAACAGCGAGGGTGCATCGGGGTAGTTGATGTCGAGCCATCTATTCTCGGAATGGCGCGATAGTTCGTGTAAGTCTCGTGTATGTTTTGTGTCTTAGAATTCGCGAGATACGTCGGGGTTTCGGTTGCTTACTCGGCGATCTTCCAGCTATCCGAAATGAGCTCGCCCGAGGGGAGTTCAATAGTCGGCGCTGCACGCCCCATCGCAAGGTGACAACACCTTATAGTAAGCACATCAAATTTCCAACGGCCATTATACGCTCTCCGACGAGCTTTCAGCCCGAAACTCACAGAGAATCCTGTCCTTGCCATGCTTCTTGGCCAGCGCCTTGAGGTCGGCCATCGTGACCGGCTGAGTCACAAAGTCTACGCCCTTGTGTAACAGCGACAAACGCGTCTTCCAAGGGTTGGGTGCCCAGAAGGGACCATCTATGACACGAGAGCAGTATGCGGTGTTAGAACATTGGATGACCGTGGTTCCCGAGACGATCCGAGACGATCCGGATGAGCCAACTCCGACGGAAGTGCCGAGCAGGTCCCGCTGTCCCAAAGTCCGGACAACGTTCTTCGTCTATAGTACCGAGGCGGAAGAAGAGGGATCCCTCACCAGGTTCAAGATAAAGGTCATACAGAATGATCGGCGCCATGTTCTCCGTTGAGTCGCGTGGAAGCGGTGCGATCATAGGAGAAACGAGCGGCGGCGGCCGGAGAGCGCATGCCCCACGCTAGCCCACGCTCGGCCCCTCTCGGCCCCCACTCCCACGAAAGAGAGCACGCGGCAACCGCGGTCCGGTCGATCGGCACTCCGACCAAATCCATCCGGCGGTGTGAGACAAGAGAAGCGCCCCGTTCCACATACTTTGCCACACTTCAAACGGTGATATAGTCATTGACGCGCCGCGGGGCGGCGACGAGTCCCTGAACCTCTCAAGCGCGGCGCGGTCGAGTTTAACATCGAAAGGGCATTCATCTCAATTCTATACCAGTTGGTAAAAATGATCTATGTACTGGAAAGCGAGTAAATTGGTCAGGCGCCCAAGTGTCCGAAGCCCGCGAGGCCGATTTCGTCTTCGTCCGAGTCGGCGCTGCTATTGTCGCTGTCCGACTTGATCTTTTTGGCTGCAAAAGGGGGAGGCGCCGCCGAGGGTGAAGAAAGTTCATGTCAGGTTGACTTATGACCTAGTGTTAGGCGCATCGGTGTCTCCACTTACCCTTATTAGTTAGGTCAGCAAAGTCCAATTCGAACTCGGCCTCGTACGCAGACCTCTTCACAGGCGAATGAATGGCCGATGAATTTTGAGGCGTGCCCTGGTATCGTGGTGCCGAGGAGGTGTCAGAAAAAAAAAATCCAAAAAAAACACATGGTTCAAGAGTAAGAGACCATGCTGATGGGGGCCCACCGCTGCACTCACCGATCCGCTGGCAGCAGGCTGAGGTGCACTGGCAAGTCGACCATGGATACGAGCTGCCACCGGGGTCAATTGATAGCGTCCAATACATTGCTCTTTTCTCTTGTCCTCGTACACATGGATCTGTGCGTTGCACATAATCCCACACACATCCTCTGCTTGCAGAATTGTGCGTGCGTATTTTTGTCGATTCGGGTCGTCTGCGAAGGAAACCGGGAAGGGCGTCGGCGCGGCCAGCTCCGTCGGTTTTCCTTGAAAGCGGAGCTGCAACAGCTCCTTCCAAAATTGTAAATATTCCCTTTCCCTTGCCGGATTCTCACTATCCGTCCCCAGCCAAGGAGGGATAGAGGCCTTGATGCTGGCAGGGAACGGGATGTCGCGGCCAAAGACGTGATTCCAGCAGCTGCAGAGGATGCCATTGTGAAACCAGTGTCAGTTTGGCCCCTTCTGCGGGAACTTAGTAGGTGAGGAAAACGCGCACTCACTCTTTTGTGGTCACCACACGGTGGTGGATGTATGCACTATTTGAGTTGTGCCCAAATGGCGATGCCAATTCCGCAAGTTCTAAAGTAGCCGGTGGGAAGCAGCAGCAGAATCAGCACCCTGCTCGCACGCCCAACACCGCCTAAGTTCAGCAAGCGGCTCACCTTGAAGATTCTTGGGAAGCTTCCAGTGCTGATGAAGGGCTTGAGACACCCCTCCTTGGAGCCAGTTTCGAAACTTTACAACCTCCGAGTCGGACTCGAACAGCTCCAGTCGAATCTCCCGGTCGAGATCTTCAGGCCTGACGCAATCTCGCACAAGGCGCCATTGCTGGCTGTTCAGGGGCATGTATAGAAGTTTGCGGCATCTTGGTTAGCGCAGGCGTAGATCTCCAGTAACACGTGGCTTCGCTTACTTCTTTGGCACGATTCCCCCTGCAGGATCAATGGTTCGGATTCGGCCTACAAGCCATATGTTGGCGACTTGACCGGCCGCCGTAGCCAGTGCGACTTCGCCGTAGTTCCCCGGTTTCTGTAGACGAACGAAATCGGCAACCGAGCGATGATCGACGATGTTGGCTAAGGTCGTCAGGGAGGCGTTGTAGACCTCGACAATGTTCTGAACGTCTTCGTGGGCCAACTTGTGTCGTTAACCTGATCTCATCAAACTCATCAAGTGTATTCAGCTGAGAAGGCGCTTCAAATGTTTGAAGGTGAACAAGGTGTGACAAAGTAGACATGTTGGCTCGAGAAGCGTGCAACTGGGCACAATCAGCAGCAGAATTTGACTCGAGTTCGGGGATCTGGATCAAGACAGGCTAAATCCGGGTGGTAGGTCTGGCCAGTGTCAGGTCCGGATGCTGTAGGTCTGGCTACTAGGTCCGCGCTCCTAAGATGACAAGAAGATTGCAGAGTCTGACAAGCCCACAAGTGTAGAGTGTGCAGGGTGGGTCGGGCCGTGTGCGAGTGACGAATGACAAGGCGAAGCTTCGAAAGCGACGTGGCTCGAAGGGCGTGAAACCTGTGCTATTCTTAGTTCTTGCCCTCCCGCCCCGTTATGGCAACCGCCCCCCCCCCCCCCCCCCCCCCCTCGCCCCCCTATGCTTTATGACGAGGTCCAAGGAGTCAAGGACCAAGAGCGACCCCGCCGCCGGGTCCGTGACTCCGTAGTCCCTGTCTCCTGAGTCCCTGATTCCTGAGCTAGGCTGAACAACGCCGCGCGCGTTTTCATAAAATGCGGGGAAGCTGTGCCTGAGGACTGAGGCTGAGGGGCCGAATTCTGAGACACTTTGAGATTTGCACCAATTCTGGGCTGGAACCGCCCAATTTTCGAAACGAAACCTTTAGCTCTTTCAGAGCTTCAGGGATTCAGAGAACAGTTCAAAAGCCAAGTTGTACTGTGAGCCAGTTAAGAAACGTCTACAGAGCGAGATCAACACTACCTGTTGAAGTTTGCACGCGGGACTCAACGTTCGGCTCGAGTCAAGGTTCTTGAGTCAACGCGCCGGGCCTCCGCGCGAAGTGACCTTCATACTAAAAGTTACTGCCGCAGGGTTCCTTTCTCCCTTTCTCAGTCTGTCTTCACCGGAGAGCACGCCAATCAGGCGACCGAGACCGGATTCCACGAGCAAGCGCCCTTGGACCCTTGATCGAGCGAATCCAATTTGACCATGTCTTCCGGGCCCAGCTCAAAGTCGAACACGGCCGCATTCTCCTTGATACGGGAGGGAGTGTCACTCTTGGGAAGGGGGACTGCGTCGGTATTCGTTTAGAACAGGTCAGCTTTCGGGACGTGTCTTCAAGTAGCTGCCACAGGGATGGCTCGGGGCCACGCACCGTAGCCTTTTTGCAAGGACCACCTGATCAATACCTGAGCCGGTGTCTTGTTTGTCTGCGAGTCAACGAAACCAGATATTGAAACCACTAAGTGATCGCACGCCCATTTAGATGTTTCAGGGCCGGACAATACCCACCTTTTTCGCCACCTCAAGCAATACAGGGTCCTGGAACCGGTCCCCCCTCACAAGCGGGCAATAAGCTTGCACGACGACCCTATGCTTCTCACACCATTCGACGATCGGAGCCTGCCTCAATCATGGGTGGAGCTCAATCTGGTTCACCTCGGGGATTTCGCACCCTGCATCAACGAGTTGCTGCAAGTGCTTCTCGGAGAAATTCGACACCCCAATCGACTTGACTTCGCCTTTGGCTCGCTTTTCACAGAGCACTTTCCAGGCCTCGAGTCGCTTGGTCGGACCTGCGGTCGGGTCGTGGAGCAGAAAGAGATCCTTTTGACCACCCAGACAGAGATTAGAAACGCATCAGAGTGATCCAGCTAGAAAGGAGCCACTCGATCACTTCGGGTCTGGCGCCGAAGGAGCTCCGACGAGTCGCGCTCGATTACGGGTCCCTCGTTTCAAATGGCGTACCCACTTGAGTCCTTCTTGATCGGCTTTCCAGTTGGAATCGTCGACAGCTTTGGTCATCTTCTCGGTGCCGTGTTCATGGCCCGTCGCCTATGAACGCGTGGTGTACGAATGTGATGACACCATCATGTGGGGCGCGCGGATGAGCAAGCGATGAGCGATGTAGGTGGGGCAAGCAAGACTCCGCATGATTAGCGTCGCCGAAGAAAATTGGCACGTAGTGAATCGTGTATGACGTGCTCACCTTCGTCGTCAGCCAAATGTCCCGACTCTGGGGATGTTCCTTCTTCCACTTGGCCGTCGCGCCGAGCACCTCGGCCTCGTTCCGGTAGACCCTCGCCGAATCGCAGTGCGTGTACCCCACTTCTAGTGCCGAGGTAGTCGATGCAGTAGCGGCTGTACTTTGGTACATTCCGAAGCCCAGGACGGGCATGCGCGCACCCGAACGCAGGGGGACGGTCGAGTGGAGGTGGAGGGTGGACATGATCACGTTCGGTGGGCGGAGTAGTGCTACGTCGTGCGAGCGGTGATACTGGGAGCAATGCTTCCTCTCATGATAAGGTCAAGGGAAGAGAAGTGAAAGGGCTGTTGTCTTGGGCAACCGGGAGCGAAATGTGGGGCCGCGCACCTCCGCGCACTCGAATTTCATGTCAAAGCGCGCACTCAAAATTACAAAATAAGGCTTCACGATGGAGAGGCTGAATGTATCTCGGATCTAGCTAGGATGATCAAGAACGAATCGCCGGCCAATGCCACAGCACCGCCAACGTACAAGAGTTCCGAGTCGGAGGTGAAACCTTGAATTCGCAAGCAACAGTAAAAGGGCCTTCAAATTGTCGACCGAGACGTGTAAGAAGTATGGAGGACTGGATCCCGACTCAAGGGGTTGAGTACGAGCGCAAGATCGAGGATGGAAGATGGATGAAGAAGGAAGAGAGACGAGTGCCCGCGAGGCGCGCGACTTCAACCCAAGCCAACGTGTCAACCGAGTCTCGATCAGGCGCTGGGATCCGGCGTAGAGGGTAATAGGCTAAAGAAGGAGTGCAAAGTAGGAGTGGAATGGTGGCATGAGAAGTAAATAGAATTAGAAGAGAATCAGTATGATTGGGTTCTGACACCCCCCCGTGCTTCCATGCCAGTCAAGCCGAGACATCGGTAGGCAAGAGTCGAAAGCGATTAGGGGTGGTCCAGTCTGTGCGGGTGCGGGGTGGGGTTGACTTTGATGGTTGAGAAAAGGCGATGAAGGAACTGAGTCGGCTGGAGCGTGGCGGTGATTGGGACGCGTGCCATTTTTGGACGGTGAGTTTGCCAGCTGTCGCAAGGGTCACATTGAGACGATAGTGGTTAGACGTCGTGGCTGTAGCCGTTGCGAAGATACCTGATTGGACGGTGCTGAGTTCGGCTCGACCTCTGGTGAAAGACGTGCGGACGCCTTTGGAACCCATTTGGAAGACGGAAACGATGTTGGCGGGAGCATTGGGCGCGAAGTGGACGTTGTTGAGTTTGACCAAAACTCCCCGATCAGTGCGGAGTTCGACTGAGCCAGTGCCTTTGACGGCCGTCTGGCCACCGATGCCTACGATGTGATGAGAAGAGGGCTTGAGTTGGCCTGAAAACAGGGAACGGTCGTTGACGATGTGGAAAGGCGAGGCTGAATCAAGGAGGAAGTCTGTCTGTTGAGTGGCATTTGGAGTTGTGGTGTGTAACGACATGAAGAAGTCGTCGTGTTCTTGGGACGAAGGCGGCGCCGTCACGTAAGGTGCCGGGGCGGGGATGGTTACGAAGGATGAGACATTTTCGTGGTTTGAGGGGGAGGTGGTCGACTTCTGGAGTTTTAAGTCTCGAAGTGCCGACTTGAGCTCGAAGTACTTGCGGCGACGGTCGGTGTCAGGGCATTGATCAGCCCAGTGTTTGCCTTCGTCGCATACGGGGCAGGGGCTGGAGGCTTCGTTCGGTCGCTGAGACCTCGCATTGGATCGGTTTTGAGAGTGCTGGGGAGACACGATGTATGCTGGTGTGGCGCCGTTAATGGGGTGTTCGCCCATCGATCTCACTTCACGGCGAAGGGAGAAGATGAGGTCTTCGATTTTTGGGAGCGTGGTGGCCGCGGCCTGACGCTGGTTGAAGGTAGATTTCCAATTGTTGTAAAGTTGCGGCATGTTGAGGAGTAGGCGTGCGGTAAGGATTTGTTCGAAATCGATGTTCAGGTTTCGCATTGAGTTGACAATGATGCGGACATGACCAGCCCACTGATTGAAGCCCGATTCGGTCGTGGGGATCGGCGGAAGGTTCCAGAACTCGCCAACGAGGGTCGCCTTGAGCGTCGCTGGGGCGGTAGCGACTGGCTAGTTCGAGCCAGCACTCGTGTGCCGTGCCTTTCATCTGGCGAATCGGAATGATGTCCGAGGAGCAGATCGGATCGATGGAAGCGATGAGGACCCGCGATGCGTACTCTTGTCCGCGTGCGTAGTAGGCGTCGGTCCATTTCACGTTATCTCTGCCCCCGGTGAGGTAGTTGTAGACGTCGTCGGGAAGGAACATGTTGAGAAAGCCATCCCATTCGACGAAGTTCTCTCGGCCTTTGAGCATGTAGGCTTCCGGGACGACGATGGTGGACGGCATGCCGTCGGTCGGTTTTTCTTGTTTGGCGGGCGCGCTGGCAGCCGATTGCGAAGCCTCCAGTCGCGTGATTTTGGCGACAAGCGCGGCGTAGTCAGCCTGAAGGTTGGCCAAGGCCGCGGCGTCGGATGATGATGTTGTGTCTGGTGGTGGTGTCGGCTCAGCCATTGGTGGTGGGACAGTAGTGGATTTGTCGGAAGCTGTAGTAGCTTTAGTGGCTTTGCTGGTAGATTGTGGGCTCATAACCTGTAAGAAAGTATGGAGGACTGGATCCCGACTCAAGGGGTTGAGTACGAGCGCAAGATCGAGGATGGAAGATGGATGAAGAAGGAAGAGAGACGAGTGCCCGCGAGGCGCGCGACTTCAACCCAAGCCAACGTGTCAACCGAGTCTCGATCAGGCGCTGGGATCCGGCGTAGAGGGTAATAGGCTAAAGAAGGAGTGCAAAGTAGGAGTGGAATGGTGGCATGAGAAGTAAATAGAATTAGAAGAGAATCAGTATGATTGGGTTCTGACACCCCCCCGTGCTTCCATGCCAGTCAAGCCGAGACATCGGTAGGCAAGAGTCGAAAGCGATTAGGGGTGGTCCAGTCTGTGCGGGTGCGGGGTGGGGTTGACTTTGATGGTTGAGAAAAGGCGATGAAGGAACTGAGTCGGCTGGAGCGTGGCGGTGATTGGGACGCGTGCCATTTTTGGACGGTGAGTTTGCCAGCTGTCGCAAGGGTCACATTGAGACGATAGTGGTTAGACGTCGTGGCTGTAGCCGTTGCGAAGATACCTGATTGGACGGTGCTGAGTTCGGCTCGACCTCTGGTGAAAGACGTGCGGACGCCTTTGGAACCCATTTGGAAGACGGAAACGATGTTGGCGGGAGCATTGGGCGCGAAGTGGACGTTGTTGAGTTTGACCAAAACTCCCCGATCAGTGCGGAGTTCGACTGAGCCAGTGCCTTTGACGGCCGTCTGGCCACCGATGCCTACGATGTGATGAGAAGAGGGCTTGAGTTGGCCTGAAAACAGGGAACGGTCGTTGACGATGTGGAAAGGCGAGGCTGAATCAAGGAGGAAGTCTGTCTGTTGAGTGGCATTTGGAGTTGTGGTGTGTAACGACATGAAGAAGTCGTCGTGTTCTTGGGACGAAGGCGGCGCCGTCACGTAAGGTGCCGGGGCGGGGATGGTTACGAAGGATGAGACATTTTCGTGGTTTGAGGGGGAGGTGGTCGACTTCTGGAGTTTTAAGTCTCGAAGTGCCGACTTGAGCTCGAAGTACTTGCGGCGACGGTCGGTGTCAGGGCATTGATCAGCCCAGTGTTTGCCTTCGTCGCATACGGGGCAGGGGCTGGAGGCTTCGTTCGGTCGCTGAGACCTCGCATTGGATCGGTTTTGAGAGTGCTGGGGAGACACGATGTATGCTGGTGTGGCGCCGTTAATGGGGTGTTCGCCCATCGATCTCACTTCACGGCGAAGGGAGAAGATGAGGTCTTCGATTTTTGGGAGCGTGGTGGCCGCGGCCTGACGCTGGTTGAAGGTAGATTTCCAATTGTTGTAAAGTTGCGGCATGTTGAGGAGTAGGCGTGCGGTAAGGATTTGTTCGAAATCGATGTTCAGGTTTCGCATTGAGTTGACAATGATGCGGACATGACCAGCCCACTGATTGAAGCCCGATTCGGTCGTGGGGATCGGCGGAAGGTTCCAGAACTCGCCAACGAGGGTCGCCTTGAGCGTCGCTGGGGCGGTAGCGACTGGCTAGTTCGAGCCAGCACTCGTGTGCCGTGCCTTTCATCTGGCGAATCGGAATGATGTCCGAGGAGCAGATCGGATCGATGGAAGCGATGAGGACCCGCGATGCGTACTCTTGTCCGCGTGCGTAGTAGGCGTCGGTCCATTTCACGTTATCTCTGCCCCCGGTGAGGTAGTTGTAGACGTCGTCGGGAAGGAACATGTTGAGAAAGCCATCCCATTCGACGAAGTTCTCTCGGCCTTTGAGCATGTAGGCTTCCGGGACGACGATGGTGGACGGCATGCCGTCGGTCGGTTTTTCTTGTTTGGCGGGCGCGCTGGCAGCCGATTGCGAAGCCTCCAGTCGCGTGATTTTGGCGACAAGCGCGGCGTAGTCAGCCTGAAGGTTGGCCAAGGCCGCGGCGTCGGATGATGATGTTGTGTCTGGTGGTGGTGTCGGCTCAGCCATTGGTGGTGGGACAGTAGTGGATTTGTCGGAAGCTGTAGTAGCTTTAGTGGCTTTGCTGGTAGATTGTGGGCTCATAACCTGTAAGAAAGTATGGAGGACTGGATCCCGACTCAAGGGGTTGAGTACGAGCGCAAGATCGAGGATGGAAGATGGATGAAGAAGGAAGAGAGACGAGTGCCCGCGAGGCGCGCGACTTCAACCCAAGCCAACGTGTCAACCGAGTCTCGATCAGGCGCTGGGATCCGGCGTAGAGGGTAATAGGCTAAAGAAGGAGTGCAAAGTAGGAGTGGAATGGTGGCATGAGAAGTAAATAGAATTAGAAGAGAATCAGTATGATTGGGTTCTGACACCCCCCCGTGCTTCCATGCCAGTCAAGCCGAGACATCGGTAGGCAAGAGTCGAAAGCGATTAGGGGTGGTCCAGTCTGTGCGGGTGCGGGGTGGGGTTGACTTTGATGGTTGAGAAAAGGCGATGAAGGAACTGAGTCGGCTGGAGCGTGGCGGTGATTGGGACGCGTGCCATTTTTGGACGGTGAGTTTGCCAGCTGTCGCAAGGGTCACATTGAGACGATAGTGGTTAGACGTCGTGGCTGTAGCCGTTGCGAAGATACCTGATTGGACGGTGCTGAGTTCGGCTCGACCTCTGGTGAAAGACGTGCGGACGCCTTTGGAACCCATTTGGAAGACGGAAACGATGTTGGCGGGAGCATTGGGCGCGAAGTGGACGTTGTTGAGTTTGACCAAAACTCCCCGATCAGTGCGGAGTTCGACTGAGCCAGTGCCTTTGACGGCCGTCTGGCCACCGATGCCTACGATGTGATGAGAAGAGGGCTTGAGTTGGCCTGAAAACAGGGAACGGTCGTTGACGATGTGGAAAGGCGAGGCTGAATCAAGGAGGAAGTCTGTCTGTTGAGTGGCATTTGGAGTTGTGGTGTGTAACGACATGAAGAAGTCGTCGTGTTCTTGGGACGAAGGCGGCGCCGTCACGTAAGGTGCCGGGGCGGGGATGGTTACGAAGGATGAGACATTTTCGTGGTTTGAGGGGGAGGTGGTCGACTTCTGGAGTTTTAAGTCTCGAAGTGCCGACTTGAGCTCGAAGTACTTGCGGCGACGGTCGGTGTCAGGGCATTGATCAGCCCAGTGTTTGCCTTCGTCGCATACGGGGCAGGGGCTGGAGGCTTCGTTCGGTCGCTGAGACCTCGCATTGGATCGGTTTTGAGAGTGCTGGGGAGACACGATGTATGCTGGTGTGGCGCCGTTAATGGGGTGTTCGCCCATCGATCTCACTTCACGGCGAAGGGAGAAGATGAGGTCTTCGATTTTTGGGAGCGTGGTGGCCGCGGCCTGACGCTGGTTGAAGGTAGATTTCCAATTGTTGTAAAGTTGCGGCATGTTGAGGAGTAGGCGTGCGGTAAGGATTTGTTCGAAATCGATGTTCAGGTTTCGCATTGAGTTGACAATGATGCGGACATGACCAGCCCACTGATTGAAGCCCGATTCGGTCGTGGGGATCGGCGGAAGGTTCCAGAACTCGCCAACGAGGGTCGCCTTGAGCGTCGCTGGGGCGGTAGCGACTGGCTAGTTCGAGCCAGCACTCGTGTGCCGTGCCTTTCATCTGGCGAATCGGAATGATGTCCGAGGAGCAGATCGGATCGATGGAAGCGATGAGGACCCGCGATGCGTACTCTTGTCCGCGTGCGTAGTAGGCGTCGGTCCATTTCACGTTATCTCTGCCCCCGGTGAGGTAGTTGTAGACGTCGTCGGGAAGGAACATGTTGAGAAAGCCATCCCATTCGACGAAGTTCTCTCGGCCTTTGAGCATGTAGGCTTCCGGGACGACGATGGTGGACGGCATGCCGTCGGTCGGTTTTTCTTGTTTGGCGGGCGCGCTGGCAGCCGATTGCGAAGCCTCCAGTCGCGTGATTTTGGCGACAAGCGCGGCGTAGTCAGCCTGAAGGTTGGCCAAGGCCGCGGCGTCGGATGATGATGTTGTGTCTGGTGGTGGTGTCGGCTCAGCCATTGGTGGTGGGACAGTAGTGGATTTGTCGGAAGCTGTAGTAGCTTTAGTGGCTTTGCTGGTAGATTGTGGGCTCATAACCTGTAAGAAAGTATGGAGGACTGGATCCCGACTCAAGGGGTTGAGTACGAGCGCAAGATCGAGGATGGAAGATGGATGAAGAAGGAAGAGAGACGAGTGCCCGCGAGGCGCGCGACTTCAACCCAAGCCAACGTGTCAACCGAGTCTCGATCAGGCGCTGGGATCCGGCGTAGAGGGTAATAGGCTAAAGAAGGAGTGCAAAGTAGGAGTGGAATGGTGGCATGAGAAGTAAATAGAATTAGAAGAGAATCAGTATGATTGGGTTCTGACAGGTGGGAGTTTTGAAGATTACAGGCGCACGCTAGAAGTAAGCTACCTCGCACGACAGGGTGAGTGTACTTTGCATACTCACTGCTGATGAGGGCACCATGTACCTTCGTCAATCTGAACGTGAGATCGACCTTAAGCGCCGAGTGGAGGTGACGGAAGAGTGGAGGCTAGTGTGGAGAGCGCAGGCGAGGACTCGGAGCGACTCGGAGTCACTGGTAGCAGCCCCTTGCTGTACTGCCTCGGCCGTCGTGTCGGCCAAGGGAGGCCGACAAGCCATTCTGCGACGTCAAGCCTCCACCCCTCCACCTCTGCCGCTTCCGAGCCCAACGCCAAGCGCCGAATGCCGAGCGCAGCCGGGTGCGTGGCTGACCTGAAGCGGGGACAGGGGACCTTACCCCACATTGAGGTTAACGATCGACCCTTGGGAAAACCCGGACACCTTGTCGATCAAGCTCGGCGGCAGCGGAAGTACTGGTTTATACTTCATGTCAATGCAACAAACTAATGTAATCATTTTTGTAGTCTCTGTCTTCCCGAGGGCGGAACGCTCGAGAATTCGGCGCCACCTCTCGCTCGAGATCGTCCGACACCGGAACATTCGGCATCGCCCTAACCCCGTTCGGAGCTCAATGATATGTCAGTAATACGCGCTTCCCGCAAAGTCGAGCCAGACGTCAAAGTTGAGCTACATACCGAAGCTGAAGCGCCGATGCGGAAGGCGAAAACACAGTCGGGATAAGAGGGGATCTGAACAGATCACCGAACCCATTCCCCTAGTTCGCTTACCATCGGAAGACCCACCAGGTCCACTGTATTCTTGCTCTCGTTCAGCAAACCTGCGTCCGACGAGTTCGTTTCTGCTTTACCTGCACGGGATCATGCTTATCGACCTCGGCTACTTGACTGACTAGCGGAGGAACGATATCACAGAACAAAGCCAACTGATGAAGCCACCTGGGGCAGGTAGTATGGACGAGGATTGAGCCGGGCCGGGTCCGCTGCGGCAATATCAGTATAAGTTGGGAAATGGGAATTCCCGGAACTGAGTGTTACGAAGAACAAAAGAAGATTTGGCTGAACTGAGAGTCGAACTCAGGTCCACTCCATTAATCAGAGTTGCTCTGACCTCTGAGCTACTCAACCAGCGGGAATAGGTCAAAGCAGCGGCGCACCCAAGTCAAGCCGGCGGCGGTTCTCCCTCCCATTGGGAGGTTTGTGTTATCATCGTAGTCTTCCATCTAGTTTTTCCGTAGGCCGAAACAGGGGGAACAGGAATTGGGGGCAATATGATGAACGTTTTCTACAAAAAAAAAAAGCCGCGGCGGGCGGACTGGTGCGCGGCCACATTAACTTCTACTGTATAGTAGTCTTTCGTCGTTAGGCCGGAGTGCTGGGTACACATGCTGTGCGTGTCACGAGTGAGACAAGAATTTTCCGTTTTTGGCCGACAGTAATCGCCAAGTGTTCGAAGCTGTCTGTCAAAATAATTGGGCAAAGTCGGTACAGCGCGGACCGGGTTGCACAAGGTGAGAACGAGCGCCGGTATGCGTGGGAAGCGATGACACTCCACATTGAATATTGATTGGCGGCTATGGAAGGCTACGGATTACTCGGAGCATGGAGCTCAGTTGTGAGCGCAGATCAGCGCGACATATCCACATCTTACAGTCGGCAGGTCACTAGCACCACCAGTTTTGCTGCATGTGGGGTAGCAGCGCGGTGTCAGCCGAATCAGGGCACTGATCGGGCCCCGGATTCGGGGCTCTCCTATCTGGCTTCGAGAGCCAGGCGCGTGCGAGGTATTTCGGCGACACTTTCAGAATATGTAGTGTCATTTGGCTGGGACCCCCGAATTTTTAAAACGGAATCTTCAGCTCAAAAGGGCTTCAGGGATTACAATAGTTCATTAGCCATTGCATCTCGCTTACACTACGTACAAAAGATTTGGAAAATAAGTTGCCGCTCTATATTGTTGGAATCAATGATTCCGAAAATGGTCAACAAAAGAAGAGAAACGGCTGGACCAGGAGTCGAACCTTTCACGAGCTGAAGGGGAGGAACGAAGTACGTAAGTACGAGAGCCGATGATGATAGTAAAGATAGTTCAAAGGTATTGCACATTAACTAACCTGAAGCCGAGGAACGAAGTACGTAAGTACGAGAGCCGATGATGATAGTAAAGATAGTTGGAGAAAGAAGATAAGCGCTAAGGGAGCGCGCGCGAGGCTGGCTCGAGACGCGCGAGGCGTCTAATATCAACAACTAGTAACTAATCATAATCGGGAATACCAGTGGGATGAAACAGCAATATATTGACAGAACCTGGGTCACTTCCATTAATCGGAAAAGCTTTGACCTCTAAGCTATCCGGCCCCTGATATCAGTGCAAGGTCTACTAACACCTTCAATACTTCCCCTTAGACCTTTGCAGAGGTGAAACGGAAGGAGAGGTGGCTACGGAGATGGAGGAAGAGGAGGTGGCGACGGAGGTGGGCGATGTGTACGAAGCGAGGGGATCGACGAAAGCGGAGAATGCGGAAGCGACGGACTTAGGGGAAACGAACAGGCTGGACAATGACGACGACAGCGACGCCACAGCAACCGCCGCCACCGCTTCCCGCGAATCGACGCCGCACGAACCAACCCCACCTCTGTCACCCGAAACTCTCGCCAAGTCGCTACGCGAGGGGGAGGAGTGGGACAGGATCAGAGCTAACTGGGTTGAGCAGGCACGACTTGAGCGGGACCAAAGCATCGAGAGGAGGCTCAACACTGAAACCCCTTTGGTGCGTCACAACTTTGCCACGTGGGACGAGGACGGTGAGATACGCTCCATCAACATCAGGGGGACCGCTGCGAAGTTCAAGAAGCAGGTGATGAAGAGGTCGCAGACTGCGGCGGACCTCAGTGACCCAAGTGACGAACCGACCGACGCCAAGCGAGTCATCATCAAAGGGAAGAGCCGCGTCGTGGTGAAGGATGGAATAGAGGGGCGGAGGGTGACGAGGTCGATGTCGGCGGCAGCGGCGATGCAGGTCGAGGTGACGAAGGTGGACAGAGGGAAAGGAAGAGGGGTAGCTGAGGAAAAACGATGGTCCGACCACGAGCCCGAGGACGATGTCCTGCCCGCCCTTCCCCTCTTTGAGGACGTCACCACCGCCAAGAGCGCCTCGACCTCGACTACCCATTAATGATCAAGCACACCATCATCACCTGGAACGTAAGAAGGGGCATGGGGGTCCCGGAAAAACGACGTAATATCTACACCTACCTTTCCACATTCAAAGCTTCCGCGATTCTCTTACAAGAGCATTTCATCAGACCACAATTCTGGCAGCTCATCAAGGACGAGTACGAGGGCAAGCTCTTCATCAACCAGCACTGCCTGACCCTGATCCCGGCCGACTCGCCCCTGATCGACGCCGAGCTCTTGCGCACCCACTCGGCACTCGACGGCCGGCTCCTCGTCACCTCCTTTCGTCTGCGGGGCGACATCAAAATTCTAGAAATCAATAACCTCTACGCGCCCGTTGACCCAAAACAACGAGCAAAATTCTTCGACAAACTGATCCTCCACAAAACACAGAAATCCCACCTCCGACTCCTTGGCGGCGATCTCAACGACTGCCCGCGCCCAGAAGTCGATCGGCGGAACCAAAGTCGGCGCGGCCACCACTGGCCGATTCTGATGGGCAAGCTCGACTCGGCCTACACGGACTGCATCCGCTACAAGCACCCCATCACCCCATCTTTCACTCGACCTAATCCCAATCGCAAGCGACCCAACTCCTTCTTCCGGCTTGACTACTTTCTCCTACAAAGAGCTCACCAAAAAAGGCTCGACCAGGCCTCGACGATCTACGACTATCCCAAGGATCTTTCCGATCACCGACCGGTCTTGATCGTACTGGCTCTCTCAGACGATCTTGATGCGGCTCTCCCACAGCTCAGCCTACCTACCACATCCAACCAACTACATCGAATCAATACCACAACCTTCAAGACGGTGGAATTTCAGCGGATGATGGAAGGATGGTTGGAAGGGGCAAGCGGGGAGGATCCGGTGCGAGAGCTTGAGGAGGTTCTGGAGGCGTGCAGGGACAGGGGTGGGGAGATGGCGAGGAGGCTGCATCGGGAGCGGACGGAACGGATGGAGTATTTGGTGGGGAGGGTGCAGGATCTGGAGGCGTTACCGGTATGGGGGGAGGCGGAAACGGCAGAATGGACAAGGACGTCCGAGGAACTCAAGCGGGCGGTCGAGGAGCGCGCGCGCCTACTCCGGATCCGAGCCCACGTCCCCGAGATCGCTTCCGAGGAACGACTGTCGCGGCCGGTCCACGCCAAGCTCGCGGCGCGGAACTCGGACTCCAAGATCACAGCACTGCGCTTGGGCAACGGAGAGCTAACGCATGACATTGATGTCGCTCTTGACCACACGCAGGCGCATTTCCAGCGCCTCTACCACATCGAGCCTCGTGATCCGGAACGCGTCGACCGACTTCGGGACGAACTCCTCGTGCCGATCAGGGCGGCACGGACTTGCGACGACCCGCGCTCAGATCCGCTCTTTCTGCGCCGACTCTCGGAAGCGCAGATTGATCTCCTCCAGCAACCCATCACCGAGGACGAGGTCGTGGCCGCGATCGGGACGACGCACCCGGGGCGATCGCCGGGCCCGTCGGGCGTGCCTTACGAACTCTATCAGACCGCACCGGAGGCGTGGTCCAAGGTGCTGACCAAGGCCTACAACGCGATGATCGAGCGCGGTTCACTCTCTCCCAAGCAGGGCCAGGGACTCGTGCGCCTCATCTTCAAACGCCACAAGAAGAATGCCGATCGCGCCGAACTCTCGTCGTATCGCCCCATCACCCTGCGCGAGTGCGATTACAAGATTTTTACCAAGGTCTACGTCGCCCGATTGAACCAAATTATGCCCGATCTCCTCCCGCCGCAGCAGCACGGCTTCGTCAAGGACCGCCGATCGGCCGACGCTGCACTACACCTTCGTCTCCTGATCGAGGAACTTGGCGCGCGCAGGACCGAGTTCCCCGCGGCCGCGCTCTTGTCTCTTGACCAATCATCCGCCTACGACCTCGTCGAGCATGACTGGATCTTTGCCATCTTCGACGCTCTGGGCGCTCCTACCACCTTTCTTCGCGTGCTGAGGATGCTCTACTCGGGTGACTCGACCTCGGCGCACTACATCATCAATGGGTTCCTGACGGCGCCGGTGCGACTGACGTGTGGGCTCGGCCAAGGGGACCCGGCGTCATCGTCGGTCTGGGACATCGTGTTTCAGCCGTTCCTGGATGCTCTACACCGTCGAAACATCGCGCTGAATCTCTCCATACCTGAACTTCATCCGTACCCACAGAGCCGCGCCATTACATCACTTGCATTTGCCGATGACGTTGTCGTCGCCGTCGCGGGCTTGGAGTCACTCAACTTGCTCGATGACCTGGCGCTCGACTGGAGGCATGCAACGAATGGCCGGCTCAACACGGACAAGACGGTCGTCCTACCGATTGGACGTCGCTGGGACCCTGGGGAACGGCCAATCGTCGTCAAGGCCGCAGGCGAGTCGCTCGAGTGGATCGGCCTCCCCTTCGACCCCAGCGGCGACACCGAACTCGCCTACGCGAATCTCATCGAACGGCTCGAGGCGACGCTGGAAGCGGTTCAGCATCGCTGGCTCACGCACCACACCCGTGCCTTTTACGTCAATCGGTACGCCTTTCCCAAGATCCTGCATTTCCTTGCAGCCGACATCCCGCCGCCCGAAGTCGTCAAGAAGCTCGATGACATGCTCGTCGATTTCGTCCGTGGGGGCAAGGGCAGGACCAGCTACGGCAGAGACATTGTGTTCACCGCCAAGAACAAGGGGGGACTCGGGGTGATAAGGATGCGGGACGTTGTGGACGCGGTTGCGGCACGGCTCTGGGACGTTCTTCTCGGCGGTTCCGGCGCGATTTGGCAAGGACTTGCGCGCGCAGCACTCCAGCGAGCTCAGCCCGACCTCGACCTGGCCACCGATCTCTGGCCACATCCATCCACTCCCATCCCCAACGACCTTCATCCCCGATGGCACGCCGCACTGGGCGTTCCGAAACTTCACGACGCGCAGGTCAACCCGAGGGCCTTGACCACCGCGAACCTGCTCGCGCTGCCCACCCTGCTCGGCAGCCTCCACACCCCCATCAGAGGGAGACAGACCATCGACGCGGTTCATGTACCTGACTACCTTCGTCTCCAGGGCTACCCGAAGGTGGCGGATCTCTATCGGCGCGAGTTGTATGCGGGTGGGGGGTTTCACCTCTGGACGCCGCCGGCGGATGTGCTCGGCGACAACAGCGAGTACGATCGACGCGGGCTCCCGCAGCGACTGGCAATCGCGGCCTGGTACCGGTTCACTGTCGATCGACACAAGAACACACCCTTGGCGGCGGCGGTGGCGGCGGGACGACTCAACGTGCCTCCCCGGATCGGCACCAGCGCACCGCTCGAGGCGATCATCCCCAAGCCCGTGGCCCGCTTCGCAATGGAGCAGCGCCTTCCGGACCCGGTGCTTCCACAACAGGCGAGCCAGTATACGCTGCTGAACATGGCTCGACCCTACACAATCCGTCGCATCCGCCGGGTCCTGAACGCGAAGGCTTTCACCAACACGCTCGGGCTCAAGGGACCACCGCAGCCAGACGATCTCAGGAGCTTCTGGAAGGCGGTCAACTCGAAGGCACTGACAGCGAGGGAGAGGGAAGTTTGGTTCAAGCTGATTCTCCGCTTCACCCCGACGCGCAAGCTCCAGCACGAGCAAAAGCATGACACTTCTCCCGCGTGCCTCGTGTGCGAAGCGCCGGTGGACGACACCGATCACTACTTCTTCGGCTGCGTCGACTCGCGGAACGTCTGGACCGCGGCAAGGGGCGTGCTCTGCGACGCGCTCGGATGCGACACGATCGAGGACGCCGAGTACACGACACTACAACGACTCTTTGGCCTCCCCAAGCTCAAGGCCAAGCTCAGCGAACAGGAAGGCGCAGGCAGGACGATCAAGATCTTCACGGGGATGGTCTTGGAGATGATCAGCAGTGGGAGATGGAGGATGCAGAAGCACGGGACGAGGATGGAAAGCCTGGAGCGGAGGAGGGTGGTACTGGAGGAGAGGATGAAGTTGAGGGCGGGAGGAGCAAGAGGCAGGCGAGGGCAGTAGAGGCTAGGTTCGATTTCCCCCCACCCCACTCCACACACACACACACCCACATCACACATCCTCTTACAAAAACTGTATACTAAATATCTTTTCTTCATCTTTCTTTTATTACAGGTCTGCCTCCGTTGCTCATGGACCGGCTTGCGTTTTGGGATTGACTCGACGGTGGCTCGCGCTCTCTGGCTTCGGGGTTCTGAGTTTAAGGGAGGGATCAGCAGACACATGCAGAAAGTCGGCTTTGAGGGGCCAGGGACTGCTGAGGTGGAGGTTTTGAGGGGCCTCCACCGCGTCTTGTTGTGACCGAGCATAGACTTGGGATTTCGCGGGTCAGGGTAGCTGCGCAGTCGCTCTCCTGTCTTTGTCTCGACCGAGTTGGGAAGTGGGTGCGGGGTGGGCCTCTTGTCGTTAGTACGCCAGTTCTTTTTCATTTTCTCTCTTTCTCTTCTCTCTCTCATTCGTCTCCTGGGGGGGAGCAACCGCTTGGCTGGGGCACTTGAATCCGAAGTATCGGATTGGTGGACTTGGCCCGTTTCTCGCATCTTGCGGGCGGTTTGTGTTATCATCGTCGACTTCCATCTAGTTTTTCCGTAGGCCAATCAGGGGGAACAGGAATTGGGGGCAATATGATGAACGGTTTCTACAAAAAACAAAAAAAAAGCTGCCAGGCTATTGCAATGCGTCGACTCTAAGTCCCAATTGGACTCTGTTTCAAGCTTCTGCGGCAGCTCCGGCAGCTATGTGCGGCGTCATTGGAAAGATTTACAAGCAAGGTTCTATAATATATCCTCACATATATCCCCTCATTTGTCTGGGTGGATTTCGACCGGCCCAATTTTTGGCGTTTCGAACTGTTGGAGAGCAATTGTTGAGCAATTTGATAGCACTGAATTCGTCGTATGTGGAGCCGCCGTACGTCTCAAAATCGATCCAAATCTACCCCTCAGATACCTTCTCTCGATGTACAAATCGGCCCAAAATCGCCGTTTCCCGAGAGGCACATTAGGCTGAGCTTTCCCAGGTCCTCTGCTGTGAGTTCGCCCCAGACCTGGTGGGTCGTACGAGACTGTTTCGCTCTCTCCGGCACACGATCGGACGCGTCAAACCTACTCATCATCAAGTCCACAAGACCAACGAAACGAATCTGGTCCCCTTCAGGCGTCGCCGAAGCTATAGAGTAAGCGGCGACACGTCGAGACGCGTCGGAGCGATCTGGCTTACCCTCAACGATGCAGGTCAGTCAATCCGCGCCAACCCATGGTATCATCTCGAAGGGAGTTCGTCCGACTGACCCTCAGCGCTTCTGAATTCAGCATGAAATCCTCCTGTTGCTGTCATCGCACCCCTCGCCGTTGTCAGCGGCGTCAGGGGTAAGGTCGAGCTCCTTGTCGTCGAGCTCGACAGCAAGCACGCTTCTGCATCCAGGTGAACGCGCCTCGATACAGCGCCTCACCGAGCTCGCTCAACTCCACTCCAAAGTGTCGGTCTTTTGCTTGCCGACATTGAGCGCACACCGATCAGATCAGCCCGGCGAGACCCGCTCGTCAGCAACGATCGAAGCGCTGCTCCCGACGACGGCATTGGCGGCACTACGATCTCTTATATCGACGAGGATTCTTGGAGCGTATTCGACCACACTACTCGCATTGGAACAACAGATCCTGCAAGGGCAGTTAGGAACGGCTCACGTGCCGCTCTCTCATGTCCTCGGCGAGATGACGGCCTGGGAACCGATCCTGCTCGGCGTGGCCCGCCTCATCGATTCATTGCTGCTCGGACCCGAAGCCTTTGACCCTGAGCAGTCGGGAACACCACCGCAAGGGCACAACACGGGAAAAGCCAAAGTGGGATTCCGAATGCCGACAGAAGCGACCACATCTGGCCCTGCCGAGAAGGCTCCACAGCGATGGACCTGTGCTCCTCTCCTCTCCCTGCTCGACCAGCAGCTAGCGACGGGGAACGAGATGCTGCGCCGACTCTGGTCCGATGCCATCAAGACGATCGAGCAAATATGGTTGAGCAGCTTTTGCGCTTACCTACTCTACGGTCAAGTCGACGGGGTTGAGTCCCTGCTCGTCCGACCTTCCGCTGGCCGTGGATCCAAGAAGATTTCTTCACAGCCCCACCGCGTAACGACGACAGCACAGCATCACTATCACATCCCAGATTCCTCCATCCCCCATCTCGGCCCACTTGTAAACCCTTCTATCCGCGCCACGATCCTCAAGTCGCTCTCGACCATCTCGCTTGCCTTGGCCGTCCTTCACTCCATCTCAACCTCGGACAAGGCAGAACTCTCCCGGCTGCGATCGTCTACTCCCTCTTCGAGCAACATGTGTACACTGAGCTCCAAACTCAAGATCCGGATAGAGGCAGAGTTACGTGGCTGTACCGGACCAGGGGATGACAGCTTCGGACGACGACTCGATTCAATCGCCAGTGAGTACTTGAAGCGCTAGTCTTGTCGAATCCTAGCCTTGACTCGCGAACGGACCCTCTTCTTCGCAGTCATCCTTTCTACGCATCTCCTCACACTACACCTCCCTCATCAAGCTCTGCACAGACAGCTCGATCTCCTCTCCTCGACTTATCTCCTCCGCTGCGGATCTTTCGCCTCGAATCTCCTGCACGAGCTCTCAACACTCCGAGCGCGCCTGATGCGCACGGCGGGGACGATTGCGAACGCCCGACTGAACGATTCGTACCTCGCCTCGGCCATGTCCAGAGCGAGCAGTGGGACGATCCTCGATCCCGATCTCGACCCTTTCGCACCAGACGAGGCGTTCGGCCGTTCTCAGCTCACCGAAACGTCGATCAAAGTTTTCAAATTAACGCTAGTGCCCCAAGCTCCAGAAGAGGATGCGCTGCAGGCCGACCCATTCACCTCTCGCTTGCTGGGCCCTCCTTTTTCGCTCGATTATCAGCCTAGTCCTGCGTTGGCGTTGCTGATCGACGAGGACTGCTTGAGCGTCTACAAGAGGTGCTGGGGCCTGTTAATTGCTGTCAAAGGATGCCATGCTCGGTTGCTGACCACGTGAGTCTCTTCTCCAACCTCGCCTCAAGACTGGCTGTACGAAGTACTAGTGCAGGGCGAACTGCTGATACTACCACCTATCCCGTCTGTAGGTGGTCCTCCCTCGCCCACTCTCAACGCTTGTCACTCAGGCGTCAGCCACCCAAACCGATCCGACTCAAAGGAACGAAGCGGACCGAACAGCAACTTGACGACTTGCGTGCTTCTCGAAGCATCTGGAATCTCGTGCGGTCGATGCTCTGGACGCTGGAAGCCGTATCGGCGCACTTCCAAACAGACGTTATCGAGCAAGCGTTCGGGACGTTGATGGGGAGCCTAAAGAACGCCGATAATGCCAATGCACAATCGTCTGATGAACCTTCAGACGACCTCGGTGAGAGTGTGGACGAGGGCGGTCAGGCTCACTCGACATCAAAGCCCCTGCCATCGTCAGGCGCTTCCCCACCTCGTACCCTCAATTTCGCCGATCTCGCGGTTCTGCACGCCCTCTACCTCAGTGCGATCTCCACAGGTCTCTTACTCAACAGCGACCAGCTCACGGCCCAGATTCTAGTGATCCTCGAAGCCTGTGACGTGGTTTGTTCAACCATCGATCGCTGGGGAGGGGAGATCCGGCCTGGTCGTCTGGTCGGCACGATGAGTGATGAGGATGCTGCCAGAGTCGAAGGGGAGAGAAATGACGTGATTCAGAGATGGTCGCAAGAATTTGATGATGTCTTGGACGAGTTCTTCGAATTGCTTTCGACGTGAGTCTGCTGGAAAACTGCGAAGATGATCGATTGATCAGCATGCTCACGCTGTCTACCACTATCACACAGCGTCTCAACAAAGCCTTCCAAACCCGACCTAACCTCCACCTCCTTCGTCCTTTCCTCAACCTCCCTCTTCCACCGCTCAGCCCTATCCCTGCTGCCCGGCGCGAAAACCTCGTCTTCCTTCACCTCCGCTTCCACACGCGGTCCGATCCATCCTATAATAGCTCAAGCGCGTTCAGACGCCGAACAACAAGCCCGAGAAGGCATTAGCAAGTTGTTATTGAGGCTGGATTTCGCGCATTGGTTCAGTTCGAAAGTAGAGGAGGAGAGGGAGAGGAGAGGGGGCGGAGAGGACGGTGGTGGAGAGGGAAAGGAGAAGTTGTTGAGCGGGTTGAAAATTTAGTTGCGGGAGATAAGACGGTGTGAAGTCGTACTTGGGTGTTTGGAGGTTGTCTATGTATTGGCAATTTATGGTATCGAAAGCTCCCTTCAAGATCGAAACGAACGTTGTATCTACAACAAAGAGTTCCGCAGCCTTTTGTTTCGAAACGCGATAGCTCGAAAACCGAATCTATGTAGCCTCCTGTTGAAGGTCGCTTCGTCGAGATCTACGCCTTCGAGATCGAGCTTGCTGTGGTTCATGGGATCGAGAAGCGTAAATCGCCTAAGGAACGAGATGAGAGACTTCCAAAGTAGGGTGATTGAGTCACCAAGGAATGAATGAAGTTTCTACGGGACCCCGTGCAAGAAATTATCGACGTTTGGTTAGGCCGGATATCCGTCCGCAGAGGCACTGCGATCGGCCAAGGCATCGCCGATTCGTAGGTGTAGCCCTTGGGACGACTTGCAACCGCGAAGATGTCGACCGAAGCTCTCGAGCCTAGTGTGGTCGCTCCGTCGCGGCGTACTTCGCCACCGTTCCAGCTAACGGTAACGCCGTTGGAGGTGGCTTCCGATCACTTGAAGTACAAAGAAGCTGAGGTCGCACGCGCTCCCGGACGACGATCGCAGTCCAGTATCGATCTCCTCCATGTGGGAGGGAATTAAAAGGGTTGGCGTGGCTTTTCGCTTCCCCTTGGCCCGTCTCAAGCCGAGAGCCCTAGGCTTGTAAAATATAGAATAGGTTAGCGCTGTCCACAAAGTTGGCTAGAGCGATGATTTTTCTCTCGAACTTGAACAACAAAATGTGGTCTTGGACGTTGCGACTCTCTTGTGCCAGCTCCTCTTAGCACCGCCTTCCGAGTCGTCTTCAGTCGCCACGCCGAGACCCGAGCGTTCTCTTTTTCTTTTTCTTCTCGCAGCCACCTGATTTCGAAACTAATAACGTCGTTGGTTAATTGACGCGGATGCTAGCTTTACTGCGCGCGGGCCCACTCGCCTTTCAATCGACGCGCGCCTGGAGAACCTCACGCGCGCTGGAACCGCCCGGCGCCCGAGAAAGCCAGCTCAATGTGAGTCTCGAAGCTTTATACTTTCGGGCCCATTCATGCCTTGTAACATGCTACATGAGGTAAATTTTGATGGTAAAGTAACTTTTTAAACATAAGTCGATAAATTGGTCTTACACCGGAATATACACACCCCTTGGAAAGGATTTTCAGTCACATTTCGACCCCAAAAACGGGGATTTCCGAGAGGCAGCTTTCCCGGCGGGTCCTAATCGCCCACGCCGCCCAAACACGGGTCGGCAACTAGGCCTCCACCTTGAGATATCGACCATCTACTACCTACGAGAGGTGCTGTACAAACTCAGGTCATCAACTAATCTATACCCGCCACTGAGGGATTGCCAGGCGCATCACCTCTGTAGCGCGGCCGCAGTCGGGGATCAGATCTATCAGATCACGCCCACCTTCTTTCCCACCTCCGCTCGCTCGCTGTAGCCTCTCTCTCGTCTCTCTCGTAGTAGCATGGACCCTTCCGTGGCGCATCACCGCGTCGCTTCCAACTCGTACCGCATCGCCATGTCGCAGCAACCTCACCCGACCACGCCTTCCAACCATGGCCACGTCCATGGATCCCGCGCGTCGACCTCGCAAGCGAACGGAAACGGTACGACGACAGTGCATCCGCCCTCGCCTTCGAGGACGCGACCGCTCGGGTCTCGGCGCTTCGGTTCGCTGTCGGCGTCGGCGTCGCATCGCACGTCCTCGCTCGAACGGATACGGATCTACGGGACCGACTGGTTCAGCCATCGCGTGTTTAGTCGGAGGAACGGACCGAGGAGATGGGTAGTCCTGCTCGCCGTCGTCGTCGGCCTGTATCTGCTGCGGCAATGGTCGACTGAGTCACCGGACGAACCACGATTGGCGAATCGACCGTCGAGTAGTTGGTCCTTGCTGGGGCATCGCACACCGCTCGACGTTGATCCGCCCGTCGTTGATCGCGCCACGTTCGCCAAGCTCAAGCTGCTAGAGATCCATCAGGGCGCGGACGTACCCCTCGAACTGGATGGTGTAGAGGACGACGCCGAGACGAACGTCGACCACGAGCCGAAGCAAGTGCCGCTGCAATCTCCCACACCAACACCGAGAACGCCGACTGCGACATCCGCATTGCATATCATCGGCGACGACGACGAAGCCGAATCTGAAGAAGTCGTGCCTCTCGTAGCGCAACTTCCCAACGTCGCTAGACCAAACCCTACTCTGGCTGCACCATTGCCGAGAGCACCGGCGAGGGTTGTCGACGCCGAGATTTGCCCCGAACGGAATGGCGAGCCGTGTGAATTCTTGTTGGCCGCTTGGTTGGGTCAGTAGTCATCCTGAGTCTGGCCGCTCAAGTGCTGTTGCTGACCGCGAATCCTCTTCGACCCCATAGGCGAGCAAGAAACCAAGGCTCAAACACACATCTACCAACTCGGACTGCTGGCTGTAGCACTCAACCGGACACTCGTCGTGCCCAACGTCGGCCGATCACGACTCACGACCTGCAACCCGAGCCCGTTTGATTTCTACTACTCGAAAGACGCCCTGTCGCGCTTGGGCATCCCAGCGATCGGTCAGATCGAGCTGATCGAATGGGCCGAAAGACGCGACCCTCCAGCGACGGGCCAGGTCGTCAGTCTTGTCACCTCCTTGGCGACCTACCCGAGAGGCGCGATCGAGATCGACAGTGCGTCGGACCCGGTCAACGTGCCCAACAAACCCTCGCGCAACATGTGCATGCGCTCGCCGAGGAGTCGGGTCGAGTTTGCCGACTACTCGCCCCTAACGATCTACCCACCCATGGGTTATCACAAGACTGAAAAGTCGCGCACGGCCTTTGGGGAAAGCGTCGTCAACACCCTGCGAAGTGAAGCCGTGGGCCAGAGGTCTTCACGAGTCAGCGCTGATCTCAAGGCAGAATACACGCTGCCTAACGTCCTAGTCTTCAACTACGAGTTGCGTTACCCGATGCTCTCGCCGAATGTAGCGGCCTCCTTCAACCCCGAAGCAGAGATGGTCGGACCGTTCCAACACTTCCCCTACGCCGAGATTTGGACCGATTACGCTAATTCCATCATCGCGAATCTGTCCCCCTTCATTGCAATCCACTGGCGAACCGAAACGATGAAGCCTGCGAATCTCGCCCCTTGCGCCATCTCGCTCGTCCACAAACTCGCACAGCTCAAAGCCCAACACCCCTCAATCAAAACCGTCTACCTCGCGACGGATTACCCGATCGAAGACCTTGACAGCACCAGCAAGGCCTCTGTCCCCCATTCAGGCACCTACGCCAAATTCGTCACCGAATCGCACCACAAAGTCTTCCGCAAATTCCTACGCGACTTCACTAAATTACTCCCCGACCTGACCTTGACGACGTTCGCGAAGGAGCAAGAAAAGGTCCCGCTCCCTTCGAACCTGTACGGCATCTTCTCCGAGCCGATGAAGAAGCAATTGATGAAGGAGCACGACGATGTCATGCCCAAGAAACTCATCATCGAGGAGATCGATTCGGGATTGTACGGGATTCTCGACAAGGCGATCGCGATGCGCGCTGAGGTGTTCGTCACGGGCACGATCGGGTTGACGAGCGTCACCTCAAAACGAGCATGCGCCAAGTTGAGCAGCTTCACGAACCAGGTCATCAACGCTAGGGACGAACTGCGGACGGCCCAGGACGAAGGGGCGGACGAAGCAGAGGAAGAGACGGTCGACATGCGGCCAGGAAGATTGTGGAATGATGTCGAGTACTTCAGCATGCCGGGGGGCACATCCGTAGAGGCGTGGAGGATGTGACATACTCTTTTTCATCACGTGACGTGTCACCTACTTTTTTTTATCACTCAGGAGCACCGACTTTCCATAGACCTCTCATCGCATGTATTGTCAACGAATTTGCCACGTCGATTCAGCAACTGGCAAGAGCATCAAGCGGCCATAGTCGCTTGCTAGCTCCCTTGGAGGAGCCCATCTCAGCCCAGGATCGGAGTCAAAGTCTAACGTATCTGAAGCATTCATGTAAAACTACATCGGCTCAAGAGTGATCGAGCGAGCCAATCTGCAGATTTGTAGCCCGCTTTTCTGTGTCGCGCCTCTGTCGAACGCTCTGTCGCCGCCTGCGCTCACTCCTGTTCTTCTTGGTCCTCATGTATGATCGGCCCATGCCGATGCCCCTCGAAGTTCTCCGCATCGTGATCATCGGCCTCCGCCCCCTCTTTCTCCTCCGACGGCGAGACCCCTTCCAGAGCGACCTCATCCCCGGTTTGCGCAGATGATTCATCGCTCGGAGTATCGTACTCGGGGGTGTCGTAGACGTCGTCGTCATCGTCATCGGCTTCGGGCGCCGGCTTCGCGGGGTCTGTGAGCAAGCCGCAAAACAAGACGAAAGTGTCAACAAAGATGAAGCCTGGACGGGTTGCCAAGACGGGGCCCACTGACATTGCTCGAAAAAGTCCGTCTGTCTTCGGGCCTCGAGTAAGAGCGTTTGGATAGCGAAATAAGCTGCGCGGGTCGGAGAAGGACAGCTTAAGTATGCGGCCAAAAGATTCCTGACCAAGTACTAGACCTACCAGCAGGATGAGGCGAAGTCGTATCCGACTCCGTCCTCGGCGGGTTCTTGGCCAACTCGATCTCGTCAAACAACTTGACCAAGCTCGTCCTCCAATCCATGTCCTTCTCGACCATCCGGCGCCCATTGGTGCCCAGATTGCGTCGCAGCGAAGTGTCCTTGATGAGCTTGATCAACGCGTCGGCGTAGAGACTGGCGTCGACTCGGTCCTTGAGCTCGTGATCGATGAGGATTCCACCGAGCGATGACGCGGAGGCCATGCCCGTGTAATCACCAAGTTGTTCCGGCAAAGCGCCTTCCCTCGCTGTTAGGACGGGAAGTCCCATAGCCATCGCTTCGGCCACGGCGATCGAGACGCCTTCAGAGCGCGAAGGGAGCATGAAGATGTCCGAAGCCGAGAGATAGGGGTACGGGTTTTTGATGCCACCCAAGACTCGAACATAGTCCCCAACCGAATGCCTGACAATCTCGGCCTTGAGAGGGGCCTCGAGTGGTCCATCCCCGACCATGATGACAACGAAATCCTCTTCGACTGCATCCAGGAGCTTGGCGACGATACTCGGGACGAGCAAAGGTCGTTTCTGCGGATCGAGCCGGCCAACGATCGTGATGACGATTGTGGCACTGGGGAGGTGAAGGAATGTCGCTTTGGCATTATTGCGCTCGCGAAGGGTGACGGGAAAGAAGCGATCCATCTCGATACCAAGCTTGACGACGCCGACGCGCTCCGGAGCGTGGCCACGCGCGATGAGGTAGTCACGCAAATAGTTGGAGCAGGTGATCGTACGCGCCAAATGCCGGCGCAGGATCGACGAGTATTGAGGGTATCCACCTGATTTCCACCCATCATAGGCTTCGTTGTGCAGGTACTGTGCGTGGAAAGTGCGAAGGTCAGAGAAGTAGAGCGGTCAAAACGTACTTTTCTACTTACATCGATAAACTCGACATCGGGCATCTGCTCCACAAGGGCAGGCATCATTTCGTAGGTCAACTGCGAGTTGGAGAGCACAATCTGATTGATGCCACGCGATTCGACGAGGTACTTGAAGTAACGGGGAAAATCGCGGGCGCGAAGGAACGATGGGAGTACGTGGACATCATGCGTCCACTGCAGTGCCTCGGGTCGGAGCTCGATCCCTGCCGGCGGGTCGAACAGGGTGCAGACGACGGTAACGCGATACCCCTTCTCGGCATACAGGCGGATCATGCGCACGGCGCCCACATCGGCACCCCCAAGGTAAAGCCACGGGATGACAAACATGATGCTCTTGTCCGAGGTGGCGAGGTTGCTCTCGAAGGGTTGGTCCCATACGATCCTCTCGAGCGCGCTCGAGTACTTTGGTACGCGGTGCGGGAAGTTCACTGCATCGTCGAGAAAGCGGTGCTTCTTCTGCACGGCCTCGCGCATATGAACAAAGGGTGCATTCCGTCCCGAGAAGGTGTCGCCCCAGCGACTAGCCCGGAATTTTTGATCGTTGGCCCGGTACCTACGATCCCACGATGCGACTGGATCAGGGCGACGCAAACAGGGGATGCCGACGCGAGCGACTCACCAAAACAGCGGCTCGAGCGCGGTACCACCCCAGAACCCATTCTCGGCCAAGCACATCCAAAAGTCCCAGTCCTCGCCCCCCAAAGCGAAGTTCTCTTCGTCGTATTTACACCCCGAGTCGACGACCGCTTGCGATCGGTACATCGCCGCGTTGGGTACATAGTTGCCCTGCAGGATTTCGGTGTCCGTTTAACCGAAAAGAACTCGGCCCCAACTCTGTCACTCGGACTTTAGGTTCAAGACTCACCTCGTTGAGGTTTCGATCATGGGAATGAAGCCCGGTTGTGACGGTTTCGTTCGCTCCAGGACCATGCTTGATATAGTAAAAGCCGCCGAGCTGCCAGTCCGCATTCGACTCGAGCATCCACGCCGTCTTCTCCAAACAAGTGAATTCGAGCATGTCGTCATCATCGAGGCTGACCAGGTACTTGGGCGGACCGTTCGGTCGTTCGAGCAAGTGCTTCAAGGCGACGTTGCGTGTCGCAGCGAGACCCTTGCTCCCGTTGTTCTTGAGCACCTTGACGCGCGGATCCTTGGCCAGGTCTGCGATCGCCTCCAGTGATTCGCTGTTGTCGGTGTGGTCATCAACGATCACCCACACAAAATTCTGCAACGACTGGCCCAGCACCGTGGCCGCGGTTTCGCGCAAGATTTCGGGTCGAGGATTGTTCGTCGCCGTGATTATGCCAACGACGGGATCATCAAATCGTGCCGCGGGCGAAAGCAAGAACTGCTTCGGCGACGGTCGATGCGGCGACATCGGATGGTTTGCGTAGTTGATCAGTCGCTCCTCGTGGTGCACTGGTAGTGGGTCGCTGGAAGGCGCGAAGGGTGAAGTTGCAGCGCGTACAAGAGCGGCTTTCCGGACACGTGACGTGACGGATCTCGTTGCCTCCGAGACTGCGGTGGTCCTGTCGGATCGTGGGGACAATATCGTTTGTTTTGTCCTCGCAGGCCTTGTCCATCTCTTCTTCTCGAAAAGGGCTTGTTCGATCGAATGCCATGATATCAAGATGATTGCCAGGAGAATCGTGACGACTAAGAGTAGACGTGACGGCCGTAACCGCCGTTTTGAAAGGTGAACGGATGCGGATGAACCGTAGCCGTCATCGACAGAGCGCAAGTCCGGTGACGTCTGAGACACGGACCGCCGTCTTGGAGTCTGTGTTTTGAGCAAGAAATAAGAGCACGTTAGCTCTGTACTACCCACTTTGAACTGGATTGCCCCTGCGGCGAGTGGAGGTGGCCTGCACGCTGCGACGCTCCATCTTTAAATTTAAGCTCTGTGGTTGTCCTGGTCAAGAGCGCCGCAAAGCCGCGAGGCGTAGCATCGACTATATCTGCACAGATCAAGACGAGCTGATCCACGTCGTTTCGGCAGATCGTCGTCGAGTCGACGTCCTCGCACCGAAACACGTAACGCTCCGTACTCCTCCTGCCCTCTCGGAGCCCAAGCCAGCACGGCCGCTCCGTGGCGGACTCCGCCCCGCGGGTTTGAAGACAGATCTCTGATCGGATGAGTTATCGACACGATGGGGAAGTGTAAATCGACAAACTGACACTCGGCCACGTCGACATGATGGCGGAAAGCTGCTAAAGACCACTCCTACTACCCTCGCCGGCGATCGATTCTGCGATTTTCGAGAAGTGGAGGGTGTGATGTAGGAAGTGTGAAACGGTTGCTGGTCCGAGAGGGGAACGGAAACGAAGAGGGACTCGAGACCGTGGGACCGAGACAGGCGAACGCGCTCGGGAAGAGGGGAAGCTTCGATCATCACGAAACGCGGTAGAATGTTAAATTGTTAATGCCTATCTAAGGCGACTCAAACCAGCCAAGGCAGAGTGTCTACTCAATCATCTGGTTCCTTGAACCTTGATGTTGCCAGTGAATCTTACTCCTGTCGCATTGGGAACTTCGTATATATTAGATCGACGTAGGTACTACGATGTTTGCGGTGCCGACTATATTCGGTCCTGCTGGTCCCTGACAGATGAGACCGGTGAAAGTTGTAGTAGCGATGACTGAGCGAGCCGAGGCTCAAGTTCGAAATCTCGAGGCCCAGACGGGTGCCTGGGCTTTCGTCGCGACGCGTGCCTTGACGCGCGTGCCTCACGGCGATAATGACGTCGGCCGACTCGCCTCGTACGCTGCACGATATTTAAAGAGTCAGACGATAACGACACTGACGGGTGCTCTGGTGCGGGCAGGGGCGGGCGCGAGCCGGCAGTGGGCTGGCAGCTACTTGGCTTTTGACTTCTCGCCGACACACGTCGAGCCTGTCATTTACCGAGAAATGTCTATTTTCCGCCCCTGCATCGACCTCCACAACGGACAGGTCAAGCAAATCGTCGGTGGAACGCTCGATACAGCAGATCTGACGACCAACTTTGTCTCAGAGTCAGTGTCTGTGTATTGACTTCGACTCTACTACTTCCTCGCTGGCTGACGAAAAGCTCCTATTCTTGCTGTCCCGGCGTGATTCGATCTGGCACAGGCACCCGCCCGCGTACTATGCCGACTTGTATCGGAAACATCACCTCAAGGGAGCTCATGTCATCAAGTTGGGACCAGGCAACGATCAGGCGGCACGAGAGGCGCTACAAGCGTGGCCAGGTGCGTCGGGTTCGGCGCTCTGCTCGCACAGTCGAGCATTGCCAGCACATCACTGTTCATTGACATGCAATGGACACTTCTGAAACCAGACGCTCTGCAACTCGGGGGCGGTATCACGGACGCGAACGCGCTCGAATGGATCGATGCTGGAGCGTCACAGGTGCGAAGAGCCCCACGTCAGGCTTCCACCACCGTCTTCAACCCACACTGACCTTCCATCTGCATGACAGGTCATCGTTACATCATACCTGTTCCCTAATTGCACCTTCGATGAGGAGCGCTTGAGAAGACTAGCTGAGAAGGTGGAGAAGAAGCGATTGGTCGTCGATGTCAGGTTCGTCCGAGGGGTGCAAACGTCTGGCCTTTCGCAAATTCGGGCATGACACTGACTGCGAAGCCATACAACATTCAACAACAGCTGCCGGAGAAGGGATAACAGATGGATTGTTGCCATGAATCGATGGAGAGACCTGGCCGACATGGAAGTCAACGAAGGTGGGGCAACGAATATACAGTCAAGGCTTTAGCTTCGACAGAAGGCTGAATCGTATTGTTCCTTCGCAGAGTCGTTATCCTTGCTATCACAGTACAGCAGGTAAGTGTCAGAAAACTGGTCCAGTATCGGCCAGCGATCTCGCTCATCCTATTCGTCGCTCTCGATACTCCAGCGAATTTCTAGTTCATGCTGCCGACGTCGAAGGGCTCTGCCAAGGAATCGACGAGCAGTTGGTGGAGAGTGAGTGCGAAGGAATTAGTGCCTGGATGGAACACGTGTTCAGGTTTTTCACCCTAACACATCATCGTCCCACACAGAGCTTGGGCAATGGTGCAACATTCCAACGACGTACGCTGGAGGAGCACGAGGTAAAGCTTTTAGGTCGCTTCAGCACCGACGTTTCATGCGTGCTGGTCTTCCTGACGCCTCCGAATGCGATGTTCGCAGACATCAAAGACCTCGAACTAGTTGACCGGCTTTCAAATGGTCGAGTTGATCTCACCTTCGGAAGGTGAGTCAAGATAAGCGATCGGCTTGCCTTGGTCCGTGCTGAATGCATATTTGTGTCAATGTCCTAGCGCATTGGACATTTTCGGGGGGTCGCAAGTCAAGTTCAAGGATTTGGTAGATTTCAACAGACGAGCGAGGTGATGATAGACACGATTTATGGTACACCCTGGGGGTTACGCGAAGCAAATCGAACACAAGCTTCATCAATATCTCTGGTAGTTTGGGTCGACCACGGCACGTGCAAGAGCTCGTGCCATCTCTGCGATGATATAATGTCTACAGTGGTAGCATAGGTAACGTTCACCTTAGATTTAAGAAGGCTACTGCCCTTCCGTACCCTTCTCAGAACCACTGCCACCCGGGCTTCCGCCGTTCGTGCCATCAGCCACCTCCTCGTCCGGGGCTACAGAGACCGAGTTCCATGCAGCCAGGGCAAGGTTCACGTCGCCAATCTCATCTACGCTCCTTGCTGTTTCGCGCGCCAGCTTGACATCATGGAACCCCGCCAACGAAGTCAGCGGCGGTCGCTCACCGGTGAACTCGCCCATCAGGAACCCCGAGCTTTCAGCGATCTGTCGGTCCTCAGTCCTGATGCGGCGGTACTTGGCCAGATCCTTGGCGTACTTCTTGTCGAACTGCGCACGCTTGTCGAGCCATTTCCGAACTGGCTCGGGGTGGAGGTTGCCCACCGCTTCCGGGCTCATTTGGAGTGCAGGCAAGTCCGCTTCGGGTTCCAGAGGTCGAACGCGGCCATTGACGGCGACGCGCTGGCGAATCAGGTGATGGTGGAAATGACCAATATGACCGCCGATGCGGACGGATCCCGTCGCCACTTCTCCCTCCCCGAGAACACTCTCCGCATCAGAGTCCGAGCTCTCGTCCTCGGAGCCAAGGGAGATGTTGTCCACCACTTCCGCCAGTTCGATGACGGAGGAAGCATGGGAAGTATTGTGACTGCGAGTTGACCCCTTGTTGGCCCTCGCGATGGCCCACAATCCGAAATTGGCGCATGCGCGGTACATGTACTTGGCCGGTTCGGTGATTGAAAGTGTTGTCGTGACATGAGCAGCGCCGTCAAAGACTTGTAACTGGACAAGTGTGGGCGGGTAGTCCGTCTCGAGGTGCTTTCGCTGGGATGGGTACGCGTCGAGTACGGCCTGAGACGGAGGATATCGCTGCGGGGCTGCAGCCTTGTGAGCAATGTAGATAATTTCATCGCGCAGCAGCTCGGCGGATCCAGCAATCTATCAACAACATGAGGATCAGTAAGCGATGGTATTTACTCGCATCGGAGGTAGAGTTCGAGGACGTACGATATGAAGGGGGGGAAGTCCTCCAAGCGAGCCCTGGTTGACAGGGGACACCATTGGGTGGCGTAGCATCGCATTGGGACAATACATCTGCATCTGCTCGTCCAAAAGAATCTGCTTCTCTTCTCCCTCCAAAACATAAAAGTCTTCCGGCGTTTTGAGCGGTGGCCATGCCAACGAAGGCTTGTAGTGGAAACCGTCTGAGGGGATGTAGTCGCCCGCGTCGGACTCGATGATGGAAGGAAACGAGTGCGCAAGATCGACCCAGGGGGAGATCAGGGTTGCACCGCACGGCATCGGCAGCTCGAGATCGCGGAGCAGCGTCAAGAGGACCAGTGTCAAGCCGGCACCAGAGGAGTCCCCAGCAAAGACAACCATCGAAGGATCGACGCCGGGGGTTTGAAGGAGTTCGAGATAGGCCGCGAGCACGTCGAGCAGCGCACACGGAAACGGGTACTGCGGTGCGAGGCGGAACGAAGGTGCAAAGGCAACACCGTTGAGTTTGCGAGCATGTCGCTGGATCTGATAACGGTGCGTTTCCAGGCTGGAGAAGAAATGCGCGCCTCCGTGGATGTAGAAGAGTATCCTTTCCGGTGACTGATCACCTCGAGCAATCTTGTATTTTCTCATCTGGACGTCGTCAGAAATAGTCAGAAACGACACTTTTGGATATTGTATCACACAATGGCAAAAACAATTCTCACCTCGATCCACTCAGCCGTCAGAGGCCTGCCCCTCATCGTCCACCACTTGACTCCCCCCACTTGCTCGATCGTCTTGGGATCGATCGACAAAGCTTTGACCAGGAGATGCGTCGCGCGGGAGATGCATCCGTCCGAGATGGTGACGACTTTGCGACTCACGAACCGCGGGACGGGAACGTGGTGGGCCGTGAACTTTTGCAGCTCGCCGACTGGTATCACGTGAGAAAGAAGATCGGCGGAAGATCCCAGACCGGGGATCAGCTGGAGGCTCCTGACGTGACTTTCCCGAAGAAAATGGATATTCCCCGTATGACTCACGAGGATGCGTTGAAGCATAGAGCAGAAACTTTTTGACAATGTTGAGCCCTTCCTCGTACGAGAGCTGAGCCCTAGGGGATCCGTCCTTCCTGAGCTTGCGATGGTGCAACAAGAACTGAACAAAGCCTGTGTCAAACATCACATCAGCTACTAGTAACTGTAATCTCCTAAGTAGCCTCGGGACGCTCAGAAAGCGTCATGCTCCACGCTACGAGCTCCCTCGCTCGTCGAGCGGATCGCTCGATCGTCAACTGACCTCGGAGACCGGCGGGGGCGGTGTGGACGGCCACACCGACAGTTGATAGGGTGGGCATCTTGACGGCGTATGCTTCAGCAACGACTCGACAACGCTGCTATGACTAACAGAATGTAAGCCAAGGTGGAGAGCGGAGTCAGAGAAGGAACCTGGCGCCGATCGACATTAATCACGTGGATCAGGTGGGGTCAGTCGACCCGAGAAGGCTGATCGAAATTGTTCGAGGAGGGCGCCGCATGTCAACGACGTCATGGCTGCTGCGCGCTGACGGCCAAAAGTAGTCTGGTTGCCTTGACTCGTCGGAGTCGTCGGCCAGCGCGCGATTCCAGCTGGTCGGCCTAATTTCACACCCTCTTCTAAAAGCTTTACTGTAGTGCGGTTGGCGCGTTGACATCGAGAAAGTGAAGCAGCGTCCAAAAGGTCGTCTAAGAGCTTGATTCAGTCACTCTGCGCCGAGGTGAGCAGCGATTTTGGTCCCGCACGTGTAGGCGCCGTCGTCCAATCAGTTTGGCGTGCCCGCGGCGCCCGTGCAGGTCCTCCATTCCCCGAGCAGCATCTCATTCTTCGTGCTCTGCTATGCGACTACTGTAAGGTGGGAAGATTCGTCGAATGTGATCATCACAACGGAGCAAGTAAAAAGACAAACAAACAACAGAAGGAACTTGAAGAAGCACACGAACACATGGCAAGAGGTGGCGCAAACACATCTAGCGGAACCAGCGCCAGGAATCATCTCGGCAACCAAGGACGTCTAGAAGGAACGTCTATCTCGAATCGAATCGACACTTTTATCGTTGCCCCGCCCCACCAATTACGGAGGCACTATTTCCCCGGACCCCTTTCATCCCTGCCGACACCCCTCGTGGCTGCGTCGTCGATGAAGGTACTCCTATCATGGAAGATGACGAGGTCCTCCCCGCTTGTCCTCGCGGAGAAGCAGCCGCGCTCGATGCGTACGAAGAATAGTCCATCATTGACCCGGCGTACATCGGCTGTTGCGGCGTTGGGTGCTGCGGCACGTATGGGCTAATAGGTTGGCCGCCCCAGAACTGCGGGCTCGGTGGAAGGAGGGGATGGTGTGGCATGTACCCCGCATGCGTTAGGTTGGGCGAAGATGGGTACAGCGAGTTGGCATACAGATAGGGTGAAGCTGGCGATTCAGGAGCCGAGAACATCGGCGACGAGGGGTAGGATTGTAGATTCGTCAGGGACTGGCTGTGCGTCATATAGCCGTACGGGGATTGAGGAGGGAGTGCGGCATAAGCTTGAATTTGAGGAGAGGGTGATCCGGGGTTTTTGGAAGATTTGCTCTTTTCAGTTACAGCCGTCGATCGAACTCCTCCGACCGCAGACTTGGAGTCGCTGTAGGCGCCGTTCATGACCGATTCAGCTCGAGCTTGGAGAGCGGCATGCGCCATCCTGCACATTTCAAGCAAGGCGAACGTTAGCAAGTGTCCACAAGGACGAAATCCCCGGTAAGAAATTCACATTTGCATCATTTGCTGGGACCGTTGATGAAGCTGCATCTTTTGATCGTTCGGAAGAGATGCGTCTTCATAGATGGCAGAGAAAGATAATCAGCGCTCGAGCCTCCGCAAAGCATTGGAGAACCTTCCATATTCCAAACTCACAAAGAGACTGATCGACGCCCGGCGGAGCATTCGTCAAAGGTGAGAACCCTCCGTACGAGCTCTGCGGTGCGAACATCGTCGGGCCCCCGATTTCAAACGCACGTGAATTCAACCCCGAAGGACCTCTCGAAGGCAAAGTCGACAGCGGCGCCTCGTCATCCTCGTCGTCGTCATCCTCTTCATCTTGAACCACAGCACCGTTGAGGTCCTTGCCCAACTGGATCGCCTTGGTCGCTTCCACTCGATGGCGCTGCTTCATTCGATCAAAGACGGTCTGTCCCGCGAGCACCTCGCTCTCGGAAGGAGGCGCGATCATCGAGCTTCTTGAAGCAGTTCGGGTCGCTCCTGCAGCCTCGAGACCCCGTCCACTTCCAGCCGGCGTTTCGTGGAAAAAGCCCAGAGACGAGCTGGAGCGAGGTAGCGGTTTCGGAACGAACCTCGGAGCCAGTGTGTGGTTAACCTGTCTTCCTCCACTGGCCTTCCTGTAGCCCTTGATGGGAGGCGGCGCAAGCAAGATGTCACGTTCACCATCGAGGACAGGAAGATCCTTGAACTTGACGATGATAGGTGAGCGCTCCCTTGAGGTCAGCCGGCTCCGATCTTGGTCCGATGAAATGGAATTGACAAGCGTGTCCTGGGATTGGGACGTGCCCGGATCGCTGATCGCCGGGCTCGTGTCGCTGGTCATCGCCGAAGTCGTCGTCGGTGGGAACCAACTGGAACACGGAGCGGGAGCAAGTGACGATGCTGAAGAAATTCCGGCAGTATTCGACGAGAACGACCTACTCGACGGGGAGTCCCAAGGAGCGGAACCGTGAAATGACCTCGGAATAGGCGTCTTTGGAAGGGGTGGTGACGCCCGCATCGAGTTCATGTCTGGGACGCTGGCCTTGGAGGGGACGGGCGAGGCAGGTGACGAGTAGGTGTGGCTTCCCGGGGAAGGTCGAAGCATCGACAAGGACAAATCCGAGATGGACCGCTGACCCTGACCCAGACTCGTTCGCTCCCGTGCAATCGTTGGCGCAGGGATCGCAGCACTGGATGCCAATGTCGTCGTCGCTCCCGCCGAGAAGGTGCGACTATGACCTCGCATCGCAAACGAAGCTGGACTCCTGCGCAACGTCTCCGAAGGCATGTCGTCAAGCTCAGCCAGGACTTCTACATCCGCCAAAACCGGTCCTCGATTCATATGCAAGCCCGACGAATGGCTGTCCGGATTACTCGAGTAAAAGTGTGTAAGGTCCGTCGACGATCGACTCCTGATATGTGCCAAAGGGACGTTGTCATCTTCTTCGTCGTCCTCGTCCACTTCTTGCCTTTGTAGAACCGGAGTTGGCGCCGATTTACTAGTGAGGATTTTTGATACGGGAGCGGCTTTGCTTTTCGACATCTCGGGCCGAATGCCATTATTGTCACTGGTATCCCCTTCGTCCTCGCTGTCACTCTTCTCGCTTGCCATACCCCACGCAGCACGACCTCGAGCCGAACTTGCACCGAGCCGCGATGGCGATCGAGTCTCGACTGCGCTTGAAGACGAGGCGAGCCTCGTCTGGTATTGGCCCCTTCGTACGGGTACTTGTGGCGTAGGAGGTTGGACAGCGACGGTTGGAGCCGCGCCTTCTTCATCAAAACGACGCACGCCATCGTTCTGCAGAGGCGTCTGTGGTGAATGAGCTCCAGCCGTCAAAAACGCGTGCACAGGCCCACCGCTGTGCACCCCAGCGTCTTCCTCCCCACTCGTCGGGCCATCGCCAAGGAAGAACGGAGTCCTCGAAGCTTTGTCTGGGAGAGAGATCGAGGGGAACTCGGTCGTCGTCGGACTTGGCGCGCCATACATGGCGATCAACCTCAGCTCGGCATCGGACGCCGTTGATGACGACTGGGGGATCGAGAACACCGTCGGCGAGGAAGGGCGAGAGGCGGGGCGGGAAATAGGTCGGGAGGCAGGTCGAGCGTGATGCTCGGCGGAGACGTGATCCTCGTTCGACGATAGGCGCCTTTCGAGAGATCCTCCTTCATTGGCCGTCGTGAAGGAACTGATCGACAAGCGACTCGTCGAGCCGGACCTGAGTGCACTCGAACTCGTCGTCGCATCTGGACCAAATGGCTGGAGAACCATCGATGCCGGGCGATTTGAGCTCACAGCCAAGGGAAGTGGGTCCATCGAACTCGACGTTGAAGTCCTCGAGTGACTCGCGGACCCACTGGTAGCGAACGCGGGTCGAGGAAATCCACCGAACGCCGAACCCAAGTCGAGGTTGGGCGACGACAAGGACTGGTACGAGCCTCTTCTGCTCCTGGTGGGCTCGAACCTCGGCCGCTCGCTCGGGGAGTTGATCTCCTCGAACGACGAGATCGAGATGGCCGAAGCGTTGCGATGTCCCGTTCGCGAACTCGGCCGTGTCGCATTGCGGAAAGCTTCAACGCTGATCATCGTCGGCGAAGGAGCCTTCTCGACGGTGTTGTCTCGCCAAGCCGAGGCTCCCGGGACCGAATTGGTTCTGATGTTCAGGTTCGGCCTCGGTCCCATGCCCACGTCGCCGTAGCCATTGCTCCCTTGTCGATCCGGGACCGGGGCGGGTAATGGCGACATCGCCGTGATACTCCTCGTCGACCGATGAAGTGTAACCGACGAAGTAGACGAGGATCGATGATGGTCGAGAGGAGGGCGATTCTCGTAATCGGTATCCTGGACCCTCGATACATTCCTGATGGATTGAACAACAAAGCCTCCTTCGGCGCCTGCGCCTGCGGAACTCGAAGTCCGTCGAATTGGTAGCTTCCATCGACTGGTCAGGCTGGTGGTGGTATTCGGTGGGGACGAGTCCTTTTTGTCGATAGAGTCGGATCCGGTATTCTCATCGGCAAATAGAGTGCCCAACGGTCGATTGTCATCCTCGGGATTGTTCATGTCGTTCAGTGCGTTCGTACTCCGACTGAACAGCCTCCACCGATCGAGGCCGGTCCCAATCGACGCTCGTTTCGATCTACTGCTCTTGATCGACGGTGGTCGAGACGAAGAATGACCCAACGATGAGAGATAATCGGTGCTCTGACTGGTGGTAACACCTGGGCTCTCCGTCAAAGGCAGGTCGCACCCGCGCTGCTCGGCGTATCGATCACGCGCAAGATTCGCAGACGAAGTCGAAGTGTTCAGAGAGGTTGAGCTCGGACCTTTCAAAGTTGAAGCTGCATTAGAACGATTCTTGAACGGGTTGAACCTCGACGCAGCAGCTGCTTCCAGAGAAAAGTTGGAAGCGGAGTTCTTGCTTCGCGGTTCGGTGATCGTGTCCGAGCTCGGCAGAGCAGTGGACAGGGCAGCCGAGTCTCGGCGATGCACAGCTCCCGCTCTCGAATCGGAGCTCGACCGTTCCTCATCGGACGAGGTGTAGCGTGGACCCGCTACTTTGGGGTTCGTAGATGACTGGAGCTTGGTCGTGGCTGAGGTCGAAGCATGATTCCCACCTGTCGATGCTGTTGCTGGCGAGGGCGACGACGAGTTCGAGGTCGAGTTCGAGCCCGACTTGGGTTTCTTGCTGCGGGAGAAGAAGCCCATTCCTCCGTCCACGTCCCTGTAGCTAAAGACGAGGACGTAGATCAGCTTACGGGGACTCGATTACGTGAGCAAGACATCATGTACCTACTCCAAGAGTGGCGTCAGCTTCCTCCAGTTGTTTCACGGGCTGGGTTCGCCGGCGTGGCGGCGCCCCGTCCGAACAGGTTCGCACGGACGATCGCGCCGAGTGAACAGCACCGACCGCGCAACGGTCGATGACGACGCGTGGACCGTGGAGGTCGGACAGGGAGCGAAGGAGGCGAAGAGGCGAGACAGGCGAGTGTGCAGTCGACCCCACACACACACACGACCCGAAAGGGGCGCTGAAGAAGACAGTGGTGAGAACGGATCCAAAGTCAAGCTCCGAAAGCGAGGTGCCCGTTGAAAGCGGTTCGATCGACTTCGATCAACCAGCGAGATCGTGGCAGGTCGTGGCAGCTCGTCGTGGCAGGCCTTGGCAGGCTCTGTCGGCGAGGCCTTGATGAAGCGACGAGCGCGCGTCGGATTTAAGCGACCTGGCAGGGCTACAATGTGGTGGCACCGTCCACCACAGCAAATCGAGCACCGAGTCACAGGGTTCATTACTGAGACCAGTCACTTTCCTCATTTAACCATCGCAGGCCCTCCCTGTCGAGTCCAATTAGAATTGAATGTCACTGCGGCAAGCACAGTGGGCAGAAATTTTCGACTTCTACCTCGGACGCCGCTCTGTTTCAGCGTCTTCCGGTCTCCGAGGAAAATGAGCTTTCATGAAATCCTTTCATTCCAGTTCATGACCTAAGTCGACTTTTCCCCAACAGTCCACCTCAACAAGTCTACCACCTCGAACCCGACCCCTTTCCCCCCCTTCCACAATTCCAACACCTCCCCGACCTTCGCCTCCCCAGGCACAAAGTTCAACCCTTCTTGCGCATTCGGCACGATCGTCAAACTCGGTTGCTCGTACAGTACTTGACTCGGCTCGCCTTCTGCTAAGGTATGGGCCGCTGAGGCGGCTGTAGGTTGGGCCGAGGAGGTCGGCATCGCGACGACTTGTCGGGCGAGTTGTCGGGCGAGTTTGAGTAGGTCTTGGTTCGTCACCGTCACCGTCACCGTCGGCGTCGTAGATGGCTCGAAGCGGTGCAGCAGCAAGGAGGCGAGTGTGCCACTTTTGAAGAGGGTAGGGGCAGAGCCAAATGTGGGCGTAGCATCGTTCGATCCATGGAGATAGCTCGAAGTAAAGTAGACGCTCGGTGATTTCGAGGCCGAAGAAGTGGACGGTGTCGTAGCCGAGCAGCACCCGCTCGAAGTCCCGGTAGGATCGATTACCAACGTCGCACACCTCGAAAGGGTGATATTCTCACCCAGCCTCGAGACCGACGACGTGATCAAAGAAGAAATCGTCTCCCCCGCCGAGCTCGTCGACGCCGTCTGTGCCTCAAACTCGGGGATCAAAGGCACCTCCTTGACCTCTTCCCACGACCATTCCCTGAAACCAACCTTCCCTCCCCTCTCAGCCGCTTCAGCAAAGAAGCCCATGCTCTCCACGACCCTCCTGACCAATTCCTTGAACTCGTCCGTCCGCGCCACAAAGTCGGTCTCGCAATTGATCTCGACCATCCCGACCCTCACGCCTCCCGTCTTGCCCAAGCTCTTCTCCAACCCCGTATGGTATTCGACGATTCCGACCAATCCTTGAGGGGTCGATCGAGAAGAGAGTTTTTCGACTTTGGCGCCTCCCTTGAGGTTGGTCTGTTCGACGATCCACTCGAGCGCTTTAGGAACGTCCAGCGCCGAGGCGGTGAGCGCCGATCGAGCGAGAGAAAGTGGTGTTCCAGGTCGAAGGGATCGGATTTCAGAAATGAGTGCGATGGGGACCTTGGGAGGTGCGGATTCTTCCGAAGTGAAGGCTGTCGAAGAAGTGGAGAACGCTCGGAGGAGGCTCGAGGTCGAGGCCAAGGTCGAGGACGAGGACAGGGGCCGTGCGGAGCGCGCCGTGGCGGTATAAAGTTGTCGAAGCGGGGCCATCTGTCTTTGTTTGATTTTGCAAGGAAACCTGATCGATCGCAGTGTTTGAAGCGGAGGATGGAAGCAGAAAGAAAAAGAGAAAGCGCCGAAACAAGTGGGGTGAAGCCCCGGGCACTTTTCGCGCGAGAGCTTCGCAGCCGATCGGGAACCCGCGCGGAGGTGATCGACGTTGATTTCGACGGGGCGCCTCTCATTGCTCCGCTTCCTCACTTCGGTGTTCGAGATTGGGTGTTCCTACACCTTGAATCGACACAATATGGACTCGGGAACTCAAATCGTCGACCTCACCGGCGCAAACGAGGAACCGCAAGTCAGCTCCGGCGTGGCCAATCGGTCGTCATCGGAGACGAAGCAACCGGGCGAGACGGAGATGGGGGAAACCATCGACTTGACAACACCGACAGCTTCCACCGCTGAAGCAGACGATGAAATGATCGTCGTGGTCGAACCTGAAGCTCAAGCTGCCACAAACGGTGTAGATGCCGCAAGCACCACCGCCTCGACCACCGACAGTTCTGGCTCCACTTTGACGGCAGCGGAAGCTCCCGTGCAATTGAACTCTTCGAACCCGACCCCAGCACCGACCGCTTCAACAAACAACAATCTCACCTCGTTACCAAACGACATCACCCACATTCTGCAACTAGGAGTCGCCGATCCGGATCCCGCTGAGTCGACCACGGACTATGCACAACTGGTCAAGGACCTCAAGGCCAAAGTGATGCAATCCCGGAACCCCAACAAGGCCAAGAACTACAACACCGCAATCACAGTAGACGATGATTCGTCGATGAGGGAAGAAGGGGAGGAACCGGAGGAGGAGTTGGCCCAGGTTGAGAATGAGATGAAGGAACAGGGGGTCGAGAGGGACGAGCCGGAGCAGTCAGTCTAGCCTGATTTGGATTTCATCGATGTTCAAACCTCATGCTTTGATGACGAATTGCCGCAGGGGCTCGAATGCGATCCAAGTCGACGCAGCGGCCGATGAATCCTCGGAAGCGGAAGAAGAAGCGGGAGAAGAGTCTTCGTCAGAAGATTCATCCTCGGACGACGATTCCTCCTCCTCTTCCTCCGATTCCGAGCCGACACAGAAGACCCGCCGTCAACCGAATCGACAGATCCAACGCCAAGTCATGATCGACTCTGACCAATCCGATCTCTCAGACTCTGAAGACCCCAACCGTGCCGGCTCTTCGAAGAAGGTTCCTAAAACCGAACACGAGCTCGACGAAGACACTTCCGTCCCTTCCTTGCCCGAGATCGAATCACTTCGCGAAAATGTCGATATCGTCCGGTTTGGAGTCGTACAGAACTTGATCGAGAACGTCGTCGTAATTAGGGCCGACACGACGGGGAGTTATCGCGTATTGGATCAGGGCACGATCGTCTGCTGGGAGGATCGCAAGATCGCTGGAACGGTACGTTGGGCCATGTGTTCATTCATTGCTTGCTCGACCTCGGCATTGACATCGCATCCGCCAACACCACACACAGATCTTCGACACCTTCGGCTCTGTCCTCCAACCTTTCTACTCCCTGCGCTTCCCCGCGACCTCCCCACCCGATCCCGCAGCCTTCACCGCCTCCCGACCTCTCTGCTACGCCCCAGCTTCAGCAACCTTCGTCTTCACGCGCGAACTGCAAGCACAAAAAGGCTCCGACGCGTCCAACGTTTGGGACGAAGAAGTCGGCGAAGGTGAGATCGAATTTTCGGATGATGAAGCGGAACAGGAGTATAAGAGGGCTATGAAGAGTGAGAAGAAGGGGAAGAAGAAGGGCAATGCTTCCGTTGGAGGTGCACAAGTTTCGACTATCAGTTCTTCGCTAGATGGATTTAAGGGCTTGCCTCAGAAACCTTCGGGACCTCTTCCCGAGATCGATGAGGAGGGGCCTTACAACCTCGTGCAACGACCCAAGGGGCTTCATCTGATGGGGACAGCACCACCGAGTGGACCGGAGGGGAGACAGATGTTTGAACGGGACACGGGGCGGACAGTTGAAGGGGAGAAGGAGTTCGAGTTCAGTGACAATGATGAGGAAGACGGCGGGGTGGTAAAGAATGAGGGTGGCTCGGAAGAGGGGGGCGATCGGCATGATGATGAAGAGATGGACGATGCGAAACAGGCAGAGTTGGCGAGGATTATGGCTGGGCCGCCGGGGAGAGGAGGCAAGAGAGGGAGAGGGCGAGGGGAAGGGGTGGCGGAAGAGGGCACGATCGATCATCGAGAGGTGGCGGAGGGCGAGGACGTGGAGCGCCCAACGAGGGACGAGGACGAGGACGCGGACGCGGAAGAGGAGCCCACAACCAACTCTCACGTAGCGATCGACCTCCTCAATCCGGCGGTGGCGACGGCGACGATCAACGACGACAAGTTGCCCCTTTACCAAACCGAGCCCCGATGGGCCTTCCCATGCGTCCCATGGGCATGGGCGACTTTGGTGCACCACCACCGATGAGCTTCCCGCAAAACTTTGCCTTTGGCCTGCCGACGAACCATCACCTCCCCGCACCACCGCAACAGCAAATGTTCAACTTTGCCCCTCAAGCACCCATGATGCCCTCTAGCCCCATGCCGGGAATGTACAACCCTCATTTCCAACCTCAACCAACAGGCCCCTACCCCAACTTCCCAGGTTTGAGCTACGCCCATCCACAACCTTCCTTCACGCCCGATCTTGGAGCGGGTGCACAAGGCGCGTACAATCCCCGGTTCTTCGCTAATGGACACCTCCCGCTCAACGCGATGATGGGTGGATCGGGACAAGGATCGGAGGGAGCTGGCATGATGATAGGTACAGGACCGTATGGCTACGTGCCACCCGCTCCGGTCCAGGGGCCAGGCGGACCAGGTGCTGGACGGGGAAGGGGGAGAGGGAGAGGAGCATGATGAATTGCAATGTTTGAGGATTGTTGTGTTACTGTAAAGACTTATCAACTGCACCTGCATGCCCAGTAAGACGTACAAAATGAGGGCGACTCTGAGTTTTCCGACGCGTTCGCTCGGCTTACGCGAGCCGATTGTCAATCTCGGGCATTTTGCCAGTCCGAAATGCCCGAATCCGAATTGGCCGTCTCGCTCGCTCGGGGTATCGCGCACCTCGCGTCGAGCATCCAATTTTGTCCGAGCCCCTGCAACACACCAAGAGTCAGTGGGCATTTGTACTCTTTGTACGACCGACTCTCGACTACCTCACGCCTCGCCTGCCTCGCCCGCCTTTGTTGGTTTGCCGACCCTGCTTTGAATCGCACCAGCAGAAGGAGCCGCAGGTCGGGAGAATCTTCGGGCCGTGGAGGCGACGACTCGACTCGTCTCGCCTTGTGGGGACGACGATCTGCAGCAGTGACGGGTGACGCGGTGACGGACGAGCGCCGTGCGACTGACCCACCGATTGGAGTGAGCTACCGCGGGGAACAGCTGCGACGCCATGAGCTTCTTGAAGAAATGGGGATCGAGCAGTACACCCAATAGCAACGGTGTGAACGGCAACTCCACGAACGGCCACGCCCACAGCAACAACAGCAGCAGCAATGGCGGCGGCGGCGGCGTGGGCGGTGGCAACGGCAACGGCACGGGCGGGGGGGCCAGCCCGAGCACGACCACCGCAGGCGGCATGGCGTCCACAGTGCTCAATGACGGCAACGGAGGCAACGCATCCACAAGCGCGTTCGATGGATCGATCAACGACCCGACCAAGAAGGCGTGGTACAATGAGCAACCGTCGGAACGCTACTTTGGCTTGGAGAATGTGAGTCGTCTCGATCCCTGCACGGATATCCCCCTCGGCCGGGCCAGCCGGCAGTTGGGGAATGGGAATGGGTGCCAGTGGTCGGCCGGCGAGACACCCACACGAGCCGCAGCCAGGAGAGCACATGGTGGAACCTTGGATCACCGTACTGACCGCCGTGTGTTCGTGACCTGTACAGTTTGGCAATACTTGGTCAGTTGTGCTGCGTTTTTACGCTCAGCGCCACCGCACTTCCGCCCCACGCATGGTGCCGGCGATCGTGGTCGCAGCAGTGGAAAGGACCGGCGGCGCACTCGCTCTCATGATTCGTTTCAGTAATGGTTCCGCTTAGGCTGACAATATTGTACGGACTTGTTTCCGCAGTTACGCCAACTCGGTGCTGCAGTCTTTGTACTTTTCGAGACCGTTTCGAGAACTTGTCGAGACCTACTCGAAACCGGGCTCGGTACCGGCCACGACCCCGTCCATCACCTCGTCGGTCTCTCACGAATCCTCGACCCTATCTCCACAACTCGGCAACAATGCTAAGCCTAGCCTTCCACCGCTCAACACGACCATCAGCGGCAGCGGCGGCGGCGGCGGCGGCGGCGCAAGTCCGGCCGGAAAACGATCGAGCACCGCGCCGAGTGCCGGTCGGTCCATGTTCGGTGTAGCGAAACGACAGGCCTCTGTCGAGGTACCTCCCCCAACCCCACCACAAACGACCATCAACTCTCCGGGGATGGTTGGAGGTGCTCCCTTAGCGCATTCGACGACCGCCTCCACGACAGTTTCCTTCACCGGTGTCGGCACTCCTGTTCTATCCGGCACCGGATCCTTGACCAATTCGGCTTCGGTCGCCTCCTCCGCCTCAGCCGCTGACTCGACCTTGCTGACGACCCTGCACGACCTCTTCTTGTCCATCTCAACGCAACAAAGCTCTACGGGGACACTCGCCCCTCAGGCCTTTATCAACCAATTGAAAAAGGACAACGAGTTCTTCCGATCGACATTACACCAAGATGCACACGAATTCCTCAATTACCTCATCAACATGATCGCCGAGGCACTGGAGAAGGATGACAATACGAGGAAAGCCAAGGGGTATCCGGGGATGTTCAGGACGGGCAAGGACGGGGCGAAGACGTGGGTGCATCGCCTGTTCGAGGGCATTTTGACGAACGAGACACGGTGTTTGTGTTGCGAGACGGTGAGTGGTGAATGATTTGCCAACGCGACAGAACAGATGCCTGACTCGGATGCTTTGACCAAAACGAAAGGTCACCTCGCGCGACGAGGCCTTCTTGGACTTATCGATTGATATCGAACAAAATTCGTCACTCACGGCTTGCTTGCGGCAATTCTCAGCCAGCGAGATGCTGTGTCAACGCAACAAGTTCTCATGTGACAAATGCTGTGGACTGCAAGAGGCGGAGAAGAGGTGCGGCAACGACTGATCTTGAGAGTGACACTGCATATGTTACAGTCAGCTGAGCTCTAAGGTCACTTTCTTGCGCGGATAGAATGAAGATCAAAAAGTTGCCCAACATCCTCGCCTTGCATCTCAAGCGATTCAAGTACGAGGAAACATTGCAACGCCACGTCAAGCTCAACTACCGCGTCGTCTTTCCCTTTGAGTTGAGGTTGTTCAATACCGCGGACGGGGTCAATAATCCCGATCGCCTATACGAATTGTGGGCCATCGTCGTACATATCGGAGTGTGAGTGTCACATCGGGTGATCAGAAAGAAGTATGAAAGTCCGACAATCTGATCCAACTTCTAATTTGTAGTGGGCCGCACCATGGACACTACATTACGATTGTTCGGTCCGGCGCACGTTGGATCGTCTTTGACGACAACAACGTGTATCCGATCGACCAAGCCGACATCTCAAAATTCTTTGGCGACACCCCGGGTCAGGGCAGCGGCTATGTCCTGTTCTACCAGGCGTGTGACCTCGATGTGCGCGGACTGGGTCTACGCCACGATGCGGCGCCTGCAGAGGCCGGTGCGCACGCAAGAGTTGGGGCCGGATCCGCAGACGCAGGTGCCAATGGGATCAAGGAAGGGACTCGGCAGAGACAGCAGAGTCATGCTTCAACAACTTACTCGATCTTGACGTCGGCCTCGAACACGACCTCGAGCTCCAGTGCCAACGGTGGCCTCGGGCTCCGACTGGACGAAAGGGATCGAGCCACAGCAACCGCATTCGTCGCTCCGACATTACCCTCCTCCTTGCATCCTTCAGCTCAGAATGAGCCGAGTCTCGATCCACTATCGCCAGCACCACCACCGCCGGCCACGACAGCAGCACAGGCGAATGCACACATGCCACCTTCGCCCTTCGCAGCATCGACGACTTCGTTTCCCAACAATCTCGCCGCACCTTCTCCACCTTTGCAACCCAGTACCGGCGGCGGATGGGGCTTAATGAATAGGAAATCGGTGTCGAACAAATTGGGGCGGTCGCTGTCACTTGCTTCGTCATCCAAGGATGACGCGACACCACGGACTCAGCCTTCGCCGCAGGTGACGCAGCATCAATTGCCGTCGAAAGTGGTCGCGAGTCTGGCCAATGGCCAGGGTCCAACATTGGACAGCAACCCGGCAACCACCTTGCCGAGTACCGCAGAGGACGACGACCTTGCACCAGGCATGAACGGGGTGCACCTCGATGACGGGCGTACGAATCCGACACCGAACCAGTCTTTGCTGAACGCCTCCACCACTTTGTCGAACTACCACGAGGGCAAACCCTTGCTCAGAACTTCTGCCGACCTTTCTGCCCCATCACCCTCCGCCTCCTCGTCCCTGAGTGGCAGCGTCCTCAGGTCCACTCGAAGCTTCTTGGCTCGATCAACGACCTCGAACAACCTCAGTGCATCCGCCTCCGCCCCCATGCCGAATGGACGATCTGGCGCCACGCTGTCGTCTTCGACGACGACGCCGAACCTCAGTGCGTCAGGACTCGATGAATCAGCGTCGCGGCTGAACGAGCGGAATGGGTCGCTCAGTTCCGGTACCAGTGGATCCGGTACGCCAATCCTCGGCGGCTCGACCCTGGGTGTTTTTACCTCTTTCTCCGGCGGCGCTCCGGTGGACCATGCCGTCTCGGCCCTTGGTAGTTCAAACCAGGGCCTGAGCAAGAAGGAGACAGAACGGCTCGAGAAGCGCCAAAGAGAACTGATGAAGGCGCAACACAAGCTGGAGAAGAAGAAGGAAGAGGAGAGGAGGAAGAGGGACAAGGAGATGGAGAAGGAGGCGAGGAAGAAGGAAGACAAGTTGAGGAAGAAGTTGACTGGTCGAGGATGAGAAGAGGAATTAGGGATGCTTCCTGTTATATGTTTCGTGAATAACTCTTGCATGTTTTCGTCTTCTTTTTGTACTTTTGAAGATGGAACGCCGGACGGGAATAGGCTTAGTGTATATGCAACTAGTTGTACTTGTTCCTCTTTCGCGCCGTCCGACAGAAACGCCGTCCGACAGGAACCTAGATCGTCGGGATCAGAACAATCGTCGCACCCCTTACAAATGTTGGCCCATACGATTTTTAATTTCCAAAGCGTTGCGACTACGAGCTGGTCTTGATAGGTCGCGAAGGACGACTCGTCATCATGTCACCCAAAACATCGGGAAGCGGGGCCCTCGCTCCATGCTCATGGGATGATCGGCATCATGACCACTGACAAGGGCAATATTACGAGCTGGGCGGTAGATCACCAGGCAGCTGTTCCTTTTCCAGGATTTGAGACTAGAGTGAACCTATGACGTTTGCGTCGCACTAGAAGCTTCGAGTTGATTTAGGGCAATAGACAGATTCAGGGGCCATCTTTTCAGGGGCAGGGAGCACCCCTGAGGCCACCGGCGCCGTTGAACTTCGGCCGAATCATGGAATCTGAGCTAATTAACGCGCGCCCCTGCAGGGGTCCTTGAACCTTAGACTGAAAGCCCACTCTTCTGGAACTTGCAATTGACAACAAAGGGTGAGTAGATATGTATCATATCTGCGTTTGAACAAGACTAGGTGGAATTCATGAATCTCTCTCTCTCTCGAGGCCCATGGCCATGGCGTAGCTGACCGCCTCTCGCTTCAAATACTCGACAGGGGCTTTTATGCTCAGCACAGTCATGTACACTTGCACATATCATTCGTCACCGTCTCGGTGACATTCCCGGATTCTCAACCCGCTTGAGCCCCGCAAAATGTGCAGGGTCGCAAACGTGAGCGTCAATTGTTGCCTCATAACGGGTGCGAAAATCTTGACGAGTCGGATCGCCACACGGCATCTCGCTCGAGCGCGGATAAACCTTTCAGCCATGTCGAGAGCGAGATCGTCCGAAACGAGAACATTCAGTATCGCACTTAATCTGTGCATAACTCGATAAGATGCATGTCCGCATCCCGTTCTTCCAGGTGTCATGAATTGGGATAACTCTGCTTTCTTCAGAGATCGTTGTGGACTTTCGCCGCTCGTGAAGTCGAGCCACACGCCAAAGTCGAGCTGCATGTCGAAGCTGAAGCGCCGATGCGGAAGCCGAAGCCACAGCCGAGAAGAGAAGAGTGGATCTGGACAGGACCACTGCACATGAAGAACCGCCTAGTTCTCTTGCCATCGATAAACCGACCAGGTCCACAGTACTTTTGCTTTCGTTCAGCCAACCTACGTCCAAATGTATTTCTGCTTCACCAGCACGGGGCGATGCTTATCGAGCTCCGCGACCTTGAGTGTGTATCGTAGAAACAATATTGCAGAACAGAGCCGACCAATGAAGTCACGAATACCCGGGGGATGTGTACACATGCTATGTGTGTCACGAGTGAACCAAGAACTGTTTGGCTGACAGTAACTGTGATTTGTTGACGTCGCACAGCTCAGACTCTGTCTAAACCATCGGCCAACTTGGACGGTGCGCGGTCCGGGTTGCGTGGGAAACGTCAACCATGATGAACGGGGGTTCGGATCAGTCGGAACATGGAGCTCAGTTGTGATCCACGCTGTCCACACTGTCTTCACTCTCCTCAGCCCAAATCCACACGGGGGACATGTCACTAGCACCAACGTTACTCGCTGATTGTGAGGTAGCAGTCCGGTTTCAGCCGAATCGGGGAGCTGTACCGGCTCTCCTATTGACTTTCAACAGCCACGCACGTGCGGGATGTTTCGGCTACCTCGTCCAACAAAATCTCAGAAGGGCCTCATTTACAGGCTGGGACCGCCCGATTTTTTAACGAAACCTTCGGGTCTGAAGAGCTTCAGGGAGTGAAAGCTTTGGCATCTGGTAAGGCCGAGAACTCGTGGTTTTATCTCCGTGCATGTCCGACGCCGTCAGGCTTCCGTTGGCCTATCAAGTTCCCAGGGCTCATCTCGGGGGACCCCCGTAGCTTGATCGATAGGGTGGCCTGGGACGCGCGCGATGTAAGGCCCCTGGATATATTTCAGACTCTAATAAAGCGGCCGCGACTCGCGAGCCACGGCGCCGCCGGGCAGCGCCCCGCAAAAAGGGCCACCACAGCTCACCGGTCTTGCGAAGGGTCTTTTCATCAGGAGGTCCGTTTCCTTGGCTTCTGCCTCCTCTGGCCACAACGACTTCCCGTCTGCACTGCACGGCCCTCCGGCTCCATCTTCCGTCTTCGACTCGGTGACGTGCGACGCCGACGCCGAGCTGCCCTCGAGGCCTCCAGATCGATAAAGCACCGATTGCATCACGGCTCAGCGCCCAGCGGCTCAGCCCACGGAGCTTAATCAGAACCCACATCCGGCCCTAACTCGATAGTAATCATTCGCACGCATATCAACGCTCGGAAACTGGACTGTCGACTTCGCGACCATAGCTTCACCTAGCTCCGACTTTGGCCTCGGCTGCTGTGTAGTTTCCTCCCTCTCACACCGCCATCTGTTCGTGGTTGTTTTTCTTCTCTGGGCTCTTTCGTCAAGATTGGAGCTCGACGAGCGGATCATGTGCTGACATCCTCGTGTTGCAGTCGACGAGAGTTAGAACTCAACCGGGGTCAAGACCGCTCCGCGTTCGCTCTCAATCTGCGATTCCGAGCACAAGCCCTCTTGATCAGTTCGGTCAACGGCACCTGTTCCGACTCGACCTGGCGTGTACATAAGAGGTTTTCTGGAACGAGCCCCATCATATCTCGACCTGCCCGTGCTATTTTGGATCCCCGAATGAGACCTTTCATTATCCGCATCCCAGTCAGTGATCTCTCCTCTCTCGTGCTTGCGGCTCCCCGTGTCTGCTCGCATACGCTCGACTTCGAAGAGGTGGGCATCCAACGAATTCGCCGGAACTGCAATTCTGGCCAGAGCATAGGGTGCCATCAACAAAATTCGAGGTGGAATCCTACATCTTCGCCGGATTCCTCGAACGACGTCGGCCCGCCTCCACGAGATGCTGAGCCAAATGACCACTTTCCCCGAACTCGGCGAGGGCGGACCGAGACGAAACCCGACCGTCGATTTTTGGCCTGCAGAGAGGGGAGCTGTTTCGGTAGCCGAACAAAAAGGCGACTCAATTCGCTCGACGAAAACTCTGGTTGCAATCCACGACGAATCGGGCTACATGCGATTACCGGCTCCGAGCCAATTTGTCACGAGGCACTGAAGGTGCAGCCGGCGATGCGGTGGCCGGTAATCCGCGCCGCACAACACAGGCGCGCGCTGGCGCGCGTGGAAGCATGTGCGCGGGCTCCCGGGCAAAGCTTGTGTGCGGCAGTGTGCGGCGGTCGCAGTCCTCCCCACACCCTTTCGACTCGGTCATCCGGGATCTTTTGTTGGGACAACCGCTGTCCAACGACGGCCGCGTCGCTCCACGACGTCGCTCACCTTTTTCGACCAAGTTTTGCCCGCTCAGAGGCGGCGTCGAGTAGAGACTACCCGCCGCGACTGGAGCGGGCTCAATTTGAACCAGCCGATTGATGCCGCCGCCTTGGCCCAGCAACTCACCCTGCTCGCGGCGAACCTCGACCTTCCGAGCTCATTACTGAACCGCGATGACTACTCTTCATGCATTTTTGATGCACTTCCATCGCGGCTACAACAGGACTTTGATTGCACGACTCTGATACCCGACAAGTGGCAACACAAACCGTTTGGCCCCGGCTCGACGACGACCGCGTCGCCGCCTAGCGAGCACCAAGTCGAGCACCTCAAGGCGACCTGGAACGCTTGCACGGCCAAACTTGCGAAGGTGCTAGAGCCAGTGAGTTTTCGCTATCTCACCGTGACCCTCTTGCTCCAATCTGTCTTGTTTGCGACTACCGCCCTCGACTATATGCGAGCCCTCGCGCCCGAGCCGAAACGGGGGCCCTGTCTCACCTCGCGGCGTCACGTGCGAAGGCGAGTCCGCCACAGGGGGAGAAGCGGTATCTTCTCGCCAGAGACCACCAGCAACCGTCGCCACCACTACGACCGTGATTTTTCGAGCCCAGATTGGATTGATTTTGGTACCGGTACCGGTACCGCGCTGCACCATTGCCTCCCTTCTCGGCTGCGGGAATCGGCTTACTTCATTGCCTCCAGGGGCCCGATGTGCTGCAGTTCCGGCCCACGCTAGAGGGCATTCCCCGCATCGCGTCGATCGGCCCGCCGCCCAACTTAGCCCAGCTCGAGGGGCGGTCTTCCCAGCTTCTTGAGTCGATTCGATGGCACCAAGGACTTGCTTGCGTTACCATTCAGTTTTTATTCTGTGCCATGAGCTAATTCCGCTCTCCATCCTCTCCCCGTCGATCCTGTTCCATAGGGCTCTCGCCTCGAGAACTTGACCTGGCGGCGGTGGAACATGGAGCGTCTGGCCGGCAACGGCGATGGCATCGACCATTGCACGACCGGCAACCCACATGACAAGACCAACAATTTCTCCGGGGCAGCGGAGCAGACAAACCGACCGACGTACCCTATGCCACCACCCGGCCTCAATCAGCGCTTCGACTTTGTCAAGGCCAAGGAAGAATCGCTGGCACTTGATAGCCTTTTGGGTCTTTCTTCGGCCCCACCCTTGCGATCAACTCCTACTACTTCGGTACCACCTCCAACTTCAATGCCACGATCGCAGCAGCAGCAGCAGCAACAACAACAGCAGCAGCAACAGCAACACCAGCAGCAACACCAGCAGCAACGGCAATCCTTTCATCAGCATACGTCTCTCCCCTTGCATGCTCCTCAACCTCATCACGCCTTCCAGCCGATGGACTGGACCTCCCAAAACCTCGGGCCGCCGCCAGCGCCGAGCCGCATCGCACTTGCCACGCCGTCTTGGACCGCACTGTTCCCTTCATCGGCACCGCCGCCGGCATCGAACACTTTTGCCCCCTTCTCCCCCTCGGCCCAACCGCGAGCCCAGGTGAGCGAAACGCCGTCTTCTCACGCGCTCTCGGGACCGAACTCGGGTTCGGCGTCGCCGTATCCCTTCCAACCCCAATCGGCCGGCTTGTTCACGCTACCGCCGGCAACGACCATGTACGATGACGTCAATTCTGCCCTCGCGTCCTCTTCCGCTGGGCCTCCGGCGTTCTACTCGTCCTACGGATTGTATCAGCCCATCTCGGGGCCTTATGCACGCTTTCTTACCCCGAGTCCCGAACCCTCCGTCTTGGGCGATTTTGAGCTTGACCTTGAACTCGCGAGTGGTGGCTCGGGCAACGGAATCGACGTTGGCAAGGATGGTGGTGTCCGCGATGGCTCGAACTCGATCTGGAATGGGACTACGCCTGAATCCGCTTCAAACGGAACAGGTCCTTCCCCGGCGGGCGCCTCGGTGACGGGAAGCGATCTGCTTGAGCAGATGACCTCGATGTCGGGACCATCGAGACCAGGGATGCTCGGCCGAACCGATTCGTATGAGTCGAGTACACTGCAGGACCACCCGCCGAGACCGCCGACGCTGGGTTTGTTTTCGGGGCTTTCGACACTGGCTGGTGCCGCGACATCCTCGGCCGCTCTCGGCGTGTTGGATCAGCCGTCTGGCGAGGATCCTTTCCAACAACTTCAGCGCCACATGCAGGACTACGCGTTCCCCGTCGACGATGCGACTGCGGCAACGATGAGTGCTTGGCCGGCCACGATCGAGGAGGACGAGAATGAGTCCGTGCTGCCCTCTGGCTCGCTCGCGCTCGGTTCGCAGCTAGGACTGACCAAGTCGGGCAAGCCGCGGAAGCCGCGGAAGCCGCGAGCGCCCAAGGCCAAAACCGGCGATGCGTCCGCTCTACCCGATGCGTCAACCATAGCCGCTTCGACTTCGATGGGTCCCAGCCCAGAACAAGCCTCGACCTCTGCTTCAACGTCCGCCGTCTCAATGCCACCGCCTCAAATCGCAACACCGAATCCTGGTGCGGCGGGCAACTTGCTCGAGACATCTTCCGAAGAACTCGGCTCTACTGCGTCATCCGAAGCAGGCCCTTTGCGTACTACGGGCAAGAAGAACCGCAACCCTCACTCGACCCAATTACCAACCAACGGCGTGCGCAAAATCGTCAAACCCGAAGCGGAAGAGGGACACGCTGGACCAATATGTACTCACTGCAGCAGCATTGTCACGCCGCTGTGGCGTCGAGGCCCCGATGACGAGCTCTTGTGCAACGCGTGTGGACTGTACCAGAAGCTGCACGGCAAGTCGAGGCCCAAGGCGTTCGCAAAGCAACCGACGAGCTCGAAGCGAACTTCGAATTCGGCGGCCGCACAAGCCGCTGCTTCGGGTGTACCTCCCAGTTGCTTCAATTGTGCGGCAACAAGCACACCGATGTGGCGCAAGGACCAGGACGGGAATTTATGTTGCAATGCCTGTAGCCTGTATTGTGAGTTGGGCCATCGCAAGGTTCCATGACCGAGTTTCGACAACTGAGTTTGCGCCTCTCTTTTTTCTGCAGACAAACTGCACAGCGTTGTTCGACCTCCCTCACTGGCCCACAAGCGCAAATCGACAGTCGACGGCCATTCTGCTGGATCAAAGACAATCCCCTCCACTCGACGCAACTCTATCGATCAATCCCACCTGACCTCGCACCAAACCTCGCTGAGTGCTTCCCCGCGCATCAACTCGACTCATGCTCTACCGTCACTGGCAGCTGCAGCTGCGGCAGCGGCTGCCGCCGCCGCCGCCACCGCGCCATCGCCAAGTACCGATCCCCCACAAGTGAACCAGTCGTGGGAGTTTAACGTTTCTGCAGTCGCCCCTCCGATGACCCAGTCCCCCCATTTCGCTAATTCAAACCTGCCCACCCTCGACAACGATCAAAGCTCGATGGGCATGGGTGCCAACTTCTCACTCCCAGTGACGAGCTACTCGGGCTTCAGTTGGCGAGCCATCACTCCTGATGAAAGCTACTCGAATCCCGGCTCGAGGGCACCCAGTCCAGAGCCTAGGAAGAGGCAGAGGTACGATGGCGTCGCTAGGGTTGAAGGGGGTCAACCGCAGGTCGACGGATGAATGAGCGGCGCGCCACCGTCTCGGCCCTGGAGGCTCGCGAAGAGTTGTAACAAGTACGCAGGTTTGTATGGCAGGAAAAATCCTTAAAACTAAAGTTGTATAAATTAGTTGTAATGTGAGTTCCTGTTCTCGTGTCTTGATACCCACCCCAACTCTTTGCTTTATCTCCTTACTTGATCCGCTGTGGGCTTGCTTCTCTAACGGTGTAACGGTGGAATGGTGTTCAAGTTGCTGCTGTCTGTCCGGATAACCACGACTTCCTTCGCTTCTTTATCGTTATACCTGAATGAATTTAAAGGTGCTTTGAACGGGAATTGTTTATGTGAAGGGCCAGACGAGCAAATCGCAGAACCAAAAATTCCTGCAGGAGAGCACTCGGGACAGTCGGACCGAGCGCACCGTTCTTCAAAATTTCGGCAACGGCGTGCAAGCGCCTCCTGGGCCGCACACGCTCCTGCAGCTGGAGTCCTGGACCGATACGGAAGGGGAAGTTGCAGGGATTCGCCTCGAGTCAAGCCCGTTGGAGAATGCTGTGCCGCCCTTCTCCTCAACATCGAGACGAAGGTACGAGCGATACGCGATACGGATAATTGTCACTGAACGCTCTACACGTCTGATCTATCTTTGGCACTGGACACCGGCGCTTTTGAAGGGTCGCCGGGTCCTTCCTTTTGGATCGATTTACCCGCGGTCCCGAGTCGCTGTTATTGCAACGTACTACGCACGTTTACCTTTTCCCTTATCCTCTCACTGCCACCCTTGACGTCCAACAATTTCCGATCCGCACCATGACCGTTCACGACAAGCGCTGGTGGAAGGAAGCCGTCGTCTACCAGGTGAGACCGAAACTATCTCTGACAACTGCGACGATCATTTCGTCTAATAAGTGTCAGTGGGGCAATCCTGCCGGGCCGCGCTCAGGCAAAGGGCATGTTCGCACAACTTTCGGCAATCTGACGACACGTCAGGTACCGAATGGCCCAGAGATTGGTCGGAAGAACAAAGTCGCTGACTGGACGTCGTACACTCCACATTGTCCCGGGCCATGGCATCCGCGTTGTAGATTTACCCGCGCACGTTCAAGGACTCGAAGGGGCAAGGAGACTACGGAGACATCCAAGGCATCATCTCCAAGCTTGACTACATCAAGAAGCTAGGCGTCGATGTCGTTTGGGTCTCCCCGTTCTTCAAATCGTACGTCTTTCGCGCCGGTGCACGTGACCTCGGGGGTTCGGAAATACGTTCCTTAGCTAATCCGAGATTCATCCGCCTTCAGCCCCCAAATCGATCTTGGTTACGATATCTCCGTATGTCGGGGAATAAGGCTCTCACTACGTATTTTACTCTCATGTTAACACTTCTTCAACCCGCAGGACTACCAAGACGTTCACGAGCCGTATGGAAAAGTTTCGGACGTCGAGGAGCTCATCGCGGGCTGCCATGAGCGAGGTATGAAGGTGTGAGTGACCAATGCACCCCCAAGAACGCGTGTGTCTCTTCTTTTTGCTGTGCTGACCTTCTGGGCCACGCCGTTCAGCCTGTTTGATCTCGTAGTCAACCACACCTCAGACCTGCACCCATGGTTCAAGGAGAGCCGCTCGAGCAAGGACAACCCCAAGCGAGACTGGTACATGTGGCGCCAGGCTCGCTACATCGATGGTGTCCGTCATCCTCCTTGCAACTGGAAAGCCGCGTTCGGTGGCTCGGTCTGGGAGTGGGATGAACCTTCTCAAGAGGTGAGTCGTGGTCTGAACAAAGAGAGCCGGATGTCTTGAAGCCGGACTGACTTCCGCGTAATCGCTGCGATCAGTACTATCTCCACTACTTTGCCGTTGAGCAACCCGACTTGAACTGGGAGAACTCTGAAGTGCGCGAGGCCATTTATGGCGAGGTATGCCGGTTTTGGCTCGACAAGGGTCAGTCAATACGACCAGCGCAACTCGGCCGACTCCAACAAGGCTCAAACCGTTCGTCGATATGTGTTGTGTACTTTGCAGGCTGTGACGGTTTCCGAATAGATACTGCAAACCTCTACTCCAAGCATCTCGACTTCCCCGATGCCCCTATCGTCGAGTGCGTTCCATCCTTCTCGGCCACTACTTCTGTGAAGCCGATCCTGATTACGCAGCTTTCTGGGGTCCCACGTCGTATAGTCCGAGCAGCCCCTACCAAGCGGCATGGAAATTGCTTTGTAACGGACCCAAGATCCACGAATTTCTCCGCGAGCTCCGAAAGGAGACTTGGGGTCGGTACGAGTGAGTCGATCCGAGCTCGCCGACGTGCAGATCCTCGGACAGCGCTGATGTTGGCATGGGTGCGAAACAGTGCCATGACGATCGGAGAATGTGGAGAGACGTTCGAGATCGAGGACATCCTCAAATACGTCTCTAAGGAGGCTGCACAATTGGACATGATTATCCAATTTGATCTCGCCAGCATCGACCACGGCTCTCGTCGCTTCCAGTTCCTGCCTCAGGAGTGGAAGCTCAGCCAATTCAAGAAGATCACGCAGCGCGCTCAGGAGCTCACGGACCCTAAGAACGAAGCGTGGGCCGCAACCTACCTGGAGAATCACGATCAGGTCAGTAACAATTCGCGTAACCGCAACTCTGGTCCATGCAAGCTGATTACGGATATGGATCGTGTAGGGCCGATCCGTCCCTCGATTCGCCAATGCCTCGCCCGCGCACCGTGTCAATTCCGCCAAGCTTCTCGCGACCTATCTCCTTTCGCTCTCTGGAACGCCCATCATCTACCAAGGCCGTGAGTACTTAGTGAAATGAATCATGATACTTTGACCGGAAAGACTGACGGCGGCACAAAAAAATGTTGACCTTCTCCAGAGGAGATTGGGATGATCAACTGCCCCGAATCGTGGGAGATTGAAAAGGTAGGTGGGTATGGTTTTCAATCCCCGAAAAGTCTGCTCGCGCCAACCAATAGAACTGATGGGGAAATTTGGGGATCGAAATACAGGAATACAAGGATGTGTTGACCGTCAACATGTGGGAGGAGATTAAGCACGCCGCCGAGGCCGAGAATGACCCGGAGCTGTTGGCCCAAGGTCGTAAGGGTGTGACCCTCTACGCCAGAGACCACGCACGTACTCCGATGCAGTGGGACGACGGACCACAGGCCGGGTTCAGCACCTCGCCTAATTTGTGGATGCGCGTCATGGACTCGTACAAGGAGATCAACGTGGCGGCGCAAGAAGGTGCCGCCGAGTCGCCGCTTGAACACTACCGCCGCTTGATCACTTTTAGGAAGCAACACCCCGAAGTGACCGTCTACGGCGACATCGAGATCCTTGACCTCGAGAACGACGAGACCATGCTCTACCTCAAACGTTCCAAACACGGGAAAGCGCTCTTCTTTGCGCTCAACTTTACCGCCGACGAGCAGGCGTTCGAGCTCCCGGCCGTCGACGGCATTGAGTTTGAGATTGTGCAGGAGCTCAAGTACGGCAAGGGCCAAACGGGTAAGACTCTGGGCCCCTACGAAGCCCAGGTCTTTGCCGGGCGAGACAAATAGAAGAGACCTGGCTGTATATACCGTTTCGGTGGTAACCATGTCTTATTTCTCACTACCGTAAATCCTCTTCGATTTTTCCAACCGAAACGAATTTGAAGCACAGACACATAGGCTATATTGCAATTGCACATTAAACAAAGTGAAACCCCATTTCCACAACACTACTTCCGAAGAGTCAAGCGACATCCCCACACCCCACCTCAGGCCTCGACAGCCATCGCGACATCAAAGACACCCGTACCGCTGACCGGGGCCTTGCCGAGCACAATGTTGGCCGACGGCGTTCCGAGGTCGTCAAAGTCACCGAGCAGGGCCGCCTCGGCGACAAAGTTGGCGGTCGTCTCGAACGATGCCTTCAGGAAGGGACTCGAGTTGTTACTCAGACCGGTACGGTTGAACGGCTTGTACTGGCCCTCGGAGGTCATGTAGTCGGCGATGATGGTCAAGTGTCGGTAATCGACGCCGATACCGTAAACGGAAAAGACGCCCGACATTTCCTTGATGATGGACGTGCGAGCCGCCTCGACGCCGTACGTGCGCAGAATTGCGCCAATGTCGTTGGTGTAGATGTTGTTGAGGTCGACGACGTTGTGGCCAAAGTTCCACGTCGCGCGGAGGTTCACACCTTCGGTCATGCAGTTGCGCTGGGCCGCGTCCTTGGACGCTGCCGCCTTGGCGACGAAGCATCGTGAGATGCCCGGGATCTCGTGGATGACCGTTTGACGGCAGACGCCCTCCACGATACCGACGAGCAGCAGCTTGTGGGCGCGAGACGAGAACTGTAAAATGAACCAGAAGATTAAGTTCGGAGCTCTGAACGTAGTATGGGGCACAACTAGAACCTACCTCGAGCTCCAACTCGCACCAGCCTCCATTGACCTTGTCGAAGGTGACCTTATCGACGAAACGACTCTGGTCAGCGGCCTTGCGTTCGAGCGCGCCGAGGCGCTGCAGTCGAGCGGCCTTGCCAAGCTTCTTTGGTCGAAGCGCATCGCCGTCCTCTGCCTCTGATTCGGATTCGGAGCTCTCGGACGACGAGTCGTCGCTGTCGCTCTTGAACGCAGCCTCGAGCGCGTCCTCGTCCATCGCGATCTCGCCGTCGAGTTCGATCGGTTCCTTCTTGGACGACTTTTTGGCCTTCTTCTTTGACTTCGTCTCTTCCTCCTCTTGGTTATCGTCATCGTCGTCTTCGTACTCTTGCTCGTCGTTCATCCTCTTGCCACGCTTGGCGTCGTCGGCATCGGCGTCTTCGCCATCTTCCTCCTCGGCACCACTTCGTTCCCGATACGGTGCCGGGAGCTCCTCGTCACCTGCGGCGTCACCTGCGGCGTCACCTGCGGCGTCACCCTCGTTCTCGTCCCCCTCAGCCCGAGTTCGACCTCCCGCCTTGTTGACCTTGGTTCCCTTGCCCAGACTGGAAGCCTGACTCTTGTTCTCCTTTTCATTCTGCTTGATCTCCTTCAAGATGGCCTTGTCCAAGAGGTACACGAATTGTCGCTCGATGCACGCCAAGATCTGCTCGGCTTCGATCGCATGCTCCTTCTCGTAGTCCTCGCGAGGGAACAGACCCAAGCGAATCGTGTAGAGTTTCTGCCGCGAATGGTTGTTCGCCTCCGTCTTGGCCGAAAGGGTTTCGCGCACCGTGACTTCGTCAACGACCTGAGACAGCGTCAACCTCGTCGAGTCTTGGCAGAACGTAGCGAGATTTGCTTCGGTGACGTTCGCGAGGATGGGCAACTGCATCGTCGGCGTCCTGATGTGTTGCGAAGCGGTCATGACGATTTCCCTCAATCGCGGGATACCGAGCGTGACGTTGGCCGCACCGTGGCCGGCGAAATGGAACGTGTTGAGCGTCATCTGCGTCGAAGGCTCGCCGACACCTTGCGAGGCCATCAACCCGACCGCTTCTCCCGGCTCGACCAAAGAGCGCATGTACCGCATGTACATCAACGAACGGAAGTGCGCGAGACCCATCAGTTCGTCCGTGCGCACGAAAGCGGGCCAGTCCACGCGATGCTTCTTCTTGGTTCGGAGCAAGCGCTGGGGGTTCGTCTTGATGTAGTTCTCGATTGCGGCGGCGTAGGTCTCGGAAATGGAGCCGAGATGGGTCGAAGGCGAGAGCCTCGACAGGACGGGCGTGACGCGATCGGGGTGCTTGAGCGCCTCCTTTGATGGCCCTTCCCCGAGGTCGACGACGCGGTCCAAGACCTCCTGGGGCGAATAGCGCTGCACGAGCGAGGCCGTATTCCGGACTGTGAACTCGATCTGGTGCAGGTGCTTCTGCTTCGTCACGTCCAGCCCGTCCTCACCGTATTGGAACTGCAGGATAGACTGATCGGAATTGCGCACGGTGTGGTCGTAGTGTACCCTCAACCCTTCAAGATGCTTGATCAAGCAACGTTGGAGATACCCAGAACGACTCGTCTTAACGGCCGTATCGATCAAACCTTCTCGACCAGCCATGCAATGGAAGTAGTACTCCTGGGGTCGAATACCCGTCAAGAAGCGACCGGCAACAAAGCCACCCGCGCGTGGTGCGGTCTCGAACGGTTTGAACGAAGGCAGCGTCTTTCCACTGACCATCGTCGGCACGCGTCGACCTTCCAACGACTGTTGGCCCAACAGGCACGAGATCTGCGAAGCGTTGACGTTGGACCCTTTGGCTCCCGAAACGGTCATCGTTTGCATATGGTTGTGCGGGAACGGCTTGACCAACCCGCCGGGGAGACAAGTTTTGATCAACGAGGTCGTGACGCCGTTTGTTTCACCTTCGACGGTCGCGTCCAAGCCGGCGAGCTTGTAGTCGTCGCGGAGCACTTCCTCCAATCGATCGCGCAGATCCTCGGCGGTCGCGGGATCCGATCGATCGGCTTCGGCAAGCCCGACGTAGTCCAATGCTGCTCCCAAACCTTTGGCGTTGACGGTTTGCAGCATCTTGCGTCGGTCCGCATTCCCCTGCGGCGTCAGGAGCAGATCGTCCATTCGGCAGGTGAAGGCCCTCGACTGCAAGAACTTGGTCAAGACCCTTGACAAAATGGAGAGCAATTTGCCCGCGATCATCGCGCCGTAGAGCTCGTACACCGAATGAACGAGACCATAAGGCGAAGCACCAATTTGAGCCTTGTCGAGTATACCGCAGATGAGTTCACCGTCGACAAAGACGACTTGTTCTTCCGTGACATGCGCAGGACCCCACATCGAACCGGGAACTTTGGCCTTGCAGGTAAAGTTGATGCCCGCCGCATGTCGAGGCTTGATGTTCAGCAATAAAGTCGAGATGACCTGCTTGCCAGTCCATAGCGGCCTCGGCTTCCAAATGGTCGGTGGCAACGTCTTGAGCAGACCGTCTTCGCCCGAGTAGTCGTCCTCGGAGCGCAGGGCACCGTAGATGAGTTGTTGGTACTGCTCGCGCGTGAAGAAGGTATCCTTGTTCGTCAACCACACGCCGGCGACGACGTGATCTTGAATCAGACCGCGCAAGGGGTTTCCGGACGTTGGCACGAGGTATTGGTTGTCCGTGTTGGCGATCAGACGAGCCTCGGCTTGCGCGATTAACGATTGCGGGAAATGAATGTTCATTTCTGCAAATCACATCGCAGGAGGGGTATTTAGCAAATCAAGCGCGACCATCCGAGACTAAGTCCGCTGAACTCACCATCACCATCGAAATCGGCGTTATAAGAGTTACAGTTCGCATAATGCATCCTGATGGTCTTTTCACCCTTGAGCACCCGAACGCGATGACACATCATCGAAGGCTTGTGCAGCGTCGGTTGTCGATTCAAGATGACGATATCCCCGTCCTGCAAGTGTCGGTAGACCTTGCGGTTAATTTGCGGGCTGCGGGTTGAGGGCAGGCCGACGTCCGGTCGATCGAGGCGGGAGGTGGCTGAGGCGCGCGATTCAGGCGCCAGGAGTTTGTTGGCGTGCGCGGTACGGTCTTCAATTGAGAGCTTGTCCTATGGTATGAAGTTTCAAATTGTCAGTTCGGAAGACCTTCGGACACCGAGAGCGCACTCGCAACGTACCAGTGAAAGCAAGTGACCATCTTCCATCTGAATGAAAGCCGCACCCGGGTGCTTGTGCGGTCCATTAATAACCATCTGCCTCAACAGCTGCACATTATGATCCGTCACCGGTTCCGGCAAGGTCAACTTTCTCGCGAAAACGGGCGGCACACCGATCTCGTTCGTCTCGATATTGACATCAGGGGAGATGACCGAACGTGCGGCGTAGTTGACACGTTTGCCCATCATGTTTTGTCGGAACAGCCCTTCCTTCTTCTCGAGGAGTTGCTTGACACCCGGTGGTGGCAATTTGCCCTGTTTGACGATCATGGGGTTCTTGGACGAGTCCATCATCGAGTTGACCGCGACCTGGAGGTTGATCAGAGATTCCAACAATTGGATGTACAAGCGCATCGGATCAACGGTCGGCTTCTCCCCTTCGACGACGCCATTACCATTCGCTTCGAGAATGGCCTTTTGCGCGTTCGCGAGATTGACATTGAGGTCGCGGACGACGAAGGTCTGCCTCAGGATGCCGTTCAGCAAAGCGTTTTGCGGGTTCTCAAACACCTGATCACCCATCGTCGAAGCGGGCCTGAACCGTGTCGGAGGAACGGCGACGACGTCCATGAAGAAGATATCGGCCGACGCATCGGGCTGAGCCGACGATAGAGGGCCGTGTGGTGCGTAGAGCAGGGCGATGATCTCGGCCTCGTTCTTGAACAGGAGACGGAGGTGCGCTCGTACTTCGTTAGCGGGAACGATGCGCTCGGTTTGACGTCGTACGGCACCAACGTTGCGGTCGTCGGCGAGCGGGTCGTCGCCCTCGTCTTCATCCTCGTCCTCGTCCTCGCTCGTCATGTTGGCCGAAGATCGGTCGTCGTCATGATCGTCATGATCGTGCTCATGATCGACGTCCATCGCGTCCTCGTTCTTTGCCGCCGGTGCAGCTCCCTCCTTGGTTGATGCGAGCATCAGATCCTTCATCTTCATCCTCTTGATCCCTTTGCTCGCATGAATCGCAACCTGCTTGCCGACCAAACTATACTCGACAATCTTGGTATGCCCTTCCTTCCTCAACCGATGCGCGAACGCGCCACACCTCGTGCACTTCTTCTTGCCCGCCAACAGCTTGACGAATTCGGCCATGACTTTTTTCCTCTGATCGTAGACCGTGCCCGATCGTTTGTATTCGTCGCGCGTGGTCGAAGAAGGATCGAGCTTGGTCGCGCGCTTGATCGCCCTCGCGACAAAGGTTTTGAGGCGAATTCCAAAGTCCTCGATCGATTCGACCTCGTTCTCCTCCTCGTCGGGGTCGACCTGTCCCGGTTCCAACGTCGATTCACCGACCTCTCGATCGGCGAGGGTGGCGTCCTTGTCGTGCTTCTTGTTCTTCTTCTCGCCCGAGGAAGCGGCGCCGATGATGTTGATCTTGGTCAGTTCGTTCGCTTCGACGACCAGGCCTCGTTCGAGCAAAGTCAACCGGGCAATATATTTAAAGACCTGTCCGAGCAAACTGGTCTATGATCAGTCACCCCACTTTTGCATCTTCACCCCGCTTGGAACTTTGCACACTGACCAGAGCCTCGGAGATCAAGAAACGATGACAGTAGGTGCAAGTTCCCCGCAACAACTGGTACGCTTGAATCAGGTACAGAGGGTGGAACATGGGCTGTGGGAGTTCAATGTGACCAAAGTGTCCGGGGCAGTCGTACGAGTTGAGTTTGCATGTCGTACAGCTGTGAGATCGCATGGAGAGGGACGGGAGAATAGGGGGGGAGGGAGGAGTGAACAGGAGTGCAAAGGCGGAGATCAGCTCTCGGCCGAGGCCACCAACAGTGCAATGAAAATGAAACGCACATATCCCCCCTGTTGAGCGGCCCAAAAGCCGGGTCGTACAACCCCCCCTTGTTGGGCTCGTTGAGGTTGTTGAACAGGACCGGATTCACGACCTGCTTGACGCTGATCTTGCGCACGTCGGCCGCGGTCAGGTACGAGAACGAGATGGACGAGATTTGCGACGAGATCGGTTGCGAGATGTTCATCGTGGGCTAGGATCGAGGTGGAGGGAGGTGGAGGGTGATGAGGGGCTTTGAGCTGGCTGGCGGGACAGTTGAGCTTGAAGCTGAGCTCGGGCTGCGAATGAGCGAGCTCAGCGGAGAGCGCACGGGCTTGTAGCTATGTACTTGTTTCGCTCCTGCAGGTGTCCACAACGGCGATACGGGGACCACGACCAGTAGGGGACCCTTCTCGAACGATCGAGGGCTCGCTCGCTACGAGATGACGACCACCGTGTGAAGTGGGAGGTCAAACTCAGGCGCGGAGCTCAACCAGTCCAGATCGTGCCCCGCTTGCTTGCTTGCGAAATGCGCCAAGTCCAGCCGCTCGGACCTCCTCCCGATCTCGCCCACGTCTCATTTTAAGCGGTTAGACAGGGCATCCGGAGTGCACCATCTCTGGAGACTCGCGGTATGTTTTCATCGCTCGGCATGTTTCAAAATACAACAACAACAAAATATTGGAACTATATGTAGCGCAACCGGCCAGGGCACGGATTTTCGCCCCGCGGGTCTCGAATGACTCCCACCCCTTCACTCCCTATCGAGGACCACCTCAGAACGCCCACAGGCCAGCAACATAGTACCTCTTCTCCCCCTCCCCCTCCCCACCATCGTCGACCCAACAGAGCCCACTCTCGACGCCCTTGATGAGCGCCCTCTCGCACCTCTCGGCCCCCCACCCTTCGCCCATCTTGATCCTAGCCAGATCCTCTACCGTGAGGTAACCTTTCTCCGTCGCGAGTTGTACAACGACGAACGAATCCGTATCGAGTGCTTGGGGTCGACATTGCACCAACTTGATGATCGCGTTCGAGTTCGCCGAGGCCGAGGCCGAAGATTTTGCGCCAGCGTCGGAGTGATTCTCGACTCCGTTCGACGAAACGACCTTGTACCCACAACCCAAAGGTCCCAACACTTGGATGGCCTTTTCCAAATCTCCGACGGTGACTTGTTCCGTTCGATCGTCCATTCCGCCGTTCCTCAACTTTCTGACCGCCCGTAAGACAACTTCAACGCTGACCAATCCACCGGTCGCGTCCCTCAAGCCCAAACAAACGTCCACGACCTGCACGCCCAAAGCCACATACCATTCGCCCAAACCTAGCCGATCCCAGAGCTTCTTCTTGCCACCGCCTAAAGGGTCCAAGCCCAACTCGGCGCAGAGACGAGTGAATTCGGAGCGGAAGGTCGGGGAGGAGAGGATGCGAGCTCGATGGGTCGTCGAGAAGGACGCGAGAGCGGTGGTGAACGTTTGTAGTTGGGCTTGGAGAGATTGGGCCTGGGAGCTGAGGAGCGTGGTCGAGAGCGTGCCTGCAGATGAGATAGGGGCTTAGTGGACGCCCGGAAAGGGGCGGGGAGAGAGAGAGAGAGAGAGAGAGAGAGAGAGAGAGAGAGAGAGAAGATAAGGAAGCTTACTGTAGTGGGACTGCGAATCGAGGTGTCGTTGCAGCGAGGTGTAGCCTACACCGGTTCGTCTGGCCATCGCGAAGGCTTGTTGCCGTAATTCGGGGGTGCTATAAGCTGTGTTGTACGAGCGAGAAAGGCGCGGCGCTCGAGCTTCCCCCACCTCCCGACTCACGCGCTTCTCATCCGCGCTCATCCTCGTCCTGTTCGGCGCTCCCCTCTGGCTCCGAACTGGTACAACTGTTGGTACGTTCGGCGGCAGAAGATGGGCCAACACCTCTCCGTACCACCATCCTCGTACGCCACAGCAGGAGGGCACCATGGCTCCTCCACGGCGACGGGCACGCTCGTGACCGCTGCCGCCGCCGCACCGAATGGCCCAGCAGCGAACGCGACGAATGCCTCTTCGGCGATCGGCGGCGGCCTCCTCGCCGAGTTGGGCGCCGAGATTGGCTACGACAAGAGGTGAGTCAACCCAGGTGCTTCACAGCAGGAAGTTACCGAGCTCATGACCGCGCACATCCACAGCATGGGCGCCTCGCGGTTCCTCAAGACGATCCGAGCTCGTCATCGCTCGGGAGCTCTCGTCGTCAAGGTCTTTGTCAAGGATGACCCGGGATTGAGTTTCAGGCCGTTCGAGGAGAGAATAAAGCGTGCGTTACACTCGTCGCTGTGCGCGCACGCTTCCCGTCTCTCATCGCTGATCCATCCGTTCTCCCCCGTTCGCCCCCACTTGTATCAGTCGAACGAGAAGCCCTGTCGCAAGGCGCGAATGTGCTCGCCTATCAGCGGGCCGTGGAGACCGATCGTGCGACGTATCTTGTTCGGCAGTGGATGGCTTCGAATCTGTACGATCGTATCAGGTCAGTCGCAGCAAGACGACCCTCCGAGCTCACCACGGCGCTCTAATCGCTCCCTTGTTCCTCCGATCACCTCGATAGTACGAGGCCGTTCTTGACCTCGATCGAGAAGAAGTGGATCGCTTTCCAGCTGTTGATGGGATTGCGATATGCTCACGAGAGAGGCGTAAGTTGAGATCGTTGACGACCAAGTGCCCACTCCGTAGGGCTAATTCACCCCCCACTTGGGAACAGATCTCCCACGGTGACATCAAGACCGAGAACGTGCTGTGCACCTCGTGGTCCTGGGCCCTTTTGACCGACTTTTCGTCAGCCTTCAAACCTACCTACCTCCCCCTCGACGATCCCTCGACCTTTTCCTACTACTTTGACACCTCTTCCCGACGGACATGCTACCTCGCGCCCGAACGTTTCTACACCCCCGATTCCGAGATCGCTCGTCAAAAAGCAACCTTGGGCTGGGGTCAAAGCGATGGACCCGTAACGGAAGCGATGGACGTCTTCAGTCTCGGCTGCGTCATGGCTGAAATGTGGATGGAAGGTACACCACCTTTTACCCTATCACAATTATTCAAATATCGCGAGGAAGGAACGACGACGACGACGGCTGTCGAACCGCAGGAAGGGGAAAGGTATTCGTTGGAACCGTACCTCAACGAGATCGAGGACGTCCCGATGAGGGATCTTGTTCGGTCAATGGTCTCGCGGCAGCCTAGTCAGCGAAAGAGTTGTAAGGACTATCTGGACGAGTCCAAGGGGACGGTCTTCCCCGAAGTTTTTTATACTTTCCTCCATCCCTTTTTGGCGGGATTGAACGAGGGTTCGTCGATTGGTGCTGAAGGAGGAATGAACGTGAACCCTGCCTCGACGGGGATCACGACCACGACTCTGGGTGGTGAGACGCTGGCCCCTCGTTCGATGGAGACCAGCACGAGCTTACGATCGGACTCGGACGACAAGATCGAAAGAGTGTGGAACGAATGGGAGATGGTAATGCAGTACCTCGAAGACGACCTCGTCGCGTCGACCATCATCAACAAGGACGCCAACGTGGTGGAGCCTACACCTGTTCCGGGGACACCAGCCGAGACCTTTCCCGTCCTCTTGGACGTCCCGGGCCTCGAAGCATCCCCGGCTGTAGGAGGGACCCTCGAGGATGGCCCCGCCTTGATTCTCCTCTCTCTCCTTTGCTCGAATCTGCGCAACTGCGTTCGACCTAGTTCGGTGTTGCGGTGTTTGGATCTCCTATTGGCGCTGAGTCGTTGCTTGACGGATGAAACCAAGCTGGATAGGTTGGTGCCTTATTTGGTCGCCACGCTTGGGGACGATGCGCCGATGGTCCGGAGTGCGGCCATTAGGAGTTTGACGCAGGTGGTGCGTAGTCTCTCGAGAGCTCTTCCGCGTATGCTCATCGAGCTGAACTGTGCTTGGTTCGCAGCTCCTGACGATCGACTCGGTGACCCCTCTTAACGCCTCCATCTACACGGAGTACATCCTGCCCAACATGCGACCCCTAGCGACCGACGATTCGCTCCTCGTCCGATCCACATATGCGACCTGCCTCCCCTCTCTAGCAACCCAAGGCAAACTCGTGCTCGACACAAACCAAGCGCTACAAACTACCTCCTCCGCCGCGATCCCACAACCCCCACTCGACGACCTCCCCGAACCGTATGACCTCCAGCTCCTCACCCTCCACCAAACGATTCAAGACCATCTCCACCCTCTACTCTCCGATCCCGACCCCTTGGTCCGTCGATCGCTCCTTTCCCACATCGGCGAACTGTGCACCTTCTTCGGTCCCCATCGCGCGAACGATGCCGTTTTGGCTCATTTGGTAACGTACCTCAATTCGAGGGAATGGAGGTTGAGGGAAGCGTGGAACAAAGGTGCGGGGGAGGTTGCCAAAGTCGTAGGAGGTAAAAGTTGGGAGATGTTCTTGGCGCCTTTGATGGTGTTGAGTTTGGCAGGTTCGTTTCCATCCCTCTACCCGTCTCCGTTCCCTTGAAACATCGCTGATCAATGGGTGGAATGCGACGGGGATAGATAAAGAAGAGTTTGTGACGGTTCAAGTTTTGACCTCCCTGACCTCGTTGATGCGACAAGGTCTGATCACCAAAGTCAAAAAATGGGAATTGGTCGGACTCATTACGGGCTTCTTGTGCCATCCCAACATCTGGATACGAGAAGGTGCGTCCCCAGTGGCCTGACTCTCCTTCGAGAGTGCAACTGATACTTGTGTGATTACCAGGTGCAGCGAGTTTCCTCGCTTCAACGAGCGATACCCTGGACCCGACGGATCGATGGTGTATCCTCTACCCGACGATCAAGAGGCTTTTACGTGCGGACATCAAGGAAATTACGGCCTTGTCCATCTTGGACAATGCGAGGGAACCGGTTCGTTCTATCAAAGGGCTGCATTCGGATCTCATCCTGCGAAGAGCAGCAAGTTCCTGATGCTTTCATGATGTTTCCAGCTGTCACGCGTCATCTTTGAAGCCGCAGTGAGCTGGGCCGGTCGAGCAGGTAAGAGTCATTTTTGGAGCGCGAATGGATCAAGCAAGAACGCGACAAGGGAGAAGGGCGCACCGAGGGACGTCGGAGTGAGGACGGACGAGTGAGTCGATACGAGCCCATCATCGCATTCGAAGATTCTCAAGCTGATGAAAAGAGACTGCGACGCACAAAGGGACCAAGCCCAATTGGACAAGATGCGACAATTGGGGATGAAGTTCCCTGACGACGAGGTCAAGCTTAACCTTATGAGGGATTACATCTCTCGGTTGGCGGTCGCTCGGCAGGCGTGAGTAGCTCGATGCTCATTACAGAATGTTTGGCAGTAATGGCTGATAACTTTGCACTCTCTCGATCCATTCTGCAGCAACCCAACCAAATCGACTGAGCCGACTTCCTCATCCACACTCGACCCGATCACCCACCACCCCGCCACGGTCCTCCAAGACCTCGGCATCATCCCCGAAACGATCTTTTTCAACATCAAGAACGACGAATCCAGCGCACCAACGGACCGATCAACGAGCGGTCTCCCACGTCGCTTCTCCCTCGAGCCCTCGAGTACACCACGATCGGTGTCGGAATTCAGTGGCTTGGGTGTCGGTGTCGGTGCAAGTCCCGATGGACGCGGATCGCGAAGTCGACAAGTGTTGGGTACGCCTTCCTCGACTACGGGGCAGATCGATGATTTGCGACGACGACTCGCTCAAACTTCCCTCGAGGGTACGACGGTCCCACCCTTGATCGGTCCTTCTCCCTTGAGACATCCACAACAACGTACCGTATCCGAAACTTCCTCCATCAAAACGCACGTTACCGAATCCTCAACGACGACCACGACCACTTCCGGGACCCGAGTGCAAAAGAACCTGTTCGAAGTCGGCAAAGTCGGTGCAGAGGTCGGGGAAGATCTGGCGAACGCGCAGGGGAGGTTCGAGGTTGCCCTCGGGACTTCGCAAGTACGACGAGAGGGCGCGATGGGGATCGGTTTGGGTGAGAGCCCTTCGGGTGGTCAGATGAAGAGGCCGTCGAGGTTGGGCAAGGTGCAGCAGCAGAGGTTCGAGACGACGTACAGTGAGTTATTGTCTGAAACGGTTTCGATAGCGGGTCTGCATTGTAAGAAGCTGACGTTCCTCTCTGTCGGTGCCTTGATCCAGCCGGGAGTGAAGCAGGGGTGAAGCAGCTGCTCGAACGAGCCTACCTGGAAACGTACCGCGAACCCATCGCCGATTTCGGACCGCACGTCCCCGTCGGCATCCCGCGTCGCAAAGCCCTACGCACGGCCTTTCCTCCACGAGATCGAACACCCGCCAAACCCGAAGGGACGCTCATCGCGCACTTGGTCGAACATACCGCGGCCATCACTTCAATCGCGGTCTCCCCCGATCAACTCTTCTTCGTCACAGGGAGTCAGGACGGGACCGTCAAAGTGTGGGACTCGATCCGGCTCGAAAAGAACGTCACTTCGAAATCACGACAAACGTTCGATCAAGGCGGGAGAATCACGTGCGTTGGCGTTGTGGAGCATACGAGGTGTGTCGTTAGTGCGAGTGATAATGGGAGTGTGTGGGTACATCGAGTCGATGTTGCTCTCGGAGGGTCGATGCCCCGGTACGGGAGGGCGGCGATGGTGAGGCAATGTACGATGCAGGGGAGGGTCGAATTCGTCACGTGCTTGGACAGCTACATCACAGGTTAGTTATGGTCTACTTGTATCGACTGTCGACTGTGCACCACTTACTAACGCCGAGCTTGACGCAGAAACGACGACCAATTTGATTGTCGGCACCTCGCTGTCCACGATTCAAATCCTCGATCTGCGCACCATGCGGCCTCTGCATACCTGGCAAAACCCTTCCCACCTGGGCCCCATTTCGTCCCTGTGCTTCGATCGCAAAAAAGTATGGCTCGTCGTCGGCACGGCCCACGGCTTCCTCTCCCTCTGGGATCTCCGCTTCGGCCTCTTGCTCCGTTCGTGGTCCATCAGTCCCTCGTCGCACCGAATCGAACGAATCGCCGTCCACCCAACCAAAGGCAAAGGACGATGGATCATTGTCTCCGTTCAGGATTCACTCGAGGCTGAAAGCGATGTGCACGCACATACTTCGACGACGCCACACGGGACGACGCAGATTGCCGAAGTGTGGGATCTGGAGAGAGCGCTCAAAGTGGAAGAGTTCAGAGTATCATCCCCTTCGACCGTTGGAGCATCAACGAGTCGAAATGCTGCGGGGACGGAGGGATCGAGGGCGAACAAGAAGTCGGGGACCGCGATCCCTTCGACACCAGTATTTCGCGCGAAAGAGGCCGTGCTCGACCCGTCGAAAGCGATTGCGATCTTACTTGAACAAGCCACGAATAAACGCAACAACCCGAACGGTGTTAAACTCTCCGACGTCCCCGCAATCAAATTCGATGAAACGACGAAACTTACAACCTCGTCCTCGATGCCCAGCAAATTGACCGTGCGAGCGCTCTGGGCCGGTGTCGATTACTCGCACACCGTCGAAGGTGTGACGGCCTCGTCTTCTCATCCCGGCGGCTTGCACCTCCTCGATGAAGCCTCGTCATCGAATGAGCATTACGACCGTACAGGAGCGAAAGGCGGCTCGAGTGGTGCCGCAGGGTTCTTGTTGACGGCTGGGGAGGATCGCAAAGTGAGGTATTGGGATCTGGGCAAAGCTTCGCAGTCGACGATTGTGAGTGGGCAAGAGCTGGAGGAAGAGACGGCGGTGTTCACGTGAGTCGTTTGTCATACCCCCTCTCTCCTTCGGAATGTCGGACGTGGCTAACCAGATGCATATATTATTGACCTTTGCCCAGTCTGCACTCATCGACAACGCGTCCCTCAATCTACTTGGAATCCCACCCGCCCTCGCAACGAACCTCGCGCGTTCACCGCTCGACCCTGATCGCGAATCATCAACAACAACTCTTGCGAGCCCACCACGATGCGATTACGGCCTTGGCCATTGTCGATCTTCCCTTCAGGTGCATCATCACGGGTGATAGGAGTGGGGTGGTCAAGGTTTTTGAATGAGGGGGCAAAGGGAGAAGGGGGAAGATTATGCTATCGTAGTGCAATGCATGTACATTATTCAGTGTGACTTTCAACAGCTCTTCCGGTGCAGCAGGGACGTGCCTCGAGGAGCTGCAAGGCGCTGCAAGGGAGCTTGCAGAACAGCAGACGAGACCACCAGCGCCCTTCTCTCTCTGTGGGTGGCGACGGGAAGCAGTCAGGGGCTGGTGCGGAGCGCCCGGCGTTACTTTACCAACTTGACGGCGAAGTTGGCAGATTTCGGAGGTGTGATGGAGTACATCCCTGGAAACTTGAGTCTTATTGACTTTCCGCCTCGCCACGCCACGACAGCGCGGCCCAGAATGCGTAACCTAATGAAACCGGCTTATTGCGCTCGGACCGCTTTTCTAATCTTTTGTTTTTGGGCCGCTGTGGGCCGCCCGCGATTCTCCGCCTGCCTGCGAGATTCGATCCTGGCTCAGACTTATAAGCTCAACACCGATTCAACCCCAACTACGCTCCACTCCGCGACCTGTCTTCCGGGCTCATATCCAATCCTTTGCCCTCGTCTCCCTCGTACCCTTTTTCCCACCTTCCCACCTCTTCTATACACGATGGTCTCCCCGGCAGTGAACGTGAGTGCCTCGGTCAATACACTTCAGCGACTACGATGGCCGCAGTCATGGTATATGGGCCAGTGACGGGATCGAATTGAATCCTCGTGGGCCTTGTTGGTGTATTTTACACGTTCGATGTGGCTGTATAGTTTGAGCCGACGTCGTGATCCGATCGCACCCGTCGTCGTGCCTCGCTCGCTCGCTCGCTCCCGACTCCATTAACCCACTAACTCGACCGTGTGCTCCGCTTCCCACCACCACCAGGTCGTGCGTTACTCTGCGCTCTTCTCCGGCGTCGTGTACGGCTTCCTGCACCGCCGCACGCTGCAGGCGCAGTTCGACTCCGACGCCGCGCGCCACGAACTGCACAAGCGGGAACAGTGGCTCGAACAGGCCAAGAAGGCGTGGCAGGCCAAGGTCACCAAGAATGATGGTTGTGAGTTGAGGAGCGAGCGTTCGCACAGCGCGATCGGATGGGATCACGCGAGTGGGGCCCGAGGGCTAGGGGTCGAAATGGGGGGAACCAGAGATCGCGGGTATGCTACGACCGATACTGACCACTCTCTACTCCTTTCATTAGTGATCACCGACCCGGACGCACCAGGGTTCGATCTCGAGGCCGTGCTCAAGTCACTCGAATAAACCGGGGTCCGCCAGACCGAAGAAACGCAGGAAGCGCATGAGCAAGAAAAAGGGACGGACCATCCATCCACATGATATTCGATCGGGATGTCGTCTTGTGAAGGTGTACATGTGTAGTAGAAGTCGCAGAGGAATGGTTCATACACTCGGGTATTCAGGACTTTACGAGAACGCGGGTGATGCGATTTGAGAGACGCGGGGTCGATCGATTGACTGGCCCGCCGCAATCAGGGAAGGTCACAGGCTCGGTGGCGAGCCAAGTTGCGACACAGCCTGCCCCCCACGAGGTCCTGCGACGCGTCAAGATGCCAAATGTGTTCCCGTCTGGTTCCGGAGAGATGCAGCTGGGGGCCTCTCGACAAGATCTCCCTCGGCAGGTGTTTTCAGAATGCAAAGTTTTCCAACATTCCCACAGGAATCATGTCGAGCAAGATTAATCAAGATTAATCGAAGAAAGACATTCTCAAACCCACGAACTCTTAGTCACGGCACCACATCCTCTTCCTTCCATTCCGCTCCCTGCCAACCTACACCCTTCTTCCTGAAGAAATGAACTCGGGTATTGGGTTGGGCACCGAGATCGCAGCTGTGTCGGAACAGACACGGTCAACCGAGTCAGAGCTTGTCCGTGAGGTGTGGCAAGTAGTAAGAGCGCTTACACATCGACGTCGTAAGGTTCCATGATGATGAGCGCAAAGTGGTCCAAAGCTGTCCCAAGTGCCGCATCAATTCTCCGTAAGTCGCGCCTTCTCACTGCATCCTGTCCAAACCCATACGGCTCACCTTCCTTGATCTGCGCCTTCTCCTTCTCCCCTTTAGCTTCCTCTTCACTCGCCGGCAACTCCTTGGGCCACTCCTCCGTCTCCCCCTTGTCGCCCAACTTGGACCCCGGAACAGGTCTCACAAAGCTGGCCCTCAATTCGGGCGACATCTTGTGAAAAATTCGGATCCTCTCTTGTTCCCAATCGAAATCATCCCCGGGGGAAAGACGGTCGAGTATTTCGGCTGGGGTGTGTGTTCCTTGGGAAGGTGGTTTGATGAGGTAGGCTTGGGACCGGATGCGGAATTGGGTCATGGTCGGCAGATGCCACCATGCCAAAGAGGTGGTCGGGTTCGCTTCGAGAGCGAGCGCTTTAGGGGCGCTGCATAACGATAACAGCGAGCCCATTAGTTTGTTGCATTTCTCGTTTTTCCCGTTCAGGTGATCTGTATTTGCGTACCGCACATCGGTCGTGACGATCAAGTTGTCGTTGACCAGCTTCTCGCCTCGAGCATCCTCGCTCGGGTTCGTGGACCATGACGAATCCTCGTTCGACCTGTCATGATTCAAATCACACGGATGAATACATTGAGCTGCAACTCGGCTCAGTCGCAATTTCGTGACGACCCCATTCAAAAAAGTGACCATCAATTCGATCGACTCCCCCCCCTCCCCCCACTCCAATTCTCGCACGCACTCACCTCCGCTCATTCACAAAACCACGATGCACGACGAACCGCGTCGAGCTCTCTCCACTCTCCCCCTCACACGTCGTCAAAGCGAACGAGATCGAGTCCTTGTTCTCCTTCATCGATCGATCCAAACTCTCCCTCAACAACGTCGACCAACGTGGCGTGCGTGCGGTGGCGGTCGATGACGTCGACATCATCGTACCGGCGAGGCTGAGAGCTCGTACTACGTGTGCTTGAACTAGAGGAGCTCTGTGGGAGCTGCTGCGTTGCAGACTTTGGGTGAGGTGCGTGAGGCGTTGAATTGTGGTGCTTTCCGCAGAGCGAGCCCCGGACGAGGAAGCCAGGATGAGTTAACGATGGGGTGCACGTGATGGAGCGCAGGAGGGCAACCGGGAAGTGCTTCGGCGATCGACGACGGTCGAGGCGTGACATTCGATAGTAGATCGTAAGATTGCTGTTTGCGAACACGCCAGCAAAGATATTGGCTAGTAAGAAGTCCCGCACCCCTGGACGGGACCTGCTGCTACAACAAACAACCGCCACAGTGCATATCACGTAACCCCCGCCCTCTAAAGCTACGCATCAGACCCTCGCGCCAATGCTTTGGACGTTCAACGAATAAGAGACTGACGAGCGTGTAATCCAACCGTCAGTTAATTGCAACGAAAGTGGCTGTGAAGCTAAACATGCGTACCTGACGAGCGTGTAATCCAACCGTGGAGAGAAGACAACGGTTGGTGCGCATCGCCAGGCTTCACTAAACAGACGAGCGCTTCTAAACAGATTACCAAAGAACGCGCGGTTCCTAACCCTCATTCCCAACACACCAACTCAACGCTCGTCGATACGCATCGTTCCACCTCTCTTGTTCCTGCACTTTTGTTAAATCATTCTCCTTCTTGTACGACTCTGCAGCAGGGCGTAGTCAAAGGCACGCTGAAGATCAATTACCCTTCCTCTTCGCAAAATAAGCTCAGTAGACTGCCCGATCTTTGAACTTACCCAACAACCTCTCGCCCAACCAAAGCCCCAACCTCGCGTTCCCAACGAGGTGGTCATCGTTCGTAGGCGCCGAGGGTGCCGCCGGATTCTCGGTGGTCGGAGGCATCGCTCGAGCCCCCATGCCTTTGACGAGGTGCGAAGCGGCGTGCAGCATTTTTTGTGCCTGTCGAGTCCACTTTCTGGATCAGCAGGGCTCACATTCCAAGAGACGGATACCGAGAAGAAGGACGTGCCTGATCGTTCCTGGTCATCAAGAACAAATTCGCCAACAAGCTCAACACCAATGCCTTGGCATGGTTCGAATTCATCTGGTTCGACAACTGCAACGCAACCGAGAGGTGTTGCTTCGATTTGGTGATCTCGCCCTTGGTCAAGGACTGGATGAACTCGGCGATCAAGTTCGACGAAGGTGACCACGACGCCGATTCTTCCGCGCAGGTGAACGCGACGATCTTTCTAGCGATCGCGTCGTATCGGGGGGACTCGAAAGCGTTGGACGGGTTCGCGGTCGGACGTTGTGGTGATCCGATCGGGTTCGCACTCGCGTTTGAGCTCGCATGGGTCGACAAGCGGATCCTCCACCCTTGCGACATTTTGAGCATCAACAACGAGAGCCCGGCCAGGACCCGCAAACCTTGGCGCTGCTCGTCGTCGTCGTCGTCGTTCTCGGTTGCTGACGAAGTACTCGTCTTGTACAACACGGTCTCGTAGCATTCCTCGGCTTTCGCGTCGTCCCCCTCGGCATGGAACAACATCCCGAAATCAAGCGTGATCCTCCCCTCGTACTCGTCCCACAACCCCTCCCGATTCCTCGCCGTCGTGACCGCATCCAACAATTGGTTCTTTGCCTGCTCGAACCCAGATCGCATGATCTCCAACTCGCTCGAGAACAAGAGCAAATGGATCTTCATTCGCGCGATGCGGGCGAGGTAATCCGCGACCTCATGCGGTTGCGTCAACGGCGGACACGGCTCGATCCTGTTGAGTTTGAGGTCGAACAGTTTGAGGCCTTCGTTGGCAAAGAGCGTCGAGCGGGGTTTGGACCCGAAAGGATCGCGGTGGATCGCGACCGAGGCGAGAAAAGCAAAGTTGTAGACGAGCGTGCGAGATCCCAAACTGATCGAGATGGATTGGACCGAAGGCAGGGGGGCGCCGAGCGAAGGTGGGGGGACGAAGAGGTCCGCTGGATTGACCCGAGTCTTATTAGGGTCCGGAGGGTTGATGGGGATCTGTGAAGCCCGACCTTTGCTACAATCAGTACAGTGGCACAGCACGTGACCCCCCTGGTTACCCGACCTGACCCACCCTACACCACCCTTCGTCCTCGCTGCGCTTCTCCTCCCCTTCGGCGCGCTCGCGATCCAGCAGCCCATGCGCGAGCTTGAGCTTCTCCTTGGCCTCCTTGGTCAGCCCCATATGCGCCTGCAGCAGACTCTCGATCAAGAGCGCATAGACCTTGAATCCCGAAGGTAGATGTTTCTCGATCAAGTCTTTAGGTCCGAGCGCTTGTAACGCCTGCAACATCGAAGAGACGAGGTGCCACTGCGAGCCTTTGGCGAGAGCCAGACGGGCGATCGAGGTGTAGCACACGGCACGAACGAGCACGTCGCCTCGATGGGTGGCGATGCGATCGACCTCGTACCAGGACGCGAGCGCATCAGTGTAGGATGTGTTGGGCAGGTTCGCGAGGGTGATGTGGAGATGGTAGACCCAATGTACGGGGGTCGTCGGGGAGGACAACAGGCGCCGCAAGGTCTGCCGAGCGAATTTGGACGAGGACGAGAGCGAAGGTTGCAGTAGTGCCAGATGGGGTGTGAAGCTCTTGAGCGTATCGTGCTGCAAATTTGTGACAGAGAATTGTAAACATGTCGAAGCCGAGGGGCCAGACTAGGTGTTTGGCCGCCGGCCTACCTTTTCTGACGCGACCATCTGTAGGTTTTGACATTCGAGCCGAGAAGCGAACGAGAGGTCAAAAAGTGACCGGCGCCGAGTGGAGATTTGCGATCAGCGTCCCAGACCGAATTCGAAAAGGTGCGTCTTGAGCAACTGACCCCTCTACTGGACATCTTGTCCAAGAGTGCACTACTGGCCCCACTCGAGGCCAAACACTCGGCGAGCATCGTCCTCGCCCTGAGTTCGACCCTACCGGAGCCCAAGCCCTGCCACGGCGCGCCGCTGCTGGTGAGCGCGACGACCTGGTCCAGACAGATCGACAGCGCGGCGTGGAAGCGGCGGTACGAGATCCAGGCGAGCGTGTACCGCTTGTGCGAGTTGGTCGAGGAGGAAGGAGGCTTGCACAGCGTCGGGTGCAGGGCCACCGCTTGGGAGTGGTACGATTGTGCGAGCACGAGCAGCAGTAGCGGTAAGGGTAGCTGTTGCAGAGGTCGAGGAGGGGGTGGAGGTGAGGGACCCCACTGCGGTGCAAGATGCGTGTTCGTGCCGACGGGCATGGCCATCGAGGTGGTGGTGGGGTGAACACCAGCCTCAGGCGCTGAGGCTGAAGCTGGAGCTGAAGGGAGAGGCGGGCTCAGGCGGGGTCTTTTGGTCGGAGAGCCCTGCTGGTCGTGGCTACTCTCGTCTTGAATGTAGAAAGGCGGAGTGTGGTGCGGCCCCAACGGCGGCAGATTGGGGTTCATGCCGGTCGACGACGAGCTTGCACTTGCGCAAACGGGAGTGGGGAGCAAGGTCAACAGAGCCGGAGGAGGTCAAAGCGGGAAGCCCCTCGAGCCCTCGAGCCCTCGAGCCACGCGCCGAGGCAGCAGGAGACAGCGCGCCGCGACGTGAGGTGGGCGCTTTGGCTTGCGACCATTTTCATTGCAACACGCGCCCGGACCACCACCACCTGCATCACAGCGCCAGATCTGCCACAACAGTGAGCTCCACGTTGCCGCGTACCTCCTCTTCTCGGCTGCACCAGCTGACGTTTGAGCGTCATGTGTTTGCACAGTGACCCCCACTTCGAATGGGGCTCCTCATTCGGACCTCGATTTCCTCAACTCGTTATCCACCACCGCAGTACCCGCGGATGTCACCAGCTCCTCCACATCGGCCGCAACACCCGATGCCACGAAAACAACAGCGACCTCGTCCGATCCGAATGACATCACCCAATCGCTGGCCTTTATCAATCTCTCGAGGCAACTCGACGCCTCGATCCCGGACTCTTTGGCTTCGACCCAAGCAGCCTACGATGCTCTACTCGAACGCAAGACACCGACACCACAGGACGGTCAAACTGACCAGGACGACGACGAGAACAACGACGACGTCGACGCGGACGAGGACGACGGTCTGGACGAACGAGCGATCCTGGACCTGTTGAACCAGATGGAGAGCGCCGACATGGCCGCGCAGGAATTCGAAGGCAGATTGAACAAGCTCTTACAGGGTCTGGATGGCATGTTGGAGAGTCTCGGCGCCGCGGGACAAATTGGCGCTGCTGATGAGGGGACTACTAGTAGCCATAGCACTGCTCAGGACGACGTTTCACCCGAACCGGCACTCGGCTAAGAGAGACGACACGGATTCCGCAGAGAAGCAAGGAGAATAAAGATACCGATGTTGCCAAAAACATGTCATATTATCAATGTTGTCGAAACCTTGGGTCCAGCTCCAAATTCTCCCCTGCGCACTAAGCGACCTTGTCCAACTCTTCGGCGAAATCCAGCCTCCGACGCTTGCCACGGAGTGCATGGTCCGTGGAGCGGGCATTCGTCATCGCAGCGTTGGGCGTAGTTTTTGATTGTGCGCGAACAGAAACACGGATGACACGCCCGACCGATCAAAGTCAGTTTCTCCGGGCATCTTCATAACAACCATCGGCCACTTTCCCCGGCCCAAAGCAGTGGCAAAGCCAAGCCTAGCGGAGCCGAGGCCAGACTGAACTGGATTCTTTTTTTTTTAGCTGTGCAATCGGACCTTCGGCTGTAAGGTTTGGACGTTTACTCGCACCGAGCCTTGGAAAGTTTGGCGGTGCTGCAAAAGCCTGGCAATTCAAGTGTTGGTGTGGATAGATATATAGCCAGAGGTGCCCTCTGGCTCGCTGCCACCGCGGTCCGCTTTAGACCCTGATTATAGAGCGTCGCTGCGTCGTATTCGCAGTACTTAAGTAACAAGCCACGTTGATGGTACGGTGAAGTAGGGAGCAGAGCCTTATGCAGATGGAGCATCGTATGCCTCGGAATCCCCTCAGCGTTCCAGGCGCAACCCCTGACTCGCTAGTCCCGAGACCGCGGACGGGCGTCGCCGCGGCCCACTTGATCAAATGAAATAGTCCTCATCGTTGCAACAAGACCGCAATGGCTCCCGAATACGACTCAAAAATTGAATCGGAACCTGGTTATTATTAGCTTGCCAATACATCCAGGTGGGACCTGCAGCCACACCAATGTAAGAATGAGAACACCGCCTTTCGCCATCAGGCCGAGCTATGCACCGACGGAGCGGGCACGACTTCCGGCATCAGCGTAGCAAATGTCAAGTAGCTCGTATGCCCCCGTGTCAGAGCGCTTGGTTTGAAAGCGTATTCCCTATTGCCGCGTTGAGCAGGTTTCTTGGAATTATCGGCGACGTAGATCCGAGACGGTTTAGGTACGGTATCAGATGCATGTGCGCCCTCTGCGACGGATTCGCTGGTGGGTTCGACGCCGTGTTTCGGTACAGTATCAGATGCATAATCTGATTGATCGCCCTGCGGCGCCAACCCGATTGATGGGGCCATTCCGGTTCGAGTAGAATCAGTATGATCGTGATTTCGTCCAGCTGGCACGTCTCTGTCGGGCTCGCAGTCGAGTTCGTCTGCCTTCCGCTTCGCGGCTTTCCTCTTGAGAGCATCGGATATTTGCATCGTCCGACGATGTTCCTTCTTTATCTCTACGTCTTGGATCCGCTTTATCGCTTCGGAGACGTTTGGCACAAGAGATACGGCGGGCTCGTGGGTCCGCGTCAAAGTCTCATACATGGTAATATCTGGCATTGGAGCATGCAGACATGATACGAGCGCTTCAGCAGGTTAGAACGAAAAATGCACTCGAAAACTCGTTTGCCGATCGCACATACCAGAGAACCCGTGCTCCGAAAGCGCTGTGACAGTTTTTAATACTTGCTCGATACAAGGGCTAAAACAGCAGATTCGAGACTGCCGAGTTTTCTGCGATGGGGGGTCGGATCAAATAAGAAAATGTCAATAAGGTTACATTTCAATGCATGGATCGACCTTCCGTCTTACTTTGAGGGCCTTCTTGGCGTGTCCTAGAGCTTCCCATGGTGCTGGCAGGTCCAAAAAGACTGGGTGCCAGACGGGGCCACGACGAATCAGTAATCTGTAAGTGCTCCAGCCCGTGAAGCGGCTGTGGCTCCGATCAGGTCAAGATCACTTGCCTGCGTCGACTTGATTTTCGAGAGCGAATCCATCTTTGTAGACATTCGAGTGCTTGAGAGCGATGATGGATCCGAGTCCATGATCGCGGAATTCGGCTCTGCAGACGATTGATCCACCATACTCGAAGCTCATTAGCTAATCCGAAGGAGCAGCGAAGGACAGAGACAACACAGACGTACAAAGCTTTTTCGAAGCGTTCCTCGTGGTATTCGAACGAGTGGACCCGGCCTTGCTCGCCGACTGTGCGGGCGAGAGAGTGAGAAAAGGATCCACTACCGGTGCCTAGGACAAATAGCAGCAGGTCAGCGCCAACTTGCACGCACACCCAAGGAAAGGGGTGGGCGATACAGTGATGATGTGCACCGCGTGCACTTGCCTGCTTCAATCACTATGCTACCAGCCTTGATATCAAGGAAAGAGGTGATGAAGGCGATGTCGGGAAGATACAAGATCTGGGTCCGATGAGGAAGAGCCAGAGTCCTGCGAGACGGCACTGCTCGTTAGAGACTTGGAATTGGGAGATACGCGGCCGTAGCCCCCCTCTAAAAGTCGCCGGATGGACTGGACACCCTTCACTTACCAGAGTTCAGGCGTTGGGCGGAGAAGATGAACGAATCCGCGACCGTTGGCGGAGGCAAACTGGACGGCGAAGACGGGGACGTGAGTTAGTTTGAGGATGGGCGAGCGGTCGGATGAGTCAGATCATTTGTCTACGTGCGGATCAACGGACGCGATATAGCACAGCCCGACCCAAACAAAAAGTAGAGTATCTTCGGCATCGCTCACTTTGGATCCGAACAGGATGTCCACCATGTCGTCGTGCTTGAAATGGCCATACCGACTGTGAAGCTGCGCTCCTGCCTTTACGGTGATCGAGTTCACTTCATGCCTTGAGCTGTAGACAATGACTTGGTCTCCCAGTGCTATGGACATAGAGAATAAGGCCTACACACGTGTTGAGTATTCGGGGCAATGGGGGGGGGGAAGGGAAGATGCTTGCGGGCTTGGGAAGTCGCCTGGCGCTGTACCGCCAGGCCCCAGCAGGCCAGAGCAGGCCCCAGCAAGGACCCGGGAAAGCTCAGCCGAAGGCTGCCGAGGGTGCGTCTCGAAAAACCCCGTTTTTAGGCCGATTTGTACACCGAATATCCCTATCCAAGGGGTGTATGTATTCCGGTGTAAGACCAAATCATTGTGTTGCGTTGAAAAAGTTACTTTACCATCAAAAATTACGCCATGTAGCATGTCGCAAGGCATAAGTGGGCCCGAAAAGTACAAATCTCCGAGACACATATTGGGCTGAGCTTCCCCGGGTCCTCCCAGCAGACTCCATGCTCACGTGACGCGAGTCCGAACCGATCCCGGGCGTTAAAGTTGTCGCTCGTCAAGCGTCTCGTGTCGGCCAAGTAATACGACGAGCAGTCTCCGACTGAGCGACGCTTGTACCGATCTCTATTGATGAATATGAATAGTGAACATATAATAAATGGCTTTGGTTTGGGGTTGGGGGCGAATTCCTCACGACACGACCCCGCGAAAAACCGGCGGGGGGGCGGGGGCGGGCAGGGGGCGGCGCTGCCGGCGCGCGCGCGGGGCGCCTGCCGAGCGCTGCCCGGTCGTGCGGGCGCGCTTCCTACCTAAGCACACCAAAAAGTGGCGCGCGCAGCGCCCTTCCCAGCGCCGCTCTTAAGCGGCGTACTCATACAGATTGCTCCCCCTGCAACCCGGGTTGCTTGAGGGCCCGAGGCCAGGGGCACACGGAGGCTTGTGTGGGCTCCAACAGTTTCATCTCATGTACGTGCGTGCTCAAATCAGGTTATTCTAGTCATCGTAGTGTGTAATTCGTATTTGGAACACTCAGTGTCAATTTTTTCGGTAAACTATCAGCGAGGAGAGGTTCGATTAGGAAACATCATTACTAAAGTGATAAAATGGCATTATTGAACGTGATAGAGTCTCGTGCCCTTTCACCACGCTAACAAACGCAAGCGACACTGAGTGACAACGAGCGACTTGATGCCTCTTCACGCTTGACGCGCCGCTATCGACCACGTGCAGTCCTGGTCTTACCCCTTCCTGTCGCCGTTACGCTCTTCGTCATATATCTATACTTGACGCCATCCGACGATCCGATATGTCCAGCCTGTCTGCTCCCAGCAACGCGTCAGACTTTGCCGCTCCCACCCGTGAGACGCGTCCTCGTGTTTGTGATATGGGTGGTCCTTCTGCTCACCACCGTTCCTCGCTGTTTCTGCACAACTGCTTCGATGCAATCGACCAACAGCGCAGACATGGGGTCCGTACTGTCTCCAATTACGGTTCAGACCCAACAAAACCACCTTCCTGCGCCCAGCGGCGCGACTCCCGAATGTGGACGAAGCACACCGCTCGCCTCAAGGCCGACCTCGTCCAACTCAATTGATCAACAAATCAAACAGATTCAGGAAGAGATTCGAGCTCTCCATGATGCCGTTCGTGCGTTGCCTTCAACTTCGCGAATGTCGTCGTCGCAGAAGCAGCCCCATGTGCTCTATGGCTTGCAACGTCGCCTCGAGACAATGAAGTATTGTCTGCATCATGGCGTTCGGGACGACGACCTCGACTCGTACATGCCTCGTGCGATCCGAAGGAATGACACAAACGACTGGAACGCTTTCAAGACGAGCCGCTTTTTCCACTGTCTCGTCGAGAAGGACGGACTCGAAGGTGAGCGCGGCGTCTGCCTTTCTAGCTCATCCCGAGATCGTTCATTTTGGCATTTCAAGACGCTCCTTTACGCTTCTTTGACTCACAAATTGATCACTCTGTACCCCTACAAAGTCTCGAAAGATTTTTCTACGCTAAACACAATTGGATCGCGCTACTGGGAAAAAGTCAAAGACTCGCCAGATCTTTATGAACAATGGAAGGAAGCGTGAGCAAGTGAAGCCGAAGCGCGTGAACACGAGCAGACCACTCGTCCCTTCAAGCGATGGCGAATCGATCCTGCTGCCATCACTAAACTGAGTCACAAGTACGAAAAGACGATACACGAACTGGTCCGTGACAATTCAGCTCTTCTCGTTGGGCTCTCCTCAATTCTCATGATCCTCCCGTTGACTTAGATAGCTTGGCACTGCATCAGGTTCATCAGCATGCTGACACCTACGGATTCGACGCGTTAGTCATCGTCGGCTCGAACAAGCTCGAGAATAAAAATGATCGTTTCATCGTTTCGACGCTTGGCGGCGCAGCTTTCATGCGGCGCCAAAGCTGGGGTTCTCAAAAGAACGATGTGCTCGTTAACTTCACGGAATGCATAAATGGCACCCGGTTCAATCAGGAGCGAGACGAGCAATTCAAGATGGAAGGTCTGTCAGACAAGCTTCAGAACGGACCTTGTGCTCGGCGATAGATTGGTGCTGATTCCAAGAACTGATGAGCAGCTCATCATGGTGATGTTGACAAGGCGTCTCACCGAGTGCTCTGCACATGGTATCGCATTATCATTGACGATTACTATAGTAAGCAATCACTCCACCGCTCTGCGCCCACATTTGGCAGCCCATGACTGAAGTTTTGTGGCCGTGCAGATCAAGCGCTCCGTCGTCGCCACAACAGAAACAAGTCTATTCAGCCCTACGTGCCTTCCAAGCTTACGAGCTACAACCAGGAAACTCTTGCGAAGGATCCAACCGCCCTTGTTATCGAGCTCGGAAACGGTCTTCACGAGCGTGATTTCCGCAGTCCTACCAATGGCAAGAAGCCGACCGTTAACAATTTGAGAAGAATTATTCCATTGATGCGACAGGGTGGGCTTACGTTTTCGCTCAAAGAGGATATCGGCCAGGTCTCTTTTGACCGCACTCCTGCCGAGAGTACTTTGATGAGCGAGCAGTCGGAAACGGAGCCAGAAGACCAAGACACTGGATCTGATTCTGCTTCTGATCTTGGTTCTGGTTCTGATTCTGATTTGGAAGCTGCAACATTTTGATTCCGAATCCGACTACATTTCTGTTGTTCAGTATATTGTTGGTGCGCCTATCGCGCGTTGAGGTAGATTGCCAAACTTTTTGTAGTCGTTGAGGTGATATCGACCTGTGTCAACAAGTTTCCACGCATCTTGACTAGCTTGACTGTCCGTCCGTTGATCAATTATGCGACGCATTTTTGATCGCAAAGCAAATCGCAAAGCAAATAGATTTACCCGCGCTAAACGTTTCAGATTTTACTCCGTAGATTCAGGCAAATAATGGATGTTCAAATAAAGCACTCACTCATCCTACCTAATGTCAAACTGCAGTTAAGCTCGTCCCAGAGCTTGGGGGGTGACCAACAGCAAAGCACCCAAATTTCTTCGACTACCCCTTCGGACCCCCCGAGACGCCGGCGAAGTGACAGCAGAACCTTGTCGAGAATGTCCGTAATAACACGCTTCGCGTAGGGTTCTTCAAACGGCGTGCCCACGGTGAGAAGGAGAGCCGAGATTATTCGTTGGCGCTGGAACAATAGATATAAAACAGAAGCAGGGAACAAGGTAGTTCACCACTTCTGACCTGCAGACGCAAGATCGCAAGGTGTCCGAGCTTGCTAGCTGACCACGGTGTTCTAGCTGAGGGCCAGGGAAATACGACGCTGCATTACGCGTAATCAATGCCTTTTCTGCTGAATTGTCAATGGAAGGGGGCGTAAAGTCGGCATCGATATAGTGGCAGCTTGGTGCTGAGGCGTCAATGACTTCGTAGTAGCAATTCTCGTTGTTGGCCGAGTCGCTTGCATACAAGCGCTAGCGTTCATAGGTCGCGCTCGGTGCCGACTACGTATTGCTTCACGCCTGGGACAGGCAATGTGCCAGGTGGCCCCTATATCTCGTCTCGTGCAAATACTCGATGATCTTGATCTTTGTGTCCCGCAGACAGAATCGCTGGTTGTAACTTGGTATGAATCGAGCCGCTGAGGGCATCGGATCGGCTGTGACGCGACGGTGTCGGTGATGCTGTGAGAGGAGAGCGCGCGCGCTTGGTGACGCTCCGTGACGCGAGGCGCGACGTGTACCCCCGAGGGTACACAGTGGGACACTTCTCTTTCTCACCCCTAAACCCCACTCCAAGTCCAACATGGCACCACGCGCCACCGAGGGCGAGCGCGCTTGGCTCGACATCGACTCGCATCTCATCCGTGACGAGTCCGGCCAATGGCGTGTCCGTTGTGAACTTTGCAACAAACACTACAAGCTGCCTGGGGGGTACAGGTCACTCGACGCCCCAACTGTAGCACCGGAACATGCACATGAGGCCAAACGAAACCTGAAAAAACATATCATTCGTATACACAAGCGCACGTTCAATCCGTCTACGGTCGACAGTCGGTACAGATGCAACGAGGCGGCGTTTGAGCTGATCGGTACCGACCGTGAGGTCCAAGCGGTGAGTGCTAAACAGCTTTCCCAGGAGATCAGATACAAAATATGTGGAATTCGGCTAAACCTTTGTTTATGTACTTATCTGATCTGATTAGGGTTTTGGCCACCTGAAGAAAAGATACCGCCGGCAGTTGCAGGCCAAGCTTGACGGGTTGGAGGCGCCAGGGAAAGCGGACCGTGCGAGGCACGACGAGTGGGCGGCGGAAAGGGCGCGTCGGCTGGCGATGGAACCCGAAGACATCATGATTCAAGACCCAATCCCCGAGGACGACGAAAATTTGGCCTATGAGGTCCGGGAGGAGATCGACTACGTCGTGTGGCCTGTTTGGGATGAATGGGCAGGGCACAAAGGGAATGGACGTCTGCCTCGGAGCCTGTTGACCGTGCTCATCCATTGGAGGATCGTGTTGTTCGATGCATACGATGACCAGAAGCGAAAAAGAGGTGGAGGGAGCGCGAGAGTTTTGAAGGAGTATAGAACCCGCATCCAAGACTTCGACGACATCCTCGCGCGCATCTTCACCGTCCCCGTCAA